GAAATGACCACCAGAGGTTGCACCGCAGGTAATAATAGCAAAAGCAATCCCCAAAGCGTATGCCCAACCAATTTGGAATAAAGATCCATAAGCTGGATCTTCCGCATGAATAAAGAACGCTGCCTGAGACGCAATTCCGGCATACCTTTTCTCGGTTAGCATTTTCTCCTCTGCCAGAAACACGAAGTGACACCTACACGTAGAAAAACACACCAAGACACTCCGCTGCCATTTCTCTAAACCATCTCGGTCTTGCATGCTCAAAGTCGAGCTTTTGTTGAGACACAGGCTTAGGTGCGACTACGTGTCTATGAACGTGTTCTTGTACTGCGTCCGTTATTCCCACCTCCATATCATTTGTCCGTAGCCTGTGAACATCATTGCCCGTCGCCCGGTAGGTGTTCTCTACATGTGAAGAAGACATCTTGTAAGTTGGTGAAATGACCCGAAAGGTAAACGGTCGCAGCTGATGATAATTTACTGCTGCTTACTCCTTTTGTCGTATAGCGAAGCCTCTTCCAGTAGCGAAGAGTGATCCGTTATAAGAGACAGCAGGCACGGGAAATTTCCGACGTATTCAAGATTCGCATCAAGTGGCCAAAGACTTGAGGGGGATGTTGGGATTTAAGTTAAATACCATAGGTTGGGCTTCTTTATTGTGCTAGCCTGCTCTAGTGAGCTTCCATGAACGAAATATCTCCTCACCGGGAGATAAAAGTTTCAAGTGCCTCATGTAGCTTCTTTCTCAGTTAGAGATTCTCCCTCCAATGATACTCGTAGAGGGGTAACAAAAGACCCTCCGTCTAGACCAATGTAGCTCTAGCTTCACATCAAGCAGACGTCATCACAAATGAGATCTAGTCATCACCGTACAACGGTCCCAAACGCACAACAACCTGGGGAGTTCTTGCCGCACTTACCCCTATCGCGGCTTCCCATCTGGGATAAAATAAGCTGCGCCAAAGCAATAATAATACGTTTTCAAGGTGGAAAGACATCATTGTTTAACTTCGAGGTATACGAGGAATCTCTAAGTGGGCCAACGGCTCGTAGCGGTCAACCCCAACCACTTAACTTCTCTCACGGCGACTGGGCGCTCTTCACTAACCTCCACATGGCGGAGAAGAAACATGGAGCTAGAGTTCAGCCGGTAACTGAGTAGAAAGAAGAAGCACAATTGTCAAAACGTGGCAATTGCTTGTATCCTTGCAACTCGGAATCTCTTTGTTAATCGCTCGCATGACACAAGAATCCCAGGTACACTTGATCCTGAAAGATTTCAAAATCCCACGCGAGTTGATGGAGATAGAAATTTAATGTACGGAGTATGAATTTATGAGTTATGAAAATGATTGTGGGGGATCCGGGGAACACCTCCTCCGCAAAATGCGAACGGTGGGGTCCGGGGATTAGTGGTTGATCGACATGGCGGAGGCTAGCCAAAAAGCGCCAAAAGCTTGACATTAATGGGGCTAAAGCGGGTAGCATGCCGTCACTAAGCTTATCTTTCATCGGATTTAGCGATCATAACGTACAGTACATGCGAATCGATGTTATGGCGATGAGAATCTCGAACGGCACGGAAGCTGACAGCCTTTCCCTTCTTTGACTTCTATGACCTTGTATACGATAGTGGACTTTAGAAACTTGAATCCCATTCCACAAACGACATAATTGGCAATGTTGAAGAATGTGTAAACAATGTTTATGTTGATATCGAAGACAGCTATAAGAATAGAAGGAACTCCTCTCAAAGCGAAGTGCGTACAAGTGACGACAATGTCTAGAGTTTCCCACCAGCTTCGGGTCAGTTTACCGTCTTTGTAAAACCTTCCGTGACATGGATTTCTATGCTCCCCTTTCACACATTCTAGACCGTACCCGTACCAACTGATTTTAGACAACGGCGTTCAAAAGGCGGATCCCTCATACGTGCGGATTTAAGAAGAGTTCGGAGCCCGCAATAGAGTTGCCCGAACAGACCGACGACGACTGATACGGAAAGAGCTATAGAGACCCCACAGAGTGGTTTGACATGTACATCAACGGCGACTAATTTATGCAATGAGATGAATGGGCCGAGTCCTAGCCCCCGCGTATTCCGTGAAGGTGCGTAAGCTGTAACTAAGCCTCGGCTCGACCCCTCCTTTGGCTCAAAGAATGGCTTGCCAAAAATGGGGGCGGGAAAATTGGTGTGTAAAAGTCTTTTTTACCAAGACTTAATAACCGCTTTTATTGACGTTTGTGGGTTAAGATACTGTCTCTTGTCATGATGCTCAGCGAAAGTTGTCGTGGCTGAAGTCGACTTTATGAACCCTCATAGGCAAGTATCAGGTTATGGACTTTGAGATACGACAAGTTGGACTCTTAAAATCGAAAAGTCGCATCAATTTCTTCAATTAATTAGCTAGATATCGGTGTCCATTGACGCTTACGTTTCCACCAGGTGAGGAGCCTCTATTCTGCGTCACTCAAAACGTGTTAAACATACTTATGTTTCCGCAGAAGCTCCTGGATCTTAACAATTGTTTCCTCGGATCTCAATATATAAGATTCCACGGAACTTAAACAAGTACAACTTTATTCTCATTTATTAGTTAGTCTCGAAAGGTTGTGGAGTTCTCATAATCTTCAGCTTTTATTATTCTCAGACACTAGCTAATAACGATCCTTTCCACTAAATCGTAAGGTCATTATATCATTATTTTGTGATAGTTTTAAGAGAGAAAGGATTTTCAGTTTCTTGATATGAATGCACACATGATCAGTGAAATTTAATGAAATGCCCCTTCTTCTAGAAAGTGTGCAATGAATATTTGTTGTCCACCGGCTTTTGAAAATAGGGTACAATATCTGAAGACGATCACCATTCGTTATCTATGAGATTGTTCTTTACACTCTTGTTGTTTTGGAACCAAAAATGATGTGGAGGTTTTAATTGATGTACATCTCTAAGACACGAGAGATTGTGAGTTTTTACGATCATGTCCGAAGTTACTTGCAGGTCAGAAGACAGTAAGTGGGTAAAAAAATCAGCTCTTAAGAAAGAAAAACATGATAATGTAAGCCTCCATGATCTATGATCGGATAAAAGCTTCGAGGCAGATGAAAGCGAATTCCAAAATGAATATCGAAGCAAAGGGGCTCAAAAATAAGCGAGAAAGCTACCAGCTCCAAATCGTATTTGCCTATTTTACCTCTAATTCAGAGTTTCAATATCGCTTGTATCTACAGTCGAAAGGAAAGATCTTCATTTACTGCTGCTATATATATTTGTTAACAGATGTTAGCATTGTTCCCTGCACTATGTTTCTACTCCAGCGAAAGCTCAATATGAAATACCTTAAATTTGCAACCAAGCTATGAAGATTTTAGTAAACCTACCATTTGTCAGTGCTGCATCCTAGGTATTTAGCGATGTTAAATGCTAGTCAGTGATCTCGAGTCACCTTTGAAGTTCTTTTGGGTTTTAAGAAGCCAATTAGCCCATTACCGGAGAATAGAATTTTGAGTATGAAAGTGATAACTAGCCCATTGCAAAGAAGAACATCCAAGATTTATGAAATTACGAGTGTTTTAAGCCTCTAGACTCAAGACACAACCCATGATATATGGCTTGATCATCTCGTTACATGAGGTGCATTTTCAAAAGGGATCTACGTCTACCCCTGAATACGAATCTTTATATTGAGAAACCCCCCTTTATTGCACGACTGACGGGATGCCCTTCTAGTGTATCAATGCTAGAAGTTGAGTTTCCAACACTGCTTCCTTCCCTAAACTGGTATACTTACCCTTTATAAGAAAGGCAATATTTTGTATTTATCTAGAAAGATTGAACAAGTATGAATGTTTGGGTAGAATATCGTGTTTCTACCGTAGGGGATGTCCCGTTAGACTTGCAACCTACTGGTGAAGCTAACTCATCTGCTTCGGTTGATTTTCGACGATAAGAGCCGGAAACAATAACGACTCCTCAATAATATCTATCTGATTGCGCTCAATCTTCGTAGTGGAATTTCTTAATCGTATGAAGCTACTCGATTGTGATTAGGTATTTTTCGCGCAAGCGCTAACACGAAAGAAATATATCGAGCAAATGATCGTCTCATGAGAGTAAAGATTGGTATATAGTGGAAGATACTTAATTTTCAATGCTTCTCCAAATTTATTTACAAACGTGTGATATAAATTGCTTGGCTTGAAACTTATACACGAATGAGTCATCCCCACTTTCCTCACTTTCCTCACCTCACCTCGCAACTTCTCCTTCTGCATAACCAAGATCACAACCAATACTGATCTTGCGACACACTGAGTAATCTGAAGTTTCCAACCATGCCATCACTCGACCACATAATCCTCCTCGTCTCCCACTCAACCCTAACATCCCTCCCCCAATTCCTCACCAAAAACTTCACAGTCACACCAGGCGGCCGTCACGCCGACAACCTAACCGAAAACGTGCTGATCTGTTTCCGCGATGGAGTATACATAGAGCTCATCGCTTTTATCCCCGGACAAGAAGGACGCGAGACGCATTGGTGGGGAAACAAGAAGGAGGGCGGGATTATTGATTTTGCGTTTACGGGCGAGAGTGCGGAGGGGAACTGGGAGGCTGTGAATGGGAGGCTAGAGGGTAAGGAGGTGGGAGTGAGGTATGAGAAGCCGGTTAAGGGGGGGAGAATTAGGGGAGATGGAAAGGAGGTTAGGTGGTTTGTTACTTTTCCTGAGTTAAAAGGGACGAGGTATCAGAGGGGTGTGTTGCCGTTCTTTTGTCATGATGATACCGAGAGGACATTGAGGGTGCCGTCTGACAAAGAGAATGTGGAGCATTCTTGTGGTGCCCAAGGAATTCGGAGCTTATCCATCTATGTTCCCGAGGAGATGATAGATGAGTTAAGAAAAGTGTATAGTGCAGTGCTGGGAGTCGATTGCGACGATGGTGGTGGATATGTCGTCAACAGTCTGAATGGAGGCATGAAGACTACCATTGTGCTGAAAACTCCCGCGAAAGGAGATGCAGCACTGGAGAAAGAAATGAACGAGAGAGGGGGCCTGTTCATCGGAGAGCTGATATTCTGGGGAAAGGGTGGAAAAGAATTGAAAATCGATGGCGATAGGAGTCTGCGCTTAGGCTTAGGTGATCAATTCTTTTGATGCGAAATCTCACAAGAAGAATTAGTTGCGTAAAAGCGCTATTTGCATCAATACATCTGCATTCAGCGAAGTTCTGAGTTAAAGAGCAAGATGACAAGAAAAATAAAGAGTGCCCCTCACTAAAAACGCAAATGGCTGCCTTGACCAACCACCACAAGAGTTTCCAAACCATACCGTTCGAGTATTCTTCAGATAGTTACCATTCTCTAGGTGGCACTATTGAGTAGCTTCATTGTAAGAAAATCATAGAGTGGTTCCTTATGCTCCGGTAGCTTACGGACCGACATCTTCAATTGAGAATTGTCACAGCATAGTGGCAGGAGGCGCACAAAACTAATCATATTTCAATGTGGACTTGACATTCATCTATTTGACTACTGGCTGGTATCAGCAAGGCGAATAAAAGATAAGGAACTTTTACTTACTCTCATTGATCTAGCCCTACATATATAAAGGATTGGTTGGCCCCTCAGATGTTGGATCCTGAACAAGAACTTCAAGTGTGCATTCCATCAAACACCTGGTGGAAGTGACAAGTAACCTGAGTGTTTGCATACAGTTTCCTTTCCGGGGAGTTTGGAATTCCCGTTCGTAGAGTTCCTATGCCGATTGTATGGTATGGTTAACGGGTAGACTTCCAAGTATCCTTGCCTCACTTCGTCTGCCAACTTGGGAAATCGCTCCCTTAATCGATACTGCATCGGGATCAGAATTTGCTGACATTGATTCTTTGACATCGAGTGTTTGCGTGACACCGAATCGACTTTTTTGCTCTGTATCATTCCATAAGAGAAGACTTCTCTGGGAGATACAGGCCACCCTGAGGGCAAATTCGTTGGAGATTCAGACTCCAAGTTGCATACCTTGAAGCAGCTATTCCGGCAAGAGAGGTACAGTTCCTTTCAGTCCTGTGACGTACGGCTCTAATTTGCTGTAAACAACCAAATTTCGTCGAACACTCAAGCAGCGTCTTTTGACTTTTGATGCTTTACGAAAGATACCATATTCCGCAGACGGACTCCACTAGCCTTCAGCAAAAGTTGTTCGGCTGCTTCTACTTTCTGTTTGGCACTGGTGGATTTCTTTCTTTTGTTTGACTTGATCATCGCTTCCCGTGCCTTGATGCCTTTATCAACGGCCGGCTCCAACTCCCGACTATAACCATAGTCACAGCTTTTCAAAAATATGCGAAATAAAACCTCTATCATAATAGAGACTTTCGCGTTTTCATTAACCGAGGTGGTCAGTGCTGCGAAAGGGAAAAAGCACTTTTCGAGAATGTTTAGGTCAAATTCATCGCTATTCCTTTCTCTAATGGACGTAGGATGAGGCGCTGCATTAGATATCATTCGGCGAAGGAAAAACTGTGTAAGTGATACCTGGGCAACTTCAGGTATGTATGAAGATTGGCTCGGGGCCAGAAACAACATGAATGATGGAATAGACAATGGCCTCATGCATAAATAAATTGCCTCGTACAGGTCTACAATATCAACAAATTCATCCGGGAATTCGGCTGACGCCCGTGAAAGCTATTTCTCGTTAGTCTGGACTAGGATTGGGGGTAAAAAAATAAGCCTTACAAGGGCAAATATTCGTTGGCGTAACAATGTTGATTCAACACCTCCGAGATATACATCGTCTTTGGTTGACGCTTCGTCCTCGTCCTCGCTCATTCCAAAGTCTGGAGAATGGAGGTCTTCTTCCGCGATTTCCTCGTCGTAGCCACCAAACGCACGTTCCTTGGTGGTATCGGCTCGTTTTCGCTTTTGTGCATTTTCAATTTTCAGCTCCCTGGTTTCGTTTTTGAAGATTTCGGGAAACTCCCTCAAGCTATCAGAACTACCATCAGCGAATATGGCTTTAGCGATCCGCCTCACAGCGCTTGACTGCCCCTTGACATCTGACAAATATCGAAGTAGAAGACAGTCCTTGAGCATTTTGTGGTTGGCCTGTGTCTCAGAAGCTTGGGGCTGCGATCTATGCACCTCTTCATCCAACCTAGCCCTTTCTTTCCAATCATCGTCCAAAACATCCAACAAGTAATCTAACCAGATTTTCCAACATTTCCATCTCTTCGGATATCTGACGCTGCAGTTGAACGCCCATCCCAACGCGTGCCAGAAATCGCTAGCACACCTCCGTAGCCTGCCTTCATTTGCGATGACACCGCGCATGTTCTCTGCATTTTCTTCGTCTGATCCGCTGACTCCATCATCCCTATCGAAAGTCCTTCCTCTTCGTTTTGGCCTAGCATTGTACGTGTGCGCAAAAGAAAATGCTTCATTGAGCCTGGCATTGAGAGGTCCCAGAGTAACCAGAATGTTACGCAAAAGAGTTATGGCGCGAGCTTGAAGAGTATTCTGCTCGCTTGGGTTTGCTTGTGTTGTCCATCGCGGGTGAACTAGAAGACAGCTGACGAGTTCTATGTGGAATGGTAAAGGCGCGATCGTTGGGAGGTTTGGATAGTCAGGATGAGAAGTACCAGCGGTGACAAGATCACTGAGAAGAGTGAGAGCGCTAAGATCTAAACATGATCAGTATCAATCATGTACGTCGACACAGCTACATACATAGTTGCTCGTCAAAGAAGATGTGGCAGTGCTGTTGAATCTCGTTAGTGATGGGTTTCGCCGGCCGAAATGAACGAACAGGCGTAGAAATAGCCTCTTCGTCTGCCATTCCGTGGTCTGACAAGGCAGAATAGAAGGATTCCGAGGATGCTGGGCGTGACATGATTCAAAAGAGAGGACGCGACTTGACGCGCCGGTATCAGGATACCAAAAGTCGTGAACCAGTGAATGGACAAGCTGAGTATAGGTACAGACCTTGGGGATCTAGACAGGTTCCTGACTGCAACGAAGGGTTCCACAAGTTAACTTAACCCAAAAGATCCTCTCTGTCCGTCCTTGGAAGGCCATGCTAAATGCTGCTCAAGTAGCTTGAATTGTAGAGCTCAAATTGTAGAACTTCAAAGTCCGAGGTTCACTTGGGGTTCTGTGATCGGCCCGGACTGGCTCCGAACCACTCCGACGCCCACCACCCCACCCGAAGTGAAGAACGTCCTTCCCACAACCTCTGTCCTACATCAATGCGCTTAGGAATTTCTACTACACATACTTCAATGGCTTGCACATATGTTTGTAGCGTTAACCTAGGCTATGGCCATATTCGGTATCAAATTTCTGTCTTGCACCAGTACAGGCAGGCAGTCTTCAATCTCTACATCGCAAGTCGCAAGTATGTCGGTTGCATTTGCAACGAGCCTCAAAATTCCTTCAATGTCAACTATTATATGGTGCAGCTTGCACTAGATGCTAGCGGCTTAGATGTTGTTTTCTTATCCAGTTCTGGCTCGAGTACAACAGGAATTGCTCTCAATTTCGGTAACATGTCTTCTATTCGCGTTGTGGAGTCAAGTGTCCTACTAGAGTTTCAGATTACGACTTTGTCGATCTAGTCTAATTGAACTTTGATGGAAGCTGTATTAGCTTGAATGAAATACGCAACCACACATTGACGGCATCGGGGAGAGCAAACGAGCTATATTTCTTACGATGGCTAAGTTTATTGCATCAACAGCAGCCGGCTCTATTCGCACTTCGCTCAAATACGAGCTCTACTGAAGCTAATCACAACTCATACAAGACTCAATGTCTGATGCGATTTTAGAATTGCCGACTAAAACTCCATGCACATTCAGTACAAACGGGACCAGCGACTAACTAGAGAAGCTAGCAAGTGCTGCGACAATCCTATCCTCTCAATATCTAGAACTCAGTAAAAGTGCCATCGTAGCCCTCGAAGTCATCTCCACATCATATTCTTAGTGATTGGTAGGCAAGAACGTCGTGGAAATGTTGGGTGTGACCGTGCCGATATCTCTCTTGCTCAACTCGAACCCAAACTCAAGGCCTGGGCCAACCTCACCGTGCCAAAATTTCGTACCCCTGCTTTGGTTTCTTCCCTAAGTAGTCTCCAAGCTGGAGCTCTTCCACTAAGACTCCCACACATCAAATCCCGTGTCCACTTGGTCAGATTTAAGGGTAAAACGACCTCGGCGAAACACAAGGGCACTGGCAAGATGGCATCGCACTTCGCGATACCTTCCCGGCATACATTCCTTAAAGACCTCAGCTGTCTCCGACTTTCCATCAAAATCTACCTCGAGTATTTTACCTTCTGGTAAATTTTGATTAAAGCATATCAGAAATTCTCTGAAGCTACGGAACCCCCACACCATTTCCAACTCATATCGCATATCCTCAAGCACAGTAGTATCTCCTGGGCTAAAGCAGTCCTCCCCTTTGTTAGGCTGCTTTGCGACCAAGCGTAAGATGTTCAATGTCGGAATGAGAGTCCACAGTGGATCGTCGGTGTTCACGTTAGCATGCCAATGATCCAGCTCTGCTATGATGAATAGAAATCGCATTCGACACCTATTTGCTTCGGTAAAATTGCGTTTGAGACAATGACCTGCGTCGCTGCTGACATAAAGCTTAAAAGCGTTCTTTCCGTACATGATATTCAGAGCTTCGTCGGAAATTTGTTTGCACACCATGAATATACTGTTCTTCTTTCTGTCGATGCCCCCAGGTAGAGGGATGGTTACATCATCCCAATCTACCTCGTACTCTGAGTCTGTACAACCACCGATATCCATAACTTCTGGTACGTGTGTATTCTGAGAGAGGCAAGACTCAGAGATCGTACTCTTTCTTTTGTCTGCAGTCAGATTATCATCCGCGGCTTGATGTTTTGAAGATGTTTGTGTATCTCGCTCTGCAGGAGCTTCGTCAAACTCGAATATAGATGTCCTTTTCTTAGTGATCGTATAGTTGAATTGAGGTTCGTACGCGTCGATGATTGTCTTTGTCGGGATCAAATAATGGTAAATGTGGTCGCGTATCTCGAATGGCAGACCAAGGAAGTGTACAGTCTGTGCTGCCATGGTCACCGATCTGTTCTGCGAGAAGCTGGTATGATGCTTCACTATCGCGTTTTATTCTTGTGGCTATAGGCTCTCGCAATTTCAAAAAATTGAGTTAAGGGAGTTCCAAAGGAAAGGAACCTGTGGTCATTTGGTTGGAGTGTAGAGGGGAAAGCGTGTAGAGGGTGTGGAACAAAACATAATATTCAAGGCTCGGTCTCGAATACCTCCTATCATTTCTCCGCGGATGGCATGTTGATTCACCAACAATTGGAAAGTTTCTATTTCTAGTATTCATTGACACCACAATTTCAGAATGAAGTGAATATGGGTGTTCTGCTTGAAATTCCCGGCTTATACACATATTCACCAATGAGATCATTGCCTGTATAACATCACTATCTATTGTCCTTGTGTGGTACTTTTGTGTAAAATCTATCTGATGTAAGACTGTTTTCTAACACTAACTTATTATCCTTTAAGCCTGCTGAGTATTATATTTTAAGTACTTTGACACTCTATTAGCAAGGCTACAAGAAGTCACTGGTCAGTAGAAGGTGTCTAAATTATATGATATAAGTTTTTTGTTTGAAAATAGCATCACAACATAATTATCTACCAATAGTACCAGTCTACAAGGAAATGTTTCTCTTATAAAGTTCTTTCATGGTAAACATCTGAGCATGTCATAAATTGCTAGATACTATGAACAAAATTATTCATAGTTCGGCAAATTTCACACCCCGTTTGATAGACATATCGATATCTATCAAAAGCATTCAGGTTGTCCCTCGAAAACTTCTTCAGCGGGGCCAGACTGCAGCAAAGCGTTACATTATTATTCCTAGTCGCTGAATCAACTCTATACAGAGACCTATGGATAGAATCTTGACTTTGTTGCTTAAGAATAACTCTACTTGTTTAGGCCATTCTCCAAACTCGAAGTGACTATCTACAGCATCGCTAGAGCGCTGAAATTGCATTAGTCACAATAGAAATAACTCGCCATATAGCGCAAAAGTAAGGTGCAGGTCTGTGGCTCTAAGTAAATCAGAATTTTGCAATGATCCTACTTTCATTCCTACCGGTCCCGGTTCGTATTTTGATTGTTTCACATAAACTCTGTAGTAATAATCGGGTCAGATACCGACGGACAGGATGGATTTTGGACTAATTTATTCACACAATATAAAGTCAGCAGCTTTTTTACTTTGACTTACCAAACAGACATTTTGTGAGTAAGATGAATATTCCGCCTTTAAACCCTTGGCTAATACCTGTGGGAAGTGGAAGTTGTACATTGTGTAACAATTATCTTCGTACAAAGCAATTTTCAGAACACTTAAATATTATAAATAATAGATATGCTAAAAACTGCTTTGTTGGCTACTATCTCAGAGACAACAAACCTCGACTTCTATGTTACTCTTTCTTTTTAAATAAAATTTATGTTTTGGTGATTTCTGTCAATTTTACAAATAATGTTTCCATCCTTTCCAACCAGTAAAGCTTGATTAGATCGAGTAAATAGAAATAATTCAAGGGCATTCTCCTAATAGTGCTTTCCAATTCTCTTTCACTATAACTTCATTTATGTTACAGATTTTCCTATTCAAAAAAAACACTCACTACACGAAGTCGTCATCTCCGAACTTCCAAGAATTGACAAAATCTAGATATAGTCTTCATTGATTGGAATTGGTTGAGTAAATGTCAGCGGGATTGACATATTTCACATAATTACGTCCCAATTTAGCTCACAACTTAAACCCGAGTTCCTTTTTTGGACGAGGGTAGTTCTTAGATCTTGATGAATCTAATTATATTTATTGTAAAATGAGCCATCTAATTAGAAACCCAGAGTGCTTATAGATGACCGGAATGAGTTAGAAACTTGACTTATCCTAATGTGGGAATTTATCCTAGATCGTACTTGTCCTTTCAAAAATTCCAAAACTCTTATTCGTATCTATCACTTCTTTATCTTTATAGTAAAAATCATGTCACTATTAAACAACTAATAAGTGAATCAAGGTACACCGACTTATGTTCTAGTCTAACGTCTATTATCAAAGATAGACTTTCGCTTGTGATCAGAAACCTCTATGTTCAAAAGGTAAAATACAAAGTAAAATTTGGAGTTGGGACATTGACTTCTTGTTTACTGTAGGTGATTGGAAGTTAACTTACGAAGTGTAGCTTATCATTAGAGTTTATTAGTAGGATATCCTGCCCTGTTCTTGTTAATTGATACATCAGATTACTACAAATTATAGTGTCAACATAAGGTAATTTAACTAAGAGCAGAGGCACTAAATAGCCTGTCAAATTACGAGATATTGGCACTTCAGTTCCTAACAAATAGAGAATTAGTTAATTCCTTAAATACAAGCGCTTTTCTAAGAGGATGACCCCGTCCCGAATTGCCCGCCAGGAATGTTGGCCCGAATTTCAATGTTTAACCACGTGTACGAAGATAGCATTTTACTCGCTCCTGCCTTTCAGGAAACCAAAAATTCAGCTGACTTCGAAACAACTGCTAAGTGGCTGCTACTGTTCTAGAAAATGTAGCCAGTGTCAAATTTGCTTCTGTTATTTATGTATTTCTATAACAAATGTCGTTTGTTCAATTGATTGAATATAATGCTGGATCGAAGATAGGCAGTTTAATCGACTTTTGAACAAGAAAATTACGTCTGGGCATTGCGACTCTCTCACTCGACCCTCTATTCAATGTATTGCTGAAGAAGAAGATAAAATTGACCGAGATGAGTTCTCATAGGAGTAAACTTTCCAAAAGACACGACTTATTGAAATGCTAGGAACTTCGGTGTAGATAATATTAACAACGCAGCGTATGAATCAACCGGCTAGCTCCTGTCAAGATGTCCTTTCTACCAATGTCTCTCAAACTTAGGTGTTGCAATTCGTTCCGAATGTGACCATATGCCACGCTAAGGGAGGGAGGGCTTTGCGCAAGTTGACCCACCAAATCCAGTCATAAGCCTTGACTCTCATGTTACCGAAGTAGATCTCGTCCGTAGGGTTCTTGTAAGGCGTCTTGATCCTGTCGATCTGCGCCTTGGGTGGTTCGCTGCTACTCTCCGCTTACGGATCCTTTTTCTCGTCTTTTGTCTTGCGACCCATAATTACGATTGTGAACGTCGCGAACGATATATATAGTAATATGAAATGGCGATCGGTATAGATTGATAATAGTGTAAGCAATAGTAAGCACTTTCGCGGAAGAGAATATAATAGACGTAAGCGACTGTGAGCCGTGTACGTAATAAAGATATAGATTACGTCTTTTGGGCCGGGACCGTGACGGCCTCGGGCCGTCTATTGGCGAGATGGGACTTAAGCAAAAGGTATGGACGACGTCCTTGACTATTGGTTGCCTGAAGGCGACAGCTTTCTGTCTATTGTAACTTATTAACCCTTGTACACTTGGCTCCCTTACAATAGGATAACGACCATCGGCACGGACCGTAGTGTCTTTGTGATCGTGGACGGCTTGTCTAGTTTATTAAGGGCTGTTTTGTCGGTAGCCGACTAAGCTTTCTCGAAGTCGTTTACTGCGTCCATAGAGTTCTTGAGCATCTTTAAAAAATACTAGTAGTCCTCTTGTGCTCCGTAGCCGAGCCATCTAACTAAATACCTTAGTTGTCCTTTAGGTGTAAGTCGCTTTGCTAGAATCTTTTGGATTTCCCATTCGCGAGCTCCATTAACGAGCACGTTTCCTGGCTTCGTGCTGTTACGTTTATAACGTAGCAGTCATGAAATGCCTCATGGTCATTTTCTCTTTTATACATGCACTTCGCATTAACGAAGCTATTTTCGCAAGTTAGGCAGGAAATCAAATTGCCATAATAAGGAGTCCATTACTCGGAATTGAGGAAATATATCGCCGGGAGAGTCGTAGGATTTTGGGACAACAACATAATTGCGTGTACTTAATTGATTTAAGTATTCTTCGTCACATAATTTACTTCAAAACTTTAATTGAGTGGAATTAGTTCAGATATGGAAATGACTTCCACTCGTTCTTCTTTCTCATTCAGACATTATATCTGTGAAGTCCACGGAAATGTTCCTATTCCTTAGAAGCTTTAATCCATTCAGAATAAATTATTGTTAAAAATGAAGTGTAAACATAAGGTGTTAACAGCAAATTGAGAAAACAATAACAACTCTCTTAATTTCGGTTATCTTGGATTTAAGAAAGCCCTACAGTTGCAAGATGTGCATGTGGATTAGAATGTGGGGTTCATTGTAAGAGACTAAAATCACAGTAAAACTCACGTTTTCTATTTCAATCTATACTATCTCAAGCAAGAGATATCTTGTGTTGAATTAAAGTGTTTTCTTAATTAGAATATCTAATAATGAAAACACTTTAATTCAACACAGTTTGTGATGAGAAATAGTAGTGAAAAGATGGAAATTTATGATTAACTCAAGGTAGCTCAACACGAAGACATTAACAACCTTAATGGCCTTTCTTCTTTAAGAGAATCAAAATAGATCAATTGATCTACTTGTTAGTAGCAAATCGTAGTTGAATTGAAGAATTATTCTGTCTTTAATGTCTAAATTAAACTTCTCGCTTATCTTTAGCAACATCTACCTATCCATTATCCTATTTTAAATGTATAGTCTAAATTAAATAATCAGACATAAGTTATCGGTTTGAGAAAATTAAATGGAATTGCCATATTAGATATTTGTGTTAATTTATATAATTGTGTTATTTCGAATGCTTATATTTACAGTCAGACAAAGTCGTATTCAGGACTTCAAGAAACAGGAACAACTTTCACCACCTTCGACGACGATACCCGTAATACAGAGAAAATCCAGAGTATCAATATAATGGTTTGCTCCAGTAACGACATATCCAGAAAAGGCCTTTTTGAAGGGGACAACTGTGTAAATTGACTTTCCACCCTCGGATATACTCAATCAGACTTAAAACTTATCAACATACATGAAATGGCAGTGATTTGGATTATAGCATGCAAGTCGTTCCATTCCTGTACCATTATCATTAGCATTAAGGATATCAACATTTCAGATTAATACCTGCAGGTTACTGCAAGGAGTCTGGGTGTCGCAACTTAGCTCACACAAACGTTAGGTTTGAAGTATGAAGATCATGGGGTTTTGTTTGCTTCTGAAGGTGTTTGCAAATGATCTTCCTTTGGAAATGCGAGCAATACACAACAATGCCACTTCTTACTGAGTTATACTAAGAGCTTTGGCATTGCCAAAGCTCAAAAATGAATAGCGCCATTGCATTGGCATGCGCTCTTATCAATAGAAAAATAGTAGGAAAAATCCACAGTTTGGACCCGGGAATAGCAAGTCCTATGAAGTACTTCCGATAAGTTGTTTGCGTGCTGTACTTTGACCATTACCTCTGAGATTTTTATTACCAATCATGTTCAATTCGCAAGATCTGTATAGAAACAGGACAGAGCATCGATTATGCGGAGCTTTTATACCGAGTATCTTCTTTAATGGTCCCTAGTTCCATGACCCCTCAAATTCCTGTAGCGTAGTCGTTACCATCCATAGGGCCTCTGCCCAAAGCGCATTCTCTTTGTTAATTTATTTTCGACTTTCTTTCCCATTTGGAATGCAGCTTCCCAAAGAGAATGCCGTATCAAAGAATATGCAGAGATACACCAGCGAATTACTGAACTCCAAAGACTTATAGGGCACACTGGGCAACGCTTAGCTGCATAAAGTTTGCTGTATTGGAGTTTGTCTATAACACAACAAGCAGGAAGCAGCACTCCGCACGGCTTCAAAGAATGCGACTATCTAAAACTAACTACCATGTTCTAGCGCCATACTAAATTCGCGACTTTTAACTACTGAATCGCCAAAGGAATTTAGTAAAGTGGCTCTCTGCCTGTGAACTTATAGAAATCTAAAGCAAATAATGTTTTGAAAGTCAGGTTCCTCCAAACGCCATGGTTTATCTCTCTTTATTATTAAATCCAAGCATTATCCAAACCTGCAGCACCAGCTGTCCAACTTAGCAGTATCTGTTCGCATATTCAAGCATTTCAATCCTGGTGGCTTCCATTGTCATTGTCATCAACGCTCCGAGCAGAGTTCTCTTGTTGGCTTGTCGGCTTATGTTTTCTGGGCGTTGGAACCGTGTCCTCCCGTCTCACGTTCAAAGACTTGCCAATTATTGTGTGTTTGACTTGCTTGGAGGGTTTTAGAGCTTTCTTCGCCGACGGCTAACCACTAGTTTTCCATCTTCTTTTGGGGATGGAAGGATGGCTGCCGTGGGAGGTGCTGCGAGTATTCTTACTCAGGTGCAGCAAAGTGGTTCTATGCCGATCAATACTTTGTCTCGAGTGTATCTAGCAGTCATTGATGTCTCTTTGCGGGAGTGTACAAAATTGAGCATCTGGTGGTTGTCCTTCCCTACATGCTCGAGGACTTTCGTGTAAGCCACGGCGTTCAGGTGTATGCACTGCTGTATCAACGTCGCCGACTTCATCGTCTTCGTCTACCTCCCGTGCGATCGCGGAGGCTTATCGCTCGCAATTCTGACCTTCAGGTAAGCAGGATCTCTAGCCGTGATAGGTTTTAGATCTTTAACTTGAAGATCTAGTTCAATATTCGGATGTTTGTCGTTGGCGAAGGCTGTAGCTTACGCCAACTAAGTTTGAGAAAGTCCTAAAGGCTTGAAAGGAACTTCGTGATCCGGATTGTCGGAGGGATCCATAGCGTCCATGAAGTCAAAGATATCTTTGACACTATGAGATTAGGCTGGACTCTTTGATGGCGGTCTCAGTGCTTGATCTTCGGCTTCAGTAGAGTCCTTAGTAACAACTCTATGCTGCTTTAAGTCACATATTAAACGGATACTATCTCCTTTTACGCGGTAAATAAGACTTTGTCTCTCTTAGATCAAAGGCCCTTTGAGGTTTCAATGATTTCTTATTCTCTCTTTATATGACATAGGATTCTTCCACCACAATGCTCATCGTCGTTGCGGAACTCGCCACGCGACTCCCAGGGCTTTGTCCACTCGTCCACAGTAATGATGATTCTTCTTATGTCTGGAGGTGGTCGTCTTAGGCCCAAAAAGCTGGCTAGGCTTGGGTCTGGGGGTCTATCAAAGGCCTTAAATCTATCCGTTCCTGTTGCTTTTATATGGAACCTCGGTGGAAATATGCTTCAAAACGAGAAATAGTGGCCAGGGCCTTTGTGTCTTGTCAGTATAGCTTCTCTACATGCTTAGTGGCATAGACATACCTTTGCCTTTGTTGGCAGAGGCTTGATTGCTGGTTTGCCGCGCCGTATCTTGCTCTAATAGCTGAGGATCGATGAGATCTGCCTCTCTGCTTTCCAACATTCCCGTACCTGCTTGAGCTGTCGACAAAATGAATTGTCTTTCGTGTTCCTTTTGCCTGCTATTGATTAGAGACTGTTCTTAAGAAGGGGGTTTAGGCAATGTACATCAAATATGCCCTGATGCTAATAGACTTGTCTATAACTCCTTCTCCTGCAGCCTTGGAGACTTCGAACGGAAGAAGAACCTGCTGGACGTTCATTTCTGGTACAATTCGGAAAAGAGGATGCTGTGTTTTATCTGGGTCTGAACCAGGCTCTCCTCTGTAATATCCACCGAGAGCAATACTGCCATCTAATTGGCTGACCTTTGCCTTAACGCCCATAAGGATTTGTTCGCCGTTGGGGAAGATATGCCAGAGGCCGACATGCCAGAAGCCATTAACGTCCTCAAAGTATTCATGACCAGGAAGCCTCTTTCCAACATCTCCTGATCTTGTATTATGGTTCTCGGCAGTGTCATGGGCCTCTACATGGTTCCACGGGCCTGACGAGAGAAGACCTGATGAACCCGGAGGATTCATAATGTCGCTGCCTTGTGGACTGAGAAATTGCGTTGCGGAAACGTGATGGTGGAACGCGTGACTGCGGAGGATGGATTAGGCTCTTTACTGCTGCAACTTCGACTCTACTCTGTTAGCATCTAGGCTATCAGGCTATCCAGTAATGCGATAGAGAGTAGAGAAGGGTTGCAGTCAATGAGATACAAAGGTTAAAGAGTAGACTCACTGTTTATATGACCTCGTGGCGCCGCAGATCTAGCAAACCAAAACTCGCGATAGTGACCCAAAAACTTCAAATATCAAGGCGCAAAGGCTGTAAAAGATACCAAATTAGCGGGAGATACTGTGATCTGCCTTTTGATTGGACTGGTTGAGATTTCGTTGGTTGTCGTCGAGGTGTGGTTGTGGTTAGAAGATGAGGTTTCCACGAGGCATCGCGAGGACAAGTCGCGCAACCCTGCTTAGGAGAGACTACTCCTCGACAGCTAGCAGCTCTCATTGGCTAGCCACTCAGAATACGCATCCATCTAACACCAGCTACTGCCAATATAGAGGAAGGCAATAGTCATATAACTCTTTGTCACATCTTCGTCTCGATTTGTACGCATACGCAGAGATATCACATTATCCACATCATGAAATGTAGTTGAATAGCGCTGCGATGCATTCGAAAGACGTACCTTTCCATCACATTGCGCTCTTTGCTACGCATCTGGCCAGTTTGCTCCAAAGAGAAGTCCTTCAGACCTTTATATCCCCTCGCACTGGCAAAGAGACCTAGTCTTCGACATCTGACAACGTTATACTGCGACAAGAATACATATAGGCAGAGCAGAATTCCCTAAAAGACCTTGACCGAGCGCGAAACTACTGTCACTACGCATCCAACGGCTAGGAACTGACGAAATACCATATGAAGAAGCCATACAGCTTGGCGGGGAAGGGGAGTAAGGATAGCGACACCAGCTTACCACTATAGCAGACCTGTTCCCCAGCAGTAGAGTCATCTTCTATCAAGCTTTTGATCCAGCTCTATATACTACAAAGGATTTGATAGTTGGCATAGCGATTCGGCACCCTGCACAGATACGACCATGCGAAGCGCGTCTGCGAGTCTCGAGAGGGAGGAAGAAGATCACGGAGTGCAGCTCAAGACGTCGCAAAGGCAGATTAAAGCTTGTCACAGTCACAGTGCTGGTCGCAGACTACGAACAAACGACGTTAGGAACCACAAGAGAGCAAGACGAGATGGGGCAGACTGCCGACAAGATGCCATAGTGGTTGGCTTACGGGTGAGAGTTAGTACGTTGTCGGTTGAGGTCTCAAGGACGCTGCTGCATGATTGACAAGGCTAACGCAGCAACAGTACGCGGGAGCGATTATACCGAACCCTCTACTTTATACGATCAAGACCACCCTTGATATTATAGAACGCTATGTGGCAGAGATGGTGGATGAAAGCTGGCATGGATTTGCAGGTTAGCCTACCACAGAAAGACCGTTAAAAGGTTTGCTACAAAGGACGCAGAACATGGAGAACAATTCGACATCTGGGATATCAGTAAACAGTTGGGAATGCAAGGACAAACTTTCAGGCGACTATGACCCATACAAGAAGGCGGCGACGTGATGGATACATTTGAGTTAGACACAAGCTGAAGCATTGCTGTACACAGAATATTACTGGGGTATGTATCAGAGAGATCAGCAGATATGTGTGTTCCTGCAAATACTGATTTGAAATGCTTAGAAAGAATCGTTTCCTGCGTCGAATCCTTTACGATTAGAACACACAAGCCATAAACCGGCGGAGGCTCTCCTACCTTTATAAACATACCTGTCGAGACAGTTGAGAAACCTCAAGCACGCTTTGGAATGACACAGGAAAGGGGAGGGCAGACATTCTGAGGTATGGTCCATCTATCGGATCTATCTACAAGCCTCAGGATGCCCTACACATCGATTTGGACCACAATACACCGACCTCCTACAATCCGGAATACCGACCACAGATTAAGTTTCTAAATATTGGTGACGGCGACAATAAGTAGACGGAATAGACGTGTTGGTTCATGATAGACAGTAAGTCAAAACCACACTTCCCAAGACGCATTACCTCGTCACTTGCGTACATGTAATCGAGTAGGAAGATAAAAACGATTATTTCAACTCCATAACATACACCAAAAAAAAAGGGTTCCCCAGCTAGGACTCTAAATGGGCAAAAAAGCGTTGCAGATACATATTCTGGTGTAGTGGTTGAGGTCTTGCACGACGTGACGAAGCTCGCTTGAGGTGAGGGAGGAAAAGGGGCTCGGTTAAGGTCTGGAGCACTGTCGGGTGCTAGCTTGGCTTTAGGAGCACCCGATTTACCGGTCACGTTTAGACTAGGACATTTTGTTCAGACTGGGATTTGTTAGAATAGAATAATAGAGCAATTTAATTTTACTAGGCAACAGAGACCTATTTCGTAAATGACCAAAGTGTTCGGTTGCCTACCTACCTATGTAGGTACCCAGAACCGACAGCGGAAGGGCTTCGCTTCGGATACTGCGCGGCACCGATACCACTACCCACGTATGCAGAGGCAAAGGAGACGTAAAGAGGTTTAGGTATCTAATTCTGTCACTGTATCTATAGCAGTATGAATACTACTATGCGACACTCATCATAAGGCCAGCAATCAATAAAATACGAATTGGTGGCAAACAAACTCCGTGCAAAGTTGGTAACCTGATGAGAAGGCCCATGACGACTAACACAAAATAGACAGAATTCGTCAGCTTTCGTATTTGATATCACAAGATTTGAGATCACTGCGGAGGTCAAAATGGAAGTTTCCGACCCTAATTGTTAGACTACCAGTATACACTTGACTTTTCCGTATGCACCGAAGACAGCGAAATCTTACCGTGGCTAGGAACTTGATGGTTCGCAACTGAAGGTACCGGACCTTCCGGATTCCCCCTCCAGATTTCCAAACCTGTTTTCAGTTTTGGTCTCTGTCGTTCTCCCATTTTCATCCATAAGCGAAGTTGTCGACAATTTAATATAGTTTTCTTCATCAAGCAGGTTGATGCGGTCAGATTGATGCAAGGTAATAGGATCCAATCGTTCGCTTAGAAGATTTGCATCCCTTCTCCCCCAAAATCACGTTGTAAACCCGGGTTAGCCCCCCGGAGCAGACTGCCGATCACTCTACCAGCCGCTGACGTTGAGAGGGTCTTTGCCGTTGCCTGCCGCAGCATGCCACGCAACATGAAATGCAAAGACGTCCGAGAAGCCACGTCGAAACCGTAATAGAAAGCGAAATGCTATCAAGTAGTTGATGAGAAGCAATGCAAATAACATGTCTGTTCGAAAAGCGACAAAATGCGGTCAGTCCAATGACTCGTGATCGTCTAGAGCCTGTGCATTTTTCAGGGACTTTCCGACTCTTCTAGATCCAAGTTGATGCCCCGAATTGAACGCCTAAAACACGGACTTATCGCATAATAATTCCAAGAGAGTCCGGGTGTGAGAGCACAAGCCGAGAAAAGAAACCAAATCGTTACGGCCCTCTTTTCCTAACTCATTGTCGGCTTAGAAATGCTGTGCTACTTTGCGAACAAGTGTCCGGTCCTCGGCGCTCTCGTGGTGGTTTTCTCCATGCTGAGGATGCTTTTCGGTCTGGACAATTTGTTGATACTAGTTCTGTCAGTAGTGACTGTACCATCTGATAGCCGTACTGGCAAGCGGATGAGGTAGTGATGTACGAGGCCTAGATGTGATGAGGTGTCTGAGAGGCAAGTCTTGCGTTTCGGTGCGAGTGGGTGCGAAGCCCCAATGGCCCAAATTTATGGGGACGCAGGGACCGACACACTGATGCAGGGACCTCGCTACCGTTCGAGACGTCGATGGTGGCGCTGTGGATCCTCGAATCGTCATTCGAGAGGGGAGATGGGAGGGAAGGGTGACTGTTCCAAGCCGTCCGTCCGACTCCGACGTCCAGACATTTGTTCCGCAAGGGTAACATGGCATCCACCCTCGAACTCATTCCGACCTGTCCTTGTAGCGCCCGAGGAATTTTGCGGACGAACTGATAGATAAATTCCTGGATCCCCGGCGCGCGCTGGATGCTCATATAACTGCTCTCATATCAGTGCCGTCACCATCGCGCTCGTTACCCGAAAGCCATTCCAGGATCATCCAAAACCTCTGTACAACACATCAACCACGCATTATCTTCGCAGACATTGGGACAACATTGACATCACTGGTTCTGCGGTAGAAAAAGCGAAGACTTGGGCGCATTCCGTAGACTGGCACGACAGTTTTTGGCCATCTCAACAAAATGTCTTCATCGACATCTTCAGTTTCTCAGCCAATATCGGTTCCCGTCCGCGAGGTCAAGACACGACCACGGCGCTCTTCAAAGTTCATAGAAGGAGTCGAGGTCACCCGTCCCGAGATTTTGCAGCAAACACCAAGCTCAAATGAATTCCTTTTTACCATTCTCTCCGAGATGGACGCGCACGAACAACAACGAAAGCATCGTCGACAGTCGCATCGCGGGTCCAACTCGTCATTCGAGTCATTCGGCTCATCTACGGCCGCCTCACCAACAACCGATTTCAGCTTGCCAAAAGAAAAGGAAGGACGGAGAAGTTTGCATTTTGGTCGCATGAGTGTAGATGGGAGGTCACGGGATGTGACAGGCTATACACAGGGCGAAACCGAGACTGAAACAATTGCCAAAAAAGTAAAAGGCAGACTTCGTGCCTGGACGCTTGGAAGGGACAAAGATGTGAAGCCCTACTCGGGCACGTGAAATCTTGAAGGAAAGATGTGGAGTAACTCGTATCTCAAGAATGTTGCATCGACGCAGCCATCTTGAGTACACAGCTAGCACTTGAAACAGGAGATATCCTCTCTGTGTGGGACAAGCAAACACCCAACCTTAAAACAAGAAGAGCTTTCGGTAGCGTCGGGGAAGAAGCAAGCCAAGACCGATATGATGGAGAAGTGAAAGATGGGCAGAAAGAATAAAGCAATTTCCAGGAAGAGTGGATGATTTCGTGTTACAAATTGTTGGGGGTTGACGCGATTACTCGAGTAGAGGTAAATTGGAAGGGAGGGTTGTAAGAGCGAAATTTAAGATGACATCTATCCATTATTGCTCTTGCATATATGCTAGTGCCATTTGACTGTTTGTAATTATCTTCGTGAGACGATTCAGCTTCTAAGTTGTTGTATGAAGAGAGATGTAGCAGTGATGTAAAAATACCTACGGAGTAGGTACTTCTCAGCTTTGCCTACTCGGGCACGTGCTGGGTATCTGTTTACAGATTTTTAACCAGCCAATGAAATGAGAACATCGGAATAACCTTTCCCCGGCAGCTCTCAATATCGGCACAAAATGTGACTGCGACGAAAGCACAACTTTGAGTCACGACCTAGGAGGCTACTCACAAGCCTCAATTAAGCAAAGTTTGGGTGACAGGAAATTCCCCGATATACAACGACATCGTCACCTGTACGATAAATAAACGAGCGGCGTATTGACGGCTGCACATACCTATTTCTTGGTGCGAAGAACGGTCCAATTACCCCGCCACCCCTCCATCGCAAGATGAGTATCGACTTTCCCAAGGAAGAGGAGGCGGTCCTCAAACGCTGGAAGGAGATTAAGGCATTCGAAACACAGGTCAGTAAATAACTTCCGAATCACTTCATGAAGACCTCGTTGGTTGATCATTTCTGCAGGTTCAACTTTCAGAAGGTAACGGAATATAGCCATTTCGCGCCCGATCGCATAACTAACAATTTTTCAGGACGCCCTGAATACACCTTTTACGATGGCCCTCCTTTTGCCACCGGTCTGCCCCATTATGGCCATCTTCTTGCTTCCACAATCAAAGACATTATTCCACGTTATTGGTCGATGAAAGGCTACCACGTTGAGCGACGGTTCGGATGGGATACACACGGGCTTCCCATTGAACACGAGATTGACAAAAAGCTTGGAATATCTGGGAAAGATGCAGTGATGAAACTTGGGTTAGCAAAGTACAATGAGGAGTGTAGAGCAGTCGTTATGAGATACTCGAGCGAATGGCGGGTAACTATTGATCGATTAGGACGTTGGATTGATTTCGACAATGACTACAAAACCATGGACCCTCAGTTTATGGAGTCTGTGTGGTGGGTATTTAAGCAAGTATTTGATAAGGACGCCGTATACCAGGGCTACAAGGTTATGCCTTTCTCGACCGCCTTGACAACTGCGCTCAGTAATTTCGAAGCAAATCAGAACTACCAAGACGTTACCGATCCAGCAGTAGTAGTCACATTTCCTTTACTCGACGACCCATCAACGTGCTTGTTGGCTTGGACGACCACACCTTGGACGCTGCCTTCTCATACCGGTCTAGCTGCTCATCCTGATTTTGAATATATTAAGATCCACGACGAAGCTTCTGGGAAGAATTATATCCTTCTGGAGAAACTCTTAGGGACTCTATACAAGGACCCGAAGAAGGCTAAATTCAAGATTATCCAAAAGCTCAAGGGAACCGATATGCTTGGGTGGAAGTATGAGCCGCTGTTTGATTACTTCTATGAGGATTTTAAGGATTACGGATTCAGAGTGTTCAATGCCACTTACGTTACTGACGACAGTGGTGTTGGAATCGTCCACCAATCGCCAGCTTTTGGTGAGGAGGATTACAATATTGCGATCGAGAATGGTGTTATCACCGAGATGCGTCCACCACCTAACCCCGTTGACGAGAAGGGATGTTTCACTGAGAGAGTTCGTGACTTTGTTGGCCAGCATGTCAAAGCAGCTGACAAGGCCATTATCAAGTACTTGAAGGGCACTGGAAGGTTGATAGTTGATTCTCAAATCAAGCATAGTTATCCTATGTGCCCTCGTTCTGACACGCCGCTCATTTACCGAGCTGTTCCATCGTGGTTTATCAGAATCCCAGAGATCATTCCACAAATGCTCAAGAACATTGAAGGCTCGCATTGGGTGCCATCCTTTGTCAAGGAGAAACGTTTTGCAAGTTGGATAGGCAGCGCCAGAGATTGGAATGTGTCGCGAAACAGATATTGGGGTACTCCTATTCCAATTTGGGTCAGTGACGACTTTGAGGAAAAGGTCTGCGTCGGCAGCGTTGCGGAGCTCAAGGAGCTTAGCGGTTATGCCGGCGATCTGACAGATCTACATCGAGACAAAATCGACCACATCACTATTCCAAGTAAGCAGGGCAAAGGACAACTGAAGCGTATTGAGGAGGTTTTTGATTGTTGGTTTGAGTCTGGCAGCATGCCCTATGCAAGTCAACACTATCCGTTCGAGAACAAGGAGAAGTTTGAAAAATCTTTCCCTGGAGATTTCATCGCTGAGGGTTTGGACCAAACCCGTGGATGGTTTTACACTTTACTTGTTCTGGGCACCCACCTTTTTGGTGTATCTCCATTCAAAAACTGCGTAGTAAACGGTATTGTCTTAGCTGAAGATGGAAAGAAGATGTCGAAACGGCTCAAGAACTATCCGGATCCTAGCATTGTTATGGAGAAGTATGGCTCCGACGCATTACGCTTGTATCTGATCAACTCCCCTGTGGTACGAGCTGAGCCTTTGCGATTCAAGGAAGCTGGTGTGAAGGAAGTTGTTGCCAAAGTTCTTTTGCCATTGTGGAATAGTTTCAAGTTCTTTGAAGGGCAGGTGGCCTTGTTGAAAAAAATCGAGAATGTGGAGTATTGCTTTGATCCAAAGGCAGAATCCACAAACACGAATGTTATGGACAAATGGATCTTGGCCAGTTGTCAGAGCTTGCTGAAGTTTGTCAATGAAGAAATGGCAGGTAAGAAATGCCCCTATGATGCGTTTTGCTGATGGGCTTATCTAATCAAAATTAGCTTATCGTCTTTATACCGTTGTGCCCCGACTCCTAGATCTCATTGACAACACGACGAATTGGTATATTCGTTTCAACAGAAAGCGTCTAAAGGGCGAACTCGGCCTCGATGATACCAAGCATGCTCTCAACACTTTGTTCGAGGTTCTTTTCACCCTAGTCAAGGGTCTCGCTCCTTTCACGCCATTCCTGACAGACACAATCTATCAGAAGTTACTACCACATATTCCAAAGGATCTTCAGGGGCAGGATCCTAGAAGTGTACATTTCCTTTCCTTCCCGGATGTGAGAGAAGAGCTGTTCAATGTCGAGATCGAACGTCGCGTGGGCCGTATGCAGCGAGTTATTGAACTGGCAAGAGTGTCTAGAGAGCGTAGAACTGTCGGTCTCAAGACGCCTTTGAAGACCTTGATTGTTATCCATGCCGACCCTGTTTATTTGGAGGACATCAAGTCTTTGGAAGGTTATATCACGGAGGAGCTCAACATCGTCAACTTAGTTCTTTCTTCTGATGAGGCGAAATACAATGTCCAATACAGCGTCAATGCCGACTGGCCTGTTCTCGGAAAGAAACTCAAGAAGGAGGTACAAAAGGTCAAGAAGGCTCTGCCAGCATTGACAAGTGACCAGGTGCACGACTACGTGTTGACCAAGAGTATTGACGTGGCGGGCATCAAATTGGTCGAAGGCGACCTGGTTGTGAAACGCGGTCTGAAAGACGACGACTCATCGAAGAATTTGGAAACAAACACAGATGAGGATGTTCTTACTATTCTTGATGCAGAGGTTTATCCAGAGCTTGCAGAGGAAGCCGTTGCAAGAGAAATCATCAACCGGGTTCAACGACTGCGAAAGAAAGCTGGTCTCCAGCCTACGGATGATATCAAGATGGAGTACAAGGTCTTGTCGGATCCGGATAATATCGGGCTTGACAAGGCTTTTGTTGAGCAGACTAAGACCATCGAAAAGGCATTGCGCAGGCCAATCGACAAGCACACAATCACTGAATTGGACGGAAAGATCCCTGATACGAAAGAAGATGGCATCATTTTGGAAGAAGAACAGGAGATTCAGAATGCGGTGTTTTTGCTAAGATTGTTGAAGCTATGATGATATACCAATGCCAAAAAAGTATCTGATTCGCATTGCAAGAAAGATCTTTTTGAGACAAGATTAGACATGTTGCCGAAGTCTTTTTGTAGCGTAGAGTAGTCTCTTTTTAGTTGTTGAAAATGATATCATGAAATAAATATCTATCCCTTGTCATTTTCACGATTTCCTCTTTGCCGCAGCCTACGAAATACTAAATCAGCTTTTCTCACCATTAGAGGTAATTACGTATGATCTTACGATGTAGCAATTCTTCAACACCATAAACTCCTTTGCACACATATCTTTATGTACGGACTTGTAATCGGCGAATATACATTTTCCGTAGGCGGAACTCTGATATCATCGTTATTTTTCGTGACCTCAAATCAGTCAAAACTTGGGGCGCGTACCTCCGCTGTACATTTCGAGACTGCTGCCGCGAATTTCTCGATTGGTCGCGTTCGTGTCGGCATTTTGATGGAGATGGTTTGGTTGTATGAAGAGGAATGTCGTAAGAAGAGAGGAGGCAAATATGGCACGTGATGAGGGTGTGCGGGTATTGGATGCGCGTTTGGCGGTAGGTGCCGGTCCGGCAGTTGGGTCTTTGGGTTTATATCACTATGTAAATTTCTGTAGTATTAAAGCCCACGGGTGTAGGTAAGCGTCCCTGTGAAATAGTTCAAATTGTATTAGTTAATAAGCTTAAGGGATAATGTATTCTCACGTCTTGTAAACGTACTGTGTTAGAGCTATTGTCGGCAGTAAAGGTAGAGGCAACTTTAATTTATTCCTAACGTAAGCATTTGATTTATACACTTTAAAAGCAACTCTGTTGAACTTTCAATGCTTTCATTGCTGAGACATTAGAACTATTCTGATTGAGGAGGCTGGTTGTTAGTTCCAGCAAGTCTAGATCCACATCGACCTAGCTAGGTGCGGCTCTAGCGCTATCGCCATACATTTGATATCCGTCGCGTCTCCCGAGGTCCCCCACGAATGTTGATCAGTCAGTTCACACGAATTATTACGACGCGACATTCACAATGGCACAGCCAGGATCTCCTCAATCTTCGGATGCCGCTGATAGCAATTCTACGTTTGAAAGCTTTATTGCGCCACGAGAGCAAACTGCACAAGCTGGATTTACTCAATCTACTTTTGATGGAGGGAACAATAACTACACCATGGAGCGAGACATTTCGACGCGACATGCGATGGGGGCTGCCCGTCCCCAATCTGCAAATGGTTATACCGACGACTATACTGTTGGCGACCCTTATTATAGCAATCAAGGTAGCTATGGTAGCTCAACTCATGTGTATAGGCATTAATGAACTCTACAGATGTTGCAATTCTTCACGACATCGTACTTCTTGCGCAAGAATTCCTTCCTACCCTCCCAGAGCGCGAACAACTACCAACGAACGCGCTCTTCAAGGCTTATTACGATATTCTTCCTCGCCTTGGTCTTGATGTTGATCATGACAATCGCTTTGCGCGAATACTATTCAAAATTGGCGGACTGCGCGGTCATGGAACTTTGCGCGAAAGATTTGTGGAAGTGCTTGGGAAGATGGGCATTGAAGTCGCTTTCGACGACGAAGCGTCAAACGCATCCGATTTTGGTAATGAAACTGAATTGCTGGTTTGGTAAATTGTGGCTGATCGAGTGTAGGAGAAGAAACCGACTTACCCTCTGCGAATACTGAGGAGCCTCTGGGGAAGGATAAGGATGCTACCATCGAAGCCACTCCATCACCCGAAGAATCATCTGTCGGCACGACCGACGCTGCCACTGAGCAGGAGCTTCCGCCTGTAGAATCCACAAACGCAACTACCGATGAGGACGGACCGCTTCAAAACGAAGACCAAGACTCGGATGACGAGTACCCAGGCGAAACCATTGCTATAACTCATGACAGAGCAACTCTCCTTCGTGGTGGTTTGGCAACCTGGCAAGCCAAAATGGCCCAGAGACGGGCACAGCAACAACAAGCTGCCGACGTGGACCGTAAGAAGATTCTTCAAGACGCCTTGACCAGCTGGCGATATAAACTCCGCTCTCAAATGGTCGAAGCAAAGGTCAATGAAAGGGTCGCTCGAGAAGCATTGCACAAGATGGTACTTGCAGAGAGGTGTGCTCATTTCCAGAAACAGCAGAAGCAAAAAGCCTTGATGGCAATTATGCAAAAGTTGGCCGAGAAGAAACAGAAGGCGCTCGACGCTGCGGCATACGAGCAGGAACAGAAGAAGATGAAGATGAAAGAGTCTTTGCGAGCTTGGGCTGAGAAGGCTAAGAAAGCGAAGGAGCTCAAACAGCAACAAGAAGCCGTTGCTGAAGGTATTTTGCAACAGAAGGCTAAGGCTAGCGCCTTGAAATTATGGTATGGACAGATGGTCCATCAACACGAGATGGAGAATACTGCTCTCTCCTACATTCAACCTAAAGTCTTACAGGTCACGCTTACTAAGTGGCGCGAGCACACACAGGAGAACATCCTCCATCGAGAGATGGAAAACAAAGCTCTTACTTTTTATCAGCCACGACTAGTCCAGGATACGCTTTCGAGATGGCGAGAGCGTACACAGAAGCACCAGCAACATCTTCAACAGCTTGAAACTTGGTCGAATGATGCAAGTTTCTATTTCAGAGCCACCAGGACCCTGAAAAAATGGAGAGAGGCTACCGAAGCTTCCAAACGAGAGAAGAGGAAGGTCGCTTACACGAAAGTCAGGCGAATGATCAAGATCAATCTCGCAAGAACTGTACTCCAAGGATGGCGTGAAAAAGCGCAACATATAATGGCGCTCAAGAAACAAGCGGAGGAATTCAATGCCAACAAACTGATAGCTACTGGAATCAATATCTTCGAAAAATGGCGAAGCAAAGCCGAGGAAACTGCTGAGATCCAAGAAATCGCTCGCAAGCATGTTTTGAAGAAGCATATGGACTCCTGGAAAGAGCGTAGAATTAAAGACGCTCAGGTCGCGAAAATGGAGGCTATTGCTCGGGAACATGTGCTCAAAAAACATTTAGTTCTTTGGCAGCATCGTAGAGCTAAAGATGCTGAAGTCGCGGCTATGGAAGAAGTGGCCAGAAAGCACACGCTCAGAAAATTCTTTGATATCTGGAAGCATCGACTTGAAGATCATCAAGCTCTCGAAGAGCAAGCGGTGATGACGTATCAAGAAAATCGGCAGACCCAGGCTTTGAGGAAGTGGAATATGAGTGCTCTTCACATACAATCGCAAACAAATTGGGCACATGACGTCCGCGAGAAAACCGCGAAGAGGAATTTTCGGAAGATGTTTACACACTGGCGTCAAAGAGCAACCGAAAATCGACCGCCTGAACCTCTGACCGCCGACCTTGATGATTTTGACGACCGTTTGGGTAGTACGACCAGATCCCAGGCGTGGTACGCAGCGACACCGTCGAAGAGGAGGACGGCTTACTCCACAACACCTAAAGTATTATCGACGCCTATGGAGAAGCAACTCCGGGCACAGTATCAAAAATAACATCGTTGAATGTATCACTGAATTGATACCTCGAACATGGAGTCTTAATGGGTTGAGACATGGAGCATTATGACGATTTTGGAAACGACTCACGGGCTTGATTACTGACGATTTACGAATTACGACTGACGGATTACGACTTAATGACTTTACGACAGATGATTAAACACAACATGGATTCACATGGGTTAGAATTGGATAGAATTGGGATTAGAGGCATGTTCTCACGAACACAAAAGGCGTTTAGGATTTGGATATACCCTGAAATAGATCGGGTTTGATTTTGGAGTTGGCTCACGTGGTGTCCAGTTGATAGCGAAAGCTCCTGGCATACCAACGATTACGGTATCAGTAATGTATTGTAATAGCTTTCTTTTGCTTTCGAGCTAGCTTATATGGTGTTCAGTTAAGCGAAAGCTCCTGCACTATATACAGCTTGGTGTTTTGTATTATAGTTATAGTGTTGTTAGAAGTGACTAACTCCAACACTTGCTATTAATCAAATTCATCTGCTCAAAGCCCCTCATCTCATACTATGTGATATATTTTTTCACCTGATAGACTTGCCTTGGAACGAGAATTATGTTGCATCCACGGCAGTTGGACCCCTCTTTCCTAGTATCCTTGTACAAATGCTTTGTTGCAACATCTCGAAGAAGGTCAAGCCAGAAACGAGTGAATATCAAGAATACAACGATATCATAGACATACATCACCCATGTTTCTATCCATTCCAGCCATATTAACCCCAAGCGAAGCTATCTAGATAGTTGCTTTAGGTAATCTACCGTGTTGTGACTCTCCGCGAGGTACAGGGTCTTGCAGGTAGCAAGGTCATTGGCTACCTTATAGCTGGCGTTGGTATTGCGCATCAAAAGGCGTTCACAAGAAACCAATGAGGATGATTACTACGACGAGCTTCAGATTGTGGCAGTTGCTTATCGTAATACTTGTATTTACTTGTACTCGAAAGACGGTCCTACGTAACGCTAATTCCAAGAGCTGTCTGATAAGCTGTAGCACATTGGCTGAATATTAGGGGTTTGAAATTGGAGAGAAACTTAGCGAAACTAACTTCTGTTGTTTTAGCTTTGATCTTGAGAGTGAAGAGGTAGTAATTTCACATTTATGTGATGATTCCTGAGTCGTCAAGTTTGATGAGGGCCATTCAGAAGGAACTGCCGAGTGACCTGCGCTCATTGGCCGGTCGGCAAGGGTCTCAGTTCCGATTTCGTCGCAAGGCGAGTAACGCGACCAACGCATTTCAGTACACGCAATTCGAACATAAACTTCTACGCCCTTACAAACCACGAACCGAAATTATCGAGAAGGTCGCTTTTACGGAAGGGGAAGATTCGCACGATCGTTTGAGATGTGCGGAGGAGAGAGATAGTATGAGAGCGGTGCTTCCTGGAAAGCCTAGGGCGAAGCTCCAAGCTGTCTGTACGGGCTGCTGGGAGGGCAGACGGTTGATTGTGTGTTATTGCAGTTGTCAGGAAGGTTGGAAATGTTCTACAGCTGACGAAATTCTGTGCAGGCGTATATAACTGGAAATGCACTCGTTGTGTTAACAGGCCCGAACGATATTCTTCAAACGATATACGATGACGACGAAGCCGAGCTCGAGGCCATAGCGATCGACGAGGCGTCCGGCAAGATCGCAACATGTGTGGGCAAAAGTGTGAGGGTTTACAGACCTTATGGGCAGGATGAGGGAGCGCTGAAGGTTGGTGGTAGTGGAATGATGCGAGAGTTGGGTGGTGGACTGACATGAGGATAGTGGGCGCTTCAGCATAGCTTCACAATCGATGAACCTGCCTTGACGTTATCATGGGGTGTCGCGGAGGAGTTATTAATCGGAGGGTCTTGGTTAAATTTATATTCGACCTTGGAATCGGATGAACCAACTAGGATATTCCAGCAACGACTTGCGAACCCGTTAAAATTCGCACATTTTTCTTACGATTCCGCATATATCGCCACGACTGGCAATTATGACAGACTGGTCAAAATATGGCGACGGCTATCTTTTGGTTCCGACGACACGCGATTCGATTTCTGCTACCTTCCTCATCCTGCGGCCGTTACAAGCATGCACTGGAGGAGGCCGTACCATGTGGATCAGACGATTGACAATGTTCTTTATACCATCTGCGCGGACAATGTTTTGAGGATATGGGCTGCGACTGACCCTCATGCTCTACAATTCCTGCAGCTGTGGGCGGAGATTGATCTTAAGGAGTCGATACAACCTAGAAGTCTCGAGGTAGAAAAACCAAGCGTAAGATACGCTTTTGTCATTGATGGTAGGGATTTTATATTAGCAACCGAACATGCGGTACAAGCAAGAAAGGCCGATGGGAAAGACGACCATGCTTTCTCACATCTCATTGAGGTCGCGAATCGAAGTCCTGAAATATGCGTAGTACTCGATGGTTCTGGAAATATGTCTGCGTGGGGGTTAGAAAATGTGGGTTGTAAAGCACGGCAAACAACGAATATCTTCAATGTTGCCCATGTGGATGGATTGCAACTTGGACTTCCCACAGATTTATCCGAGGATTCGAAATATGTGCAATTTCACAACTATTGCAATAATGACGCAGGGGGTCTTCATTTGCTGGTTCATCATTTTGATGGGAGAATAGAAGTATTCGAAAGCAATGTTGCAGATTTATTTGATCCTTCTCCTAGATCAGATAGATTCGTCGCCAAAGCTACTTGGACCGGGCATGCATCTGTGATCAGGAAAATCATCCGAAATGTCAGCGGGAGAGCCATTGTTTCGAGGACTGACGGGAATGAAGGAATCGTATGGAGACATATGGATACTCAAGGTGGAGCGTCTGTTCTACGACAGAGCATCATCACTGAGAGTGATCGCATCCATCGGATATGTGTCATGCGAAAAGGCAACTTCGTTATGTACTTGCACTATGACAAAGTTGTTCTATGGGATACTCGTGCCGCTCAAGCTATACGGCTGGCTACTTGCAACTACTTCACTGAAGGGAAGCCGCTATGCATTTTGATGCTCCCAGAAGTTGAGAAAGAGGGACCAGTTGCTCATGTGGCTACCGTCACTTCAAAGATGAAAGGCGTTGTGTGGGAAGTACGATTGCCTCAGCCGCCGAGACGTGGAAGCGTTAAGAGTACCTCTGAGTCAAACGGCATGCATGAGCCGTCGATTAGAGAGTTCTGCAAATTTGATCTTGGAGTCCAGGATGATGTATCCTATGTATTGCCTGTGGATCCCGCTGGATCACCTCCAGTGATTTCCGGCTTTCTGGATACCTTCGCCCGGGATATCGCAATTTCATATACACACTCTGGTGTACTGCGCTCCTGGACTGCTAGGATTGATTTTGCTAACGAAAACGTCGACTGGCTGGAAACATGTTATGTCGATACTGGTATCCGTGAACCTGCACTTGCTAGTGGTAGCTCTATACGTAAAGCAGCACTTGTAAACTCGACGAGATCAGAGCTAACAATTTGGGATGTCCGAGGAGCACAACTCGAATTCTCACAAGACTTTGTTGATGACACTATTCGTGATTTAGATTGGACTTCCACACCAGACGACCAGTCAATTCTGGCAGTGGGATTCCAGTTTAGAGTCTTACTTCTAGCACAGATGCGATACGATTATCTCAATAAGGGGCCGGCATGGGCAGCTATTCGAGAATTCAATATTCGAGATCTCACACCTCACCCTATTGGTGATTCTGCGTGGCTTGGTGGTGGCAACTTGATAATTGGAGCAGGAAATCAACTGTTTGTATTTGACAAGGCGATCGATCCTACATTAGCTGTGATAGCGAACTTAGGTCTGGCACATCGGAAGACACCTTGGGACTTATTTGAAGTCGTAACCAGATTCAATGGGCCACTACCGGTCTACCATCCACAATTCCTGGGTCAGTGTACCCTGTCCGGTAAGAGCGCGCTTGTGCAAAAAATATTACTTGCCTTGCACAAGACGCTCAAGTACTACGTGGAAAGCGATACCATAGATAATCATCTGGGGATGAATCTGGAGGAATTTTATGAACCCAGTGATGTAAGAATTATGACATGACCTGAAAATGATTACTGATTATGTATAGTCGATTTCAGCTTCAGCTCCTGGTCACAAGGCTGGTAAAACGGCTTTCAGTAATTTCACTGATGAAGAGGAAGAAGCAGAGACGGTCACAGAAGAAGTTGCCCTGGCCATAAACGAGAAACTCACGCATATTGCACTACCGCAATTATCTCGTCAAGAGCAAATTCATCTTGCAGATATCGTTGAATGTGTATCCATCGTAGAAAAGCAAAGACGATCTATGGATGACAATGCTGCTCGATTCATGCTGTTTTTCCGTCAGCATGCGCTTCGGAAAGGGAGAGCAGCCGAAGCTAATATCAGTTGGAGAGAAATATGTTGGGCTTATCATAGTAATAGCCAGGATATTCTAGTCGATATGGTGTCCAGGCAGTTTCATGGGAAAATGCAATGGCAACATGCGAGAGAGAGTGGCATGTTCATGTGGATGACAGACGCAATAGCTTTGGTAAGTTACTTATTTCCAGTCTTCGGGGAATGGTTACTAACACTATTTTACAGAAAGCGCAATTCGAAAACATTGCTCGGAATGAGTACACGAAGAGCGACATGAAGAACCCAGTCGATTGCACTTTGTTCTATCTTGCGCTCAGAAAGAAAGCTGTTCTACAAGGTCTTTGGAGGATGGCCGCATGGAATCGTGAGCAGTCGGCTACCATGAAGCTTCTTGCGAACAACTTCCAGGACAAGAAATGGAAGACTGCTGCACTTAAGAATGCATATGCTCTTTTAGGCCGGCGTCGACATGGTACGGTTCTTCATCACGATTCTGGAAAAAGTTGCTAATGTTTTTATAGAGTATGCTGCAGCCTTTTTCCTTCTCGGCGACTGCCTAAAGGATGCCGTAAATGTTATTCTAAATCAATTGAAAGACCTTCAGTTAGCGATTGCAGTCACACGAGTCTATGAAGGGGAGCATGGACCTGTTCTTCGGGAGCTTCTCCAAGATAAAGTACTTCCTTTAGCAGCTCAGGAAGGTAACCGATGGCTTGCTTCGTGGGCATTCTGGATGCTTCATCGACGCGATATGGCCGTGAGAGCATTGGTCTCACCCGTTTACACTCTGCTGGAGACCCCGGCTTCACCTAGCAACCTTCAGTCTAAACTGTTCTTAACAGACGATCCCGCGCTAGTAATTCTCTATTCTCAACTCCGACAGAAAACACTCCAAACCCTTCGAGGAGCATCCAAGATCACACCCAAAGTAGAATGGACCTTTGTTCTTCATAACGCACGATTATACGACCGAATGGGCTGCGATTTACTCGCGCTAGATCTCGTGAGGAATTGGGAATTCTTACTCACTCCAAAAGAGCCAGCGTCAAATGGATTATCTGATCCTGATCCTAGGAAGTTGTTAAGGCGGAGAAGCAGTCTGGTCGTGGCAGATCTACCGCAACCTGCTGTGGGTGTGCCTGGCGAGATGAAGAGTGGACTCGGACTTAAACCGCCACCTAGTGTGTTTGAGGAGCCGGAGTCGAATAGTTTGTTGGATAGTTTTGGATTCTAGGTTTACATGGTGTGGGATATGGTTGAGGCGTAACTGGGTCGGGTTTAATATGTATGATATTTGATATGGAGGAACAATCTGGGGGAATCTATCGAGGTTGGCAGTGTAACATATTTGTCTTTGCATAGGAAGCGAGCATAGCGATGGTCCGGGGTCTAATAATCGCTGTATTAATTGGAAGGCTACTCGCGCATCTCGTTACGGTGGAATTTAAGAAGTAGCCTGACATGCTATGCCTCACAGTCTTGTTTTTACACATATACCATAGCTTATCTTGGAATATTCAATCTATCGGTCATAAGCTGCTTACGTCAACTTAACTCCGAAGAAATACGTCACGGCGCCTACTCGAGTACCACTTCAGTACCGTAAGTTTCCACGCCTAGTAAAGTCACAAATCCATATATCTCAAGGAAACTCTCATGATCAACAATCAGAAATTCAGTTGTGTTGTCTTACATCGACGTTCATCTCAAAACTCACCCTCTCACAAAACGACCCCTCACTCACAACTCATCCTCAACCCCCTCCCATCTATCCAAAATGAGCACCTCCCAGCCCTCAGTCTTCCACCCAGGAAACACCGCCCTAATCACAGGCGGCGCCTCAGGAATCGGTCTCGCCCTCGCAACAAAATGCAAATCCGCAAACATGAACGTCATCATCTGCGACATCAACACCGAAAACCTGTCATCTGCTCAGACGGCCCTCGAAAAGGTAGACGGGAGCGGGAAAGTTAAGACGCTTCAGCTTGATGTATCGCAGATCGAGAATTGGGAGAAGGCTAAGGAGTTGGTTGAGTCGGAATTTGAAAGTGCGTTTACCCTTTCTCTTACCCCCAAGGAGTGGTTTTGATAGAATTGAATAGACAAACTCCACCTCCTCGCTCTCAACGCAGGTCGTTCCATCGCCGCCCCCTCAAAGCCCTGGAGCGATCCAAGTTACTTCACTAACACGCTAGCAACCAACACCTTTGGCATCACGAACGGGCTGTGTGCGTTACTTCCGTATGTCACGGGACATGAGGAATCTAGCAGTATCATCATCACAGGCTCGAAACAGGGGATCACGAATCCACCCGGAAACGCAGCGTACAACGCCAGCAAAGCAGCCGTGAAATCTCTCGCCGAATCCCTTTCATTCACCTTAAAGGATAAGAAGAACACGAGTGTGCATTTGCTCGTACCAGGCTGGACATTTACGGGAATGACGGGCGGCGGTGGGGTGAAGGAGAAGCCGAAGGGCGCGTGGTTTCCGGGGCAAGTAGTCGAGTATCTCGTGCAGAAGATGCAGGAGGGCAAGTTCTATGTTATTGTGCCTGATAACGATGTAAGTGAGGAGATGGATCGGAAGAGGATGCTGTGGGATCGCTTGGATCTTGTGGAGGGACGGCCGCCGCTTACGAGGTGGAGGAGGGAGTTTGATGGGGAGTTTAGGGAGTGGAGTGAGAAGAATAGTGTTTGAATCCGGTTGGGGTGGTTGAGGTTGAGGTCTATGTCGTTTGTGGGTTGTGAAATGGAAAGCAGGTACCCCTTTATGGCTCGCTTAGCAGGTCGGTTCTCGTTGATAGTGATGTTATGATTCGTTAGTAAGGACGGAGGAGAAGGGTGAGATAACAGGAGAAAGTGTTAAGTCAAGCGAAACTGCTTGAGAGTTTGAGAGTGTAAAGAAAATGAATTATTATAAATATATCCACCTATCTACGTACGGGGTATCGTGTATATAAATGTAACTGTAGACCTTCTCATATCGTCTCATCTGCTCTCCTTGTATCTCATCTCATCCCAGAAAAGAAGAAAAAACACATAACGAAACGAGAAGGAACAAATGAAATACGCTGCAGCAATGCCCAAAAGATGCTCCTAGCTCCAACGCTGAAAAATCTCCGATATCTCGTACACTCCTCATCTCTAAAACCCCTCACGCCAAACTAGGCACCTTCTTAACCGGCGGCTCCGCACTCCCATTAGTCTGCACAACCTGTCCAACATCCTCCACACCCCCCTCACCCTCCTGCATATCCTGCTGCACATTCTTCCTCGGACGCTCCGCAAGTTTCAACTCCTCACGCTGTCTCTCAAAAACACCCTCCAGACTCTCACCCTTTCGTCTAGCCTCGAGCGCTCGCTCCGCCATCTCCACATTCTCAAACGCGCCATTCGCTCTCCACGTCTTCTTCTCCTTAAGGAACTTGACTCTGCCTTTCAAGCCATCAGCTTTCTTTTCTTCCATGATCTCCCAGATTTGCTGCACGACCTCCCAGCCGTGATCGACTTGTTCGATGGCCTTTTTCTTTTCTTCGTCGCTGAGAGCCTTGAAGTTGCGTTGGCCCTGGACGATCTTGGCTTTGCGGATGAAATGGGTTGGTTGTTTGGATTTCATCAGCTCCTTATGGGCGCCTTTGAGGGTGTAGCCGAAGGGTCCGAAAATGGCTGCGAGATCTTTAAGGACAAACCCAGTGAGACCCATACCAACACCTTTAACGAAACCAACAGGACCGCCATCGCGAGCGCCTTTGTATGGCTGTACCACTACCCCAGTAAAACCATCATAAATTCCATAAACGAATTCCTCGCCAGCGGCTTTGAGTCCTGACTTCATACCGGTAATACGTGTTGGCCTAACAAAGTTAGCTTTCATAGCTCAATCACACTAAAGAAGAGTTTAGCTTACCTTCTGACCGTAGTATCTCCATAAAGTCGAGGAGCATTATGAAATCCTTGGGCGACTGCCAGAGTGAGATCCATAGGTAAACGAGCAACTGCTTCTCCAGTCCGACCCAAACCACCGCCAACATCTCTAGCATATTCCTCGGCGGGATTATCTTCAGGTGCAGTTGCGATCGATGCTTTGTCAAAGTAATCCTCCGCGGAATCACCATTGGCGGCACGGTGTGCAGGTATTGGCTCCCCAGATGGCGTATGTTTTCCCATTCCTAGAATAGGAGTTTTCGGGCCTGGGGCGACAGTAGCCATGTGCTCAGCAGCGACTCGTTCATTAATGGTTTGTTGGGCTGGAGATACTACCGGGTGATCATTTTCACCCGCCCCATTGACTGTTGATTCCTTTGGCTGGCCGTTGCCGGTAACTCCGTTACTTGATGGACTCCTAACACTGTTTGACTTTGATTTTTCTATCCCATTCTTTCGTAGTGACTTGTGCACACTGCTCTTGGCTTGAGCTTCCTGTGACTTTCTTTGCCGCCGCTCTTCTTTTTCAGTCCGACGTTTGGTGGTCTTCCTAAGCCTGAAAGGAATGCTTCCAATACCAGAAGCAATTCCAGTAACGGTTCCCATTATGGCAGTCGCACCACCTGTCAACGGCTCACCAGGCCCTTCAAAGTCATTCCACTCGTTGTGACGGATGAGCCGAAGTTGTTTCCAGGATATTCTCTTCTTCTGGACTAGAAGCTCTGCGGCCAGTGCACTAAGCCGAAGACGGGTGTCTTTGAGGATCCATACGGCAACTCTATCTTCTAAGACTGAGCAGCGCATCGAATGCTCTCCTCTCAGAACCAAGCTTCTATGAAATGAAGTGACCGCGTTTTTGGCACCATCTCCCTCGGCTTCAATATTCTTTGCAATCACCATAGCCTCCTCCTTCGCCTTGTCAGTAAGACACTGTTTAATACCTTCAGCCAGTTTATCTGCAGTCAAGCTCTTGTAAGGTACTGGCTCTGCACCAGCTCCAGCTTTTCCAATCATTGAACCCCAGAACTGCTGATCGCCGAAGAAAGGAACAACCATTGTTGGTTTGCCACACTTCAGTCCAATGGCAGTCGTACCCGCACCACCGTGGTGTACGACGGCTTCGACTTTCGGGAAAAGCCAGTCGTGTGGAGTGTTTTCGAGCATGAAGATGTTATCTGGTGTATTGTTTTCATCACCGAGACCTCCCCACCCCTTCGAAACCAGAGCTCGGACTCCCGCCTTCTCGACAGCCTCGAAAATCATGGCAGTGAACTTGTCAGGATCGTCAACAACAATAGATCCAAAGCCAATGTATACTGGTGGTGGTCCGGCATCCAGAAATTTTACCAATTCCTCAGGAGGTTTGAACGAAGAAGCGAGATCCAAAAACACGAAACCTGCAATATCAATCTCAGGTCCCCAATCAGCCGGCTTAGGTATCAAGCCAGGTGACCAAAGGTATGTGTAAGGAACTTTCATCCGGTATAGTTGACCTGGAGCCCACAGGGTAGAGACGGGCTCGAGGCCTAACGTCTTGACCCGGAAGTTATTAATCAGATCACCGAGACTGTAGAGATCAGTATACTGCTAAAAAGACGGAGACAAAACACTCACCCCTGCCATGTCATCATCTCCACCAATGGATACGACATAAAATTCGCATATCCAGGATCAACATTCGTCTTTTTGATATTCGCTAAAGGATGAGGAAACGATTGTGTAGGGGTATATGGAAACGTAAACATAAGATGCAAAGGAATACCAAGTCTTTCAGCGCAATGTATGTGAGCAAAAGAGGGTGGGTTGGCGATAATAGCATCCGCCACAAATGGGTTCTTCTCTCCCATCATTTTCAAGTTAGAAACATCTTTCTCATCATCAGTAGCATTAATGCAAGCACGCCAAAAGCCTTCGAACATTTCCGCCATTTGACTTCGTCGCCTCCCGACTTCGCCCTTTTTGAGCGTGTCCATGGTCGGGATCATACCAGGATTTTTTACCATGAATGCCATCAATTCAGCAGGGTCGCCACCAACCGAAAAGAATTCAAGGCCTGAATCTTTCTCCACAAAGTCTTTGAAAGCTGGATGTGTGGCGATTCTGACTCTGTGCCCATACTCCTGGAGATTCTTGCCCAACTTGAGGAATGGTTGAATATCTCCACGACTACCAATGACCATGACCACGATGTTGAGTGTTGGCCGCGGTAAATCAGATGTAATTGTCGTACCTGAAGACGATCTTGAAAATCCCGGTTTGTCGCCTTTGCTTGTCTCCTGCTTCGTCTCCGGCTTCAGGTCTTTCATAAAGGTCGCACCCAGAGCTTTCGCCAAGTATCCTGTGTTACTTGTTTCATTGACACTGATATTCAACCTTCCATCTTTCTTCGACACTCTACCTTTCGTGTTGAAATCGTCATTGCCCACGTTAAATCTATTGTATTCTCCACTATCGCGGCTTTCTCGATTCTTCTGCTGATGCCCACGGCGATGCGGTCGAGCTCTCGAGTGTTTCTTTGGTGGCGAGGTTCCTTGCTGGTCGTTTTCGTCTGACGATGACTCGGAAGAAGAGGTGTCATCGCCGCGAGAAGCGCTCAGGATAGCGGTGTTTAGAGCAGAGGTGTTTGTTCCCATGCGCGCCATTCGTGCTGGCAGTACAGAGTATCTCGCTGTAACTTGTGGTCTCTCCGTCTGCCAAGTCCGTGGCAGGTTTGGACGCGGTCCTTCCTCAGAAGTCGATCGCGTTTCCTCTGGGATCATCGTGTTCGCGAGAGGACGGTTTGAAGGGCTGGCGAGTGTCTGTTCTGCCGTAGGATCGCTCGCCCCTCGAGAGGCAGCTGCGGCGGTCATGATGGCGTGAAGTGGGTGGGTGTCCTGCTAGATAGTGTTCACAGCATAACGATTGTAATATGATTTGAAAGATTGCTCTATGGTACACGAGATGGGCAAACGGAATGATTGTGTTGGTACAGGTGCTGGACCAGAATAGACACGAGTAAATGCCCAAATCAGTCGTAGTTAAATGGTGGCCACAAAGTCTGTTGCGATGGTAGCGGACGAAGAAAGAAGCTAAGAGGAGTGGTGTGGTCAACATGCAATTGTAATTTCGATGGCGGCCACGGTCCAAAGCACCACTCAGACTTCTGCATCACTTGGCTCCCGTTGGCGATGGCTCGATGACGTCGGAAGGCCGATTCGAATCGAGAACGGGCCGGGGTCGGCAAGCCGGTTAGCAGGCCAATCGCGATTTTGTTCCGCTGTATTTAGTGCCCGTACGCCAATAGGAACCTTATTCAGAACACGCAGGACGCCCATTCAGGTTCTCAACCCTCCCACCACAGGGATCACCCGCCAGCTGTTGCAGGTCAGCTTCCAGATTCAGGGCAACAACCCACTAAAACTGAATGAGCTGGACGCACAGGGCAATAATCAGGGAAAAGTGATTCAGGGTACAAGAGTATGAAATCTCCCGAAACTTGTAAATGAGTTATCTCGCAGACACCTGAAATGGTCATACTGGACAACTCTACAACTTCACAACATTATCGACACTTCTGACTATCAGCTGCTGGAAAAAACTAACACGGCTCGACCTATATAGTTCGGTTGCTCGGGTACCAGCCGTCAAATGGTTGGTGGCAAACGCAGCAGAATACCAAGTGCCGAGTATGCAGCCAACCTTGCCTGATTCATACAGTGACCCTCATAGGGCAGAAATGAGCTACAAACATTTGCTCCGTACCAATAGGTGGTGATACCAATCAACAAAAACATCAACTCCAGCATTTCCGTCACTCACTCGATGCCCATGTGTTGCCAACTCGCTTAGCATTGCAGTATCAGCCCAGGAGACAACTCTACCAGCAAGCGACTGATGCTATGCACGATACGTGATACTTGATTTCACCGGATGTTGAGTCTCCAATCTTCCCTCTCCGGTGTGTCGTTGAGCACTCTTTCATCGGTGGTCCCAGCATCTCCAATACCCCACAATCTAGTCTCGGCGTTGTCAAATCTCACCCCTTCCAGCCAACTTCGCTCATCGTCGCCATTCTCGCGACCCCCGTAGAGGCCCTGAAAACCTCGTCCGGTCATGCCATCTGGGGAGCCTGAACGTCTAACACCAGTTCTTCGAGACGGCGTTGCAAATATGCCAGCCCGTTGCTCTGAAGTCCCGCTTCCCGCTCCATCGTGGTTTCCAGACAACCCTCCCAATCGGCCACGCCAGCTGGCAATCCGGTTGGTAGGCTCTGTCCAAAATGGATGGAACCGAGATCGGTGACGAGACTCGGGCAGGTGGGCCGGCGTTTGAGGCTGGGTACTTGGTGAAAGACCATCATTGTACACTCGATAATCTCGTGGCGTACCATGTGAGTCGATTCTAGGAGTTGGAGAGGCTGATAAGGGCGAAGAATGCTGGAATGGGGAAGGGGTTCGGCTTCCGAGGCTTCTCAACGGCGAATGAGCTCTATAAGTTGAAACTACACGAGCTATCAATTGGCCGGTGCTGCTTATACGACTGGACTGTAACACATTAATCATCGTTGTATTTCAACACAGGAAGGTCACCTACTGGTGAGGATCCCCGTGTTGCCAATATCTGAGGGCTGTCATTACGGTCAAGTTGGCTGGAACCTCGAATCACCAATTGTTGCTCCACGCTGTGGTCTGGCGAGGAAGAGGGCATGTCCGCTGGACTAGCTCCAAGACTTGGGCGTCCATAACTCCCTGGTAATGCTTCCGAGTTTGAAGCACTTCTTCGAGCTGACGAAAACGGAGGAGGTAGAGGTAGGTTCGGTGAGGACCTTGTTTCTGGGGAGTCGTCGTCAATTTCTTCTTCGTCGCTTTCTGTGAGTCGCGGTGAAGAGAAGATGATTTCTCTATTGCGCCGGCTAACATGATGTTTAATGCCTTCTTGAGAATGCGGAATGATGACAGCCCTAACAGATGAAGTGACCGGGTTGCGCTGGGTACTTTCTCGTGGCTCCTCTTGTGCACCCAGAGTATCTTCTCTGATAGATATTGTTGCAGAGCTGCGCAAAGAGCTGTCTCTCAGTTCTTCATGTAAGCTCACTGTATCATCTGGCCGTGGTGTGGTCTCGTCCATGGACCCAGAAGACGCACGTTGCTGCTCATACGCGGCACTCGATCTCTCCGAGTCATCAAATGAGAAACTGTTCGTTTGATGCCGAAACCTAGGAGATATCCGTGGCGGTCTTCGTGGAGGAACTGAGAAAATTATGCCTGGGCTGTTGTGCGAAGCGACTCGAGAAACTACCCGTGGAGTAAGTGCGGTGATAGGACGAGGCTCAGGGGACATTGAAATATTCTGAGATAGATACAGTGGTGATCGAGGTAGTGGCGGCTTGGGCCTTGTGCTTCTAATATCCATAGGATGGAGGTGTTGAGGAGTTGAGAAATCGTCCGGACCTGAGCAGTTAGCTTGATTTAAACGGAGAGTATGAAAACCCACCAAAAGATGATGATGTTGCGGAGTTGTTATTTTGGCTGGGACTCTCCGTAAATCCCCCATAATGAAAATCGTCCTCTTTCTCTGGGGAATTGGTCGCTGGTAGTCGAGAGTCGGTTCGGTTTGATTGAAGACAAGACCTCTGTTCGTGCTCGTCATCAGCTGAATCAGTCGACGACTCATTATCATTGAAATGTGGGTGTGGTTCTGACGATTCAGAGCACTCTGCACGCTCGAGAACCGTTGCAATGCTTGCTTGTCTGGGTGGACTGTTAAGGTTGCTAGATATGCTCGGCTGTCGAGTTTTCCATTCATTCCTTCTGACAGGAGTCGAAGTGGCATGGGTCTGCCGGCGGTTTTGAGGCCTGAAGTTGCGTAAGTCCTCACTATGAGGGTCGACGGTCAGTGACTCTAGAAGTGCAAGCTGTGCTTCTACTCTCCGTTGACTCTCGCGTTGTAAGAAGTCTCGCACATCGCTTTCCCCAAGTACGATTGCGGTAGGCGAGAGGCGAATCATGGTGTTGCAGCCGACTACTAACAAGAACCAAAGAAATTATTGGCAGTGTCAATTTTGAGATGGTGGTTGAAAGCGCCATAGGTTTGATCAGAAGGAGTGCTGAAGTGATTAGCTTCTCTCGACTGTCAATGTGACCATTTTGGCAGGCGCGACCATGAGCTTAAATAGCAACACAAAACATGTATGCCATGTCCTTTGCCTACCTAGGTATACTTCTTCGCACTGCAAAAACATTCAAGATAAAATATTGGACGAATTGGAACCTAGCAGCACTTGCCATGATTGCTCGGTTGCAGGTTGATCTTTCAAAAGACTTGATCAACTCAACCAAAAAAAAACCTTCCTGTGAACTCATTTCTGGCTCTAGAAAGCATTGAAAATGCTTTGATAACACGTCATAATTTTTGGAAGATTGAGTACAGTATAGCCGTCGTCACTGGGCAATAGAGCAGGCTATGCTGACTTTGAAACGAATTGGAACGTGAATGAACCTGTACTATTATTAAATAAAGAAGTACAAAGAACGACCCTAAGGGAAGAATGCACAAATATTAACCTGGCAAAGCCCTCTTGTCAGTTCTAGGCTCTCGCTTTCAGCCATACCAGACCTCTGGACATTACGGTCCTTACTAGAAGGCCGTACGACTCTTTCAACGAATCCGAGGTTAAGTCAAAATATCCTCTTTTGTGTGGATTTTGTGGACTCATTAAATTGGAGTCCACCTAGGGTTTCAGGAAGTCTTCTAGTTAGGTTCGCTTAGAACATATATAGAAATTTTAATTCACCTGTTTTCGTCAGCTCTAAAGGTCAATAATAATCAGTAGTGAATCTTAAATGAGGCTTACGCGTGTAGATATTATATAAAGCCTAGGTGCCGTGAATGAATAGAGACATGTAGAAGCAGAGCGTATCATAACGGCCCCAGTCGAAGAATTATTCCTTCTCCATCCAAACGAAAGCAAAAGGGATGAGATGAGACTTGTTTATCTTGAAATTGTAAGTCAATTTTGCCAGTAATTAGCTGACCTCTCAACGGTCCCAGGTTAGACAACAGATCCCTGCAAGCTAGATCTAGATCTCTGATCGATAGATCTCGTGGAGCCCGACAATTCATTTCCTGGTCGGATCATAACACATGATGCATTGGTGCATATGTAGAGTCAATATCTGAGCAATTTCGACCGAGCCAACGGAATTCGCTCGTCAACACGTCTTTAAATGATGTTTACCAACACTTACGCATATTGGCATATTGGAAGACCAAGCCAATCACAACCGCTTCAATAGCGTCTCCACAACCAATCTTACCCGCGTCGTCGCCTCTACGCCAACGCAGCCGTGTCTAATAAACTCTATCAAATACGTGCATTGGCTTGTCTCCCACAACCAAACTCCTGACTCGGCGGTCCTGGATTAAGATTCGCTCTCACCGCGCTCTGCACCCAACCCAGTTCGCAGCGCTGCAGCCCTGTACACCCGCTTCCCAGAGAGTTCAGAATAGTTGCCTTCAGGGCCCCCGGACCCTGTCGTCGACCCCAAAGAAGCACCAGATCCTCTCCTCTTGGGCACGTTTGGCAGTGCCATGTCCGACGCTTCCAGCCTGCAATCCGAACGCAAGACTAAGTCTCGAGACTACTGAGCAGTTGCGCTGTCTTGTGCTCTGCTGCCGTACCAATTACGCAGCCTGCAGTGTGCAGTGTGCAGTCCCTCCAGCCACTGCGCAACGACGCAATGGACCACGACCTGAGTCTCTCCCAATCGCTGGGTGGCCTGCGCATAGCAAACCCAGATAACACTGCTGCTGGCTCCCATCAACCAGTTCCGGTCGATGCCAGACTTGCTGGTCCTCCTGTCTCATACACGGGCACCGCAGAAACACTTCCTCATAATTCTACTCGGCGGCCGTCTCCATCACAATCACCGCCGCTCCCGATCTCCAGAGACAGCCGAGCATCTACCGACCCCCAGCTGTCACACTCACAAGCGCAATCTCGCAGACATTCAATCTTCAATCGCCTCCGACGTGGTGAGTCTGGTCCCGACTCTGCGACCGTCCCTTCACGAACTCCACCGCCGTCCGAACGCAAAGCACCACGAGCCGACTCGAACGGTGGCTTGTCTCCCAAGACCTCCAACGACCCTCTAGCACGAGCAGCAGCAGCAAAGGCATACCGTCAGTCGATGCCCTTCAACCACCAAGCTCAACAACAAGCACTCTACCCCCCTTACCAATCGAATGCGATGCAGACCGGCAACAGAGGATATCCCCCTCCGGGCAACAATCGGCCGGTGTCTGGCGTCTATTCTGCTCAACCACCCCCAGGAGCCATTCCATCGCGAGAGCACGGCTCATATCGACTTCGACACGAGCCATCAGACCCATCGATGTCGGGACAGTCTGGAATGCCGGTGAGGAGTGCTTCGCGGAGCACTGCAGTTGCAATGCAAGCTGGTGTGCCATCGCGAGAAGGCAGTCATAGGGATCGAGCGTACGGACAAAGTAATCAGATGCCAGGAGGGAACGGACCTATGCCCCCGAGAAGAAGTTCAAGAGGAATGGGTGGTGGAAATATAGACCAACCAGCTTCGGGGCCCTCGAACGGTGGCCCGGCTCCGTTATACGATGCAGAAGGGAACCCATTACCAAACACGACCGAAGACTGGAAAGATCGAGGTGCGGCAGTGGGCGTAAGGGAGGAGTATGATGCGAATGGGAAACTGGTCCTGAAGCAGGTGAAGAAAGGAGTGAAAGATTTTGCATTTGGTCGGACGTTGGGCGAAGGTTCATACAGTACAGTACTACTGGCGACGGATAGACAGACATTGAAGGAGTATGCGGTCAAGGTTTTAGACAAGAAGCACATAATCAAGGAGAAGAAGATCAAGTACGTCAATATTGAGAAGGACGCTCTAAACCGACTGATCGAGCATCCTGGTATCGTTCGATTATACTACACCTTCCAGGACAACTCATCGCTTTACTACGTTTTGGATATCGCGAATGGTGGAGAGCTGTTAGGTGTCCTGAAGAAGATCGGCTCTTTTGACGAAGAGTGTACGCGATTCTACGGCGCTCAGATTCTCGATGCGATAGAGCACATGCATAATAGAGGAGTGATACACCGAGATCTCAAGCCCGAGAATGCGTTGATGGACGATCAAATGCACATCAAAATTACCGACTTTGGGACAGCGAAACTACTCCCAGACCCCAGAAAGCCGAAAGACCAAACGGGGTACGATCCTTCTGGAGCAACCGATGAAGAGTCGACCAGAGCAAAATCTTTTGTAGGAACGGCCGAGTACGTCAGCCCCGAGCTTTTGACGGACAAAAATGCTTGCAAAGCAAGTGATTTGTGGGCCTTTGGCTGTATAATATACCAGCTACTAGCTGGACGACCGCCGTTTAAAGCTGGAAATGAATACCAGACTTTCCAGAAAATTGTTGGTCTCGAATACGAGTTCCCACCTGGCTTTCCACCCGCGGCGAGAGATCTGGTAGAGAGGCTCTTGGTCCTCGATCCACAAAGACGACTATCAATTGAGCACATTAAGAATCATGAATTTTTTGAGGGTATCAAATGGGGTCGCGGCCTTTGGCGACAAAAGGCTCCTAGACTCAAGCCCTATGTACCACCAACTCAGGAGCCTTCTTTGATAAAATTGAACGGTTATTCTGGTACGCCACCTCAGCAGATTCCATCAGCCAGAGGCCCGCTTCCAGCAACCACTTCTAACGGGAACACTCGACCACAACCAAGAGTCATCACAGAACTACCTCCACCAACCCAATTGGATATCGAGTGGTCGCCTGTTCTCACACGTAATAACGAGCGCATTCTAAAGCTGGGTAACCTGAATGTATTAAACGCTCCAGCTGCCCATAGTCCAAACTCGAAACATGGCGACCATGGAGAGGCACAAGAAAAGAAAGGCTTTGCCCGATTTTTTGGCGGAAGTACCACGAAGAAGAGACAAAGACTGGTGATGATAACATCCAGTGGTCGGATTCTCATGCTCGCGTCTGGGGGCGATGAGAAAAAGACCAAGTCTGAGATATCACTTCTTGCATCAGAGTGTTCTTGGAGAACGCAGATAGATGCCAAAGGACAGGAAGTGTGGTGTGTTGATACTGTAAGCGTTGGAGGCCTAACCAGAATTGTTCGGAAGCTAATTGGGAATAGCGAGGGACACACTATACTTTTGAGGATTGTAAATCATCAGTTCCGGCAAACGATTCTACGAAGACCACCGCCCGAGAATGGATCGAGTCACTTGAAAAAGCAAAGGATATGGCACTCTCACAAAACATGAGTGGGTCTTACGCCAGTGAAAACGGATTTGACATGCCTTCGTCTCTTTCAAGCCCTACTAGCACAATCCATGCGGGAAGCAGCGTCTATGGCGAAGGATTCGGGGTTTCAGACCGTTCCGGTCGTAATCATCTATCCAAAAGTCAAGCTAGCCTGGGCGGATTCGGGGATGAGCAAAGCGAGAAATCAAGCAAATCGAGACACCGATTCAGTAAACGACAATCTAAAAATGGTCTATCGACACCATTCTAATTCAGATGCTTTGGCACCGTAACATTCAGAACACGTTCAAATGGAACGTAAAAGAGGGAGCACATATTACATTTATTGGGCGATGCATTTGATAGCGTGGCGTCGGGTCGGATTTTCTTCACTTCTTGCATGCCATACCTGCCCTTTTTTTTTTCTAACGATTTATGTGTGTTGTGTCCCTCCTTTCCAAAGGAAAGCTATTTGCAAGACCAAGGGAAATGGTCAGGGAGAGAGATATCTGCGTTAAGCATCTGTTTAGTTGGCTTTTTGTTCTTGTTTTCGGGCTGCATACCAGAAAGAGTTTTGGCCTAGAGTCTTCATGGGGGGTGCTGATATGTTCATTTTGGGGATTGGAGACGACAGCTCTCGTATCATAATGGCCGACCCACGTCGTTTGCTTTCTGCCTTCTTATTTGTAGAAGATGAATATTGTGGTGGGATTGGTTTGAAAGAATAATGGTTCTCATGTATATTACAAATGTTACGTGGAGAAAATAATATCGGTGTTGATGGGGTTTCAGGTCTTGGTAGCACCGACATATTGTTAGCATGTGGATATCGGATCACCCGGCAGGTATCATTTGAGTTCTTGACCATTTTCTTAACTTTCCCGAGCTTTTGCCAAGTGGCACTGTTTCTCTTAATGCTTGAACCGCTCTCTTGGATAAAATGCCGACATGCAACGAAATCCTTCGCCAAGTGGCGATCATCCAAAGTTTCTTTACGTCTAGCTACCTTTTTTTGTCAAAACAAGCACAGTTTGAGCGCGGAAGTAGAGATGCCATTGTAGGATCATTACTCTATTTAAGCCCGACCCAGGCATCTGCTGGAACGGACATGGAAGCACAACGGTACTGGCTAAATGGAAATCTCGATTGGCTAATCACCTTCCCGTGGATGAAGTCTACGACGCCTTGCCCCATTCGATACCGTACTTGACCTTCCCCCATATCGTCGTACAATTTTCCTTGCTTGTCCTTCTTGAATTCCAAATCGGATTCTGGTTACATGTGCTGCATGTCCCAAGAGATGTAGCAATCCCCGCGTTTCGCTTGAGATAAACATCTCACTGCAGGATTTCCGTTGTTTGACATGGCATTGCAGAGGACATGCATCTGCTGATCGATCATGGAGGTGATGAGATGCAGGCATATTTGCAGTTTGCTAGGGGTCGTGAAATAAAAGGGCGGCGTTTACCGCCTTTCTGGAGAATCAATTGAAAATTCGTTGCTGTATCAATATGCTTTTCTGCTAGTCTTCTGTCGTTCTTAGTGGACTTTCATTCTGGAAAGTGTGTTGATTTTAAGCATGTATTCCTCAATTTGGAATTTGGTAGCCTTTCTGGTTTTCACAATCATACCCCGTATTTTAGCAGCCCCCACAGACATCAATCATGCGACAATCTTGTCAAGAGAAGACCAAATTCAAGAATCATACGACTACATCATCGTTGGTGGTGGAACAGCAGGCTTGACAATAGCAGATCGATTAACCGAAGACGGAAGATGTAAGTTCCAAACAACATAATCCCTTCTTCAAGAAAATCAAAGCTCAACTTTATACTTCAGATACCGTACTAGTCATCGAATACGGATACCTCACATCCCAGTCCATCATCGTCGCTGGCAATGGGCGTGATTTCAATGACCCCGGAATCAGATATAATATCACTAGTACCAAACAGCCGGGCATGAATAACAAGACGCAAGCTGTGGTTATTGGTTGTTGCGTTGGTGGGAGCAGTGCTATTAATGGTATGATTGTGATTCGTGGAACGAGGACTGAGTATGATGGGTGGAAGGAGCTAGGTAGTGAGGGGAGTAGTTGGGATTGGGATGGGGTTATTCCGTATTTTCGTAAAGTGAGTGAGTTCTCATTGAGTGACGGGTTGGGGAAAAAAAGAAAATCGGGTCGGAATCTGGTGGAAGTGTAAAAGCTGGTCACTAAGCAGTGCCCCACATCCATCTTTTACGTATCTTCGCAAGTGACAAGAGGCTCTTTCCAGGAATTTCTCAGCGTTGTCTGAGCATTTGCTTCCAACCCCTTTTGCTAACTTTGGTGTAGGCGCTTCACTTCAACCCACCAAGTCCCGAATTAGCCCAGTCCTTCAATATTACTTGGGATCCATCAGGTTGGGGGAAGGGAATCATTCTATGATTCAAGCCAGCTTTCCTACTTATCAAAATCCTGTCATGAGTAAGTTTCACTCTTTCACATTATCTTCTGGCTTCAAGAGCAAGAGTATGCAAAGCGTCTGGAAAGGGAAGAATGAGGACTTTGAATAACGATCTATACCAGTACCCACACGTAAAGCTATGGCTAAAATGCCAAATATGGATGAACCTGTAGATGGCGCTAACGGCGAAAATGGTCTTTTCTGGCATCCTTCTTCATTCAATCCTGTCAATTTCTATCGCTCTTTTGCTAGAACCCAACATTATGATTCTATTTCGCGGCCCAATTATCAAGTCATTACCGGACAAAAAGTTAACAAGATTTTATTTGCATCCAACACTACTCGTGCAACTGGCGTACAATTCACATCCAGAAATCCAGGGTCGAAGCCACTGGCTGTAAAAGCGAGCAAGGAAATAATTATTAGTGCGGGTACCATACATACGCCACAAGTCTTGCAGATGAGTGGTATTGGACCAAGGGACTTATTGGAGAAGGCGGGAATTGAAGTGAAAGTGGAACTACCGGGTGTCGGCGCTAATTTTCAAGATCATGCTTGGCTTAATGTTGGGTATATCTGTAAGCTTTGAGTGAGCTGAGAAGATGAATGAACGCTAATAGGGATTAGGGAGCAATGGTACTCCTGCTGTACCAAGCGATATTCGCGGGCAAGGCGATCCTAAGACTGGATACGCCCCGTAAGTTACTTTAGCTCAAATTATGAGAAGGCAACTGATTAAGCGATGTAGAAATCTTGGAGCCTGGATAGGAATGCCAACAGTCTCACCTGATGGTTACGAGGATTTAGCAGCACGATATGAAGCACAAGATCCTGCAGCATATATGCCGCCTAACACACATCCAGATGTAAGGAATGACCAGCTATATTGACTCCCATACATTCTTACGAAAGTCTCTAGGTAATAGCAGGCTACGCAGCCTTCCAAAAGTTCCACGCCAATCTCATGCGCAAGAAAAATGCAAACTTCCTGTGGCTTCCTCTAAAAGGCGATGCGTCTTCCTCTCTCCTTTCCATGCACGTCCTCTCTCACGGAAGCATTAACATCAACCCTCTATCTCCAAGTTCCGAGCCCATCGTCGACTACCGCGCCCTCACCAACCCAATAGACATCGACATCATGGTAGAAAACATCGAGTTTCTCCGCCGCTACATGTCGCTCCCGGATTTCGCGACTTCGAAACCCGTGGAAACCAATCCAGGGGCCAACATAAAGGGTGAAGCGCTCCGAGAGTGGATCAGGCGGAATTGGATACCGACGACTTTCCATCCTACGGGTACGGCTGCGAAGATTCCAAGGGATAGGGGTGGGGTTGTTGATGAGGATTTGCTGGTGTATGGGACGGAAGGGTTGAGTGTTGCGGATGCGAGTATAATGCCACTTCCACCGGGGGCGAATACGCAGAGTACGGTTTATATGATTGCTGAGAAGGTGAGAGAGTTTGGGTGAGGTTGTGAGAGTTGTGTGCTGACTTGAGATAGGCTGCTGATATGCTCAAAGCTCGGCAGTGACCAATTGACTAGGCTCAGGGAGGTCTCCCCGGTACCATGATGACATTACATACATGAAATTGAATATGGCCGTTTAGTCGCTGTTTGAAAGGACAGGTGCCGTAGAAATTCCACAGAACAGATGAAAAATAGTCGCCTTCCCCGTTCATAGCAGAATATAGCAGCTTCGGTTGAGAGCCAATAAGTATACAAAGCAGAGCCGTCTTATCGCCAATTTCTGCGTTCGTACCAGTCAGCTGGGTGTGTGAGTACTACGGTGTCGCATCGCCTTTGCGAGGTTGATAATTCGGAAGATTCGTTCAGCTCGTTCCTTCCGTTTTCACCAGTCTCGTAACCCCTCCACACCAAGCTTGTTCTCGAATTCCACCTTCTTCTGTTGTCTGCCTTCACCTTTTCTAGTTTGTCAAGATGTACATTTAGGTCTCACCGCGTCAGAATAGCAGAACCTATAGGGAACTAGAAATCATCGTCGACCCATGGTCCACATTCAAAACGGACAAAGTATTTCGGCGTGTTTTCGGCGTGTTTTCGGCGTGTTTTCGGCGTGTCCAGTCGTTGCTGCGCATCATGGTAATAGAGATTGGTCAATAGATACGTGCTAACAACAATATCAGTAACCATTCTACGGGATTAATGAAGCAAGCTAAAACTCGAAAATGTCGTAGGTGATAACGAGAAGACAAAGTAGGACATACCGAGGTTGGCTACTTGACATGAGTTTCAAGGATTCTTTCAATTCTCTGACGTCAAGTTCATGACCATACTCCGAAGACAACTGATAAGTCGTTATCATCATCTTGCGCTTCACATTGGTCGGTCGACAGAAACAAACTCGAAAACTACTAACATCGAGACGTCCCAGAAGAGGTGCTGCGGGACATTCCACACTAAATTATCAGAAATCTCCACTTGAGACCAATTCAGCACGATTGTGTTGGTACATGGAATAAGACCGGCATTGGTACCTCGTTCTAGGAGTGCTGTGTTGCGCCTCTTGCAGCAGGCACCTCAGGCCCCGCAAGTCCATCAAGCTCTGCCATGTGTCGTTCATCCCAACCGACGAGTTCATGGCGGTTGTCATTCGCGGAACCGGTTTCCAATTGTTGTCGATTTACTTCATCGGCACTAACTTCATATATTGGCTGACGTTCTTGTTGAGCTACCTCGGAATCAGCAGCCAACTCTGCTTTCCCAGTGTACTCCACGTTGGTTGTCTTTCGCTTCCGGCGTATTCTGTATAGGAAGAAAGCAGCAACCGCAAGCATTAACATGCCCAATACAACACCTACCCCAATACCCGCTTTTGCGCCAGTCGATAATCCCGAGTCCGATGGTTCTGGTGGTGGAGTAGTGGTTGGAGAACTCGCTGAGCCGGAACCCGTTAAAGAAGCGGCGGGATTATCAGTGGGTGTGACTGGACCCGAGTTTGTTACAGTGATGGTTGCAGGAGTGGCGTTGGAGGAAGTTGAGGAAGACCTGGAGCTAGAAGTTCCTGAGGATGTTCCTGGCGAAGTACTCGACGAAGTCTTGGGAACCGAAACTAATTAGTGTTAGAACCCAAACCGGATTATAATATCTACTTATGTAGAGTAACGTGTATATCAGTCATTCAAAGCAAAGTCTACACTGACGTACCAGCTATTCTCGACGGCTCCAAAACTGCTTGGTTTGGTATACTCGTGCATGATTGTTGAGCATCCAGATTATTTGATTGTTGTTCTATACATTGTCCCGAAATGAACGCATTGACAAATGCCGGCAAAGTCCCTTTGTAAATCGAGAGGTCGGGCACTATACCATCAGGATCGCTCCTGCAAATACATTCACATGTGATGACAGTCGGCTGAGGTGTAGAGTTAGCTTTTGAAATTCTGTTAGGACAAGTCGTATACATACAGTACAGCTATTTGCCTTTGCATTACTGCCACAGAGAGTTGAACAAGCTAGAATTTCACTGGAGCACCAAGCGCCTGCTGACATTAGTCTTTTTCCACTGAAGAGAACGGCGTTCTACTCACGTCTGGTTGCTGAATCAACAGAATTGGGATCTAAAATTAGCGAACCGTTGTAAGTACCGAGAGGGGTTGTTGAGGAACTCATTTTCGATCAATTCCAAAGTGTCGAAATTCAGGAGAAGAGGGCGTTATGAGGCTGAAGTACTGTTTTATCAGGCGGCGCAGCGACAAAATTGGCATTTCGCATAGCCTGGAGATCGTTTGATTGGCCTTTCACCACGAGGGGAACCTGAATTGACATAAATTTCGCAGTGTTACAGATCCTGCCGATCTTTCTTGTTCTATAAGCTTGTTTTGTGTGGCTGCACTTTTTGATTCTATTTGGGTAGAATAGGCGATCTGCCAACTGTCTTAATTAATTTATAGCTAGAAATATCTCGATGAGTACGTTTTCGTAATTATGATGTCTTGAATTGATTCTTAAAAAGTCTTTTTACTTAAGTTGTGCACAACAAAATTCTTCATATTTTGTTAACTTGGCTCACGAAGTATTCGATGGTGATAAGTATCGCGCTTCGTACACTGTCCAAATTTGTCTTATTTCCTCAAACTCATAGACAGAATAATCCGTATTTCGCAGAAGTGATAGGCCAAATAACTGTCAACGTGATGAAAATATTCGGTTTCAAGTTCTCACTGATGCTCTCGTCGCTATCTCCTGTTAGAGTCGGGTTTGGCACTCATTCGGCGCCATTCGTTGTCACGAAAGTTATCGTCCAAATTTTCCTTTTATTTCAGAGACAATAACTTGAATGTTGCATATGCTTCTGTGGCACTGTTGTCTAGCAAGTTGCGGACTCACTACTATTGCTTTCCTATGGTCCCTGTGCTCTTTCTACGTAAGAGTAAGCCAATTTCGTTGTATACTTTAGTGATTTCGAAAAGCATTTCTCAGATACCTTGAACTAACACATCGATTTGCACGTGCGCCTATTTTCGACTTCGCTATAAGGACCAATTCCTTTCTTCTCCACCTTATTAGGCTCCTAATTTTGTCTTCCCTATTCCCATGGCCGAAATGCCTGAAAAAGGCCATGGGTGTAGAGTCCTAAGTGAGAAAGAGCCTATCGAGGGGCTTCTATTGCGATGGAGAACGTAATTGGCAGTAAGCTAGTACGATAGACGAATTACTCAGATGAAAAGAGAATAAAATCGTCGCATTTACTTAAAGATCGTAGACGGAAAACACGATATTTTGTCAACTTTCTTGAACAACCACCGGGTTTTGACTGTCGACTGCCGCTTATGTTACCTACAGCGAGCTAACTTTTGTAATGAAAGCTACCTAGAAGGATGCATCTCCTCTAGACAAGTTGAGTGAAATGGGTTATGTTATGTCCGAGTCCCGACGTGCGGAGCAAAGACAAGAGGCGGTTAGGGCGATTTCACATATGTCTAAAAGAAATTTTAGAATTCGATTAGTCCTTCTAAACCCCGGGGAAAACTTTGTAACTCATGTTGCCGTGAGATAAATCAATCATGATTAACGTTAGAACTTTACTAACTTTTCCGGCTTCTTAAGTTTCGAAAAATATATTTCTCATTTCACGAGACCAGGACAAGTCAAAAGCGTTACGGAAGACTAAATTTGTGACTTCCAAACACACTTTCTAGGTCTAGCTATAAAATTACTACAAGATCGACCATCTCCGTACGATACCAAAATATTGACATGGTGAGAAATTATAAAACCAAAAAATATCTGCTTCAATGATGGGGATTGAGCCCAACGCGGGGGTCGAACCCGCAACCTTGAGATCACATGATTCTGCTTTTGAGGCAGTTTCTAAGAGTCTCACGCTCTACCGATTGAGCTAGCCGGGCAGATACACTGTCAGATTGGTTGAATCTGATTCGTTGAAGCACTTCTACGATCTTTAAAATATATCGCATAAAATTTGGGGGTGTGCCGAAGTTTCGCCAATGAGACCCACCTCATACTCCGTATTGTGTGAGCGAGCTACCTCTAATACATAAGAGTCCAAAATTTACTTGTTGATCTACAAATTAGAGAGTATGTGCCAATTAGACGCTTGTGCAAAGCGTTTCTAGTTTCCAGAACCAATAGCCTCACCGTCGGGGTTTAAGTGTGTTTCTGGCCCTGCCTCGCTTAGGTCCTGGTGGTCTTTTTCAAGGGGTTTGAGTAGTTGAGTCACTTCAATCTAGTAGTAGTATGCCAATTGTTTTTGAAATTCCTATAGGTAGTTTCAAAAGGCCTAGCGTTGAACTTAAATATGACTAGATTTCAACTCTTGTATCCAAGTGACGTAAAAGTTTGGGCTTCGGATGCAAGTTCTCTGCGTAGAGCGAGCCGAAGGCCAAGATGAGAAGCAGCTATCTAAACGCTTCGAAACCCGCCTTATACCCCAAATACGAGTAATCTAATTTGGTTAAATTTGCTCTCTAGTGTCAGGTTTTCCCTCCCAGTCCTGCCTTCAGTAACTTTATTTGTCGCCATGTTACTGGATTGATCAAACATTCACAGTGAGGCGATCTTAAAACCCAAATCCACAAGCAAACACCGTGTTTCTAAGAAAAGCTAGAATTGATGACATTGTGTCTGCTTGCTGAGCTGTTCGCCGTCAATTTTAGTCATTACCCATTTTCGTGCTGTGAAGCTACTGAGCGGGAATGACGTTTATAAGTAGCCATGACGCAACGGGAACGATTGTAAGGCTCCCAATACTGTCTACTCTTCAACAAACACCTGTATTGAGAAAGGAGGAATACCTTCATATGTTTTTTTAAAGTGACGAGTAAGGTTGTCCAAAGGAGTGTGGGCACAGAACACCAAAGACCATTCTACACGAATTCGCTTTTCCATGTAAAAGCTTAATGCGTTTTATGTAAAATAACACGGTTGCTCTGAAGAAGTTCTTTTCATTTGAAGCTCTAAGTAAACTGTACCCACTTGAAGTCATTTATGGTGTGGTTCAGTGGTTAATCATTCCTTTTTTAGCTTAAGGTTCACAACTTTGTTTTCGACGATGACTTTAGTAGGTTTGGCGGCGGTGACCATTGACTAGCTGAACAATTATGACGAAAACATAGAACCAAATTTTAAACTACCTCTTTCCGCCCGATCACACGTGATATAGCCTTTTAACTTAGTTCTTTTCCATCGGTATATAATGACAAGTGTCACCCACCATTATCCTTCTCAACTACAATTTTTTACCTGCCACTCTCTCGTCACTTAAATTACATTTACTCTCCCTGAATCTCCGTAATATCCCTCGTATGCTCTCTCCTAGGCTTTCCAATACTACAGACTGATTATTTTACCAGTTGACGAGCGATCCATCATAACGTTACATTGCATTTTCTAAGCACCACCATGGAAAATTCAACTATGGAAAACCAAACAAGTTCGTCTGAGCTAACGATCGAAGAACGCATCGACGATGCTTATGACGCTTTATTTGCTCTCTCCGACATTACTGATGCTAAAGATTTTGAAAGCGACGAGTTGGTCGGCTCGGGATCAGATGAAAGTTGGGAAGATATTCAAGTTCCAAGTCCTGTGCACTCTGTCAGAAAAGAACATAAGAGTGGCGAACCATCTTACAAAGCCATAAAACAAGCTTTGATTCAAGCACGGGCTGAGTTGGAGGAACATAAGAGAGGGGAGAAAAAGCGCGATGAGACGTTAATGGAAATCAGGGGTTACTATGCGATTATAAAAGCGAGATATCTGGCTCTGGAGCAGGAAAAGGAAGATAGTCAAAACGCCCAACTCACTCCGCTATCAACACCCAACGATGAAGAAAACATGATCGAGACCCTGCAGAAGAAATTAGTCGAGCAAAACGGGAAACTAATTGTCGCCGAATCAAATGCTCGATGTGAGGCAAGGGAGGCAAAACGTCAGGCCAAAGTGAACGCGAAGCGTTGGGATAATGCTTCCAAGCAATATCAAGCTCTTGCAGCAGAAAACGTGGCTTTGCAGCTGGCCAATTCGATCCAGAAAGATACCGTTTCGGAGTTGCAGAAGAAATTGCAAGATCTCACTCCAACAACGCCTACCAAAATCCAAGTCGCTTCTCCTGCTTCGGAGGACGAAACCGAGAGCTTTTCAATGCCTCCGATCATTTCAATTTGTCAAATGTGCCAACAAGAGCTTCTCTCCTTGGGGGACAATATGATCGACTACGTGCGTAACGAGCTCGACAATGCTCTGCTCCTTCCAATTTGCTGAGCTCTGACAACAACGACTACACAAAGGTATCATTTCACGATGACCTACAGGCTTGAGGGGGACAATACTTGTTTCACACAAGAGATTCAATGTGTCAAGACAGGTCTTGGTGACTGTGAATACCAGGGTGGGAGGTTGACTCATAAGTGAACTACTACTCGAAGATCTGTGTCGATAGGCCTAGAAAATATCCATGGGTTAGACGAAACAAGTGAAGCAGATGGCTTGACTCGCTGGTCAGAGCGTGGTGCTAGCTTCTGTAAGCAAAGGCCAAAGAATGCTCAAAGTGGATAGAAGGCATAACTGGCTTTACCAAATCGACACCGTGAGCTGATAAAGATGATGTCAGAAAAGGTTATTCGAGGACTTCCTGGATTTTCTGAACAAAATCGATCTGGATAGACTAGGAAATGTCGGGAAGCTGCTGTGAATTCTAAGAGTGGTTTGGTGAGGTAAGATAGAGAGGCTTTACAGACTGATACTTGAAACAAATTACCTGCATGGTTGTCAACAAGTGCCTCTAAAACCATCACTTTAAATCCAATGTATCATATTAGTATGCGCTATGGTGCAATAATCGGGTTTTAACGTTCTAGTTGTCCTCACCTAAAACGATCGTAGAGAGAAAGTATAACTCACGAACTCATGCGTCTGAAATTACGAATGAGAGCCGAATGGTATGTCGGATTTTCGGATTCATTGGCATGTGACCAAAGATGAAAGTGTATCCTATCTCTCTCTTCGAAACGATTTATCAGAGTAGTGGAGGCCGGTTCAGTTGCCATGCAAATCATCCTTCGTCCACATCACCTTGCCTTGTTTCCCACAATCGACGTTCAGTACATGACCTGTAATACTGCCACTCCAATTTTGGCTGGCCAAGAACAATATTGATTTGGCCACATCCTGAGGCGGAACTGGTCGCTTCAAGCCCGTGCTAGAACGACGTCAATTTCAGGTATCGTTCAAAGGGTGTGATGAGGATCCATACGTAGCTTGCGCGTCAAGATAATACTGATCTGGATTTTGCTGACACTCTTTTTGGAATTGGACAGTGTCAACTGGCCCCGGTGCGACAGCATTCACTCTGCGGTGAAGTCAACTCTACTATCATAACAATCGTTGGTGACCGAGTATGCTACGAATATGCCACTTACCTAGCACCTGGCCAGATCCTGCCAACATCTCCTACCAAGCTCTTCAATAAACCCCATTGAACGGCACTTTTACCAGCAGCGTAGTCTGCATTGCCTCTTTCTCCAAACCACCCACTCTCGCTCCCAATGATGATTAAACTTACATTTTTGGCCAGTAATGTTGCTTCTTCTGTGCCAGCTAGATTCTTCAAAGATTTGAGCCAAGTTCTAGCTGTCAAGAATGTCCCTTCGACGTTTACACGATGCGTTTTCCGCCATTGTTCAATGTTCATGTCTGCAAGACTTTCGTGGTGGTCTAGCACAGATAGGTCTAGTGAAGCAAGTGCAATGCAGGTTGCTACAGGACCAAAGGTTTTAGCAGCATTTTCAAAAGCTGATGCCAAGTCCTCTTCTGAGGAGATATCGCAAGTCAAGAATTGGAACCTGGGATTCTCCTCCTCTGGGGGAGGCTTCAAATCGAGTGATGTTACTCTAGCTCCTGCGGCCAGAAAAGAAGAGACCGTGGAGGAGCCGATAAACCCCGTACCACCTGTGATCAGAACGTGAGTGTCTTCGAGTGCAAGAGAGAGATCCATTACTGAAAATGTACTATTGGTTGCTGGAAGAAATTCACACTATGTATTCGCAACGTGGTTGATGTAGCTCAGGTGATCACGCAGCGCTGGGCGTAAGGACTGCGACGACTAATAAGATATGGTGAGCAGGGGTCTATGCGAAATGTCAGAGCATGTGTTTGCCTGAATAAATGTTCAGCAAGATCATCTATTTCAACATCTATTGTCTGGAAAAGCTAAGAATGGGGTTTGCGGGCCAACCAGGGTATATCTATTGACAGATTGGGGCTCTGTAGCGAGCGATGCTCGCTTAACTTTTTGTTTGCGCATGCGCCGCAGATATACTTCACTCCTCTGCTCATGAAACTTTGGCAGCACCTTAGGATACTAAGTCTATCTATTGAAGAGGTGTTTTAACTTGGTTCTTTTGGCTACCGACGTTAAAGCTTATGCCTCATATGCTTTTACCCGCTGGCTTTCAGTTCGCTCTCTTGGCTGTGTGCGCTGACAGCTTTTCATTACGCACTCGTAAAGTCATTTTCACAGCCTTCTGCTGATTGCATAGCTGCCGGCGACCTCGAAACCTCCTGTGGGTCTCTGAACAGGGATTATTTTGAGCTCGCCGATTGCATTGAGGCTCAGTTTCAACTTTCCCAACCGCGGGAAGTACGGCGGTACATCCTATTAAGGTGCGCTTCAACGAGATGGATGCCAGGAGATACATCTTACGGCGCATCGTCTTTAGATTTACGACGAGTAGATCGGGGACTTCGACACACAACTTGGTCGACGGGTGAAATACACGGGTATGATAAGCGGGATCTTGCTGTGAGGTCTCCGGTACTAGGTGGGTAGGATCTTGTCAGCCACCAACTGGCCGAGTAATCATCACGTTTCCATAGGGCGAGAGAGCAAAGCCTCGAAGTCAGACCTTAGCTCTCAGCTTGTTAGATGAATTATGGCTGCAGTTTCTGGCTCGATGCGCTTGGTACATAATAAGCAAGGTCCCTTGGTAGGTTTGAGCTTGCCCTCCATAACTCTTTCTCCTTACGTTATTGGCAAATATTCTTACATTCCAGTGGAGGGGTATTTGTAGTTCTTGCACTTTTGATTCTTTCTAAACCACCAGACCAGCGCAACTATCCGCTATGTGGCCATTCGCGAGCCGCCCTGCTAAAGAGGCTATCGAGAAAAGAACAAACCTCGTATCCTACTCGACGGACATCGAGGATGGCGTCGTTACAGAAACTCATTTAATGAATAATGACGTGAAGAACTTTACGTGGAAAGGGGTGACGGTCACTGTGAAGGACAGTAAAACAGGTGCTCCTAAAGTTATTCTTGATAACATTGACGGAGTGGTTCAAGCAGGTTTGCGACCTTCAAATTCTAAAGGGGCTGTAATTGATGTAGTGTAGGAGAAATACTTGCCTTGATGGGGCCGAGTGGGTGTGGTAAAACAAGTCTGCTTAATGTCCTTGCTCGAAGAGATGTCTCTGTTGCTGCAAAAGTCGAAGGTACCGTTCTGATCAACGGAAACGTTGCCTCGACATCTTCCTTTCGTGAAATGACATCGTACGTGGAGCAAGAAGATGCTCTTATTGGGTCTTTGACCGTGATGGAGACAATGTATTTTGCTGCGCGTCTTTCGCATAAGAAGTAAGAATTGCTACCAACACAAGTATCTCTACGTCCCTGACAAGTTCACAGCACCTTAACGAAGGCGGCTAGAATACGACGAATTAGTACGCTAATTGCATCATTCGGTTTGACGAACCAAGCGAACAATATCATTGGAACACCAATTAGAAAAGGAATCAGTGGAGGACAAAAGAGACGACTCAGTGTCATCAGTCAATTGATCACTGCCCCAAAGATCTTGTTCCTGGATGAACCTACAAGTGGACTCGATTCGACAGCAAGCTCGGAAGTCATATCATTTGTGAAAAATGCGGCAAAGAAGAACAATGTATGTTATATGTGCTTCAGTGGGGATCATGGCAAAGACTAACTTAACTACAGTTGATCGTCATCTGCAGTATTCATCAACCATCTACGACTACTTTTCAGCTTTTTGACAAACTGCTTCTCCTTTCAGGTGGCAGATCTCACTACTTTGGCTCTGTTGCTGGAATTCAAGACCACTTCAACTCTCTGAATCAGCCACTACCTCTGCATATGAACCCGGCTGAGTTCCTCCTTGACCTCATGAATACAGATTTTGCGAGAGGGCACGAAGATGCGGAAGCTCGGCTGTCAAATATCCACCGCGGTTGGCTAAATTCAGAACTGGCTAAGGACCTCGATACACAAATCACTTCAGCCCAGAGTAATAACCTTCCTCTTCCGGATTCCACATCTTCAACTCGCAGTTTCTTTATCGATGTTGCTACACTCGTTCATCGCTCCTTTATCAAATCCTATCGCGACGTGGTGGCTTACGGTATCCGTATCGCAATGTACTTCGGCCTCGCAGTCATGATGGGTACTGTTTGGCTTAGGATGGACTATGACCAGAGGTCAATCCAGCCAGTCATTAATGCAATATTTTTCGGCGGAGCCTTCATGTCTTTCATGGCAGTAGCATATGTGCCTGCTTTCCTCGAAGACCGGGCGAACTTTGTCAAGGAGAGACATAACGGCCTTTATGGTGCGACCGCTTTCATGGTCTCCAACTTCATCATCGGCCTCCCGTATCAGTTTCTCATCTCCATCCTTTTCTCCATTATCGCATACTGGCTCTCAAACTTTCGACCAACAGCAGATGGATTTTTCTTATGGGTTATGTGGCTATTCCTCGATCTCGTCGCCGCAGAATCGCTTGTGGTCCTCGTTTCCTCGATTTTCCCTATTTTTGTTGTCGCACTAGCACTGACTGCTTTTGCTAACGGTTTGTGGATGTGCGTCGACGGTTTCATGGTTACACCCGCTATCCTGAACGTTTTTTACAAGTACGTCTTCAGTTACATCGATTACCAATCCTATGTGTTCAAAGGCATGATGGTCAACCAGTTTGCCGAATCAACATATACTTGTGGATCGAAATGCGAATGCATGTATGTCACACCTTTAGCTGCTGAATGTAAGATTGCCGGGCAAGGTGTTCTGGATCAGTATGATTATAACACTGGGAACACGGGAAAGTGGGTTGGTATTCTATTGGGTATTGTTCTTGGCTACAGAATGCTGGGTACTCTCGTGTTGATGGTCAAGAAGCATTAGGGATAAGAATCCCCGGGTGACAGGACTTGAAAGGTTGTCATGCCAGCCAGCCATCTGGGGTCAACGGCCTGCTATGGTTTGTTTGCTATTTCACTTACGTGTCGAGATAATTGTGATGCCACAGAGTCCAAGCGTTTTGTATCATTAGGGCGACTCTTTTGCGTGTAAATATATCTTGCTCTAATTGATAAAATCATGCCTTAGACAGTTGCCCTCAGTTGTAATAACAGACTGCACAACAGTAACTTTAGTCGCAAATCTAAGCATGTTCCGTTTCAGATGAGGGTTCTTAAGTTTCCAGGTTAAAAGTGTTGAAGACTTCATGCTCAACGATTTACCGTTTCACGAGAAAACCCGAGCAATTTGTGTTGGACAAGGATTTCCACGCTATTGGATGGCAAATTCAAGAATTACCAATAGAATGATATACCTGTGTAATAGAGTACCGGAACTCGTGGTTTCACCATGCGGTTGTCAACTGCTGGCACACGGTAGTGCAAGTATATCTTGGAACTTTCTGATAAGACTCCTACAACTAACAACTTCGCGATCAGATAATATATGCATACTAGTCCGCTGTTTGTTGATCGTTGTCAGTTGCGGTTCATACCCTTTTTAGCCGGTCTTAACAAATTGTCGCGCTATCCATCATGTCCAATTCGGCATCCCAATAGTAAAAGGTTAGTGGTCACTTGAGTTTATTGTAGACTTCTGACAAGTCGTTATATTGAGATATAATACGGGTGACTGCTCTGTACCATTCCCGGCCAGTGACCGTTGAATAGCGAGCGCGGATGGCATGTACTACACTTGTACCTCTTAGAAAGCGGCGGATCCTGTCTGTCGGGTCCCAGATGTGCTTGGCAACGTCGTAGTTTAGAAAAGAGACCTAGTAGAACCAGAATTGGACTAGAAATGACTTCCAGGGCACTAGGACAAGCACTTAGCCTCGAGCAAACTATGTCGTGCTTTTGTGAAAGGGAATTAGCGAGCCAAGTAACCAATATAAAGTACATCTTATATCTCTCGAACTCCGGGATTGTACGCATCACGTGCATTGAACCTTCCTCATGGGGCTGGCCCCGGATCTCCGTACATTTCTAAAAGGAGAATCCCAACAGAAATATCACCTGTTGACCACCCCCCTTTTCCTCCAACCGTGAAAAAATCGTTCACGTTGTCGCTACGCGAATATCGATGCTCCAAGAGCTATTTGCGATTTGCTAGTGTCTTTGACGGGATTCGAGTTTGATATCCCAGTTTCTGAGGGGCACAGCAGCGGCGTCCATCTGGTCACCGCCCCATCCTCGCCGACCTCTGGTTTGAGGTGCATCAATAGTACGAAAAAGGGTCTCGCAAATAGGAACTGGTGGTTGCACTACTTTATTCCATTCTCAACCAATTGAATTACCCTCCATTAGGCCATCAGGCTGTCTCTGTCATCGGCGACCTCGCTTCGACTCGTTTGCTTGCAAAGGCACTTCACTTGCTTTCCATAATCCCTTCAAACATCCAGAAAGGGACCGGCCACTCTAGCATTACTCCACCTTTCAACCTCCCCGACTGACTCGGCAGTATGTCTTGGTCATCTTCGAGCCCGTCAGGCTCGACTACAACTACTTCTGCCCTGACCAGCCCTCTAGAGACACCCACATCGTCGACACGCCCACCCAGTTCGCAGCAATCTCCAAAGAGCCAATCTGAAGGAAGCGAAAGCCAGCCCTCAATAAACTCCGCGAATCAGTCGGCCTCTGACCAGAGCAAGGAACGAGTAACAGTGCCGTCTGCTTGCGTTGCTTGTCGTTCAAAGCACTTAAAATGCGATGGACTGAGTCCATGCACCAGATGTTCTGCCAATAGTAAGACTACCTGCTTCTTAGTGGTTTACTCTTCATCTATCCACCCTTCTTACCACCTTAACACCGTAAGCTCAGAAGCCTCTTAATGGGCTTTTCACCTTGAGCTTGAGCTGTTAAATTCAAAACACTACGATCTTTTATATGAGATATATAAAGGCTGGGATATAGCATACACGCGCAACTGCTAATCGTTGTCATATATCAGGCTTCGAATGTGTATATGTGCGGAGCAGAAGGGGCTTCAAAGGCCCTCGTAAAAATGGAGTTCAAGGCAAAATCCCAACGGCCGCTCCAGGCGCCGGATCGAGTTGCCCTATGATTAACCCCAATGCTGGAAGAGGTCCGCATGTACCTACCGGCCTGGCCACACCACCAGACAACAGATTGCAGGCGGTACCACGTCCCCTTGATATTCCATACGACGTTAACAATGATCTGACAACCTACGATCCAAACAAGAATCTTCCCGCCTCTACTTCTGGTCTTGAACTGCGTGAAAGATGCATCGAGGCGTTCTTCTACCATTTCCATCCAGCGCATCCATTCCTGCTCCCCCGTACGGAGTTCATGGAATTAAGGCAAAAGCAAGGGTTGGAACACTTGCTCGCTGCTATGCGCTATGTAGGTTCTGCATATGTATCTTCGGCAAATACTGTGGCCCTTGGTTTGGAGGCTGAACGTCTTGTATATGGCGCAGACTGCCCTCAAGATGCGTACAGAGTTCAAGCCATGCTCATTTTGACTATCGGTCTCGATGGGTATACATACCAAGAGAAAGCTTTGCAGATTCTTATGGATGCTCAGGATCTGGCGCTTAAATTACGAATGAACAAGCGTGAATTTGCGTTCCTAAATAGCAATGGCTCACAAATAGCCGAGGAAAGCTGGAGACGAACATGGTGGGAGCTCTATATAGTCGACGGTATGATTGCAGGCGTTCATCAAAAGAGCGACTTCCGAATGAAGGATATGCCAAATGATGTTGACCTTCCCTGTGAAGAGAAGGAGTACCTGTCTGGAGTAAGCCTCTTAATTCCAACTGCCTTTTCCAGTGCTGACAGATTAAAAGTTCATTCCACAGCCCAGTTCGCTTAGCGATTTTGATGATGAGTCTTTCGATGGCAAGGAGCTCACGTTTTCGTCCTTCGCATATAGAATTGCTGCACTTCGCAACCTTGGCCGGGTTTTATCTTCTGGCCTGCTCCAAAGTTCTACTCCCGATGGGGACGCTATCCTTCGTGTTGATAATCATCTTGTTACCTGGCGTCTACACCTCCCAGAAAACAAGAAGAAGTTCATTAACAACGAGGGCAAGCTTGATGAGATGCTTTTCCAAGCACATATGATTACTGAAGCGTATGTCACCTCCTTTCTCGTCAAAGACACCCCTCTGACCACACAATCAGAACGACTATTGTCTTGCACCGCGAGTTTTCCGAACTCGACTCCAGTGTTGCCAAGGGTGTCACCTCGTGCGCGCCACATAAACCTATTATTCCGGGAGAAAACTACAATATCCACGCCGCAAAGACAGTACAAGCCGCACAAGATATATCCAAACTCATTTCCATTCCAGTTCCTTTGATCAAACATACGCATTTCTTCACCTGTGTTGTTACGCTCGGCTCCATTGTACATCTCTCGTGCTGGTCTACCCTGATGCCATATATGCAAGACGATGACCTCAAACAACAATTACGCTTGAATACTGGAGCTCTGAAGACCCTGTGGCAGGTAAGTTTTATGTGCTTTCTTCCTCCTGCCGAGCTTTTTCTTTTGCCCCCACTTTCTAGTAGCAAGAGACCTATGAAAAGTGCGATGTTACTCCAGCTTTGCGGATTCTTGTATCGCAATACTGACCATTCGCACGCAGGTTTGGCCTTCCGCCGGTAAAGCCTTCGGCCAAGTAAAAGGCGTCGCTCAAGAGATTTTCCAGTCCAAGAAGATTGCGGTCGAATCAGGCTACTGGACCAACTTCGCTCAAGAGGATGTGATGAGAGTGATGATTGACGACCAGAGAATCATGGACGAGCTGGACTTGCTCCACTAAGCCTTTTGTCTGGGTATATTTCTTGAACCGAACATCGATGTCGGATTAATGCAGCATGGCGATTTTTGAAACAAGCTGGAACTTTTAGGGGTTTGCGTTTACAATGGGCTTAAGAGTTGCTTGGATATGACGTTCGTTCTTTAGGATTAATGAGATATATGATTGCAATTGAAAAGTTATGTTCCGTTACTGGTTTCAGTGGTAAGACCTTCCACCCTGTAGAAGGGGCCTGAGATAACTGCAATATGGAAATTGCTTCCATAAAGCCACTTCTCGTGAACGATCTCACATCTCTCTACAGCATCCACATTATGCTCGGATTTTTCACACAATCATGAAGTGAAGAGGGTTTACAGTATATACTTGCTAAATGCAAATGATCACGTGTAACCCCACCCCCAAAACACATCCCGCGTTCGCGAATCCCCTCCAAAAGCGCGTTACCTCAACTTCCAACCAATAATCTCAAGACGGCGTTCAAGGTCTCGCAATTACAACCATTTCACAAACACCGTCAGAGATAGAGCTGTCTGCGAACCAAAATCAACATGGATACCTCAGATGCAACCACAACAAACCCGGCGCAAAACGAAGATCTCACACCCCTCGAGCAAGACGTTCTGGATGAATACGAAAGATTAGCAGAGAACATGAAAAAAGTAGCCTCTCCCTCTTGGAATTTATTTTCACTGTACATTTGAAACTAATAGCCTATTTCAAATAGCTAGCGAACCACCTAGACATCCTGGCCAACGCGCCCACGTCCGAAATCCTCGATGGCCTGCGACAATTGGAGAGGAAGACGAGCTTGGTGTTTACGTTGTTGAAGGCTAGTGTTTATAGTATTGTGCTGGAGCAGGAGACTTATTCGGGAGATCCTAATGTGGATGAAGGGGGGAGTGAACCGTGATGAAGGGCGGTGGAGGAAGATGAGGATTTAAGTTGGCGAAAGAGCAGCGTGTTGAGTGATGGAGTTATGATACAAAGTACAGCATGATAGGCGTTAGTCGACATTACCAGAGATACCCAGTCAAATATACAAGGAGGATACGGAAGAAGCGTGCTCATATTCATCGCTTCTGCGCCTGATTGATTATGCATGCAACTCCGAATCCGAATACATTTATACTCATACATACAGAAATGCTTTGACTTTATACAACGACTAATTTCGGCCACCATAATACACTTTCCTTACATCCACCAACTTCTTTCCTCGTCCCCGCGCTATCTGATCTGGAATTCGCTGCTTCATCAAGGCTTGGTATGCTGCTTTTACGGTGTTCATCTTGTTACGAGATCGTGGGACTCTGGCGGCAAGATCTTGAAGTCCGGCTGCGCGTGCCATTTCGAAAATCAGATGCTGGCAACGAAGCCCAAATCCTGATTTTATGTTAGCGTGTTCTCTCGATTGATGGGCAGGTGGCATTTACCTGGCGGTCTGCTCATAAGCTGGACCTTTACAGCAGACACCTTACCCTCTACATCACCAAATATCGTGCGCTCTTCGTATCTCGGTATAGGTTGCATGGATTTCATGGCCTGCATCTTCGCATTGTTCATAGCATCTAATGGTTCCTGCCCTTTTGCTTCGCCAATCCCCAATCTTCCATCCCCGTCGCCGGAGATCGCAAGAGCGTAGACGCTTTGTATCTTTCCTAATCGCGTTTGGTTGGTAACATTATGCTGGACAAGAATCTTGCAATTAAGCTTGAGGATTTCGTCTAGCGTCAAGCCAGTTTGCTTGCGGAAACGGTCATATACACCATCTGGATCTCTAGTATCCTCCTCTTCCTGTGTTTCGACCTTCTTCTTCACAACTTCCGACTGGTCAAGCTCCGACTCGATGTCTATCGGAATACCAGGCGCCATCAAGGACGGTTCCTTTATCGGGCCATGAGTTCCCATTGAAGAAGGCACTTCGTCGAACGATCGTAACAGATCCTTCCTATTTGGGCGAAGCTTCGCAACGTGCTCCTCATTTTCCGGATTGTAGTCCTCTGGCAATGGGTTCTCTTCGTATATCTTTTTAAGAAAGTCGTGGTTTGCCTCCATGGATTCTTGCTCGGTCATCATCCTCGCGTTTGGGTCTTTCGGTCCATCCTGGTTGAAATAGTTCCTGTCCACCATGGTTCTCATCGTACTGAAATCATCGAGATAATCAAGAGTCCCCCAGTCTGATCTTATAACACCTCCCTCATTCATATCTACTGGATCAATGGCTGCTTCTCCTGCTTCGATTGCCGCGATTTGCTCTGGGGTATATTTCGCCGCAAGAGCTGCCTTTTCCTTCTCAGTGTATGGCTTGAAGTTCTCGCGTGCGCGTTCCTTCATCTCTCGATTCTGTTTCTCAATAAGCCCCATATCGGCGGCCTTGATGCTAGGGTGTTTGGGCTTTCGTTCGCATAGGTTCAGGGAGGAATGAAAGTTTCGACATCGAACGCGTGGGCGTATTCGCGGTAACGCGGGGGCAGAGAAGACGCATCTTGCAGGCCGTGAGATACTCATAGCTCTGGATATGAGTCTGCGGGCGCCTCTCAATGGCTCTGTTCTACTTGTCTTGCTGCAATGAGGCTCAATATTTTTTGGGCATTGTCGCTTCTCGGAATGCTTATGTAAGGGGGTCAACAGCCCGACGTTGTACCGAGTCCTCGACTTGAATCATAAGGCCTTTGGCGCCATCACTCACTCATATTCATGGTTCTGGTTTTGAAAGGTCTTGGTTTGCCTTTGGATATACTCATTTATGCTCCAGCAATTGCCACTATTGAAGTTTTTACCTTGCAGACAATTGATCTATGGAGTCGGAACTTTCTGACGGAAGATGGAAGTCTTTCTAGCAACTTGCGTTTGATTGAAGTACATCTGTCTGTTTGACCTTCATTCTGAACTTGCCAGCCCTCTTGCTTCGTTGAACAACAAAAGAGATTCTACATATCTTTATGCTGCTATGGCTCATTTTTTTCCAACCATATTTGCAATCAAACTAAAATTTGAGACTAGGACTCTTTCAGCTTAACTTAAAGAATGTCTTCTGGACAAAGCATCCAAACATGCTGTGAAGTTTGAACCACGTAGATTCTATTTCCCGCCAAATATATATATATACACTTATATCTTTTCTTGCGAACCTCTTACGAATTTCAATCAAACCCCTCTTCTTCTCTGTTGTTTTGGTTCGCCTGTGCGGAATTTCAAGCTTTTTGATTTTTCTTGTCCCAAATTGTCTAGCCATACAGTAGAACCTCGCCATAAGCATATTGGCCTTAAGAATACCTTATATATAAGGATAACATTCTCGGTCCCAACCTGTTTTTGGTGATAATTAAGAATAACCTCACTGTTGGCATATATTCTTACTTCTTACGGTCCCCGAACGTGTTCCGAGTAATAATATTCTTATATATATATTTAGATATGGCTTCGGAAGACTTAATCAAGCGTCGTCGAGCGCTTACCGACCTTGAGCGTCGCAATATTCGTCGTCGCAACGATAGCTATCCTGGGCCGCAAAAGCACCTTATTGCTTAGTTTAAAAACGAGACTAGTAGAGAGTTAGAACAAGGTCAAGTATCGAAGATCTTATCTGCGAGCTATTTAAACCTCGATTCCGATACTCGAAAGCCTTATCAATTGGGTGTAAAGCGGCATTATAAAGGCGACTTTTTATCACTCGAATATGCGCTCTTCGAATGGCAACAATATATATAAAAGAAGAAAGCGACGATTACGGGCGATATCTTGAAGGCTAAGGCTCACGAGCTTTGGCACAAGCTTCCTCAATACCGGGATAGAGTTACGGTAGAGCCAAAGTAGTCAAATGGGTAGTTAGATGGGTTTAAGAGGCGGTTCAAGATTAGGGAGTTCGTGAGGCATGGTGAAGCTGGTGATACGGCAATTAACACCGAAGCCGCAATTAAACAGATAGAAGACGTTCGAGCTGTTTGTGCCACGTACGGACGCAAAGATACCTTCAATATAGACGAGACGGGTCTATATTGGAAGCTTACACCTGATCGATCTTTAGCTACCGAAGCTACGGCTGGCGGAAAGAAGTCGAAGGATAGAATAACGTTGGCAATAACCTTAAACGTAGATAGATCTAAGAGGCACGAACACTAGATTATCGGTAAATCTAAGAACCCACGATACTTTAAAAACATTAATAAACGGCTCCTTAGGATGACCTATCGAAATAATAAGACGAAGTGGATAACGGGTTCGATCTGCGAAGAGTTCTTACGCGACTTCGACCGTAAGATGAGGGGTAGAAAGGTTCTTTTATTAATAGATAACTTTTCGGGTCACGAACTTACTGTTTAGGCAGTTAGAGGATTAGATAGTTTATCTAACGTCCGAATGATGTGGCTACCTCTAAATACAACCTCTTATTGGCAGCTAATGGATTAAGGGATTATAGCTTCGTTCAAGCTTCGATATCGAAAGAAATGGGTGCTCTATATGTTACAAGAATATAAGGCTGGCCGAGATCTAAATAAGACAGTAACTCTACTCCACGCCATACGATAGAGTGTTGCAGCCTGGGACGAAGTTACTCAATTAACAATTAAGAGGTGTTGGTACAGATCTACTTATTTCGAGAAGCTAAAGAAAACCTTAGATATTAAGCTAATAGATCCTAATCGTTTAGAGCTTTAAGCCGCAATTTAACGTCTGCCAGGCATCGCTGAATTAATAAATATTAATCGATTTATTAACCCACCCGAAGAGTAGATTATTAACGAAGAAACCGATATAATGGAGTCAATTATCGAGCGGTATTCAATTAAGGAGGACGAAGAAGAAGATAAGGATGAACTAGTAGAGGTTCTAAAGGTTTTAATAAAAGATGCGATAGAGGCAATTAAGCTCTTGAAGCTATACGAATTACAGTAATTAGATGGGAATAGAGTCAATATTAGGGCGTTAGAAAGGATGGGATCTGAGATTGTTGAGCGCAAGCTGAAGTCTGCGAGTCAGTAGCAAATAACAGGGTTTTTTGGCGTACAGGCTCTGCGAACCTCAAGTTAGGCTCTTATTGGATTTGGACCCACTTATACTCTTCATTAGAATACCTTATATTAGAATATATATTGCTGTCTCCGCCCCACATTCTTATGGCGAGGTTCTACTGTAGTACCAAACCTGAGTGGACTTGCGAATAACTGATGCAGTACAATGTATAAAGCTCCACGATAGAGTTTGATACATGTAGTATTCTAAGGGAGTTTTGGCCGACACAGTTCACACACTCCAAAAATGCATGTGCCATCGAAGTCTGACACACATGGCCCCCATGCCGACGGGCTGCGAGCATGTAATTGGATGGGAAATTAATGACGACCGCGGGCTGAGCTACAAAGTTTTTATCCCTCCGAATATTCAGAGTACAGACTCGATGTGCAACAAAACAGTCATAGATTGACTGCCCGGATCAGCGCATGATGTGAAAGTTCTTTCACAGGCATCCGAACACTAGATCAGGATTCTGGTTATCAAGCGATAATGATGTAGCCAAGAGCCTACTATCATTCAAGTCGGTTATCACCTTCTACCGTTTGGCACTTCTCCTTCCGCCTTTTCCACATCTTCCACACTTCGGCTATTTCGAACATCATCTTCACTCTCTCCATCGATTGTGTCCCCCGGTGTGCTAGCCTCAGAAACAGCCTGCTTCTCTTCCTTCCTCTGCAATCCTTTGTCCTTGATAAAAATACACAACACTAGGCAGACTGCCATGAATGGTACCCAAGTGTAGAAAACCGATTTGCTAGCATCCATGTATGTATCTAAGACCTCGTTCACCTGGCTGGGATTCAAGACAGAGACATCTGGGACGCTCAGAATCGACGTTAGGACCTCCCGCACATATCCCTCGGGAAGCTGGCTACTGACGGAATCGAGTGCTCCTTCAAGAGAATTTGAAAATATTGCCGACGACAGTGCGAGGCCAACAGAACCTCCGAGTGACCGCATGAAGTTGCGTATGCTGGTGACTACAGCACGGTCATTCTTCGATGAATGTGCTTGTGCTGCAACAAGAGTTGGCTGGAAAACATTTCCCACACCCACACCTTCAATGAAGAGGATGATGACCATTTGCCATTGCGGTGTGTTGCGGTTGAACGTCAGAACTAGACCGGCTCCGAGGGTCCACAAACCATATCCAACCCAGATGACCTCGCCGTAGCGCTTGAGGCGGGAAACATATTGTCCAGAAAGGATGGAAAATAATGACTGTCCAGCAACAAATGGGATGGTGAGGGCGGCGGAAAGTATTGGAGAATATTGCCGTACATTTTGATAGTAGATTGGTAGATAATAGAGATGTGAGTAGTAGACTATCCCGAAGAAGAAGTTTTGTATCAGGATAACACAAACTGCTTGATTCCGGAACAAATGTAGTGGCATCATAGGCATGGCTGCAAACTTCCACTCCACGACGAGGAATATGACAGCACATATGCTTCCGAGTGTGAGCATGGTAATAACCATTGGGCTTGCCCAGTCGAAGTAGGTTCCTCCACCCGAGATAGGAATAAGAAGGAGCAAGATGGCTGCTGAGCTGAAGACTGTGCCAAAGTAGTCAACCGATTTGATCTTGGCTTTCATATTGCCGTGAGTCTTGCTTGGTGGAAGGGTAAAGGCAACTAGCACACCGGTAAGAACGGCCAAAGGACATATAGTCCAGAATAAGGCCCTCCATGTTGACGTCTGTACGAAACCTGCTGCTAGGAATGGACCGATAGTATTTCCCAGACCTACACAGGAACCTAGGATGCCTTGATATCTAGAGAACATTAGTAAAGCACTTAAAACAAAATCCCAGAGACTACTCACTTTCCGCGGTTTTCCAAAGTCACAACGTCAGAGACTATAATCATTGTCAAGGCTGCAATTCCTCCATTGCCAATACCGGAAATAGCTCTGAAAGCATAAATTTGTGGTCCGGTTTGTGCAAAACTGCAAGCCAAGTCTCCGATTGCCAACAGCCCTACAGCTGTTAGGAATACCACTTTTCTTCCCACAATATCGGAGATTCTTCCATATAGAACTTGAAATACTGTATTAGCAATCAAGCTCGAAGTTCCTGCCCATGCTATCGTTGTTGCCGAGTCAAGGTCTTCTCCAATGGTTGGCAGAGCTATTCCAATAGAATTCTGATCAATGAATGATATCAGAAGCGCAGTGGCCAAGCCGCAAAAGACTATAATGAGTTGTGATTTCGGTAATATATTCGTATCGACTCGGACCAAATCGTTCCCACCCATTTTCGAACGACGAATCCAGCGAGCAATATATGAGACTGCTGTAAAGACGGTGGCGTAGTGCTTTATTTTCCTTGCTGAACCTAAAGCGAAAGCAATGTATAATTCAAAGACGAGAGCACTCTCAGGGTAAACGAAAGTATATATAAACAATCAACAATTCAATATTGACGGATATGTCGGGCTTGTGAACTTGCTCGTTGTGTCTCTGCTCATTAGCTATCCTGCTTAGCACTTACTCAAACGATACTTCCTAAACTGTTCGAAGTATAGTGTAGTGCTAGGTAGGGGGGGATATTCTTATTTTTGACGTAGAAAACGCCACAAGACTTGGGTATGATCGTATGCAAAATCCATTTTCAGGGCTCTTGAGTGGTAGCTTGAGATATTTTCACCAATTCGGATTTCCGATAAGGAAGAACACCCACTTTTCGGCAATTCTTTAGATCTCCGAAACGGGAGTGGTAGGGCCATTATCTGATGATTTCTTAAGCATCGTGGAGCTGAGGAGGTTCCCGGAATGGAAAACGAAGGGTGAAGCAAAGACTTCGAGGTTGCAAGTGTCTTGGTATAAGGGTTAGTGGTCGAGTTTAGACCCGGTAGTTGGAAAACGCGGAGACAGCCATAAGGCCCAAAAGGGACGATGTCGTTGCTGTACCGGTAGTCAAAGGAGCCGCGTCCTTGGCAAATGCCTCTTAATGGTAGTATTTCAGTCTTGCCATCATCCCAAGTACCCGGTGAAGCCGTCGCGCTCAAGAATGGCATTGTGAATTTGTGACCACAGAATCAGAATTCCATGGTGGGAGGGAAATGCCGTAACGGGACGAGGCGAGTGCTAGAGAAGGGATTTAACAACCGAGTTGAAACACATGGAGACCCGGAGCCTTTGCCCCCTTCAGCGAATGAATAATCTGAGGTTGAGTTGCAACATGGTTGAAGGACGTTGTAGTTGCGTCGCCTTACTTCAGCCTTGACCCCGCCAAGCGAAGCTTGAGAAGTCGCGTCAACCGTCTGCCTTCCAAGCCTTGAAGCATACAAGACATAAACTGTGAACACAGAAGACGATTAGTTCTCAACCTCCCAATCCTTTGACCGAGGTCTTGGTCTGCATATACACTCTCCAGTAGAGCATCGATCTTCCAAACATCCTGCCAAAATGGCAAGTCCATACTTTGGTAACACCCCCACCTCACTACCCCACTACACCTAACAAATAACTAGTCGAGCACAATGTGAAATTCGAAGGCTCCTCGAAACCCAACAAACGCCCGGACATGTCCTCCTTCTTCGCACAGCTAGAAGTAATCAAGACCAGCAATCCTCACGCCCAGCCAATGCCAATTGACACCGCGGCGGCCTCGAGACTTCTGGGCGACCAATTCCGTTTTCTACAGGTGAACAGCAGCGACGCTTCGCATTCCGAGTTCTTGGATAACCTGATTGGGTCTATTGAAGAGGGAGAAGATGAGCCAAGCGGCGTACCGCAGACGTATCTCGATGAGCTGGAGAGGGTACCGAAGAAGCAGTTGAAACAGGGAGAGACATGTCCGATTTGCAATGAGAAGTTTTTGGACGATCAATACCCGTTAGTGGTGGTTCTACCGTGTCATAAGACTCATAAATTCGATTTGGAGTGTGTTAGCCCTTGGCTGTTGATGAAGGGTACTTGTCCGCTGGATCGAAAGGAGATGATTAAGAAGAAGGAAAAGCCAAAAAAAGTCGATAGCGAGGATGAGGAAGATGATGAGATGGGAATGTACTCTTGATCCAGCGGCGCTTTCCTTTGCCTTTTGTGTAGCATGGCGTTCGGGAGTGTAGATCTAAGACAGGCACATGCATGATAAGTCGATACCACCCCAGAAAGTATGGTTTAGAAAGTATCAACCAAGGACAACTTCTGAGGCAGTGATCCCTATCGGCATGTGAGGGGAAACGATGAATTATTGCAAAAATAAATTATTGAAGGTTTTGGCTCGTATTTGGACGCTGTGCAGAAGCCTCCACATCGGCCTGGAAATCTCTTATCCAAAAGCTGTCATTGATCATCATTTGAATACAACTTCTTGCCAAAAACATGTTGTTGAGTATGTCACGTAGCAACTGATCTACACCCTTCTCTATTAATTCGATGTTGAGAAAATGCATCAATTGTGCCCCATATGTCCCACGAAATCAAACTCCCTGTTAGCCTTCCGTTTCCTAGATCCTTCAAATCCTTTATAACCCTCATCCTGCCAATCTACGCATTGCCCTCTTGGCTTTGCATATACTTATAGACACCGAAAGCGGCGACAGCTCCAACAAGAACAACAGCGTATAGACCAAGACCCATTCCACCGTCGGTCGCAGTTGCGGAGCTCGAAGATGTAGGCGCTGAGACTTTTGGCTTTGGGTCTCCCTCCTGTGTGTTTCGTTAGTGTGGTTGGGAGGAAATTGAAGGGCTACCATGTCATGGCTGCTTACAACACGCTTCAAATCGCCTTTAAGCAGACCATCCAAGATTTCCCTTGCCTCATCACTGTGTCCGACATCTTCAAAGGCTTCAGTCGCATCCTGTCCACCAACATCTAGCAGAACTTCCTCTCCACCTCTATTTACACATGTTAGCATCACTTAATTTAGCCGATTTCGGTTTTCCAAATCCCAACAAAATCGCATAAGGAGCAGTCTAGGCAAAGCAATTTCCGTCCCAGCTACACTCGCGATGAAATGCGAAAGGTTTCCTAAGGTCTTCAAGCATCTCAACAATTTATGCGTGGGGCCGGCTGGCTCCTCTAATCGCATCCTCTAGATGAGCTCAAAAGTGGCCGTGCGAACGTGCAATAGGGGTCCAGTAAGATATAATTGAGACTTACGGATGCTCGTCAACGAAAGCGGTTGCGTCGTAAACCTTATCGTGGATGACCATGAACAAGTCCTTCTTCCCCGAGTGCGATGCGACATCCGCATATGTGTAGACCTTTCCCTCAGACATGTTGAGTACGTTATCTGCGAACAGGAAGTGCGAAGGTGGTGGAGGATTCTTGAGGAACGTTGATCGATTTGTTGGATAGCTATCGAGTCTCGAGATTGGTGCACGCGACAGAGGTGAACTGAATCAATCTGAAGTTGGTTTGCGGGGAGGTTCAAAAAGCCAGGTGTATAGAACAATTGTTGGTCCAGAGTCAGATGTAAATCTCCCGATTTCCTGAGCCTTCTACTAGCGGCGTTGCAAGGGCCGCGGCTTCGGTAGGCCGCTAAACCCCCACCGAATTAAAAGGTCGGTCAGCAAAAGCGAACGTGCAATTGGTCAGAGCAGAGACTTGGAATACACAATTCATCGCTAGGCTAGGCATATATGAACGGCTGTTGTGTAGAACGAGTTCAGTATCAACGATTGACTTTTATATTGAACGCCGATTGTCACCTCTCGCTTGTAGGTCCACGCCAAACACAGTTGGACCGCAAGGTAGAAGCTTCTCATAAACACTAGCAGCGATCGTGGTGGGAATTGCGGAATTTTTTACTCCATTGGGAAAGAGGGATAAATACTTTGGAGCAAGAAAACATTCGGATGATCCGAGCGAACAACCACGTTCATGAATCTTTATCTATTCCAGATAATATGGTACTCGAAACGTAAGCTGAAATGCAAGGCTACCTTTTAGAGCTTCCTCCACCTATATCTTGACCAAGTCGATATCCCGCAATTTTGTCCCACTCAATCTTCTGTCTCGTGATTGGCAACTGTCTCCTTAGCCCTTTAAATGCTCCCTCGCTCAAACTATTAAAGCCCTTGTTGACTTCTTCTTGATACTTCTTCTCGGCTACACTGATCTCTCGCATGATTGTTGAAGCAGATCCCGAAGAGACCGATACTGACACTGGTTTTGTGGTCAAAAGGCGAACGTTTCCGTCTTCATAGTAATGAACGTCAACCTTGAGACTGCCCTCTAGCTGAGATGAGGAAGGAGAGTAGATGTAAAGCGACCGCCACCGTCCGTTCCTAGTGTTCGCTGTCAGACGTGATAATTAATCTGGTACGGCCCGACTAACCAGAAATTGTTTGGGCTATATTTGTTTGCAACCACCAATATCGCGATCTTTGAGTCTCTCTCAATTGGATAAACGCCATATGATGCATTTGGATAGTGCTCTTTGCTGTGCGTTCCGAGACTTTTGAGCAGAGACTTGCTGACTTGGATATTAGCTCCCTCATGGAATCAAAGCTGCTCAACATACATTAAATCAGATTGACTGCTCTCTAACACGTAGCTCTGAACCGCACTAGCTTTCTACCTCAATCAGCCAACTACCCTCCGACCAAATTTGCAATGCCTAACCTGTGTACTGTGATCGAATGCGAAACTAGACGAGCTCTCGACATCGTAGTATCTTCCATCCCCGAGAGAATTGTGCGAGCTGACAATAACCTTCAGATGTTAGACAATAGTATACCGTCGTCTTGCGCAAATACGAACGTGTTGACTGCTTCCAGGCAGCTTGACCGTCGCGAACTGCTCTTCGTTGTATTTCTCGAATGCAGGCCCTAGCTGCGAGACCAGATTTGGACTATCCACGGTCAGAGCTTTAATGTCTAACAACAAGGCTTCAGTAATCGTATCGGTGATCGCGTAGAGGTCTTCGTACCGGCTATGACATCTGCGAGCTTCAGACATGTTAGCAAACACTCCTATCAAGGTCGTTGTTTCAAGTTGGCTTACCTCTCCTGGAGGCGCTCCTGCCACGAACGAAGATACGGTTGCTAGTTGCGACATGGCTAATCTTGCTTCCTTTTAAAGCTCCCTGGTTTCACAGGAATCAACGTCCAGAAGGCGTTGATGTTGACGTTGATTAATGCGGGCGGCTTTACGACAACAACCTGGGAACCCCACCAAAGGGACTGATGCGGGAAGCTCGCTTGTGGCGCGTTCATCCAACGGCGAGAACCTTAAGCTTGGGTACGGAGTAGCGAGGATTTCCTTTCAACTCGATGGCTACGCATACAATCATGTCGTTTAAGAAAAGACAAAATTCGATTTTAAGCAATTGTAAGGTTTATAGTTTGTGATTATCTTATTCTAGAAAAAAGATGACCCAGGAATAATGTCAATGTACTTTGATAGTTTCGAGTACATGTTTTGGGAATTAGTAAATAACAAAATGAAAGAGGTTTTATAAAGGTGAATCTGGATATGATCATGCCTCATTCAATAATAAAGACTACTTATTTTGCATTTGTGCATCTTCTCCATGAAATCATGCTAAGCCGCCATAAGTGCCACAAAACGCCAGAATTCATAATGCTTCTCTTCATCTATCTCATCTAACCGTCTGCATCGAAACGCACATATAAGCATTCGTCAGTATTCCAGGGTGCTTTTAATTGTATCATACACCCCTACAACATGTTAGTTTTCTCGGTAGATAATGGTGCACTTTACTTACTAGCAACGTCCGGGATGTTAAATCGTTCGTAAAGAAGACCCATGTGGATGCTCCACCCAGCAACTCTAGATACTGGAGATTCTAGTCTCAGGAAGGTCTCCTTATCCTCCTGTATGCTTGCTGCTACCTCAGCGCCAATGCCAGCATTGACCATACTCTCGTGAACGACTAAACATCTTCCGGTTTTCCTTACACTCTTCAACACGCACTCTTTGTCCCATGGATACACTGTGCGAAGGTCGATTAGTTCGATACTGACCCCAAAGTCTTTCTCTGCCTTCTCGATCGCTGAGCTACAAGTGTAAAGAGGGTGACCATATGAGACAATAGTCAGATCCGATCCCTCGCTCAAAACTTCGGCCTTGGACAACGGTAAAGTGTACGGAGCAGTTGGAACTTGTTCAACAGCAGCTCGATACAAAGCTTTTGGCTCCATGAAGACGCAAGGATCTTTACTTGCGATTGCAGACAGTAGAAGACCTTTCGCTTGTATTGGAGAACGTGGCATTATAACTCGCAAGCCAGGAATGTGTGTGAACAAACTTTCTGGCGACTGAGAATGATATCTGGAGATAATTAGCAACTTAACCAGCGCTAACGAGGATCAAACTTCTTACAATGCGCCATGTCCGACACCACCGCAAGGCATTCTCACAGTCAAGCCACCAACATTTCTTCCAGCCTCACCATCTCTGTATCGAAATTTGGCTGCTTCGTTTACCAATTGATCAAAAGCTGGATAGACATAGTCGGCAAATTGGATCTCCGCCACGGCTGTCGCCCCCTCAGCTGCAGCTCCAATTGCAAAGCCTAAAATCCCCTGTTCGCTCAAAGGTGTATTAAATACTCTATCAGAACCGTACTTCTCTGCCAGGTTCATGCTACAACGAAAAACACCGCCAAAGGCGACGTCCTCACCAAATAAGAGTGCCGAATCATCCGAGGCTAATGCGATTGACAATGCATCGTTTATGGACTGGAAAAGGTTCATCTGCTGTGTGGTACCATTTCGCGCTTCAGGAGATAGCTCTTCATTTTGAAGGGCAGATTGGGATCTGTGAGCGAGTAGAGGAGTTGTCGAAAAGTCGGTGGGAACATTCAGTCGTGCTTTGGGAGGGTGAGTTGAGTAAGGGCGGGGTCTTTGTGTTGTTACATGCTTGCTGACAGTCTTCGATGCAGCATCGATTCCTGCTCTTGATGCTGAGAATATCCTACGTGTAACCCTCATCATGTATAGTTTTGAGAACCGTTTGGTGCGTCCAAAAGGTCATGTTGAGCAAGTGTAACTTGGTTGTCATTTGACAAAAGACAAGAGTCGTTGATGGTATCCCGCTGATAGCCGGTTCCTGGCAACGGCCTTGCTCTTATAGAAATCTGATTGTTGCTGTGTCAACCGCTTGGACCCGCTTTTGTCCAAGTTGGCAGAAACAAGTATGCGAATGAAGCCAAGAATACGACAAGAAAATGTTCAGACGCCCTTTTAGATTGTTGTATTTTACCTTGATTGGTTTTTGTTCATTAGCGAAATTCTGTCCTCCAGATATATGAAATCGGGCAAATCGAAAATCTGTTATTTACTGCGACGAGAACAACAGCATGGCTCCTCAGGAGTCACCACGAAGAAAACGACGAGACCGCGATCACGAACAACATCGAGAAAGACGGAGAAGAAATAGTGATACCCCCCGAAGATCCAGACACGAAGCTCCTTCGTCAGAAAGAAGTTCTCAGGCATTATCAGCGAATTCGCTAGCGCAATTGAATCTGATAAATCAACACGAAAGAGCGAGGGCACAGGAGAAGACGCCGCAGAAAACAAGAAGGAAAAGGCGACCAGAGATTGTGGATGAGAAGATTGTAGATGAACGGAGTAGAAGGGATCATAAAAGGAAGAAACGAAGAGTAGTGAGCGGTGCCTTATTAGAAGAAGGAAAGAGCCAGAAACTAAAAGGTATAAGGGGAGGTTATGGGTCCGAAGATGGTGGTGATGGTGGGAAGAAGAAGAAAAGGTTATGTGAGTTGAGGCGACTCGGACAGATTGAGTACTCATGCTAATATGAAAAAAGGGCTCATCTTGGGAATTGTTACTGTGATTGTCATAATAATCATTGTAGTTGCGGTAGTTGTCAGCAAGAACAACAGTAAAGGCTCTAGTTCAACTACAGCAGCTGCGACTAGCGATACGGGAGCGCCATCAAATTCGAATCTCAATGGCGTATCGGAGTCGAGTATTCCAGCCACTGCGAAAGGCACCGACCTAGACCCATTCTCATGGTACGATACCACAGATTTTAATGTCACATATACCGATGAAACAGTCGGTGGTCTGCCTGTAATGGGGCTATTGTCTACTTGGGACGATTCAAAGGCAGCAAATGATAACGTGCCACCGATCGCGACATCATGGGGTTCCTACGCCACAAGGCCAGCACGGGGAGTCAATATTGGAGGATGGCTTTCACTTGAGCCCTTCATTACACCTTCCCTATTCAGTGGTGGAATCGTTGACGAATATACTCTAACGACCTCACTTGGCTCCCAAGCAAAGGCAAGACTGGAAAAACACTATGCGACTTTCGTCAGTGAGCAGACCTTCATAGATATTGCGAATGCAGGTTTGGATCATGTGAGAATTCCATTCTCGTACTGGGCTGTGGCCGTATACGACGGAGACCCTTATGTCTATCGAGTTTCGTGGCGCTATTTACTTAGGGGCATCGAGTGGGCTCGTAAGCACGGTCTCAGAGTCAACCTTGATGTACATGGATTGCCTGGAAGTCAGAATGGTTGGAATCATAGCGGACGGCTTGGGGCCATTGGGTGGTTAAACGGAGCAAATGGAGCAACGAATGGACAAAGGGCACTCGACATGCATGATAAACTATCGAAGTTCTTTGCGCAGGACAGATACAAGAATATCGTCACGTTCTATGGACTTGCGAACGAACCTAAAATGACGGCGTTAAAACAAGAGGACGTTCTGGCCTGGACAACCAACGCTTATACTCTTGTCAGAAAGAACGGAATTACAGCAAATGTCGTTTTTGGAGACGGATTCATGGGGCTGGACAACTGGCAAGGCAAGCTTACTGGGTTGGAGGGTCTCGTGCTTGATGTACACCAATATGTCATTTTCAACTCTGGACAGATCAGCTATAATCACACTCAAAAGGTCGACTATGCTTGCTCCGGATGGACAGAACAAGCCACGAAAAGCATGAACGTAGCAACAGGATTCGGTCCAACCATATTTGCCGAATGGTCACAAGCAGACACAGACTGCGCACCGAACCTGAATAACGTCGGCGTTGGTACCCGCTGGGAAGGAAACTATAACGTTGGCGATCCCTCAATAGCAGTTCTCTCACCAGGGTGTCCGACGAAGAATTCAGCATGTAGCTGTACGGAAGCCAACGCCAACAGTGGATCTTACAGTGACGCTTACAAACAATTCCTCCTTATGTTTGCGGAAGCACAAATGACGAGTTTTGAAAAGGGATGGGGTTGGTTTTACTGGACGTGGAAAACGGAGTCGGCTACACAGTGGAGTTATCAACTTGGTCTTGCGGCTGGAATTTTGCCAGCGAAGGCATATGCTAGGTCGTATAATTGTACACCTGCAGCTCCGAATTTTGCGGGGATTCCGGAAACCTATTGAGGTTTCTATAGATGGATATTGTTTGGTCATGATCGTCGATTTAAGCGAGCGCCAGTGGCGTGTATATATGAAGGGATTGATCGTACATGGTTTGCATGAATGGATTGGATAGTCACAAGGGCTTTAGATGGAAGGCATAGCACAGCGAATTGGCGTTTAGGGATATGGTTTATGTACAGCAAGTGATACCGATGTCGTCTAGTTAGCATATGACTTAAAATATAATAATGATGAAAGCGCGATGCAGTGTTTTACATAGAATGCGAGGTCTTGCCACATGAGATATTTTCGAGCGTTATTTCTACCGTCCCTCACCACTTTCTTTGCATCCAGTTGATAATGAGACACAGAACCCAAAAATAGTAATCCCTTTGCTCTTTTGTTGCATATCGCAAGTAATTCACTCATATAATTACCATTCTGTGGTGCGTTGTCGTCAGCATAAATCGCTCGTTCCTCCGGGGGTTTCCGGCATGTGAGGATTCACACTCAGCATCTATGTTAGTTAAATTCAGTGGAAGGGGATAATCTTAGAGGGTGCTGAAGTTGAATCATTGGTCATACTAGGGTTTTGGTTCCGTTGTACTTTGGAAAAGGGAAATTGGAGTGTTGTCTCGAAAATTTCAGGTAGGATTGCACGAGGGTTGAGCGGGTAGGTGATTTTGAGGTGTTCGATCGGCCTAGACTTGGGCTTGAAATTCAAAAGGTAACATTGCTAGTGATGGTGAGGAATTTTGTATGGTAAGGGTTGGCGATGAATGGATATGTAAAGTGTCGTTCGGGCTTAGATGTTGTGACACTAGCCTTGGATTAATATTTGTTGCAGAAACCGTCTGTTGAAAAATGAAAAGAACTAAGAACAGGAGTCAATCATCTTAGCTCGAAAAGCCTGATGTTGCTTTAGAACTGATGTTCAAACCATTGATAGTATATCACCGCACGCATAGACTCTGTCACTTTTCCAACTCGAACTCCATTATTAACTTTTACACATTATCACCCCTGGTATATAACATCACTCTTCCACCATCATCCTCAAATTACTTAGCAACAGGCAAAACCTCCATCGCAGTCTGAAAACTCTCCAAAGGAGGTCTCTCCGCACTAACCACCTCCCCATTCTCCACCGCCAGCTCTTCCTTCTTCTGAGCCTCAGCTAAATCCTTAGGTCTCCCCTTAATCCCATGATCATTGACATCAGAATCTTTCACAAGGCTATCTAGATCTTTGAACGCGTCATCATCGTCAACACCACTTTCTGTGACTCCCGGCGTACGCACATCTGCAGCGGGTGGAACGCCAGCTGTAGATTCCAGAGTAGTCATGCTAGCGCTGGCATCATGGTTCGCAAGACTGAAAGGGAGAGCGATGCCACCTGCCTTAGGACGTCTGCGGTCGAAGTCATCGCCTTCATTTGTGGGCGAGTGGACTAGGATTTGAGGTGCCACATTCGACGGATCTAGAGGCGGTGAGGATTCCTTCTCGGCGTGCTCTTTTCTCAAGGCTATTAGATCTGCGGCGGAGGTATTTTCATCAATATCCGAGTTATCGGTCTGATGCTGGTCTGTGACAGTTCGCCGCCTAGAACGACTTCGGCTGGCTTCTGGTTTAGGAACTGTCATCGAAGCTTGATTTTCGTCTTGCGGATGTGTTTTTGATCCATCACCAGTCTTCGGAGAAACAACTATCACCTCTGGACTCTCTGTTTCCTTCTCATTGTTCATGGCCTTCTCATCGTGTTTGCTACCCCACAGCGCCCAGAGACTCATACCCATACTACGAGTCTTCTTTGCCTCCTTTAGATCATCTCCTGTCTTTCTACGGCCAGCAAGCGCGGATGGGGGAGGCACTTCGCCATTGCCAAACTCTCTGTAACCTTCAGCCATGTCTTTGGCTCTCTGTTTTTGAATTCTTCGCTTTTCTGAAGCGTACTTCGTGTCCCATTCGCGTTTTGCTGCCATCCATTTCTTCACGGGTCCTGCCTTGATCACTCCGATCTCGCTTGGAGATAGATTACAAGCTGGCAGTTCTGATTCGGGCTCTAAACCGTATGTTCTACCATGACGATCGACTCTCTGGCGGATCATGTGGCGCTTGAAGTTAGGCAGAGGATCCCCAGCTTTCCCAACATAACCTTCCTTTTTACCTGTTTTCACTGTAGTACCTCCCTGCACCTCATTTGTTAGTGAAATTTCCAAGACTAGATCATTGAAGTGAAAACTCACGGTATTTTTAGTTGGTGCTTCGTCCTCGTCGTCAGTCTCGGACTTCGAGATGATAGATACATCGTCATCATAGGTGATCTCAATATCAGTCTTCTGAGCTCTCGCAAGAGTCCAAGCACCGAACTGGGCTATTGATCGATACATGTATTTTGCGGGTCGAGTAAAACTTAGAGTAGGCGCAACGTGGCACAAATCATCCCAGACTTGTAGCTGAACATCGGTAGGCTTCCACTTCGTGATCTGCTCTCTATGCTTTTCGCGAGGATGCTCATCTAAAAAGGCATCTCCTGGTGGGTACTTGGCCGGGTTCGCGGCCTTGTGTGCAAGATATATTTGTTCATCTCGTAGCATCTCTCCTCCACCGACCATTATAAGCAGAGGCGGTAGCCCTCCAAGAGACGGTTGTAATATAGGGGATACGAGTGGGTGAGATATCAACTGATTAGTGGCATACATCTGAATCTGATCCTTGATCTCCACTAAACTCCCATCGATAAGGATTGAGAGATCATGGCCAGGTCCAGGAACAGTATTTGCGTCGTGGCCTGTTCCGTCGTTCGTTGCTGTACCAGTGGCAGCAGTGTCATTTACAAGATCGGCATCTGGATGATGGTCAACATGAAATCCTTGGACTGCATCAGACTCACTTTGTTGAGGTGACAAAGCATGTTCCGTGTGGGCAAGCTTCTTCACGATTTCTTCCTCCACTTGAAGCATATCGTCAGTGTTTGGTGGCGGCCATGATGCGGATGGTCTCTGGTGAAACCCATGAGGGGGAATATAATCCAGTGGGTTGTTCCCTGCGACACTTGGGAAAGAATGTGTTAAATCCGCCCACGGTGATATGAGGATAGCTCCAGCAGGTAATGGGAGGCCCTGATTGCGAAGAATGATCATCATACTCAAAACCATACCGCCACCAGCAGAATCACCAGCTAAGATAATAGTTGTAGGATCTTGAACCGTGAGGAGCCATAGATATGCCGAAAGACAGTCATGAAGACCACAAGGGAAAGGGAATTGAGGCGCCAATCGATATCGGGGCGCCAGAACTCTTGCCTTAAGCTTCCTCGCATGTCTTTGCATTTGATATCGATGCTCATCAACGCTACCAAAGAAATAGCCACCGCCGTGCACATATAGCATGACCCTCTTCGACTCTCCACCAGCCTTTTTCCTCTCATTATAATCATCTCTCATCTCAATCCATTCGGCCTTCAACTCGCTACCCGGTCTTCTCCACTGCCACCAAGTGCTACCGCCAACCTTTCCAATTCCGTGAGGTCCCAGTTCGGCCTGAATCGCTTCGGCGGATTTCTTTATGTATGCCTCGTCAATCCGGAGTTCATCGACCTTAACCCAGCGCGGGTGAGGAACCCATTGGGCCGTGAAGCGCTGTACGTCTTCTACAGTATGGTGGGAGGCATATATGAGGAATTTGCGGATCAAATGGAGACCTTCATCGTAGGAAATATGCGCTGTTGGTTTTTGAGCATGCGATTTTCGCTTGAGGTACTGTTAAACAGTTAGCAATGGAGTGGAATTGGGTTCGAATACTTGCATGAGTTATAAAGGTCTGGATCACAGCAGGCGTAACCGCCGACCCTACTGTCGCAGTGTTAAACACCATGTTAAAGTGCGATCCCCTATTCGTTCAAAATCGAATTATTTGTTGGCCCTTGATAGCAACAGAACTGCCAGGAAAGGGTTCAATTGAAGCCTTTGAAGCTATATCTGCAAGCTCTCAACTGTGAATGGTGTTGTATCCCCAGCTAGTTGTCAGAATAATTAAACATTAAAAGAAGAAACGCTAAAGGAGTTCTTCAAGGATCGTCGCGAGTCGTTTACGGTACCAAAATACAACAGCCAAATCTGGAGACGCTCATTTCCCCAGCTCGGCCGCCCCATCGTCATTAAATCGTGAGCCGACTCTAGCCCCTGTCGTTCTGCGTGCACAAAGTCGATCATTACGTCTGTGCATAAAATTTCCTTCAAAAAGTTACCCCACATACGATACGACTATCGAGGTTTCCAAAATTCCATCTTGGAAAGATACTAACACCATGGCTTCAGCAACATTACTTCCGGGTGCTATGGAGTTTAGTGGGCGTAATCCGGCGTCGCAGGGTCAGTTGTAGAAATCGAATGCTGGGAAATATAAATTAACGCGGCTTTGCGACAGAAAAATGCCAGGCGCAATTCGAACTTGGCGTGACCCTCTGCATCTTCAACTGGCCGTCGCTCTCCCTCGCCGTAACGAATCAATGGGGAGGTCCAGACTCAGCTTCTAAACGCGAGTGGTTTGCTTCGCAGACGATCGATCTTTTGAACGATACGCCAGACGCAGATGCCGAATGGCTGGAGGAGTTTCTGTTGAATGTCATGTTGGATGAGTTCGAGGTAAATGTCGATGATGAGAGCGCATATGAGGTTGCGGAGCAGATTATGAGGATTAAGAAGCATTGTTTGAGGGGCGAGTTTGCGGAGGTGACGGAGATGAAGGAGAAATGGGATGCCAGGAGGGGAGCGGAGGATTTGGGCAAGGTTTTTGAGCGGAGGGAAAGGGGTGAGGAGGAAGATGAGACGGATGGGAGTGATGAGGGAGATGAGGATGGAGATGTTGATATGGATGAAGCCCCTGCTTTAGTGAGAACCAGAGAACCAGTGGTGCCAGAAGTGGATGAGGAGGGGTTCACCAAGGTCACGAAGAAGAAGCGTTGAAGTTGGCAAACATTTCGAGATTCATTTCAAAAGGCAACGGCGTTAAAGAGGGTATATCAAAGTCCAGTGCATGTTCTCTACCACATGAGGGGCATTTTGAACATGCAAGGGTGAAACAAAGTCGAATAACCTGGACGCCATAGAACCATGGTCACTAAACAAGGATAACAGACGCCATACAAAACAGTACACCACCAATTCCAACTGAGTTCTTATTCCCAGTCCTCATCCTCGCTATCATCGCCCTTGCGAGATTCCTTGGGACTGCTAGGTGCATGGCTTGGTGCGCCAGAAGCAGCTCCTACCACATCATAGCTTCCTTCACTATCAGCCTGAGATTTCTCGTCTTGCGATTTGCGCTTGGCTTCCTCAGGCTTCAAAAGCGTTGTCTCTGGGATTTGAGTTGATGGGTGTAGTGTCGTAGACGATCCGGCAGAAGCTGGTCTCCCTACTTCTTTAGCTTTAGAAGCCGCTTTGTTAGAAGTAGCTTCATCCTCAGAATCTTCGTCCCATGCAATGTCTTCCTCGGTTGACGCCGCTGCACCTGTTTCCTGTCAATACATACTCGCCACATACAACGGGTTGATCAAACCTTTCAACAAGTCTCTTCTGCGTGCTTCGGCAGTTTCAATGCTGTGTCTCAAGAAGTAATATCGTTTCCAGAAGTCTTCGTATTTGACAGTATCTGGTACCAATTTCTCCATAGATGTTCGAAGTTCCGTAAAGTTCTCCAAATCCTTGCTGATATCCTCTGTCTTCTTCTCTACATCGAATGTCTGCGTCCATGGTTCGTATTCGTCGCTGACGGGGTCTTTTGTGAAGCTTTCCAGGGAGGAATGTATGACGTGAAGCTGAGCATCAAATCGTGTTGTGTGAATCACCCGCTTTCCTGAAGCATCTTTGCTTTCAAACAGGACTGTGCTCCCTTGCTTGCTCGAATCTTCAGTTGGCGGTGCAATGCTCACAGCATCTTTCAAGAAATCCCTTAGGTTCGTTCCGAATTTCAAAAGCGCTTCATCCGCGGCATCTTCCGCATGCTGAATATCCTTCAATCGTTTCGCAGCTTCTGACTTCAGTCTCGCAAGCACGCCTTCGGATTCTTTCAATGTCTCTTCTGTTGACACATCCCTTTCTCCGTCCTTTTCCTTCGCGCTTTCGCTGGAGGTTTCTGGGTTTTGCGCAACCGAGAGGGCTCTTGTGCGGCTGATTAAGGAGGACTTTAAATCGGTGAAGCCTTTGGTTGCTTCACTCTGGACAGCAGATAGCTCGGATGAAGCCTCTTTGTAAACAACTTCTCCCTAGTAATCCTTAGCCATATCGCTTGCCCACAGCCGATTTCAACAAACCTGCTTCACCACACTTCCGAAGAACCCTCCGAGTTTCGCACCCCAGGGACTGGATGATATCGCTTTGTATGCCTCTTGGAAGTCGGAGTTGAGAGTCGTTTCCGGCTTCTTTTCCTTTTTATCGACGGGCTCGTCCGGTGAAAGCGCCTCCTCTTGGATATGGTCGTAGGCAAGGTCCATGTTCAAATCAATGCTCTTTGGCTTAGTTGAAGAGTTGTTCGAGCGCAACACTTTAGCAGAGGGCTCGTACGAGGAGCCGTTGATAGATGCTTATTTGCCCAATCCGGTAAGAGAACGTGCAGAATATGCCGCCAGCCCACTGCCAAGCGGACAATGCCACACACGTGATCAATCAGTATTGATGAGGATGCGGGGGATTACTTGACGCCGACCACCGACGTCGAGGGGTGAAGAGTGTACTCAAGTAGCATTTGATTAGTGAAGGTGGTTTTCTGTTGTCTAGTTGGAACAGTACGGTAGTATCTTAATTACTTGTACTTGGACATTAATTTAGACCTCTATAGCCTTTACTGTAGTATTACTTCGGCCAAAAGCAAGCCTAGCATGAAAGAAACAAACGCTGTACCCGTCGAGTTGCCACTTGAACTGTAAACAATGGGGCTAGGACTTGGTCTGTAACGTGTCCAAATTCGGGGTCTTTTCCAGTTTGCAGGTGTGGATAGCAAAACTAGTACGGAGGAAGAGCAAATTACAGAATTCCATATACGAAGCAGGCCGCAGAGCAAAGGCTATGTTGCAGAACGGTCTTTGAGGATTGAAAACAGATTGCCATGATGCACCATGGCGTCAGAGGAAATACTACCTAGGTACCTATGCAGTGAATTAAACTCTTACTAGCAGCAAAAGCATCTGAGTCAGAACCGGTATTGCATATCATTAAGTGATATACCTTCCTATTAATATATGTATGCTTATGCTCTTTGGTGGTGTTTTTGTTGACGGGATTTCGGAGTTTAGATGGATTTCCACTCTCTTCCATCCACCGTCAAGACTGCGGTTCGAGTCCATGACCCCTGCACATCTGATTATCAATCGAGATCAGCGGCACCTGGGCACCCCTCCCCCTTCGACGAGCGTGAGCCTGAGTCTGCCATATTCCGTACAGACCATCCAGAACCGCACCAGACCCCTTCCTAACAAGCAAACCCCGACACGCAGACTCGTACGGCAGAGTTCACGTTCAGGCAAAGAATTGCACTTCATCGACCGCTCATATGCGCGCGTGAACTGCGAACTGCCAGCATCCCAATTTGCATTCGCCCGCCTCCCCAAACACCCATCATTTCCCGTACACTTTTATTCCAGACCGCCAAACATTGGAAACTCCTCACAGCACTCGCCCACTACCCCTCGGTCGTGACTCTTACTCGACTACTCGTGCTCCGTACCTAGCCATTTACAGCACCGCACGCCTGCATAAGCTTACCTCTCGCTGGAGGTGCTGCCGTTTGCCGTCACTGCTTTTCTCCCCACTCCCCTCGAATTCTTCGACACCTCAGACTTACACATCTAGCAGCCTTACCATCTGCTATCTAACAACACCAAACACGCGTCTACTCCGGTCGCAATTGCATAGGTTATAGTTCAATTAGACCCGCCTTCCGGGCTTTGTGTGCCTTCTATGGATCCCGCTACGAAGAGAGCCAGCACTGTCAATCCGGCCTTTACTTTGTCCGCCAGACAAGAGCAACTTCTCTTTGCTGCGCTCAACTCCAACACCAAGCAAGCAGATAAGTCCTCGCCAGTTCAGAATATCCAAAACAGCGGCATATTTTCCATGGCTCCAACTGCCTTCTCCGAGTCGCCAGTCCAAGCTCCGGCTTCTGGCACCTTGGGTGGTCTCGATGACAGCCCTTTCATTGATTATGAACAAGATTTCGAATTTGATGCCGATGGAAGCTATGATTATGGTTTCGACAATGGATCGCAAGGCCAGATGATTGGCAAATTACCTGGGACCTCCTCAGACGGAGAGGCCGACAGTCATGATAAGCGCAGCCATCCGGATGACGAGGAGGAGGATGAGGACGGAGGTGGAAAGCGACGAGAAGGTGACGAGAAATCGTCAAAGAAGCCTGGCCGCAAGCCGCTGACTTCAGAACCTACCACAGTAAGTAATCCAGGTTGGTCTTGTATACTCGACCATACTAATGCGGTCGGCTCCAGAAGCGCAAGGCCCAAAATCGTGCCGCTCAAAGAGCCTTCCGGGAACGCAAGGAAAAACATCTAAAGGATCTTGAAACCAAGGTTGAGGATCTCCAGAAAGCTTCAGAGTCGGCAAATCACGAAAACAGTATTCTTCGAGCTCAGATTGAGAAAATGTCGACCGAGCTCAAAGAGTACAAAAAGAGGTTGTCCGTTGGGGCCGGTGTCGCCCGAAGCTCATCACTTAACAGCAAATACCCCGCGTATCTTTCTGGACAAGGCCTCGGGGGAGGGTTGAACAATCCAAACGATGTCAACTTCTCATTCGAGTTTCCGAAATTCGGTCGCCTTCCTGGTCCTCCTTTGGCCGGTGTAAATGGTCTTGTTAATGGAGCGAGACAGTCCGCATCCCCAGTCTCCACCATAAACCAATCAATCAGCCCTATTGATAGAGATCAAATTAGCCCCCGTAACCAATCTCAACAATTTGCGCCTCCTGCCAACACCGTCTCCAATATGGGCATAACCAGAAGTCCTGTATTGCTTGATGGTGGGGATATGTCAAGTCTATCTGGACTATTTAGTCCCTCGATCCTTGAGAGCGTCGGAAAGAGTCCCGATTATGACTTCTTTGGCAATAGAACTAATACAAACGGGTCCAGGTCAAGTGGGGATGGCAATGTGAGCACTGGTCACAATACATCATACAGCTCGCCATCGGCTTCATCGAATTCCAACAATGGGCCGAACTCGTCTTGCGGTACTTCTCCAGAGCCTACTATGCAATCACCTCAAATCAACAAACCAATTGACTCGACACTAACCACCATTGGAGAAGAACATTCTAGCGAGGCAAATGCTGCAGGTGAGCTCACCTTTTGCGACAAGCTCAATATGGCTTGTGGAAATCCCAACAATCCAATTCCACGTACAATGTCTGAAACTTCTACAACTTCAGGAATCCAAGAGGCTCAGACCCCAGCGTTCGACATTAATGGAATTGATTGGTTTGCCCAACAAAATGACAACCAATTCGATCCGCAATTATTCAATGACTACCGCGAGCCTCAGGACAACATCCTCTCCACAGATGTATTTGGCGATAATAGCTTTTTCGGTGATGCGTACACTATGCCAGACTTCAGCACACCATACAACGTTGAAGCCAGTCCAATCGCCCCTAAGAAGGATCTTGTACAGCAGATAGACGAGCAGCAGAATGCGGATGAGGAGGTTGTTCCGGCTGACGATAGATCAAAAATGCTTAGCTGTAACACTATTTGGTATGCTTCTGTGAATTTCATTTTATGGTGGGAACATGCTAACAAAATACTTAGGGATCGTCTGCAAGCTTGTCCAAAGGTCAAAGAAGGCGATTTCGATCTCGACAACTTGTGCAAGGATCTACAGAAGAAAGCAAAATGTTCAGAGACCGGTGCGGTGGTCGATGAATCTGATTTCCAGAAAATAATGAAGTCGTATGTCGACAATGACAACACCAAGAAAGCAACGAGATAGGCTAACGCACCTTGACGACTATAAACATACACTTCAGCGGCATTTCACGGGAATTGAGGCGTTCAATACAATATAAAAAATGGCTCTATTTGCCAAAGGAGGGGGTTTTATCATGGATAATGATATGGCGTCGTACGGTTAGGTCTTGAATGACTGGTGGATTGATTTTGGGAATGGGAGTATACCTGTGGAGGATGTGAGGGAGATGAGAGCGGGGCTCGAAGTGGCTCATTCAATCGCTACTACTTCTTTATCAATGAATGGAATGCCTTGTTTCTTTTTCGGAAATAGGAAGGGGAACGTTCATTTTCCTGTCTGTATGGTAGCAGCGGAGTTTATCATCTGATATGTTGATTAGCTTGCTATGAGAATAAATTTAACTAGCGTTATGATATGATATACGTTTATCCACCAGTGCGTTGCAAACCCGACGGGATACTTTTCAATTACCACAACATTGGAAAAACAGCTTCCCCAGTATTCCTCTCTTATTAGGTAGATTTACTGTTATTGCTTACCGTAAGATGCATCGCAAGAGACAAAATAGTTTATTTACTTGAACAAATTAGCCACCACATATTATGAGTCGAATATAGTATTACTCCACCAGCCTGATCCATACTCAAACCTCTCCCTGCTGTTACTCCTCTCTCCACAACCTCGGTATCTGTCCCATCTTTTAGCTTTATTGTTTTCAATAGCTCACTAAAACTATCACTGGCATCACTTGACGTAAGTGATCTTGATTAAGAGCTCATGGGTTCTGAATCACTGGTGACGATTTTACCACGTGCAGGTGCGTATCTGCTTATCTAGGCACTTGCAGAATATATCCCGTGCTGCGACTCGGGCATTATACAGTTTTTGGTTCTCTATATCATGTCTTCACATGAATTGAATCGATCGAAGTCGGGTTTGTTTTTTCCATAATACTTCTCAGCCGCTAATATGTAATCTTACCTGAGAATCCTCTCACTTCACAATCACACTTCCAAACTGAACACACAATTTCAACACGTAATCAAAGTGGTATCATATTCATCCTAACCTAACTATGCTATAGTCCCTTCCCCATCCTTCCTCTTCCCACCCTCCGTAATCACCAACACCACTAACAACCCAATACCCATCATCTCACACTTCCCCCAAAATCTTCAACTCTTTCAACCCTTACTCCTATATATGTATGAGAAAAATGGAGCAAATGCCACATAAAACAAAAGGAGCAATCAACAAATTCAACTCCCGCTTTCCATGTACAAAAAAATATGCTGTTGAGATAAGATGCCCACCATGATACATGCATTACATCCAAAAACCCGTCGAAACAGAACGGATCTGGTAGGTAGATAACCACCCATATGTCCATCAGCTAATGAACGACGATGCGATTTGGAAGTGGCTAGGCGAAGCTCATTCGAAGATATGGTAAACACATTTGGCTGGAAACCCGAATGCTGATGATTCGTCCAGGATAGAACGTATGTTCACTGTTTGATAACAACACAGTAAGATCCAACACGAGGCGACACGACGTCTATTTAGCCGTCGAGGCCCCACTACTAATGACAACTCTGGCACCTTCCTTCCCCAAAATGCCCCGCTCCTGCGGCTTAGGACTATGTCCCCTGCCTCTCTTCCTGCTTAGGAAGCCCAACATACCGTTCGGTCTATTGTCTGAATCGTTCAGTTTAGCATCTACAGGAAGAGTAGCATCCTTCTTGGCTAATTCGGTCCAGCTTCCGGTTTCGCCCAAGACTACTTGCATGCCACCTCCCATTGATTCCTTTCTCGAACCTCCAGGTCTCGTAGGCCTGCTATATGATGGTTGATATGGTGATATTGGTGGTTTTGGATTCGAGGTAGTTGAGACTGTCCGAACAGTGGGAGGTTTTGATTGCGAATGGCCGTTGGGTAGAGGAGGCGGATCCATTGGTGGTGATCCTGAGGGTGAGGGAGTTCCCGATTTTGAGTTCTGATTCCGTAACCTCGAAACAGGCTGAGTACTCGCTGAATGTGAAGCACTACCTTTGCTGCTATGAACACTGCTTTGGGTACTTGCCACCCTTCTACGGGTTCGAGGAGATTTTTGAGGAGAATCGATTGGACTCTCGCTTGTGGCGACACCTATTGTTGGGTCTTTACCTTCTGCAAATCTGCAATATCGTTAGCAAAGCCAAAAAGTAAGTATGAAATATGCTCACTTCTCAAATGCTGCTTGCGTATAATCGAATGCTGCGAATTGGTTTTCGATCAGTCTGTAGAGTTCATCCTCCCGGATTTCCTTATCGGTTGCGTCCTCTCTAAGTTGTTCCCTAGGTTTCTGCCGTCGCGCCCTCGCTTCTAAAGGTGCTTCCTCCAACAATAGTTCCTCCAAGTCGTATGTCGCATCGAAATTGGTCTTCTCTCCAGATGGGATGAAAACGGGTTCCACTTCTTTTCTTTCCAGTGCTTCAAAATCTATTGGTCTAAAAAATGGATTATCACTAAAACTCTCAAAGCTCATTGACCCCATGCGTTTGCTTGGGTCTTCTTCGAGAGCTGAGCTGATTGCGTGAAGGCATGGCATCGTTACCGGGGGATTCGTAATTGGAAAGTTTGGGTTGGCTTTGGTGATTTGGGCTGCGAGGCTAGAATGAGTGCTGCCATCAAATGGGCGCTAAAGGGGTATCGTTAGATCATGTTGATCGGCCAGATTTGAGCACTTACCTTGTTGTAGATACATTCGTAAAACAAAACACCCAGCGACCACCAGTCCGCCCCTGGCCCATAACCAGTGCCTGTATATACTTCGGGAGCAAGATATGCGAGAGTACCGGATTTGCTTGTTAATTGACGACCTGGGCTATAATCGGAGGCAACGTTCTTTGAATCGTCAGCAGAGTCCATAGAAATCAGAGGTCCAAATCCTTACAAAGTCCGCCAAATGTATATGGCCTTCGGAGTCCAGTAATACGTTATCCGGCTTCACGTCTCGATGTATGATTCCTTGGCTATGTATGTATCTGAGAGCACATCCCAATTCTGCAATCCAAAAACGAACCGCCTCTTCTGTGAAAGTCTTTCTCGAAATGTGGAATCGTAGATCGCCGCCGTTCATTAAATCGACTACGAGGTACCTGGTGGGATTATTAGCGACTCGTCATCGAATGGGTGGTGGCCAACATACATGTACTCAATGTCTTGAAAACTGTACCGCAGATTGCATATGAATTGATAGCTCAGGTGCTCCAGCATTCGTCGCTCCCTGAGTATGTTCCGTACACTTTCCGACCTCACAACTATGTTTGCCCAGGTCAGCGCTGGTACTGTAAACTTTCTGTCTAAAACGAACCTTCGTCTTTGCGTATGTATTTCAATGCAAATGTCAACCCTGTGTCCTTTCTCTCCACGATGCGAACCTTGCCGAAGGCGCCCTTTCCGACCACTCGAAGAAGGCGAAAATGGTTCAAGTTTACTATCCCACCACCACGGTTAGCCGGTGAACTCTGAAGTGCCAGATGCAGACTGGAGGCAAGATCTCGCTGCTAATGCAGTGCATTGGCTGTCAAATCTTTCCCGGACACCCCGCTTACCATCATCGTCGAAGCAGACCTGCTTCCCGCTTGAATTCCCCATCTTGTAGAGACTCTGCGACCCAGTACTTAGGCCGGTAGAATATGTCTTGAGAAGTGTTGTTGCCCACAGGCATGATCAGTACGAGAAGGCTTTCATGCACCGAATGGAGAGAATAATGGTAGTGAGAGTGAAAGGGCTCGAATGCGTCCAGGGTCGTTCGGGGTCGATGTCGTGCGCTGGTTTGTATTGATAGGGAGAATGCCTAAAGAACCGGCGACAACAAAGGCCGACAATAATCGAAGCGAAGGCGAGGATAAGTAGGTAGGTAGGTACCTATGGCAATGCAATGCAGTCGTGAGTGAATTCGTTTCGTGCCCGGCGTGGTGCAAGAAGTCGTGATAAATAAATGCTGGAGAAGATCGAAGACTGAATAATGGGTTTCCAGAATAGTTCGAAACCTCCTGGAATGTTTTAGATGGAAGAATGGAAGGGTGAAGGAATGTTTAGCGGGCTGAAAAAGAAGCTCTGGCAGGCAGGGCGGGAGCCAAAATAGGACCACTACTGTCTGGCACTGATCAATGGGAGCAAGCAAGGGCGGCGAGCATTCCTGGGCGGCTTCCGAAGGGTGTTTCCTGGTCTGAGTCTGGTGGCTCTGGTCCCTCCTCGACTCACGCTGTCGTTCTTTCTCTCAACACCACCAACACTTCAATAATGCGACCTTTGATACCGCCGTCGCCACGCCCAACGTCTTCTTCCGGATGCACGCAACTCCACGTCTCTCCGATGGGGCTCCTGGTTGGTCGTCGGGGGGCCGCTGCCTCCAGGCGATTCCTGAAATGGGCAGAGGGTGTTCGACCGGGACGAAAAGGGCTGGAAAGAGGTTGGAAAGAGCGTCAATGACTACACTACAACCACGGATGGAGTACAGAGCATGCAGCGATGCAGATTCACCCGCTGGGAATAGCACTCGGCAGCCTTATCGTCTTTGGAGAAGCGGAAGCACAAGAACACAGACGCATGAGACGAGACGGCACGATGAAGATGCTGGAACTGGAACTGGCACTGGCACTGGGCACTTGTCTTTATAAAGCGTCCACCGACACCGACACCGACACCGACACTTGGTGCCAGTGCACTGAGATTTGCTGGGTCCTTGACTCCTTGGTCCTTGACTGGAGCTGACGGTGGCCCATGTCCTTCCTCAGGAGTCAACTTCCTTTCTCTCGGTGCGTTTGACCACCGCTGCCATCATGCCAGCCAGCAAGCCAGCAAGCCCAGCCATGCCCATGCCGGTGCCATGTCTTGCCTTGCAACTCGCTGCACTCCCGGACCAGACCCCTATGGACGGCCACGTTCAGCGGAGACGCACCGAAGGGGTTAGCCAGATCTGACCCGCAGTCCACGTTGTGGGCAAAGATATACAGATTTGCGCCATACAGCATCCTGTATATTGCTGCTTATCGGCCACTTAATATGGTTATATGCTCTGGTGCTTCGTCGCATGCCGAGGACTGATCCTCGGCATCTTCTTCCCCTTACAAATCGTGGTCAGACAGACTGGAGGTCGACAAGCTCTGTTGCTGCATTTCATATTTTCCCCTCAGTCGTGCTGTTCAAGCGGCCGCCGCCCTTTTCGTGCTTCACTGCCAGGTGGTGGTTGCAATCAGCACATGTTCTGTCAGCATTCAAATTCCCGGTGGGGAGCGCTGCTGGCTCACGACAGGAGGACTTGCACAAGGCAGCGGGTTGGGCAACGTGCTGGTTGGCCAGTTTCGACCAGAGGAGCCGGTACGGGGCACTGTGCCTCTGACCTGCCGTTGTGCCATGCCACCATTCTGTGGACAGGGGCGATGGCCATGCTGTTCCCACATGGCCATCCTTCGTCGTCCCGAACGTCACCAAATCAGAGGCTAGAAGATCACAAGAATCAGAAAACGCCATCGGTTGGACTGTCGAACCTCTCTTCCTCCAGCCGGACCACCACTAAACACCTACATGCAGCCTGGAAGCGAACAACAACCTTTTGAGGAGACTTCCAGAATTCTAAATATGCGTTACCGCTTTTCGTCCGATAAAGACTCCATGTTGATGATGCTCAAGTCGATGATCCCAAGGGTTACGCTCCGTTCTTACGTGCCGTAGCGAGCGATCGCCCCTTTTCTAGCACGATATCAACGTCAAGGACAACAACAACATCACTCCATATAATGAACATACAAATAGTGAAGTTCTTGCTCTTCTAGCTTTCTGATTAAATTCATCAATGCTGCTTTTGTTTCATCATTATCTCTATTGATGGTTCATGGTTGACGGATGAGCTGTCATTATAATTGCAGATTCACGAAACAACCTGGATTTAGTAAGATTAGACCCTGTCTCAAATCTTCTCCGAATTGCGCTCAAAATCCTCTCGTCACATATCAAAATTAAATCTACGACAGTCGACATAAATGTGGTTCCAACTGAGACCTGATCTACTTGACCACCAGCAAGCCTGGTTGGTTACACGATGTCCATTGTACGACAGAAGGATTATTCTAACTTGGAACAAATCCTCCCTCGTGGTTCTGGACACTAAAAGAGACGCAATCTTACTGAGACTGATCCCATTGCCTAGAACTAGGTTAGCGGCAGCCCTACCTGCCACTTTGGTGCATATCGTACAAGAGTTGGAAGAATGGATTTAACCCGGGGAACGAGAAACCTCCGCGTACCTTCCGTTCATTCGCCTTCAGCCGCGGCAGCTGCACAACAAAGAACGATATGGCCACGTGGAAAGGGAGATCATGCAAGGGCTGAGAATCATCTTATTGATCTTAGACATGTCGGCCCAATGAGTTGGCCTGTTGGTTCCTGCATCAGACAAACAAAATTGCAGTTGTGTTCGAAAGGATCAATAGGATTGCCTTTGTTCTAGAAGAAGCTTGGGCGTCTTCTTTTGCTCGTGGATTTCGGTGCAGCTGAAATCCAAACACCAAATGGGTAAGGAGGAATAAGAGTGAAGAGGGAAAAGGAGCTTCCTGTAGCAGTCAGTCCACTTCGTAAGTTAAATTTTCACGAATAATTATCGTTCAAGCTATCACTACTAACATCACTGACCTGAGTCATATTCTGTCCTCACTCACACCGCTCCACGCATCCTCCACTTCTCCACATGCGAAACAAACCTACGAAATTGATGATCAAAGTACATTATTGACTACTGTAAAGTCTACACCTTTTGCCAGATGAGTTCTAGCCGCGCAGTTGTCCCTCCTCTACACGCCTCTCGGTACGCAGTGAAATGCACAAAGAAGCGCCAAGTTATCTTTCAATCCCCTGAACCCACTCGTACAACTTTCGGACCCTGAATCTCCAAAAAATCGGCCGATCCGAAAATCTAACTACGACTCTGCGACACGACCAAATATTGTGGTTTTCATCCAACAAGCCAAAAGTGCTACCTCCAAGGGGCTTCCCGCGAGCTGGTGTTGCTCTGCAGCTCTCACACGTGAAGGGAAAGCTAGCGTGTTTCTATTTTAAAACACCCAATTTCTTCAGATGGAAGATTTCGATATCGAGGCGCGTGTACGGCACGTCCATCCACTTACTATTTAGACGCTTGGACGAATTGTGCGACTCGCGAGTAATGACTCTGCACACAAGAATGCACTGGCTACAACCTTCGCTTATGATTGCAGTTTTAGAGATTAAGATTCTGTCTGAACTGTTGTAGAACGATTTGAATATCATCATTGGTCTGGATGCTCCGAAAAGCTTCTTGATAAGATTGTCTTGTACTTTCTTTCCAGTCACTTGGAGCTTGTCACTGGTCGATGCTTCCAACTTTGTGAACTGTGGCCAGGATTAAAACGGTAAGATTTAATGAAAGGTCTCAGAGGGCAAATCGTCATGAAAATCCGGAGTACCTGGTGGAACACTAGTACAGTATTGACTTTCTTCTACTGTAACTTGTCAGTATGGTCACAGATTGGCTTTTGGTAGTGCCCACGATGGCACGATCATCCGTGGTACCGGTTCCGCTAATTGAGATCTACACGCCCAATTGTTCGGAACTAGGAACACCTGTCCGCTCTGGAAACGAGTGGCTACAGTATCTTTTATATTACACTCAATCGGTGTATTACTGAATCATGGATTCCTAGATGGATAATTTCGAGATCCTCTTAGCGAGATGAAATCTTTCTCTAAACACTTTTCTCATGTCATTGTTTGGAGGTGGAGGGACAGTCCACTTGGGTTTGGAAATCTTTCTAGTATCTAACTGGAATCATCTATAGATTGGTCACTTTGTATAAGTACCATAAATATGATTCGCTCTTCATACCCACCCTTACCTCATAAACCGCTTTGCTTCTGTACTCCGTACGGTGGAGAGATTCTTCTGTGTCTCAAACCCTTTCTTCTAAATTATATCAATTAGAGACTTAGTCGCGGCTTAATATACCTGGAGTGAAGTTTTCTCATAGATAGCAGTGAATTATTGCGACAGGCAACAAATTCTAATACAGAACACCCTAAGATTTAGAGTTGGTGAAGTGAAAGAACAAGTAAGAAGTTGGTTGTCGATGTGAAGGTCAAGGCTTGAGACCGCTCTAGAAATCAACTTCGCTAAGCGATGACAGCCTAGAGCAGCATTCGACATGCAACAAAACTTAACCGTTGTCTAGGCCAGTTTTCGATATGCAATAAGAAGCTGGACTCGCCAGTCATCAACATGCAACAAAATACCATGGTCGCTGGCCTAGTTCAATGATCGAAGTGCAACAAACCATCACCCCTCGCTTGTGCAACGACCGATATGCAACAAAACCTTGATGCTGCCAAAGCATCGTGAGAAGCTCTCTTGATTATTCACAGTCGAAGCACCAAAAAGGGACAGGTGAGCATTCATAACATTCAATGAAATATATAGCTCAATTAAAGTCTTATAATTCTTGCCGCAATTCTAATTGTAGATAGCTCCATTACCGAGATGATGTGACAAAAACAATAATAGTAAGCCGAAAGGATGTAGCTGTCTATGTGGATAGAGTAAAATAACAATATGTTAGCTCTGAAACGAAACTTTTATAACCCGCTCTCCCTCAGGGCCAGCGTAACCCATCACTCAAGCAACACCCATAGAAACCTTCCCCTTAATGCTCCTCCACGGAGAAAAGAAAGCAATCAGCACTGCTCCTCCACTGGTAGCGATGGCAATAGCATAAGTGACTTTCAAGGCAGCCATATACGATACCAATAATCCAGGAAGCTGTTCCTCGGTGAAAGCGTCACGTAGACCAGTTGCTCCGGCTAGGATAACGCGCAGGGGATCGATACTTGGGACGTTCTTGCGTAGTTCTGAGATGAGTGTGTTGACGAATGCTGCGTTTGCGGCGGAGACGAGGAGGGCGCCGCCGATTGTTTGGATGACTGTAACGTGGTCAGTATTAGAATTATGTGAGAATGGAAATGAAGAGGTGTCTGAGGGTGGGCATGATGATTCAAGAAATCATTTTCTCAAATCAATTGACTCAATCGCATATATTGTCAATTGTTTTGAGTAAATACCGGTTTTCGATGCCACTGATCTTATCCATAGCGAGTGTCACTTACACATCAAAATTGCCGTCACAGTTGCGACGTCTTCATCTTCAGCGAGTGCTTGTCCAACCATTATCGGCGCCTGGAAGCTGATCCCAAGACCGATGCCGGCCAGAATCTGGAATCCTATCCAGTGAGATGAGGGTGAACCGATGTCTAGGGTATATAGTAACCCGCTTCCGATAGTCGTGAGAACTGCGCCTGCTATGAAGAAGGGCGTGAAGTAACCGAAGGTTGTGAGGGCACCGCCGGAAAGTACGATGAAAAGGGCTGTGGGATAGATTAGAAATAAGAAATTGGGGTTGGAAATTTTGAAGACTTACTCATGGCGATGATGAAAGGTAGGTTTCGAATTCCGCTGTCGGATGCGGAGACGCCTTGGACGGACTGAAAATATATTGCTAGAGTGGATATTAATTTATATTGGGTGTTGAAGTTGTTCGATGTTGACTTACGAAGGTAGTATAATAAGACAAAAAAAGAACCGCCGAATCTATGATCAAGTTAGAGGGGAAACTGCAAGTATGATGTCTGCTCAATAAGTGGCTTACACTCCAGTAAAAGCACAGCATACGATCATCGTTCGATCTTTCATAAGCCGCGGCAGAAACAAAGCTCGATCTTTCTGCAGATATTCGACCAAGCCAAAGGCAATGACAATTAATCCGAATCCGACAAGTAAGCCAATGACTGTCGGCGAGTTCCAGGCTTTGGCGACACCGGCGTCCTGCAATGCTAGTATGTAACAAACGACAGCCGCCATGATTAGAGCGGCACCGGGCAAATCCATTTGAAGAATCTTTTCGCGGAGAGTCGTATCGTTGGCCACGTTCGCCCTGGATTGCAGTTAGAAAAGAGAAGTTAATATGGTTGGATTGCGGTGGACGAGAAGTTTTGGTAACCTGGCAACTCTGGGTACTATTTACTCAAAGCAATTGACAAAATACGTGATTGTGCCAAATTGATTGAGTAAACAATGTATCTTGACTATAACTTATCTTGTGTACCGCGGGATTGGGTACGTACCCTTTTGGTGTTTTAAAGAAGAATAAAATGATTGCAGCAGATACTCCTCCAATTGGGAGATTGATGTAGAAACCTGCAAACCAAATTAGTACCACTAAGGAGACTGAAGTCTAGGATTACTTACACCATCTCCAAGATACCTTTGCTGTGAAGAAACCGCCTAACAGAGGGCCAACTACACTAGCAAATCCACTGAGAGTCGAATTGTCAGTCAATTAAGCGAGAAAGTATAGATTTGACTTACTATGTAGCCCCGAGAATACCATTGAACGCCGGTCTCTTCAACGGCGGCACGGAGAACGCGATGATAGTAAAGCAGCCTCCTAGAATACCGGCAGCTCCTAGTCCAGTGATCGCTCGACCAACCTGCACACAAATCAGTACACATATAAAACTAGGAATTTATTTTGAGTAGCTCACGATCAAGACAGCACTATTTGGCGAGACCCCTACAATAATCTCAGTAAACAAAACAGAGTATCAGTTGAATTAGAGAACATACCACATATCAAGCTCCCTAATTCGAAAATTGCGATACCGAGTAGGAAAACCGGTTTGAGGTCGAAGTACTTATACGCTTTACCCCAGGTCGATTGGAACGATGCTATAGTTAAGAAGAAAGCTGACGCATACCTAATAGATGTATCCGTTAGCATCGATCTATTAAGGTGACACAAAAGGGGGGGTGGCTGACCATCCAATATCCTCAAGCGAGTTGAAGTCACTGGTAATTTCTGGAATTGCAGTAGAGAGAATAGTCTAGATCGATGTGTTAATGAGCCGACCGATAATGTCTCTAATCATAAGATACATTGAATCTTACCATATCCAGTGCAGCCTGTCCAAGTCAGTTTCACCTCCCGAGCTGTGGGTGGATGTAATATCAAGCTTACCAAGAACATACTGAGTACCAACGCCACGACAGTCATAACCAGCTTCAGCTTTGTAGGATACTCCATAGTAGTAATCGTCTCATCTGGAGAATCCGATGAGGCATCGAGAATAACCTCTTCGAGTTTCTCCCTGGATTCGTTCATCTTTGATTTTGTTATTTTCGAATCGCAAAACTTGACATTTGATTACAAAGAATTGAGTGTTTTATATACGAAAGAACGAAGCGGATAACTGAACAAGTAAGTCTTAATCACGAACGAGAAGGTGTGTGGTATTTGAGTATGTGGGATGGTGAATATTACCTTGCATAAGATCGCGGCACCCTTTCGGCCGTATAACTGTATAATAAGTTTCCGAGCTGATGATTTCCGAGGTGTTACAAAATCAGTGCGCTTTTTTTTGGTCCGTATCTTTGTTGGTGCTTACAAATGTTGAAGAGAACGGGTAAGGAATTTATCTCCTATTACTCTATGAGTCTCCACCGAAGCTTTGGTTTAGTGCAGGTGCTGGAAGAGTTTGACCCAACTTGTTTCGATTGAAATTGATGCTAATTGGGCTTAAAACTGCAGGCGCGATGGGCGGCATCAGGGTTCATCGGTCTGCTAGCCAGAGTTGCATGAGCATCTTACCAAGATCTTTTGGCTAATTATGATTGTTCAGAACATAAGAGTAAATCAAAACTAGCTCGAAAATAGTATTATTACTAGAAGTTCAAGTCGTTGAGCCATGCCCAGTCATTTTCAAAATTAGGCATGGTAGCACTTGTCCAATCAATGTCAATAGAAGGTTCGTCCACGCGTGGGCTTGACAAGAAGCCTAGATCATTGCTTGATGCCATGATTGGAGGTTGATTGACCTGGCCAAAGGATCCATCATACATATTGTGTGTGAGAGAAAATTCTGGGGGCGGTCGGGGAGCAGGTTGCAAGCATTGGCTTCTAGTCTCGGTGATATGTTTACCAGGCGTTATGGTAATTGTCCCAATGTGAGGAACCACTATTCTCGCGTGAGGATCAACACATGCGCTTCCAGTTGCACAACTATTACTGTCTAGAGATAATAAAGTCTCTAGGCCTTGCACTGCCTGTGATGCAATCGGATTGTTCACCGTACCAGAAGCTTGTCGAAGAGTAGCAACTGTTAACCCTATTAGGTCTCGATCTTTGTCCCGATTTGTGAGTTGATGTGTAGCATCGCCGTAACCTAATAACCCCAGAATCAATAAAGTAGAGCATATGAAAGCTTGATAGTCAATCAATTTGACCATACTGAAAGCTGCAGATGCATCGGAGCGCATAATGTGATGAACTCTCAGTAAATTCCGACAGGCTTCAAGGCAAAAAATTCGATGTTTTTCCAGTAGTTTATCTTCGACCGAATGAATCATGAGTGGCATGTGGAGCAGAGCTAGCAACTGATGAAGCCAACACTGTGCTGAGATACTTTCAAGATATTCTGGCTGTGTGATTTTCCCGCAAGCTAAAGCAGCTGGCGCGTTCCAAAACGTATCATCAAGGTCTTTTGTAGCTGCCTCAATCTCTTTTTGAATTGCATCCGTGTGTGAAACTGAAAGTCCAAGGCCCATTTGATTTCGATCAATAACCTTTACGGATAATATGATTAACTTGTGATGTAGCAAAGACCTTGCGTTATGCTGGCTCTCAACAAATGGAATCGTACGTCCATCAGCGGCGTAGGGTAGGCCAAGGAGCAAAGACATGTACACGTCTCTAGAGCATACTGAAAGCCACCCTTGAGTACGACAATTTCTTTCCGCCTCAGTCTCACTTGGCGTGAGTCGTTCTGGACGATGGAAACCAAGTAGGTGGCTATAAGCAATGGCTCGATGGACGAGCATCCAGCAGTTTCGATGCATTCCAAGGTTCACTAACAAAGTTAGATTCGCACGTCAGATTCGAGTGCTAAGTGCTTACTGTGAATCGTAGCCGAGAGTATAGTTGCCTCAATACCAGCCCCTGTACTGGCACAGTCCGGATCATTTAGGACTAGACGGTCCACGCTTTCAAAGTAGTCCTGGAAAATTTCTCCCGGCAAACGAGGAAGTTTGCGGATGATGAACTGGTGCACTCTCGAGTCTAGATGCTGAAGGCATATGGCAATGCAAAGCATGGCAAGTCCGACGATTGAGGGGTCAGAGGATTCTAACGCCCACAGCACAAAGTCTTGCAGTGTTGAAGTGTGCAAGTCGTCGACTGATGTGAACAATCTTGGTCCAGCTCTCCTGGTCAAAGTTAGCGACGATTACAGTTTACCATTCTGGCGGAGGACAAGACAAATGCTAGTTACCTGCCCAATAACTCTTGGACTGTGGAAGTCGACTTCGAATAGAGCTTAAGAAGCTGCTATTTACTTAAAATGATTGACAGAACTGTGATAGTGTGCCAATCTAATTGACGCAACGTCAATATTTCGTCAATTGTTTTGAGGAAATATTGTCTTTTGACAGCCACTTATTTTGTCCTGAGCCAGCCACTAAATCGGGTGACATCTCGTGTCTGCCCCTCAGCTATTTACTGTTATACTTTGGGACAATTCCGTACAAACTGATATCTCAGAGTATAACAGAGATCACTTTGTACGCAATTGTCTTAATATTTAATAGTAGAAATAGTTGGAAGAGTTCCTCCAAATATAACAGTGAATGCCAGCCATACAAGGAACACCTCAAACGATGAGAGAAAATGCTTTGTATGGAATTATGGAATTATTCATATCTACATGGGTAGATTCAAGTCGAAAAATTACTATAAATATAACAGTTAATGCCCTACAAAGCGTTATCTCATATGATTGACAAGGCTTTATACGCTTTTATCTTGCAACGAACGAAGTTGAGATTATCACTTCAAGTACAAGCTAACAGCAAATGTCGTACAATCGATTGTCTCAAAATCTAACAGACAACCGTTTGTACGCAGTTTGCGCCAAAATAGAACAGGAGATGAGAACGGGTGAATTGAGTATCGAGTATCTGGTCTACCAATGAAGGAACTTACCATGTATGCCACCAGGAACATGTTGCATTCAATATCATTCCAAGAATTTCGGACGATATAAGACTACTTAGAAGCGAGTCACGAATGCGTGTACGCTTGGCTGCCGCTGGATTTGCCTCGATGTCTTTGGAGCGCTCTTGGGTCAGATCGGTACTTCGACGTCTCCACTAAACCCTGTTAGTAACCATGCGCCCACCGGACGGCAATGAACATACAATAGCGTTATCAAAGAGTGTTACAATAGGATCGATGCTTTGCGGTGAATGGTTGCCGAGGTAGGGTCGCTCTGCATCGTCGTTTAACCGGGAATCAGAAACGGCACCATCAATTGAGCTATTATTGTCACTGCGTGATGCTTCAATGATAGCTTCCAGCTTAGCAATTCGTTCTCGAAGACTATCTTTGCTCTCGGGGCCAGACTTTCCAAGCAGTTCACGCCTTTGCTCGATACAAGCCTTTCCTTTGGAGGCGCAACCGTCGCAAGTTGTGGAGTCGCGGCCGCCAAAAATGCATCGAACCTTTCTTCTGCGACATTCGTAACAACTCCGGGTTCCCTTTCTCATGGCTTTACCTAAGCGTTCGATATCTCTGGACGAGTTTGAAGCCTCCCTGCGCATTTCGGAAGTCATTGGAGATTGCATTATTGTTCACTTTGGCAACTGGCTTTGAAGATTCAGAAGGTTCGTCCGCCTTTCAGCGATTGGATAGCTTTTTGGTTAATGTGGCGTAAAGAACGGCTTGTCGGCGAATAAGAGTACCTTGTAAGGCACAGTGATCCATCCAACTCTGCCCCCTACCGGTAATCAGGGCTCAAGGAAATAAGCGAAACGATAGATATTCGTCCGAGCCATGGGAGAAGTCCTGAAGTTCAAAGCCTCAATTGTTGTGAGCTAATGATGAAAGAGATACCGGTACTTGGGGGAGTCTGATATCATCAGCAATGTTCTCGGGCCCCCGGAAACCTGATAGGCGCCTCGGCGTTAGCAGTTTGCTCAGCAAGTGCCACATCTATCTGGAATTTGCAACATGACTTCTGTGTAACAAGTGTAGGTTTGTAAGTCAGGAGCTGGTAACGGACAAAGAGTATCCCACTCTCGGGGACATTACAGCGCGATGCTCTGTACCGTGGTACTATTTGCGCTAGTGTCATCGCCTAGACTCATGTCTAGACACCAGAAGGTATTCTGAAGCCGACAAGATCTTAAGCTCTTTCGCATATAATACTCTTTCACTTCCCCCAAAGCTTTTCTAAACAATGATCACTTGCGTCCGACTTTACTAGCATCATAGAACTTCCACTACGACTTTCATTTTAGTGGTGACAAGATTAAGCACCTTCCTTTGTTTCGATTAGCCAAAGACATCCTGAAATCACTTCAACTCAGCTACTTCATCATGGGCTGGTTCACCTACTTCCTCTACTCACAATTCTTCGTCACACTACCGAAACCTACCAAAGATTTCTCAGGCGAAACAGTCATTGTGACGGGCTCGAACACAGGGCTTGGACTCGAAGCTGCACGACACCTTTCACGACTCAACGCAGCCCTAATCATTTTAGCTGTCAGAAATACCGACAAAGGGGAAGCTGCCAAAAAAGAGATTCTATCAATTACAGGACGTCCCGAGGCAAGCATTGAAGTATGGCAGCTTGACATGCAGTCATATGAGTCAATAAGAGCGTTCTGTGCCAGGGCTGAGAAGCTACCCCGACTTGACGCTGTACTTGAGAATGCCGGTATAGCGACCAAATTCTTCAAGATAGTGGAAGGATACGAGTCTGCAATCACCACGAATGTGATCGGCACCTTTCTCTTAGGTCTAGGGCTGTTACCGAAGTTGAAGGAATCAGCGGCCAAATACAACATACAACCGAGACTTTCTATTGTGGCGTCAGATCTTCACTTCATTGCAAAATTCCCTGCTCGCCATAGCGACGATATCTTCGCTGCTTTGAACGACAAGACTTCGGAACTAGGAATGGAAAGGTCAAAGTCCCTCTCTAATATTTCTTTGCTAATATATTATAACATATTTACGTTGTGTCAAACAGTTCCAATCATACTAACATATTTTCTTATAGATATGCAGTCACAAAACTCCTTCAAGTGTTCGCCGTGCGTGAAATAGGCGCTCTGCTTTCATCCAACTCCAAAGCAAACTCGCCAACTGTCATAATCAACTGTATGACACCGGGAGCCTGCAAGTCAGACTTCGATCGGGAATCCGAGGGCATCGCTAGATTATTTGGCAACTTGTTATCAGCAATCATCGCACGTACCACGGAAGCTGGCAGTAGAGCTCTTGTGCACGGAATTTCAGTTGGTGAGGAAAGCAATGGGACGTGCATGGCGAATTGCCAAATCCATGAGTATGGGACTCTTTCGCACTTTTTCAATGGAGACAGGATCATGCTAACATGCTTAGACCGGGGCCACTCGTACGAGGAGCTGAAGGGAAAGTATTACAGAAGAAGGTGTGGGATCAATTGATAATTCAATTAGAGAATATTCAACCGGGGATTTCTAAGAACATTTGAGTTAGCACAAAGCGTTAGGGCGAGAATGTGGAAAACTAGGACAGAAGAAAATCATGTTCGCAAGGTGCCGGTTCATCAATGTTCAGCGCGACATAGCTGCTGTACTGTACGATATACTAGACGAGTTTTTCACAGGCAGAATGAATACCTTCAACATTTTCTTATATAACCGCATTAGACTGGACAACTTAAGCGAGCGGGAACCTCGAGAAGGCTATTTATTTTCTACTATCATCTACGACACAACACAGACCACGTGGCTGTTGTCAATCCTACATCCTTAATTCTTCATCAATTAAATTGAGGCTTACTTCCTTCTCATTACCTTAGAGGACTTCCTCCAAATCCACCACCTAGACTACCCTTTCCAGGCGTCCACCCACTACCGAATGTGCCACCACTACCAGGCGCCAGGCCAGCAGGTCTTCGGACTGGTGTTGTAGGTCCACTTCCTCCAATCCCAATTCCATTTTCGGGACCTAGATGTCCGTCTTGGGAAATAGGCGGAGTCTCCGTACGCTCAATCAAATGGCCATCTTTTTTCATCTGTGGTGGCTTGTAGTTCATGTCCCTTCCGGTCCGGTATATATCCATCAGTATAGTTTCCAGAATTCCGGCGTCCTGAAACTCTAAGTATTTTCGGTAGAGCTTAAGAGCTGTCCTTGCGTCTTCAATGGAGTCGTGAGTTTCGAGTTGAATATCCTCCTTGAGCAGATACCAGGCTAAGAAAGCCAGCGACAGCTTCCGTAACCGGGCTTTGACGAAAAAGAAGTCTATTGTGTCTATAATCTGAGACTTCGGGACGTGAATATTGGTTACGCGGAAATCCTGTTTCAGCCCGTGACCTAAGAACTTACAGCCTAGATTAAGGAGAATCCAGAGTTTCTTGTAAGCAACTTTGAGAGAAACAAGGTTGTGCTTCGAGAGTCGCGGATCAAGATCACCGTGGACTATACCCGAGTAGGATGTAAGATAATCCACAATGGGTTCTTTACTTTTGATGTAGTCGTCTACGAAGGGAAGGCCTTCGTCAACACCGGATCCACGGACAACAGATACACGGGCAAGGGCGTAAACGATTGGCCTGATGGTCTCTCTTTCGCCATCCGAGTTCATTTCTATTTCCGGCTGTCTAACCGCGACGAATTCCGTATCTAATGCGATAATAGTGCCCTCCCGAGGGGCTTCTTGGGGTGTTAGTGGGCGATAGGTTCTTTTCCCTGGATTTTTACTACTTCCGTCAGTATACCATTAAAGACCTACAGGCAAGACTCACTTGTGGTCTATGTAAAGCAAAGAAGTATCCAAATTGGTCTTCCAAGAGTTATCGATATAGTTGTTCGATTTCGTGAGCTGGTACGTGATTACAGAGGGCATTTTCCAAGTTGTATTGAATGTTAATGCCTCCTCCTTACTGATTGGTCGGACGAGGAAATCATTAAAAAGATGCCACTGGCTTTCGCCCGGGGCTTGAGGTCGCGAATGTGCCACTATTTGTGTAAGTATGTGCCTAAGGGTGTAGCACCATGAAAGACCTACCATTGACAAGAGATACAAGATGTGGCTTCTGGTGCTGGCCACTGTTGATATCAGCCGCGAGGCCAATCAAAGAGTACACTGAAAGATCGAATTTGTCACTTGTTCTTCCTTTTTGCTTTTGAAATTCAAGATCTTTGCCCTGATAGCAAAAGAATTGGCCTTGGGCTACAATAACCCCTATTTCCTCCGGTAGCCATCCAGGGACGGACCAAAGTTGCCTCGCTTCAGCGCTATTGACGGCTGCGTTCAGCGTCAACACTCCCGGTGCATACTGAATGGTATTTCGTGTCTCAAGCGTTCGGTGTCCTTTACATCTGATACACCATCCCTTTGTATTGACGACTCTTTCTACGCTCGACTTCAAAACTTCACAAAAAGTCATGTTGCGTGGTCGTTGATTTCGCACAGCGACTTTCTACAATGGCATTAGCACAGTCCGACAATGATCGCACTCTACCACTTACTGGACCGTAGAGAAGTTCTGTCACAAAAGTAGATCCAGCGCGGGACTGCTCACTTCCACAATTCAAGCAGCGGTACGATGTGACTGCGGTAGTAGCAAGGACCTGCTTCGGTTAGAGTCCGTGATGAAATTCGTTATTCTTCAACCTTACATTGTTCAAATCATGCTTATGAGGTGGCTCTCTCTGGTAATCGTTGACAATGATTTGGAGCAAGAACCGATTTAACCCTTGCAACATTGCTGTCAAGGATGCTCCTGGAGCGTCTTCTTCAAGGAGCCTCAATTTGCCCGCTATAACGCAAGATCAGCATTTACTTGGATTGATACCTGAGATCAGCTACCTTCAGGATGATTACTGAAAGTCTTGAGCATGTTTGTTGCTTGACAAATCGACCCTTCAGCTTTTTCGAGCATATCGAACAAAAATCCGAGCTCGCAAAGCAGACACAGCTCATTAACGCATGCACTTGCCGTGTGCTTTAGCGCGCTGTTACGAATCAGAGGAGTGAAGTGCATAAGCTGTAACAGCGGGTTGGCGTAAGAATTCGATATGTGTATCTCAAGACCAGAATAGCTTGTTTTGTTATAGAACCTGCCGTTGAATTAGCACTTGGGTAGCAAAGCGGGATTTGGCGTTTGAACCCAAAATCGAAATCATCGACTCCAAATTTACTGTATTTGATCTCCACGTTACGGTACATCACTGGAACTTCTGCCTTCATGCTTGATAGCTCTGTAGCTCCAATCGCATCTGCAACATCGCTTATACGTCGATCTGCCGAAGCATCATTTGCGGATTCTCGAGCTTTCTCGCTAAGAAATTTTGGGGCTTGCAAACTCGTGGACGTCTTTTCTGCTGCCCTGGTATTTTCAACCTGATTCCTTTTAACGTTTCGAGTCTTCCTAGCCCATGCACCCCATTCGGTCACTTTGAGCTGTGAGGTAGTTTGAGCATCAATTTTCTGTGGCGGTGCGCCAATTTCGAATATCATATGACTCGGCCAGGCCGAGAGTAACTGCTCGCGATAGTACGGCATTCCAATACTGCTGAGAGGTCTATTTGTGAAGTTAGTACATGCATAAGTATCCTTAACTCGATACTTACGTGTCGACACTCCAGTTGAGTGCAGGGTGCGTCTCTTCTGGATCCGCAAACTCAACGGGATTGCTGAGTTCCGCGAACCGTATTCGGGACGGTGATCCCCAAAGATGAACCTGACCTGATGTATCCCCCAGTAGAATAGCTTCCCCAGAAGGAGCAATCTCCATTGTCGAAAGATATTCATTCGGCGCAAGATTCGCTTGTCGTATGTTGTTAGTGTTCACATTCATCAGGTCCACTACCTGTATCTGACCATGTTGGGATGCCACAACACTAGTCGTGGACATACGTGGGTGCATTCGCACGAATGCCCCACCCGCTGGGAATGGAATTGGAGCCATAGATATCATATTCTTCAAGTCAAAAACATTCACAAAAGCTTCTGGCTGTAATGACATGTACGCCTGTTGCATGCGCGCAGAAATGCCACAAGTGACAATGAAGTCGTGTTGTGCGTCCATATCAATAACTCTGGATGTGTAGGCGTTCCATGTCTTGATCTTCTTAAAGGATACTGAATCGAGTATATTCACAGATCCAGTGGTAGTAGCAGCGCAGATATACCGGCATCGTTTCATTTTCGTATAGTAGTCGTTCGTAGGCATCTGTCCTCTTAGTCAGAGCTTTTGACCACTTTGGAACGCCGTCTACCTGTTTGATAACTATTCCTTTCTCCACATCAATCACAAACATCTGGTCCTGCTCTCCTGCGACTAGTATTTCGGATGTGCCTTTGGATGTGAAGCTCATACAGCGCAATGCTTTCATATCTTCGTGACTATAGGATACCTCCATCAGCTATGACATCCCTCGCTTGCTCGGTCATATATGGGCGGCCATACTGAATATGCCATATTGGCGGTCCCCGTCTCAGTGCCATATGCACACTTCCCGCGCACAATGCTATGACCCCTCGATCATGGAGCAATAGCTGTTGTATCTCTCCATCACCAGCCTTGAAAGCGGTATATCGCGTTAATTCGGTGCTATAGAAGCTCGATACTCGACCCTGTTCGTTGCCCGTCCATAGCAATTCTTGGGAAGTATCAAAGGCCACTGCCGGTGGGATTCCTGGTGTGGCGATTGCATTTGCACCAGGGGGCGGAAGGAGCAAACGCCCAACCTAAATACAGATATTCAGTATAACTTCACAAATTCTGGTAAAGGCCATGTCTAGAATAGTAGAGCTTCCCGGAGCTGCCCCGCCTACTGGACTCCCTGGTAAGGCTACAAGAGTGACGACGCGTGGAATAGAAAATACGGGCACTCACTTCCTCCCAATCGCCATCCATCTATTCGATTCAGAGAATAATTTACCAATCCATGATTGTATTGTTTTTAAAGAACCTAGAACATCAAAGACAGAGGTGGTGAGCCCAGATTCTGCCGATCGTGGCCTGGCACGGAAAGGCGGTGAAGCCATCGCGACTGGTGCATGCCGACTATTTGACTCTCTTCCAATTATCTTTGTTTCCCGACCAGATGTGAGATAAGATGATTCTGAAACTACCCTCAAGATATGCCTCGTGTGTTTCCGATCCTGTCATTCAAAATGTCTTCTAATATCGGGGCTTCAGTGCCTCTACCAAGAAAACATGAACATTACTATATAGCCTTCAACACCTCATCAATACTATCTATTACGAAGCGAACTTCTAGGCTAGGCTAACTTGAAAGATGCGTTGTTCACAGAAAGGAAGGTTCGATATCAGCCGGTCACGATCTCTTTCGTCAAAAGCTTTGGTTCAGATACTAGGGGACGTTTAAGACAAGGTTCTCCCCATTGAAGCGGATCGAGCGGATCGAGATGCCCAACTTCGAGTGCAAAACAAAAACCAACATCAGCAGCTGAAGAAAAGTCCAAGTTGAAAGAACTGTTTCCTCTTACTCTCCAGTCTAAACACCTTACTACCAGTCTTCTATATCACAATTGAACGACATTCTCAGTAAGACGCTACCTGTTACCGATGACCTGTTATAAACTTACTTGCTATAATTGTTTTGTCGGGAAATACACAGAATCGCACTTCCATTCACATTGAAGTTCCCAACTCCTCATCCTCAGTCTCCCTTTGTGAGGCAAACTCATTGTTCATTCGGCAGATAGCAATGTCCCCGGGCTTCGCAATTGTACTGGTTCATGGATCGTACCACACACCCAAACCTTATGCCCCATTTATTCAATCGCTAAAAGAAGCTGGTATCGTAGCCTTTTGCCCACAATTACCATCGTCCGACCCCATCAAGCTACAGCTCGGTGACTCTTCAACTCCTGACTACGACCAAGCCGCTCCGAAAAGCGGTTTTCCTCAACCTGCAGACGATGTCAAAGTGATAGAAGAATTGTTAGAGAATCTGATATGCGGCCAGGGTAGAAACGTTCTTTTGCTCGGTCACTCGGCGGGTGGGTTTACGGCGTCTGCAGCTGCACTCCCAAAGTTCTTAGCAAAGAACCGTAAACCAAAGATGGGGGGTGTCATAGGAATATATTATATCTGCGCATTTCTAGTTCCAGTGGGAGAGTCTATCAACAGTTTCTTTCAACCGAAAGATGGATCTGACCCTATCATTCCTCCATACTGTAAATTTCATGTAAGTTCTTTCCCTTTCTTGGAGCTCCAAAATCGATCAACTCATCATATTTCAACAGCAACACGGTACGGACGTACTTGTCTCGACCATCAATGGAGCAAAATTCTTCTTCAATGGACTTGACGAAGAACAAGCAGAAATTTACGAGAACACCCTTACCGCAACAGCAATACCCACTACGGTATTGACAAATGATGCTTACACAAGTCTTCCTTGTGCATATTTGGTTACTGAAGATGATTTAGCATTGGACCCTAAATATCAAGAGGGAATGGTAGCGCTACATAACCAGAGAGAAGGTGTTGACATCAAGGTTAGCAGGGCGAAATCCGGACATTCTCCGCACTTGACGTGGAAGGAGGGACTTCTAGAAGATGTCTTGAGATTCGGAAATGAAAACTTGAGGTAATGATTTTAAGCTAATCGGGTCCTTTTGGATTACGTGGTTGTAGCTTCTAAGTTTTTCAATATGTAGTTCGTAACTATGTTGAGCCAAAACACTTCCATTTTATAGCCCAATTCCAAGAATGCATACGCATATACACATCATGAGAGACAGATCTGTGAATTAAGATCTGACCAGGGTCCAGCTCATCGAACAATAGGCGCTGCGAGACTTACAGAATTGAGGTGCAAATTTCATGTATCTATCTCAACACTCGCTTATTTTTGATCGGCCTCCTTCCTAATGAAAGGGGCTAAAACAATCTTTCATATTGCAAAGGATTCCTTGATGCATCTTCTCTGATGATGCATAAACTAATCATGGCAACAGTTTCTCGATGGAAAATGGGCGAGCACACTTCATATTTTGCAAGTGACCACCTAGGAACTCGAAATTACTGATTTCGCCCCAAGTACCTCGCCAATAACCCCAATACTGATATCTAGCCAACCATATCTCTCTCCAACTTTATCAACACCAAATCGCTATGCACACGCCGTCCACACCTCATCCTGCCCAGCAAGTCGGAAGGTGTCAGCTCGTATATGCCGAGCCCTCAGGTTACACGACAGCATCACGCTGCAAGTTGATACGCCAATGAAGTATCCTAGGCAGCCATAGGGCTTTCGCGTGATTCTCACAATCTTTCGAGATACATCTTTGGGCAAGATCAGATAACGAAGACAATTCTTGAAATGTGTTTCAACAATAACACTGGTATAGGTATAAGTGTTGTTCGTTGAGGAGAGTGACAAAAGTAATGTAAAATGCATAATTTCTCAAACATGTCGCCCCCGAGAAGGAAGCCATCGCAACGCGCGAGGGGCCATTTTTGAGGGAAGTCCCAAGTTTGAGAAATGCGAACCACCATTCTCCAGCGCGTAAGAGCATTTGCCTTATCTACTCCTCTTTTCAAATATCGTCTCCATCCCCCATCTCACCATCCTCTGCACCCAAACATCCTATCTATCAAACCCGATCAGCTTCATACTCAAAACTCAAAATCCCAAATATGTCGACTCGCACCACCCCGAGCCTGTCTATTACCACGGGCACGTCTAGAGGTCCCCAATCACCGTCGGGAACCGCTGCACAGCCCCATTACGATAATCGTCTGGTTTGTCCTACCGCGCTTTACGTACCTGACTCTCATGCTTATACCCCACAGTCTTCGACGTCGCCTTATTCTCCGTCCCCGTTGTCTGGCACGGCGGGTCAAACTACTCAGCCTCATCGTGCTCAACGTCGTGCCATTACCTCACCGTACCCTCTGAAAACCCCGACCGCTTCTCCCTCTCCATCATCCCCAAATCCATTTCGGTTCTTTGGTCGGAACCAAACAACTGGTTCTGGATCTAGAAGCCCGAGTTATGGCATTCAAAATGCGGGAATGGTGGCAGGTGCAATTGGGAATGGAAAGCGATTAGGAGAGACAGGAAGGAGATATAGCGGAGATAGAAGTAACGTACACACCGAATGTGGAAGACATAGCGACGAGTGGTTGTTTGGACCCATGAAAAGTGCCGCGAGGAAGATGTTTGAACAGCGAAGCCCTGGAGGTTCCACGATTGGTGAGCATGAGAGACGGGAAAGAGGTCTATGATCCACGGAGTTTGTGTTGCGTTTGATGAGATGGATATTTGGACTTGAGATGAGCTCAACTTATGAAACGAAAACCAGTAAATGAGCAAGGCAGGAAGAAGAACATATAGGAGTTTGATGTGAACATTTTGGAAGAGTTTTCGACGAAAAGTATCATGAAGGAAGAAGAGAGATCATCTAGCGGCAAACTCAACCCAGAGCTTCAACTAGTATCAGACTGGACTTTGCTTGTACTGGAGGAGCAGTAGTCACCCACGAGATTGAGAGCTGGAGGCACATGACGATTGTTATAGATGCTGATGGACAGCAAGAGATACCCCTAATGAGAAACGATATGTTTAATGATGGATGAGGTGGATGGGACTTGGCAGAAAAACCAATCAACGTGCACAAAATGGGAGTCAGGGATCCGGAAGGAAAGCTCATGGAAGTAGTTTGTTCGGATTTCAGTAGTTTGTGAAGATGCGTTTGTTTAATTCGTTGAATGAAGTAGATTCAAGAAAAGCTCTGTTTCAACGGATCAGAACGCCCTACACTAGAAGGAAGTATATTGTGATAGATTGAAAAGTTGTAAAGTTGAACATTACCTAGGTACCTTATGTAGCAATGGTATGGTAAGAGGATCTGCGTCATGTGAAGGCGCGTTTCAGAGGTTAGAATTGGGACTCGAAATATGGATGCAAGAAATGAGCCACGCATATCAAATGGGCAAGTATAAGATAAATGTTTCAGCCATCTTCATGTTCACATATGTACAGTGAAAGATACCAAAATAGCCAAATTGCCTCGCACAAGCTCGAATGAAATTAAATGCCAACCCAGACGCTGTTCTACATGACGAACGCTAAGCATTTCGAGTTTGCCAATGAAGTTGCCAAAGAATGGAAACGCTTAAACATATGCAGAACAATTCCCAAGTACACTGCCAGCCCATGATCCTTAAATGCATGCAAAGCTAGGCTGAAATGCTACAAGAAGTGTGGTATCGTCGCAGAGCGAACAAGAAGAGAAAAGCCAGGTAAGCTCAGCAATGACACCTTGAGAAAATCAAACACCGTTCCCTATGACGCCAGGATTGATGTATTTCAGAGGAATCTCTTGGAAAGACAGAGAGGTCATGTGTGTAACATGAGCTAATTATTAATATGCGCTGAGTCGGCAGGCATTACCGGCGAGGTGTTGAATCGATTAATAGTCTTCTTCGTATTCTCCCTCGACTTGCTTTAGAGGTCTAACCAGCTTGTTGAGCAACGCATCAAGCTCCTTCCAATTTTCAGCCTTTTCGGCGAATTTGCGATGTTTCCGAGAGAGTATGTGCTGTGGAACAGGTTAATGAATGATTTTAAGAACCGGAAGTTTGACTTACCTCGTCGAAGTCTTCGAACTTATCCTGACAGTTCTCGCAGTATCCCGGTTTGAGATCACGCTTCTCCGCCTTCCTCTGATGCACCGTCTTCAATTTTTTGACAACTTCGGCTTTTCTTGCTACTTTCTCCTGCTCGGACTGATACGTATCCTCTTCTACGAGCTGCTCAAGGTTCTCCTTGCGTCTGGACTGGCGAGAAAGCGAGTCTTCTCTAACCACGGCACTTAAGTCGTTCACTCGATGAGAGCTCGCAAGTCCATAAGAGCCCGGGCCGCCACTGTTCTTCTCGAGAACTTTCCTCTGTAGCCCGTGAACTTCTTTGCTCGTTCCAGCCTTTGCACCTGGCTGTGCTGAAGTTGAGGATATCATTTGTGAACGAATAGCCGAGGTGATATTAGATGCTTGCAACCCCGAGGCAACTGGCTCTCCAGCGAGCAGTCGTCCAGCACCAGCGCGACTTACAAAGGCGTTTCCTCGGTGGGACGACGGCTCGATATCGTTACGATAAGCAAGAGAGGATTTGGATGGCGCGAAAGGGTTCGTCTGATTTGTCGCAACGGTGATGTTTCTATTAGAGCCTACGCTTGTCTCCGCTAAGGCATGTTTGCTGAGAGATCGGGGTGGTTGCATCTTAGCGTCTTGTACTGCAGTTGCTGCTCTTGTCCTTGGAGCACTGGCCTTTTGCTTCTCCTGTTGCCTACGTAACCGCTCCTTCTCCTTTTGTTCCTCCCTATGGCTGTAATCACGCTCTTCAACGAAAGGGCATTTGCCTCCAGTGACGCTACGAAACTGCGGCCATTCACCTTCTTCCTTGTGAGACACCTTTGGGTAATCTCGAACCATAATGGGGCGTTGCTTCTCATCAATGTCATGAATATAAATAAAAAAACCCTTGAACAGAGTGAGCTCTTTCGATGCAACAGTAGGGTCTCTATCCGACGGTCCATTGAGTTTCTCGTTTCTGAGAAGCTGTGACAGATTAGCACCGGCGCGTGGAATTGAGGCGTGTACCGAATTGCTGCGAGTATTATGCCCATGGATTGCTTGGTATCCCGTATCTGTGTCAAAGATAGTGGTCATCATTCGTTGAAGCTTCTCCAAAGCCCATATTTTCATGTGCAAGTCGCGAGCACGATGTAGTACATCTGCGTTGCGAGCTTGTTGTCTTCGTATTTCAGCGTCCTGTACCTGTGGGCCCAGCCGTCTGTTTATATGAGTTTCGAAAGAAAATTTTCCTTTGGTCGCAAATGAGTCTGATTGCACATTGGCAGACTCGGATGATCTATCTAGTAGAGAAGGATTGATTGTTTGAGGTTGGCTGTTTTGGGAGTTTGTTTCGTTTGTTGTCGACGACGTTTCTTCCACCGTGCTAACATGCTCAGCTGGAATACTTCGGGTGGTAACAACATGAGTGACAGCGTTTGAGAAAAATTTCTCTTCTCTCTACAAGAGGTATTAGCATAATTGTACAGGTATCCTGCAATGTAATGATTGACTTACTGCTCCAAGTGCTACAACCTGCTTGGTGCATTTCAGACGAGCCTCCTCCGATACACTCTCAAAGTAAAAAACGAACTTGGGAAACTCTCTGCGATAATGTTTCTGCCATGCCCTTATGATTTCCAAGTTTTCTTCCGTGGTTTTTTCAGCCTTCACTACTGTTTGCTGAGCGCTCTTTTCCCTGGCAGCAACAACACATTTTCGTTCAAATGCGGATTGTTGACTTGTTGATTTTCGAGTGAAAACGCGACCTTCCCCTTGTACGTGAGTGCTCTGGTGACGTGGGGGTGTTCGTAAGGCCGGTCTACTCTCTACCATCTGTTTCTTCGCTGGGGGTGGTTGCCCATAGGCATCTTCGCGTTGAATGTTCGCATATGAACGCTTTTGCTTCGAGGGAGCAGCCGCAGATGGTCGGTAGGGCGAATTGATGGCATTAGGATTATTTAGAAGAGGGGCTCTTCTGCTCGACATGGTTGTAAGGGTGATAGGCAAGGGAGATAATGATACTGCTGCCATATGAGAGTAGCTCTCAATGCTCTGGCAGTGGTTGGTCGAAGGGGGGAGTGGGGTGCACGCGACTGAACACGTCCAAACCGATCGTCGACGAAGTCTATGAAGACATTGAAAAATATGAAAGGATACTCTGGCTGGCGATTGTGCAATTCGCAGGTGCACCGTTCAAGGAGCGTGGAGTGAGTAAGGCTAGAGTGAAGAAGTCGAGATACCTCGAGACGGGGGGTTTGGGAGGTGGTGTTTGTCAAACCAATCTTTGGTGTGGAGGATCAATCAACAAAGCTCGCAGAGAGTGGGCGCACGGTCCAGCCCACCAGACGCGCCTGCTCGAGCTGTCAACGGACCGGGGTTATTGGCGGCCACGGCAACGGACTGCCATCTGCTGGGTCAACCTCGGCCAACCTTAAGTTTGACGGGACGAGGGAAACAACTTCTTGCGCTTCAACATCCGGAGCTCTGCAGATACGAGCATCGAGCCCTCCAGATTCTCATGATGAGTCTGAGGAGACTTCCCATACGCCATCTGGGCCAGTTGCCCACATCTCTGGCTTCACCATGTGCAAGTGCAAGATCTGGATGCACCTCATCGAGGATACCCGCGAATCGAAGGGCACAGAGCTCTAGAACGGCTTCCACGCGCCATCTCGCACAGCAGGACTGCACAGCACATCGACTGCCAATAAGATCAATATCCTGTGGGTTCGGAGGCAGGATCAGAGGGAGCAGGGCCTATGCTTCTGTGTCTGCGGCTGAGCTACAATTCGGCCAGCCAGTCCACGAAACGCATCCGCATCTGCTGAGAGCGGGCGAGTGTACGTCTATTTCATGGCCAAAGCAGGAGGAGCACTCATGCTGACCGGTTTTAGTAACGCCTGGCATCACGGCCCAAGAGTACGCGGATCGGAGGGCGAATCTAGCTGCGAGTTTGCCCAAGAACGGAATTGCCATTCTCGCCTCATCAGATACCAAATATCGATCCGGCGCCGTTTTCTACGAATTCCACCAAGAGCCAAACTTTTTATACTTGACGGGATTCAACGAACCTGAGGCAGTAGCTGTAATCCAGAAAGTTGGAACGGGATCGGACTATAATTTTCATTTGTTTTTACGTCCCAAAGATGCCAGAGCCGAGTTATGGGACGGTGCTCGATCTGGAGAACAAGCAGCGCTTGACGTGTTCAATGCAGATGAGGTGTTTCTCTTGTCATTGCGTAGATCTCTATTCGCTAATCAATAAACAGTCGGGCGATATTAACAACCTTCACTCTTTACTTCCGCCGTTAATAAAAAGTGCAAGCGAGGTCTATACAGACATCGCCAAGCCAGCAGGGTTTGGTCGATTCTTCCAAAGTCAAGATGATCAGGCCAATGACTTCCAGAAAATGGTCAAACACAGCAAGGTCAAGCCACTTAAACCTTTGATGAATACCATACGAGTTATTAAAAGTCGAGCGGAAATTGCCAATATGCGTAAAGCTGGGAAAATATCTGGGCGTGCTTTCACGAATGCAATGCGCCAACAGTTCACCAAAGAAAAAGACCTCGGTGCTTTTATGGATTATAATTTCAAAACTGGCGGATGTGAAACTTCTGCTTATATTCCTGTTATTGCCGGAGGCAAAAACGCCTTAGCCATACATTATGTCCAGAACAATGATGTGCTAAAGGACGGCGAGATTGTTCTGGTCGATGCGGGAGGTGAGTACGGAGGATACATCGCAGACATAACGAGATCATGGCCCATAAATGGTAAATTCTCCGATGCCCAAAAAGACCTCTACGAGGCAATACTGCGAGTTCAGAGGTCTAGCGTAGCTCTGTGCAGAGAAAGTACCAACATGTCCTTGGATAACATCCATGAAATCACGCAAAGCGGACTCAAGGATGCCTTGAAGAGTCTTGGATTTGATGTCTCTGGTGATGCAATGGATGTGCTTTTCCCACATCATGTGGGACATTACATTGGGCTGGATGTACACGATTGTCCAGGATACACTCGGTCAACGGCTCTCAAAGCTGGATATTGTGTGACAGTAGAGCCGGGAATTTATGTTCCCAATGATGAAAGATGGCCGGAGCATTTTAGAGGGATAGGTATTAGGATTGAAGATAGTGTATGTGTTCAAGAAGATACAGCATTGGTCTTGACTACGGAGGCTGTAAAAGAAGTTGTTGATATAGAAGCTCTGAGAGAGTAGTATAATATTGTATTATATATGTATTATATATGTATACGAAGATTCACCTACACGCCTAGTTGCAATAAAGTTCCAAATTCACATGAATTTACATGAGCCTCTCTTTTGTTTTCAGAGTCAAGATTGGAGTATCGTTTTTCTGTAGTCTCTGTCACATGTTGCTGTTGAGCCTTAAGCCATATTTACATCCTCCACATCGTCAAACCTTCCACAACACCAACCACGCAACACAAACAAGCATAACGAAATCCCCTCCGACAAACCTCCACCTACCTCAAAATGTCATCTCAACCCTCCTCACCCATCCCAACCTCCCCTCCCCCACCCCAATCAACACCCTTCATCCCCTCGCGCCCTCAATCCCCGGAACTCCCCCTCACAATGGCCACCTCCCTTATTCTCACCGCACTCCCGCATGACGCAACGACCGCGCTCGCCACCGCTGGCACCTTCCCGAACGCCAAAGTAACCGTAAACTTCAAGCCCGTCGGCTCCGCACCGCTGCTAAACCGTGCGGTGGTGACGATATCGAGTACGCAGCGATTCGAGACGGTGGTAGGGTGGTTGCGGAAACGGCTGAAGGTGACGGAGAAGGAGAGCGTGTTTTTGTATGTGAATAGCTCGTTTGCGCCGAGTTTGGATGAGGTGGTGGGGAATTTACATCGGGTGAGTGCTGGTGTATTCATGGGGATGGGAATAAGGCTGACTGTTTGGTGTAGTGTTTTAAGGATGCGAGGGATCAGTTGGTTATTACTTATAGTATGACACCTGCTTTTGGTTGAGGGTGGGAACGAGCACGCAGATTGAAATATCTATTCGAAAACTGGGAAGGTCTACATAGGATTCTATGGCAAAATGATCGAGGTCTACATGACCATCAGCGCCCATTGCGCAGGTATCTACGCTATCAAAATTCCGCCTTACGAAACAAACGCCTAAGATGCAACCAGATCTATAACTCTGGACTTTCGAACGTGTGTCAATGCCTTTCCAGCAGAGACGGTTCGAGAAAGGGCCACCGCTATACCCAAAATCGACACATAAATGAATCAGACATCCTGGTATCCTAAAACTCGCTCGAACTCTGCAAGCTCCTCTTTCGAAATCGGATACGTGTGCTCAGGGGCAGGATATGCGCGGCTCTTGGTCTCATCCCGATATGCTTCGATAGCTTTCATACTTTCGCTCCAGACATCTCCGTACTTCTTCACGAATTTGGGAATAAACCGACCTGGTGGGAAGTTTCCGGTCATATCCACCTGTACCAACACCTGGCCAGAACACCCATTACCAGCGCCAATACCGATCGTTGGAATTGACAACTTCTTGGTGATGAGAGCTGCGATCTCCGCGGGTACCGCCTCCAAGACAGTCGCAAACGCTCCAGCTTCTTGAATTGCGAGCGCGTCTTCAAGAATCTTCGTTGCGCCCGCGGCAGTCTTACCTTGGACTCGAAAGCCACCAAGCGCATTTTGTCGTTGTGGTGTCAACCCGATATGAGCTAGCACAGGAATTCCAGCTGTTGTGATCTTCTTGATTGTTGGGGCCATCTCTATTCCACCTTCGAGCTTCACACCATGTACTCGACCTTCCTTTATCACTCGTATGGCAGATTCCAGGGCTTGTTCTGGTGCAATCTCGTAGCATCCCATAGGTAGATCTCCAATCTGGACGTTTGTTAGCGGGGGCATTTGGTTGGTGGAGGGGTAGTTACAATGAGGGAAGTCTTGGCTGCCCTGGACACGGAGCGACAATGAAGCAACATCTCTTCCAAAAGAACTTCGCTCGTGTCTTCCATACCCATGGCGACCATAGCAAGGCTGTCCCCAACCAGCACGATCTCTATACCGGCAGCGTCTGCGACGTGTCCGCTAGGGAAGTCATGGGCAGTCAACATGGTGATCGGTTCTCCTTTCTTGTACAGAGTCCGAATAGTATTGAGCGTAATCTTCTTCCTCAAGTTTCCACCTACTCCTCCCATAGGAGAGTGAGAGCTATTTCTGCCTTGCCATTGCGACAATAAAGGCTTCACCGCAAATGAAGCCGGGCGAGTGTTTTGCGATAGAAGGGCACAAGACCCTTTCGCGATGGAAATTGATCGCGACATTATGGGAAAGCGAGGGTTTGGATATGTTCTTTGTGTTTGCCGAAGTGACTCGAACCACTCCTGTAATAATTAAGAAAGAAAGCCGCCATTGCTGAGCTGAGATTTCGTTTTTGTCTGGTCGTGATGAAATGATCGCAGTGTTTCTCAGAATGGACTTTTGAGGGTGGAGCATCGGCAACCGATTTGCCTCGGAAAGCGATCGCTGCGCTCACAAGGATACTGTCTGTCCGTTTTAGGTGTTCATCACGAGATCAGCTCTTTCTTTCTTCAAGGTTAAAATGGAGTACTACATTTACACATTAACTTCATTAAGTTTTAAGTTAAGTTAAGAGAAAATACAAAATTAACCAGGAAATTCCTCTCTTATTCCTATTCAACTGCGTGTTCCGCGCGCAGTAAGGCAGTTCCTTAGCAACCCCGCGCTTGTGATACCGTCGACTCTAGAGCTTGGTACCTGACATGCCACCTGACCTGTGAATAAGACTCGACCTTTATGACCAGAAGTACAAATATACCTAAGTCTTGACTCTAGGGCTTAAGTATTATATCCATTTAAGTCAATCACAAATTTCGTCAATTTCTTTGAATCCTTCCCGATATTGAAATACACTCACAAAGAAGCTAAAGTGCAGAAAGCAGCGATAACGCTATCGGGCACCCGCGGCTTGTGACCGCTGCGTCAGTACTATCCGTCTCGACGACATCACACTGACTCTTACTTCCTTTCATACCACAGCTCGCAACTCACTCACTCTACCACGACCGAGCAAGTACCACAAGATCAATACTTGATCAGCAATTCTATTCCACTTCTAGTATCTACCAGTAGCCACCATGTCCAGTCCACGGCGCCGGATCGAGACCGATGTGAGTGAGGCCTGCAAAGTGGAGTTAAAGAGTGCAGGACACTGACCGGAAGCTCTTTGCGTGTAGGTTATGAAGTGAGTCTTTTAGATATATATGTTTATGTGGGAATATGCTAATAACTTGGTTGCAGAATGTAAGATTTCGCAGAATAAAACGAGCTCGAACCGATCGTGTACTTATAATGTTAGGCTTATGAGCGACTATGAGGTCACTTTGGTAAATGACAACAGTATGCCCACCTTATCTCATTATTCCAAACCATATACTAACATTCATGCCCAGTGTACGCGCTATTCCATCCGAGCCAAAAACGAGACGTTTACACCCTAATTACAGGCAAGAATTCTACGTACGATTCAAGGGGCCCGAAGAAAGTCAGGACAACACACGCAGATAATCCCAAAACTCGAAGCTGATAAGCAATAGCACCCTTCCAAGGCGGCATCTGGAAAGTCCACGTCGAACTCCCCGATCAATATCCATACAAATCCCCAAGCATCGGCTTCGTCAACCGCATTTTCCACCCAAATATTGATGAGTTGTATGTCCAGCGAGTGCAATATTTAGATTGTTAATAATGAAATAGGTCGGGGTCGGTGTGTCTGGACGTGATTAATCAGACTTGGTCGCCTATGTTCGATATGATCAACATTTTCGAGGTCTTCCTGCCACAGCTTCTACGATATCCCAACCCAACGGACCCTCTGAATGGCGAGGCGGCGGCACTGTTAATGAGGGAGCCAAAGAGTTATGATGCGAAGGTTAAGGGTGGGTCAATAAGCTATATATATATAAAAAAAGGACAATAGGCTAAGATTTAATTCAGAATACGTCCTCAAATACGCCAGCAAAGACGCTGCAGATGAAGCCGGCGCCGAATCTGACGACGACGATGACATGTCCTCCGTAGGCAGTTTCGGGGACGAAGACGAAGAGCCAGCCGGAACGATGGAGGAAGTGTAATCTTCTCACGTCAACCTTTTCACACTTGCATATATGTCAAACCGGTGTTCTTACGGCGTGTCTGGTTTCATCTCTGATCCATCGATCATACGGGAAGGGTATTTTGGGATTTGGGCAACGGGGAATTTTTTACATATGACACGTTTTTCATACTTATTTTTTTCCGGATGTCTATGGACGGGTGGAGGGATCGGGCTCCTTCTCTACTCTACGGATGGAATTGGCGTGCATAGGATTTTGTTAGGTACCTAGTGCTGGTGGAGAATTACATGACGAGTAATCAGGTCTTGATATGTTTCTGTGGAACACTATGTGAGATCTGAAGCTTTCGTATAGTGTGCCCCGTAATTTATTATACTTCCTCATATCTAGATCATTCGGTTTCGTTTCGTTACCACCCTCTGTGCAACGTGACAACCTCTGGTTGTTATTCCAAACACGGGCTTCAAGTTTAGAAATAAGTTTAAGCGCACCAGGCGTACAAGTAGTATAGCTGTCAGTTTAATTAAGTCAACGTGAATAACTAATACGTTGCCAAAATCCTGTCCAGCGAATCATCTGATACCTTCTCTAACATATGCCCTCTCATGACTTTCAATTTCGATCATAATATGTTGGTCAACCAAGGCAACGTTCCGTTTCACTGCTCTACCCTAGTCTCTATTCACTTCCACGTATCCCATTCTCGTTCAAAATCACCACGTAATTTTCTCACATCCATATCTCACTTCCTTAAGAGTTTTTTCATACACAACTTCGTTTTAAGCCATTCGAACCTGGAGTCCATCTCCCCATGTTCTTATTCACGCTGTGCTCTTTCGTTTGGGAGTATTTGGGAATCGGAGTTAGACGTCAGTTGATCAAAGTTTCATTAAGTGTTTCAAGGTAAGAAAGAACTTGTTCTTTTTTCACTTGTTATGCCAGTTCGTTTGGAATTTTCAGCATATGGAATCTAGAAGATGTTGTTTTATCGCATTGTGATTGTGGATATGTATAGGTGACAGGTATATGTATAAGTCAAAGGTATATGTCCATTTCTTTACTTGTTTCCGTGAAACCCTTGTCACAAGTGTCTGTTGTATTCGGGGGGGAAGAAGTCTATACCTGGGATATATTTCTGCTTACATACAGGAGCGGCTTTCCGCTTGTAAGTACATATCTCTTGTCAAAAGAGAGGCATAATGTTTCTACTCCCTCCATATCCACTTTCTCTTTTTTAATTTTTAATTCTTCTACCAACCACCTCAATATCCTACATTTGCAACAGCCATATCCAGTTTCAACCCATATGTAAACGCACAAAGATACCACCAGATGCCTCGCAAATCTGCATTGCCAAAAACAGTAACCATCAAGGAGTATAACTTTGGATTTCCGATGCCTTGCATGGAAGCGAGGTTGGCGGTGGCTTCATCACAACACTCACCATCGACCCAATCGAACCGCAATAAAAAAGCCCAAGAACGGAGTATTGAGGCTGAGGGCAATCAGGACTCGAAGATAAGAACTCTCCAACGGCTCGTCGTCGTCGGGAGCTGTGACTTTCTGTCTTAGCTCAAAACGACGACCGAACGAGATGAGTTATAAACTTCATCTGAGAACAGCGTTTCTTGCGCTAGCGCTTGTATTGACCACAAGCATGGCCCAAGTCACGCTTACACGGCAGTCGATTATGAGCGCGAGTGGATATAAGGATATGAGACCTTGCGCCCAGCAATGTTTCCATAGTTCTGGCCTTTGTTCAGACGACCTACTCGGGGGGGCACTTGGTTGTCAAGCTGGCTGTAGCGCTTTCGCGTTAAACTCCTGCTATTGCAGACCGGATCTGCAACCACTCGCCGCCGCATATCTTCCAACGTGTATAACGTCAGAGTGTACTCTTGGGGGAGATCTGAACGTCGAGGTGACTGGCGCACTTTCTGTCTATGGGGGATATTGTGCTTCACAGGGTCTGACGGCAGCTCAAATAACGAATCCATCTGTCACGGAAACGCCTCGGCCGAGTCCGGGAAATGGAACACCACCGCCAGCTGCTACTGTCACAAGTATTGTGTATGTAAAAGTCAACTCCGGGATTTCCCTTCCTCTCCCAAATCCAGTAGTACCGGTATTCATATCTGTAAGAGACGCTTTAGCTTTTGGATCTGTGAAATCGCTGACCTTGACTTTTATGCGTAGCTCATCACCATCCTCTTCATCTCGTTCGACGTCTAACAGTGTCGGGACATCGACCTCTGATAGAACAACACCGGCCACGCGAACAGTTCCACCAGGCATGGAAAATGCAATAACAACTTCACTGCCCATTGAGAGCACAGTGTCACCGTCTTCGAGCAACAACGATAATGGGTTGAGCCGTGCAGATAAGATCGCCATTGGGTTAGGGACGTCTATACCGTTACTAGCGCTGTTACTAGCGTATTTGACATATAGACTTGCGTGGTTGACATATAAGGAAGCAAGAAGAGCGAACGAGGATAAGAACAGAGACAACGAGCTTGTAGAACAGAGGCCAACAACCTTCACAAGCTTGTTCGTACCATAATGCGATATTTTTTATTTTGGAGTTGGCATGGTTGTATTGACTTCGAGCGCTTGCTCATAAATGCAATGATGTATAACTATCGAGAGGACAGAAATGAAGTAGAAATCCAAGGTTCTCGTTACGCTGCGCGCTTCGTAAGTGTCTGGGACTGATATTTGGAAGGTTGCCATAAGTTTCGAAGGCAGGACGATCAAGGGCCTAGAACTTGGAGGCGGAGTCCATCGGCTAGAAGAGGCCTTGCCAATCGCACCAACAAGAAGCTATCGTGAACGTAATAGGAAGCATGGGAAAGCCAACGAATACGGCGAAAAGACGACAACTCGCGGAGAAGACTTCCAAGGTTCTATTCCAGCGCATAAGTTACGTAAAAACGTATTAGTGGCTTACAATTTTGTGCAGAGAACTTTGAAATGTCCTGAGCGCTAGAGATAGGTCAAGGCTGCTGAGAAGAGGTTACAGATATGGAAGTGATTCTGCCTCCTCGATCAAGTGACTTCTCGTATTTTGATCAAGTCCATGCGTCGAGACAAATTGGAGAAAATGCTCATCATGTGCGCTGAAGATTATTGCAACGGCAGGTAACTTAGGTAAGTAAGGAACGATGTTCGAATAGACGCTCAGTATTGTACCATCTGTAGCTGAATGAGACTCGACGACGAGTGGACACATGATATTCGCGTCAAGTGATGTTGTGTGAAGGAAGGTTGATGGTATTTGCATCCAATGCTGAGGACCTAGATATGGATACAAGTACCAGTATTACCACGTGATGGCCCGGACCTGCCCCCTGGATAAAGTCTTTTCCGGTAGGAGTTAAGATACGGTAGGTAATCTTTAATCTTATCCCCTGAATCGGAGATTCGTCTGGACGCTAAGATAACCTTGGTATCAGAACGAACAAGTCTTCGTTTGTAAATGCGCATTTATGTGTCCAATGTGCATGTTACGAGGCAATTAACAAATCTCGCATTTCGGCAGGTGATCGGCTCCTCAATAATTCCCTCTCCCCTTCCCATTGTCGTCGGCGAAATTGACGCCTCGACGATAGCTTTCACGTCCCCTATCGAATGATGTTGCAAAACCGCTCAACGCTGGACTTAGCAACTTCTCGCACGTGTCCCGAGGTCTAGATTCCTCGATTCCAAGGATTTCTTCCGAACAGCAGAATTCGCTTTGAGACTTCCCGAAAGCGCGTTTCTCCTAGGTTTCGTGCCCTATGATAACTTCGGAAAAGGTCAACCTTGACGGTCGTTGTTTGATATGGCTGGGATGTGGATGCGGGGTGGATGAGTATAGGGCAAAGTCGGGACAGAAAGGTCGATTCTCGAGAAGGACATCTTGGCCCCACATGCGATACATCGAATTGTTCTTCCGTGGATTAATTATGCCGTTTGCAAGATGCAAGACTGTTATTGATGGATTGTGTGCTGTGCGTGGGCAACGGAATTTCATGATACCAGTGCGTCGAGCCTGATTCGACTGGAAACGTGGGAGACGCATTTTACGAACTTGTCTGCATCAGTCTGTCCCATGAGGGGCGCCACCGGGATTCTGACAGCTGGGCAGCCTGGGCAAGACGTCGACGGGGTATTTCCCATGGGGTAAGGTTGACGGACTGTACGAACAATAATGGTACGTGCAGACAAGATTCTTGCTCGGCATGGCTTGAGATTCCCGTCAACGTGAGTTCGTACAGTACACCACGGGAGCGGTTGACAGAACCCTTCCATCGCACCAAATGGATCAAAACAGCAAGAGCCGCATGCTCGTGTGATCGAGCATTACACTTGCTGCTTCCTGGTTCTGGCTCTGGCTCGCTGCGGTGACGAGCGGGAAGCAAGGTTAAATGCAAAGCAGACACTGCACCAGAACCCGAGGGAGAAGCGCGGCTGTATCAGACTGATTGTCAGTCTCGCACATGTGATGAGGTTGAGGAACAACAACAACAAAACACTCATTTTTAGCATTCTGTCATGTTGTCCTATGTTTAATTTTCCAGTCCTCACCAAGTACCTAAGTCCCCTTTTTCTTTTTAGTGAACCACATGTCGCGCATCGAGGGCACTGCCCGTCGCGGCAGAGGAAGTCGAGTCGGGCTCGAATGATATCTGAGAACACAGGCGCTTTCACATCTCCCGCAACCTCGCTTCACGTCCTCCTGCTGAATCCAAGACTGTCAGTCCGTCTGCCAGAGAGCCACAGCCTCCTCCGCATCCGTTGATGCGGGGGTGCTACCGTGGCTACTGGCTACCTAGGTATTACTCAATGTTGCCCGCTGCACACAGCCATCGTGGACCACTACCTAGTAGCTACCTACCCAGTCCTCGACCATGGCACGAGCCATTATTCGACTTACAAAGGAACGTAATCGCTGCTTAACACAGCTGGCACTTCCGAGATTGCCCGGTCCCGAATTATTATCGACTAATTTGTTTCCTAATTCGCACTCAGTCCGCGCTAGTAGCTCTTCCTCCTCCACATTGGCTCCCGTATATTCACTACCATCCACTAGACCATCACCTCTTCACTCCCGAAAACGCTCCGCTCGACACACTCAGTCCCGCATCTTCAACCGGACTATCAGCTACGTCGCCATGAGTTCGTCTACAAATAATACAGCAGACCCCGTCGAGAGGACGACTTCTCCTTATCCAGATCCTCGTCAACTCGGTCCCAAGTCCCAAATTCTTGCAACCCGCACCTCCAACTATCACTCCACCTCGCTCAGAAACATGGTTACCGCAAACACAGTCAACAAGACCGCCCTCCACCCGGGGGGAGTCCAGTACGTCTCCTCTGCCTTCCATTGACATGGCCGTCGTTGGTCAAAGAGATTGGTATCTAACATTATCTACAGACCGGTCAAGGAGCACACTGAGCTTGAGGAAGAACTTCACGAAAAGGCACACATCGACTATGATCGTGTTGCTATTGTAAGTCAATTGGCGTAGATCTCTCTTTGTTTACACCTGCTGACCCAGTTGCTCTCCAGGTTCCCAATCCAAGTGTCGCTGCTCTCTACGAAGATGCTCTTGTTTACGAAACCGGTTCCGCCATCACCTCTACTGGTGCTCTCACTGCGTACTCGGGTGCAAAGACTGGACGATCACCTCTAGACAAGCGTATTGTGAAGGAGCCTGGATCAGAAAACGAGATCTGGTGGGGGTGAGTTCATATATTCCCAATTCTGATGGTCTATAGCTAACAAACTGTCCAGACCTGTCAACAAGCCTATGACCCCAGATGTAAGTCTAATCCTCGCGGACTCTTGGTTGCGATCTTTATTTACAGCAACCGCATTTGTCGCGTTCGCATTTGTTACCCCACATTCCAGCAATCAGACCACCGCACCATCAGTTCTTCTAATTGAGTTCGGAAATTTCTTTTCTTCACCCTTCTCAAACATCGCTTCATCAATTGCACATCCTCTTTCTTTCCGCTCCACCGAACCATTCTCCTAGCGTTGGGAAGTGTGAAGCATGGTATTTTTCATTGCCATACCCCGCCTTTGTTGATCGGCCTTGTCATTATGCGCAGTTATGTCATGCCGGGATGGCTCGGCAACCTGCGAAGCTTCCCCACATCACGTGCTGACACAACTACCGGGGCTCTGGAAAATGACCACTCGCTAATCTGTATTTGTTCTAGGTCTGGAGAATCAACAGAGAACGTGCCATCGACTACTTAAACACAAGAAATCGCATTTACGTCGTCGACGGTTTTGCTGGATGGGATGAAAAATACCGCATCAAGGTCCGAGTCGTCTGCGCTCGTGCCTATCATGCTCTCTTCATGCGAAATATGCTTATCCGACCTGATCGTAAAGATCTCGAACATTTCCACCCAGATTACACCATCTACAATGCCGGTTCTTTCCCAGCCAACAGATATACTGAGGGTATGACTTCTGGAACCTCTGTTGCCATCAACTTTGCAGACAAGGAGATGGTTATCCTAGGAACCGAGTATGCCGGCGAGATGAAAAAGGGTGTCTTTACGGTGCTCTTCTACGAAATGCCAGTAAAACACAACGTTCTCACTCTTCACTCGTCCGCGAACGAAGGCAAGAATGGGGATGTTACAGTTTTCTTTGGTCTTTCCGGTACTGGCAAGACTACCCTGTCTGCTGATCCAAACCGTGCCTTGATTGGTGATGACGAGCACTGCTGGAGTGACCGTGGTATTTTCAACATCGAGGGTGGATGCTACGCAAAGACCGTAGGACTCTCCGCTGAGAAGGAGCCAGATATCTTCAACGCCATCAAGTTTGGATCCGTCCTGGAGAACGTCGTCTTCAGCCCAGAGACCCGTCTTGTTGACTATGAAGATACTACCCTTACCGAAAACACCCGATGTGCTTATCCTATTGAGTATATTCATAACGCCAAGATTCCTTGTCTGTCAGAAAACCACCCAAGCAACATCATTCTCCTCACCTGCGATGCTCGTGGTGTCCTCCCACCAATTTCCAAGTTGGATTCGGCCCAGACCATGTTCCATTTCATCTCAGGTTATACTTCAAAGATGGCAGGTACCGAGGATGGTGTTACTGAGCCACAAGCGACCTTTTCATCCTGCTTCGCGCAGCCTTTCCTGGCTTTACATCCTATGCGTTATGCTAAGATGTTGGCTGACAAGATTGAGCACCACCAGGCTAATGCTTGGTTGTTGAACACCGGATGGGTTGGCGCTGGTGCGACCACCGGTGGTAAACGTTGCCCGTAAGTTCTATGGACCCGTGAATTTTGACATTGCTAATGATCATAATAGATTGAAATACACTCGTGCCATCCTTGACTCCATCCATTCTGGAGAGCTCGCAAAGGTCGAGTATGAGAATTACGAGACCTTCAACCTCGCTGTACCAAAGAGTTGCAGTGGAGTGCCTTCAGAATTGTTGAACCCCAGAAACGCATGGTCCCAGGGCCACGACAGTTTCAAGGAGGAAGTCACCAAGCTCGGTGGTCTTTTCGCAGAGAACTTCAAGAAGTACTCATCAGAAGCTACGGAAGAAGTCATCAAGGCGGGGCCAGATGTCAAAGTCTAAGTATATAACGCATTGTCCATTTTTGCTATAGCCGAATGTTTTCCTTACTTCCGGGTTGGATGGGGCAATTACAAATTGCAAGGCGTTTATTTGCGGCGACTGTACAGTATTGATCAGCATGCTGCATATTCAAGAATGGCAAAAGGAGATATTTGAGCGTAGAAGATTTACTCTATGAGAGCAATTTGAATAACAGTTTATGTGGCATGTGTCAAATATAATAAGTGGTGAGGACATTCGCATGTGATGCTACTGTCGCTACAAATGGGATTGGAGTAAGATCTACCTAGGTTCCCGATGATGTGACATTCCGCAGATGCTGCACCCGCAGTATATTAGAATTAATATGTGATATTCAAGTCTTGTTTGATCGTGGTCCTTTCTCTCGTCCAATCAGCAATCAATGCAAAGCCGTTGGTCGAGGCTCGAGCCAACGCATCGACTAGTGAATATTGCACCTGATTATCTCCGCCAGAGACGACCTCTTTCTAAACAAAACAAAAGCAAGCACACGCCCCCCGCATACCTCGAATCAATTGACAGCGGCATAACCACGAGTGCATGCAAGTATGCCTTCCGAACACATGCACCAGTCTCAGCCACAGAAAAGGCCTTCTCTTGGGGGCCACCAATCCACGAATTCCATCACCAGTAATACGCATAGCGATTCGCCCTCGGCCGGTACCTCTCCTCACCAGCACAGCGCAAAGCCAAAGGCCCAAAAGCACGTAGTCCACCACAGCAGTTCGAAGCTACACAAACGGGTGCCGTCGAATAAAGGGCTGCAGAAGCTCACCAAGGTGCATGGCAATGACGGGTCGCAAACGGATCTACAATCGAAGAGGAACGCATCCGCCACGAATCTGAGAAAGAACCACAGCGCAGTCAGTTTAAAGCGTAATCGCTCCACCGGCGAGGTCGCAAAAAGACCCAAATCCTCTTCCAGTTCGAAATCAGATAGAAAGGCAAATACTTCGGTGCATTTTGAAATTGGAGATACGGACGAGGGCGAAGGCGCATGGGAAGAAGCAAGCTCATCTGCGTCGCCGGCACTCTCGCGCGCTCCATCACGTAGCGGCCAATCGTCTTCGAAACCCAGCGCGCATAGCTCACATCCTACCTCTCCCAGACCTCAATCGCCTTTGCGACAGCAAGACCCTACACCTGCGAATGGAGCGCGAGCTCATGCCGCTGACGCGAAGATTATAACGGAGCGACTACTGCAGAGAACACCATCAAACACGACGACCACAAAGATGTCTCTGGCGACAGCTCAACCTACGGCCGCTCACTCGCCAGACTCGGATGCTATGGACAAGAGCGCAACAGCCACATTAAACAGCACACCAAAAACGGGGAGCGATGTAGTATCCCGTTTTGTAGGCGGGTCAGGTACCCCGAAAGATCCATCTTCCTTCCTCAACAACCCACGGCGATCTCATTCGAAAGGCGATGAAGTAAAACGCGCCCAGAGCATGGGAAATTTCACACATCACGATAACTCCCCTACTCCGGAAGAAGAGGAAAGACCGCTAGCTCCTCGATCGAGGAAATCAAGCAACACACATAACGCCTACAACCCACCCCAACAATCCCGCACCCAGCAGAAATTATGGTTACAGCGCGCGAGTTCGAATATAGAACCTCAACAGATGGCGCCCTCAGGAATGGGCCTTGGACTTAGCCTCCATGGAGGCGGATTCGGAAATACACCGCTGGTAGGTGCCACCTATGATGGGAAGGACAAACGGATCAAAACGCAACTCGAACGCACGGGATTAGAATACCTAGTCGTAAGACGCCATCAAGATCCCGTCGGGCAAGCCATAAAACGTCTAGACAAACTCCCCGGTGCGGACCGTAACCGCAGGATCCCAGGTCAGAGTCGGAGAGGCACGGAGACGAGTGGAACTGGAAGCCAGGGCGGGAGATACGGGTTAAGTCAGAGTCTCCGTACGACGGGGACGAGTCGGAGAGATGGGACGTCGACTGCGGCTGGCAGTTTTGATGGGGATGCGGATGCCGCTAGTGATACCGCGTCGAATGTTAGGAGGGATGGGGATGATGAGAGTGTTAGTGCTGTGCTGAGGAGTATGTGGGATAAGAGTTTTGAGTTTGGGGCCAGTGCTGATTAACGTTGTTGGGTGGCTACCGCAACTGGATGGGGGGTTGCTTTTATTTGGGATGCGATGGTGTTGGTAAGAGGTGGTTTGAGTTTCAGGGTGTGGACTTGGTGGTGATAGACTTAAATGGGATAAGCGGGAAACTTTTGGGGCTACTTTTCTTGACGGTTTAGCGGGAGTTGGAGGGTGGTTTGCCTTATATAAGTTTACTAGACGAGCGTTGGGGTGTTGATTAGTATATTAACTCCTCACAGTCAGTGGTTTCAAACCGGATACTGTCAGTGGCATTACCAATGTGCGTACCTGTTACAAGATCTCTATCCCTACGAACGGCAACTTAAGAAGTAGAAGTGTGACGTTGCTGTGGTTTTAGTTTGCCACGTATAGATAGTATGGGTCAATGGAACAAAACCAGGTGCATATGTGTAAAGAGGAAGCCGCGGATGTTTGCAAAAGCCCACTGTTTAATCACGTCCATGGGAGATCTATCTCATGGCCACGAAATCTTTTTATACAAGAGAGATATATGACCTAGAAGCGAAATGATAACACGTGCTAAAATGGACTTTGGTTTTTGAAATTACAAGTAAGATCTGACATCTCTTCCTAGTGTATAGTGAGAACTGAGCTTGATAATCTTGATCTTTGGGTCGATGTAGTTTGTTGTCTCGGCAAGTCTAGCCTATGTTATGATTAAGTGATAAACGTGACATATTTTTACCAGGATTTCAAACATTGATGACCGGTAGAAAGAATGGAACGCGGTTTTGTTCTATGTTGACAAGTTGCAAGACATTTGAAGATGTCAGGAGTGTCAAGTCACATGCTACCGTGTGTCGTTCTGGTCGTTGTTTACATTTCGACTGCAAACCTGAAGTTCACCTTCCCTCACTTTCAACTTTTCCACCTTTCCAACCCTCAGCTATCATCAAGCTTCCACATCGAACCTGAGTTCTGAAACCACCGTCTCTGAGGGGTTACTGGAGTAGTAATCTGTATCGAAAGAAGATCTTCTACACGATGGATATTCAGCCACCTCGACCCTTGAGCGAATCTTCAACAGCAGCTGCTGACGAGTTGGCCGTCGTTCACCCACTTGCACCGGACATGACCAGCACCAATTCAACTCACAACGTAACGATGGATACTACTCCAGCGCAGACATCGAATGAGTCTGCTACTGCAACTACTGATGAGTTGGCCATCTTGAATCCTTTCGAAACGACCAAAACTTATCCGGCTCGTGTCGTCATGATAGATAACACTCAAGCTCAAACATCGAATGAGTCCGCTACTGTAACTACTGACGAGTTGGCCATCACCAATCCTCTCGACAAGACCAAAACGAATCCAGGACACAAAATCCCTCTAGAAATCCAAACAATGATCTGGAACTATCTTGTCGACTCCATTGGACCCCGACGCGTCTCTGTCTGGCCTAAGAGCAATAGAAATAAAATACCAGTCGTCTTCCATGTCAACCACGAGAGTCGAACCACCGCGCTCAAAACTTACGCCAGGTTCACATTCACCAATATCCGCGAGCCAGGCTCCAGATCTTTTGATTTCTTCTTCCGTCTCGATCTTGATAACTTGTTGATACATTTATCGCCCGAAGCACTAGACTATTACGCTGCTCTCCCTAATGAGAAGGACAGATACGAGATGAATCTCAGGAAGTTACTTGGGTTTATAGAGCTGCAAGAGAAATTGGAATATTGGAATCGTGATGAGACTGATGACTTGGCTATGTTTCGACCGATCTGGGAGCGGAATGATGAGGTGATCAACAAGATCCAGCATTTGACACTCACACAGTGGTGTTTAGGCGCAGAGTTTGACGGACGTTTCGGAAAAGGATTCAAGTGGGAGAATGAGCTTTTCTTTACGCTTGACTACAATTTGAAAGAGCTGAAGTCAGTCACAGTGATTGATGATGTCAATCTAAAGTACCAGAGTCCAGCGTGTCAACGCGCTGCGATGGTGCCGTATAGAGGACTTGGAAAAGTCACTGTACGCAGGCAGGAAGATGCATGCCATTTTGACGGGTTTGGCGGGCCAGCCACGTTTCATAATCGTCTGGCGAACTTTGTTTGCGAGTATAGTCGTGCGATGCGACGCAGGAGGGAATTGTGGGAACAGAAGCGTGAGTCTCTATACGGACGCGAACGTAAGAACATGTGGGATTTGTGGTTGGCAAGTTTGACTAGGGAAAAGCATTCCATGATGACAGAATTGGACATTTTGGTGGATGTTCTAGCCGCTGCCGATTCTGAGGATGATGTCGATGATCAAGACGAACAAGATTTGTCTGATAGGAATGGTATCGACGAATATCATGGCGAACAACATTTCTTGTCGGAATAGTTGTTGAAACATTCCTCTATATGTCTGAGGAGAATTGTACGAAACAAAAGTGGCCAGATGTAAGAGCTCAAGTATGGCGCCAGTTAGCTTCAGGTCCTCGATCATGTTGATAAATTAGCTACAGTGGCTAGAAGTGTGTTAAGAATAAAAACTTGAGAACATACTATCAAGATGGTTCAGTGAGCTCATTCTTCTCCAATGTCCCAGTTCTGCGAAGTGTAACTTTAACATGGCAGTAAAACCTCATATCACTCACACAACCACACATCATCAACGACATTTCAACCCCCCCGTCCCCTCCCACCTTTCCCTCCCCTCAACCCCCCCTCTCCTATCACACACCCAAAAAGCCACCAAAAAAATAGATAAAACACGCATGCATCTTCTCAAGACCATAAGATCGAGATAGAACGTCTCCTACACAACTCAACGACTTACGACTCTATCACAAGGAATTAATGAGAGGGAACGGAGGACGCGCGTCGCTGTAAAGCAGTGTCGAGTCTTTGGAGCGTTGTTTTTGATTGGTTTGAGGGGGGTTTGGTGGAGGGGGTTTATTAAGAGGGATTAGTGGTGGTTGAGTAGGGGGGAGGGGGATGGGAGGTGGGTGATGGGTTTGAGAAGACTTGTGTTGCTAGCGGCTATTAGAAGTTGAAGAGATTTCAGTAGACGGTTGTTGAGAACAAGATTGTGAGGTTGTATTGAGTTGTCAAGCCAAATATCCATCAAAAGGATATACTGTGGCTGAAATCCGAGTTGAGTGTTGATGTATCAAGGTAAACACATAGCAGTTATTGAGAGGAACTAGATAGACGTCTGAATAGCATACTAAGTAGTATTTCCCTTCAAGTATTACATAAAAGGTGCCGAATGAATTATGGTAAACACTTGTGACCATTCATACTTACAATGTTTTATCTGTGAGACTGTGTACAGTAAAGGGGGAAAAAATCCAATGGCTTCGTTCTAGCTGATTAAATAGAAAACTGGTTCTTTATGTATCAAAAAATGATTTTGGTAGAGAATATAAGGTAATGAGACGTACCATGCCGCTTTTTAGGTATCAAGTGAAAAGAACAAAACCTAGATTCATCAAGTATGAGTGATTGTTTTGCAGTGGATCGAGAAATCAAGATAGCTGATTACAGGACAGTACCGATACACGACATCCACCTTGATACCATAACTAAAAATTCCTCGCTTTTTCCCTCTACCCTCGTTCCTACTAATCTAAACATAAGCAGTAAGAGGTAAGCTCACCGTCGCACATTTAAACCATCATCTCGTTATTGTGTTACAATCTACCCAAGGTACCAAATCACTGCAGTCGAAAAGTCGTTTGAAAGGAAGATATTTCCATTCATTTCCACGCATATGATTCCTCCCACTTACACCTATACATACATAACACATATACATACAAACACCCACTACATCCGCTCCGACACGAGCACGCTTCCAAAATCCAAAGAACACTCTCCAAGATAGAGATCCTTCAGCACCATCAAAACTTCTCTCACCAAAGGATCCAAAAACGACAGTGTAAAGCTAAGTGAGTATGTGTGTATATATGTATGTATGTAGGCATCGCATTATCTCCCTTCAAAAGTATACATATGCTTTGCCCACAGAAAACATCAAGAAAAAATACGGTTTGGGTATCGTGCAACAAGGTAGCAAAATTAAACCAGACGAAGGCGTTCAGGCCAAAAGAGAAGAAGATTAAAGTTCGGCCAGATACAATATGTACTGTTCGACGCGGAGAAGATTCATACAGGGTATCGTCGTGGGAGTAGAGAGTCGTTTGAAAGGAGAAACGGCCGTTAGACTGCGAGGTTTGGGAGGAGGTTTTTGATGGACTCAAGTGATCTAGAGACTACGTCAGCATAAATATGGGCGTTAGAACACGAAAGTCTCACCTGATGTTTCCATCTTTCAAATCCTCATTGAGTTCCTCGATTTGTTGGGCTGTTACTCTAGCTTTCGCTAACTAAAACATATAGTTGTTAGTATTTGTTAAATATGCCGCGATAGGATCAACATGGAAAGCAAAGAAAACTGCAAAGAACAACATCTGAGCAATAGGAGATGGGAAGTCGGACCGATGCCAATGCGGCAGATGAATGATCTCTCTCACCTTCCGCCTCTTTGGGCTCCGATGGTACAACCACGAACTCCTCGGGATCGGCGTATTTGCTGGCTGCAAGACCTTGAGGCACCTTTGCAACAGTAGGTGTTTTAGGGGATGGGAGCGAAGCGCTCTTGGTCTGTCAGATGGTATATGAGCATTAATTGTTCTACGGATATCATATGGTGGAACCAACCTTTGCTTCAGCAAGCTCAGCTTCTTTGACTTTGAGGATTGCTTCGGACTCTGCTAGCTTTGCCTCTAAATCTGATACCTTCTTTTCCTTTTCTTCAATCAACTGGCCCATGGAGTCATGCAAGTCTTGATAATCGGCCTTTGAGGTCTTGACTTGGTTTTCGGCTACCAGCTTCTGCTTTTCAAGCTCCGCTTCCAGATGTTCAAGCTCTGATTTAGTGGCTAGGTGCTCCTCGGTCGCTTTTGCGGACTCTTGTTGAGCTGTCATCAAAGAAGCTTGATGCTGATCTTTCAAAGCCTGCAACTCCTTGCGCAAAGCATCAGCTTCTGAGGTATCGGGTTTCTTACTTTTCAAGGCCTCTAGCTCAGTTCGAAGAGCGTCGGCTTCTGAAGTGTCTGGCTTCTTATTTTTCAAAGTCTCCAACTCAGCCCGAAGAGCGTCAGCCTCCGAAGTATCTGGCTTCTTGTTCTTTAAGCTTTCTAGCTCAGCTCGAAGAGCATCAGCCTCAGATGTGTCAGGCGTCTTATTCTTCAAAGCTTCTAGCTCCGTTCGAAGCGCGTCGGCCTCGGAGGTATCAGGCTTCTTGTTTTGTAAAGCCTTCAATTCAGTTCGAAGTGCGTCGGCTTCCGAGGTGTCTGGCTTTTTGTTCTTCAACAGTTCTACCTCCTTCTTCAGAGCATCGACTTCTGAAGTATCTGGTTTCTTGGACTTCACGGCGTCTAGTTCTGCCTCGGCGGTAGCTTTAGCCATCTTCTCCATAGCCAGTTCTTCCGCGAGTGCATCAATCTCCGCCTGAGACTTTGCAAGCGCTTCATTTGCTTTTTTCACTTCTGCGTCCATTGCAGCTTGAGCGATCTAGAATCAATGTTAGCATTTTGTCTCAAATCAGGCTCAAGCTGGTTACCTTCAATTTCTCTGAAGTGGATGACGCCGTCGCTTTACTGACATCCAGATCCTTCTTTAGAGCTTTAAGTGCTTCAGCATGTGCTGCCTGGAGTTGTTCTCGCTCCAATGCTTGAGCAGCATGACCAGCAGTCATGGCCCTGTCATGGGCGTCATCTAGACCCTTAGCATGATTAGATTTGAGTTCATCCAATGCATGACTATGGGCAGTCTCTGCGGCATCAAGCGCAGCTACAGCAGTTGCATGATCTTGTTTGACCTTTTCTAAAATTTCGGCATGGGTTTCTGTTGCATTCACATGAGACTTTGCTAGGTCATCATGCTTTGTCTTAAGAGCTTCTAATTCTTCCTTGACAGCCGAGTCTCCTTGGCGGGCTTCAATTTCAGCTTCGTAATCTTTTGTAATGTTTAGCAATGCCGTTTGATGTTTTTCTTGCTCTTTTTGGTGCTTTTCTTGCAGGGCGAGAATTTCTCTGGTCTTTTCCTCCAAAGTTTGTGCTGTTGTAGCTAATTCAACCTTTAATTTGTTATGGAGCTCGTCTTTACTGCGGGATTCTTCGTCAAATGTTTCCATCATCTTCTTGAGTGCCGTGACTTGTTGCTTAGCATCGTTCAATTCCTCCTGGGCATTTGCTAGCGCCTTGACATCTTCGGAGTTTTTACTTTCTAATTGCTCAAACTTCGTTGCGGCCGACTTCTGCTCGTTCTGCGCAGTGAGCAGTTGTTGTTGGGCAGCATCAAATTTGGCCTTCAGATCATTGTAATCTGCAGCAGAATCCGTCAACTCGGCAAGGTTTGCGTCCGACTTCGCTTTCAGGTTGGCAATTTCCTCCTCGAGTTTAGAGATTGCTGCTTTAGATGCCGACTGATGGCCTTCAAAACTTTCTTTGTGGGAGGCTGCAAGCGCAGTATGAGATGCGGTAGCTTCGTCAAGTTGCTTCTGGAGTTCTTTGCTGCTTGCAGCATGTTTCTCGGTCAACTGTGCAACTTGACTTTTGTATTCTGACATGGCTTGGTTGGTTCCCTTTGATAATTCTTCAGAGTGGGCAAGTTTCAAAGCTTCTAGAGCCATCTTGTGCTCGGCTTCCATTGACTTCTTCAGTGCTTCTAATGCGCTTTCATGCTCTGCCTTTAGAGCCTCCACATCCGCTTGACTTTGTTGCAACTGTGCTTTCATTGATGAAAGCTCCGTTTCTAGCTCGTTGACTTTGCTTGAGAATGTGGTGCTAGCATCTTTCGCGCTAGAGAGCTCATCTTGTAATGCGGCCAAGGTTGCTTCATGCTCATTCTTGATTTTTTCAAGCGCCTCTGCAAGTTCCGATGCCCCTCTACTTGTTGCAGCTTGTTGCGCATCTTCGATAGCCTTCAAGGATTCGCTCTGAATAGTAGCTTTAGTAGTCTCTGCCTCGGCTAATTGAGCTTGCAAGCCCTCAATGTCAGTCTTGTGCTGAGCATGCAGCTTTTCAACCAATGCGGCATGTTCAGTTCTGATGTTGCTCTCAGCTTCAGACACCCGACGTGCTTCCTCTTGGACTTGTTTTCCTGTTTCTACGAGTTTCTCTTGAGACGAGACAATCTGGGCTGTGAGTTCCTCCACTTTAGCTTCACTTTCCGTCAACCTCGTTTTGAGTGCGTCGATTTCTTTTGTCGATGCTGGTGTTGCGGTGCTGCTTCCTGCGCGAACTAGAGGCTTTGTGGAAGTGCCTGGGGTAGATGCCGCTGAAAGCCTTTTCTTCGCATCTGCAGCAGCAGAAGTCGAAGAAGAGGAAGCTGCCTTTGAAATGGTCGGTCGAGAGGCCGTACTGCTACTCGCAGTAAGCCTCGAAGAGGTCCCGCTCGCAGAGGTTGAAGTTTTGCTGGCGGCTTTTGGGCTTGTCACAGTGCTCGTAGAGCTTGGCTTGCGAACTGTGGTAGTAGATGTAGGCGCTCCGCGCTTTTCTGCGAGGGTTTCCGTCTTCGCGGGCGGAATATGAGAGCCCGAGGATGCGAGCGAAGTCCTCCTTGCAGTACTCGACGATGGTTTCTTTTTGTCATCGCCAGACCCGCCAACAGAAGCTTGCGATTTATGTCCGGTGCTTGAAGATGTAGAAGCCGTCGCAGTTGTAGGCTTTCTCACTGTTGATCCTGGAACCGCACGAACGGGAGGCTTGGTCAATCCACTGGTCGAGGTTTGAGTCGCAGACGATGACATTGGTTTGGTGCCGGATGTTGAGGTTGCGGATGGGCGCTTCGCAGCAATCAGTGCTCGTTTGGGAGGCACATTCTCCTTTTTCAGTCCATTGACAGATTTCTTTGACGAAGACTCCTTATCTGTCTCTGTATCCATTTCTGATGCTACCGTCTTCGCCTCGTCGCTTGATTGTTTCTCTACTGTGGCGTCCGACTGGGGAACAACTGGAGGTTCGACTTCAGCCATATTGGATCGAAATTCGGTGGTATGCTAAAAAAGACTTGTGCAAAGGCTTCTAATGGAACTGTAAACGGAAAGAATCAGCTACCAAATTCAACTCAAATGCTAAGATCGCTGTAACAGTCACGATTGAAACGCAAAGCAGCTTTCGGACCTGCAGCCATAGCAGCCCGCCCACAGCGACACGTCACGGCCGTTCAACCAATAGGTTTACTCAATCTGACTTAATGCCCAATGCTTTATTCGCAGAATATGAACAGATAACCCTGGATTCCCCTCAATTAAAGTCTGCAACTTACAATATCTAGATCTTCCGCCTTACACCGCTCGACAGCCGGGTTTCGCGACGAGACGCGACTGGTGTTTTTGCGACTATTGACTTGGGCCTCTTGTCAATATAGATGGTTGTTGGCGCAACACGGCCAAAAATACAGATCGAACTAGAAATGGTGTAGTGAAGATGGGTAAGAGATCAATGAATATGATGTCTCTGAGGGAGAAGGAGAGAGCTGCAGCTGCTCGTTGCTGAGGGGGAGTCGAAGTAGCAGCACAGGGGACCTTTGCTGAATTGTTTAAAAAATTGGCGAATGAGCACGTCCCGCCGAGGCGCTCCCGCGTTGATTGATCGCTTGGACTCAGGGTCCAAGCCAAGCTGGCGTTTGGCTCTCGGTGGACAAGTCTTCCCGGAAGTGGCAGTCTCAACACAAGAAGATAGAGGATTTCGACTGACTATTGATTCAAATTGAGTGAACGATGAAAAGCAATTACCTGTATGATCACAGTTTATGTTACTATACGGGGACTTCCGTTCATTTTGTCATCTCAGAGCTTGGGCAAAATAGTTGTGGGTCGACCGCTGTCAACACTACCTACTGGGTCTCTAGGTATAGTTCGAGACTGGGGAATTGATAGCTCACTACTAAATCAAAGCTCAGCTCTGTATTTTGTCATATTTACTATAAACATCGAAAACGCATTTTCAGTGAGAAGACTATCAATCAGTCATGCTAGGGCCTAGGTTCAACGACTTACTTGTTCATGGTGACTGGTTTTTAGCTATCAAATATGTTGCAACCACACTGGATCGAGATCAGATGACAATGTTCTGGAGCTTTGTGCTTGCATGATTGAGAGAAGAAGGATTCTCAACAGTAAAATGCGTCAAGATGCCCATGTGCTAGACAATGTTGGTCGGTCAATCATGCGCTTTGAAGCATCACAGGTTTGTAATCACGACAGATCAAAGTATATAGTTCTATTAAATGGTATAGGAGGATCAATTGTAGACTAAATCAAGGGTATTGGGTATCTTTGTCCATCGTTGGATGCATATATCGACATGCATCTTGATCCGAGCATTGTAAAAGGGGGTATTGTGAAAGTAACTGAAAACATCCTCCACCATAACACGACGTATCCGATATCCTGTCCACGAAGACTCCTAAACAACTGCCATTACATGCGACGTCTCTCTAATATATATTTCATCCTGTCTGGATTCGGTTGAGCACATTCCAGCGGAGTGTAACTCTAAACCTCCAATGTAGAACTTTGTGGTAGCATATTTATGCAGCAGCTGGAGCTGGAGTGGGAGCGGGTACGGCGGCCGGTGCAGGGAGAGCGACTGGCTCTTCTTTCTTGACCTCGGGGGTTGGTGTTGCAGCCGGTTCTTCTTTCTTGACTTCAGGCACAGCTGGGACGACTGCGGTGAATTAGCATATGGATACAAAATATGACGTGAGACTACTCCGAAGTCTCTCGTTTTGCTTCCGACGCAGAACTCCGATCTAGCAGCGAGGAAGAGCGCATAAATTGCTTACCAGGAGCTTCGGTCTTGACAGGTTCAGCTGTAGCTGGAGTTGGGGCAACCTCTGGAGTGGTGGTTGGAACTGGGTCAGCTGGCTTGGCTTCTTCTTTTGGCGCTTCGACGGCTGCTACGAGACAAGTCAGCTTTGAGCCCAAACAAAGTGTGAGTAGGGTAAATACCGGCTGCAACGGGTTCAGGAGCAGGAGTGGGAGCTGTCTCAGTTGTTGTTGGTACTGGGGCAGCAGCTGGCGTTGGCTCTGCGGGCTTTGCTTCTGCGGGCTTTGCTTCTGTCTTCTTCGACTTTCCTCCTTTGAGTAAGCTCTTGAATTTGGCCTTCAAGTCGGACAACGCATTTGGTGCTATAGTTGAAGAGAAAAGTTAGCGATGGATGCCTAGAGTGCGAGAAACAGTGCCATAGATGCAGAGAATGACGAAAAGCACCTATGCTTCATCATCACAGTAGTGGACAATACGAATTTGCGGATACGGGAACTGATAACGCGTATGAAGTGCGGAGAATGGCTGGAACATAGCATTCGACTGTAAAAAAGGCAACTTACGTATTCCGGGCATAGTGAGTATTTTCGTGTGGTTAAGTAGAATGTGTGGTGTTTATGGATGGTAAATGAGAGTTGATGAGGACGAGAGAGTTTTGGTCGTTCCAGGTTGACAGTCACGGCAACAGGTCGAACTAACCCAAAGAGGGACTAGCTTTATGCTTATGTACGAAAGGATGCGGTAGCATGTCAAGAATTCACAACTTCCGCCTCGACCAATAATAAATAAAACCTATAAATAAGACAGTTCGGCACGGCTATCAGATTCACTTGATGAACAGTGATAAGCACTAGATTGAGAATAGTGCAGCTATTTCTGACATGATTAACGTGTTCACTAAGAACTAAGGCGGATCCGGATGTGGAGACGACGTTTCCAGCAAACCGGTTGGTTGGTTGGCTCCAAGAACGAGTGATACTAAATCGAAAATCCTCAGTATCATCAAGTATTTCTATTATCCTGAAGACTTAAATTATGTATGATTGTAGACTGAATTCTTTGGTACAGTAATATTGTATTCCTGTACCTCGATCACAATTAAGGAGAAGGCACTAATGCACGTTTCAGGAACGGGACGATGCGTGAGCTTGTGTCTAACTAACTTAGACCTGTGACTTTGCATAGTGTCCACATATCACCATGAGTTCTTGGGAATCAATACGGCATGCTATTCGGACCTGCTCCAGTATACATGTCCTAAAATCACAGCGGAATATCTTGGTATTTATGTTGTAATCATATCGCCATCAACTCCTGGCAATACTCTTCGTCCAGCGTTGGCTACCAGATGGCTAATGATGCTAGCGGAAGATTGTAATCGAGTCCCATCTTTGGTCCAATATTTCTACGACGGCGTAGAGTTGTGAGCATCTCGTCATCTCTTTGCCCATGGCGCGCGAGTTGGGCCATCAAGCATCCCTCCGGGAGGGGGCGCTGTACTTGTTGATTGCTGAGTTCCAGGAGCCTTGGCCCAGGGAGCTCTTGTTGCAGGCATTTCAGACTGAAAAGAGGTTGTACTTGGTACTGTTCGGCGAGTTTCGTTCATTTGAGCCGATGTTTTCGCCCAAGGAGCGTTTGTGGTATCTGAAGGTCGGCCCGTGGCAGTAGTCATCGAAGGTTGGTGAATCGTAGGTTGGCTTGCAGTGTGCACGGAAGGTATCGCAGAAATGGCATTGGGATCCTGTTCCCAAGTGAATAGGGAGCCGAAGGGGAAATGCTGCACCACAGGAAACTTCGACAGAACTTCCGCATTGTACATTTTGATCATGCCCTGTGCGGTCTTAGCGGTTGATCGATGGTAAGAATTTCGGTACATACTTTGTTAATTTTTCCCCATCCAGCTTTTACACCAGAAATATCGAAGAGTATTGGACTATGCTCCCAAAATGGGCCGGTCTTTACATCGTTAATAAATCCGACGGCAGCAAAATACATGTTATGCTTCCTCTCGCGGTCAACCACATTTTTCTTCGCAACATCTGCAGGATTCGGCGAGCCGGAGAGAGTACCTTCAACAGGCATTGGATCAGAATCGTTAATCGCAGGACAGTACTGCGAGGAACCGAGGATGTATGGGAGGAAAGAATGATCATCCAAGCCCCAAACTCCATGTGAACCAGCAGGCTCCAGAGTATATGTGAGAATAAGGCGACGAACAACGCGAAAGTATCTGTAGGTTGTTAGAGCCACAGCAGATCTAGAGCTCCTTAGAAACGTACGGTTCAATGATGCCTAGAACAATACTCCTCTCCAAGGCCCCGTCGCTTGAATTCGTGGCCGTGAAGCCCCCAAGCTTCCAAATACAAGCAATGAAAGCAAGAAAGCTAAGCTCATGGCCTGTACCATAGTCAAGTCGCTGAGAGCTACCAAACCCACCCAGGAGATATGGAGTCAGCTCGTCCAGAACGGACACGTTACTTGCGGGGTTCACACCAAAATTAAGAACAGAATCCGGAAGGTGAGCAATAAGCAAGTCCCTTACTCTTGTATTTAGAATTTCATACCACTTTCTAAAACTGACGTTACCAAATCTCCGAGGTCCTGTGTCTGGGGGCGCTTCTTCTATAATAGAATCTATTTTGCCCAGCAAGGCGTGGATCTTCTGGACTGGCTCCGAGAGATGGAGGGGATCATCAAGCTGCCATGTGCGTATCTCAGAAGAAGATCCAGGGGCCTTTCTTGGGCACATGGCAGTATTCAGCTGCATCATGAAGATCCCGATATCAGAATATGCTCGCGAGGTAAGGAAAAACGGAACATCGTGACCTTCGTTGATGCGTTTAGTTGGAATGAGAAAGGTATGTGGTTTCGAGCTCTCCAGTATCGGCAAGAATGCTGGTAATTTATTGACAGAAAGGGACTCCATTTCTTCTCCGACCGTGGATGTTCATCCCTCAATGCCTGCTATCCACCAGTTCATCAAGGAGACTCGTGAAAAAGCACGGGCGGTTCGTTGGAAAATAGTGGGGCTGGCTGCGGGTTCCTGGGGAAACTAAAACCCTTGTTGCCTTTTTGGCTCGACAAGGCCAACTGCAAGACGGACATGCAACTCGCAAATCCACAAGCACAGCAAACTGTAACGTTTATCTAGCACAGAAAGGACCAATCTGGCACAGATGCCTTCAAACACGCGTCAACAACAGGCCGCAATGAGTAATAAGGAGCAGACGTCCAATGGTGCTTCTGTCATGGAAGGCAAGTGCCAGAGCTCCACATCATATCCTCAAGGAATATTGACTGATTATGCGCAGCGGAAGAAGCAGAGAAGACTGCCAATTTGCTGAACAAAATCAAAATTACCAAGAAGACTGCGCCGAGGACATCAATGGTTGGAGGGGCTATAAACTGGATGCTGAGCGCTTTCCCCAGCAGTAATCCGGCGCCCGAAAGACAAAACCTTGTCGAGGAGCGGGACGATGCTGACGAGCGAGATACGAACGAAGATAGATTCTCAAGCGGAGTGCGGGATACTTCCAAGTCCAACGAAGAAGCTGCCAAAGAGGTGGAACATCCTGGACTTGATGCCTCTGCAAGAAACTTGAATCACTCTGGAGAGCTCTCGCCGAGAAAGCGAAAGCGGAGCATTGAAAACGGTACAGATGATAGTCCCCGAGCCTATTCCCTAAAAACTGTGTCTGACGGAGACCTAGCACCTACAGAGCCTCTGCCAAAGCGACTTTCACGAAAACGGGTAGCGAAAAAACCGATCGTTGCGGCAACTACGAGCTTGAACCCCGTGTCGGAAGTTAGACCTGTTACACGTAGCAGATCAACGGTGCCTGTAGTTGAGATTGAGGTCGAATCGTCTGTAACACCGCAGAATCTCATAGAAAATGGAAGAGGGCGGCGTACGAAGGCTCATACGCTTGAGTCCGAGCGGCAACAAGGAGTAACAATTCTATCCGCGCCGGGCAATGATAACGCAGAATCCAACAATTCAGAAAAACTTCTCGAAGACAACGATAGCACCAGTTGGATGCCGGCGAACCGAAGCCCTGAAAAAGTCACCATGCAACCCTGGACTGGACGGGAGTATTATCTCGCGAGTGCAGAACAAGCTAAGCGTGCCCATCGTCTTGAAGCTACATCTGCCGACGAAGACGATATGATACAGGACGAGGATGACGTACAAAATAGCAACCAAGAAGTTGCTCGCCCAGAGTTGTTCCCGTTCTCCTTAGCGCCTGCTCAGATAGAAGAACTGATGAAAATTTCAGACCGAGTTGGGCAAAGATACCACATGTCTTCGGACTCTTATGACAAGATCATCAGCGTTTCTTTAGATAAGCTTAATGATGAGACTGGAAAAGAGCTTAGCGCGATCGTAGATTCCTTGTCAACAGCATATGAAAACCTACAAGCTTCTATCTTAAAGGGCCGCCGAAATCTCACAAATAAGGCTTATGCCAACGTGTCCTCTCGTCTAGAAGATCTGAGAGCGTCCACACGAAACGCCGTGCTCTCGATTAGAGGTACCGGAATCGACGATAACACACCGGCTACCGAGAAGTTGCTCATTTGTTTATACTTCATTGTCCTACCTCAGTGGATGAGGTGTATCCAGCTGGCTTTGAATACCTGTAGTGAAGAAGGCAAGATGAGTTTGGAGCTAGCCGAAGAAATCTACTCTCTATGTAAACTATGGTGCGATTTAGCAGGTGTTGCAACGGCGCAGAAGGTCAAGCTGAGCGCAAACGATGTCACTCCGTTCGACGATAAAATTAGTAACAACGATGACGAAGCGGATAACGATGATACAAGCAAAAAGCGTCGGTCAAACTTTCAAATAAAGCAGCCAACCACAGAGAGTCTGACTCAACTGAGGAAGCTTTGTATGAGCCATCGAGTTGAGATAGATGCGATCAAAAAGCGGGCAAAAGACTTAATGTCTGCCAGCCAACAAGCAATACGCATGGAAACGGAAGAGAGAGCTCGTGACAGCTTGCGCCAAGCGGATCTGGAAGCGAAAGAGATATCTCGCAATGAGCAGGAGGAACGAAGAGCAACTCTCATGAGGAAAAAAAACCAAGAAACTCTTGCCAGAAGACGTGCCGTCCACAGAAAGCAACGGCAAGATGTGGATAGGATTAAAAGGGAGTTAATGGGCAACTACGGCTTATCGGCTGGAGATGATCGCTTGTATGGAAGCCAGGGGGCATCAATACGGACGAGGAGAAATGTAGAATCCGACGAGTCTGATCTTGAGGAAGAGAATGATCCTCTCTCAAACGGTTACAAAGTTCGTATTGGGGGGTTCCCTCCCGATAACAAGAGAGGAACCACCCGAACGCCGTGGAACAACGAGAAGAAGGGCAGATTCGCCATGATGATGATGCAAGAAGCTGAAGGTATGTAGAAACCATTTTTATAGTCAGATTGAATCGGTTGACCTCTCCTAGATCCCAATCGCTGGCAAAACGCTGCTCGAGCCCTGGATGTCGATATTGAAGAGGTTTTCGAAGCTGCAAAGGAGCTTCAACAATGTCTTCATAGAGTCCATGAAAGGGGTAAGATGCTCGATCAAGAGTGGACATATAATGTCTGGTGGGAAGACGATGATGCCATATCCGTGCCATCTTAAAGGACTTTAGCCACGGCCATTCGTATTCTCATACAACTCTTTTGTCGGCGATTATACATGATGGGATCTTGTTGGCGGGCTTCCGTGTGTCAGAATTTTCAAAGTTTACGGCGTATTGTTTGGGAAATACCCTTTTTTTGTTGAGCATGGGAAAGGGAGGCCAAGAATGGAGTAGAGTTTGTTTAAGCGGTGGCGTCAGGCGTCTTGTCTTGTTGCTTTTATATGATACCCCAGGCGGTTTTTGTCCCGTTCAAATAATGTAACTCATCTTTACATTGTAAAAAATCATAACCATTATATTAGTTCCAAAATGTACGTTTCTATGTTTGTGGAGCTCCTTCGGAAGACTCCACATCATCCGTCAGTTGGTGGATGTTGGTGGCTGTCGCGATGTGCAACAATAGTTATAAGACGAAGCATTAGTGGCTTCGTCGACAGCATAAGCACAGTGGAGAACATGGAATGGATTGAGTGGCGTTCTCACTAAGCCTCGCTGAATGAGGTTTTCGGCCAGAAAAAAATAGGATGTGAGAATAGGCACACAGGGGTATCATATTTTCCATCCTAAAACCACTACCCAAATCTCCCAAATATGTCATAAGGTATCTCATATCACCATTTCCCTATCATCACCCACAAGATCTTCTTCATCCTCATCCAGATCCTCTAACGGGAACGTGAGTATCGCCGCGATGCCTCCTAATCCTTCCAGTCGTTTCCCACTTTCGTGATCACTGCTTAATATCCTAACCTCACCACCCCCTTCTCTCACCCTATCTACCAGCCCGACCCAGCGTTTCCTCACACCCACATCTTGCGCCCTGAATAATGCATTGTTGATCAACAACGTCCCGCCTGGTCCTATAGCTCCCTTCTCAGCGGCCTTCTCAACTTCATTAGGTCCGTACCAAGCTCTTCCATCGTCTTTTCTGAGAAATGTCATGAAAGTGTCCATAAGCAGTGTTTCCTTGGCGTATTTTGTGTTGCTGAGTTTTGAAAGGACGGATTGAGATTGAAGAATCTCGTTCAGACTGTGGAGATGACCAGAACTGGAGTGGACGACTACGAGGTTCGACTTATTCCCTAATACTGCTTTATTTCCGGTCCGCGTCGCTTCGTCCAGGATATACTTCTGGAATCCTTGCGCCGTGAAACCTGGACTTGCGAGTAGTAAAGGTCGCGGCGCTGTGATATCCACATGTCTCAGTAGCGTTTCCAGCACTATAGCGTAGAATCTTTCAATCCCTTTATCATGATCTCCACTTCGTCCAGCTCTTTTCTTCGGAATTCCAGATTCCACCCTCTGCTTCAGCACAGTCTGATACTCTGTGATCAGACAGATATTTGCCAACCCCTCCTGCATTACGACTGCTGGCACAGTTCCTTCTTTATCCTGCTTCACTGCCTCCCTGACTACATCCAACGCCACGCTATCCCACCCCTCACTCTTTTCTATGGTGAAATTCCGCTGCAGTTCCAGGTCTAAAGTATGGTATGCGCCATTTTTCACCCACTTGTTTTCTTCGGCCACACGACCAGAGACGTGGAGTTGGGAGGCTTGAGGGTCGAACTCGATGTTTGTGACGCGGATTAAGAGGGTGGTGTGGACTCGTGTTGAGGATGTGCTTCCTGTCGCGGATTCGGTAGTTACACGGCGGACTGCAGAGGCTCGGAGGAGATCATTGGGTGCTATTAGATTATGTGCATGCCACTGTAAATTAATTAGATACAGCAGTAGAGCATGAAGGCAAGGTGAGGAAGTACCATGTCTTCTGGTTCTTCTGGGAGGAGTGTGATTGTTCCTGCGCCCGTTTTGGCTTCAATATCTTGTTTTATGAGGCGCATTATGTACAGGTGATTTGGAACTACGTCTTGATGAATTGCCGAACGAAATGCAAGAATACGGCAAGATGTCTACCAATATGCTCTGAGGTGAGGTATTTCGGTAGGTAGTGGTGGTCAACACAAAGAGGCACCAGGCTTGGATTAAATTTCATGGAGGGGGAGGGGTATGTGGGGCTCTAAATTGGTGCCCAGCTGGCTCACGATGTGAATGTCATATACTGACACACCTAGGTACCTAGGTATTTACTTTTAATGAGTAGGAGCTATACAACATGAAGATGAACTGTTAAATTCAACAAATCTGTATTATTTGTATAGATCCACCTTAAGAGCGCATATCCTACCAAATAAGTAATCGCAAGATGTATTACGTCACCGCGGGGTTAAGAATACCTATTTCCATGTAAATGTTCTACAAGCTCTACTTATCGTAGGGTTGAGACAGCTGTAATCTAACAAATCTCAAGAAGATATGGTGAGCCTAAACATATTGGAATTCAAAGACTTGCAGTCGCACACCACAAAAACGGCGGTACATCGAAGCACAAAGTGACCTGATTTCCACTCTGATCTCTCTATCTAATTACAAATACAACCAATCGAGTTAATGATCTGTGAAGACGTCCCGCTTTATATCGGAGATAGCAATCTAATTTCCTTACTTCGTCGGAGTAAATTTCAGCCTACAATCACGCATGCTGTCATGAGGCTCGCTTTCAAAGAATAAAGTTTCCAGTCTCGCCACGTCTTCCAAATATTCTGTCATTTTCTATACATCCAAAGATTCATGCTTTCTTCAAATCTTCTATTCAAATCACAAAATTTGATCTCGTCTACCGGAAAGAAGATGTCGACCTTATCGATTAAATCGACGGCTCGAATGAACTCAGGCTATGAGATACCTCGCTTAGGATATGGTGTAAGTGGACTTCAAGATGTACGAGAGTAAAGATTGACAACAGACAGGTTTACCAGACGTATGATGTTTGCTATATAAGTCTTGTTTTAATTGACTAACGAATTCCAGTCCGCCAGATGTGACAGAAGATGTTGTCTTACAATCTTTCAAAGCAGGATATCGTCATGTGAGTACCTACCCATAGTGGCATTATTTTCCAGCCGTTGTTTCCACTTAGTAAATTTGTATAGAATGCATTTTCTGACAACGTCAATTTCAGGTGGACTCGGCGATCTTCTATCGAAACGAGGCTCCTTCTGCTGCCGCTATTAAGAAGTCCGGCATCCCTCGCTCTGACATATTCTTCACCACCAAAGTTTATTCAGCAAAATTGAGCTACGAGGACACCAAATCCAAAATTGCTTCTTCGCTCAAACAGACTGGATTTGATTATCTTGACTTGATGCTTCTCCATGCTCCATTCGGTGGGCGTGAGGGTCGTAAAGGTGCATGGAAAGCCCTGCTAGAAGCACAAGATCGAGGTGAAATTCGGTCTTTAGGAGTAAGTAATTACGGCGTAGGTCATTTGGATGAGATGGAGGAGTACATGAAGGAACTGGAACAAGAACGTGGTGAGGGAAAGGGAGGCAAGATCGACGTCGGTCAATGGGAAATCCATCCTTGGTTAGCTCGAAAAGATATCACCGATTGGTGTGAGAAGAGAGGAATTGTCGTCGAGGTAAGTGCAGAACGTTTATTCCCCGAGTTTCTTAACTAATTCAGTAGGCCTACTCTCCTCTCGTTCAGAACACACGCCCAAATGATCCTCTGCTCCAGCCCTTGGTCAAGAAGCACAACAAATCCCCTGCACAGATTCTCCTTCGTTGGAGTCTGCAGAAGGGATTTGTGCCTTTGCCAAAAAGTGTTACTCCAAGTCGGATCGTCGAGAATGCTTCTATTTTTGATTTTGAATTGGATGAGGAAGACATGAAGAGTTTAAATACAGGCAAATATGAGCCTGTGTGCTGGGACCCTACTACGGCACCGTAAGAGCAGTTGAGATTGTTCTTATGTGTCGTAGCTAAGATACCTAGTGGTTCTCGCTTGTAATAGATATAATGATAAGGAAACTACATTATCATGATTACGTTAATAGAAAATGAAGCCGTCAATCTGATCGAATGAATACCTTATCCAATTCCCGACTGTTACTTTTTCGACTCAGCGCGAGTCAAAGTCAACCTAGATACATTACTTACATAGTCTAGACTCCGCATGAATTGGTAAAGAAATTCTTTACGGGCAACGTGGTACAAAACTCTATCGGAGTCATCGAAGGAGCTGTTCATGACAAGCAAAGACGCCGCACTCCGTAAAGCTTACAATTTCAACTTATAGACGAGTTGGTCAGCTACACGCCATAATGCGTGTATCAAACCCCAGTTAAATCCGATGAAATATGGCGAGCCGCTGACCCATGATGTTGGTCTTGCCGTCTGCTCGCGTACTATAAATCTGAATAAAGCCCAAAACAAAGTCTTGCAGATGGAAAGGTCTTGTTCATGCTCGGCTGGGTCACTCAAACAAATCGAACGTTCCTGCGACTGGGGAGTCTGTTTATGGGCGGCTTTCTGCTCCAGATTAAGCCTTAGAAGTAAACAAAGATGGCTACATCGAGAGTTGAGCGGTTGTACCAGCAATTGTGTTGAACCAACATGCTGGGAAACGCTTTCCAACAGTTCGCCGCCGCAACACTTTTATCCAGAAAGCCCGCATCGGTTTCTGGGTCTCCGTGCTGGTTGCATTTCAATTTCAAATCGTCGAAAGTTTCGGGTCTCCAGGTCCAAGCCGCACAAGGGGAATGTTGTCCAAATAAGAGCAAACATTTTGAATGCAAGATTCCATCCAACAACGAGGCACATGCTCGCTTATGGTGGTACCAGTCATAATTTGTATTTTCACAGCATGTTAGGTCTTTGTTCTCTTTCATTTGTTGTCTGCTTGAAATTGTTGGTATCCTGTAGGCCGTGGGGTCCAAAAATGTTGGTGTTAGATGTGCTGCATGGAATATATCCAGGAGAACAACCCGCAGAAGAAGATCAAACATTTGGCTAGGCGGATGCTACCCGCTGAGCGCTAGCCGGACCTAATATACTAATAAAGCTTCTGGAAGCATGCCAAGATGTTTCAACCTTTAACTCTCGGGTTGCACAGCGGCTGAGAATAGGCGGTGCTGTTCATGCTTCTCCTTGAAAGTTGTCCCCCACGTCTGCTCATCGAAACGAGCTAAGCGAGCTTTATATTTCAGATCCTCAGTCAGTCCGCTTGACGATATGGTAAGCTCTGCGTGAGAGGAGCCTAGGCTATGGTAACACGAAATAAAATGTAACTGAGAGACTACAGAATCAGTTCATGCTAATGGTAAATGGTCTGAGTTCAAATTTTGGGTCGTGGCTAACCGGAATATCGAGCTTCGATCTACTCACAACTCCAAACTCAGCGTCTATTCGGTAACCCAACCAACTCTTCGTTGATCTATTTTCATTACTGTAGTCGTGATTATGATTGTTGTTGTTGTTTTTGGGGAAAACCCCAACAGGTGGCCTTCCCAACGACCTCTCAAGCGCCCCACCAACCAAAAACAACGCTTGTCTTCAACCTTCGACCATGAAACCTCAACCTCGACATACTCAGGTTACTCGATACTTTCGTACATTTCGGCCATTTATCAGACCCTATACCTCACAGCCTTGCCTAAAAATCTGGCTGTGCTCGTGGAGAGCACAGCAGGCGCTTGCGACACAGCCTTGCGCCTCTCCGGTACTGTGAAACTAAAATACCTGACATCTGCATGCTGATGCAGGAATCGCTCTTTCCATCCATGACCCCGGACGTAGGATTCGAGATCTGAGGATCTTGCCAATGAACTTCAATTAAACAGAGGCACAGTTGGAAATCCAACGGCGACCGGACATGCGGCTCTGGTTGTCTGTTCAGGTTCCCCTGCATTTGGAAAATCCCAAGGGCCTTTCTGACAATTGATCCTCTCGCTTAGGGTTCCACAGAGCCCTCGTAAAGATGGGTTGTTGCAGCTCTATCAGCCTCGAGAAACGGAACCCTTGCCGGCTGGTATGAAGTCAAGATGTAAGTCATATTATATAAGGGTTTGGTGTGTCGTGTTTTTATGTACAGACAAAATTCAGTTCAGTCTTTTCAAGTCATTCCTGGTCGAGCTTTTAATCTTTTCAGTACTATCTTACCCCATAATCATGATCTTTCCTATCTTTAAACTGGTTGCTCCAATACTAGCACTTTCTTCTTTTGCTAATGCCGACGTCGTGGATAAATCCATGGTGTCGAGAGCTGTGGCAGGACGGCATCCAAAACTTTCGGCTATCACAGTTCGGTCTAGACTTCAAGCACGAGGAGACGCATTCAAACCAACAATAGACTGTGCCCATGAATATGCGGAAGGTAAGTTCAAACGTTATTTTCCCATTTACAGTTACTAACATTATGGCACAGAACGACCATCACTTCCCGGTTGGAACTCTCGATTCGCTAAGACAGAGACTAAATATAAACTGCCAGCACTCGTTCTGGAAGACATAGAAGAAGATGTTGAGGATATTAGATGCTCGGAGTCTGTAATCACACTACAATTTGCCCAATCCCAGAGTCTGGGAGATGTTCGACCGAGTTGGGACAATCTTGGACCATTCTTAATTATTACTTCCCACATCGGTTGCAACGGAGATGGCGAGAGAAAACCATACCTCGTTTCTGGTATTCATTACGATCTTCGCCAGTCGACAGTAGATTTCTCTGTGAAAGAACTCGAATGGCGACAAGCATACGATACAATGACTGTTAAATTCGGCTCCAAGGCAGGCAAGGTTCCAACCTCTTCTTTCCGAACCCACGAGGCATTACGCAAGAGACAAGGAGGAGATACATTCGCAACAGTAGATCCAAGCTCTACCACCCCTCAGCCAACTCCCACTCCTACTGGTCTCGAAACGAGTGTCGATCTAGCGAACCCATTTAACTCGAGTCAAAAGTTGGATCCTAATATGAAGCTGTTCGAGTTTGCTACTGGGTCAGTATAAGCGTAAAAACCTCAACCAAGCTTGAATTCTAACCGTGTCACAGAAGTGGAGCCACAACGCAAAGTGCCTCAGTAAGCTGCAAAGGCTGCACTCTCAACGGTACTATTGACGTGATTGCTGGCGAATTTGTCGTCAGCACTAGCACAACCGATATTGGAGAGATTATCGATTTTGTTCAGGACGGCTTCTTTCAGGTCGCCGCTAACAATCTGGCTGCTCATATCGAATTGGATACCAAATTCACGCTCTCTCAAGAGAAGACGTTCGAAAAACAGCTTACCGAGTTTGGTCTTCCAGGATTCTCGGTAAGTCGTCAAAACCAAAACAGTGCAACACCTGCTAACTGTCCATAGATCCCAAACGTTGCGACAGTCGGGCCATTCTTCAGACCTGCGCTTGTTAGTACTATTAAGCTCGAAGGAACACTAGAATTTAGCTATGGGTTTGACCTCAAAGTACCAAACAACTCTACACTTACGCTTCCAATCGGTAACATCACACAATCAAATGTGGTGGGGTTTGAAAATGCAAACATCACTGCTCTACCATTTCAAGCAACCTCTCCTAGCATCAAGCTTACACTTTCCGCCGCTCTTCGCGGCGAGCTGAATTTTGGTATCGTCCTGGGCAATGCGAACATATTCGGCGGCGCAAAAGCGGAAATAGGAGCGTTCCTCGACCTCCCCGCCCTCGAGGTCGCCATCTCGACAGCTCCCGACCTAGACGTCAACTGCGATCCCATCCCAACAAACATTAGTTTTACCAACGTATCCGAGATTGTCCCCCAAAAATTCCCAAGTCTCATCAAGATAGAACCCGCCGTCGTTCTCAATTTCGGAGTGAAAGCCGATGTTCTGCTTGATCTTCCTGGAAACAAACTCGATGGAGGATACACCACCGAGAGTGTCATTGCATCGACCAGCTTCCCGCTACCCACTGCTTGTTTGAGCTTCGACGCGGAGAAACAACAATTGGCCATTCCTACCACTACACCTCCCCCTCCACCTCCTACCACTGCTACGGTTGTGGCCGGTGCTACGAATGCACCTGGTGCAAATCCTACCGGGCAACCAGGAACATTTGCGGAGAAGAATGGTGCAGGCACGGCACGCGAGATGTCATCGCAGTTCTGGTGGGGTGGTCTGGGTCTCTTGACTGTGTTCCTTGTTGCTATTCAGTTGTAATTGACGGCTTTGCGTTAATGGTTGAATTCATGATACCCAGGTCTTTTTATGGATTATGAAATTTAGCGGGAGTTAATTGGAGGATTTTGACTCACTGGTCATTGGATATTGGCTTGAAAAGTTATGGGTTACTCAATGATATTGCAATTAGCTTGCTTCATGATTACCGGTGTTATTTGAAACTGCCCCCTCATGACCTTCGTGTTGTGAAAACCTTTTCATCTTTGGCTCATTCATATCCGGTATCTGTGCCCCATCCTCCTTCTTCATACCATTTGTCCATACCTTGGTACTAGCACCATTCACATTCTCATCCCAAGGCCTGACCCCAACACCCTTGAAATCCCTGAAGCACTCCCTATACCAATCACCTTTTCCGATATTGATAAACATGATTCTTTTCAGAGTCTCCCATTCTTCTAAGTATTCTCTGATACATACGATCATCCACCTTCCGAGACCTTGCTTTTGATAAGCAGGCAACACATAAACGTCTGTTAGGTAGACGAAAGAGACGCGATCGGTTATCAGACGGGCGAAGCCGATTTGAGTTGATGATTCTGGATGTGTGAGAATTAACATTGATGGAGGAATTCAGTCCTCAAGTTTTATTGTACCTGAAGTATTGTCGTAGAGGCCGAAACATATTGAATTGTCTATCATAGCCTGGAGTATCTTAATATCCATTGTCTTAGTCCAGACTATGTCATCACTGGCAAAGGCTTGGTTGATTGCTAGTGGCTGAAGTGCTGAGCGGTCTGTGGATACAAGATATGTACCTTTCGTCCATTGTTTGCATGAATTGGAAGCCATTACGAGGTAAACTGCAGGCGGTTCCGTTGATAACAGAAGCCCAGGGAGGCTATGTGCGAACAAAAGGCGTCCTTCCGTAGGAGAGTCCGATTTAGTTTTTTAATGTAAACAGTATCAGTACGACTGTTAGTCAATGTGTGTGTATTGACGACCATGTGCTAGGCCCACTGTTGGTAAGAACTGGGGACCTTCTTCATTGGGGGTTCGCTTAACTTTCAGTCCTATAAAGACTGTTGTAAAATCCATCGAGCATGAATAGAGTATCTAGGCATCGCAGGAGTACAGTGCTGTTGCATAGAAATCAAACACCACCATGAAATAAAGCTCCGATGAGGTCTTTGAGTCGATGAAGATCTACTATGTCTAATTCTCCTGTCGGTTGTAGAGGATCAACAGCATGCTAAAATGCGAATGTCCGAACCGAAATCGACAGTAAATTCTTTATACAAGGCCCGTACTAAAAATTCTGGAGTTTCAGATCCCAACATCGAGCATTTCCTGAACAGACCTCTTTCAGCCGAGTTAAGGCAGATACATCATACATTCCACGACTGGAGGTCGTCTAATGAGCATCGACAAGGAGTGGTAGCTTGCTTTATAAGTGATAGATTATCAGCGTGAAGAACCGTGTTTACCTTTCACATTAATCAAGAGAAGAAATATAAGTTTCCTGCCAAAAAAATTATCATTAAGGTCGTATTGGAAAGTCGATCCTCGAATTAGTTGTCTGCATCACGTGGGCTAGGCAAGTGGCCCACTAGCGTGTGGAGACCAGGGTCTTCTCACAATTTTTATTTTTGCAACTTCAGGCCGTGAACTCCCAACTATCTTGCTCCGTTTAACTTAATCCTGTGTCGCACACTGTATTGCGTGAACAGAATCCAGAATGGAGCAACAAAGATTAGTTGAGCTTCTAGCCAACTGTCAAGTTCGTATGTTAATCTAATCTCTCTCTCCCTCCTATCAACCTTTATTGACTTCTGTTTAGCTGATACCGAACGCCTAAAGGCAACCACAACGGAACTGCGAAAGAACTACTATCCTCACCCACAAACCCTTCTCTGGTTACTCCACATTCTAACTTCCCACGATGACTCGAAAATCCGTCAACAAGCTGCTGTCGAGGCTTGCCGTTTAGTGGATAAACACTGGGCTGCCCAACCCTCCGACCAGAAGCCAGCCATTCGCGAGAAACTCCTCGAGTCGACCTTGACCGAAAAACAGTCCCTTGTACGACACTCCTCTGCGCGCGTCATTGCTGCTATCGCCAAGATCGATCTCGCAGACGGAGAATGGGCGACGCTCCCAGGTCTTCTCGCACAGGCTTCGACTTCATCCGATGTTTCTCACCGTGAGGTCGGGATTTATATTCTCTTCTCCTTACTCGATGTGGCAGGAGATGCCTTCGAGGACAAAGTCCAAAGTCTTTTCTCACTATTCGCTACCACCATCAAAGACCCAGAGAGCGCCGAAGTTAGGACCAACACAATGCTTTGCATGAGCAGAGTTGCTATGTTGATCCACCCCGAAGAGGATCCAGAGAATCTGGCACGATTCGTGGATCTGTTCCCTGACATGGTCGCCGTTTTGAAAGCTGCTATCGACGAAGATGATGAGGATCGAACCATGCAAGCTTTTGAAGTTTTTCAGACATTGCTTGGCCTTGAGGGTGCCCTCCTGAACAAACATTTCAAAGACTTGTTAACTTTCATGATTGATATTGCTGCCAACACCGATATTTCCGATGACTCCAGAAACCAGGCATTGTCTTTCTTAATGCAAGCCGCAAGGTTCCGCAAGATGAAGATACAGGGTATCAAGAATATGGGAGAGACTCTAACGACCAAGTGCATGCAAATTGCAACTGAGATCGAGGATGACGAAGATGAAGAAGACGAAGTCAACCCTCACCGTTCAGCTCTTGGTCTTCTCGATCTGCTCGCTGCCAGCTTACCTCCACGACAGGTCATTGTTCCCCTTCTTAATCAGCTTCCTTCGTATGTCAATCACGAATCGCCTCAGTTTCGCCAGGCTGGTATCTTATCTTTGGGAATGTGCGTCGAAGGAGCACCCGACTTTATCGGTACTCAACTCGATTCTTTAATGCCAATTGTCATGAAGCTCCTCAATGATCCTGTTGTCGGTGTCCGTAATGCTGCTTTGAATGGAGTGGCTAGACTTGCCGATGATCTAGCAGAAGATCTCTCCAAACACCACGCGGAACTCATCCCAGTTTTACTCAAGAACCTGGACTCTGCAAGTGGTGAATCTTCTAGCGAGTCTGAGTCGCGTAAAAAACTGGAGATCCTGAAAGCTGCATGTGGTGCGCTAGATTCTGTTACTGAAGGTCTTGACAAGGAGGTTATGACAAGCTATCTTCCCGAGCTTGTTCCCCGCTTGGGAAGACTGCTCAGTCACTCCGAGCTCACAGTCAGATCAAGTGCTGCGGGTGCACTCGGATCAATCGCCGGCGCTGCTGAAGGTGATTTCTTACCGTACTTCGAACCTGCCATCAAAGCTCTTTCCGAGTTTGTCTCTATCAAGGACAGTCAGGATGAACTAGATCTTCGTGCAACGGCTTGCGATGCGATAGGCAGCATGGCCACTGCCGTTGGCGCTGAAGCTTTCGAGCCATACGTTCAACCTTTGATGCAAGCAAGTGAAGAGGCGCTCCATTTGGGCCACCCGAGACTGAGAGAGACAAGCTACATCCTCTGGAGTACGTTTGCCAAGGTTTATGAAGAAAAGTTTACACCATACCTTGATGGTGTCGTTAAGGGTCTTATGGAGAGTCTTGAACAGGAGGAGTCAGATCTCGACGTTGAGCTAGGTGCTGAAGCGCAAGATTTACTAGGTCAAGAAGTCATCATTGCCGGCAAAAAGGTTAAAGTTGTCGCTGCAACGGATGACAATGAGATTGAGGATGTCGATGGCATGGAAGAGGACGACGATGAAGACTGGGATGACCTTGGTGGTGTTTCTGCAGTGGCTTTCGAGAAAGAAATTGCAATTGAAGTGCTTGGTGATGTGCTTTCACACACTCGTAGCAACTTTGTGCCGTATTTCGAAAAGACTATTGAGACCGTCATGGGCTTAGTCGAGCATCACTACGAGGGAGTCCGCAAGACTGCAGTGGGCACTTTATGGAGGGCATATGCCTGCCTGTGGGCTTTGATGGAAGACCATACCGGGGAGAAGTGGACGCCTGGGTTGCCACCATCATCTCAGCCATCAGAGGAAGTCCTCAAGCTTGGTGAAGTGGTCTCAGTCGCAACTCTCTCATTGTGGGAGGATGAAGTTGATCGGTAAGTCTACAATTTTCCTTTTTGTTACTCTGTTGGAAATGATGAACAACATGACGTTATACCCAGCTCACTCAGATACACAAGTTGTAATTGCTGAGAACGCGTATCTACTTCTGATCCATTTCACTATTTTTAGGCTACTTTATCACATCAGTAATAGAATATTGCTAACTGAGATAAAATCTAGGGCCGTTATTACCGACATCAACCGAAATGTGGCAGCTACGTTAAAACTTTGTGGACCATCCATTCTGACCCAAGGCAAGTTTGCCGAACAGACGATCTCCATTTTGGCATCCATCATTACCAAGTCGCATCCATGCCAACAGGATATTGGTGATGAAGCCGATCAATCCCCTGAAGACGAAGAATCCTCTGAGTACGACTGGCTTGTGATCGATACTGCTCTCGACGTTGTCATTGGACTTGCTGCTGCTCTCGGTAGTCAGTTCTCTGAAGCGTGGAAGATCTTTCAAAAACCCGTGATGAAGTATGCATCCTCTCAGACCAACTATGAACGTTCTACTGCAATCGGAGTCATTGCTGAATGCACCGCACATATGGGCAATGGAGTATCACCGTTCACTGCACCTCTCCTCAAGCTACTGTTACATCGCTTGACTGATGAAGACGACGAGACCAAATCAAACGCATCTTATGCCATTGGTCTGTTGATCTATCACTCAACTGATTCAAACACCTACCTCCCTGCATTTAAAGAAATCCTGAGGAAATTGGAACCACTTCTCCACACACAGGTCGCTAGGACACTCGACAACGCTTCTGGATGTGTTTGCCGTATGATCATGGCCCACCAGGATCAAGTGCCTGTCGATGATATACTCCCAGTTCTCGTTGAGTTGCTTCCACTGAAGGAAGACTATGAAGAGAATAAGCCAATTTACGAGTGTATCACGGGCCTCTACGAGCATCAAAATCCATCCATCATGGCACTTACTCCACAATTGATTCCTGTCTTTGCCGCTGTGGTTGGTGAGCCAGCTGAGCAGCTAGAGCCCGACACACGCAGCAGGATTGTGGCGGTGGTCAAGTTCATTCACGCAAAGGACGCAAGTCTGATTCAAGGCAATCAAGTCTTGTCTCAATTCGTGTAAGGCATAGAGAAGTTCCGGGTAGGAGAACGAACGTTACGATTGATGAAGCGGGGAAAAGCATTGCATGGAAGGGCGTGAGAATAAGGGAATGGTTATATAAGGTATTTTGTGTTATGGGAAGGATAAATTCTTCATTTTCAACATACCCCTTTGTCGGATTCAGATGTATCTGGTAACAAGATGGGTTAGATCAAATGAGCGCAGACTAGTGCAGATTTGATGTTCTCATAGATTGTTGTCAGATTATCATTTTTCTTTAGTTAGTTTACATACCCCTTAGGCCAAGTGCTACACGTGTTGTGAAGCATCTTTGGATCTAGAATATTATTGAATCTTTTTCCAACTATCGTCGTGAGGAATTAATTTCACTGAGTCAGATGCTCTTAAATGTGCCTAGAAAATAGTCGCTTCATTTCTCAGACGCCCCGCTCTGCATAAATATGGCTTCTAAACTAAACTTGGCACGTGGTCGCCTTCCTCTTTCAAGTTTTCATTGTCGCACTCCTCCGCAACAAACTTACCACTATTACCTATTCATCGTTTATGTTCTCTTATGCACTCTCAACCGAGTTGGTATCCCTCGGCAGTGATAACAAAGGTTTATAACACACTGCTCCGGTCCCAACATATCCGACAACACCCAGCGGATTTATCAGAGCGACATCCTGAGGGAGTGTAACACCGAGCGGTATCTTCACCGTTCCACAGGGGTTATTGGCACTTGATAAATTGTCCATTCAGCATACTGAAGGCACAATTATGAAAATGTCGTAGCTCACCTGTCTGTCGTGAAATCAAAACACGTTACCGAGCGACAGAAAACCCCTATCATAGCTTTGTCGTTGCCCAGCGCGTAGGGGTAACATTCGCCATAGTCGAAGAAGACTGGGTCGGGGCGGTTGGCGTATTGGACTGCGACGTACTGGGGTTGGGGTCAGCGATGGATTGTGTGTGTGTGAGAAAGGGGTTTCTTACAGTTGGACTGTTAGCCGCTTCTGCATTGCACGCTGCGAGGAGAGTCGAGTAGGTTGCTTGGAGGTTGGGTGGGATGTTTGCGGCGGTGGTTATCGTGTTGAGAAAGAGGATAGGATTGGGTGGTTGTGGGAGGGCGGCTGTGAGGGCGAGGAGGAGGGGTGATAGATAGATGAATTTCATGTTGAGATGGGTTGCTCGCTATACCAATTTTTTTTTTGGGTGACCGGATCAAGTTTGTCGAAACTTGAACGCAGCGAGAAGTGGTGAGAGATGGCTCATAATTTATAGGGAATACTGAGTATCTGGTTTGGCCCCTTGCTCAATTCCCCAAGGGAGGAGGACACAAAAAAGTAAATTCTAGTTCAGCGTCATTTGAGCTGAAGTCGTGTAACTTGTAGGGTTGAGAACTTGCTTTAGGGTTGGACATGGAAAAGAAAATATGAGACTATGACGCGACCAAGTTCATGATTGGCAACTAAGATATAGTCACTGGCTGACGCCTACTCATAGACATGTGGAGTAAGCCTGTTGTTGGGCTGGTTAAAATCTATATTGGGGTCAGGCAGTAAAGTTAATACGCTCGAGTAGAGATAGGTATAACAACTTCTCAATCTAAATATTTATCTATATCCTCATGTAATCCTATCCACTTTATGCTGGGGTATCTAATTCCATCCACCAATCCCACCCTGATCAATGCAGAAAATGGTTATGCCAATACTCCTTTATGTATGCCTGAAATAAATAAACCTGATCCCTAAACCCTAAACCCATCTCTTAATGCTGAAGTTCTCGCTAACATAAAGCCAATAAATCTTGTGAACTAATAAAATCATCGTCATCGTAATCTGTTACGTTGCTCTGTACTCGCTGCAGAGTTCGTCCACTCCTCGTAGTAACTGCTGGTGCTGCTCGTTTTACTTCTTGTTGTGCCTCTCGCACCTTTTCTTGCGCCTTTCTGTTGCACTCTACTTTTTTGCTTTCATAGATCGCAGCTTGAACTAAATCTTCCTCTTTTTCCTGGAAAAAACGCCTTTTATGTTTGGGGTCCAAGGGAATCTTTGGTGGTACCGGAGGTGGCTTATGCAGTACCATTACGTCCTTTTGATGTTTATACTCTATCGTCTTCGGACGAGGCGAGGGAACGTCGGGCTTAGGAGCGTAAACTATTTGCAGAGATCGTGGAGTATTCTCTGTGGCCCGAGATGAGGCTTTGGACGCTGAAGAATTATGATGACGGCCTCTGGACTGCGAAGTGTTATTTGTGAATCCTGGGTGTCCGGCATTACCACTACTAGACTGCAGTGGCAGACGACTTCGCGTTACTGCACTATGTCTAGCTGAGGTAGAAGTAACAAAAGATCTTTTACTCATTGATCTTGCAGGCGGCGGGCGGCTGGGTGTAGTAATTTCAAGCAACTCTTGCGAAGACGCGAAATCTTGAGTGGAGAACAGGTCTGCGAACGAGTCATCGATAGGCTCGAGGCTCGGTTTAAAACACAGCGCTGATCGAATAGGGCTTATCTCTTTTGCGATTTGCGTGTTAGATGGAAAGTCCTCAATATCATCTAGTAATTCTCTAGCCTCTTGACTAGGACTAGGAAAAAAGTCGTCGAGATTGTTCTCCAAGAATAGCTGGGTCGCGGTTGGTGGTAGGATTTCAGCTTGTCGATCATTCTTCTTACCCAAATTACGCAGATGTGTCAGCCTTAAGCTACTAGGATTTGGTAGGTATATTGGCTTTCGACTCTTCGCAGGTACGGGGGGTGGTGGCATGCTTTTAACTGGCTGTTTCGTGACAGGCTTTGTGACTGCCTGCTTTGAGCAAACGGCTGTATCGACAGGTAATCTTGACGTCGGAGATGGTGTCTGCATAGGTCTCGATCGTGGAGAGATGACTGGGGATTTTTGAACCGTATGCTTTAGAGGTAGACTAGCCTTATCAGGCGTACCACGCGCCTGACTTCTAGCCAATATTGTGCTGCCAGTACCTTGGCCATTGTCTTTTGGGCTGATGCTTTTTTCTGTGACCACAAATTCAGGCGGATGTTGTAAGACTGGTGTGCCGGTCACAGGGTCGCATTTAGCTTCTGCTTCAGCAGCTTCCGAATGCACCTGAGTAGTCACCAATTCAAGGAGTTCCTGAGAAGAGATAAGATTCTCATCAAAAAGCTGCTTAGCATTGCGTTTCGGTAATTCTTGTGACTTCTTCGGTCCCATAGATGGTTTCTGTATAAGAGGACCTCTTTTTCTTCGTAGCGAATCAAGAGGATCGTGCCGTGATTTGATATCTATAGCATTTACGATCTCATCTTCGTCCCTGAGTAGGGCAGGTTCTTGTATGGCTGGGACCGCCCAAGACCCTTGGGAAGCATGATCTACCAAGCTCGAGGAAGGCTTAGAAATGGTATTCCTTTTCGGTATCGAAGCGTTAGAGCTATTGATTATCTCAAGCAGATCTCCAGCCTGGGACATCGATGGAAAACAACCAAATTCATCTTCAGAGTCCTGCTCTACAGCAACTCGTTTTGCCGGCGGCTGATCGACTGATTTTTCCATAGGTGGTAGCAATTCTTCCCCTAATGTATCCTCCGACTCCTCAGCTAGGCTGTCCATCTCAATCTGCTGCCATGTTCGCTTCCCTGCTTGCCTCGCAAACATCGAAATCGTCGGTTGGCTTGCTCTCACAAAGCGATTTGGCTCCGGTATTCCTAACTTCCTCCTCTCCTCCTTCTCCTCGGCAAGTTTTGCAGCCTTTTTCTCCCTTGCAAGCTTCGCTCTCGCAGCATTGCGCTCCTTCTCGTACTCTCTTTTCTGCTGCTCTAGCTCCTCCTTTTCAAGACGCCGCTGCTCGGCGCGCGACACTCGTGGTCCACGGTTGGCTTTCAAGTATGCTTTCTTCGCAGCTTTGCTGGTCATAGGAGGTTTCGCCGTGACATTGCTGGGGTTTGCGGGAATGAGGTTGAACGTCCGCTGGAAAGCCGGCATCCTGCATCGTGTCGCTTTCAGCAAAATGGTGGAATCCGAAGTGAAATTTGGGGGGACAGCATGCTATTGGTTGTTGATGGTGATGATGTAGCGCGTCAGGGACGCGGGGTTTCCGTCGCGCTTCGAGGCGCGATCACGTGAGAAATTGACGACTTCGTTTGGCTGATCGTGCATCGTTCTTTTCATCTTCTTTCTGCGTAGCACAATCGAAATCTTGTTTGAAATGTAAAGCATTACTACCTCTTACTTCCTGGAAACCTTATCTTCACTGCATTCATGACATATTCAAGTAGGAGTCTAGCAGGACATGAGAAAGTTCGTCGAATCGGGTCGCTTTTTCCCTCGTTCTTCTTTACTTTTTACAACACTCTCACTATGTGTTAAAAACTTCATCTTACATTTGAATATCATTAAAGCCACATACATTGCCAATGTGCTCCAGTATCAGATATGCTTTGTTGGCTATTTTTATTTGGTTTTTGATTGATCGTGCTGGAATATCTGCTTGCTTAGAAACCTTGGTTTTCCCTCGGTTCAAGTTCTGAAAGAGTTGTTGAACCTCGTAGCTGAAACCACGGTGTTGCTGTTGCTTCTAGCGTCTAACCAGTAGTGACAGATTAGCAAGAGCTGGAAAGAAAGTTCGCAGTTTTGAAGAGAAGAATGGGAATGCTTCAAGCCAAAACAGTCATTCCACTTGCCTTCCACAGGCGGTATCATTCCATCGATGCGGCCATTTTCTTTTCTTATTTACTTCCCCATGGACATATACAGCTTACACAAGTTCAAGCCTCATTCATGAAAAACAGAGATCATCAGGCAGATTTTGAACTCTTGTTCGCCGATATTCTCAGATGTCTGCCTCTCTGGCCAGTAGCTTTCTTGAAAATTTCCGAGTAGTACGTTGCACAATGGAATAACCATAATTGTTTTGTTCAGTCAAGTATTACAACCACCTCTTCGTACCCACTAAAGGGTGCCACAATTGGCCTTCCTTTCTTGTTGTTGTGGGTAAGATTTTCATGGCATAGGACCAAGGAGATACATATCCCACGAAGAGTTCTATAAGAGGACACCATCGCTATGTTGCAATATGGCTATCTTCTACCTCTATTCTCCATCTTATTCACGGTTCATTGCCCTCAATAAACCTCTTCGTTAGCATAAATCTCGAAATACTTGACCGCCATCATGAAGCTAATTTCTATGCTTCCCATCATCCTTCTATCCCCAACCCTAGCACAACTTATACCCACCTTCGCCTTAAGCTTCGCGAACCTTCCCAAAAATCTCCGACCGACATACTTCAAATTGCTTGGAGCATGTTTTACTGGGTCTCCGGTAAAGTGGCTTTCGCAATCTCCCTTCTCAGTCACCTAACGTATTAGGCCGCGACGGCCATCTATGGCGACGAAGACGACGGCGATGAAGTAATATACTCCTATGCTGATGGTGAATGCTTTTACTTCTCCAAAGACGAAGAAAAAGCAAAACTGCTGGTATTCTGCAAAGACCTGAAATGTCGTTTCGGGGTGTAAGGAGTTCTATTCTGATGCCTGACACAAATGCTGAAAACCTCACAGTAGCGGAACGACCGAATGCCAAAATCCCTCTCTCAGCTTAATCCGGCCTATTTTCCCAATTGCAGCCGGGCTAGCCTTCCCGAACCCTCTTGGTATAGCGAGCGTCGTTGGCATCGGTGCCAAATGTGATGCTCGCTGAGCATCTGGCAATTCGATTCTGAGATATTTATCTTACAAGATGGTATATTGGTAACAGTGAAGGACCGTTTTCTCGTCGACTGCTGAAGTGGAGGCAAAAATTGAAAGTGCTGAAATGCACCCTTACAGGGCTTTGCATTAGCCACGCGGAACTAAATGGATTTATATTCATACAAAGTCAATCTAAATTTTATTGGTAATCAGGTATATGCCCCATAGCTAAAACTGTAGAAAATGCCAAGCTTTGGTCCCTAGATATAATAATTCCCATGTCCATATGATACTTTATTCCCACTCCAATGCTCCCCAAGCAACAAGTCATAATTATGTCCTCGCTCAAGCTATCCTTGCCATCCCAATATATCGTTGCAATTGTTTCATAGACATCCCCCCGGTCATTTCACCGTCTTCTTTCGTTGAAATCGACCCTTTATAGATACGCGACTGTTGGAAGGAACAAGCCTTTGTGAAAAGTTTCTTCCAGCTAACCTCACATTCCATCTGTACGACCCCTAATCGTATATGTATCGATACTGAGTTTTTGGGTTATGCTTGATTCTAAATACCGATAAAGAAGTATTCGGTACAGTTCCGGATACTCTGTGCTGCGTAACAGATTTCTCAGTTCGTGTCAAAATGTACGATCAAAGAGTTGATTTGTGAATCCTCTATGTCATTGTTCGCTTGAAGCTTTTCGCGGTTGATATGTTTTCGAGCGAGTTGGGTAAACGTCGAAGGGACGAAGCTGTCATAAGACCAGCTCCAATCGCCTGATCTGCGAAGAAGCACTATGACTTCGCCAGTCGTTGCTCCTTATAAATTGTCAGCAGCTAACTCATGCTAGATATCTCTCCAATAACGAACCTGCAATAAACAAGAAGACATTGCGAAATAAGCTAGGAGGTAGACCGTAACTCCCAATCATGATCGCACTAGGAGGACTAAAAGCCCGGATCGCCCAGTCCCCCCAAGAGCCACCGACATGTAACATGTCTGTGTAGCTTGAAATGAAATCCGTTATTGTCGCAACATTTCCCAAGCTGTCATGAATTTTGGCCGCAGTGAAACTTGCCTTCTCGAGTTGCTCGGCATGCATATAGAACAGATCTGTAGCATTGGCTAGCGCCACGAGTACCGATTGCGACTTCTGTAAGACGATGAGTATGGACATCAAACTTGTTAGGAAGAGATACTCACCTTTTCCATATCCTCTTGTTGGTCTGCTAATACTTCTAGCCTCGATGAAAGGTGTTCCTATCTTTAATTAGATTGCTCATTATTCTGGACAGCCGTGCTCACCATAGCTCTACCCATGACCACGGCATACGTTTCGGCTCTTTCCGCCATATCATTAATACTTCCTAAACGTGTTTGCATGTTTTGGGTGGAGACTGCCAGCGACTCCTCCTGCTTAGCGGCCATTTCCGCATGACCTGCTACGGCTGTCTGAAACAGAGATTGTAGAAACCGTTGTATATCGAGACCACTGTCTTTTATAGACGCGATCGAAGATGCTACTACCTGCAGAACTTAGCTAATGATAATAGTACTAAATCCAGATTCACTCACCTTGACGTCTTTGGAAACATGATCCATTGTTCCCTGAAATCTTGACTTCATTTGTTTTGCGTGCTCCATGAATTCCTGAAAGAACTGATCTGCCTCTCTGGTCTGTCCTTCCAGTTTTACCTTCAGGAGAGTCAACTCGATGTCTAGTTCTTTCGCAAAATCTGTCATGATTTTGACGAGCAGCTTTTGAGTTTCAAACATTTGATCCTTATCCATATCTATGCTCGCAGCTCTGCAGAATAACAGAGCCGAATCTCGACGATGCAGCCATGTCATCCAGTGCGTATGATCTTTAGAAAGAGTAGTCAAACAAGCCTGAACCTGCTCAGAGGGTACGACTAATGTGGTTTTATCTTCCTCGATTGTGCGATGCATCACCGAGCTAGAAAGCGGCACACAAGCGTCTGGTATCTCCCAATTAACACCTTCCATGTCGCAAAGTGTCAACGCCGCTGCGAAACTTTCCACGTGGTTCCTTTGCATTTTTGCTTTCGTCGTTTGTAGTGTCTGTTCGTTGATATCTTGCAATCCTCGGCAGGTATTCATGAGAAGGTGAGCAGCTAGGCGATGACACATTGGCTCATCTTCTAAGCGTTTGAGCTCAAGCATTGCCTTGTTGTAGAACTCGGGTTTGCGAGAATAGGATATCGTCATATCAACCTTAATATTGTCCGGCAACAGTGTCTTATCTTTCTGGTCTTCGTCTCAATTAGCAAACGACTTCGAAAGAAACTGCTCAGCAACATACCATCTTCTGGAATATTCGCTACCGATGTATGCTTGAAGAAATTGAAGGCGACGGTGAACATCGGGCAAAAGGCGAAGATGATAATTGTTGACGGTATCATTTTGAGGACAGCACCTACCGCGATCTACTGCGCCAAACAGGTAGATTGGGTTGGGGTGATGATTTGAACCTCCGAATACAACTTGTTGAAGTTGATATATTGCCTTGCGACAGTCGACAACAGATGGCATTGGCCGGATTTAATACCGCGATTGCTGGGTGGTAACGCGCAAAAGATAGGTTGCGTTGGTTGATAAAATTGAAGATATTGAGAGCAAAGATAGATAAGTAGACTAAATGGTGTTGCCGAAGGAGAATTGAAGTCTTCGAAGTGAGAAGGAAGGAGTGGTAGATAAGAGATAGACTTCCGAAGTATAAATTGAAATCACCAGGGAAAGGTGAAATAGTACGACTACAAAAGTGAAGTACATCCGCTGAGAAATGATACAAGATCACCTCTAACGATACACGCGTTGTGGAGTTTCTTGCCTGGATTTGACAGAAGCGTTGCAGCCTTGGCAAAGCTGGAAGACCTCAAATTCGCTAACATCCCGGGCTAAGGTATCCCAATCACCTGCAGCAGCCAACTAAGCACCTGGGTACCCACCTAACTAGATAAATACGTTGCCAATTAGGTACATTGGCGGGATATGTACACCATCTTTGGCTGAATACTGAGCGAGGAAAGGCTGAAACTTGCGCAATTGTATGTCTTGCGTGAATTGTACACATTCTTAGCGCCATGTATCTGCTTAATAGGTTTGAGAACATCATTCAAGCACTCTGCGAATTCGCCTGATATTGAATGGTATTTGGGCCTTTACGAACCGAAGCAGGGCACAAATAGATATAACAGTCAGTCTCCAAGCCTTCATCGCGGTGATTGTCCGCAAGGTTCCTTGACATGAACATCGCCTATCTTACATCTTCGGCTCGGGCACATTGAGCATATAAACCAATGGCATGCCTGTCTATAAGAGCTTAATGCCTCTGGCGACGTTTGTCGCAATATCCATGAAAGCCAGTGCTCTCACAGATTCAGGCTCCGAAACTACTGTTGGTTTCCCCTTGTCGGCATCATCACAAATGCTGGCGTGTAATGGGATGTCCCCTAAAAATGGTATCCCAAACTCTTCACAAGCGTGTGTGACACCAGAACGAGCGCCGAAGATATGCGTACTATTTTGACAATGCGGACAGGTGAAGAGTGACATGTTCTGTACCATGCCCAATATTGGAATTTTGACCGTTTTAAACATGTTGATTCCCTTCACAGCATCTTTCATGGCAATATCCTGAGGAGTCGATACTATCACGGCGCCTGACTTATTAGTCGAGTGCTTCGAGGACAGATGGAGTATGCATACCATCTAGCACAATTTGTTGAGTAATAGTCAACTGTGTATCTCCGGTCCCAGGAGGTAGATCAAGTACAAGCACATCTAACCCACCCCACTCAACCTCATGTAAGAGCTGCTGTAAAGCTTTCATGACCATAAGACCACGCCAAACCACAGGAGCTGCATCCCCGACCAGATAACCCATCGACATAGACTTTACGCCATAATTTGATAAAGGTACCAATTGGTTGTCTACATATGTCAAACTCGTTTCGTACAATTTCATGAAAGAACGACTGACTCGAAGATAATCGTGGCTCTCCGGAAAGATTCAATAGGGTAGGTATGGAAGGACCAAAGATGTCCGTATCGAGAATCCCACTTCGCAGCCCCAGGCGTGCAAAGGCAAGCGCAAGGTTTACTACACGACTGTCAGAAGATAGTTTTGTATCATTGAGTACAGACAGACCAGCGAGCGTAGATTTTCCAACACCGCCCTTCGCAGACGAAACAGCAATTACTTTCTTGACATCCTTTATGGCCCTCCGCTCTGGCAACCCACGTTGCATACGCGGAATAGTGCCACTTTTGGGTAGGCCCTGTGTCCAAATCAGCATTAAAACCCTGATTTTATTTTTGGCAGAATTCTCCAGCTTACCAAGGGATTCTCATGTTGCAAGCAACGCAAGGTCGAAAATAATCGTGGTTTCATGTTTGTTGAAGCTCTCCAAACGATGTTCCGAGGTCATATGTCGGAGCTTTATCGGTGACGTGGGACCGGCGCCGCTCCCGCATGCCAAGATTTCAAGCTCTATTTTTTTTATTCTTCGGGGTATTATTTTGTCGTTACAAGTTGCGATCTAGTTGTGCAACATCTTTTTTCGCAATGGGAAAACAAAAGTCTCGGGCGCAGCAGTTTGCTGAGATAGCAGATCGCCGTCCCCAAGGTATTAAAACTCGGAATTTATTATATCGTAACTGTTCTAACTGTCGCAGACTTTGATCCAGAGGAAGGCGATGCCCCTCTAAGTGGTGAAGACAGCGAAATCGAAGACAGCGACAACGAAGTCGCTGCTACAGAACATTATACCAAAGTCAGGTCGGTTGCCCTCTACGTTTTCCTGAGTTCACATCTAATTCATTCATAGTAAAAGTAAACTACGGAAACCAGAACAGATATCTTTGGGTCCTCAATATGCTGGATCTCGAATAAGTCGGGAAGCCCTACTAGACAATGAAAGCGATGCATCTTCGCAACACGACTCGGATATGGATGACGAGGAAGCTACGTACGCCGATCCGAATGACTCAGTTTTGGATGTTGAGGATGAGGATGGTGACATAGACAGTGATGCTGCATTTGGAGAGAGCGACTCGGGAAAGTTTGAAAAGTTTGCCTTCCGAGGAAGCGGAAAGCCTAGAGATGTTAAGAATATTGGTATAAGGCCAAAGGCAGCCGACTTCATGTCAGAAGATAGCGATGAGGCGGAACTTGAAGACAGTGCATCTGGAGATGGAGGTTCTGACGAGGATTTATTGGATACAGCTGACCAGCACGATGATGACTCCGAGGACGAAGTCTTCTCAACTGCACGCCAGTACCCCGATGAGAAATCTGCTGGGAGTGTTACTAGCTCTAGTCGTTCCTCGATCGATAAGGATGCCGAACTACAAAGTGACTCTAGTAATGGCGAAGAGAATGCAGAGGAAAGCGATCAGGAACAGGAGCAAAGCGATGAGGATGTTGAAGTGGATGGAGACGATCACGACGATGATGAAAATACAAGACGAGAGGAACTTCGCAAAATCATGAATGAAGAACAGCAGGCGGTCGTAGCGACAATATCTCAAGCTGCAAAGGCCGATGCTGATAAAGGGAACGCGGTCAAGGAGCAAAGGAAGGCTTTTGACTCGCTTCTCAGTGTTCGTATGGTTTTACAAAAGGCGTTGGTCGCGACAAACTCCATGGCAGCCGTTGATTGTCAAGACATTGATGGGAACCAGCCGTATGAGGCTGCAGAGGAAGCTGCATTAAAACTATGGAATACATTGGACAGCCTTCGAGATGAGCTATCGAGAGCGAAGAACGGTTCTAAGCCTAGTAAAAAGCGCAAAAGGGGCGTTGATATCTCAACTCCCTCGAGTACAATATGGGAGAAGATGCAGCGCTCCGAGCTGGAAATGATTGATGTTCGACAAACGACTTTGGAAAAATGGTCTGCTAAGGTTCGTGGTACAACCGCTTTACCATTAACACGGAAACTCAACCCTAGTGCAACGCAATCTATCACCTCAGTTATACAAGACCAGCTGGCCGGCTCTGAGAACTTAATACGGAAAACGAAAATACCTAGATCATGTGCACCAATCCAAAGAGATCAGAAGCTTGTTGAAGACTCCAACATATACGATGATGGTAATTTCTACCAACTACTTCTTAAAGAGCTTGTTGACCAGAGACGGGTCGAGTCTCTAAACGCACCAGCTGCGGCTGCTGCTAACGGAAATGCTTTGCAGTGGGCGGCTGTCAAGGAAGCGAAAACTAAGAAGATTGTTGATACTAAAGCCAGCAAAGGTCGCAAAATGCGATTTACTGTTCACGAGAAGTTGCAAAATTTCATGGCGCCAGAGGATAGAGGCTCGTGGGAGCCCCACGCCATTGATAGGTTCTTCGGAACTCTCCTAGGCCAGAAGATGACTCTTGGAGAGGATATTCAAAACGAGGAAGACCATGATGCCATGTCAGTTGAAGAGGAAGGGTTGAAACTGTTCAGATCTTAGAAATAATATTTCTCCCTTCGTCACGAAACTTATCAAATTCTCTTTCATTTCTCATCAGTGCCAAATTATCGGAACAGACCTGAAGACGAGTATCTTGACTGCTGAACAGTTTCTGAACCTAGGCATCTTTGCAGTGTAAATTGCCTCATTTCTTGTCACACAATGACTGAGCGTTGGAGGCTTAGGCATCGCAGACAGGTTGCCGAAGCTCATCAATAGTAACATTTGATTGATGTTTAGTTGTCGCCAACACCTCGTAACATGATTCGACAGTTATCTCTACCATTCGTTGTGCCGCCAATCCTCTCGGCATTCACAACTATCCACGGAATGGTTTCAATGGCCACCACAATCCCCCTCTGACAGCCACTCTTCTTATCACCACCAACAGCTCGCTCGCCGATGCCGTTGGACATGCAGTCATAAATATTGCCGCCGGATCATTAAAGTCGAAACAAATCGACGCTGACGCGCGATGACGGCTGGGATCAAATCATTGGTCTTAGTAACGCTCATAGGGTTGTCGAAGGATGAGCGATGGAAAATTAGGGGTCTAATGGAAGTGAAAGGTACGACCCGTCTGGAAGCTTACTTGTACATCGATCCTGCGATGTTCTTGTTTCAGGTGTTGTTTTCTCCGTCAGCGATAGATGATTGGATTCGGTGCTTGAAACATAGTTTCATCTGATGATATGGAGCGTGGTAATTGGTTGTGGGAAAAGTTTTGTTTGGCTTACTGTATGTCATCGATTCGCATCCTGCGGAATAGCCGCGGGAAGGTAACTTGCTGAAATCCATCTGCTGGTTCTCGAAGGGGAATCTGCTTTCGGATTTGACGACTTGTTTGGGAAACTAAGAAACGTGTTGTTCTATTCGTTCGAAGACCAGTATGTCTACGTGTTTATCCTAGCTATTGAAGATATGACACCGACCAGAAATGGAGATTTCATAGAACTCGCTTATGTCCGTCAAGATGAAAACTCGCGACGCATCCTGATTCCCAAATTTCTCCCCATAGTTAATAGAGTTAATGATCATGATTGACGGCACATTAGAGCTAAAAGTTGGTTTCTGGGTTTTGACGTGAGCTGATTGAAATATGCCCTTCCTTCTGAAATTTTTCTCAAGAAAAAGTTCGGGCAATGGCAGCAATGCTCTAAAGCATTTCGAAGAACTTACGAAGGTGCTGGCATGAGTTAATTCTAAACTAAGTTTTGCCTTTCTCAATAAGACAGATAGAAATCAAATCCCTATCTGAAACCAGAACAAAGCTTGTGAAAGAAAGACGGAGGAAAAAGCCAGAGTGGATGTGTTGTTGATATCACGTGCATGATCCAAGTCGTTTCGACTTGATGTCTTGTCAAGGTCCTCACTTCTGCGGGGATAAACATTTGTTCCTCCAACATCAATCATCATTCTATCGAATGAGGCTACGTCTCGGTCATCGATCCAATCCATCATGGTCATCCTGTAGCGCCTTTGTGAAATCCATTTATTCATCGCCCCAATGGTGCATGCTGACGGTATCCAAAAACTGCCAGGTCCAAATCCTGTGCAACCCCGAAGCTCCATTCATCACGGAAATAACATCTCATCTTCGAGGCCCAACAACAACCCAACACAACCAACCAATATTCGAACTTTTAAACCATTATTGTTTAGGCACTATTTCTGGCGTTTCTATACTGCTTGATCAGCAACTGTCTTTCCGGGTCCGAAGCTCACACATTGTGACACTGTCTGTCGCGACGGGATCGGCAGTTCTGCTAAATGCATATCGATTTTCTCGACCCCAAGTTTTGCACCATCAAGCCACCAGTTACATACCGGCAGTGCTCGTCCACAACAGGTTCCACAGGACCACAGCCTCTCCCAAAAAGCAGTCGTTCAGAGCTCATGGCTTGCATCTCAGGATCGTGCTCTCAGGCCCAGCACATGGCCCCCGTGCCGCCGGGTAAATCCTGCTGGGACGGAAAGAATTGGCCAGTTGGAGTCGGTAGCATTTTGAGACGGAGCCGTACCCCACTACCTTCCCATGACAGCAGAAGGGTGTAGCAGGCTGCTTCGCCAGTGGCCGAGATATCTAATGGAGACTGGCTGTGCAAGATCGCTAGTAAGCGAGAGAATGTTCGTCAAGAGGTACAAGTGTACTGGCCATGACAGAGCGGTTCGACTCCGCCCGGTACCCGCATGCTCATGCACCTTCTGCTTTTTTGATACAGATTACACCTGAGGCTATGGTATTCGGCTTACCTTTCCTCTGTATATCTGCTTCACGTCTAATAGCTCTGTGCGATCGACGCTATGAATAGGATTCAGGACGGATTTTGATCTGATACTTATATCTTCTACCCCCACAATGAGATAATGCAAGTCGGACCAGAGGTTCTTTTGTACATGTTTGTTATCGCCCTCTCATTTAATAATAATACATTTCCTGCCTAGATAATTTGCTATCATGGCTGTCACTTGGGACTTGCGGGATACATTGAACATCAATCCGGAGCTTGATTCTTTTACTTGCGTAATTGATCAGGACTCCGTTGATTACGGATGCCAAAATTTGGTTGATTTGGAGGATCGCGAAGCAATGGTTTCCATTCTCGACGCGATGAATATGTCGATGGACCATGCAACAGTATCGAAGCATATTGAGGAATTAGCAAGTCGAGCTCGTTGCAAGGCTCACCAAGACAACACTTCGGATCAGCACCCTTCGCAACTGGATTGTCTTTCGGCAGAATGGATACTACTCTTCCAAGAAAGGTGGTTAGCAAGCAGCAGAGAAAATTCAAGGAAGGCTGCAGAAGAGTTCAGAGTGTATGAAATGAACCAAACACTGGAGCAAATTAGGTCGATGATAGATCAAGAAGAGGATGATGAGGTATAATGACTAAACATCATATTTCTTTGGAATATTATTGACATAACTAGGAATCTGTCCACGAAAACGCGCAATCACAGATTACTATCGAAATCCGAGACGTACCAGATGACTGCCCCTCACTGTCATCCGCCGTATCTCCAACCGAAGATACCACATTTTTGAGAGCCGATGCTCCAATAATTAGACGGGGAACTTTCGGAGACGAGATTGAGGATAATGATGATTGTTTTATCTTCGGACAGACCACTGCTATGTCTTGTGGCTCCATGCTCGAGGCTGATGACTTGAAGAGTGAGAGACGGCCATCACTCCGGGTCATTGTACAATCATTTCTCTTGCCATCGCCACCAGAAACTCCAGTTCTTTCCGAGGGTGAAGTTAAGCATGGAGGTGCCCCAGATAACACGAATAACGATCAATTCTTCAGAAGCTATTATGAAGAGAACACCCCCGCAAGCTCCACTCGAGCAGAAAAATTCGAATTCACGCCTTTAGCAGAACCGTTACAAGAAATACCACAAGCGAATCTCCTATTTCCACAGCTTGAGACAACTCCACCAATCCCAACTAGATCGCCTCTGCGATCCAGATCCGCAAATTCCACCTCATCTCGCCTAGAAAGCGCGCCCTTCATTCCAGTCACACCACCTTCACCCATATCACCCATAACCAACCCATCTCACGGCCATAGCAAAAACTCATCTTGCTCCTCTATGAGCGCACCCTTCATTGTGTCGCGCAACTCTCCGTGTCAATCACCAACAACAACCACACCTCTAAAACCCTATGTTTTCAACATGCCAAACTACTCCAAACCCTACTCATACACAAACACCAACCCATCACCGCCCAAAATCAGCTCTCCAACCCCAACCTCACCCTTCTCTGCTCAAAAGCGTCCAAAATTTCTCACCACCTCGTACGCAGACGACAACTACGACTACTTCACCGCCTCCCTAAACCTCACACCCTATGCCATCTCTTACGAAACCCTGAAATCCGACGGTCCACCCCCGCGCACATCCCACTCCACGCGTCCAAGCTCACGCAGCGCATCCTCCTTCAGTCTCTCCAACTACGACCGCTCATCCATGGAAAGCCTCACCTACCGCACCAGCCACCTGCGCGAGGAATGGAACGGCTCCGACGTCTGCGGTCTGTGCCGTCTTGCGCGTGGTGATGGCGCATGCGAGTGTTCGTGGGCGGGGAGTGATGTTGGTCTTGATAGTGACGATGAGGAGGAGGAGAAGGGGAGAAGGAAGAGTTCGGGGGTTAGGGGGTGGATGAAACGGACTTTTACCAGGAAGGCGAAAGGGAGGAGGGCTACTACTGATGGGACTCAGAGAGAGAGTGAGAGGGCTTTTGGTGTGGGGTTGGGATTGGGGTTGAGGAGGAAGAGTGAATAGATCTCTTATATTACTTTGGTGTCATTAGCGTGGTGTCTTGGGGACAAGGAAAATCTTTCTTTGCGGGGAGGGAAACTCTGTATAGATTTCCATATACAATGATACCTATCTATTATTCAATAATTACCATTTCCACCTCATACAATTCTCTCAATCGATGCGCATCGTATTGAAACTTCATTCTTCATCCATCCATCCATCCACCAGCATCTCATACTCCCCGAGAAAAGAAAAAGAAAAAAAGAAAACCTCATTCAGTAAAATTACACCATCTTAGCCTACTCACGAGCCACTCACACGTGCCATAACTTTAGCTCAACCACTCAACTCATTTAAAACGCTACTACCTGTATCGACTTCTCCATCCCCTCACAGACTCTCACTCCATCGCTATTCCACCCACTCGCGAGCTCTTCGAGTACAAACACATCATCTCCTTCGAATTTACATACCCATGACACAACCTAACCACGCAACCTAACCTAAATCTAAAAACCTCCACCATCCTCATCCACGCACTCCAACCCTCTTTCGAACTTCCACTCTGTCGCTCTCCCTCTACACACTCGCAGATACGTGCACGCTTAAAAAAAGAAGTGCAACAGAGGTACATCATCATGTTCACTATCTTCCGGTGCTTGTCGTAAGGCTGAGCCTGCTTTTTTAAAAAAAAGTGGACGCATAGTATCAACACTCGCTGATGCAAAAGGCGCAGTTATCGAGTATTCTACAGGGAGGAGGTCTATGTACATGTCGAATTGCAGAGAGGATGAGTTGAGTCTATTCACCTCGATGGATTAACTCGGTCGTTTTCTTTACTCTCTGTTCCTCGTGGGAGAATAATGATATTCCTGCCCAGACGCTATAATTACTTGATTCGTCCGCGCCAGTATATGACATTCTCCCTTTTGTTAAGCATAAAAATTTCGATCCAAGGAGTGTGGGAAAGTCCTTTTTGGGATTATTTTACAGTACAGGTACGCCTTTAAAACTTATTGTTCGCCAAGAGTAGACCAGATGTCTCATAAACACATAAAATTTATCTATGTACACTCTTATTCGAATTATTATTCTTCTCTGCCGTTTCAGTCATCTGAATCATCTCATGTATCGTTTGAAGTAATCAAATCGAGCGCTCAAATTCTCTACGAAAGCTCAAATTATGCATGTATGCATTTTGTAACCACACGAACGCTGAGGGAGATCGCGCGTATCGTCATTAGTGCGCTATTCGAGTTTCGTATCTCTAAGACTCCTTCGCCATGAATTCAATTATGCTGGACAGACCCTATGTTCAAGCGAAGTTCGTACTTGTCATGTTCGAGCAATCATGTGCCGCCGATAAATTATCAACGCTGTCGAGTCTGTTTCCAGGCCAGGTTATTGCCGCAATCATCCTCGTTCCTAGCCTTGCTGGATATCTTTCTCTCTAATCCAGCTCAACTCCATTAAGCGCCTCCGCCAAGCTATCATTTTGCTCGGGAATCTCAGGATGTATCTTCTCCAGCTTTTCTTCCAAGACGTCGCCCTTTTCCTTTGTAGCTTCGACCTCAGCTTCCAAATCCACAGGCGTATCACTCCTGCTAACTTCTCCGTCGCTGGGATCCGTCTCTGTCATTGGTGGTGTGATATCTCCATCTACCAACACCCTCCGTACATGGTTTAGATTTCTCTTCAGCATGCACATCTCAATTGCGATTCCTGGTCCAAAAGCACAGCCCACGACGTAATCCTTGACTTTGCCGTCCGGCGCACAATCGTCCATTTCTTTTTGTCGTAAACGATCCATGACAGAAAGTATTGTCGCAGAAGAAGAATTTCCATGGTTGATATATGTATCGTATGAGGCTCGCATGTGTTCCGGAGTTATAGACATGGATTTTTCGACACCAGTGAGAATAGTGGCGCCACCTGGATGAAGAGCCCAGTCGAAATCTGAAGCTTTTTGGTAATTTGATGGGAGGTTTGGGATGGTCGTTAAAAGGTCGTTGAACGTAGGAGCGACAATGGCGCCTGTTAATTTGGGGACTCGAGGTGAAAGTACAACTTTCCAACCTAAATTGCACAAATTAGCAGCATCAACACAGCTCGAAAATTGAATGCATACCTAATGGATCGATATCAAAGCCTAAATCTTGCTCCGTATCTGGAATGATTCGATGATCCCAACCTAATAGGCTATATATCGGTTCTGGATCTTGTTTTCCAAGACCATTACTTAGTACCGCGGCGCTAGCACAATCACTGAAGAGTGTGATACCAATTCTCGTCTCTTGTAGTTCTTGAACGCTATCCAATTCACTTCTTACCAGCAAACTACTGATTTCGAGCGCAATTACTAAAATTCTGGCTTTGCGTCCCATGAAGGTACTTCCAAGCGCAAGATTCGCGGCAGTTCTCAGACATGCAAGACCTCCACTACATCCAATTCCATGTAATAATACCTTCTCAACTGGCTGTGTAATTCCTAACCCTTTGCAAACGAAATGGTCAAATCCAGGATTTGCGCTATTTGTACATGTTGTTGATACGACGTGTGTAATATCGGCAGGAGATAATTGTGCTTCATGTAGAGCTTTCCTTGCAGCGGTGATTGCCAATGCGACTCCATCCTTCAGGAAGACCTTACATAGCTCGTCGATTGTAGGAGCACGGTCCATATTCGCCATTGGGTGATCTACTGTACCAATAGCCGATCGCGTCTCAATTCCAGTATAGTTGTTGATCATTCGTACTTTTTGGATTCTGTAAAGGATTCATATCAGAAATGTAGTGTTCAATTGGATATTTTGAAAGCTTACGCTGGAGAATCTGGATAGTGACGGGCGCAGAGAGTATCGAGATCTGAAGGTGAGAGAAGGTAGGGCGGATATTCAACGCCCAGGCCTGTGATTGAGAGATTCAGGTCTCGGAATTGCTCACTCGCCCCATCTCTGGCATCCGATAAGGTCGACATTGTGTATAGTGATGGGTTGGGTAGACAATTGGAAGTTAAACTGTTTCCGCAATGCGAATATGACTTTCCGTGAATGTTGTAACTATAGATATTGTTGTTGAGGATTGCGTAGAGACAATTGCCTGACTCAAGGTAGACTCGTCAAACGGAAGCTGTTTTCGACCGAGGTATACAGTATGGCCGAGTTACGAAGACCTACGAAATGTTCTATTCAACGATAGGATGACGTGGGTTGAAAGTCTGACCAGGCAGGTGGAATCGTTACTTGGCAGATCAGCGATTGTTCCTGGAAGGGAGAGTGGATTTTGGAAAAGAAAGTGAAGCAGCAGCAGCAGCAGGCACGCGGATCTTGAATCGTCAGATGTTGGACATTTTGGATGGCGGAAGGAAATCAATGCTAGCCTGCAGGAACGCGTTGCAGGAGGCCAATTGGACGGGAGGTAGAGCAAGCGGCTGCAACACTATCTGCTGTTGCTCCCTCAACACGGCCTAGGACGATGTCAGACTTTCCTGATCTTGCAGCTGGCGGCCGGTGAAAAGTGGCTTCGTTCCTAGACATTTGTGGATTACCTCATTGATATGCAGCCAGTGCGGCTTTAAGAAACATCCCAACAAAGTGTGTGCTTTGCTTTGCATCTACATCTGTCGACTTGTCCCTCATTTTGCAGCGAGATTCTAGCTCGACCGAATCGAGGGGTAGATGTAAGCAACCGCTCAACCATTGTCCTATCAGTCGACGATAAGCAGGGATATTTTGTGCTGTATTTTGAAGCATGTTTACGGGTGACATACTCGATACCTTGATGCTATCATTGAGCAATGGAGGTTTCTCCGCCGGCCGTGCTCCGTCTGGTCCGCGAGCTGCCTTACGCTCATGGACCCGGTTGCATCTGGGACCAAGCAATCGAAACTTTCCGTTTTTGGACCTACATCATGTGATGTGTGCGCATGTGATGATCTGATGTGCGGCCCGCACTCAGGTAATCATCGGTCTTAATCAAAAGGAGGGTAGCCCTATTAACGCCGAAATTTAGTGTCTCCGCCTCTCATCAATCTGGAAGCGGAAGCTTCAGAACTCAAAGCTCTGACATCTTTCTTATATTCTCCCGTCATCATTTCCTCACCGACAATTGATCCATCATTTCTATCCATCAATGCCACTATGGTCATCCTACCAACTCTTCCTTTCTGGATCCATTTCATAATCGAAACTCCCGCGTCTCTCAATTTCTTCTTCAATCCATCAGAACAGCTCTCCGCACCAGCACCTCAAGCTCATCCTGTCATCGCGCAATATGCGGTTCTCTTATTTACGTCAAATCTCATTGCGCTCATATTTGCCATTCGTCCCGTCGACAACACCAGCAAACTCGTAGCCGCTGCTCTGGCTGTCTACCATTTGGCTCCTCTGGTTCGAGCTGTGAGTCGAGTCACGAGCAAAAAGAAGTCTTATGGGAAAGGCCTTGGGGGACCCTGGGTCCATCTTGGAGTTCACAGCACTTGCATTCTTGCCCTTTTAGCATTATCTCTTACATGATCTTGACGGTGGGAAATGGCGGACTTTTCGATGTTTAAACAACAGCCACACGGCACACGCCTCGCGGCAAAAGAAGTTCAAAAGTGGAATTGAGGTGCCAAAAACGGTTCTTTTGTCAGGATACCTGGAACTTGGTCAGAAACTTGGTAGATCACTTCACAGCTTCTACCATCCCTAGAAGTTATGCACGAGGAGGATTTTCTAGGACATTCGATTTTTATATTATTACAGGGCCAACCAAGGCTTATCGTATCCTGTGCCATCTCCACTACATCCTCTGCAAACACTTTTGTCGCAGTAGAGACACTCCGAATTGGATTGCGCTGAAACTTTGGTGGCAGATTCTCTGATTGGTATTGAACCATTCCACGTTGTCACGCCTCTGAGTGCTCTCCATATCCTCCTGTCGCTCTCGCTTATTCCATCTATCTGGGCCACGAAATTGACCCAAGCACTTTCTCTCGCGATCTCAAGATTTTTGATGTTCTGATTGAGTTCCTTCAGCAACTCGTCATGGCCTGCATGGACTCTACTCTCCTCTCTTCGAAGTCCAAGTTGAGCCTCTTCTTCTCTCGTCGCTCGATACCATTCCTCGAACTCCGACAATTGTTTCGCTAGCCGCTCCCTCTCGACTTGAAAGTCTCGTTCCGCTCGAATATTCTCTTCTATTGATTTGCCACGGCTAAAATGCCTCTCCATGACTGCATTCTCCTTGAACTCTTCCAGGAGCGTGGTGGTCTGCCTTGGCGACGTTTGTCGTACTTCTTGTCCGTTTTGAAACTGAGCTGACCGGCTTGCAAGCTTCATTCTAAGAACTTCATTTTCTCTTGATAATCTTTCACTGATATCCAAAGCCTTCATCAAGCGCCCTTCTGTGGCATTCTTACTCTTGATCAGCTTCTCTGTGTGGTTTCTAATCCGCGCCAGCACATCAGGAGCAAGAATTTCACTATTAAACTCCTGCTTATGGCCGTTGTGGCCTGGGAAAATAATTCCTTGCTGCTGGATTGTGTCGTTCATTTCAAACTCCATCGAATGGCCATTCTCGCCATTATGGTGGAGTAGTGGCGTTTTTGGACTGACATGATCAATCGCAGAACTGCTTCTGGATCTGCGTATCCTGTTCTCCTCGTTTTCTTCGAAGGAAGTTTCTTCATCATCATGAGCAAATTCGGGCTCCTCAAAATCTACCAATGGCCTGCCTAGCACAATTCTTGCCTCCAAAGAGAGCTTACGATCTGCCGCATGCCTGGCTGCTAACGCGTCGAGATCGTGAGTCTGATACGCTTTAGGTTCCTGTCTGAAGCATTCATACTCTCCTTTCAAAAGTTTGAGTTGGCCTTCCAGATATGGTACCATCCAGTCGACGTGCTCAGTAGTTAAATCCATTTTCCGCCCGGCAAGGAAGCCAACTACGTTTAACAGTCGAAAGCAGTCGCTTTGAAGACGCCGCGCAGTTCTCACAACCAGCTCCCTAACATCAAGTTCTGTCTCTAATCCATCTTCGAGTCTATGGCGTCCGTTGATGGATTTTGGATATTTCACCCATTGCTCAAGAACATGTTCGACTTCACTCAGACTATTTCCGGTCAAGGGAGATCTTGGGGGATTAGCGTTATCGTAAGGAGTTAGACTGCCGTCCTTGTCCATATGAATTGCATCGTTTGCAATTGCGAACAACCATCTCCTAGCAAGCGCAATATCATGCGTAAGTAAATCGTACATCTGTGTTCGGGCTCTGTTCTTGGCCTCGGCTTCTTGTCTGATCATGAGTTCCTTCAGAGCGGCCGTGTCTACCTCAGACCGCGTCCTTTCCAACTCCTCATACACCTCATCTAAATCGTCTTCTGCTGACATTGAGAATTAAGGAGACAACAAATGTATATCCGAATGTTAGGTGTTGCTGTACGCACGTCGCAATGGTTTGCAATTTTCATTGAGGTCCTAAATAAATTTCTCGCAGAAAATGACATACAGGTTGAGGAATGTTCTTTGTCTACATTCCACATCCCGCTTTCTTTAAATTTTGGAAGCGCCATAACAAGCAGCGCGGTTACAAGTCCAAAACAGTCGTCTGAAAATATGTACTTTTACGATTTTCTGATTTTTCGTTCAAGGAATATTACGAAAGCGATCACATTCTTGCTTTTCAACACAAGAAATTCTCACCAGTAAGTTTTTCAATACAATCTACATTCCACGGTGCTTAGAAACATGTCGATCAATAACCGAAGCTAAACATAACTCAGCTCTTCAACGGTCATGTGGAAGTCACCTTCCGCACAGCCAACACAATACAAGCGTCCCAATAAAATTTCCAGATAAACTCTTAACAACCATCCCATTTGACCGGCAATATTCAATACTCAACCAATCAAAATACCGTCACGACACAATCCTCGCTCATGACGTTGCCACCATCTGAAACTACACTCCGTCTGCAAGGCTGGCTAAACATAAATAAGCGGCTTCTGGCCCGGTTACACTTTAGCCATAAACAACCATAAATTGGCAAGCACCACTCGCAGCCTCAAGGTTACACTTTTCGATCATGTGGCGGGATAATATAGTATCTCGTCGCACTAAAACTGGGGAAAATATGGGGCATGAATTGAAAGTCTGGGGTACGTGTGGGGAGAGAACTCGATTCTTCGCTCCTCGTCGTCTTGAGAATGTCTGAATAAGGCAGTCGGAGCTACTATTTCATTTGGCTATTCATCAAATGACTATCACATCCCAACACCATGGTCTCCGCTATATCCGTCTTCACAAATCCAGAACGCCCTGCTTTATATAATTTTCTGCTTTATATAACGCCTCCAGCCCTCACTTCCACAAACTATCCCATCCGCAAAAATGCTTCAACTCACCACCCTCCTCGCCCTCGCGGCCTCCGCCACAGCCCACTACACCTTCCCCTCCATCTCCGGCACCTCAGAATGGGCCGCTGTCCGCCAATGGACTGGTTACCAATCCAACGGTCCCGTCACGGACGTCTCACTCCTCGACATCCGCTGTAACGTCGGCGCCTCTTCCAAGTCCGCAGCGCAGACGCAGACAGTCGCTGCAGGCGGCAAGATCACGTTCGCTGCGGCCCCGAATATCTATCACCCTGGCCCGCTACTGGCGTATATGGCGAAGGTGCCGGCCGGGAAGACAGCCGCGAATTGGGATGGGAGTGGGAATGTGTGGTTTAAGATCTTTGAGCAGGGGCCGACGTATGGTGGGAGTCAGGGGTTGACTTGGCCTTCTAATGGTACATCCTCCCAAATTTCCTTCCCAAAATCCCCTACCCATAGACTCCCCCCTTAACCCTCTTTCCAAATCTTCTCCCCACTAACACAACCCAGGCCTCTCCTCCGTCCCCTTCACCATCCCCTCCTCCACACCCCCAGGAGACTACCTCTTCCGCATCGAGCACATCGGCCTGCACTCCGCCTCGGGCAAAAACGGCGCCCAATTCTACATCTCCTGCGCGCAGATCACCGTCACGGGATCTGGCAGCGGTAGTCCGGGACCTCTCGTGGCGTTTCCCGGAGCGTATAAGAGTACGGATCCGGGACTCATGCTTAATATTTATTATCCGGTTCCTACTAATTATGTTTGTCCTGGGCCGGCTGTTTGGAAGGGATAGAGTTTGGGTAAGGTGAGGGGGAAGGGGAAGGATGGGTAGGGGGGAGGTGTATATAGTAGTAGTATAGAGGAGGTGTACTTAGTTTATATGAGATGTTTATTTAACGTTATCCTTTTTCTTCCGGAATGTACGATAGTAAGCGCATATAGTAACTCAATGTACTTCGCTAAGCAAAGTGAAAAATCTATCTGCTTAAGCGAATTTCTATACTCTGTATAAAGATGCCAATCTAGAACTAAGTAAGAAGCCAGGAACAGAACTTCCAGCGTTCTACGAATTATTCAATCTACTTAAACATCTTATATTTACTCCGAGTGGAGTTAAGTGGAAGGGTACCTTAAATTAAGTTAAGTAGAATTCTTACCTACCTATAATTAAGATAGATAGTACTAGTATAGTTTAAGTAGTATAACTAAGTCTATTAACACAATAGTATTACGCCTAACTAATAATACTCTCCTGTATCGAAAATATACAGTAAAAACATCCGATCTCTAAACTCTTTATTGGCCGCACACAAAGGCTGCTACATCTGCGTAGCTCCTATACTAGAGTTAATAGTACAAGAAGTAGATAGTCTAAGTTGTGGGACTACTCAATGGTTGAGTTTGAGTTTGAGTTTGAGTTTGAATTTGAGTTTAAGTAGGTATAGATTATCTTAAGTTTGAGCCGAGTCGGGTAGGTGTGATTGCTCAACTCGACCTTGACACGTTTGATAGATTGAGTTACAGAAGATAGTGCTATTCTCAGCTATGATAGACGACTAACGCACGTCACTGTGCGTATAATACCACCACTCCTCTACCAACAATCAACAATTTCATTTAAAGTCGAGGGACGACCAACATATGACAGAATTCTCTATAGTTCAAAATCACCAACCAAACTTTTCATTAGCACAACATTTGAATAATTCACTCTTGTGTTAACCTGTAGCTTTTTGAATACGAAACAACCTTTCTATTCTTTGAAAATATCTGGTTTTAGTCGTGATGTTGAGATATCTGCTCATGAATATTGGAGGTGCGTGGAGGAGCGTGCCAGATTGAAAACCTCAAGTCATACATGTCACATCACTATCAAAAAAACCACGATCAAACAATAACTTTGCAATCCAAAACTTTCATCCCCTCTGCCACACTATCTACCTAATAAACCTCCAAAACATACCTCCCCACATCCTTCAACCTCTCAATCTCCTTCGCACTCTCCACCTTCCTCCCCTTGGCCTTCCCCTCCTTAGCAATAGCCTCCTCGAGCACCTCCGTAACATCCGGCACCGGCCACGTCGGTCCGCACAGATAAAACGCGCCCTCATCCCTAATATACGCCTGCACGATGTCATCGATACTCTGCCGCATTCGGTCCTGGATATATATCTTCTCAGGCTGATCTCTTGAGAAGGCGCGACCAAGGAGCGTGATGACGCCGGCGTCTTGATAGGCCTCCCATTCCTCGCCGTAGAGGTACTCTTCGCGCTGGTGTCGCGAGCCCATGTATAAGAGAATGGCGCCGATGGGGATGCCGGCTGCTTTCTGCATGGCGCGGTACTGGACGAAGGCGCGGAAGGGGGCGAGGCCTGTGCCGAGACCGGCCATGATGAGGGGGGCGGTGTCGAGGGTGGGCAGTTTCATGACGGAGGGTTTGACGGAGGCGGTTACTTTTGCGCCGAGGGGGAGCTCGGAGAGGTATTTGGTTGCTTGGCCGAAGCGGTCGCGGCCTTTGGGGTCGACCCAGGAGACGACGACGATCATGAGGGCGACGGTGGTGGGGTTGACTTTTTGGGAGGACGCGATGGAATATTCGCGGCGTTTCATGGGGGAGACGAGGCGTGCGATGTCGTGGAAGTCGGGGTGGGCGGATTTGAATTCGAGGAGGATGTCGGCGTAGGTTACGGTGTCTACTTCTGAGCGACGCTTGAACTCGTTGGCACCTTCTGAGCCGCCAAGGGCTAGCAGCTCCTTCTTCTCTTTGTCATCGGATGCAAAGTCGGCGAGGGATTCGTAGAAACGTTTCGGGGGCTTGCCGAAGATGTCAATGTTTTGGACGAGTGCTTGGAAGACTGTTCGAGTGTCGAGAACAGAAGAATCTTCCCGGGATGGAAGCTCAACAATATCGTCGGCATTCAGACCGTACCATTTGATAAAGTCCTCAACCTGACCAACATCGTTCTCGGCGTGGATACCAAGAGCTTCACCGATGTTGTAGGTGAGCCCGGAGTCCCCAAGATCAAATTCGATATGGAAGATATTTCGGTCGTAGGTCATTGGAGTAAGTCGTCGATTCTCTTGCACAGTGATTTCGTAGGTCTTCGTAGTCAAGTCTGGTCGGAGAGCAGATTTGGTGGCATATGCCTCTTTGAATGCAAGAGCCTTTGCAGCTGATTGCCAATCGCGGAGGAAAGCCGGCGCTTCCTTATCTTCCTTTTCAAACCCTGTGAAACTGCTAGTGTTGATGGTGGTTGGAAGTTCAGGTGCAGTAGAGTCAACATCAACCTCTGCCCAAGATTCTGGTATTTCAACCAAACGAAGGGACTTGTCAAAGTCAGCATAGACCTCGTTCAACAAATCTGAACCAGCGTTGATCTCTCCGAGCTTCTCCAATCCGTCTTCGAGAATATCGACACGTGCAACCCTGAGGAAGGCCAACTCTGTAAGAAGAGTCTCGGCCTTAGCATCTTTCTCAACAGCAGCCGACAATGTTGGATCCAGAACAAATAATTGAATGTTGCGGAACTTGATGTCGTTCCGGACAGCGGATGACAGTTTCTTCTCCAAATCCTCATCTTTGGTACCTGGAAGCTTCACAATGAGCTTGCCACCATCTTTGATATTCTTGACCACGCCAATTTCTTTCAGGAGCTTCTCCTCCCCAACATAAGCAACATCATCTTGTTCGACGGGGTAGAACGCTTCCAGAGACTTCTTGGAGCTTCGAATGTCAGTTCTTACAGTGCCACCCTGAATGAAGTTGTCATGGGTTTGATTGACAGCGAGATTGCTTGCTGGTTCTCCTGAGAGCAACTTGCTAACTGCTAACGGAGCGGTTGCTGAAGCAGAGTCCTCGATATCCCAGAAAGTGTATTGCTGAACATCCTCACTGTTGATGAGTTGAATGTGCTCAGCCTGCGCCTCCTTGGCTGAAGATGTGCTGAAAGCAGAGGCGATCAAATCTGGAGAAATGGCTTCACAACGCGGGTATTTTCGGTCGACGATAGAGACGGAGGACTTGTCAGAGAATACGGTAGCAGCCAAGACATCCTCGTACAAGCTCGAGTGAGCAGATTCGTCTGCTGCAGTGGTTTCGTCCAAAACTTGACCGAGGACGGTAATCTTCTGAACTGAAGCTGGCAGGGTGTTCAAGAACGCCTCTTCGGAAAATGGTCGGTAAACTCGCACATTTACAACACCCACTTTTTTGCCCTCTCCAGACAGTTTCTCGGCAACTTGTTTTGCAACAGATGCCTCAACACTTCCAAAAACAACCAACACGTGGTCGGCAGCCTCGTGACCAGTGTATTCAAAAAGGTTGTACGCAGTACCGAGCTCGCCATTGAAGGCTTCGAGAAGTTTTGTGACCTTGGCTTCGGCGTCGGCCTTCTTGCTTGCCTTAGACAATACTTTAATAATGTCTTTGTACGATTTGCTCAGAGCGGCTCCACTCAAAGTATCAATTACGCGAAGGGTATCTCGTCCCACGGTGATACCGTCATAGACATGAATTGTTGGCAGGACAGATGCGAGAATAGTTGAGAACAATGACATATGCTGAGCCTCATACGCAGAAGCACTAGCAACAAGTCCAAGTCCCAATTCCTCAGCGACAGTCAAAGCCGTAGCGTAATCAGTCACCAAACCTCCTGACGGACCAGGCGCATAGTCTACAGCAGCAACATGGGCAACGAATGGATTTGCAACCGAGTACAAAAGCGCAAGTTGATCAAGCGCGGATCTAAGGCTATGTAGACTTGAAGAGGAGGCCAAAAGAGTCTGCGGGATGTGTCGCTTGGCTAAGTCAAAATCCTTTGAGAACATATAACCAAGAGCAATCGATCCTGCACCGGAACGTGTCTGCATAGGAGCAACCTCTGTAGTATAGCCATTCGAGTTTTCAACGCCCTGCTCTGCCCAGTTCTTGACAGCAATATCGAGATCAAAAGACTCCGGAGAGTAGGAGAAGATTTTATCGGAAAGCGCGTATGCGACCTGCTGGGTCAAGACTTGTGCAGTGACATAAGTTGGCCCGCTGATCGAGGAGTAGGCAATAGGCTGGCCGAATGGGAGACTTGAGGACTTGGAGGTAAACTTTCGGAAGGTAGAGGGTTCGTCTGGGGTATTCCAGGTGCTTTGAAGGACTTCGCCGCCAGCAGGTTCCTGTTTGACAATTGATTAGAGATTATTAACAGGTAGAAGTACGGCTGCTCTTACCAGTCTCTTGGGCTCTGGCAATTGTCCTTCTGACCGGCGCTTCGTGCCTCTGGTGACTCTCGTCGCCGGCTTGTCAATTTGCATTGGCTCAACCATGATGAGTATCTCGCTCTGCGCAAGACCACAACAGATGTACCTTACAAAGTAGAGTATATGGACAAGTGAGCACAACCAATTCAATGGTTGGAGGAGTTAAGACAACAAGAATGCAAGAGAGAGAAATAAAAATTTAACGGAGGCGTGGACGGATCAAGCTCGGAGAAGCAGAATTTCAAAGCAAACTTAGCCTGGGGAAGCGTAGGGGTAGTGGGGGTAATAGAAAAGGACTAGAACAAACCGATGCAGAAACATAATGTAGCAATGACTAGACTAGCTCATGGGTGGTTGAATTGGAGCTTTATCCTACAAGGGCGATGGCGCCATTGCTTTGATCGAGAGCTTCGTAGCCAAGCGAATTGTAAATTTTCCGCGATACAATTTGCTTGCTTGCAGATATATAAATAATGCATATTCTTATGAGACAGCATAATTGCTAGTATAAGATTAATCCAGATGGCTATTGCAAACTCAAATAGAGGTAAAAATGCCTTTCCAACAGGCGCGTATTGTTTACATTGTGTTGATAAAAGTTTTGAGCACGAGCAATCACGCCTTTATCCCTGTTGTCACTCTTTGAATTGCAGATTGCCGAGATCGGTCAACTTGGGACCGAGCACGTGCTGAGCTCCCTTCCACATCACGTGCAACTTCCTCGATTTGATCCGCGACTTCTTTGCCACCTTCTCCCCAACTACAGACCATTGTTACTTATATCTTCGCAAATCTACACAGTTATGATTGTAAACATTTTGGCACTATTTTAGATATGCATTTCATTGTTTACTTCCTCACATTGAATACTCCCGCTGCGTCGGGATCAATGCCGGGACATCTTCCCAAACCATTGGTTTTTCATGTATCTGTTTCAATTGTAGATGCTGTAAGCTGAGGGTCTCTTTATCCTGATAACAGATATTCCAAAGTTACGCTTCATTCTTCATGCTCATGTACTTGCAATTGGTTTTTTTTTCGTTTTATAAACTTCCAAGTTTACATTTAACATCAGTCTATGAGGACACCTGTAAGGTCAGTGACTTTGGAGTCCCTTTGACGACTTTTACCAATGTTAGCACTTTTACTCATACAAATACCGAGCTCCTGAAATATTCTCGCGCCTGCTGCAACTCCAGTTCTCAATCCTTTTCTCGCGTTCGTTTCCTTGCTATTTCACCTCTGCTTGCTGCGCCCCTCCCTACTCTTCGTGGAAACATTCTTCCCACTCAGTCGCCGCTCGGATTTAGCTTGACTAACCGGTTTTACCGCCGTCTGAAGCTATTCGGGATGTAGTGAGATTAGCAGCTCATTGCTCACTTGGGCTCGTTTGTTTTGATGATTGTACTATTGAGTTGACGTGTGGGACAGCTATACCATTTCACCGAATTGTGTATTTGCTGTAGGACTGATTCTGTGCTTACCCCTGCTGCTCAAATGTTAGTAAGCAGAATTTCAACGTCTTGCAGTTCGAACAATTTGGCGGCTCAGGAGTCAAGCCTTTCCAACCTTCCAAGTTATTCTGCGCCTTCACCTACATTCATCATCTTCTTGTATTACATTTTCGTAAGCAGTCAGACCACACGGTTCACCTAGTTTCACGCCATATCATCAACCTTATCCTTCAGAAAGCTAAGGCTTACAAAGTCCATCGTGTTGCTGTAAACCATATACGACCCGAGGAACGGTCTCCATCGGTTTGGCACTAGAAAACCTCAACATACTCAGATCTGAATTTTAATGAAAGAGGATGGACGACTCTGGGCATCACCTAGAGTATCTAGACAAGATCTGTGATCATTGTAAATCTCTTTTGGGAAACCATGTGTTACCACGCATCCTAAACATTCCTCCTCGTCCAGAGAAGAACACTCATATCGAGTGGGGGAAGCTGCTCTGTACTTTTAAAGTGTTGAAACAACGGGCTCATACTTGTGGTTTGTGTAGAATCATTCTTGACGCCCTACAGGTTCCTCCGTGTGCACCGGAGCCGAAGGACTTGATCCAAGACTACGAGGACGCTCTTGAACAGGATACCGTCAACATTTTTCTTAGATGGACAATCCATTTAGAGCACTCTGGGAATCGGACGTATTTGGTACTGGGCGGTGACCACCCGCAAAGGGAAAACTTTCTTCATGGCGATGTCTTACTTTGGCATATGGTATGCTCTTCGTTCGAAATACTAGATTTCACTAACATTATTCGAGCCTTATCCTCGAGTTATAAATCTGCTTAATAGCCGTTACAATTCCGACTATTTTCCGGGAAAGATGAGAAGTCGAACCATCGATCAGATCAATCAGTGGACAGGGAGCTGTTCTAAACATTCCGTCTGCGAGAACGCCCGAAAACTCAACTTAGCGCGGAGAAGATTGCCGACCAGACTAATAGACATTGGGATTTCTAATTCTGACATGTCGATCAAGCTTGGACATGAACTGCCACTGGACACGGAATATCTCACACTCAGTCACCGATGGGGTGGGGTACCCCCCGTCAGATTATTGAAGGATTTGCTTGTTGATTTCATGCAATCAATCCCTTTTCACTCACTTCCTCAAACTTTCCGAGATGCTGTGGACTTAACTCGTGAATTAGGATTTCGCTACCTGTGGATTGATGCGATATGTATCATCCAGGATTGTCAAGAGGATTGGAGGCTTGAAAGCTCCTTGATGGGTGATGTTTACGCTTTTGGACGTATAAACATAGCCGCTACGGCGTCTAACGATGGTCATGGTGGGCTATTTTATCAAGAGACTCGGGTCTCAGATACTCCTTGTCTCATTCGCTTGCAAGAGCGAGACGAGAATCAAATCTTCATTCTTGCTGGGAAGCACGATAACTGGCGGCGCATGATTGAAACCCCGGAAGATGCTCCTCTAGCGAATCGTGGGTGGGTTCTGCAAGAGCGTGCACTTTCGCCACAAGTTGTGCACTTCGGTCGCGATCAAGTATATTGGGAATGCGGCACGAAAGCTGACTCTGAATTCAGTCTCCTGGCCGGAACTATACCCGGGATACCATTGAAAATGCTGCAAAGTAATGGGGGACATTCAGATTACGAAGAAAGCAAAAACCGCAACTGGATATACAATAACTGGATAACCACTGTTGAAAAATACTCAGAGTGTCAGCTCACTGAAAGTGGTGATAAACTCCCAGCTATTTCAGGCATCGCTCAACGATACCGTGAACTGCTAGGGGAAACGCCAGAATCTTATCTTGCTGGGTTATGGAAAGGTTCCCTACCACTGACGCTTCTTTGGGGCTTGGACAGCCACGAGAAATTTAGCGCTTGTCACGCCGAACGGGCTCCGTCATGGTCTTGGGCCTGCCATGATGGATTGATTAGACCGCTGTGTATAGTGGAGGAACAAAAGTCTCAAACTCGAGTCCTTGATTCAGAGACATTTCACAATGGCGACCCATTCGGACAGGTCACCGGAGGGTATCTCATATTACAGGGGCCGTTGTTTCTTCTCAAAATATCAGAGACAGAAGTAAGTTCTTCTTTCTCTGACTTTGTACCAGGGCCCATTAGTGGCACCTCCACACCATCGACCATCCGTGACAAAGATATATCGTGGGATGGATTGCTTCCTAGAGGGGAGATATCAAGAAGCAACTGCTGTTTTCTACTTATAACGCTAGAAGATTACTCGGCCACCGGTCAACGAACTAAGATTTCAGGCCTGGTTCTTTGCGCCACAAAGTTGTCTCGCGGGCAATATCAACGTGTTGGTGTGGTACTGAACAAACCAATGCTAAAGAAGAACATTAAACACTTGCTGCAACTAGGGAAACGAACGGACATGTTGGATCCAGAAATGTACCTTGAAGCCGACACTAAATTTGGCTTTAAGATTGAGATAGTTTAGCAGAAGTGATCCAATGATGGAATAGGGGAGAGGCCGGTTAAGCGAACTAGATGGTTTCGATTTACTATCTCTTGGACCAATTTTGGGCATCGTGTGAGCTCTTTGTTTTATGATATTCTTGGGGCTTACAAATTGAATTACTATATTGTGCTTGTTGAATCATTCTTTATTCTGTTGTTATTATATACTTCAAGAACTTGATCTACTTCGGTGTTAAGCTCAAATACCACCTGTCATAGGCCAATTCTGTTCGGCCGTAGCTTCGCTGAAGATATGGGACAACTCCGTCCCGACCGCAGAATGAGCCGAGGAAGGTCACTCCAACTCTCATGCGACGCAACCGAAAAGGCATCTTTAATAATCACACCGCACGGCGATAGAGCCATATCATACGACCGATGCATACGCCGAGTCTTTGATATTGTCGGAGGCATGATTACTCTCCGAGTGCAGATACATGGCTAGATGGTTGGTCTATTATCATCTTAGTTAAGTGACAGGGGTGAGCTCCTAGAAGTATATGTCATAGCTCTCTCGCAATTCTCATTATCTATTTCACATCTCAACTTCTCCATCTGTCCTACACAACAACCACACACAAACTCACAATGACTTCCACAGCTATAGTCGGTTCTACCGGCCTCGTCGTAAGTCCCCCCTTCCCTATACCAAACCTTCGATGCTAACACAATCAGGGCTCCTCAATCCTCTCAACCCTCCTAACCCACCCCTCCATAACAACCATCTCCTCGCTCTCCCGCCGCGCTCCCTCTACCACAGACCCCAAACTCACCCCTCTAATCGACGCCGACTCATCGCAATGGCCTAGCAAACTCTCCTCCCTCACTCCACCCCCTTCAATCTTCTTCTCCGCCCTCGGTACCACTCGCGCAGCAGCCGGCTCCTTAGCCGGCCAACGCGCCATCGACTACGACCTCAACCTCTCACTCGCGCAAGCCGCAAAGGCTGCTGGCGTGAAAACATACGTCCTCATCTCAACTAGCGGCGCATCCCCCACCTCGCCCCTCGCATACCCGAAGATGAAGGGTGAATTAGAGGAGGCTGTCAAGGCGCTCAATTTCGAGAAGACGATTATCCTACGTCCGGGCCTGATTGTTGGGGCAAGAGAGGAGAGTCGACCCGCGGAATGGGTGGTGAGGAAGATTGCGGGCGCGATGGGGACGGTTGCGAACGGGTTGAAGGACTTTTGGGCGCAGGATGCGGGGGTGATTGCTAAGGCGGCTGTTAGTGCGGGATTGAAGGCGGAGAAGGGGGAGGGGGAGAAGGTTTGGACGGTGGGACAGGCGGAGATTGTTAGGTTGGGGAGGACGGAGTGGAAGGTTTAGGCGTACGTGTAGTTGAGAAAGGGGATTGTGGAATGGGTTTGGAATAGGGCGTTTCTTTGGTTGCGTGATTGATACCTGGTTGTTTTGGAAGAAAGACTTGCTGGGGGGTTGTCGTTATTTATAGCGTTTGTATAGTCGTACACAATATAATCTCGAATTTCCTTAATTCATACCACTCAGTCATTACCAATTTTCTTCCATCGGTTGAAACCTACTCACCTTCCCACTCCATTTTGTACCTACATTAGACATTTAGCTATCTATGAGGGATTCTACCATAATATAAGGTTAGGTATCTCTTGAATCACTAGTATATAGTTTTTGTTGAGGTCTAAGGAAAAATTATCTATGCTTTTGAAGTACTGTTGATTTTCTTCACATAAATAGGCGACAGGCAGTGTGGTGCGTTAAGTAGGCTAATCTATGCTTTGGTGGAATAATGAGTGGTTCTGCACAGAACTCTATAAACTGAGAAACCCATCAAAGTAATAAAAAATTCTCTATCTTCAAATAAGTACACCCAAAAGACTAGAAAATAACCCAAAGATACAAAACAGTCCTATTAGACAAGTAGAAATTGCTACAGACCATACCATGCCCGAATTTACATAAGAAGACCTATCAGAAGCTGGTATAGGGCGTTACACTCATCTCAATAATTTAATCTCGGAGTTGACAAGACATAAACATTCTAGAGAACCAGATGAATCATGAGTTGAATGCAAAGGCACACCAGCGCCTTTGGAAGGTGGATATAAACATCGTCTCATCGTCTCTCTCGCCGAGCTTAAGGTCATACCATCCTGTTCTCATACATGACCTGTGTAGCCAAATGTGAGACAGCACTGATGACACAAGCAATACCAGCAGTAAGAGGTAACAAAACGGATCAACACGGTTACCTTTATTTTCCGCTTTCTTACGATGTAGGTGACTGTTGTGGAGGAAGTTCTGGAATGTAATCGTTGAACTTCTCGGTAGGAAGTGAATGATGGACAGGAGATAGACTAGAATGGTTTGACTTATTGTAGGCAATTGTCGGTTCGGTTTATAGTAAAGGACCTTTTTATAGGTGGTGAGTTTGAAGATATATCTACCCTAGCGACTACAGGACTGCTTACACACGACGTGTAGAATAAAGAGTGCAAAAGTCTTAGAAACTTTCGTGGTGAGAAAATTGTGTACCTTTAACATACATGGCACATGGGAAAAGGGGGGGGAGGACATGGAAGCTTAACGGTTAAGGCGTGTGAGCGCAAGTACTTACAGAGCAAAAGAAGGGGAGCTTAAATTCGGAAAAGAGACAACGCAAAAGGGAGTGTGCTTCGGTTTGAATAAGTGTAGAAATAAGTAGAGTAAGAAGGCTTGATGGAATAAAAGTATGGTTAAAATTAGCACTAAAATTGACGGAATACACATGTTATCCAGACAGAAACAATTATTACACCCTACCCGACTCGAGACTTGATCCAGTGAGAGAGATTCATAACCTCAAGCACTCCCTCCCTCGACCCCATCCCCAAAACCCAACCTCCCCACCCCCTCCAAAATCCCTTTAATCTCCTCCGCATGCCCCGAAAAATTGTCCACCAAATTATCCCACATACTAACCTCATGTTCATGTCTCTTCTCACTCGTCCACGCATACTCACTCACACTAAACATGCGATTACTCTCAAACATAAACGCGATCGCACCCTCACTAATCCGCATCTCCGGTGGCGGGTTCGCAGACGCCATCTTGAACTGTTCGTACGCGACGCCATGGGGCACGTTGCCGCATTCGAAGGATACGGAACCAGGGACGAACCCATCAGAGCGGCCGCCGTAGGAGCCGTAGATGAGACCCATGAGTTCCGAGGCGACGTTGCGGTGGTAGTAGGGGGGCCGGTACGTATGTGAGGCGACGTCCCAGCGGGGAGAGAAGATGAGAAAGTCGGCGAGGGGGGAGCCGGGGGTGTACGATGGGGCGGTGAGGACGCAGAAGATGGAGGGGTCGATGTGGTCGACGGAGATGGATCCTACGTTGACGAATTTTGTGAGGTCGTATTTGTAGGGGACCTGTTTCTTGTTAGGAATTGTAGTTTTTGGGCGTTGAGAGTAACCTACGTAGTTCCCATGCCATGCTACAACATCAAATGGAGAGTGCTGTTGTGTGCTTTTGAAGAATTTCCCGGCGAGTTTATAAACTATCTCCCACGGTTCCTTCTTCACCTCGTATTTTGCTTTGGGGGAAAGGAAGTCCCGGGAATTGGCTAATCCGTTGGATCCAAGAGGACCCAATTCTGGCAATGTGAAATTGCTTCCCCAAACTTCTAGTATGTAACCCCGAGATGGACCATCTGGCAACTCAACTCGGAATCGCTGACCTCTTTGAATTACACATATTTCCCCAGGCTGTACATAAAGAGGTCCAAATTCTGTTTGAATATCTAGAGCACCTTGCTGGGGCACAATAAGAAATTCGCCATCTGAGTTTACAAACGCTTTTTGGGACATATTGGTGTTGGCTGTATAGACATGTGTCGCGATTCCCTCACGAAGGGTTGGTTCTCCGGATCCTGCAACTGTTTTGAGTCCGGAAATAAAATCAAAATTGCCACTCGCTGGAATATCAAATGGATGCCAGGCGAGCTGAGTTGGAGAAATGTGAACTTTCGGATTCATTGGCAGAAAGTTTGCTTCCATATCTGGGTTGTCTGGCAAGTCGGTCTAGAGTTCGATCAGTACGCGTACCATCAGAAACGAATGGAATACTTACGAATCCCTCATGTGCTACGGCTGGACGCACTCGGTATAGCCATGATCTCTTATTTGAAGCTCGGGGAGCTACAAAAGCGGACGCTGTCATCTGTTCGGCATAAAGACCAAAACGAACACATCTTGGGCTGTTCTGTCCTTGTGGTATGGTCCCTGGAATGGCTTCTGACTCGAAACTGGACATTGTAAGCTAGTATAGCTATGGCAGAAGCAACCGTAACTTACTGGTTTCCAAATCCAGCTTGATACTGGAATTGGCAATTAGTTGTGTTCTTTATGGAGAGAAATCTGTTTATCTACCTTGTACGGGTCATTCTTCCTCAACGCAAAAGATGGGACTGCTCCATCTTGCTGAGTTTCGGCCCAGTGAAATACCTTTTGGTAATCTTCCGGATTGACCTTTTGAGATGACATGTTGCCTTGATGTTTCACTTAAATCCAATTCCCGGGTAGTGTAGTATATGAAAACGAAAGAATGATGAATGAAAAAGGACAATAAGAAAAGCAGCTAGGCCCCACCAACCTCGAGCTCCTATGCTGCAGGTTGTAATGTGGAGGCCTCAACCCCGCGATTAACGTGAGAACCCACACGAAGCTGTGGAGGTGTTGCGAATACCAGTGAAAAGAAAGGATCATGCAGTAAGATACCAGGGCTTTCTTCTGGGTGCAGATCCAAACCAACAAGACTCGAACCGATTCGTTGAAGTGATATTGGCCGTTAATGACCCTCCACCCCTCGTCTGGGCCTCTAAACGAGCGAGTCTTGGGAACGAAATTCCAATCATCGTCGGCCTCCTGCTTACGGTGAGCTTGATAATACTAGATGGGTGCGACGATGATGATTTTGCGGGGTGCGAGGTGCTGTTTGACGCGCCTCAAGCATGACAAAGTGCTCACAAAGCACGGCAATTGAAAGTCCAGTGATCGAATTTGTTTGACATTCTCCTGAATTTGAGAAGGCCAAACCAGATAAGTAAACCAAAAGAAAGTAAGTGTATAAAAAAAGTATGTATGAGTATAGAATAGGTTGTTGTTAAGGTGTTGATAGCTATGGTAGCTAGAATGAGGAGGGTGGGGTCTAGAAATGCTGTCTGAAGGCGGTGACGATGGATTGATTGGCAGAATTGTGACTCCAAATATATTTCCACGACGGGACTCACACATACCAATGACTTACGATGGGACCCAAGACACCCTCGACGAATGCTGTCACATTATCGAAAGGTCAGAAACGAAGAGCTCCCCCGCCGACGTCCTCATGTACTCCAAATGCGGATCGAGGCCGTGGTCCTAAACGCGTCAAGCTGTACGATGCGCGAACTATCCTCAGCCAGAATAAAGATGCGGCGCTCAAGAACGGGGAGCTGGACTTGAACGCATTCTTGAAGGCACGTGAATTCGAGATCAAGGCATTGGAAGATGGCATGCAAAGATCCAAGGGCAATCTCATGGAGAGAGCTTTCCAGTCAGTTCCGAGAGACTTGAGGAGACGCACTGCGAGTCACAATGTCAAAAGAGTACCAAAGCGACTGCAGAAAAGAGCGAAACGGGAAATGGAAGGCGACAATACACCTACAGTTGATTCGAGTAAAAGAAAACCGAGGACGACCCGAGGTAGATTACGAGCGGAAACTGCGAAGAGATTAGGCATTCTGGCGGCAAAGAAGCTTGCGCAAAAGTCCAAAACTGGAGATGCTGAAAAAAAGTTAGACATAAGAGCCGCGCGGCCGAAGATTCGCAAGGACAAACTCAATGGTCCACCAAAACCAGTTTCAAAATTCAGGAAAAGACAGATCCATAAGACATGGTTACCTACTCATATGTGGCATGCGAAACGAGCACGAATGACGGAGCCAAAGAATCCGTTTTGGAGATTTGCTCTTCCTGTCACATCTACAGAAAAGTCTTACCGCCCAACGCATCGTGCCTCTGGTGCGAGGGGAGCAGTTGCCTGGGATATGAGCTACATGAGTACAATTGGACTCGAAGGTCCCGTCGAAAGCCTTGAAAAGGTGCTAAAAGCTATGGGAGTAACCGAAGCGAACTTGTGGGAACGAAGGGGTGCGCTTTGGCGGGGTGGGAAGAGAAGTTGGACAGGATGGTTGCCAAGGAAGTCAGGAGACGATTGCGTTCAGATTGGCCCTTCAACGATCATCTGGTGTAATTCAGAATCAATTTCTTCAATTCAAACAGACGCTTCCAAAAAGCACCCATCACAAAGAATCTTTGTGAGAATACATCCGTCTATGTTCCTGGAGACTTGGGATGAGCTCCTTCGGATATCAAAACTTCAGCGCCCAAAGGTTCACATTGAAGATCTTCGTTTCGAAATTGGAAGCATAAGTATCACTGGGCCAGGTTCAACAGAATCTCTACTTGGGATTCTATATCCTTTTGAGAAGTCTGCCAGCTCGGCAGCTGAGTCTGGTGATCAGCACGCAGATACATTTAAATTACTAGCTGGAGTGACAAATCCTGCGGCTTTACCTGCGAATGCGATTCTGTCCTTTCTAGTAATGGATCCACGCCTTCGTTATCCGTCTAGAAGGATCACCTTACCCAAACCTGAGGATGAAGAAGCCAATTTCAAGCAGCTTGAAATCTTATCGGCTTGGCCAGTTGATAATTCGAATCCATCACCTGGGCTATTTGATCGAAATACACGCTTCAAAGCTACACGACTACCAGCTCAAAAGGCCATAAATCGTCGCAAAGGAAATGCACCGCCTGGTGCTCATCCTACTCCTCTCCCAACAGATCCGCAAATTCCTATCATGCTAATTGCCTCTCGCAATTCGTCCTCTACCTCAGCACAAGGCACTTGGACTCTTCTTGCACCTTGGAAATGTATACTGCCTTTCTGGTACGGCCTCGTCCATCATCCCCTGACTTCAGGTGGTAATCCACGGTTTGGAGGGCTTGATGAACTTCGCCAGACCCATTTCGAGCACGGAACTCCGTGGTTTCCAGCGGATTTTCCAGGAACTGATGCTGGTTTCGCTTGGGAGCTTGAAAAGAGGAAAGAACGAAAAGCGAAATGGGATAGGAGACCTAAAGGGAAGAGGATCGAATGGGACTCTTTAGATCTTGGCGCTGGTCGAAAAGGAGAAATAGGGCGAGGTTGGGCTTGTGATTTCGAGAGATTGATTGGAATTCATCCATTACCCGAGGAAGATCATTCTGTGAATACTACGGACATTACTCCCCAAGTAACAACTCAAGATACCGCGGACAAAATGAAGACAAAAGAACCTGAATCTGCCATTCCAACAGAACCGAAGAGAATCACCTCCCCAATCCACCACATCTCCAAAAAAGCCTTCACCACTCTCCTCTCAACACCTAACCCCCCAGCACCTCCACCAACACAAGTCGCAACCATCCGTCTCACCCTCACATCCCGCGGCGTCGCCTCTCCATGCGCACGCATCTACCGTCTCCCCCAACCTCCCTCCCAAGAAGACTCAACCCTCTCCACCAACGCCTCCACGCCCCCATCCACAACGCGCGAAGCCTGGCTCGATCTCCTTCCCTCCAACTCCAAAACCAAACCCACCATCAAAAACCCAACACGCATCGCCCACACCACCTCCCTCACCGAACGCACCCGTCTCCTCGCACAATCCCTCCTCGAACCCCCTACAAAAGAAGAGGAGCCCCCGAATGTGCCGGATGAAGAAGATCTCATCGGGTTCGTTACCACCGGAGAATTTAGTCTGGCGGAGGGGAGGGGCGTGGCTGTGGGGACTGTTGTGGTGGGAAGGGTGCTTGGGAGGGAAGGGGGGGAGAAAAGGAAGGGAGGGGAGAGGTTGTGCATTGTTCGGAATGCGGGGGAGAAGGGGGGACGGTTGGCTAGGTGGGAAGAGGTGTGAAATGGGTTTAGGGATTATGTAGTGGTTATGTGGTTGAGTTGTAATTCAATTCTCGTTTTTCAGATGAGAAGACAGATTTTGAATCCGGCGTGCCTTTTCAGATACCGATTCAATACTCCAACTTCCATTCGGAACCAAACATCCCCCTCCCCTCCAGATTCTCAGGATCGTGAAAGCGTAACTTACAAACCATCACCCTTAAACAACTAGACACGCCATTCCAGCTCTCCAATATCCCGCCTGTAAACCCACCACATCCAAAGCATTGATCTCACGTCTCTTTCCCACTTCCAACTTGAGGCGCTAGTGTATTCAATGAATAGTCAAGTAACCCATACGAGTTATAAATCGAGTAGACTAGCAACCCACCGCGAGCCTGCGAGGACAGTATTACAACTTACAAGCTACCTCAGTAAACTCTACTAATAGTGTATAAGTAAATTCAAGGACCGAGGAGGTGAATATACTTAAGCGACAGTAACAGGGACTGGAAAGTCTTCTAGTTGTCTGATTAGCTATTTCTGTTTGATTGCGTCTACGCAGAGAGAGTAGAGAGAGTAGAGAGAGTAGGGAGACTAGAGTATAGGTAGAGGGCACTAATCTACTATACTTACTTACTCTATGTTCCGCTTCTACCTTGAAGTTCACACTCATGGAAACTTTAAGATATACAATCATTATCACAGAACTAAATCACAACCCTCATTTTCACAACACACTAATCACTGGAGACAGTCTCAAACCCAACCCATCACCTCGCAAAACACAAGAATAATATTTATATCATGGATTTCATTCCTTATTACTATATACGTCTTCCCCCAATCTCGTCCACCAGTAATACACTTCCCCTATCTCCCAGTCCAACCCTCATCCACAACCCACCACCTCTTCAAAACGAAGCAAAAATATTCAAAGCAAAAACAGGTATCAAGGTATCATATGCACATCCCCTTCTAATCCCCCCACCCCCATTCCTCCCAACTTCCCACCCTTCCCACCCACCCAAACAAAAATCCAAGATATTATAACCACCCAACAAAAAGATTCCAAACCCCGTCAACCAACAACCCCATCCCTGATCGTGAACATAGAACGTGTCACCCAACGTATTTCATCCTTGCAACCTCGTTGATATCCTCATATAGAGCCCATTCGTAGAAAATAAGATAAAGCGAAAAGTTAGAAGCTTGCTCGAGTCTATATGCGAAGAAGAAAATCGTGTAGTAGAAAAGAGCCTTGTAATCGATACGCGTCATTAAATCGCCTTCGTCCTGTCGTCGAACCCTCCAAAAAGCGCAGAACACCCCCGCCCGCATAGTAGGACTCCCGCTCGGAAAAGAATCCTCGAAAGACATAACAGCCGCCCCGCCCCGCCTAACAGAATAATGGTATCAAGAAAGCATGTTGCAATGACCCGAGAGAAAACAAACCAGGCCCCGATAGAGTGTAGAAACATGAGATTCGTGATGATTCTCCATCTCTCTTGTATATGCAAGGTTTGGTGAGAGATGAGGAGAGAAAACATGTGTCCAGGAAGAGACCGTCGGTGAAAAAGATGCCGCCATCGTCAATCCATCGAAATCAGAATTAATATATTCGTGATTCCAAGCACAATTTCATTTGCTTGAAAGGAAGAGCGTCATCGAGTACCGAAAGAACGCCGCGCAAGACCAATCTAGGAAAGCAATTGCCGCGAAATCACAAACTCATGGTAAGCCATTCCCACTCCTGAGGACCGGAACCAGCACCACCAACGCCATTCTGGCCGGGCATTCCCAATCCCGTGGGAGGTCCGCCCATACCAGTCATTCCCATGCTTCCTGGTACCATCGGTCGAGTAGTCATTCCGAATCCATTTGCTAAACCCATGTTTGTCAGGCTACCTCCAGAATTCATCATCCCCATTCCTAGAGATTTGGCCGCTTCGTTCGATCCTGTTGAGTTCTCGGGGGAATCGATGTCCATGCTTTCGATGGCGCTTACGCTCTTGCTGTGTCGTCTCTGTCTCTTAGGAGCAACGCTTACATTTGTTCGAGGGCCAGTGGAAGACGCGCCTGGGCCAGGAGTTGCTTTCGGTGGTGCTGCGGCTATCGGAACAACAGTTTTTGCTCCACTGGCGCCAGTGCCAGAAGCTGAGCCCGCTGAACCATGGTAAGAAGTTGGCGTACTGCCTGCGGTACTACCACCGTTTCCAGTTGACCCTGTCACGGATTGTGGGCTCTGACTTTCGTTGACACTTCTGGCTCGGACACTGGTTGGGGTAGTTGCTTGGGTAGCAGGTGCAGTGTTGATGGCGACGACTGAGTTCTTTCTTGTGCTCGGCATACTACTCATAGGCGCAGTGCCTAGTTTTTTGGAGGCTCTCGTGGATGTACCGCCGGATCCGGTAACTGGCATAGAAGCCCCAGATCCACGATTTCGCTTCTTGATAACATCTGTTTTCAAGGAAAGCGGACGAACAACGCCATGGAGCTTCAAGAAAAGACCACAAGCATTGCATAGCGGGTGTCCTTCGGGGTTTCGTCTCCACAGAGGAGTTGTCTGAGTAAAGCAGTTTGTGCATGTCGTTGGAACGCCATTTTCGCCCGCGGCAGCCCCGGCAAGGTTCGTCGTCGAACCGTGTTTAGAACCACCCGGAGAAGACGGTCGACTCGGAGCAACCGAGGAAAAGCCCGACATGTTGTTTGCGTCTGGTGGCGAATTCGGGTTCGAGTGTGCCATGTGATCAAAGGGGTTATTCGCTCGCTGACCCATTAATGCCGCATTTGGTGTTGAAGCGGTTCGTGGAATCTTTTGCCTTCTGTCACTCCCATTTCTTCGATTGTCAGCAATGGATTGTGCAGAGGCATGGTTTCGTCCTAGAGAACCACCAGAACCATCCCACTCCAATGGCGAGCCACCCATATCTGCGGTTCCGCCAATCGTGACCTGCTTTCTTGGTGGACCACCTGGATATCGAGCAGCTTGAGTGTTGAATTGTCCCGGTAAAGTAGCATCCCATTGCAAGGTTCCACCTGGTCCCATGGAATCCATCTGTGGGTCATCCATTGGCGACTGTGCGAACTCGTGCTGCATCATTAAGGTCCTATCAGCAAACGCAGCTCCTTCATCGTCTTCGTTGTCGGAATCGGCTCCAAAACTAAACATATTCTCATGGCCACCCATATGAACGCCCGGAGAGCGTACCGGGTGATCTGTTTGGAAGACTTGAGAAGGATTAATATGCTGTGTCATGCTGAATTGACCTGGAGCAGTGTACGAGTTGTTCTGAGGTGCTGGACTAGATACAGCCGTGAACATTGAACCACCGGAAGCATTGTACATGTAGTGTGGCTGCATAGAATTAGACAGACTGGAAGGACCATGGCTAAATGCATGCTGTCGCTGAGGTCGAATGTCCATTCCATGGTTTTGGAAGTATATCTGCTCGCCCTCCGGTATTGGCTGAGGGGTAGAAACAGCGGATGGATAAGCACTTCCCGGAGGCGAATAATAATCATTCGAGTTCAGGGACGAAGAGGGCATCGAGGAGTTATTATACATGGCGGAAAAGGGTCCATGCTGGACAAGTGGTGAGTGGGAGGGGGAAAAGTTGAAGCTTTGCTGAAATGGTCCCGCGGATGTGATAATGGGATCGTGCTCCATGTTAAAGGTATCGAGGTGGTAAGGGATGTGGGGGTTATTATGCTGTGCCATATCAGGGTGATGCGGCTGATCCAGCGAGTAATCGTTCAAATCTGAATCATCACTTGGTATCATTATCGTGTTGGTGGGAGGTACTTGAGGAGAGAAGTCGGCAGGCCGTTTCCGAGCCTGGGTATTGTCAGCAGGGGGCCTCAGATATCGCAGGTGGCGCAACCACAAATCGCAAAAATACGAAATTTATAAGAATGGTGTTACTCACGCGTCTTTCATCGATGCTCGTCTTACGAACATGTCTTTGTACATAATTAAATTCTTCGTTGTGGCGAGGATTGTGGTGGGGAACCGGGACGGATTGAGGTACTGCGAATTGAGACGTTTCTTTGCGCATCTTAATCGGTATCGCCGATGCAACAGCGTGATTGGTTTTCTCTGCTTCTTTCTTACTTACCTCAGGAGAAGGAGACATCCCGAATCCGAGGGGTGTAGAAACATTGTCAGAAAATATATAATCGTCCAAGTTCATCGCCTCGGAGCTCTCTGCACTTTGGGCAATTCGCTGGTCTGAAGACTTTCGCAACTGGGCAATGCCGCTTGGTGTACTCGTGGGTGCTTTCTTAGCTAGACTGTTGTACGAATTAGAAGAATATCCTTGGTAGTAAGCCATGATCTGAAGCATACCGCGCAGCTTCCTCTTGCTGTTTGCGTTTTCGCAGACTCATTGCCATCATGCGCCAGGTAAGATTCTCCATACGCTCCTGGTTAGGCAATTGCTTCTTCGTCTTGCTGTATAGCCTCCATATCTGCGTCGCCAATGGGTCTTTCCTCTGCATTTCGTCGGGACTGTCCAGCTCCTCCCCCGCAGCATCGTCCTTCCATGATGGAAAGAAGCTCTCGCGCAGCAAGTCTTTGCGCGCATTGCTTTCCGACGAGAAGTCCAAGTTGTCTAGCGCGCTGGCGCCCATGGAGTTCGCGTTTGAAGAATCGAGCTGGGGAAAAGTCGAGTCCGACGTCGGGAGGTTGTCATGCGAATGCTCTTGTTGCTGCTCCGGTCTGCGTGGGAAACGGTAGTCGTGCTCTGTTATTGAAGTGGAGGTAGAAGCTGTGGGATTGTGAGCGGGCTCGTCGTCCGCATTCATTGTGGTGTCGAAGGGAGCGTGGATACTGCGTAATATCCCCCCACGCTCCTCATATTGTGGTGTCGCGCCAGACATTGTGGGAGTTACACACCTCCTCCGGCGGACAGGACCTTGGTCGTTTTACAATGGTGATGAGGATGTCGGATGTGATGTCGAGATGGTTATACCGACCGCGTGCTGTGCAGATTTGTTTTTCTCTCCCCCTCACTGCCCCAGATCTCGGTGGTGTCGGTGGTGTCCGGCGTGGAGTGCTTTTTTGGAGTTCGATGCACAACAATGCTCTGGCGAGGTCGATGGCCACCCGAGGAAGTCGCAATAATAGCCGGCTGCGAAGTGAATGGGAGTCGTACCAGAGTCGAGGCAATTGCTGCCGCCTCACAAGTTCTTGCACGTAACGAGTCTTGCTTTCCTCTGGTCTGCGAGCGCTGTCGACGTCGTTGTCGCTGGTTCTTGGGTCGATTCGCTGGTGAGAGCCTGAGAGGTACTTTTTTCGTGAGAAATGGGCTCCAGAGCGGGCAGAAGGTATGAACACTGGGTCGCATTAGCTTGAGTTGCATGAGCGAACAGCGGCGCTGGTCTCGGTTCGGAGACGGACGTACAGGCGCCTTTACAGTAGATTTCGCAGTGGAGTCATTGGCTACAGCGCAAGTCGACCGTCGTAGACTGCGAGGGAGTGGACGCTGGTGGCAGCGTGAGAGCCCGCTGAGTGGACCGCGCTGCACGACAGACAGGGAGAAGACTCAGTGGGAGGGGGAGGTGGAGGGGGGAAAATGAAAGTGCTGACCACGACGGGGGTCGAAAGGTGGGAAACTCGATCCCTTGCGCTTCTGCGCTTCCCTTGTTCTGCTCTGCTTCTGCTTCTGCCAGATGCTGGTCGATACATCATCACAGACCCAGCGGACCCAGCACAAGAGAGCGATGGTGGAGTAGCAGTTCCACGTTAGGACGCAGCTCTCTACTTTGGTACTTAGCACCAGCAAACCGCTATTACTTGCTAATATTATCCTCTTATGATCCTCTTATTTACATCCCCCATTACTGCCCATTACTGTATTCTGCCACCACGCCGTAACTGTCAACAACCTACCCGTTCAACAGAGCCTAGCTTGCCCTCTCCTCCCACGCTGAACTGACAACACCACCGAAAATGCGCCCGTCTCCCCACCCAGAACTTACCCAGACTCCACCGCAGACGAGGCCCTCCCACGACCAATGACCCGCCCGCGAGCAACTGACAGTTCGGCCAGCGTCCCAAGAGCTCAAGATGCTGCGGATGATTAGTGTTTGACTGGTGTACGCCTGGTGGCTGCCGGGTTCCCTTGGGATGCTGCAGGCTGCTTCTCCAACACCTGCTGTTGGATTCTCAAGAGGAAACAGCTTTGGCGGCGGCTTCGTCCTTGCAATTCCAGCTGCAGAATGTGGCGGGAAAGCTATGGGAAGGCTTGTCCCTGGTGAAAGTTCGGTAACAACGTCGTCCCAGGAGGATTCGATGTCAGCGGCAACGGTAAGTTAATAATGTCTGGATACCACATGCAGAGCGTGCCCCTGCGTACGATATTTGCAAGTGTCCAGCTAGACAGCAGTCTCTACCATACATTTCAAAGCCCTCACTATGACCATGGCGAGACTCGTAAAGGAGCCTGTAGCGAGCTTGAGATCCAGAATGAGACCATATCCACCGAACTCTAGATTCCAGTTGAAGTAGTCCGCAAAGTCTAAAAGAAAGATGTTTCGAGTCAAAAATCCAAAATGCTTCGAAGTTAGCCATCTGAAAGCGACAAAACCCGTGAAATCATGAGAGCAACTGATACTCGCTCCGACAAAGCTATCGAGGCAGACTTGCCCTGCCATTTGAGGCCTGCTATTCGTTCAATTGCTGCTCGCCTACTCGGGCGCTATTCATTCGGTAGATCGTCTTTGACTGCTTTCCGTTGTACCGGTCTTCGACGTTCTACTGCTTCGAAATACAGTTTGTCGTCTGTATGGCGCTCTGTAAAACTTACCAACGTGGGTAGCGTGCAAACGATCCCGCAAGCAAGCCACGATGGCCAGTCTCAAAAGCCGCCTCGATCAGAAGAAGCAGATCACAACAAATGGCGGGGAGGTACCTCCGTTAGCTTCATAAAGACTGTACTCGCACCGCATTGTAACCTCATCCCACATCACAAAGACATGACAACCAGAAGACGGGCTTCTCAGGGAGTTGCGCCACCTAAATTCAGCATGCTGGAGACACATGCACGCAGAGCAATTCCTATGCCGCCGCTGTACAATATGCAACCCAAAGGGACTTGACCGACGCGATGCGCTTCTGGCCATCATGAGGTTGTATCAAGTTACCTGACTCAATTTGCAACCACCTTGACCCGTAACCGTAGATCCACCGGTTTCCCGCGCATTAATAAACCTAATTTCTTCTTCTTTTGGATATTCTGTACGAAGCAGTATCAATAATACAGGACTGGTCGTACATACCTATGATTTCTAGTGGCGCGCATACTATAACCGTATTTCACCCTACCCCGTTCGCTTGCATCGTCGAGTAAGTTAGGGGTATACAAATTGATATAAACAAATTTTAGTACCACAAGCACAACTTCACGTAGACTCTACATGAAACCTGTTGAAATTTCCGTCAATAATGAAGAAAGTGAAGATCAACTGCTCTAGGGTGGGGATCTGAGATCGAGCTGACGAGGAACCGATATTGCGCGTTTGTACCCCATATCCTAACCGATAATCTGCTGTACGGACGTACCTGTGCGGAGAAGAGAAGCTCTGCTGGCAGGAGAAGAGGTGTTTCGAGATGATCGTGTATTTCTAGTTTCTTGGAAAGAAAACAACCTCTGTATGACATCAGATGCCTGCGTGTACTCAACCGTAGTTGCATGTATATCATATGTGTTGTGTGTCGTTGACAGGAATACTGTACGGAGGTACTGTGCGAGATCAACCAGCATGAGAAGCGAAGCTCTTCCCGATGCTCAAGCTTGGGATGGGGGTGAAGCTCTTGCTTCAAAGGTCACTTCCGAAGCATGTGAGTGGCTGAACCGATGGAGGGGCAATATGCAATTGCTAGGGTTCACATTCTGGGATGCGTGCAATATGCTTGTCTCCTGCATGGTGGGATCAAAAGTAGTGGGGGTTGCCGATGAATTCGCTGTGGGTTTGAACTTTGGAATCGCGGACGGTGGTGGATATGAAGGATAATTGGAAAGTCTTTCAGTAATCATTTCTCCGCCAGTAGTAAATGAACTCGACATTTTCAGCGCTTCTTCAGTGAAATATGCTAACCACTAACCGCATCTCCAGCATCTTTAGGTTCTCGAGAGTATGGTAATGTTCGTCTGCATTACTTGTATGAGAACTTGCTTTTGCTGTAATATTCACCCCACCCTACCCGGTTAATGACAATTTGACTGTTGAATAATTAAGAGGCGTCTACACATACGGAGTATTGTTTTCAAACAACCCGATTTGATTAGTAATGCGAGTCCAAGTCAAGCTTGTCCTGTGAGTACAAATTCCGCAGTTGTACGAAGTACAATATGGTTGTAGCTGCGACGACTTGTTTCTGAGCTGGCGTTCCAATTTCAGCTTAGCTCTGATCAGCTCGTTTGGAATGAGAGGTGCAAAATTAATTTTGATGCCGTATTATTATGTCTTCAGTCGTTTCTCAAATTTCTGTATCACTGTACCGCCGAGGCTTGTAGGGGGTCCAGAAGGCGATGTTCATGCAATCTGAAGAATTTTCAAGAAGAATTCTCGAGACGGTAACCACCGCAGAAATTTCACTCAGGTCATCTGAAAATGTGCTGCTGAGAAGCTATCATTATTCCGTGGAGGTGTTGTAATTGCGGCAACAATAATGATTGCAGTTTATGGTGACTTCGCGTCACACTACAGACTCGGATTCCTGTCGGTATCTGAGGGACTTCTTACTCTATGTGCACCAGAGTAAGCTAGGCTGGCCCTCGATGCTTGTGATATTGCTGCCAGCACGGGAACTACTGTGTGTGATACTGTACGCAGCGCAGTAGTGCAATGGCTCGCTTCTTCACTACTCACATTGCTTGATGCTTTACATACAAGCAAAATTCCAAACCCGAAAATTTGGTCGAGCGTTCGAAGCATCGTCGCTGCCTGCAAGGAACATTAGCTTTCGAACCCGACTTAGAGTCCCATCATTTCAAATCTGTCGAAATTGTCGACAACCACAAATGATATTGGCTATTATTGTTTAAGATGGTAAATGAAAAGTTTGCAATACTCCTTGGTAGATCTGGAGACGTATTTAATCCTGATATCTTGCTAGTTCGCTCTGAGAAGAAATGCATAGCCCTAGCATTTAGTGATATCTGGTGCTGTTTCCCTCAAAGAGAACTAGAGCATGTCTATTCGCAACATTGAACAAGTGTGGACAAGTCCAGCCTTCTTACACCGTAGTTGATGTCGTTAGGCCCCCGCCGAATAAAACCCATCTGCAATAATCGCTAAAACGGTACCTCTGCGGCGTGTAAAGTGGGCGTGGGGGGATGTGCCGTAGTTTTCCTGCTGGCCTTGCAAGAGATGTGATGTGTAACATATTATGTCCTGACTGACAGGCTGAATTGGGTGAACTCATCATATGCAGTCTGCAAGACTGAAATCGGCTTGTGAAAGCCCTCTTTACCGTCCTGTTGGAACGGTTTGTTGGGCTGTTTGTGAAGCTGATTTTTCCAAATCGTATTGCCAATACAGTAGCCGATTCGGGCCCTAGACGTAGAGTAGTCAAGACTTCAACGACTTGTTTTCGGGAGTATCCCAGTCGTTAGGGCACACACTGGTCCGAGAACAGTTGAGCAGTGAGCATGGGGATCTCGGTGCTTTGTTCAGGGTCTATAATTAGTGTTTAATTTCGATAAAACTGCTGCTAAAGTTTGCTCCAAGTGATTATTAGGAAATATGGCCATATTAGGCGCAATATCCGATGTGCTAAGATTCCGAAGAATCCCGAACTTCTGGCTGCGACATGAGCGAACTCGCACTACGTGACGCGCCGGTTGGCACTTACCATCCGAGAGCTGCGTTGGTCTCAAAACAAATAATATACCATTTTCTGAGCAGGAATTTGCTGTAATTGTCTTAAATGATTGCGGAATTGACATCGTAGTGCGAGCATTTCGGATTTGATACTGCTGGTGTGGTCTGCGTTTACATGAAAGCTCTAATGGAGTTCTTTCCTGGAATCGTTAAATCATATGCCGTACGCTTCGATCTTGATGTATGTTTGAAACATGTCCTCGAAGCTGCAATACCTCGCAGACAGGACCCTTCAACTTTTGCATACTCAGGTATTGCAGGTAGCGCTCCACTACACGACTCCGGAATTCTTATCAAGGTGTATCCATCGAGGACGTCGGTTCCTGTTATTCCAGCTCGAAACTACTACTTTCACCCAGCCAGCGTATCGATGATAGTGGGTTTATTATGAGTCAGGAAATCATATCAGAAGACTCTAAAGAACATGGTGAAGACACGCTTCGCGCCGAAAACCACATTTCAGAGTGTACTGAAGATCTTGACATGACACGCGACAGAGGACAGAATTGTATGATGGTCAATCACCGCCTTTTTGCTTCGTGACGATGAAGCTTCCGCAAGTGTCGTTATGTCGTCGACTGCGACCACTCAAACATTCATAGCTTAGATTGTTGCATGTGATTTGGCGCTTCAAGGTGTGGTAGCTTGTGACATGGAAGTTCCAGATCCCACCTGTCGGCCGATGACTTTCGGAAATAAGAAGAGGTTCCGTCTTTAACTGTGGGACCGTAACGAGGTAACCGATACCAATGCCAAAATGCACTCAGTCCCAAGCACCTTCGTAGTCAACACACGCAGACCGTTACTCGCGAACTTTGGAAGGTAGATATTATCCCGATTGCCATATTATGGCTAATTGCGGATGATGTTACTTTGCTGGTTGAGCCTCTGGGAGGAATCACTATTAGGTCTAGGTTCGTCCAGTGTCTTGGTTCGTGGTCGATGGATTTGAGAAACCGTAGAAGCGGCACTGTGCTGGTGCGCCTGCAGCAACGGGTAAGATTCGATTTCCAGGGTGCGACGAACCCGCGTGGGATGACGAAAATATGTGACACCGCTGTGAGACAGTCATCCTCTCCCCTCATCGAGGTGTGGGGGAAAGCGTGGGGGATTCCGAATCGGGAGAGGAAAGTAATATGACCCTGCATTGCGACTCGTGCAACAGCGTGAAGTTTTGGGAAAGACGGAGAAATCAGCATTCACGCAAATGATGTTCCGAAAGATCAAACGGCTTGGATAGGTGCATTGGCCGAGACTGAATGTCGATCATCTTGCGGTGAACGATTCAAGTTGATGAGGATCGTAGAGTTCAGCGACGTGCATGGAGAGCCGGTGGTTATTCTGGCGGGATGCGCGGGAGCTGTGCCCGAAATACATCGTATAGAGTTGGCGGCGTCAATTGCGTAGAAGGCAAGTCAACTGGAAAGATTCGAACGTGACCAGAGCTAGAGATGTCGATGAGCTGCGTTCTGGTCGGCAAGGAGAACCATGGGTTCGTTCGTGAAGTTTAGAGCTGAAGAGAAAGTAAACAAACGAAGAAGAAAGTATATGACAGTGTCACGTGACCATATTCGGAATCCGATTTCGTTTGCTACCAGCTGGAAACCAACCTCGACAAGACACGAATCACAACGACATCTCTTACTGATTTTGTCGACACTTGGGCTGAGACTGTCGAGTGAGACGGAAATGGGAGTGTTCTTTCAAAAGTGAAGACACAGCGGACCGAGACCACAATATATATGCATTCCTTATCAGCGAGATTGCCTTCACCGATGAGTCCTCCTGCTGAAAGAGAACGGAATATGCTAGTCGGACAGGCATTACTCTAAAAGCCCACAAAGCACGAGAGATAGTCGAGTAGTAGGTCTTAGCCCATGGATTGCTGTTGTTGACTCCCTTTGAGCAGGGTAATGGAAGTGTACGAGATATTGGCCCAACAATGTCAGCATCAGTTCTTAAATAGCGACTCCAGGAAGATAATCAAGTTATTCCAGGCGCGCCAGGTCAAGACTATCATTTATACCTAAACGACAGGATGTCTGATTATGTGCAGAATAATATTCGCCTATCTGAGCTATATCTGGTCTGATCTATGGTTACATGTCTCCACGGGAGTAGCAGATATGATGCTACATACCTATGATACCACCGACCTGGATACAGTATCAAGATACTGTTATCCGTACTCAACCCCGGTATTTGATTTGATCTAGAAAGAGATCAAACATTCTAGCGAAAGCTTCATTTTGATGGTTACTCTAATAGGAAAGTCGATGCCAAAATCGACCCCATATTATCGGCTGAGATACCGGTGACCTTCGCCGACGGGCCACCCACTGGCACCTAAAGATAAAAGGATCAGATAACCTCAGAAGGGCCAACGGCTCAACATGCGCCTCCAAGATTTGGCCAGTACCAGTGCACCAATATCCTTACACGTGGCCGGTGTTCTTGCGGATACGAAATTGTGGTGTCTTCTGCCCGATAAATGATGCGATCACAGACATTCATTTCCTGTGTACTGTAGCTCTTATCAGTGGCTTGAGCCCTCGCTGAAATTCTTCAAATACCCCGGCCGCCCACTGCAGGTACAAGTTTTTTTCTATTATTCTTTCCTTCTCCTGATGATGCTCAACCACCATCTGACACTATACCACACGCATTTTGAAAGTCTCAAGACTATCATTCAGTGGAAACAAGCGAGACTCGTCGTCGCCTGTATCACGTGACCTTATAACACATTGGTTCGTCAACTGCAAGTCAAGTAACACAACACAATCACCGTTTCTTTATCCTGCGCTACAGGAACTTCCGGCAGCTAGGCTTCGGGAGCTAGAAATAACTTCTTTATTGCTGTTGTCGTGTCACCACTTGCTCGAACTATTTCTTTGTCCGACCACCCCGCCAGCTACGACCACCAACCGTTTCCTTTGTCCTCTTTACCATCTGTTGCTGCAAACAAACGCAGACCAATATGGAAAATATTCCCAAGATGTCTACCTCACGGTCTTTCACCAGACCACCATCGTATCTATTCTCTTGTTCTTGTTTTGGTAACCAATTCCTTCGGAATTGGGCCTCTCGCTTATGCATCTCATAATGTCACTTAAAGAACTTGTCAAGACGAGAACACAGGTTTTACTACTACTGATCTCTAGTCTCACTCACGCACAAGATACGACGGATACGACGAGTACACTCTCTTTGACGACAACTCTACCACCGACAACTACCACCTCAATCGTGTCTGTACTCCCACCAACTGCGGTCCCGAGTTCGAACTCGTACACTCTGCTCGGATGTTACAATGAGGTACCTCTCGAGAATGGTAATCTGGCAGTGGGAGCTGCAGGCGAATATTTGGTTCCATCTATCGTACCAGAGAATTTCACGGCCCCAACATGTCTCGCTGCCTGTGAAGGATCCTTGGCCCCAGAAGGGCAGGGAAACTATACTTATGCAGCTCTGGAGAACTCAAGGTATGTTTATATTCAACACACATATCTAACATAAATATAATTTCAGGACAAATGCTAATTACTCTCCTACAATTCTAGAGAATGCTTCTGCGGATTATCCCTTTCAAACACTTCCACACCTGTCGACTCACTGAATTGCGCATCTCCCTGCGCCGGCGACTCAAATACCAGCTGTGGAGGCTTCGGTTACCTCACCCTCTACCAACTCACGGCCACCCTCTCCACCTCAAACCTCACAATCCCCAACACAACCACCCCGGCCAATTCAACGACCTCTCCAATAACCCCCGCATCCACCTCCCAGCCCTCAAACACCGGTCTCTGGATCGGCATATCCTTCGGTCTCCTCGCCCTCATCCTACTCATAGCCCTCCTCCTCTACTTCGAAAACCGCCACTACCTTGCCCACCACCTTGGGCCTCCACCATTCTCACCCCACCAAACTCGTCTTCCTCGTCTCCCCTTCGTAAGACCAAATCGCGAGTCTTATCTCAATACAGCCTATACCGCTACCGTACCCGAGACCATAAGCGAGAAAAAGGGCCCCGAAAGACGGAGTACATTGGAAGCGTGGAAATCAGGCACGGTGCTACCGCCGCCGATACTGGAACCCGTATTTCTGGGAGGTGCGCTGGACGAGGAAGCACAGATGCCGGTGCGGCGGGAGAGTCTCTACAGACCAGAATATAATGCGCAGGTTAGTTTTAGGGATGTGGCGTTTGCGAGTGTGGAGGATGGGACGAATCAGGCTGGTAAGGGTGAAGTAGAAAATGGTCAGAGGGACCAGGAAGGAGAGGCTGGCGGGAGAGAAGGAAAGAGTTGGTTAGATGCTGACGAGGTAGAGAATGGACAAACGAATTCGGATAAACCGTCACGCGATGAACATCTCCAGCCGGAAACGACTTCGAAGCGAAATTCTGTCGTGTCGAATATGTCGAGGAATTCGAAGGTTGTGGAGGATGTGGGATGAGTCGTTGGTGTGAGGGAATGGATTTGTGAGGCAATGTTATGTGCTACTGGGAGCGCGGAAATACAAGACAGCCGTGGACGAAGAAAGGCATACTCGGTTCACGGCCAGAAAGTTGGGATTGTAAGTTGGTTTGGCCGCGGGTTTGGATAAGCTGTGTATCGAGAACAGGAGAATTAGATTCGGGGAAATGATAATTGAACATGGATCCAAGTGGGTGGTAGGATAAGGGATTACGAAGGTCCGAGAAGATGGAATTTGCAGATCCATTCAATTGCGACACGGTTGTAAATCTTGGGTATGAAAACGAAATGAGCAGTGAAGTTTAAGGTAGAATATCAACTTTAGGGGAAAATTTATATGGAGGTGAAGGAGCAGGAGTATCAATATCAAAGAACAGAAGCATAAGCCTTTAGAATTCCTTTTATTAACATAGAAGATATGAACATCTTTCATTATATCATATACTATCCTCACGATGTTTGTTCTGATTTACCTGTCATTGCAAAACTAAATACAAGGCATTTGCTAAAGGAAATACCTCGTATGTGGTCGGTGATTTACTGTCGGCCGAGGCGCTCTAAAATTGAGCTTTCTTATTAGCATTTGGTGAGATGAGCTTGTAGACAAAAAGCTTTGAGTCGAATGAGGTCTTGGTTTGCGGAGATGAGATAGAATAATATCTCCAAGGAAGTGATATGAGTTGGTAGTAATGATGAGTCTATTGGTTTTCAAGGGTTGTAGTGGTAGTCGCAGCTTGGACAGGATTTTCCCTTGGTGATGTCAATAACGAAGAGCAGCCATGGGCAAGAGTCACAGGTTCAATAGGCAACTTTCTTGCTAGGTATCTTGCATCCCATAGTATCTCTCACGTATTTGTTTGACTGGGTTGTGAGGTTTTAATTAGTAGACCTAATGGAAGTAAGCAATGAGATTGAAACACTTGGATATATATCTAGCTTATATCATGCCTTTCTGTCCTTTTCATGTTTGTGGGTGCGAATCAGGGAGGTGAGCGTATAGGAATATGTGCTTAAAAACGTGGTAGTATAGCAATGAGCGGCTGTCTAATTCAGCGAGCCGGGAAAAGGAGGATGGGCGGGGGGGACCGGAGGATTGAAAAAATCTTACGTGTCGACATGTTGCTACTATACGAACTCAATCTCACAGTCTGCCACGTCTTTATTCATACAAAGAGAACACTTTGGGAAAGCAGTTGCAGTGCACAAAATAAATAAGCAACATGGGTATCATCATTGACCAAAATCCTCCGCTTAAACCACCTCAATCAAAAACAACCTTCTTGCCCTCAAACTTAGCCGCTTTTTTCTCCTCCTTAGCCTTCTTCGCAGCCTGCCAACTAGGATGTAGTACACCGACATCATCTTTCTTCCCTGCTCTTTTCTCCAGCGGCGCAACGGCATTCTCACCTGTCGCTCTACCCGCAAATCCACTACTCCCTCCAAACCCACCACGTCCTCTTCCCCTTCCTCTGCCAGGGTCAGCTCCGCGCTTAGAATCCCACCCTTCATCCCTTCTCACAGAGCCTTGACCAGATTTGATATGATTCGCACCAGTTCCGAATTTCTTTTCCCAGATCGCGCGGCGAGCGTTCTGGCCAGGACGGTTCTTTCTTACCACTGGAGCTGCGTCGTCGTCGAGGTCTGAGGCGGAGGATTCTGAGCCAGAGAAGTAGCCGCCGAGGAGACTGGGGAGAAAGGTTGTGGACTTTGGAGGGGGAGGTTTGGGTTTGGATCTGGATTTGGTGGAGGTACGTTTTGCGGGGGGGGAGAGGGATAGTGAGGGGTTGTGAGATGATTCGGAAGTTTTGGGAAAGCGGAGTTCTGATGATGATTCGGCATCTGATTCTGAGTCTGATGATCCGAGAAGAGCGTCGTATTTGGAGAATGAACCTGATTCTGAGCCTGAAAATCCATCTTCACGCTCATCCTTAGTTATGGCTCGCCTCTCTTTCCGGCTTTGTATCGCGAGAGCATCCTCATCTTCCGATTGTGAACTCTCTTCGCCACTGAAATCCGCAAATCTAGAGTTTCTGGCGTCCTGGACATCACCGACGTCGGAGAGATTCTCCATTTCAATATCCGATCCGGCCTCTTGGACCCGTGTACTTGATTTCGATTTCGTCTTTAGTATGCCCTTCAGCGGCTCTTCTTCCGTCTTCTCCTTCTTTGAACCTGCTGCCTTCCCTTTTGCGACCTTTTCTGGCATAGGTATTCGCATAACCATATATAATCCTCTCATCTGATCTGCCATGACAACCTTCACATTTGGTGTATTGAACATGCCGCTCATAACATTCATTTTCGCAAGCTTCTCCTCAGGTGATCCAACCTCGCCATCTCCCTCTTTCTTCGTGCCTTTCTCTTTGACCTCTTCCGGCAATGCCTCGCTCTCGACCATCCTTTTCACCTTGCATATCGTCCGATACAAGTAGTCTTCCACCATCTTTGACAAATCCAGCGACTTCCATGCCTCGATCTCTCGATTAATCCGCTTCACATCTTCCGCTCCTTCTGACCCCTTTGCTTGCGCATTCTTCAATCGCTTTCCAAGTTTCTGTCTTGTAAAGCCTTTGGTTGCTTTGAGAGCCCGATGAAGGAGCTTTTGGCTGTTCGAGATGTGATCTCGTATCTCCTGTTTCAGCCTCTCGGTGGGATCCGATATCGTTTCTCGTTTTCGTTTGACCATATTTGCGACTTGAATGTCTGCTGGGCGAGAAGAAGAACGAGATACGACTTGCTCATTCAGCCTTGCTCGAATTTATTTTTTGGTGGAGCCCAATGGGTGCAGGTGGGGCGCGGGGCAGCGTGCTTATGTAATACGGCTCAGCTCTTAATTCAACTTCGGATGACGACGACGACGATGGCGAGTTCTCTTTTCCCGCCATCACTCTCGAACTCAGGCTAATGTGACAATCAACTTTGTGGTCGTCCCTGAATTGATTCAAAATACGATTGGGGCGCCAGTCTGTGGTTTCTTGCGGGTAAATGGCTGCAGTTGACGCAGGATCTTCAATTGTAATTGGAATTCTTTTGGCAACTTCTAGCCGGTACCTGCATCGATATACAAATCATCTCATCTTAATCTACGCGAGCTATAGTTATAAGTTTATCCGAGCATACAATGGAGGCATAGAACAAGAATTCATCGAAGGCTGTTCAAAGTATCATAAATTTTCGTTAACCTGCGTATGTACTTTTAAACCAAATCCACATCCCATCCAAGTACCACTTCCAACTAAATACAGAAAAGAACGATCGAAATCCTAACTCTATGTACAGACAAGCTGCGTATATACAAAACTCTAAGATTGAGCAATCTATCGAGGATATTTCTTCCCAGTACAGCACTCTTGACAGTTTCTGAGATTCGAGAAGCTCAGGGTAGCCTAAGTCTACTCCTGAATGCGAGCAGATGTGTGGCGATACTCTTATACTCGCTCTGTGCGTCCTTGCTTGAGAGCCTTGAAGGTGGAACCGATTGGACCCCACTTGATGTTGGAGTATGTGACGGTAGCATCTGGTGACTCGGCTTCGACAACCTCTGGCTTGCCGGAATCTGGGGCACACGTTCCTCTGGAAACACCTGGGGCGCTTGGGTCTTTGTCTGGTGGGTAAGGAGCATCGAGCCAGAGCATTCCTGCGCTATGATCATCCCAGATGGACATGACAAGTACCATACCGCTCTTAATGGCTTGGCCCATTTTCTTTAGTCCTCCTCTGGTTTCGAAGATGTTGTTATCGCCGAATACACTCTTCTGAGCGGCACAGAATGAGGTTGTCAATGAGTTTCCTGTGACGCCCTCGACTTTGGAATCCGAGTTGGCGAAGGTCTTTCCTCCTTGGACATAAAATCTCTTGATCTCCTTCAAGTCACCATTGGCAGTGCCGTCGGTGGAGATGAACTGGGTTACAACTGTCATTGGTTTGTTTGTGTCGAGTGTTTTCCCAGGACCGTAGAACTCGGTATCGCCCATACGGTATGAGTTGAAATCGCATCCATCAGCATCGCAGAGAGAGGCATATCTGTCACCGATACCGCAGTCGGTTCCAGAGCATCGAGTTGGGCCGGAAACGGAGCAAGGGTGGCTGTTGAGGTCAGTTACTGGCAAACGGGATAACAGCGAAACTATGGTCACTTACGGGGTGTACGCAGTGGAGACGGAGTTACCTTCCCAGATATCCATTTCGTTGCAGCAGGATCCGTACTTACCGCCACCAGCATTTGGATCATCTGGCGATCCTGCCCATCCATCAGAGTTTGCCTGTTCAGTTGCATGAGTAACGTTTCGTATTTTGGATCTAGAACTTGGGCTCAACATACCTCTCCGTTGATGAACTTAATGTCTCTTGGACATTGTGCATCACAGTAACCGGTACCAAACTTTGCTCCAGCCTTGTTTGTTGAGTACTTGGCCATGCCACCATCTTCAGCCATCTCGCTGAAGTACAAGGCACCGTTCAATCCACAAGGAAGCTTGGACACATCGACATCGAATGTGAACTCTTGGTTCATGAGCTTGAGCATTTGGTATTTCGTCTGACTTCCAGCCGCCATCAAGTATGTTCGGGAACCGACATTTGTGTTGTCACCCTTGGTGACGAAGTTGAGCTTCAAGGCGTTTCCAGATGTGGTAATTCCATAAACTCCCTTGTAGTCGGCACCCTCCAACATGCAGTTGGACGCACAAGTCTTTCCGGAAGTGCATATAGTCGAGTTGAATTCGTTTCCAGTATAGCAGTTGGTGTATCCGACCTTGTTGTGAAGCCATCTCCAGTTCGAATCGAGGACAATGGATTGAGCAGAAGTCTTACATCCGCTTGCTGTACATTGACTGACAGTCAAAGCAGGATGTGTTTCGGCTGTCACCGTACCGGCCAATTGGGCGCGGGCCGAGACCAGGAGAGCAGCGAAGGCGAAGGCAGAGGTAAGCATGATGAAGGTTGAGATGCTGTGCTTGATGAAAGAAGATTTCAATGGGCATCACGATCAACTTATATTCAGCAGAAATCTTGAAAACGTGCACACCACTGAGCTGGTACACTTGACATCCTACAATCATTGGACAACGACATATGGGATTGCGGGGAGGCAACCGGCGGAATCAAAGCAGCCGGAATGATGTACACTTCATCGTCTTCTAACTTCATTGAGGCACATCAGTGACTGTCTACCCCATATTTCAGATCCCATGTGCCGCCTCGAGTATCTGCAAATATAAACTTTCTGTAGAGGTCGGCTGCGGAGGAAACGAACCCGAACAACAGGGAACCTGCAGCCCATCTCACAAACGAAGATCAACTCGTAGAAATCCAGGATGTTTCAAGTCGGTATTCTCCTTCCAGCATAGCGTCTACCGTCGAGGACTGGGTATCCCCACGCACTTCAGGAACATGTACGATCAATACTTCGGGGCTTGACATTAGCGGCGGCAGTTAACTGATTCGATTTGACTATTGTTCTAATTTGATCTTAAGACAGAGGCATGTGGGTCATGAAAGTCTCGTCTCCATTTTCATCTCTCACGGTGCGAAGAAAAAAACCAAAGCTACTTGGTGGCAACCGCGCAAAACACATGTCTATGCTGCCAAGCTGTGGAGAAAATGGGGACATCATCTGTACATCTTTACATATGATCATCACCATCCAACGCTTCTGCAGTATAGCTCAATCTCATTTGAGGCGAATATATTAAAACCAGGGGCCACAAAGCCCCTGCACTACAGGGTATGATAGCCGGGTGCGGGGAAACCTTACTGCTTATGCCGAACGGTGGCAGATGTTCCTTTGCTGATTTCTACCTGAGACAGGCGGCTAAAGTTCGAATCGCCCGATATAGGGCTAGCTATTGTCTTAAGACATTTTCTATTCGTCAGTTGACGGATTTACCTAAAGTTTACTCCCCACGATTAGCTTTTGACCTCTGGTTTTAGACCAACCAGATAATGTCGCGGTTCTTCTTCTGATGATCGGGAAAGCAGATCCAGGCACTTCACGTCTATACCGCTGGACAAGCGCTGCCACTTGAAAGTTTTTTTTTTTCACATATAATATCAGTTATAACACAGGCGTACTTTGTACGTGACGGTAGGACTCCCGAGCTCCCGCAGATAGTATTCAAAAGGAATTCAATAGGCATGCAAGTTAAGTCTCGGGTACGGAAAAAGAGCAAGGTGGTTGTGGCGGCCAACTGCTCTCATTTCATCTATTCTCTAAATGAAGTAGGAAAATTCGGCGATACTTTCGGTTCAAGAAGCCTAATCTACTTCTGATACAGCACCTGATCAGATTTCGCAACCATGGTCCAGGATCGAACCAGCGAATACCAAGCTTGCCTCGGTACTCGCCGGGCTATCACCACGCTCATTCGACCTCTCAAGCGCGTACCTAGCACAGCTGGTGTGAGTTGTATTCATCCGTGGCTCTAACTCCACTTAGGGTCACAAAAAGTGACAGTCCTTTCTTTTCTGGGCCTGACGAGCAGGTGGGGTTATCGTGAGTTTCTTGTTTGCTTTCCCATGTTTCGCAGCTCACTACAATGATCATGTTTTTGAATTTCATGATCGGGAAAGGCTTGCTCCTCAAGTGAGTCCACCATTGTTGCGTTTTGCTTTTCATTATGTCTTTTGTAAATGGCGCTGCGAGTGTGCGTTGCCAAATTCGATTGTTTTCCAATTTTGAATATTGCTATCACCGCCAAGTTGAAAACATGTTGCAGTTAAGGACTTTAGATGAAGTCTATTTAATATCCTCGTTAGGAACTATCAAGGAATATCAAATACGCTCTAAAGACAATGTGCCACATGAGAGAATTTTCTCTCATTATGGCGTACATGATCCTATCGAAGTCATATAGGCAGCAAGTGAGCCTTCTCTACCTGCTTTCTAGTATGTGATATCACGTATTCCTTCTTGAAGAAAATACTTGACCACAAGTCAACTGGCATGTCTCATGAGCACCTCTGCATTACATCAGCTACATGGAAGACTAAAATCGTATCCTATCGGCCTCGCCACCCGGAGGCTGAACATCAAAGAATGGTTCATGGCCCACTTCTCGTGCTGTGTTCAAAAGTCACCGGCTCGAACGTCGGGACCATTGTTTTGCCATATTTGCCGAGAAGCGATACGACGATGAGGCTCATCTATCTCGCCACGACCCGAAATTGTTGAAAGTGACTCGGACTTGAGGCTGTTGTAGATCACTGCCGTAAGTATTCCCGAAGATTTATAGACCGCTGGGCGGTGCTGATACTCGTTGGTAGACGACCCTTGATGCAACTGAGCACGATAAAAGATTGAACGCTTAGTTCGAATCGAACCCCAGTGGCCAGGAGTCTGCAAGCGAATTTTTTTTTTATTGCCCAGTGCCTTGGGACCTACGTCGAGTTATTGAGGGTCGCTTCTGCCCGACAGTTGAGTCTGCATACTGGAGTCTTCTAGGCATCGAGTAATCTGATAGTTGTCAAAATGATCTACATTTAAAGTGGCTTCAGAGTACTTTGTGTGCATACGATCCATTCAGTCCAGGCCAGCGCTTCATCTGGCCAGTCATTGTCCTAATGAAGAGTCATCTGGCCATACGATCTTCGCGGAGATGCACTGCTCAAATTACAGATCATGCTGGGTCTTTTTCATATTGTTTGCCTAGGTTGCTATCTTTGAGCCAAGTATTGCTCCCGCCACTTCCGCGCTCTCACTCCAATATGCTTTTCTTGGGAATAAGGAGGTGGCGGCGGAGTATCTTGTGGGTCAAAGGACCGACTGGGCATCAAAGGTATCCCGATAATGCACCTTGAATGTTTCAATGATTAGGAGTGCATATGTCTTGAAGCGATATTGCTATTCGAGAGTCAAGAGCATGTTGCTTCGGTCTCATTGTCTTTCTTTCCCCCCATATTTCTCTCCTTAACAAATTCATTGTGAAGGCGGCCGCCGGCCAAGCATAGAGAGACTCCTGTTATGATAGGATATTTCATGTTACTCCCAAGCTTCACATGGTGGCAACATGCTTGTCAAGCATTTAGAAAAACAATAATAGGGAATATTTCTGTATACTTCCCAATAGCGCAACAATTTTTGTACGCGTTTTTGCCTAGGCAAGAATGATCGGTCTTAGACTTCCATTGACCAGATATCAATCTAAGACACGTCCCCCGAGGAGTTTATGCTTTGGGTGTCTTTTCGCACGAAACAAATGAAAGAAGCTTAGATGTCAAACATCGGAACTGGTATACAAACCAACCTTCCACTTGCGAGACTAGCATCGGCTTACAAGACACTATTCTATCTCTTCGACTTCGGACGCAGTATCAAACACTGTTCTCTCTATTTTCATGCCTTGCATTATCTTTTTTAAGTTTCGACGGATTTGAAGTTGTATTTTGTGCTTGTATATCTCGTAATTGTTGGTTTGAGTATGGAATACAGCAATAGACACGGACAAATCGCTGCAAGTATGCTGAAGTAACTTTATTTAGCGAGAGCATCGCTGTATTACACATTTTTCCCTCACTGTCTGTCGGAAATCTAGACGTCACCAAGCTTCAGCACCGCCTTGCCATAGTTCCTACCTTGCAACATTCTGACGAACCCCTCAGCCGCGTCCTCCATGCCACTAGTAACATCCATCAATACCTTAATCTCCCGGTCCTTGATCCATTTACCAAGATTCTGTTGATGCTCGTCCCTGTACTTTGGTCCGAAATCAGGATCGAAAACAATGAATCCTCGAATTGTAAGTCGTCTGGCGACTACTTGTGGCATATTTCCGAGACGGTAGACTTTTGAGGGGTCGAGTGAAGTTTGAGAGATGCTCCCGCATTGGACTGGATGTTGTCAGATATGAAATTCAAGGGGAGATGGGGAGTGGTACCTATTCTGCCGAAATTTTCCATGTGAACTATCGCTACATCTAGGTGTTCTCCTCCTACATTGTCATAGTAGCTATCAGAAAGTTAGCTTCAAGCTTATTCATAAGATTCTCACAATTTCAACTTACATGTTCAACCCACCACCACCAGTTTCCTCCAATACCCTCTCTAACCCCTCGGTAACACCCTCGGTCCTGTAGTTGAACCCTGCATCAAACCCCAGTTCTTTCGTAATGAAATCCAATTTCTCTTGACTTCCAACAGAGCCCAACACTCTCAGCCCCTCACGCTTCGCAAGCTGCCCAACGATTTGGCCGACAGCACCACTGGCCGCACTAATAAAAATAACGTCTCCCTTCTTCGGTTTTCCAATCTCATAGAAACTTGAATAAGCAGTCAATCCACTCATGCCCAGCGCCCCCAAGAACAGTTTCGGATCTAGACCTAACGGATTTTCAAGTATTTGAAACCCTCCGGCGTAGGGAGATATGTTAAGACGGGATGAATCCACGATTTGATAGGTACTGAAGGCGGCATTTCCTAGGACTAGATCACCAGGATGATAGGACGGGTTAGAAGATTTAACGACCTGGAGAAGACCTGCGTTTGAGAGTGTTGAGCCTAGTGGGTATCCGGAGACGTAGGATTTGTTCCCAGCGGGCTTCATGCGACCGCGCCTGTGATGCTGTTAGATGTTGTGGATGACACCCCATTCTTGTTGTGTACAGATCATGACAATATGCTACACAACATATAATTGAACGAGAAGTGTATTCGGAAAAGACTCACATAAACGGATCATAGCTCAAATAAAGAGTCTTGAGTAACACACTCCCATCGTCCAATTCGTCATCAAGATCTATCTCCTCGGTCTTCACCGTCAGATCTTCACCGGGAATCGGGAAACCAGTCGGGTTTTTGGACAATATAAGAGACTGGTTTGGTGCCATGTTTTGTAGTCTATCTCAGATCTATCACTATATAGTGCTACAAGGTCTTTCGTGAGCGAATGTTTTTGCGATTCCGTTAGGTATTGGTTGAAGAAGACATTCCCGGTCAAATGATCACCCGGGTGTCAGAAGATTACCAATCCCGAGGTAGAGAGAAATGGTGTCATATGGTGCGGTATGTATCTTTTGGGACTTTGCTAAATTTGACAAAAGAAATTACTTTTCTGATTTTGTATGACATCCCGAGATTCGGGTGTCTGATTTTACTTCAAAGTCGGGGGCAGTCACGTGGATGTTAGAATTCGTGGTAAGTAGCCTCGGGACACGCAATGAAGATCAGATGGGAGGAAAATGCATAGCATACAGTAAGTAGCCTTCAGATCAGATTGCTTACGTGATTGACATGAAATTCCTCTACTTAAATATATGGCTTAGTACGAAAATGTCGGTATCACGTGTTGGTTTGGACAGTTGATAGATGGAACGATGGTGAAAGTCGTAGTCGTACTACATACAACTTGCGAAGATTGTGGCATAAATCAAGTTTGAAAATAAGTGAGGAATTACTTCAAGCTTATGACTAGATGTTAAGTTTATCTCAACCATGTGCGAATTAAGTATTGCTACGCTGTTTATTCAACTTGACGCGGTTTCCGTTACAGTGTGGGGAATTAAGGACAAAGCAGTTCAAAATATTTCAGCTAAAGTATCATGTAGTTAGAGTGCAAGATGAATGTCTAATTGTGTAACTCAATGACGTCTATTGGACTAATTCCAACTAGTTTTAAACTACCAATGTTCAGTAATCGTTGGTGGAACTTAAGGAAAGTGTGAGTGAACCCCGCGGCAGTTGAAGTGCTCACTGTACCCATGAGCTTGATAGTTCTTGCCTATATTTACAACCCATTCAAGACATTCAAAATTTTCCAAGCATACAGTCTACTCTCAATATCCTCCCCATCAATATTGTGATTCGATTCAAACACACAATGTCACAAAACACCGAGATCCTCAAAAATGTCCGTAGGGAAATAGTCCACAGCACACAATCATATGACAGCACCATCAAGAAATTGTATTCTTCGATCGGCGATATGGCACATGCAAATTGGGGTTCTATCGCAAAAGAAATCAAGAGTTATGATAAGCAAGCCCAAGAATTTTTCACTTCTAAGATCGAAGAGAGCATTGGACCACATGGATTTATGATATTTCAAGTAAGTACTTACCCTCCTTTTCCAGCAGGTTATTTATTGATATGAATAGGAATTTAATCACGGCGCATGGCTTCCGCTGTTTGTACCAAATCTCAAATTGAAATCGACGAGGATCATCTTGGGAAATCCACTTATTGCAATTACTATGCTCAAACATGACACTTCTGCTGGTCTCTACGTTCCTGTTGAGCTTTTACTTGAGGAGAAGGAAGATGGCGGGACTGATCTGATTTACATCACGCCGTCAAATTTGATTGCGAATGAAAGCATTGAAGGGAAACCGGATGAGTTGAGAAAGGCGGCAGAGGTTTTGGACGAAAAGTTTAGAGCGCTGGTACTTTGGGTTGCTGGCCAAGAGAATTAAGTGTTGGGAAGCTTGTCAGTGAAGGAAAATAGCTAAAGTTGTCAGTTTGTCAGAATCGAGCACTCTTGGGATGGTTATGTAACCCTAAAACTTCGCTATGTACTTAAGTAGTCAATTTCAAAATATATGAATAGAGCAAAAATGGATATAAATGGCAACGGAACTTGAGAGCTCCGAGCTGTGCTATAGCTTGCTTGAGGGCAAATGCTCCCTCAGCTTTTCAACCAGCTTGAACTTCCAACGTATGCCTACCATGTCCACCAAGTCGCTTTCTCCGACAAGTCCTCGCGTTTTTGCCCTAGCTAGAATACCTCGTAATTTGTCAGGACTCTCGACTCCGATACATACTTCAGTCAATCCGTCTTTCACACCCTCTCGGCCAGGCAAAAGGTTTAACTTGACTCCGTTGACAAATTCACAACCACCATCTCTTCTCTTCCCGATACTAAAGCTTTCTTGCCATTGGGCCTCTGCACCGGCGATGTCTTCATCGCCAGGAGCGAGACGACATGCGAGAGACAGAAACCTCAGATATGAATACTTACGCATTTTCTCTGAGTATGCAGGGTAGTTCGAGGATGGCCCAAGAGCATGCCAGGGTGAGAATCGATCGTGAAGGGGAAATGGGTTGGCTGGTGTGACTGCATGCGAGTCGAGCTCGGGGATTACCGATCCTGTTCTTCCAATTACTCACTGTTAGATGACAAGAAAATTATCAACACCTTTGAGATATGGATTTTGATAGTACCTTTAATGCCTTTCGGGTGGTATTGAATACAAACCGAATCCTCGAACTGATGGCTAAATATCACTTTCGCCAAATTCCGTTCCTCCAAGTACTCACGCTGAGCCACTGCATCAGAGGTTTGCATGATGATCATATATCCACCATCTCCTCGTTTAGCAAGAAGCCTCGAAACCGTTGTGTTTGGCTCGAAAGGCGAAACGATCTGTTCCGAACATCATCTTGTTGGAAATCAAAAGGACGTGGTAAGACTCCGTGATTTTTTTACCTCAATCATATCACCGCCTATGGGGACTAATCATCATACATCAGATTTTGGACAAGCCAGACGAAAATCATGCTGAAGTAACTGACTTACGCATCACATTCTTCAACCCCCATTGCTCAACGGTGGGGTCAGAGTAAATGACTTCTACGCCAAGGACTGTGGTCTATAAATGTTTCAGCTTACTTGTGGGTGAAGTGATTGAGTTCATACAAGTTGGTCTGTAGTTTTATCCAAGTTTTCTGCAATTAGAGCGATTTGACGCAGACGTGTAGAAAGTGGTTGTGTTCGTTGCATCATTGGCGCATCGCGGTCGAGTTCGTGATTCGGAAATACAAAATTGGGGTGTTTCTGGTGAAACCACCTATCAAAGCCGAATTCAAATATGTGTTTTCTCGCTCCCGAGATAATGTGTGGCTCATGGTGGTCGTCGTCGTCTTCCAGGTGTTGTATTCGGAGATATGATGAGTAATCTCCGCACTTCCTCGGCCTCGGCTCCTGGTTCCCCTCTCAACTCTACTGTACGTACCTAGGTACACATCACGAAAGGGGCACCATGAGCGACAAGCATGTAATTCTTTGGTGTTGACGCTAAATTTCACCGTTTGAGCTGATCTGAATGCATCAGTAATCTCGAAAAACTAACCACCGGGTAGGAAGGAAGGCCTCAAATTCGGAAGACGCGTAGTTTCAATTCAAGATGTCCTCAAACAAATTCGAAGACATAGTGCTGAGCATTAATGGCCGAGTTGGTACTATCAAGGTGTGTCTAATAACTGAGAGGCTGGATTATTGTTAACACGGCCCAGTTCAATCGCCCGAAGACGCTCAACGCTTTTGGGGGTAAGCTCATGATCGAGGTCGTTGCTGCCATCCGAGAGCTTAATGACCATCCGGATACTGTATTCACTGTCCTTACTGGCGAGGGACGGTTCTTCTCCTCGGGGGCTGACGTGAAGGGTGAGATCAGCAATGAGTTGAAATTTATGTTACTAAGATCATGTAGCTTCTGGACTTGACAGCCCAGAAGGCTTTGCCAATGATGCCGAGAAAAAGATAGCATTTTTTCAGCGATTTGTTCCTGGTATGCTTCCATCCTGCAACTTCAGCTCAACTACTCATTTGTCTCAGCTTTGGAAATGCTTCGAAGTATTATTGATCATCGCAAGGTCTTTGTCCTGGCCCTCAACGGACCGGCAGTTGGAGGGGGAGCAGCCTGGTTTACAGGCGTTTCTGATATCGTTCTTGCTTCGTCATCTGTGTACCTTCAAGTCCCATTTTCTGCATGTAAGTTTTGGCAAAGCGCTTACCAAATCAGGGCTGACCAGTTTCATAGTAGGATTGGTGCCCGAGAATGGGTCTGCTATCAACTTTTCTCAAAGCATGGGAGTCCATCGTGCTAATGAGTTCCTTATGTTCGGTCGGAAAGTAACCGTTCAAGAGCTTGAACAATGGGGTATTGTCAACCAAATATTTCCAGTCGACGGGTTTCAAGACCATGTGTTACAATATCTTGAGGGCCAGCTCGCCGTAAATGATGGGAAGAGTATGATGGAGACCAAGAGACTTCAGAATGAACCACTCAGAAGTGCACGGCTGCTAGCTGTAGTCAACAGTATGGATGCTTTAGCAGAAAGAGTACTTCATCCAAATGTTTTATTGTTCCGGCTAACAATTTATTACCAGTTTGTGGATGGTGCACCAACTCAACGATTTGTCGAAAAGAAGAAGCTTCTAGAATGTAAGCACTCCAATTTCCAGTTCTGCGCAACTACTGATAATGGCCTGCAGCAAAATCTAAAAGTAGATCAAAACTTTAAGAAATATTATTAAACTTCAAAGCAGCCATGTATCTCATCAATAGCGAATTCAAGACGGCAAGGTCTGCGCTGAAATCGTGGTTAAGTTATTATATCTGCCTTACCTCGCCTACTAGGTATCTGAGCTCTTACGGTCTCATTTGTTTCGCCCTCCTTATAATAGGCTCGTTCCATGGTCGAGATACCCCCTTTTGAACTTGCAAGCAGAATGTCGCAAAATTGTCTTTTATTCGGAACAAGATAGGCCCAGGAGAATGATCTGCAGCGCTTCATGTCTGACGTTTGCTGAAAGAAGGATTGAGGCGAAGTCTTGAAGGATCAAAAAAGCCCTGGCTCACCAAAAATACTTCGTACATTCCCATGAAGTCACGTGAGCACTTGTTTCTTTTGATGTTGTTACAACTTTCAATTTAGTGGTAAAATTCATCTATATCTCTTGTTGTGCAGGTTGGATTCAAGATGGCCAGCTTTCATAAGGTGGAGTAGATGGCATACGAATGCAATTGCCGGCATACGTCGAGACATAAACGATACTTGCTGCTGTACGAGAGAATTGGTGTCACCAAGCGATACACAACTATTATCGTTGAAACTTGGTCGCAACATTATTTACCACAACGAGGTTCATCAAACGCCAGCAGGCATCAAGCGAAAGAGTGACTTTGGCAACCACCTCCCCACGGTCTCCTGATTATGGGCACGCCATGAACGCCTACGCTTTTGTTTACTTCGACTTTCTTATTTTCACTCTACGTTGAATTATGCGAATTATGAGTCAAAACAATCTCAACGTCTATGTCGGATTTTGGCGCAACTACACGAAGGATAATGGGATGTTCGGTGGCACGCTTACGCTCAGGGAGCAGGAGGGCACAGCACTTCTTGCTCTGCTAGCACTCATTGTAGGGACTGCCGGTCAGTCCTTTTGGATCATCACAAGTTACTTTATACATCAGTTCCGGTGCCGGAAATCCGCACAGCACCCAGTTTTTTATCAGCAACAAGCCGTGCTCAGAAACTCGGGATCCGCGCTCACAGCAGCTTTGCGATTCATGCAATTGTCGTTAAACTGGCGCCCAAGCAGCCGAACTGCAAAAAACGAATCAGCTGCGTCCCACACTTTGTTCTATATCACTACAGCTTTGTCGATTTCTGTCGGGTTTGGTGTGTTTGGTACTTTCGTCTCTCAATTCATTACAAAAGCAGCAAGCAGTCAGGTACTCCTTGTACCTCAACAGTGCGGATATTTCGAATTGAGAAACTACAGCAACCCAGATAACGCCAAGATATACTTGTCTGCTGACGCTGACTCTCAAATGTATGCTGGCCGCTGCTACGAGATGAATTCCACGTTAGCTTGCAAATCAAACATGAAACCCTTTCTTAATTCTACAGCAACCGACGTAGCTTGCCCATTCAATAAAGCTGAAGCTTGCATTGGATCGTCTAAGCCGGCCTACAGAATGGATAGTGGTCCCATAAATTCCAACCACAAACTAGGCCTTAACGCGAAGAAGTCTGAACGATTAGAAGTTCGAAAGGTTGCAACCTGTGTGCCCCTCAATCTGACAAGATATCTCACTCACGAATTGAAGACGATCTCTGTGGGCCCCGGTGTGAATAACGATGTTCGCATTGGGTTTTTTCAATTAGGCCCAAGGTGTAAGAGGCAAAATACTGACAGAGTTGGGAATGGATCTACGGTTGCGAATGGTGCTGGTTCTATTGCAATACAAAACAACGGACCGATCTCTGATCATGCTAGAGCGAACACAGATCAAGTGACGTCTCAAATGGATATACCGCCTGACACGACTTACCAGTATGTCAAAGCGGCCCGTGGTGCTTCATTAGGATATGACCTTCGGTATGAATCTTAATGGTTTGAGATTCCAAGGCTGACTAAACCGGCATAGTGTTGTACATTCAGAACTGGGTGCTGAAGAACAGAGCTGGTTTCCAATCGACGATTTTAAGCTCCAGAATGCTGATGTTGCTGTGTTCTTTCTTGCCAGTAACGATGTGAGGTACCTGCATCCTACGTCTGACCCATTCTATCTGGCAAATAAATCTTCACAGGGCGAAACGATTTCGCTTGGCGGGGGGCGAGCTAACATACCATATTGGGATTCATTTAAACCCGTCACCGGCATTGGCTGCACGGATCAATATCAAATTTGTAACAAAACGTTCAAAAAAGAGAAATTAACCCCTCAGAATGAGAAGGACTTCTGTACCCCTTTAGGACCGGTCTCTTCTATATTAGATGAAGGGCGTAAACTGGGTCTAAATCCGTATCAAAACGCTACCTTGAGGATTATTGCTCACCACCTCCATGAGTCGGGTATATACAACAGCGCAAGTAGCTTGGGTGCAGCAGCTTTACGAGCAGGTCGAACATCATACATGATCCAAGATTCTTACGTTCAAACAGCAAAGATTGATGAATTATGGTGGCATAATGAGGTTCAGTGGTGGTTCAATGCGTCTCTAGCAAGTCTACAGCTAAATCTGGTCAAAACTGTGGCAGAGCAGCCACTGAAGTTAAGCGAAGACACTGAAGAAGGGATGATGAAGCTTACAGATAAATACGAAAAAGAAATTTGCAAGCGGCAGCTGATCAGCAACATGGATGGATTTCAAAATTTCAGCGTGGCTGGGGTTTCGATGGTAATCTTGTTCTCACTACAACTGATTGTTCTTGGATTACACATCCACGTTATAGGAGGGGCAATCCAACGTATTCTCAAGAAGAATGGATACGCCAGGGCTAGCTGGTCCTCTGACGGATACTTGCAGTTGCAACGACAAGCTTACGAAGGTGCTGGTTATGAAGGATGGGATAACTGTGGAGAAGACGACGATATACCGGTCACACGACAGACCAGGATAGGTGGTCTTGATATGACTGAGCTTGATCATCCCCGCCTCGTACGAGCTCCGAATAGCTTTGAATCGGAAAATGGGTCGAAGGATGGGAGGTCTACACACGACGAGGAGCTGAGGAAGAAATCAAAACCGCCTCGGATATCCTCATTATCTTTGTTATCAAGCTACACAGGATACTTCAACCGGCCTTTACCTCCACTACCCGCTTAAACTTTTGTCAACTTACCTACCTACCTACCTACCTATAGGTACCTACGAGGTAGTACGGAAACATCCGCAGTCGCTCACGGGCGGTGACAGATGGAAATAGGGTCATTCGGTAATTAATATTTATTTATTTCAAGAAGAGAAATTTAGTTGCTTAGAGATTCCGCACCAAATGGTAAGACATCTAATCTTTTATCCGGTGTAGTTCTTGTTACGAAGAACTTCCTGCTAATTCCGTTCTATAGAACTGCTACGTGTACATACCTAGGTACCTACAAATACCTGCTAGGTATTATACCACTGCACAATTACCTTGCAAGAAAATTCGGCCACTCATCGTAAACCTTCCGGCTGCAAATGTCGAAAATCGGGTACCTCTTATGATCAGATTAAACAAAAACATCGTCCAGAAAATCATGGTCGTAAAATCTAGCGGCGAGGGGGGTTGCTCTAACAGCAATGGGTTGTCCCACTTTTCGTTCCTTCCCTTCCAGGTTGAGAACTTTTGGTGACCACCTCATTCACATGGACCCGACACGACTTGCCGATCGGGATGTTCGCGTGGCATCTGAGCATGAAAGTATCAAGGTGTGTTCAAATAACCTTAAGTCGACCTCGGGAGACCACCCGCCCGCCCGAATGTCCTATGCTGCCTCAAGTCAACAAACTGCAGCTCAATATCCTGACATATTCCACAACTGCTCTACTCTCGGGTCTACAGCTTTGCTTAAATTCCAAGGTACTTTGTACGTAGACAGTAATAGGATCTGGCGCTATTCTCACCTACTGTACCTACCTAAGGTAGGTACTTTAAATTGCTATCTCAGGGACTATCTAAACACAAAAAGGTATCAACAATTCAACTCCTGTATGCAGATTGGTTCAGTGGGAGAAAGAAGTTGTGCATGACACAATAGTAGAGGCCAAGTGTTCTTGCAACCTGCTTTCACGCACCGACATCCGCGTCCGTAAAGAGTCTCAAGCGTCACCGAGCGAACAAATGGTGTATCACAGAATGCCATGGAAATAAAGGGATGGAGTCAGCGAGTCATATGGTGGTATTTCAATTTGAAACGTAGATAATAGACCTTCATAGGGACAAACGAGAATATAAAACTTCCTTTAGGCTTTGGTATCAGTTGCTCTGAGTCTCCTCCAATGTCAAAGTTGTCTTAATTCTCACTAGCTCCTGGATGTCCATGTTAAACGCAGCATCTACCAACTCTTTGTTCCTTAAAGGCTGGGCTTGTGAAAGAAGGAGAGGGCTCCTGGCTCGGAAATTATTCTTGCGTGGATGATCCAAAGTCAATCAACATGCAACACCGTCGAGCATAGCAAAGTCTACGTCTCTCTGTCATGAGCCTCCAAATTCTGTTTGTAAATCTACATAATATCTCGAATTGAGATGTGAAAATGATGTCATTTAAAAGGAATAACAAGATGTGAAATCTGAATTGGTACATTGATACTTAAATACATAGGTACCTAGGTAATAACCATATGCTTAGATACCAGTCTTTGGTATAACGTTCTTTGGTTGCGGCTGTCGATGTTGCCAACTAAATGTTTTAATAGAGAGCGTGTACCCATACCTTACCCGCCTGCACCTAGTGATGCGTAGCCCACTTTAAGAGAAAGATGTCCATAAAATTGCAGCTCATTCGTATCTGGTCTCTGGATACACAAAATTCAAAATCTCCAGAATTACCTTATTGGTTAGCAATAAAGAAGTCCTTCCTCAAACGAAGGGAGAATAAAAAACAATATTTTCCTACAAAAACTCCTGCCGTGTACTTTTTGCTTCTTTGAATACCTAGCCACATATTCGATCATAACAACAATAGACTTGTGTCTTCTTTTCTTTGTTTGCTGCTGAGAACAAAGATCGCCTTTCCATTTAAAGCTCACTTTATTGTAAGAAAATACTTTATTCCTATTCACAAAGATCAGATCAATCACTTTAAATTCGTTTATCGGGATTCTACTTTACTTCTATTTACATCATTCAGCACTCACAGCGACCTTCACCTTCTGAAACTACTTTAATACAGCTATTAAACTTCAGGTAAGTTGAATAGTACTGTATAATTTACTCATAACTTTACAGCAACGAACACAACAAGTCGTCCAATATGTGCTTAATCATTGAACTAAAATGGGGTTGTACTTGCAGCCTAACATCCACCATGATCTGCCCGACATCCATGGTTACCTGCGCCAGAACCAGTCGCGAAAGCCTTCCAAGGGCCACAGTCAAAATCCTAAATCGGAAGTGTGATACTTGCATCAACCCATTCTCTCCACAAGAAGACTTTCGCGGAGTAAATGAGTGTATGGCGATCTTCAAGGACTTTCTAGAGAAATATGCTCTTCCGCAGCAGCTCGCTGACGAAGCGTCAGAGATTAGACTCAAGGATGTATCTATGCTCGTGTCTCAAAAAGAAAGGTTGGACCATTTACAACGTCAGATGGGATCTGTTCTTTATGGAATTAAGTGGACTCAGCTCGAGGCTGAGGAAGATGTGAAGATTCAGCTTCCAAGGTTTGTCTGGACATCCTAGAGAACTGGGCAAGACACAGCTACCCACAATATGCGGAGAGCCTAGACACTTTCCCATTTAACATTTCCAGGTAAGCACACATCAAAGGTACAGCATCTTCACGACCCTCCTTTTGTCACCGTCGAACATGCCAGCCGCCGAGTCTGCAGAACGCAGTTCGGACCATTATATCTTCCAACCATTCTTTTGTCTGAAAGACAAACAAGGAACCAAAGTTAGGCAGCCATATTTGCTATCTAACAATACAATATCCTCATCTAGTCACTGAAGTAGATTCCCAAGTTGAGGATATCATATGGAAATCCAAACCAAAAAAAACTCAGTAACATTTTGAAAGCCTGCTACCATCAGTATTAGAACCCAATGTGAGATATGAGTCGACGAAAACCGAAATAGAGAAGTGATCAGCAACAGTAACTACAGGTAATGAGCCGAAGGCGTAGAGTAAAGGGGGGGGGGGACCGGACAAGGATCACGTAGTTTGTATTTCGTGGCTTCTGAGAAAAATGAAGCCTTTCTTTACTTCACCAAGTAAGAACAATTGCGGCTCGGAAGTAGGTTACTAAGAAGAATGGACCAATGGTGGTTAATGGGAAGGGGGAAGGAGAGTCTAACAAACATAGAAATGGAGTTTTGAACAGCAGAAAAATATTATCTGTTGATCGCAAGAATTTAGTACAAGAATTTAGAGCACTGTTAAACATATTTTAGTTGATAAAACCGCTATTCATTTTTGCTATTCTGCTCTTAACCACCACAACTTGACCACCCCGTTTGGCCATAGATTTGATAAACAAAGAACTGAGCAACTTTTACCCCCAAAGCCCAGAGTAACACAATCGCAGGCAAGAAGAAAACCCGAGGAAGTCATAACAACTCAAACAAGCCAACATGAGGCGAAGATGGGAGGTAAATTCAGGATAGTGTTTTCTGGTCGACCTCTGCTGTGGTTTCAGAGTGTTGTTTGTAGTGAGAGTATTACATGATTTAGTTGGCCATGTAGGTATTGGAGTCAATCCCCCCCTCTGGGTATTCACTACCAGAGTATTAGTACGAGGCGGGATGATCATATAGTATGGTCTAAACTTACGGAACAGAAGCCTCAAATCTTTTCTCGATCTCCTTCAGCACTTCCTGATCAGCTTCGTTGCTGACAAAAGAAATGGAGATACCCTTGGTTCCGAAACGACCAGCACGTCCGACACGGTGAAGGTATGAATCGGCGTCACCTGGTAGATCGTAGTTGATGGCCACGTTGATACGTTCAATATCAATACCACGGCCAAACACATCAGTCGCGACACAGATACGCTTGTTGAATTCCTTGAATTCCTTATAGCGCTTGATGCTGTTAAATCCGTTAGTGAGCATTTTGAAAGACAAGCAAAGTTATGCATACCGCTCCTCTTGACCAACGCCTGAGTGAACTGCGATGGAAGGGAAATTACATTCCCTCAAAAGCTTGTCCAATTCTGTGGCTCTAAGAGTGCTCTTGACGAAAATGATCACTTGATTGAAATGCAGCTCGTCAAGCAGCTCATTAAGTTTTCGATTCTTCTCCTTCTCGTCAAGTTTGATGTAGTACTGTGCGAGACCGTGGAGAGTAAGCTTCGTGTCGTCATCAACATAGATTTCCATGGGATTTTGCATAAATTTCTTGCAAATTGGGCGGACTTCTTGAGAAAGCGTTGCACTGAACATCATGACTTGCTTCTGTGTTGGAGTAGCTCTGAAAATCTCTTGAACGTCACGGCGCATATCTATAGTTCAATTAGGAATCTGCATAACAAGACAGCGAACGCGCATACCGATCTGTTCCAGCATCTTGTCGCACTCATCGAGGACGAAAACTTTGCAGCTACCGAGTCGCAAGTATTTGTCACGCACCAATGCGTTTAGTCTTCCAGGTGTAGCGACGATGATATGTGGGTGTGTCTCTTTGTTCTTGAGAATTTCGGCATCTTTGAGGATTGGGGTTCCGCCGTAAAACACGCCAGTCTTTACGTCCGGCATATACTTGCTGAAACGAGCATACTCGTTCTTGATCTGGTAGGCGAGCTCACGGGTGTGGCACATTACCAAAACAGAGGTTTCTCCCGCGACGGGATCAACTTGCTGAAGTGTGGTGAGAACGAAAACGGCCGTTTTACCAAGACCAGACTTGGCCTGGCACAAGACATCGGTACCGAGCATAGCTTGGGGAATCGCGTTTTGCTGGACTGTAGAGTAAATCGAGCCGAAGTTAGATAAAGTAGTTCTCCAAGAGTATAACGATATGCAAGGGATCGCAGCATCCGTCCATCGTCGCATGATATCCGCAAGATAACAAAACCTCCAAGAAATTCACGAATCGATAAATGGTACGACCTTCGCCTTTAAAGACGCCAATCGTCGACCAGGGCGCGCAGCTGTATGAATCGCCGAACACGAGTCGATCCTGGAGTCTCTTGGATTTATTGCCATTGTGTACTACATTGTTTCATGCTCAACCCCACAGCATTTTCATAGAAACGACGCGTCGTACCAACTATTCCTCCTCTCGACATCTGAGGCTTACGTTGTGTTCCAAAGAGACATCCAGGATCGATCGGAGAGTATAGAGAACCCAGGTATTCCCCTTGCTTGCGATATGGATGGACGGACGCGCTGGAAGGATATAGAGCTTGGGGATGAAAGTTATGACTGACCCTCCGAAGGATGTTCGAATCCGCAATCGGTGATGGCACGAAGAAGCTCCGGCTTCAATAGGAAATCGCGGAATCCGGTGGCGTGAATACCAACATAACTGCCTTTCTTATCGGCGTTGTCCTCGGTCACAGCTAAGTCGCCCTTTTTTCCTCCGTTGGCGTCTGCGCCAGCTGCAGCATCTGTGGTTTGTAGCTCCTCGTCGGAGTAATCGATGAGATCTTCTTCAGCAGACATGTTGACTGTTGAAAAGTGATGTTGTGAAAGGTGGTTGTATTAAGGCGAGCGGCGCAGAAACAATGGGTTACTGAGTGATTATCGGAGTCGAAATAGCGTTATATGAGGGCGACGAGGCGGCTCAAGTTAAATTAGAGATGAAAGAAGGATTCGTAGATGGCGGGATCTCGGTTTCGACAACAAAGAGGAAATTGAGGCTGTGATGGTGTTGGTGAGAAGTTAAAAGCGTCGCGATCAAGGGATTTACGCGGCTCCACTATGGGTCCGAGCTCGCTTTTGAGTCAGCCTGTAAGCCTGTCAAAATCACGTGCCTTGGGCCTGACATAATTTCGTGTAACATAAGAACCCACCATATTCTTCATGTCTTCAGTACAACATCTCTGACTTCCAAATTTGGTCAGATTACGGTCGATGCGATACAGTTAGCCTACAAAGTCACCATGGCGAAAGGAAAGGCGACGACGGTGCCAAATAAAATCCTCCACACTCGAATTTCATATCTCTATCAAGCCGCATCATATTTGGCTACCCAGCAACAACATTCCAAAACATCCCAAGACAAACAACAATTTGGGGGAAATGGATGCTCATACGTTCCGGCTGTCAATCTGTTGGTTGGTGACCTGAAAGCCGTTTCGCTCAAGGCTCAGATTCGCATGTCACCTGCAATGAAACAATCAATGTGTAAGAGCTGCAACAGCATTTTAATCGATGGCTCTACGTGTTCCTCCGAGGTCGAAAACAAGAGCAAAGGTGGAAAAAAGCCTTGGGCAGATGTTCTAGTCCGTAGGTGCAATATCTGCGACACTTCGAAAAGATACCCGTCAGCGACAAGACAGAAGAGGAGACCGCACCGCCCAGTGAAACCGTTGGAGTCTACAGAAGGTACATCAGTCGTCGAGCACACTTGAAGTGCATGGTCGTCATCAAAGATTTATGTGATCATGTCGATCTTGGGATGCACTACGGATTATACACGACTTTACGCCGATACATACTTGAGTCTGCGATGAATAATACGATTAAGCATCTGCTCACGCACTAAACGATGGACGATACCTTGGCCATCCTATGATCGGGAAGACCAGATGTGTGTCTTGTGTGTTGATTTGTTATCAACATCAATTCCAGAGGCGGGTTGCCATTCAACTAATCACTCCCAGCCTTGTTCATAATGATCAGGGAGAGTGGCAAGGGACTTTGGTCATGGCCTACCATCATATCGGCAATTCTGCTTATTTTCTCTGACCCCTGGACAAGAAATTGGAGAAATACCCAGCATATTGATGGGCCTGGAACAGAAGAAGGGCGAGGGGCTTCCGCTATGGCCAACAGAAATGGATACCGAGACTGTGGATTGGTTAGAAGGAGACTGATCTGGTGGAACTGATTAATTTGTTGTCGGTGGTGGTCAAAGTAGAGCACTTGTAGTTCAAGCATTGCAACATCTGCTAGGCTGGAGCAATTGGGAGGAAATCGAGGACGACAAAGCCTTTTCTCGTATAAAACTCGCGGCGCCTACTTCATCTCCTTTCACACCTACTGAGGACTCGTGTTCATCTGGAAAGTAAGGCAATGGAGAGCCCACAGAGGATTGCATTTACTCTACCATTATTAAGTCCAGAAGGCATCAACTGCTTAAAAGAGTGCCGCCAAAAAACAGCATCTGCCCACATCTACCGTTCTTAGGATTGAAGTCCCTTGCTTGATATCTACATCAATCAACGTTGAATTGACGTCCTTGAAGGGTCTGGCTCCTTGGCGCATAGAAATAATCGTGAACTCCAAAACTGATTACTCACTCGTCCATTGTATTTGATCAGTCGTATCTTGTTCCAATGGACTTGTTGCATAGTACTTTACCCGGATCGGGCCCAACTACATTAAACCGACATTTCCCCAGCTATACTATCTTCAGAATGTTTAAGGACCATTGTTGTTGGACGTGACTTGGCAATACTTGGTGTGTCCAAGATTGTATCGCAGCTTGTCCCCACTACTCCCCGCAGTTCTTCAGACTGAGCTTACCTCCCACTACGCTGTTCAGGATTGGAAACGCTCTTCAATTCTGTGTTGTGATAATTAAAATTTTCCCTAAATCTTCACAATTCATCTAACCTCGAAGCAATCATTAGTAATGGAACAGAATCCGCAATCTTTCTCTAAGAAGGATGATTTAATTCCAGCGAATCCCAGACTACCACCACAGTCTACACTTCGAGGTTGTATGTCTTCATACTAAGTTTATCATGATTAGCCTCTAATGATAAATTTAGACATCTTCAAGCTCTTCAACATACTCACGGCCATGATCCTACTTTCTATCTATCGTGCTCCTGATACCTTGTCGCGCCTCTGTATGATGACCAACTTTTGAGAGCAAGGACTTTTTGCAGTAGAAAAAACTGACCAGCTGTGACCGACTAGACACGATGTTTATCGCATCGACCTTTACGTTTATTTTCCATGGCGGACTCTTACTTCCCTGGGCAAATTCGCAGGTAGAGTCGTTTGTCCTGTGCTTCGTTGGCGGTTTTTGGGCTTTCTTTTTCTCGTTTATGATATCTCTTCATAAAGAGGATTTGGTCAATAAGATAGCCTGAATCCAAAGGAATGTACAATATTGTATAGCTGTACATTTTGACCTTCTCCTTGTGTTTGTGATGTTCCCAGCCTAATACCCTACCATCTTGATATCTTCAATGTCTAGAGTAATGCTAATATTTTTTTCAGATCTACATCATTTACATCAATTTGATACTCTATTTCTTGCGAGGCTTTTATTTTTATTTTTATTTTTATTATTTTACAACTTGTAATCGCTATATGCCATGATTGTCTTAATCACCCTTGGGTGAATTAGCTGCACTAGAAACCATAATTTTACACTGTCTTTCTCTATACTATAACATTAACTACAAGTGACATCTCTGTCAGGTTGTTTCTTGCCACTTCCATACTTATAACTGATGACAGGACAGTGAATGTAATTATGACCTTCCTCGTATGATTTAAAGGCTGAAAACGCGGGCTACATGAGCTTGGTACTAAAACCTGGTGTGCTTTGATATATTTCGTTTCCACAAGATATATTCTTGATAGTAGGCGCTTTGTGTTTCAAGGCGCGTTGAAGAAGAGAAGAGACAGCGTTTTGGAAGTACCTTTTAGAAGACATACAGAATGTATATACAGGGCTAACAGCAATTTACTTTGGCATGGCCTCACGATACTGCGGGAAATACCATGACCGTAAATGCAGATATCGGAACATCTCGCAAGAATGCTAAAAAGATTTCACCAGAAAGGCCTGCAGGGTCAGTTCAATTTCCCCTCGTACCCTATTCAGGTAATTTCTACGAGGGACGCGCAGATATGCGCCGTCACGGTAATAGATGGAACATCACCATGGGAGAAACTTCAACTTCCATTGACCAAGCAGAAGCAAGAAGCATTTTTTCAAATGTACAGATACGCCGGTGAGATGCGTCCTTTCCTCCCAAATCAGAGCGGTCCCATCCTGAAGCAGGAAGTTTTCCCCGCTCTCGAGAACATCAATCCCAAGTCTGATCAAGAATTCATCTCTCCATCGATTGTGCCTAACGCCCCCCGAGGTCCCCCCGTTTACCCATCGTGATTGCCTTATGTGGTTGGGTTTGGGTTCATCTGGATTGGAATCAGACACTGCAACTAATCGGCATACGTTGTGGCGAAGGATGCTTACCTTCCTCTTTCCACCGGTAAGAGTAACGTTCACGAATCGGCGGGTGTATGTGATTCTCTTCTTTGCGCGTCCCTTTGGAGTCTTCTTCTTCTCTTGTGGCTCAACCTGTGATTATATCCCATCAGCGATCGTCCTTAAATGCATCACCTCCTCATATCTATCATGATTCGTTTCGATCGCCACCGCCTCTTGTCTTCGTGAAACTCCTCCAAGTGACTGCCCTCTCGCACCACTACCCCCCAAGATCAGAAATTTCGTACCTTTGGTGTTTGAGACTTGACCTTTCCGGCACGAGCGAGAGATCCGTGGACTTTTCCCATGATTGCGGTTTATCGGTTCGTTGATGGTTCCGATCTGGGTGGCGATACGGGTTAGCTGTTGGTCCTGAATCGTCCTAAGCGTCTCCAAAGCGATGCCGAAGGTGAGAGTGTCGTAGCAGCTGATAAAATTGTGCAAATATGTGTCGGGGTTGGAAGGAACTCACAGGTTTGATCTGGCGTTGATTGTCGATGATGTTTGAGATTGCAGGCGCCGATGAGTCGAAATCACAGTGTGGAATTCATCCTCGCTTAGCCGCAAGCTAACCGGCATGTCTGCCCGTGCACGTGATGAATATTATGTTTCGACGTACCAAGCTCACACTGGAGTATACAATTATTATACTCGACGTGCTCGAGTAGCACTCTCTTTATCCTTCAAGGTAAAGTTTTATTAAGAAATGGGGAGCAAAGTCAGAAATAAATAAATCCCTATTTTGAGTGCTTTTCTCACATGGAGATAAACGCTACCACCCTCGCAATCGGGACGTGGTCAGTGCTCCTGGCCTCGGTCCTCACGATAACATGACATTCAGACTTCTGCTTTAGGAGCTGCAAGTTACAACTAAGTTCATGTCATTCACTATTCTGTTCTGTTGATCTGAAAACTTCAAGTCCGACGAGATGCTATTTTCCATCCTGGGCTTCGCCTCTCTCCTTCCTCTCACCACAGCAATTCTACCTTCTCCCCTCAATCCCCAGCACATCTTCAGCAACCCAACGAGTCCCCACGACTCGACCTTCCGGATACCCACTTCCTACGAATCCGCAGTCCTCGCTCGTCGAATCCTCCATCTAACACCCCATAGCACCCTCTCTACTATCTTCCCCTCTCCCGAACATGCCAGTGAACAACGGCCGTCAGGGTTGGGAGGAATGCCAATTGGATTGATGGACTACATCGCAGACTGTGAAGACTCTGGAAACCCAACAATCCTAGCTATCAACATTGCTACATCATTCAAGAACGTAGCCGCGGGGAGTAACATCTCATTGAGTCTGCAATGGGTACCGCCACACCTACCAGACAAGCGGATTCAGTCCGAGGGGCCAAGAACAGCATATTCTGCTGCGAATCTTCCTAGATTTAGCTTGTTAGGCTACCTAGAGAAGATTGACGAGGCTAAAGGCGCGGAGTTGAAGGAGTGTTTTTTGGATACGCATCCAGATTCGAAGTACTGGTTGCCTGGGAATAGGATACATACTTCTGAATGGGTGAGGCTGGTAGTGCAAGATGTGTACTGGGTAGGTGGATTTGGAGACAGGGCGTATATTGGATGGATAGACGCTGAGGAATGGAGAAATGTCACAAGGAAAGAGTGGGAGGATGTTAGGCTACCTGGTGAGCACAAAGGGTGGAAGGAGTGGGCTGTTCAGGAGAGGGACTGGGAGTTATAGTATCAGAGAGTACGGGACTTTGTCAATTTGTAATTTTTGGATACTCATTGCAAGCGCAGGTTATTTGATTTGTCAATATAGATGTTATACTGATTTGATTCTTGACATTTCCTATGCTGTGACAAGATGCCAGTACCAAGTCGAAGAATTCTAACGTAACTTCGTGCTCCATACATCTAGTAAGCTCTAAAATAAAGCGGCCCTCTAGCAGATATCCTAGAATTTGGTAGGATTTGTCTTCATGGTCTGTTGCGCGTCTCCTCATAGAAACTTATCTGTTGAGCATGTCGGCAAAGTAAACAACAGTCGAGGACAGTGGTGGTAATACCAGCCCGCAACAAGCTAGTTAAGTATGTAGACCTCAACTGCTTCGTACGAAATCCATTTTTGGCATGCTTCAGATCTCCGCTCGGAAGCGAGTGCTTTCTCCCGCTCTTCGATTGTTAGTGTAGCATTTAGACTTCCGCATTAAATAGGAGATCAGATATAAGAATACCTTATGAATGGATTCTGGCGAGTAATGCTTTCAACATAATTTCCGTGAAGGAGTTGAAAAGTTTCAAAGGGGCGAACTGAATCGGGATCCTTTTGGCAGTTGCTGAGATTCCCAGTGGCGTGAAACCGACTGTCGTCACTCCATCTGAGTCGGGAAATCGTAAAATCACTTCCCATGATTATCCGGGAATTCCGGTAACTGAAGATTTGTCATGTTGCCAATAGGTGGTACTTCTCGTCAATCATCAATGTCTGTATAATCGGCCATACCATCTCGGACGACCTTGCTCAAGACAGCCGCAGCTCTGCCAGCTTCGCCAGCTTCCTTCTGCGCCGTCGAGATCCCTTCCTCCACAGCTGCACGAAAATTCTTATGAAACACTCTCTGCCGGTCTTCCCTATCAATGTACATCTCTCCATCTTCGTCTCTTGATGTCCCAAACAGGTTCAAATGCGCGAAGGCATTCGATCGTGTAGGGATCATATGCATTCCTACTTGGCAAATTGGAAACGTCGCTGTGCCTTCACTAGTAGGCAATGAGTCTTCTGGCTCCACCAAGCCAGCTTTCAGAAATTGAGCAAGTACTAGTAATTGCCGAGGGAAAGCTTTGCCAGCTTTTCCAAAAGCAAATTTGCCAAAAGATGACTTGCTAGCGGACGTCCACTTGGTAGATCCACTACTTGTGGCCCAGCCCATCATAGTCATGAAACTTTTCAAGGTCTTCATCCATCCACCAGGACATGTGACCACATCATCTTTGGCCACTTCTAATAACCATTCAAGAATAGATAGTGCATCGACTCGAATCTCAGCGGCAAGATGTGTCATGCCAGCTCGAGTGTAAAGCAGTGATTGCTCAGCTCGGTCACCCACATCGGATGGTGGAAGCAGGCGGAGGAACTTAAGAAGTTGCGATCTGACCGACGATGTTCCGTCCAAAATCAATGGTAGTAATTTTGGCAAAATAATTGCAGTTGGTAGAGGCATTGGCTCATTTACGGGCTGGGATGAAAGCTGTGTAGTAAGATACGCAAGCGCATCTCGTCTTTGAGTATCCGACTTTGAAGATGAGGCTAATGAAAGATAATGAGCGAACTGTGAAGATGACGATTTTGCCGAAGTTGATAGAGACTGTTGGTTGACAACAATTGCTGTATTTGGTTAGCCTTTCGTCTTCACTGGTAGTGGGACAACAAAAATTGTGACAAAAGGGAAATGATTGAAAAAAGTGTTATGGAAGAAAAGTCTTGTCGAAAGTAGATGAGTGGAGAGGGAGAATTGCAGTTGCATACATTTGCTCTTGAAACTGGTATCCGTGAAATTGTCCGCTTTTGCTTTCGTTTTCCCAACTCTCAATTTCGGTTTCTGGAAAATTTATGTTAGCGAAGAAATTCGACAGCACCGAGCACAAAAGCCACACTTGAAAGTCCTTCTTCTTCTCTTTCTTCTTCCTAGCACTAGAGCCCATTGTATGATAGATTGCCTAAAAAGTAAAAGATATACACTTTAACATCGTGACCGCAGCAGAGAAAAAAGTAGATAAGCCTGTGGTGCTACCTGTGGATATATATTTCCCCGCGCCGGCGCTAGGGTCAGTATCATTGCCCCTCCAACCACAATTTCACGCGGTGCATCACAGACGCAACCTACCTAGGTACTCGAGTAATGATTTACACAATTTAAAAGGCTACAGACGAGCTTTCTAAAAGAGAGGCAGAAAGATCGTGCAGCTTCCAGGAGCAAGATTCAACGCGCATCCATATTCCCCTCCATCATGCCTTCAACAGATGCTTCAACGGTAAATACGACCCAAACACAACACTTTTGAAGGCAGCTCCTGATAGTTTCTAGGGAAGTGTGCCAAGCAGTGTGTCTGAAACCATCTCACGATTATCTGCGAAACCGAATGTGAAAGCTACAATGGTACTGGATCGATCAAACAATGCTATCCTACAGACCAATGGGTCATTCGTGTCCTTCAGATCCGCAGACTCTATGCGCAGTGCAGTCAATACAGGCGTCGCATCCGAGACGACCTCGATCAAAGAAGATGGGGTGGAAGAATTTGCGGGAATGATCTCCAGCTTCGTTTCTTCTGCTGGTGGTTTAGTTCAGGACCTTGACACAGAGGTATAATTCCATTGCTTTTCCTTGTCTGGCGAGGCGGGGTCGGGCTGCAGACACGATCCCAAATTTCCTCCAAATTCTAACGACCAAGCTAAATAGACTTAGGACGATATCAAACTTTTGCGACTACGAACGAAGAAACACGAGCTTGTTATAGTGCCGGATGCGAAGTATATATTCGTTGTAGTGCACGACACACCTCCAGCGTGAACCTCTAGATTTTTGTTTGGTGCCATCGAAGCAGCGCGGAGATACCCTTGAATTGGTGTTAGAAACTGAAGAACCAGCTACCACTACATAGTTCTGTCGGAATGAGCTTCTGTAGGAGCACATGCTACGCTGGAGACCACAGCAACTTTGGCGGGTCGCTTCACCAGCTTAGTTTTGTCATTCTTCTGCACGATGAAGCCCTAGCCTAAGCTACCATAAAGGCAGCAAGATGTTGATGGGATTGAAGATTTTATCGAGGACGCACACTCGGACATTTTGGTTGCATATATGCGAAGCCAACTGGCACACATGCCGTTGGCTCGAACTTGACGGACCTACCCGCGCCACCTACGCTTGTCTAATACAATTGCGATCGCGCTACATTAGCTCAAGGCTTCATGAAATGGTCATGAAATGGAACTGGAGCCTTGTTGGCAGGGATAAGGCATGATGAGTTGAGGACTACTGTACAAAGGCCGACAGTTTCTGCAGCTCAAACTGCACTCAGCAAGTTCCGTTTTTGGCTGAATTTCTGAATATTGTGGATGCTTCTGGGCCGTAGAATAACACTCCATATGGATCGTACGAGTCTTCCTCCAACTCATGAAGAAACTTTGCACACCTATGTGGGTCGCGATATCCCACGACGAAGCCAATTGTGATTTTGCGGAAACATGCAGTTTTGTTTCCCCGGTACAAGTACATCCCTCGCAGAGTCGCAGTCCGTCTGTGGGTAAGCCTCGCTACCCCTGAAAAGCGGAGAATTTAAAGGGGACAAGCGTGATCCGCAGCCGCCGATAGTCTGATAACAACGCTTACCGTACATGTTCCCGTCCTGTAAGACTTACAACAGCCACAAACAAACCGGAAATGGACCCTTGGAGACACGTACTGTACGTCAATCATGACGGCTCTGAATCGCATTTGCAACATGTTGCCATTATTCCTGCAGAATTGCGCCGTTAAGGATCAGAAACATCCCCCTCCATTTCCACCCCATTTTGCTGCTCTTCCCCACCTTCATGCCTTGGATCGTCGACAGCCATCCGATTCTCAGCGAGGGGAGCTCTAGACAACAAACAGTCAAAGGATACCTAGGTAGTTCCAAGCGACTTGTTGCTGGTAATCTCACCCGGCCATCCATGGCTTATGTCAATCTAACTACCAACGCCCAGCTACTGCTTACTTCCTTAGCCCAGAGCTGGCGTATCCTCACATCTCAATCTCTCTTCTAGTCAGCTTCAATTATATTTCTGCTGAGTAGTCTATTGCTTTTTCCTTCTTCACAGGTGTGACCATGATCTTGCTGTTTCGCAGATAATGTGTTGGATTCTCGCCTATACCGTTCAACGTCCTACACAAACACAAGATGCCGTCTCTTTCCTTCCTTAAGGCGAGGAATAGTCAACCCACTGAGCTGCAGGATGAGCCAGCACATACAATTCTTGAAGAAGAACCCTTTGAAAGAGCACAAAGCAAGCAATCAAAGCGCGAATTCTTGAGGACCCTCATAAGGAAACCTGGTGTCACAGGAGACGAAAAGTCCTCGAGATCTAGCCGATGGCGCAACAAATCAGTGGTGCGTGGAGACATTTTTTGAGACCTCACAATCCCAAAAGCTGCTCTTTCACAAGGCTAATTACGTACCAGCAAAAGCCCGAAGCTCTACGAATTCAACCTGCATCGCCTGTTCCTCTGCTTTCGCCAACCTCTGATCCAAACAAACCTTTACCAACGCCTCCAATACCAGGATCAACACTTGTTGAGGCCCCATATCTCAGCCCATCTCCAGCGCAAGCTCCTACCAAGATTACAAAACTTGCGAGAATTATCTCCCCCATCACACAAGCAGACCTTCATAAACTTTTTTTCGGGGCGCCCCAGTTCTTTGTCCGTTCGGAGGTTCAGCAGACAGGCGCACCGATACCCTCAGTAGCCTATCCATGGAATACCGAGAATGATGTTGCGAACTTTAAGGACTCTGCGCAGATACAAGATGAGGCTTGGGGATCAATTACCACGTTCCCACACGTGCCAGCATCAGCCGAGAGGGACCATATGGTTATAGGCAACTACGAGATGAAACGTACAACACATTTCCCTTCAAAATGTCAAGAGCGACCTAATATGCTGAGCATGCAAGGAATCGAGAGAGGCAGTATGGGCTTTGTAGCAGCGTTGGAAATGGCCGTTGCAGATGATCTCAAAGAAATTCCCGAGGAGAACCCGCATATTCTTTCTGAACAGCGCAGGAGATTTTTGAAGAGCAAGCAAGGTGTACGGCCGATCGCAGACTCAACATTGGTTGAACGACTTATAGATATTAGTACGATATACCATGGAGATGCATCAGGAAATGAAAGGCCGACACATGAGCTTTACACGGAGCTTTTCACACAAATGATGTTTCCGCCTTCTAGAGTCACTGACGTTGAAGACCCGTACAGCTTACAGGTGCAGATTGACGCCCTCATTGATGTGCTTGCAACACCAAAAGTGTGGTATGACCTACGGTTTCCAGATTCGAGAATGCGTGTAAGCCAGATTCTATGGGGACCACGTGCCGAGCCTGAGAGTAACAGCGAAAACGTCATCAATAGTGATAGAGGACAAGCATCGGGAGGGGAGAAATACTGGCTCCTTTTGCAGATATTGCTTTCTTCTGAGTTATTACTACGACTCGACATGCTTTCAGGAAACGCTGTTCAACCTTCAGACTCCAGCGAGAACTCTCGATTCGACCAGAGTGCTACTCCGATTGTGAAATGGTCACTTGTCCTTGCTCGAACTTGGCTCGAAAATATGCGTGTGGAAAGAAAAGATTCGGTATCCGACACAGGGGTCACATCGCCTACTGGATGGTTAGCCACGTTGACAGGAATCACAAGCAAGGACATTGCTCACATTGAGAGTGTAGAAGATTTGAAATTCGATGGCAGGTATCAAATACGTCAACTTGCTGGACTTCTGCACTTTGCTCGCAATTTGGATTGGCCCAATATGGAAAGCTTGATGGCAAAAGTTGCGACAAACGGAATCCAGCCTACAAATAGTGAACGACTAGCAATGGCAGCCACCGCTCCGGGGCAAACATGGACCTCGCACTTCTTAACTCGACAGCCAGGCAGTCGACGCGGAGCACCGTACAGGGATTTATCGATAAAGTTACATCCAGCTGGGTGGCTCTCGAGCTCTTACATTAGCGGTCTTATTTTACCGGGTGACATCCTCGGCCATTTACTCATATCTACCTTGTTGGAAAATGATGAGGCGGCGGTAGCTAAGCTTGGAGACCGTGCAAGTCTATTTGGTGGGTTCGTGTATGCTGGTCAGAGCTTTTGGAGTACTAGGTCTGTTGTTGGCCGAGTACTTGCGGCTAGGAAAGGGTCTCACGAGAGCATGGGTTGGATTTCATCTGCTGTTGTTCCAAACGGAGTCGGAGAAGGTTGGTTTGACATTGAAACCGAACCAGCACGAAGTGGTATGCTTTGATTTACCTTGCGTAATCGTGTTGTTGACTAACGCAGTAGCAGCTACAACAAAGCCAGGAGCAAAACCACGGCTGTGGCACAAGTCACTTGTAGAGTCAAGTGGAAGTGTAATAGGCGGAGCAGATGCCAAATCTGTTCTTCCGGGGGACTTTGTCCTTCCTTCTGATGAGTCGATACCAAGATCATTCTCTACTTATTTTCACTCGATGAAACTTCTTTCGGCATCCGAGCCGGACCCAGAATCTGTCGACGATGGATTTTCATCCCGTTCTAGTAGCAGTGGCCCAGCCCAAACCAAAAACTGCTCTGCCCTCATGCACTTCACAATAGAGACCGATTTTGAGCGAAACAGAGAAATCAGTCTTGCCCTGCGATATGACGTGCGTTTCGTCACTGCTTATCCCTGTCTGCCTTCACCACATCTGGAGATCATAAGAACACCCACTAGTCCAAATTTCCAAGAATCTGAAAAAGGCTCCATCAGATCAGCCCTACATTCAAGTATGTATTGACCTGCCCATTTCAATCCGGTCAAATTACTAACTTAAACTCTAGGCGGGCATCCTCTCCACAAAGCATTCACCTACACCCGCGTCTCCATCCTCAACATCCTCCTCAGTCCAGCAACAACCTCTTTCTCAACTCTCCTATCACCCAACCAATCTCTCGATCCATCCCAATCAAGCACCCACACCACCTCCAGCGGCATCCGCAAAGTCCTAGTCATAGACTGTACCGAGACCTCACTCGGCAGATATTCATCTTCCCGCGCCCCATCGCCAGCAATCGGCGCAATGTCGTTCACGCAAAAGCCTTCTTTAGGTAGCGACCTGGAAATGCTAGCTCGGGCTTTGTGCGCGGAGAGAGGTTGGAATGCGTTGATCAGCCGGAGGGGGAGAGGATGTATCTCGTGTGCGGTGAGGGAGGCGGGGGCGTTGGGTTGGAGGGTTATTATTAGATTGGCTTGATGCTGGTGTTTTGATTTTGGATTCGTTTGTTGGCTTACTTCTTCTTTTCTTCTTGAGATACCCCGGTTTTTTGGCAAGTTATTTTGTTGCATAGTAATCGTAATAATAATAACAAAGTGTATCTGTAATATCACATCTTACCTGAAATCCATGTGCTCTAATTGAATATGGCAAACCAAGAAGATGCCGTTTTGTATTTACCTTGTGGATTGCGTCTTAATCCTTGGACTTGTTGGTGGCTAAGCACTCGACAAGCACTTCTAAATAGCACCTCCAGAACATCTGTGGACTCCGAAAGTCTTCCCATTACTGTGAATGATATATGATCAACCTCCTATATCAACACTACGTGATTCACTAGCCCATCATACTCCTTCCTCAATATCTTAAGTGTTCGACCTTATTGGTGTCTATTTTGGATAGGTTCTTCAGCTTGAGGATTTTGCTTGGGCGTTCCGGCTATTGTGTATGCTTTCGTGAAACTTATCCTTCCTTCAGCTCGAGGGTTTGATTAAATGGCTCTAGCTATTTTACATGCCTCCAGAAAGATCATCCGCCTTATGATGTAGTTCTACCATTTTGCCATTCTTGCTCGAGTGTAGAGTAGGTATAGGTAGGTAGGGTCGTTAGGTCGAGGTGGTTCGCTAGGCAACGGATAGCAATGGGAGAGTATGAGAGAGCGGCTCCCCCTTTTGCAGCGTTCTAGACGAGGTATTCGCGGAAGCTACATAGCATTTCGCTAGTCAATACTGGACTCGACAACCAAAACACGATCCTTCAAAGAATGATGCCAAGTGAAAGTCAAATCCTTCCGAGACAACTGCTGAAATCGACTACTTGTAGGAAGATGGCTTTATCAAATCACTAAGTAGCATATTTGTTAACCTTGACTATCGCTCGTTCGAACCACTTACAGAAGACTCTAGAGCCACGGCTTACCAGCAGCACTTGAAGTGTGCTGTGATATTGATCCAGTCAATATGCTTGTCGGTTTGACGAGCTAAATCTCTAACATGTGCAACCTCGGTCGATGAGGCGTGTGCCCTGGGCTATCTGGCAAACAGCTGTGCAAACAGTGTTTACATGACCATAGAAAGAGTCTGTCTGCAGTTTTCCGACCAGTCCTTGTTCCCCAGACGGTAATGGAGACTGCTAGTTCGGAAGCACCGCATTATTGTTTTCGCGAGATAATTGTACCACGCAGAAGCATCTCGACCCGAGCACGGATTCAAATCTGTACAGACAGAGATGAAGCTAGCCATCGTCATCGTGAAATAACTCTAGCATTTCTCCATGAGGTGGTAGGGGATGATGTCGTCTCCTTGATCGCCAGAAAGCTCACCGGCAGCTTGGTTCTTCCTCACTTACTCGTTATAAGACTACCAGAAAAGCAACCTCTGGCATCTCAAGTCTCCGTTACCTGTTGCCGCTGCAGTTGAGAATAATACCATTGTTCATCTCGATAGGCAGATAGTCGCGGATTGTGGATTGATTTGAGCAACACATCTTCGAAAGACAATGTCCATTTTGTCTTGCGACAGCACGAAATCTTCATGCTTGAGAGAATCGTGCACTCCACGGTCCAATAGAATATGTCGAGACTCTTGGTAAGATTTTCCTGGGCTTCGAGGTATGCTTGAGACGTATCAAACGATTCGAATAATGCATGTTTCAATTGCAATACTAAATAAATTTGCAGAAATGGTGCTTCTTGGGTCAAGTTTCAAGGTGTTTGCTGCTTCGGACCAAACTTCAGTAAGACAACCCACAGGGAGGGGAGCATCGTATTGACATGCAACGTAGCTTCATCGTGACCAGCATGAACTGGCCAAAGATTGGCTCGTGAATATCAGACTGTTCTGGTGGTTCGTCGCAGAGAGCTTCCACTTGTGGGCCGTCCTTCCTACTGTGGTGTGGACTTCCCGACGAACCCCGGTTTCAATGCTAACTGGACTGATTGGCCTCTATCAAGAATTGAATTTCCAATTATCGGGAACCAGATTGCTGATGCCTGCTATCAAAGCACTTGCGAGACAAAAACTTCATAAAGAAGCTACTGGGCCTCGTTACGCTGATTTCCTACTTTCTTTGGGGTTTCAACTTCCACCTCGATTTCAAAGAGTGCAGTACTATCGACAACAAAGTTAAACAAACCCGAACCAGAGGCGCAGCAACCGTTCCTTCTCTCTTTCAAAGATACTGATCTTATAAACAACGGTATATAAAGAAAGCAGTCGTTGCCTGTGTCCTCAAATGGCAAATGCTATACCACAAAAGAGCCAGCTGGCTCAAGATGGTCAGGATTGATTTTGCTACCAGCGGTACATTGTTTCACATCCCCCTTTCCATGGCATTATGCTGACAAGAGAATCGTGTTGCCAGCTCATTGGGAGGTCCACACCGAGTGCACCCAGCAAGACGAGCACCGGAAGAACTTCAACCGCTCTTCTGAAGCGGGAAGATCTGGCCATCTCACATCTTTCAAGTACTCTGTATGCGGGCATGCTCAACATTGGATCTTGCTGTTGGCCTCTGCTTGAGACGCCGGATGCAAGCGCATCCCCCGCATTGCCACATCGCTTGGACCCCCTCGCCTAAAACGCAAGTCGTGTGGGGGTTGAATCGATGATTTTGCGGCGTATGGAGTACGGAGGTACAAAGATCTTGAATAATCCGTCAGAATCTTGCGTTTCGTTGGCTTGCTCAAAATACCCTCTTGTATTTTATTTTCGCATCGTCTGAACGGGAGAGACACTCCAGCTCGAGCTCAAGGTGCGATCCGCACGTCTCTATCGAGTATTTCGAAGATAAAATCTCGATGCCGGCGGCGTTGAAATCGGCATTGAACTCCGCAAGGTACGCGGTATCCAGATTCCAAAGAACTTATGGAAAGTTTTGACTAGAATTTGCAACCGCAAGTGCGAGCGAATTCTAACGATATCATATCGTATTCTTGTCGACCTAGGCCTCTTCAAAAGAGGATGGCTGGCAGTTGAGGCGAAAGGGCGCAGTTCGTTGCCTCTCCAACCTGGAAACGTTGCCGGCAATAATAATGCGGCTCCCTCTCAGAGACTTCAACTGCAAACTCGATAGCAAGTTGTATCTTCGACAATGGCATGAATTACCAGAGAATTCGTGGATGAGGAAGCTCGTGTTCTTGGAGCTTGGAGAAGTGGCAGGCTAAGAACCTATGAAAGGGTGCCGCCGTCCCTTGTCAACGTCAACGTTTTGGCGTCTCCGCCGTCTCGCCATTCATTTCCAAATCTACATTACTCTAGCCGCACGTCGGCCGCCCACGTTTCATTATTCTCCACTTGTTGGGTAATCGGGGACACCAGTGTGCTTATCTCTATCGATTTTAGCAAACTGCTACATCATGGCAAGAGACTCGCATAGCTGGCTGATAATTACCTGTGAAGCTGGGCGTAATGGAAGTGGGTCACGAGGGGTTCTATATGCATCGTCCAAGCGTAAAAGAGAGTATTGGCCAACCGTTAGCATAGACAAGGGCGCGCTTCGACCCTTGTTGTTGGTACGGAGGGGAAGAGTTTGCTGGCAAATCCTTTTCACCGCTAGTAGCGGGAGAATGCCATTGTTAAGATGTAATCATGCAAGCAAAACCAGTTTAGGGGCTGTCTTTGCTTCAAGTTATGACGGTAAACAAGGTCGAATCATTTAGAATGTTGAAGCCTCTGTGAAGACCGAAAATCTGCTATTTGGATCTTGAATTTCACCTTCATGAACCCATTTTGCAATGCTACGTTCAGTTCACTTACCACCCTTGGCGATTGGAATTGGACCACAAGCCATCCGTCGAGAATCTGACCATTGCTGACCTTTTCATCAAGGAGAGAGGCCACGACCCCTTAAGGGCAGATACACGCGGAAGGCTGTGTGTGTGCCTACCCCTGGCGCCCTTTTGGAGTAAGCATTCCGAGAACCAAACTTCTCAGACGCATGTTCGGGGATAACTCCCGCCACTTATACTTAATTTCAATATCTGGGCTTCTTATCTACTGGCTTTGGCGGACGCACAAGAGTATATCACAATTTGGTTCAATAGGGGTATGGTTTAGTCTATCCCCGACTCCTCGGAGTGCACTGCGCATGGTGCTCCCTTCAGAGATGCTAAGTAGACACTCTAACTTTCCTGTGTGACGCTTCTATATGGGACAGCCAAAGATCGGGGCAAGGTGAAGTTCGACAGCTATCAAGCACAGCAAGCGTGCATACGCAACATCCTTTTACCATAACAGTCCAGAATTCTTTCCTTGAGCGGTCAATAATGAAATCTACCTATTAGTAGGGCTTACCGTTCTTGCGGGTTCACGCATTTGTATTGCCTGTTGACACCAATCGCTGGCCAATGTCTTCGAGTTTCCGCTGCGCCCCTAGAGAACGGGTAACACATCACCTCGTGAAAGTTACCAGGAGAGTTCGGCGTGCGTTGCTTCGGCGTGGTCCCGTACCGTCCGGCATTAGTTAAGTCAATTTCGCTTAAATGGCTGGGAGGCTGTTTATTGGGACAGTTTGGTCGCAGATACTTCACTACCCTGAGCCTCTGTTTCTATAAAGCTTTACTGTCATCGCTATGATCAGTACTCGAGACGGAAGACATCAACAAACTTCTTGCAGCAAAATACACGGCGACTTCGACCATCAACAACCTTACACGAAGCGGGGTCGAAGACGATTCTTTAGCTATAGCAGACGAACCACCGCAAATCTTAAATTCGAATCTAGCTATGCCTAGTGTCTCAATTATGTCAACTCCAACTGAGGAACCTCGAACCAGTGGCACTGGATCCAATCCGAATACGCACCAGGGGAATTCGCGCAATCAACGGGGCGAGCGGTTCGAGTCGGCAGCTGGATCGTGCTCCTTTGGCCATGTAATTTACGTGGAGCCTCCGGAAACAGTCGGGGTACGTGTTCGTTCTTTTCTTGATTTGCAGTCATGCTAATACATGCTATCAAGTTTCCGGATCAGCCAGGTGGAGGTCGCGATCAAAATGGGAATATCAATAATGATCCTGTCAAGGGCAACGATCGTCTCAACAACGGCAATACTTGTCGCCGAACGCGTATGTGAGATCCAACTCTGAGTGATTTCAAACACGTCGCATATCTCAGCAGTCTGGGAGATCACAGACGGGTCTTCGACAGGGAATCCAGCACACACACCTAAGCTACTAGTTTTACGAAACTTCAATCATTCGCGTCCGAGAACGCTTGTGATACACACTCTTTTGGCAATTGATGGGAAGATGACCCGAAGTCTCCATCATTCTGCACTCCACCTCTTCGAGACTCTCTACTTTCATCACTTTCATTAGGTATCAAGTTAGAATTCAGCTATGATATTTTTTATGTCTCTTTCAACAACACTTGGATGAAGAAGTGGAAACGGGTTTGACAGCGACTTGTGGCGAGGAAAGAATTATATGGCAAATATAGAAGTTAATGGTTCATACAGAGTCCCCACCATGGGCTCTGTGGAGGAAAAAGGAGGTCAAAAACAGGAACAGGTTGGAGGATTTCTATTCGAACTTCCAGTGCCCGGAAGATACTTCTTCGCGCAAATAAATAGACGACATTTAGTTTAGATTCGACAAACATTGTTCAATTTGTTTTTCATGAATTAATTTACCAGCTAGATTCTCATATATTAGCTGGTAACCAATCTATAGGTTTTCATTACCACAATAAACTCATCTGCTTATATATGGTGTCTTGATAATTTACAGGTCAGAGAAAACTCGATCTTAGTGAATTAGTTAGCAAGATCATTCCCCTCATACCATACGGAGAGCTACGGTTCATTATGTCGTCGAAACTTGTTCCACAATATTCAATGTAGTTGTGATCTATATGAATGTCGTCAAAATTTGTCAGCATCCATCCATCAATCAACCGAGTTCTTCACCCTGAGCGGTTCGTGCCGCAAGACAAAAACATCCGGCCAATGATCCGACTGCCCAACGTTACCAACGAAGACACACCTTCTGTACTCGGTAATCCCTGGACCATACCACCCCCCTTCTGCAATGAGCCTAGTAAACTTCTTCTGCACACAATCTTTGTCGTGAATGGCGTCCATTAGGCTCGTCCCATGTGCGACTCCTCGGCTATGATCGCGCATTACCTTTTATCTGAAAGGATCGGAATTCATCTGACACGTACAGAAGAACCGCGACAATCATCTGACAGACGTTGAGGCTGCTGACGAGACTGCCTTGCTTGCCTGGTTCTCTATCAGCCATGTCGTGGAACCCAGATTCAGAAGGCCGTATCATTTGTCGAAGGTTGGGTACATGGCGCGGTACACTTTGGGCTGAGATAGACTTTCAACCGTTGTTGATGACTCGATATTCTTAAGCCTCAATCTGGAACTTTTCATGTACGATTCTTCGCGGTGAAATTGAGTAAGAATAGTCCTAGCATAGTTGTTTCGCAGATATCTACATGACCATCAGTCTAGTGTGAAGAATATTTCTTTAAGACTCTTGACTTGAAGTTTCGCAAACTACTGGCAGCAAAAACCGAAGGCTTCGCGTTTGCAGACGTTGCATTGGAGTGTACGGGGCCACACCATATATACTGGTCTTTCGCGGCTCATTGGCGCGCAGCGTTTGGGGGTCACGCTGGGAGGGTGTGGACCGGATGGAGACTTCATGGCGCAGGAACTCACTGCCTCGTCTTTTGGAGAGAAGAGAGGCAATTGCAGCCTAAGCATCTGTTGATAGTGCCTTGTCAAGCACACATCTGCTGCAGTTGCCGTCCCCTTTTTGAGCTTGATGAAACGAAGGAAAACGCACAAGTATAGATATGGAAGAAGACCGCAACTTTAGGGGCGCCCTAGACTCTCCTCTTTCGAGTCTGACAATCCTGTTCGCAGGCCATTTCGCACGTCTGTGTGAAAATGACTACTCCTCGACGCTCCAGTGCTCCAATCGAGCCCGACCCATCGATCTTCCAGCACCTGAGAAGCGGTGCTTACCGTTCCAGTTATGATGGAGCCTCGTGGGGAAGGAATCAGCAAACGCAAACAATTGATATTGGAAGCCCGCGCCTCGCTAACCAACATCAGCGAGTTGCTTCAGACGAGACTAAGTTTTTGTCTCCAGTCTCAAACTCAGCAACATTCTCAAATGAAGTCGATGCAGTTGATATTGAGGCCAATGCAGGAGCAGAAGGTAGTGTCTACATATCTTTGGCTTTCGAAAGCGCACGGAACCAAAACCACCGCTGATATTTCTCCAAGCTGCCGACAACGCCTCTCAGCCTGCACACCCTTTAGCAAACAGAAGGAATCCTAACTATGATTTATTCAAAACCATTTCCGAAGACTGTGGGTATCAAACATCTGCTTGATTGATATTGATTGAATTAATAAATCTTGCATAGACAAGATGCTCGAGAATGGGATACCACGACTAGGAGGCTTTCTACACTCCAATGATTCTTTCGATATGCATCGACAGTTTGCCACAGAAGCATCGGAGCACTTAGTTGCATATCAGATAGAAATACACCTAATGTCTGCCGAGATACGTGAAATGCAGAAGCGATACGCTAGGCCAGGTGAAGAGACAAACTCAAATTTATGGTCCACCCGCAATCCTGATCCGGATTACAAGGAGAAAATACAAGAGCGTTTAAAACTTTTGATCACATACTGTAAGTGATCACTCAACATTGTGACTTCTAAACCACGGAAGTTTTGTATTGACTAGGTTCGCAACAAACGCAGATGACCTTCTTCTGAAATATAACCAAGTCAAAGCACTTGAAAAGGTGGCAGATCATGACTACACCAGCGTAAGAAAATGGATGGGAATGAATTTTCCACTTGGAAGTAAAGAAGAACGGTATTTGTACGTCAAGGAAGATTTCGTAGCAATACTGGGGTCCAATTCAGGCAATCGAAACAGTAAACTTGAAGGCATTATAAAACAGAAACTCGCAGAATGGAACTGGCCTTGGGTAAAGGTAAGCAGCTCTCTAGACCTCTCAATGATTTGAGCCTACTAAAGTGATGGACGCGCCTTTTTACTCCTTTTTCTTTCAGTATTGGGAGCACAAGCTAAGTCTATCACGACCTAGTTCATGCTCCGAGACAAAAGAAAAGATGCCGCTGCGGAAGACCCAGCAATCTTCCATGGCTCCTCTGCGCGACTTTCGATCGCCGCAAAAATAGGCATATCGCTTCTCGCTATCTCTATCATGCTTGCGCCAGTTCTCGTGATTTTTTTGTGTGAGTTGTCTCGAGCGCTTCAAGCGGCGATCGTAGCGGTCTTCCTCGCCGCATGCGTAGCCGTTATGGTCGTGATGGAAGAATTGACAGAGCATACACTCTTCCTATGTATTGCTGCGTATGCATCTCCTCTTTTCCACTGATGGGTCTAAGATGCTGATGTTGTGGCTAGCTATGGAGCTATTCTTGTGGCCATTCTAGGCAATGTGATGAGTCGCAAAGCCTAGTTTTCGGATGTGCGAAGACGTTGAAAGCGACGAGAGAGGAAATGAGCACCTCTGTAGAGAGAATGGTCACTGAATCTAGGGTTGGCGGGGATTCGCGTTTTCCGTTATGTTGTTATGGTTCGTGGTTGAAGACGTTGCCTAGTGCGTGCTGACCGACATTTGCGGATTGGGTCTCACGCACCGAAGGAGCCGGCTTATAAGTTGAAGGATATGATTTTTCGAGCGTGTCAGGTCGTAGGATGTCCGTCGTATAAATTTCAGGAGTAAATGAATTGATTATGTATGCGAAATGATGTTTAAGTTTGAGAAGAAGTGGTGGGGTCTCACGCTTGAGTCGCGCATGGATCACGTTCGCCTTATGGCACCCCCATGCGAACCACAGAATTCTTTCTTGGACCATGAACTGAGAACATACGGTTACTGAGTAATTTCTGTTCGCATATTCTGAGAAGTCTTGTTACTCTACGAAGCCTCTTTTCCTCCACATACTATCTTTTACTCAATAGCAGTTACGAATGAGTTGTGATGAGAGATCCCCTCGAGCATTACAAAATAAGTGCATCGCGAGGCTGGTTTTCTACATCATGCCGAAGAACCCGCCCCCGAGTTCTCAAGAACGCTATGGAACATAGCTGTCGCAACTCATTACTTGTTTTAAAGAGACGCTGTCAGCTCAAGTTGTGCGACGACAGAAGAACTGGGAATGGACCTTCATATCTTGACGTCAATACATGAACAATCAGACTCTCCAGTTGATTGATGTATGTGCGGCCTGGAACGGTTGGGAAACGACTGTCACCCACTCGTTTGCCATGAGGTGAGAGTTGTGTTACACGGCCGCAAATTCAGGACGTTGGCATCCATAGCAACGAGCATGGCACTCTTGAAAGCGAAACAAAAGCTCAATACGGAACATACCATGACTAGCATCTTTGTGTCTAGTTTCGTTTGAAAAGTCGCTCTCCAGAAAGATTCCCAGCGACCCAATCGAAACCGATAAACTACGAAATGGCATGTTTGAGAAAAGTTGCTTTCTGCTTGTCCAACCAATACTGCGTCTTCGAGAGAACTGACAAGTGCATAGAGAGAAGTTCCGGCTCGAAGACGAGTGTAAGCGGGAAGGGACATTTGAGAAAATGACTTATTCCCTGAGTAGCCAACGCATCTCTAAAGGCATGAGCCGATGGCTTAGACTTAGGACATGTCTTTTGAAACCTCACACAACGTCATCTGATGGACATTGCATATCTCGCCAGCTTTTGGAACATGATCTATAATTAAACGACGCTGAACCGAAGTACCGAAGTGCATGTAGTGTGAAGTCATATTCCACGATTTGGAAGGGGTGGTTCACAGTATCGAATTTGGGCGGGCTTCGAAAGCAGATATTGTATTGTTATGAGTATCACTTGCAATATCAGCGTTTCCTCACCTTCGAAAAATGACATACGTCTGAAACTGTTTTTATTGTTTTACCAAAGAACTTCCCTCAGATCATCGAGGTTGCAAGGCTTCCAAAAGCTTGAAGGCTGTATGGAGAGCATTTCTCTGAGCCATTTATCCTTCTGTTTTCTTTTAATATCTCAAGAAAACACCAGGCTTCCTTCTTGTGATAAATATATCTTTAGTGCTTATGATCTGTCATATACATGGTAGCAAGACATATCCCGCCATTTTACGGAGTTATTCAAGTAACTTGGTAGCGTAGCCGTCCATTACCTCGGAGACGTTGAATGGTATATTCTAGTGTTTTGCAGAAAGAAGTAATCCGTCAAGTCAAGATGCATGAATTGTGTGTACTATTTCATGTCATAAATCAATTTCTAGCGCTGTCCCAAATTTCATATGGTAGCAGTGTTGATGTCGTCTCGAATTCAAAAAGGGGGGACGTTCGCTTGAAGCGGACCAATCCTCGGCAAAGAGGCTTGCCACCTTAGGCTTGCACAAGTTTACTTCAAGACTCCCTAGGTAATATCTGAGAGGCCGTTTTTCTTAGTCATGTACTTGACTTCGACATTTGGCTTATGGTGTTTTCCCACCATCCTTGATTGATTCTCGGGCTACGACTTCGACATCTCCTTTCACTGTATTCGACAATAATTTTCATGTTCCTCGAGTGCAACAAATACATAAAATGGTATGTTCTTACATCAGTGCTTTGGATGTGGTTAGGAGCTCGCCGAATCAATTGCTTAGCGGCTTGCACTTAAATGGGTTTTCGCAAAATCCACACGAGTCGAAGACAGTCAGGTGCCTAAAAACTATGACGCTCATCTTTTGATGCCCAACCTGACAGTGGAAGTAATTGGGATGCCTGAAAATAAATTTCGGCGATTATTTGCGGATGCCTGGGGTCCGCCTGCCCAGCCATAGAGGCTGTCATTCAGATTGGTTGCAGTAAAAGAAACGTACGCGATAGCTTATTGACGAGACGATCAACAATTCGATATGCACACCATCATATTGTTGCATTTTCCTTACATTTTCCAATCAAGCGGCGGCGTTCTGACCCTTGCACACCAAATATCAAGAGCATTTATTACAGCAAGAATGCGATAATTCAGGACTTCACCTGTTCTCTGGGTTGTAAACTTTAGGCAGGGAAACCCCATAAACAAAGATACAATTGTCAATCCAGGATGTACGCTCATTTGGTTGAACAGGTTAGTCGAGTTGCTGGGATCTTTCTCAATGTTATGGATAATTTAGATTTTTAGCTGAAAGGAGAGCTATAAAAATATTGCTTCTTTGATGAGGTACCCCGCGAAAATACTTAGCTTGAGGTTATGAGAACAATTTCACGAGTTCCTAGTGGAAATACTCGCTGCTACTATGGCACCCGAAGATTTCCCACCTTATTTTGCTCCAGCCTGGGACTTCCAAAGCTGCAAAATAGACATATTTAGATGACACAGAAATAGCGGTGATGTATCTTGCAAGCTAGTCCAGTATAGATTGCGATTTCCAGAAGTAAAAACATGTGGCCGTCATTACATTAAATGGGTGACTACGCAGAGACACCCGTTGGTCTTGGGTTTAGCGGTATATCTTTTGAGCGAAGTTTTAGTCTCACTGTGTTTTGAGATTCGCGCGGCTTCTCGTGGAAAAATCCTCCAGTAATTACGACAGCAGGCGTCTGTGTCCTAATGGTATGTCGTCATCTACCCGAAGTTAATGTACTTCACTAACCTTCTTTCGAGCTGACGGCACTCGTCTGTTTGCAGCAAACACACTTCCGGAACGTTGTCTTTTCCTTCCACTTTTGCATGATGAAGCACATTTAGAATTTGTAAAAATTCTCGTCTGAAACCAAGCTTAACTTACGAAGGCTTTATGTTGCATCGGATGGGATTCCCATACCTATCCTTTTATATTCTCGAAAGTGTGCTTTCCTCGACTTATTTCGAGTTTTCTGCACTCAATCTTTTCCCACATAATTACAACTCTGAATATCTATAGAAGATGTTTCGTTTTCAGATTCGAGCAATCCATGCTCACTGCCAATTAGAAAATGACTCCATGGTTTGTGTCACCTTCTCTCTCGGCAGGAAAAGGGGGGTGATTCGCTTCGCATAAGTGGGGCGACGCGACAAAACGGACTGGCCCGGAAACATGGAGCTCATCCGAACAGTGTACAGCCCTGCATCGTTATCCAAAAGGCATAAGTACAGTACGCTATTATTTTCACTATTTGAAGATTTAGAACATGTTGATTATATTATTTATTCCTGTATTCGACCTAAGTCATAAGTATATGCACGACACTGTGAGCACATAATATTGTAAGCGCTGCGATTGCGTGTGAGGGTGCTTTGCCCAAGTATTGGATGGTCGTAATATTAATTGATAGCAAACGCCCAATTAGAATTGTGCCCCATGTACCTCTTTACCGTTGGATTGACTCGAATACGGGAAGCACGACACGGCAGGCAACGCACTCCACCAACTCGCGACACCAACTTTGCCCAATTAGGATCAAACAGGTATTTGGGAGATCGCGTTGATTTCCCGCTTGTTCCAATCAGATGTGTGTAATGACATTATGCTGACAACCTTGTCCATATACTTTCAATATTAGAATTGAATACTGTAATATTATGGTAAATGATATGAAGCATTTGTAGACTCGGTCAACTGATGACAATGCCAAAACGATTTTGCATACAGTTTTCCTAAACTGTCGTGTTCCAATGTCCGATGCCAAGTTAACAAGTCAGAAGAGATACCGTACTGTAGAAGACTGGCAGGTTCACATTGGCATTGAAGCTCCTTTTGATTTTAGAGTCCTAAGTGCCATGAGTTTTTGAAAGATTCCTGTTCCAGAGCAATGTGCTTCACAGTGGGCTGGCAGAGACATGGTGCCCTTAAGCGATGTCTTTGAAATCGCAATGTCAGAATTCCAGAAGTCTTGATTATTTCTCACCAATTTTCTATTCTATAATCTTGTGTTTGTCTACCCGTAATAAAGCAACTGCGAAGATATTCCATCACTGGAGCCTATTTTATCAACAAGCCAGTGCCCTTGGGTTCTGTAACCACAAGGAATTTCATTTTTGGGGGCTGATTGCCTTTGAACAAACAAGCATGGAGCTACAGTAAGCTGGTGGCAAAATCGCTAGAAGGCTTTCCCACAGAGACCAGATCATAAGAGATTCTCTTGCGTTTCCTAAATTCAATTTGAATTGCCTTGAATTAAATGCCCTATGCAAGATATCGTATGGTCTTGCGATATGCCAAGTGTGTCAAAAGTATGCAAAACTCCGTGAGGAATTTCGAAAGAAATTCCTCGAGAGTAACTGCATCGTTCAGTCATTACTTCAGCAGCCATATGATAGCGCGACGGCCCTGACTCGCAACTTCGGTGGACCCTGCCCCGCAGCCTTTGCGATACAAGAGCTGGCAAACGGAATCACTTCTCGAAAACAAAACATCAACCCACCCGGTCCAAGATTGACTTTGAAGCTCTCGAGATACCGATAACTTCCATTCGAACTCAAGTGGCTATCCAAAAGCTTCAACAGCTTCCAATCTGCTGTGCCGAACTTCTTCTTCCAGCGGTGGTCGAACGTTCCAGAACTGGACTTAGTAGAAGGATGATCGCTGCATCTATGCAACGACAGTAGCATCACTGATCAAGTATTCCTTGAACAACGGAGAGTATATTGTTGTGGCAGCCACCAGGAAGTTTAGGTGAGCCGTTGTTTCCAGTCGGCACAGAGAGTCAAAAGCTTAAAGAGCCGTAGCAAGGTTAGCACACCATTTAAAGCCTCGCGCAAGTGTGTTGGGCTTCACATATATCTCGAACTCTTCCTGGTTAGTATGCGAATGCATGGTGAACAGATGTACGGTTGAGTCATTCGAAACAAACGGCTGGAGACAGCATCAAGTCCGCCGATATCCAGTTCCTTGAACAATCACATCAAAAGCGTTCAACGGCTACGAAGCACAATACATTATGGCAGAGTGGGTAGGCAATTATTATTTGGCTGTTTTAAAGCTCGAGGATCATTGATGATGGTTTTACTTGGCTACGCTTCACTTCCCTACCATTGAAGTTACAATATAGAAAGGAGGACTTTTTATCTTGACGAAATGTGTAATACCTGCATTAAAGGGCATCGACTTCCAGTACACTGCGATGATGATATTCTGGAATCCCAATCTTATGACAGTACTTCTAGGCAAGATTTGCTTTATATCTTCTCTGTAGGGACTGTTCCAACAAACTTTGAGCTCGAAGTTGCCGAAAGAGCGTTTCCGACTCTCCAGACAAATCTTGTTCGGAAGGCAACCCAATGCTGACACATCTGTCGAAGCACCTCTAGTAATGTATGTGTGGGTGCAATTTGCCTGTGCTTTCAATGTGAGGATGGGTTCGACGAGCTTAGTCTGCTCAAGTGCAGGTGCAGATGGTGAAGCTTTAGTTTCCTCCAATTGTGCCCTAAAGCCGTCTATGTTCCAGCTCGAGAGGAGATTCAAAAGTAATCTGTTCCAGTAGAAAATCTGTTCCAGTAGAAAACGTGGGTCTTTGTTCGACGTAGGCTTTCTGACAAGTAAACCAGAAGTTAGCTTTAGAAGTTGTTCTTCTCAACCATGCTATTTTACCAGAACCAAGCGGAATCAAGACCCGTCAGTATTTGGTGATTTAATATAAAACTCACCAAGTGTTTACTCTTTCTGTGAATCGTCTAAACGTAACTGTGTGATCCTTCGTTTGTTGCCAGAGTTGCACACGGGTATGCCTGGTCTAACTGATGCGTCAGTGCCTGATGAGGAAAACTTCGTACCATCCTCCGCCTCTTCTCGACAATAAACACAACAAGCACCTCGTTTTTTCAACACCATTTCAAGACAGGAGATGAGATGTCGTCCTGTTATATTTGAATCTGCTGAAGACCATCGTAGCTGGTTCTGGAAGATCTATCCTGTCGCTAACGACGTTCTTGTCCAAAGTGATCGCACTCTGCGTCAAAAACACGCTCAGTTCAACAAACCGATCGATCCAGCGAAATAGTGGCGTCCCGAAGATACTTGCGCTGTACTGTCGTCTATCACGGCTTCCATGGTATTATGTTGGCGGAATGATCTAGCTGTCAAGCTGAGAATGCCCGAAGCGCCTTGGTGACGAGCTGGTTTCAACGATTCAGCCATCAATACTCGGGACTTTGACTGGAGATACCGATTGGCACGACTTGATGGTAATCGCTTGTAGAAACGGGTTATCTCGAGTGAGCTATTGCTGGCATCACGATTTCTCGCAAGGTCCTACCCTTTGCGTCGCAGATTGAGGTCTTAGCAGCTAGAAGTTGCGCTCGGTGCCTTCCCATTTATTGGTTGTCTTGGTTTCAGCACAGCTATCAGATGATGAGTTGCACCTGTCTGTAAAGGAACAAAAGTATATGCTTTGAACCATTTTGCGGTCCACATGCTGTATTGCTGATTGATAATGGTGGTTCAGAAGAAATAGAGGCCAGCAGCTTGTTCGCTCGGCGATGGCTCTATATTCGGCGCTACGAAGTACAGGAGGGGTGTGTCCAACAAATGCCTCCTCTACCAATACCAGCATGGAGATGGTTTCTGGCGCAGGTTCTGGCGCAGATGCTCGGCACAATGCACACGCAGGGTGATAGAGATTGGCCCAAATAATTTCTTGGTACGGGGATTGGTGAGAAGGATGGGCTGGAGCTGGCATACTGACACCCATCGCCTTCTAAATGTTTAAATACCTCTGGATTTCCACCACGAAGCCCAAGAGATGTTTACCAGATGCCGACATTCATATCTTACAATCTTTTGGCTGTTCGGGCCTAGGTTGTGACGCCAAAACTTCATACCTCAGGTCAGATCCAAACTGTGTAGACTCTTTCATAGAAGAACACCAAACGCTGATACATCTATAGTACAAGAGATTCCTGCCAGATGCATTTCTGAGAAAAGACCTCGGCTGCTATCTTTTCGCCATCTCTAATGCGCTCAGTCAGACAGACAATGTACGATCACGCAGCCTGCTTTTCTCCTGTGGTTGCATCTGCATGTTGGGCTCGTTTGGGGTGGTTGCATCCCCACGTCCAGGGGCGTCTTTTCCCTTGTGTCCGGGGAGTACCAATCGGGAGCCTCCACGTGATTGCTGAGATCTCTCTCCTTTACTTGGAGATACCTCACGACAAAATGCCCGATGTGCATTCCCAAATCAAGATGATAAATGAAGGGGCAATTTGGCGTACCAAGGTTCTGCCGACGATCCGGGGGAGGCAGTCTGGTATTTGGGAATACCATATGCCAAAGAAGAAAATACTGAGATGACCTTCCTGTCAAGGACGATACGGAGATCAAACTTCCGGAACGTCCTGCCAACAAGCATAACTGGACAGAATACGCTTCGATCAATGGAGCGAGTGTGAAGGTTTACTGTTTTCCAGCATGGCCGTCTCGTGTCCGAAGATGGGACGGTGAGATAGAAAATTGCTCAATAGGCTTCAGAAGGAGAATGAAAGAAGAAAACGACACAACGTCTGACGATCTACAAACGTCTCCACGACTGGGAATATGCGCTTTGCACTCTCGACATCTCATGCACTGGCATAGGAAATGTCAGTAGTGCTACATTGTTGGAAAGACTCTTCCAGGTGTCTCTTGGAGGTTCAAAGGTTGCCCTGAGGTGGATAAAACCTTGCCCCAAACCTGACAGGGCAACGCGGGTTGCGGCGCATGGTTTGCACAATCAACAAATTATCACCCACAACAGGACCGTATCACTCCCTATCGTCCTTGGCTCTCATTCAAAATCGATAACAGTGCAATCTGCACAACAGCCAGATAGTTTACACCAAACAAGAGAAACCATTGGACCAGGAGCGATATTTCTCCTACAATAGGGTTATGCCCCTCTATTGTTGCTGCCGTCCGCCTCGTCTTCTTTGGTCGAGGAGCCTCCAGTGCACCCCTGCCATACGATTTGCACACCTGTCCACCGCCTATGATTGTAGTCTTGGGACATCATGAATGGCTCAACTGTTCATCTGCAAGCCAACGTCCCGGTCGGCCGACGTTAACTGCGTGGGAACCAGGTCAATGCTCTGACCTCTTTCTGACGCGCTTGCAATGAGCGAGCAGATGTTTTATTGGCAAAGTAATGAGGCTGTGAAGCAGGCTTCTTGACGAGTCCCACAATTTTGCGAGCGGTCAGTTCGGATTTCCTCTATCATGGAGAAGGAAACCCATCAAAATCCAGAATACAACCACCTCCGACCTTTGAGCCCTCGTCACCCTTTCCACTGGAGTTTTGTGCTCAAAATCAAAAGACTTTTTTCAACTATAACAACAGGTAAAGAATGCATCAATGAATACAAATCAACAGATAGGGTTAGCTAATAGTCATAGCTTTGTTGATCGTTACACAAGTTGGATTTCGCGTTTCTGGATCTCCGTAACCATATCTGCGAGAACATACACGAACTCAAAGACCCACATCTCAACATGCCAGAAACCATGATGGAAAACAGGAATACCTGCGTGGAGGAACGACTGGATCGAGGCAGATGTCAGCACAGAAAAGGATATATGGATACCCGCCATTGTGGAGAAAGGGCTTCTACGAAACCGATTCCCAGGCCTCCGATTTCACCTGTATGAGAACATCTCCCCCTGGATAATTACCAAAAATTAAAGCTCAAAGTGCTGATAGTGTTTAGGAAACATCTCCAATACGTGGCAATCATGCAGCAGCGGACAGCAATTAGGGTGCTCCACACGAAAAGCTTGCCGTAAATCAATTGAAAGGCCGGTTGAAAAGACAGTGAGGAGCATCCATCCTTAAACCTGAGCTATTTGTGCATCGAGAATAATTATGGAAGAACAAATATCGTACACTTCCAGATAGTGAACCATTCCATATGAAAAATTGGAACAGACATCGAAGTGGTTGAAGGATGAACGTTGATATTTGTTCGCTTACGGGACTCAAAATTAGGGGGCATAAAAATAATGGAAATAAATACAGGAATTTACGCATGAATATTAACAGAGTGCTGCGTCCCCTAGTAGATTACAACTCCTCTAAATATGGCAGCATGCCGTGACATAACCTCCTCCACACCACCACCAACAGAGGCTGCAATTCAGAACCAATGAACACTTCCACGGCTGGAACTGCCTTTAGAGGCGTCAATATATATCCACGGGTGATGAGGTTTCCTTGCCCACCCAACTAAATGTGCTGTGATACAAGCTCGGAGTCTCAGAGTTTGGACGGGAGCCGATGGATTCGAAAGATTCACCCTTCCACACCGAGACCGAGAGGATGTATATGAAAGATACAATGAAGAAATGAGATCTCTACAATAGCTACATCATGGCACCAAGATCACGCAAATAGGCACTAAATGCTCGTCTTCTGATTCGCTTGCGCGCTATGCATTCGGGTAGTTTTCATCCACACCTTTGCACCCCCCCCCAAATCAATAGAGAAGCGAGGCACCCTGAGGCACAAATATGAATGCCCAAGATCAATAGGAGGGTGTGGTCATGGCCTGCTGAATGGCCGTAGGATGATGGGCTGTGAAGTGAGATGAGAGGAAATCGCTCGAGATGTTGGACTTCAAAGGAACATCCGTGTGTACATGTAATACTGAAGCATGGCGGATGTAACGAGTAACGAACGTGGTCGACTCGCGAACGACAGAACCAGAGCCATTCTACCCACGCAAATGCCAAACGAGGCTCTTAGCAGGTCTGGACTACACCGAGCCTCGCGACGACCTGGCGATGAAGAGAGTGGAAAGGCTGTGAGAAGCCGGAGTCGATTGCCGAGTGCAAATGTATCAAGGACAGGATTTCCAGACGCAACAGAGCCAACGCCGGCGAATGAAGCACGAATAGCAGATGGTAGTTACTCATGCTGACAGACAAAACATTTGGAACATGATCTTACTGACTCCATGAGCAGCACGTCAGCCACGATTCTGGAAAAGGCCTAACTTTGTTGCTCTATTTCGAGGCCTTTGGCCTCGGCCCAGAAACATATCGTCTGTGGAGGAGATCAACCAGCAGAAGAGTATTGAGAAACTTCTCGACGAACAAGAGGAAAAGTATAGGAAAATTCAGGACGAAGGAGGCAAGTTAAACTACTCGCTTGATGGGATAAATGCTGACTTGTACCTTAGTAGAGATAGTTGACGAGTTCCCCAACGGATATCCTCGATTCGCTGCTTATCTAGCCAGTGATGTATCATTCATGCAGTTCCGACGATTCAGGCGATTGTCCGCCCGCGATATCCTCCAACAGCAGACAAATTTATCTCGATTGCAGAAGGAACTAGACGCATTGGACGCCGAATACTCGCGCGACAATGCCAAGAGAAAAATTCTTAAAGGCTGGAATGATGGTGCAGGTGAGGAATCAAACCCGACATGAACAAAGAAACAAAGACAAATTATAGGCTCAGACAACGAGGCACAGGCGAATTTGATGAAGGAAATAAAGTGCGCTTTAGTAGAATATAGTATGTGGATTAAATGAACGAGGTGTAAATGCTGATGCAAAAATTAGGGCAAACAGTTCTTGGTGTGAAAAATATGGAGCAATTGGATACTACAGCTGAAGAAGACTTCCACTCTCTTTATAACTGCCTAACCTACCAGAACTCCCTAACCGAAGCCTCGGGGAGCAGAGATTTCCTTTTGCACCCAGAAGACTTCGTCTCCTTGAGTCGAAAGCAGAAGGACAAAACGTTCGAGGATCTAGCTGTATGGCTTCTTGATCGAGGTCCAATGTGGTTCAGAAAGGTAAATAGCTCTAGAATAGAGGCGCCAAGAAAAATATCGTCTAATGTTCTGTTAGATATTTCTCCAGACCTGTGAGAGAGAGAACGAAAAGCATACTTCTTACTATGATCACCGCCGCCTCAGCCACGCAAGAAAACTCTTAAGCTGTTTCTTGGTAACAACCATCATTCTTGGTCCGATCTATATCTTGTTCCTGTACTCACATTGGAGCAAGGGCACAATGGTAACCATATTTTCTGTATTCATTGGGTTATTCGTGTCGATGATGTTTTACCTAACAAGCGCACTGGCACACGAGGTTTTCGTAGGAGCAGCGACGTAGGCAATCCACCACCTATAATGGACGAATGCTCATCATTTCTAGATATGGTACTGTACTTCTGATCTTCTTGAGCAACACGATGCAGGGAGGTTACCTGATAAGCAGTGAAGGCGGTAATGCTACGGCAAGTTGAAGATGTGATAACGCTGGCCAGGATGTTGAGGGAGGAGTTTTCCAAGGCGATTTTCAAATTGTAATTTTCGATCGAAGGAGAGTTTTCCGAATGAGGTGCCCGAGATGGTACGTAGTTGATCTGTTTGCCCTCAAGACACATGTGCAAATTTTCTGTTAAAAATCCTTGTTCATGTTTGATGAAAGGTGGACGTCGACAAGAATGACGCGCTTATTAGCCCCCGCGTCTAGTGGAGGACCCGCTAACCGCGCTTCCCACGCCATCATCATAATTACACTTGCCATTTCAACAATCTTAGGCTTTTCCTCATTCCTTCTGATGTCCGTCAAAATCAAAGATCTGATCTAGGAACCAAAATTCTGGTCATATTCATATTCAAAGTGCAGGGCGAAATTTCATCTTTTCCAAAATTCCTACGGACGGAGGAACGTCAAACTCTAGTAATGCTAAAAATTGCATAGAATATCAGACAAGTCTTCAAAGTTCATTTGAAGGTAATGTTTCGACGTCAAAAAGTAGCGGAAATTCGTAGACATAATTTGGTCACACTCTTTCTCCACTCGACACTCTTAATTCCATTCAAATGCCACGAAGCCAACTTTGGCAAAAACAATGCAAGGAGGTATCGAAATCCATTTTTGAACACATCTATCACTCTTTTGTTTTGGTACGAGTAGGAGTTTAACGAGCCTCTTGCAATGCTGGCGATACCAGAGAAACTAGTAGTCTTCTAAGCTGATTTAGTGGAAGTCTGCGTAGGTGTGAGCAGCGTTTCATCTTAGTAAAACCATCTACACAGGCCATAAAAGAATTCTGAAATTCTTCAGTGTAAGAACTGCCTACGACACTGAATGAAACCTCTACACTGCGACATCTTCCACTACAGAGCCAATATGGAAGCCATTTGCCTCCCCGAAAGCTTCTTTACCCTTTCAATCCCACACGGTTGAGAAATTTTCAAGCACAACACGACCGTCAATCTTGAATTTTAACACCAGCATCTTTATCCTCAAAAATTCTCCCTCTTCTTACCAAGCATCAGGCAACCAACACCAACACCCAAATTAATACAGAAAGCCACAATGGATACAGACAATCATTTATGATCTAAGGCGTACTTGGTAATCAAAAAATGCCATAGGTAGGTTCAAAAGAAGTTTTGCAACAATCATGCACTCCCTCTAACCGCGTAAGTAAGTTATGATACAGTAACGCAATTTAGTTGATTTCAACAGCGAACAGATACAACTCTATCTATCAAATAAGGGGTATTTCTCACTACAACAGTCAGTCATCAAATTAAGCCGTGCCCTTTGAGTCTTAAAACACAATAATCTCGTTTCCGGAGCCCAAAAACTCATGTCACAGAAACATGACTTTCATAATCTGAAAAAGTTGATGCTTTTCTTTATCTACCCGACGAATTGGATTATGAGCTCTGACACGGTGGCCTTAGGTGAAGCCTCGGAGCTTGAAAAAGAGCGAACCGTTTTAAAACGAGGGTTTTGAGTCCTAGTACTCCAGTTTCTTAATCTGAGGGAACCGCGTAGCAAAGCATCTCTGTTTTAGCCTCCAAATAAGCATCTTGAGGTTTTCTTGCATTCGAATATTCTAAAACTCACCCAAACAGAGATACTTCGTGTCTTTCTCTCCCGACGAGGATGCCTTTTCGTTTCCACCAAGAAGTTCGAAGAGTAAAATTCCGCTGTGTTCTGTGAGTATTAAAACAATTACTGCTGTACACCGAACCCAATGTTAAGATCACTTAACAAAACAAAAATCTCTGAGGACCTGTTCAGAGAGAGGTTTTTTTTACTTTACTAGCCAAAGTATTTGACACGAATATACATCACAAACTTCCAATAGCATCCACATGCAAAGTATTGAGAAAATGTAAAGTGATCCAGCGTCAAATCGCATATGACAACCCTTCTTTCCTCTTCACCAAAATTTCAAAATCAACCACATAGATAATCCCTCCCCGCCACCATCAATCAATACAGCAAACGAGCAGTACCCAATAATCCGCCACTTGGTCACAGATTCCGCCATTCCCAACTTCCAACCTCAAACTCAAGCCAAAAACACACAAAAAGGTTTACGACTTCTGATACTACACACTTATTTATAATCCCTACACTCCATCCCAGATAGCTCGCAAAAATGACGAGTACTACCAAGGTACTATTAGTCCGTTTATTCCTTTTTACTTGATAGAGTCGATACAGCGTTAGGCTCAAGTCTGGTGCGAGTGTGCCTGACTACGCTTTCCGCGAACTTAGAACGTCTCCGAATTAACAAGGAAGCTACACTACATAGAGTTCTATGGTTTGCTTTGGGGAGAGCTATTTAGCATTCGTCGACTTTCTTGTACATACCGAGATTGGGCGATGTAAGTGTTGAACGACGGCGAATAACTAGACAATATTTCGAGGGAAAAGATGACAATAATAGTGTTCAAGAAATACCTAGCCACGTAATGTTTCAATGAAACACATTCATCAATTAGATAATCAGTAGTCGATGGGCTGATCGACTTTGGGCTATTAAGTTTTTTAGTGAGAACAGAACCAAGGTATTACATGGTCACTTGAACAAACGCGCCACAGCACAGCTTTCAAAAAGGATATAACGACCAATGAACTCTTATATTTGTTACTGAAAATGATCACTTGTCTGCAATCGGATAGCCACCCGAATTCAAGAAGCAGTATGAAGCAATTCATCGCTCACCACCATCTCTATACAATCCCATCTGTCCCGTCACACAAATTCCCTTTAATCATCTTTCTCCACCAAATCCTCGACGATTTCCTCCCCCAATGTGAATGATCCACGGTCTTCGAAGAGAAACCGCTCTCGTCTTCGACCAGCTCTCCTCCACATTCGGGATGTCGCACTCGAAGGGACTCAGCGTCCAGGTCAAACAAATTGAAAGGTATTCTCGACAGCTAAAAACTGATTTCCATCTTCATCGCGGTTCTCTGGACAAGAGAACAAAGTAGAATTATATGCAGGACATAAAGACGCCGACCCCAATGCAATATTACCAGAAGTTCTGAAACAAGAATTTGTGCGTTTCGCACAGCGCATATGTACTTTCGTATCCGAGTCTGGAGAAGACCGGAGCAAACTTGTATACCTCCCCTGAAACCCCCAAAAATCTAATTCCCGGATTCCTCATTATTTCCCACCAATGTGGATCTTAGTCGTTTTTCTTCCGTCTGAATCGAAGCCCATTAAAGCGAAGTAAAAAGTTCGAAGAGTTGATCAAATTGGAACGAATAGGCCGTGAACGGACAAGAGAAGACCTTCGTATGATAAATATTAGGTGTGTGATGCTGTACTTCGAACATGACCAAAACCAACCCCTTTTAACTCCATTTTGTATTACCGTACACCGATCGGTGGTCGTGGACCCAAGCTACTCTGACTGCTGTGGGCAGAGGGTTCGGAATCGATATTGGCGCTTTCACCACTCCCCGCGCTAGCGCTTGCACTACCCGTCAGACTGCGAACATTCATAGGGCCTTTAGGTGGGTGGAGGGCGCTCACCCCTGCATACTGCTCAACTTGTTGCGGAGCAACCTGATTTCCTTGTCCTGGAGGATGGCGTGGAACAGGCTGTCTCATAGCTCCTCCAGGCGGTGACGGTCTTCCATTGACTGGAGGCCCGTAGCCATTCGGTGGGGATGGCTTGCGACCTCCTCTAGCCATTTGCGGCGCATATGGATTGCCAGGCGACTGGCTGGCTCTTCGAGGAAATGGGCCTGGTTGGCCATTCGGGGAAGGTGCTCCCCCATACTGTAATTCATCCAGTCTTGCCGCCGTCAGTGAGTTAGTTCTGGACTCTATGCCCATTTGCTGGCGGTCAACCGTGCCATATCTGTTAGACGAGTAGCCCATTAGTGGATCATCCATCAAATTGTCGTGTAGACCCGGCATAGCGGATGTCAGTCGGGCGCTGGATCGATTTCTAGGAAAGCCAGGCCGCATGAAGCCACCACCTCCGCGAGTGCTGCGAGCTGAAGGTGGTCCATCAAATTCGGGATTCTTGCGCAATTCTCGTGCACTTGGGGCTTTACGGTTGCGTCTTGAAGTCACACTCATCATATCAAAATTGTCTGGGTCGATTTGTGGTGGAGGAGGAGCATCCGCAGGATCGAAATAATCGTCCTCGTCATCATCATCCCATGCTGCACCGCCGCCATTCTTGACTGATGGCGTTGGTGGACCTCTTCGAGGTCCAGGAGGACCGCGACCCGGAGGCGGTGGACCACGCATTCGCATTTCTTGTTCCCTAAGTGCTAATTCTCGTTGTCGGAGCATCAACTCACGCTCGCGGAGAGCGATATCTCCGCCGTTGCCTTGACCTTCTCCACCATAGTTCGATTCGCCTGATTCGGGAATATCGTCATAAAGCACCAGGTGGCTGAATTCCTCAAGGTCATTGCCATCTAACGAGCCTCTTCTCGACTGGTTCGGATTTCGTGGCGGGTAGCCATTACCACCATTCATGGGTCTTGGATATCCGTTGGGCGGGCCACCGTTCATAGGGGGAGGGCCCCTTCGCATTCCTGGAGGAGGGCCGTTCATTGAGGGTGCTCGCCCACGACCTCTGTTAGGAGGACCGTTGCCATTGGGGGCACCATTCATCATGGGCCGGGGCGGAGGTGCAGAAGATAATCTCATCGGAAGTGGCCCAACTGCTGGGGATGGAGCCGGAGGAGCATCTTTCCTTTGCTGATTGACAATGTTTAGGTTGTGTAGGATCGCATACAACGTCTCAATTCGTGGTACGCGCACTCCAACCGTTTGTGCGAGCTTGATGGGAGAACCAAGATATGTCTCAACCTCCATTGGACGTTTGGCGGCAAAATCTTGATACATAATGCTATTCGCTTCTGTCGGTTTCACCATGTCTGCCATTATTTTCTGTTTAAAATCTGCTGGAAATCTGCACTCTTGTGCTTGTGCGATGGCCAATAACTCGTCGACAACTTCGGAGACAAGTGCTTTGACGCCAACCTTCTCCAGTAGCGCAGAGTGCGACGGAGTTTCGAATATTACGCTTAAGGGGTGGAAAGAAATAGGACTAAATTTCAAAAATCAGTAAATGGACTTCGGATTGCATCGGAATTTTGTGCTTACCCAATCATACGCTCATACTGTTGTTGCCTAATATTACTGGAAACATGACAATCGACCTGCCCACTACTTAAAGTCATGGCTAACGCATCTGCCATATCGTTTTGAATTGTGCCAGGCATCGAAGGGTTCTTGTTGGCCGGGCCAACCCAGATTTCCGTCGAGCCCTTATGCTCAAATTCGCTCACGCCTAATTGTGTGATCTCTGCTCCTGAAACGAGTGACAAGACGACATTGCTGGGAAATCTCGATTCGAGATGTGCTTCGACCCCTAAAGTATGTGTTGTGTTGACAAGAATGCATGTGTGCTGCGGAGTGACAACAGATTCAATGACAGCCGCAAGGTCGTAGACATCTGGAAGCGCTTTCACGCAGAGCAGAACATAATCGAAGGCTCCTTCTTTACCGTTCGCGGCCTCTTCGGGAGCACGAACCACTACACCAACACATCAGTATTCCTCTTCCAATTCATTCAGCAGAACACATACCGTGGCGAGGTTTGAATCGTTCATTGCCGAAAGATGGTGACCTAAGAGCAAGTTAGTTGTCTGCGAATTGTAGCCACCAAATTGTGATACTCACTTGAACGATATCCCATATTGTGAGACCGCGTCGAATCCCGATTTCCACACCAGCGTCACGTCACAGGCATTCGTGGCTTGAAGCCGCCATGAGAGAAAAGCCGATACTGCGTTGCCGCCCACTACACACACCTGTATTAGAGATCTATCATCCATTTTGGGCATCGCAATTGATACATAGACCGCACAGAGAAATGCGATGGAGCGTGAGATGCAATAACAAGAGCTGGCTCCTTTTCTCTGGCGCTATTCGACAAAAGTGGAGATGCGTTGGACCAAAAAAAAGGTTGGCGGATGGAGGAATAACTTACCTGAAAGAATCCGCAACCGCGGAGGAGAGGGAGCCATGGCTATCGGATGATGGCTGGTGACGGCTGGGTCGAGTCGGCCAGGTCTTAGAACTGCAGCTCTGTTGGCTCACGGTTCCCGTCAGGTTCTCTGACCGTGATCCGCCTCTTGCTGTCGCCAAAAAGGTGTCGAATATAGTTTGTTGCTTTTTTCCCTTCTCGGACAGGACTCTCGGCACTAACGGGCTGGCACGAATAGGAGGATTTAGTCAGGGACAATCCAGGGACCGACAGGCGAAAGAGAGACAATTGAGCGTGCTGTAACGAGCGTGACGCCGTAGAAGACAGCGGGAAATAGAGGTTCGAGAGTCAGAACGAGTGTGTTTGATGGCTGAGACGGACGAAGTGGGTAGAAGTATATGAGTGGATGGGCGTCGACGGGTGGTGGAAGGCGGAAGTGGAGGGAGGAGAACCACCGGCGGGCGTGTCGAGCGTGTATTCTTGCAGCAGCGTGAGTGCCTGGGGGAGCAGCGAGGAGGAGGGATGGGATGGGATGGCGGATTGTGAATGGCAGATGCGGGATGCGGACGGATGTATGGGAGAAATTGTGAAAAGGCCGTTCGCAAGGAGACGACGGAGAGCTGGCCTGGGCGAGGAACCGCGTGGAGCAGGCGAGTTCTTGATTCCGGAGGCAGCGCAGAGCAGCGAGATCAGGACTTTCTTGCTTTGCAAACCCAGGTTGGGAGAGATTAGCTTTGCCAGGGATATAAAGTGGGCCGCTGACCGGCGTTATACTGCCCTGTTTACCGATGCTGACTGATTAGGTCTGGATACCTGGGTAATCGAGCAGCGTGTTGGTAAATTGTGGCTTAAACGTTGGTAATTATGCCTTGAACAACATCTTGAATAGCCGCCAACTGCATTTGAGTTTATCAAATTAAAAGGATGCCGTTGTCAGCACATAACCGTATATCTCGCACTCGGACTCGTAAACGTATTCGAGCAATTTTGTAGAATACACTTCTGAAGTTTAAGCTGAGAGAGGATCTACTTGATTGAATGAAAACATTGATACCATATCACAGCTACATGTGGTCTGCTCTATAATTCCTACATACCTAGATAGGTAAATCTTCTACTTATATCAGCCAAGTCCGTCACCGCTTTTCACGTCCACCACTCTACTCTTTCTTCGTACCCCACTCCTTTAGCGCTTATCTTCAATGCCCCAGCTCAATTCGCGTTCACAGACTCGAAAGCCATCAACAACCTCACTTCCAGGAACCTCTTCTACTTCAACCCATCTATCTGGAACCCCTCTTGCATTCAAGCACGCTTCCACTCACGCAAATGCGACTCACAACACAACATCACGACAACAGCAGATCTGAAACGGGCGTTCTACTGCGGCTCACGACTCCAAAATATCACGTCAAAAGGATGCTCTAGTCATAACCGCAGAGCTGTTGGCATATGACAGCGCGGCGTGCCACTGGAGAAGTACATTCCATTCCAACCAGGCCCTCCACCCTTCTTCTGATGTAGCACCGATATGCACGACCACTGTAGGGCAGACAGGCGGAGCAGCGAATAATGTCAATGAGATACATGAATTGATCAATTACGACCTTTGACCAACGCCTTCATCAAATCGGTTTGGACACGTCAACACGCCCAGTTCGAGAAACATGGAGCATTGTCAAATATTGCCATTGTACTCCAAGACACTCTATCCAAGTTATTCTTCATCCCGCACGGTGATCTCGAATGATAGTTGTCTCTCTTTCCAGCTTGACAGGGAGACAGTTCTCACCTACGCATACGAATAATGCAAAGACACGAAAAGGTTGAGAAACAGCTTCCACAGCAGTCATGCAGCAGTCATGCAGCAGACACTCAACCACCTGCTATTGTGTCACCACCGCCGGATGCACCTTCAATTCATTCGGCACATTCTACTCAAACTCAACTCGGTAAGTCGCGCCTGTCAGCGGGAGTGGCCGTTGAGGTGGCTGTGGCAATCTGGGCAATCTATATGAATATCTTTTGCTTGCAAAAAACGGCTGTGGGAGATAATAAGATTGAAGCCACAATACAGGGAACATCTCGGATGAGGCTGTGCGGAGATTCTCACGATTGATCATACCCCTACTTCGTATAACCATGAATAAACACCAGTGGGGCGTCTGTGCTTTACACTCGACTTTACCTTTTACAGTAATGATGAGTCGAATCCTCAACTGCTTATTGGCGAGAAATCCTTGTTTACCGTAACTTCTAGAAGACCCACCGGTGTTTATTCATGGGTATACGAAGTAGAACACACCCCAGTACATCCAGAATAATACCAGACCGTCTACGGCATTTCAGAGTTCGCGAGAATGACTTATTGACGACCACCGATTACAGCGTATCTTCGCTGCGGAATCTTCAAATATGCGAATTGACGCGTCATTCACCGGATTACAAGAGTCAATTTTACTTCAGAGCACTAGCACGACTGGTCTCTTGATCCGGATTTAAACTTTGCAAATCCCCACCTCCTACTCGGTAGCTCAACGTTCTGCCAACAGACAAACCCCTTGCAAGTCGTCAAACCATGCCGCAAGAGCGTTCAAATATCCCCAGGTCAGCAGCCTTGTCAAATCACCTAGGTACAGATTGCGGTCCTCTACTACGGCATCAAGTACTCGAGTATCTGTGACAATAATAATCTTCATGGAAAGCATCATCAACAGTTCACAAAAAGAATTCGATTACAACCCTGCAAAGCCACAAGGCTCCAGTCGGAGTATTTCTTTATCTGTCTCCAAGGGTAGTGCAGACAGACGAATCGACCTGTCCTGATAACGATTTTCGCATGCATGTCCGGCTCCATTGACATTCCGAACTGATACCCCTTTTCTCACCACGCGGATGGACCGGACATATATCGAAGCTATTCAAACCCATCAGCGCCTGAGTCTTGAAATATCACTTTCTTGACAAGAAATATCTCAATCTAGCGCCGGCATACTTGAAGATTCGCACATTCTTAATGGTGGTTTATACGAAGTACTTTTGACCTACCTCCCCCTCCAATATGGTGGACACACACAGATAATTTCGACAATGACGTTGGTAAAGCTTTGAAGGTCGCGCAAAACTCGATTCCCCCTGCTACGCGTCGTCAAGGATATCTGAACCCCTACCGCTACGGATTTTCTTCTTCAATATTTCATCCAAGAAATGCGCCCAACGAGCACAGTGGAGTCGCAATTTTGCACATCTTCGCACAGGTTATAATTTGATCAATGTAATAGATAACACTGTAGTCCAGACAACAGAATGCTTCTAGACTTGAGATGCTTTAGAAAAGAGGTATGAATTTAGATTCGTTTGTTCCTGAAAATCTCTGAAGCGAGAGTGGACTGACGTCCAGGGCCAGGTTGATCCGATTCGCACAAGCTAGTGATGCACGCGAGAAGGTTGCACTTTTTCTGGAATTACAGAGCACGAAAGGATATGGTTGGTCCAAGTCCTCGCGTCTCACTTCGGTAATTATTCGATTGTCGATATATAACCCGGACAGCCCCAAAGATTGTGCTATTTTGGTAAAGGGCAACGTTCGATGGGAGGCAAAGAAATAGCGGCTACGCGATCGGTCAACTTACGGTAGAAAATTCAGTTTGCGACACCTATGATACCTTCGCACGATGTGAGCTGCTGCATTTTCGGAATTACACACGACTTCTGAAACGTTCAGCCAGCTCAAGCTTCCAAGCCATGAGGTGGTGAAATCGAAAGTATATGGTGGGGAACCTTTGAGTAACCTCCTCATAATTTTCGTACCTGCAATAACAACAAGCATTTGCCAAGCGCCATTCACATTATTGGCATCTTGTATACCCTCGCCGCATTATCTTGCCAGAAGTACAATATTATATGAAGTCTCTAATGCTGATCCCTGGCATAGATTCAGCGCAGTAGCTATGGAGTTCGAAAAATGCTTCTTCGAGTAAAGCCGAATCCTTCTCCCGGCGCGCAGTCAGCTGTTCGAGATGCAATTGGTCGGAACTTAATCAAACAGTTTTGACTAACTCCAGAAGTTCTTCGTTCTCAACTTCTTGCTCACAAGTGCCAACTTTCAAAGTTCGACATGTATGCCAAGACCGAAACTGAATATCAGAAAGCTAAGAGGCTAGGGTGCAAATTAAAAGGGGTATAAGGATGATCGGCACTTACGAAACCCCGGCTTACCACTCAAGCCGATTGCCACTTCCCCGAGGGGTGTTGATCAATATTGTATTTCCAGCGGTCAGTTCTACGATATTACCGATGACAGCATATCGAGTTGACATGGCGCTCGAAAGACTATAGCAAGTGCCAAGATCTGGAGAAGTCCTCGTACTCGGCTAGCAGGACGGCATGGGAGAGTTGTCTTGCACTTGATATTGCCACCATCGTACGGTACGTCGTGATTTTCTTGTATTATTGGTGAGACTTGTTCTGAAATCTACCTGGCAAAAGCGCAAAAGTCTTTGGTGTGCTTATTGCACAATTAGATTTCAAGGTACGCGCTTAATGGAAGATAGATATAGTCATCGGGCTAGACAAACGGTATCTGGGAAATTTCCATCTTTATTTTTTCCCTACAGAACGAGAGGCTAGAATTGTTGGCAGAGGAAAAGTATCTCATTCAACAGCAACAGTTATTCCGCAATACATCAATTGCCTGCTTGTCTTTAGCAAATGGCACAAGCACTGCATATACGTGCGGTTCCTTAGGTGCACAAGTCAAAACCACAACGTTGCGCAACATGTGCCTCGTTATTTTTATGCCATTGATTTATTTCATACGACGTTTACTTGTTTCAGAGTTACTATTTTCGTGTCAAGATATCGGAGCTTTCAGTTACTCTCAGTAATTGATTTTCCTAGTGTGATCCTTAATTCGGAATTCGCTGCTTGATTTCGCAGTCACCGGGTGGCAAAATCTGAGCCTCATGTGGTTCCGGTATTTGCTGTTTAGATATTTGCATCTTTGGCGCGATCGTCGAGATTCTTTTCTATTATTAGCATGTCTTCTCTTTTACAATTTTCTTGCCACTTTGAACATTTACACATGTTCCTGTTTTGTGGTTATGTTACGCTCAATCAGTGTTGATTTTCAAGGCTGTTGCCCTATCGCAGCTTCAAGTAGAGAAGATCTGCCCTGACAAAAGCGTCAGCCACAGGATCTACATTTAAAGTTAACGAAGATCCGGAGCATTTCTTACATTCTCTTAGAAAGCCGTATCATCGAGCAGAGGCAGATTCGAACATCGTATTATTCATTGTCTGCTTTTAGAAACATGTTGATGAATTACGGGATTGGCGTTTTCAAGATCGAAGAAGACTACCCCTGCACGTCCTCCCTACCATGTTCTCTGGGACCGAATACGCATTCTGACTTTCCTTCAAACTACCAGATCAGGAAGTGTCCTTCTCCTTTCTTCTCCTTCGACCGAATCCAGAAAATAATTGCGATGGATCTGAGTCTAGGGCCAAAAGTCAATCCAATTCGCTTAGCGGACGGAGATGATTCTTAAAACGCGGGATAATGGGACATTGCCATGTTAGTTCGCTACCGAATTCTTCCAATTTCCCATGCACGATTTCCTTGATTTCCAACGGCGGGATGTTTTGTTTCCGAGAAAATTATGATATTGTTCGGTACTTCGTATCCACAACTTCGTGAGGTTCGGATTTGGATATGGGGGCGAATTAACTGCAAAGATGTTTTTGGTCAAATTTTGTTGGATTGAGTTGTTGGGTTTACTTGATACTGCTTTGCACTTTTGATATTCTATGTTGTCGCTGCTGATCAAACATCTATTCTTATTCCACATCCGAAACCCTGTACTTGCCTACTCAAAGTTCTCTACCCACATCCCAAACGCAATTTATCACCATACCACATCTTTCTCAATCCTTGCATCCATGAAAGACCCTTTCTGTTTCCTCTAACCCAAAACAAACACCAAGTGAACATCCCCTATCTCTATCCACAAGCACGGCCACGGCCACCACATCCGAAATCCCATCCCACAATCCCATCCCATTCAACCCTTCCCCATCCGGAACAACTCACAACCGCCATCCAATCTCTCACCCAACCATTCCCATCCAATAGACCCTTCATCCCTTTTCAACCTCGTGGCGTACTACCTACCGGTATGACGGTCCCCAACCTAAAAGGGAAAGAAAGCAATACGAATGCCGTTTCCATTCGAGGTACATATGCTCCGGAAAGTTTTTAAATCTCCGAGAGGCGGTTGGGTGGGAGAGATAGGGACCTATCAAGGGGTGCTTGGCTGATGGGAGAAACGTGGGTTGGGGGTTTGGGTGGTGGAAGGGGGGTCTGCGGTCATAGGGGGCGCGTGGTTGGGGGTTAGGTTGGTTTAGCCGCGAGGGGGTTTGGGGGGTTTAGGGGAGAGATGTTGGTAGGGTGAGTGGTTTTTGGATGAGGCGGAATGCGGTTGGGTTTCGGAATGTTGAGATTCCGTTGAGCGTTTGGGGCTAAGTGCTCGAGTGGGAAGTGATATTACTTGTTGCTGCTGGGCGAGTAGGTGAGGTACGTACAAAGCATGACTTTGCTTCTGGTTGGCTTTGTGAGCAGGCGTACTAACGAGACTCACTTCCTTTGTCAAGTTTCCATACGGACCATACGGAGGTACATGTGGAGTTTCAAGTCATCACTACATTGCGTTAAGCAGGCAGGATGCTGCGAGACTGATAGAATACCTTTTACGGCACACGACCCATGAGCCTCGCCCAAAGACATACAAACACTCAGCGTATCCAAGGAAACGCTATTTACTGTCACGTTTTTATCAAGTTGAATTTACCTATTCAGGGAGGAAGGTAAGCTAGTCATTTGCTAATATCATTACACTTGATGTATCCCATCAATTCGTAGTTCACCGAGGAAGTGTTCCTTTCTTGATACTCAAATGATCTAATGACAAGTGCTAGAGTCGTTAAGAATTTCCAGATGATTGGGAACGTGGAAGTGTTTCAATCAATTCGGCCAGTGCCAATTAATGTGACCAAGCAACTTTTTGCCACGGCAAATATATCCCTAAGACCATTTACGCTGGCTGCTGGGCCATTTCTTTGTTCTGGCTGATCCATCTCCCTAGTATAGCAGCCTCTTCTGTAATAGCTAGTGTAATGAAATGCCACAAATTCTTATTTGAGCCATTGACCTGTTGTTGATTTAGCTCAGAATCTCCAGAAAGCAGAGCTCATTGTGCAACACAAGATATCGAAATGTGAACTCGATGATGGATTTTATCATAACACAGAGATCCGCTCAAAAGTTATTCAGAAGCTCGACGACTGACGTGGAATTAGGATAGCGTGTTAGTCAAAGTTGAAAGAAAGCAGAATTCATCACTACATCTTCGTAAGCGCACTAGAGTCCGTCAGAGGAGGTCAATGGCCCGGCATACATTCCTTGAACCCATCTTCCTTGCTGGAATTGTTCAAGATTATTATATCGAGGTCCTATGAACAAGATATTTCAATCCTATGAGCTCCAGTGCTAGTTTGTAATATTATAATTGAGCAGTCGGAATTTTATTAGCAGCGAAGATTTCACTCGGTATAAGTCAAGTCTCACGAGAAATTTGAATCTACAGTTTTTCACTTACTAATTCAGAGTAAGTAGTCTCGCCACAGTATTTACAAAACCTCAAGCTTAAAAAAAGAAGATATATAAACAACTTTACACAAATCCAAGTATATCGTTTCCTTGCAAGACCTAAAATGTAGATAAACTTCTACATATCACTACCCAAGAAGCGTAGGTATTACAAATAAGTCATTGATACTTACATGTGATTCCAAGTCGCTCTTTTTGTGTTACTGTTTGGGATTAGGCATCTCTGTTGGGTGAGTAAAACTTGAAGAACTAACAATCAAAGTTCGGCGACAGTGTGATATTACAATACGTTTCCCATGTCATGTATCTGTCTTGTTGAATTTTATTATGTCAAGTAGTTTTCCGTTAAAATATTTGGTGTATTGTCTGTCAGTGTACATGAAAAGTTTGGTCGAATTTGTCCCTCTAAAAATTCTGTCACAATATCGTCTTACAGTAGAATACCTAGTTGAATTTCCCCTCAAAAAGCAATTCTCAATCGTCGGTGGACTTGAAAATTTCAGTCGAGTTCTCCTCTCTGTGATATCTGTTGTAAATTCGGCATCCAAAACACACCTAGCAAGGCGAAATTCGTCTTGTAAACCTCTATATCTAAAATCATATAAATCATAAACTCAATGCGTTGATTTGGTGTAATGAAGATTTAAAGGTAGCTAAATCCTTTGTCAGTAACGATTCGCATTAAAGAGCAAATTTGCTTTGTTTTCCCTTTTTGGTACCCTCGTGGTGGACAAAATAAGTGATAGTCGAAACACTATGTTTCTTCGACTAAGTTGACGAAATATCGTATATTTAGTGGATTGATTTGGAACATTCACATATTCCGTCAATTCTTTTGAGTAAATAAGACTTCTTAAGCTCTATTCAAAGTCGACCTATTCAGTCCAGGATTAGTGGATAGGTGACTGACACGCATCTTCTTCCTCCGCGAGGTACCCTTACGTCACACTTGCAAAGTGAGATTGGATAGCTTTCAAAATCGACAAGGCATGTTCATTTTAGGTCGTGGTTTACAGTGCTGTAAGAGATATTTGACAAGTTGCTTTGTCTTGGATGTTGTATCCAAAAGAGTTCACAAACGAAACCCCTGTAATTCCCTCCGTGACCTGCTGTCAACACTTCAAGTCGGCCTCTCTACCTTTTTTTCGTAGTTTCCGGATAGAAATTTCAACACCCGACTTGATTTTCCGCTTTTGGTCTTCTTGAGTTTTCCAGTTTCCAGGCTATTAACAACTGGTGTGGAGGATTCACCTACTTCGACTTCTCCTCTAGTCCTGTCAGACCTTTCTTCCTGCGTAGGTATGACGGGCTTCTCCTGCTCATGCGCTGTTGTGTGACTATATGGAAAAGCCGACTTAGAATCTCTCGAATCCAGTTCTGGAATGAGCCACATGTGCATCGTGATTGACCAGCCTGGTTCGATCATTCGCTCCTAAATCCGAGGGAGGATAATTTCTCCATTGGGGCCTATCAGATCATAATGACCATCAGATACATGAGTTCCGACACCCTCAACATTTACGAAAGCGTACCTGATCAATTCTTCCATAACCTAAAGGTTATGAGTATTTTAACGTTTTGTGATTGATAGGAGAACGTAACTTACAGGCCATGTTGCACACAAAATGAATGGGAACCTGAATTTTTGACCTACACAATCTGTAAATATCAATGGTACCCGTCCATCTCAGGTCTCAGTTTACAGTACTTGTAACATGTATATGATTATTTGTTTTCTCTTGGCTTTGTATCTTACAAGAGTCCTTGAATAAGCCTAATAATTCCCTAAGCGGGTTGCGATTAACACTTTAATTGACCACTCTACTTTTGTTTCATGTCTACAGTTAGGAAATCTAAGATTCTTCCTTCTGCCCTGCCTTTGCCCTTATTTGATCTGAAATGCTGGCGGTGGATGCGTCACTGCCGGAATAGCCTGTCTGCCTGGCGTTTCCACTCCCTAATCCGTAAGTCTCGACGCAGATTGGCGACTTGCCATGTATCAAGTCTTTACTCCATGAGGGAAGCCAGCTTGGACTTGAGGCGTCAGACAGAGGATTGGTTGATTGTACCAGTGACTCTCTATCACTCCAAATTTGGGAAGATTTCGAACGCCAGTCGAGGATAGTTGGACGATCACCATCTGAAGGCTGTAAAACTTTTTGGCTGTTGTTGGAGTTGGAATTTTGCTCGTCAGTGCAACCACGTGGAATGGCAAATAATGCCAGCTGCTCCATGTGCGCACCAACATGCTTGACATATTGTTCAGGTGTAACACAGAATTGTTCCCCTGGGAGGAGTTGCGGATTCGACTCCCTCAAAGCTTGCTCCCAATCATTGCAAAGAGGACACTCGGGCGGAATTTTCGTAGATAACGATTGCTGGCTCATGTCAAGAATCGTAGGTAAATGAGCGGCAGCGTCCTCACCCAAACGGGATTCGTGTTCGCATCTCAGGTGTTCTTCATACTGTGTTGCTGACTCGAATGTAAGACTCTGCAACGAACAAAAAGTGCATTTCCAGTTTCGGCGGTGTTCCTTAAGCTCATGCGAGAACCAGCTATCGTGGTCTGGGAACAATCCCGCTTCACAATCGTCAAATGTGCATACATATGGTCTTATATCAGACCAGACGTGCTTCCTGATAAGTCAAGATATTAGCGTGTAAGTCTGTGAGGGCTTGTAGAAAATACTCACTTCCAGTACTTTTGAGACTTTCGAGTCTGAGTTTGCCAACAATAGGGGCATTCGAAAAAAGGCGCCTTTTGACAGATGCTATCGATGTGGGCAACATGTAGGCGTTTATGATCGGGATCCTGGCCAGTGGAGGTTGCATAAGATGTTTGGGAACGAGTTTCTTCCACAAGATGATCCTCTATTATGGCATCGTTCGTTGGCATCAGTGTCGAGGCTTGTGTATCGGCCTTTGTACTGGTGGGTTTTGCCAGTGATGACGGGAAATTAAATGAGTTGTTCAGTTGCGATGCTCGTACTCCAAGGGTTTCTGATTGAGGATCCTCCCCTTGTGGATCGGCTGCCGTCTTAGATCGATGTTCTCGGCAATACCAAAGATACATTCGTCTCTGGGTGATTGCTTTGCCAAGTCGAGTAGCTAGCCACTCTTTGGCAGCAGATTTCAGGGCGGGGAATTTTTGGTACACGTGATTGATGTCAAATGTTTCGTCAACAGGAAATCGAATAGTTGCAGCCGCTGACGCTTTGGCATACATATCGCGGCCAGAACTCTGTTGAATGGTTGCCGAAAATCGAAACAAATTGTGAATCACATCATCTATTGCCCTGACGATCTCGTTGATTTCAGACAGCTCATCGTCAACCTCATCATGTTGGTAGTCATCTCCATCATCCGATAATGCTTCTGCAGTACGGTTTTTTGACTCTCCCGAAGCGATCGAGCAAGCTATAGATGTATGAGCATGGTATCTACAACGTGATTTGAAGGTGTTTTTGGTTGACTCGCCTTCCTCCAGGGACTCTGCCAACTCGTCCAAGAGGTCTGAGATTCGCTTGCTGACCCGGACATTCTCGCGCAACCTAATATCTATCGATGTCTTCATAGTATTGGGATGAAAAGCGCCGATATTACCAGCCCATAACTTGTACCGCCCAAGAAGATCCGTCATCTGCAACTGGTATTTGTCTTCTAGTAAATTCTCTGGATGCTCTAAAAAGCGCCCGAAAAGTTGCAGACACCTTGCCGCTCTCGACGCCAGTTGCGAGTCCATTGCTGTTGAAAATATAACAAAAGGCTGTGGCATACTATGATGCTAAGCTGGGGTCGAGAGCTTATATGTGAGATGAGGAATGGCATTACGACATCCGGTCGCAGCTCGGCATGGTCGGGGGGAGTCACATGGTCTTAGAATTACAACCGGCGCAGGCGCGATTACCATATTAGGCAATGGGGCCCAGGCTTCTAACCACGCCGAGCTTTTCTTAACTCCCCAATCGTGTTAAGGTCTATAAGGGTCTCTGGTAGAACACTTTCGTCGATTACAGGCTTTAGCAAGTTGGGAACAGCCTCCTATTAGATCAGAATCCTCGGTAAACAGTTCTGAAATTTTCGGATTCTCTATCGACCTTAACACGGCTCGTAAAGAGCAACATAACTAACAGGAACCTCCTGTATATTCCGTTACCTTAAGAGTTAAGAGGAATTGAAAAGTTGTAATTGTTATCTCATGTAATTCAAAGCCAACCCTCGTAATTTGCTGAAAACGTTCGACGAAATGTGTGATATTTTGTCAACTTACTAGAATAAATATTCGTGCTTGGATTGCCAATTATTTTGTCCACTACGAGCACGCTTAGGGAGCTCGCGGAGGATAAAATAAGTGGCAGTCGAACTAGAACAGTTCTTCGACTAAGTTGACGAAATATCGTAATTTAGTGTATTATTTTAGGACATTATAACTATTTTGTTAACGATTTTTAAGTAAATAAGACTTATTAAGCTCTATTAATGTAGACTTATTATTTATTCTATAATTTATAGGTAGATAAATATTACTTATTTTATTCTTTATAAGAGAAGTTAACGTAAGCTATTTACTTAAGAACAGATATAAGATAGAAAACGACTAAAATAATTAGTAGTCGAAATATAAGATTTTCTTAAATTAGTCAAAGAAATATCGTATATTTAGTGATCCGACTTGACACACTATTATATATTCCGTCAATCATTTCAAGTAAATAAGAGCACCGTATGCCTATTCGAAGTCTACTTATTTAGTTTAAAGATTAGTAGGTAGATGACTGACACTTATCTTGTCACCCACAAGCCGCCCAAGTATTCTGTGTGCGGACAGAAGTATAAAGATCCCAAGAGCATAGATATCAAGGAGGACCAGTATTATGTAAGTTTGAGGTTGACCCGACTTTGTTGGAGTTACACCTGAATTATTGATACATATGGTTCTGCACGCTGCCATTCCAATCCAAGGTGCACAAGAGGTTGAGTATGCCTTCCTCCTTAACGGGCAACGCAGGAAGGCACACTCAACCTGAAGATTACAGCCTTCAGCCTTGTGCAGCGACCATCCCAAGACGACATCCCATCCTGCATTCGTTCAATCATACACGCCATCCATCCAATCTCATCAACAACCTCAATCTACTTCAAAGCTGAAATGACTGGGGTAGAGGCGGCTGGGCTAGCCTTAGGGGCAATCCCCCTGCTGTTGTCAGCGCTTGATCACTGTCGACAAACAGCAGATGTACTCAAGACATGGTGGAAGGTCAAAGTTGATTACCGTAAATGCATGCATGATCTCACCTATTATACGGATGAATTAAAGAGCCACCTGGAGGAACTGCTTCTTCCAATGATCGCTGATGATAAGAAGCTCAAGCAATTGCTGGATGAGCCAGGAGGAGCGGCCTGGTCCGATCCCGAATTGGAAGCTGCACTGCAGCGAAGAATGCCGTCAAGATATGAGTCGTATGTCAATACAATCCACCTGATATGTGATCTCATGGAAAAGCTGGACAAAGCGCTTGGAACAAACAATTTGGAATTCCAGACTTACGTATCTGAAGACCCAGTAAGTTGCAGCCCAATCAACAGGGGACACATATAGTAGGTATATATGAAGGTGTAGACATAACTGACTGTGGTCGCAGACTTCCAGTGCAAACGGCATGCCACGACGAACTCTCGCACGGCTAGCACCTATAACACTAAGTTCAAACAATTTGAGAGCACAGCCTCAAAGACTCCGACATGCTCTTAACAGATCTGTGAGAGAAGAGCTCTTCAAGAGATTTGGTGAATACAACTCCCGCTTAGGGAATATACTCGGAGCATCAGACCGAGTCTCGGGCTTGATTGAAGCGCAACCTGCGGAAACGAATGCTTTGGAAAGAAGCTTGAGCAAGATTTGGTATCATGGGAATGAGATATACAGGCTGTTGGTAAAGGCATTCCCATGCCAATGTGAGCCTCCGCATCAGGCAAATATGCTTTTGCAGCATGCATCTCTTCCAACAGTTACTTTTCAAATGATTTTCGGGTACAAAGCACAGTTGTCAACGCGACAAGTTCCCTGGACCTGGCAACTGACAAGCATTAGTCTGATGGATGAGTCGATGAATGCTCCCGGAACACGAGATCCAGCTAGCCCAGCAGAGCCACTACCGAATGTAAACCAGAAAGACAACCCGAAGTCTAGGCTCGGGACTTTATCCAAATACTTCAAAAGCAAGATACCAAGACCCTCAACGAAGATTAAGAGTGCCCCAGCTATTGAGAGCATTGATCCCACTGGTTCAAATGCTAGGAATCTTTCAGAGCGAGCACAAGTAGCTTTTTCGAGAGGAGAAATTAACGACGGCTTAGCCAACCCGTCGCATGAAGAGATTACCAATTTGTGCGAAAAGATATGCTCGTGTTCGGCCGACCTCAGACCTTACGGCATTTTGTCAGAAGAATCCAACCGATACATTATCCAGCCACTTAACAAGTCACACAACGACCCTCTGAAACAGGTGACACTTGAAGGTCTTCTCTCGACCAAATCTAAACGGCCACTGAACAGGACAGAGCGTTTCAAAATTGCTTACATCCTCGCCTCGTCCTACCTACAATTTTCCTCAACGCCCTGGCTCAGAACAAAATGGAGCAAACGAGATGTAATCTTCTTCTATGATCACGAAAATGAAGACGGTATTTGCATCGATCACCCATATGTCTCCAAAACTCTCTTGGGTAGACCGTCAAACGTAAAAGAGCTTTCGGGAATAAACACTACAAGCACTATCGCTTTCCGGAATGGGATACGTAGTCTGGCTGTGATCTTGCTTGAGCTTTGCTTTGGTCAATGCATCGAGGATACGGCAGATTGGAAACATCTGTTTGGGAATTTGAAGAGATGTGATGAGCAATTGAAAGAGCGTTTATGCTATAGCGTGGCAGATAATTGGAGCGGCCGTGTGCTTGGCGAGGCAGGGCCAGAGTACATGGGCGCAGTAAATTGGTGCCTGCACCATGTATTCTACGGCGGTGCCGACGAGAAAGATGGTGCCTGGCGGGAAGATATGCTTCGAAGGGTGGTGGGTCCTCTGAGGGTCTGTCATGGCTATCTCTGCGGCACTGCTCAGGTCGGATTTTAATGAATATCAATCACATGAACACCCCTGACACTCCCAATGATTCCAATGTTTCAAAGAAAATATGCAGCCTCTGGACACGTAATCAAAACAACACTTTTTTCTGCCCTGTATCTCCAAAATCTCGACGACGAGTACGATGTGGAGTGCATGATTCCCGACGATTAGCCTCGCTCCATATTTGACGACAGTGAGTGACACTTTGTCCTGACGAAGGCTAGTATGCCGTGCACGGTACTTGCGCTCCTAGATGATGTTTCGGCAGCGGATGTTGTACATTGAGACGCTGGACTGAACAGGGGTATCGTCTCTGATAGGTCAGAGTCTCACAGATGATTGATGTAGTGATAGTATTGAGCCTCAGAAAATATAGTGAAATTCCGGGCTAGGTAGCATTCATTCGACTAAAGAGGTTTGCTACTCGCTTGACCTGACCGACAACTATCTGCAGTGACAAATTAGTAGCTATCCGTCCCCAGTATAAGAATAGGAAGACTTATCCCCCGTTAAGGAGGGGCTGCCTCCTAAGAGACAGCCCAGGACTACCCGACCACTAGGCATGTCCTCAATGTTTCAAGCCCTCGCACCCAAAGCTAGTCAAGTTCGTAGTCTAGAACATAGCGACTAAAGCCGTTGCCAAAAGTCCAAACAAACACTTCAGCACTGGACAGGTAAACAAGCACTAAGCTTTGACACCAACACAGGATGGGTCCCACCTGGCAGGCTATCATTGTTCCTCGGAGAATATAGCAGAAGCTTGAGCACATGTCAGCACCAGGATCAAAGCGACGAAACTCACCACCACATCGTGCTGATCGCACCCAAGCAACTCATATGTCTATGTTTTGTACTTTGATAACCAGTATGTTTGAGCTCAGTAAAGGCGCTGATTCGAGATCCAACGGCAGACCGGACGGCCAGATAAATCCAAGCAAGCTAGCTTGATGTTCCCCTGTGTGAGAAGCAGTACCCTCTGAGATTGGTTTTATGTTTCCTCTGTAAACACAGGGCAGAATACGGACAAAATACATCAACAAAAGCCGCTGGACATCCATGCATGGGAGCAACGAAGCACCACAAGGCAACAAGGAACTGTATCTCATTACGGTAACGAGAGACGATGTGCTGGCGTCCTCCATCACACTAGGACTGGGCCTAGGGGAGGAAGTTAATGCGGCTGGTAGAGACCTCGCAGAAGCGACAATGCCGTTGGCTGAGGCCGTGGCACAGGCTTTGTGACCTTACTGCGCCTGTGAAAGCGAGTATAGTTGAGAGAGGGTAGATACAACGCCCTTCGATGGCTGAGAGTAACCGACGAACAGGATGCAGAAAGATACTATGTCTCCTCAAAACAGGATCGAGGGATCTCATCTTTGTAGACTCAACAATCTAAGACATCAAGTGAGGTTGTAAGGCTCCGGAGCATAACAACTAGTCATTGTCAGTGCGGTTGCACTGACGGACATTCCTTTGCCTGGTGCTTCTGTTTGTGGGCTGTCGAAAGCTCGCTACAAATGCTAATGCAAGTGATTCCGACGAGCGCGATCAACACCATGAGACATCCCCGAAGAGAAGTGCAAGCAACTGCAATAGGATATCTGTTTGTAGACAATCCTGCAAGAGGAAGTTGTGCTCAGCCTCCAGCTCCTCACAAGATTCCCAGCTGTGTCGCCGTTCAAAGTGGATAGAGAATGCGTAACCGATTCCGCGTCAAGCTTGACAGACAAGACTGCTTCTTCAAAAGAGTCCGTATCCTTCCAACGTTGTATATCCTCAATGTATGGCTGGATCAACAAAAGCAGCCTAAGGTAACCAGAGTATTATGCCCAGCCGATAACCCTGACGAGCGTCCTCACATGAGGCTCTGACCGAAATGGCTCATAGGAGAGATCAGTTTTATCATCTTTCGACATCTGGACTATCCTCCCAGCGTTTCGATAACTCTGTTTCATGCAGAAAGCTCGACCTCGCGGCGTCGCAGATCTGCGCTCGACAAATGAATACCTAGTAAACTAGAAGGACAACTGTAAACCGCAAAACTAAAACCAACGAATACTTAGGGTTAAGTTCTGACCATCATATTTCCTTGCGGAAATTTACAATCAGAAAACTGTCGGGAGGGAGCCGTGCTTGGTTTGCGGATGCTCCGAGGAGCGGGAAACATCGATGCTGTTGCATTTGAGGATTGACTGGAAATATCGAGGGATTTGGTTCGCGTTTGGTGCTGTAGTTTCGGACTCGCGCGCCGATGTTGAGGGGTTCTTAAAAGTATCTGGTCATCTAGGAAGCTGAACATAGAGAAGAATTGTTGAGCTTTGCAATTGGCATTCGAAACGCAGTGGTTGGGATGAGTTCGTGTAGGAGAAGGGGAAAAATCGCGTTGATGGTCGTCGTTGGGCGCGTCGAGCATGATCCGTGCGCAATACTCTTTCAACGCCAATCCACGTGACTCTTCTCCTGCTTTCCACGTTCATCCTTTACAAAAGCAACCGGCGTGCTAGAAATCCGGATTTAGATCACGTCAACCATAATTTGTCGTCTCGACTGACAATTTTAATACTAAACATCATCGAGAAAGCAACTCTGATGCTGATCCCACGGCTACAAAAAACGAAATAGTGTGCCTCTTTTTCCCATCTTCCAGTTGTCATAAGACGACTTTGAATATCAAGTCATCAATTTGTTTCAATCTCTAATGGCGGATTCTACAAAACAAGGGCAGCCCCCCCTCGTCGACCGTATTCTACAGTGCGGAAAGCTAGCTTATGACCCTGATCTTCCGGTGGAGACTCGAGCACAAGGTCAACATGACTTTAAGGAGTTGATCGAAAAGTATGACCTCTCTGAAAATAGCAGATACAGTACTTATTCCTTTCAGTACAAAGACCACAGCTCTTTTGCCGGTACTGAATCTCTTGGTCCAGCCAGGACGAACATTACCATGGCTACGCACGCCCATCATGTCAACTCTTGCGCAAATACCCCTCAGACCTCGAGGAGTGCAAGATACAGTTGAGTTTGTACTTTCCATCCATCCGAGTTCTCGTGCTCGGCCATCAGACCAGCCGGAGAAACGTGCCAATATTTCTCATGAGGCTTTAAACGCCGCTTCTAGACTGATTTCATCGCCACCTGCGGGCATCTCGGCAGAAATCTGGTTCTCCAAGATTTCTCCTCAGCTGTTCTCCCTGCTACGGGGCGAAGGAGAGATAGAAATGGATAGAGTTGCCTCGTTCATAATTGGATTCGGTATTCTGGGCCGAAAACAGTACGGAGCCCCAGGTATGTTGACCCTTGATTTGTTTCGTGACTGGTGCTAATCAACCATAAGGAATGCCGGGTTGGAAAGCTTTTGTTGAGCCTCTGTTAGGCTGTATCGATCCTATGCTTGGTCCCAGATCAGACAACACCCCAAAACAGTCAGAAATCATAACACCAGGTGCTCCAAAGATACTAGTAACTTCAATGGAACTCGCGAATGCTCTCAAGGATTTGTCGACTCTCTTGAGTTCTCATCCTCATCCCTCGCTAGCAAAGAGACTACTCAGACCAATTCTGATGTCTTTGTGGGCATTGTCATCCTGGGCAGCGGATGATAAAATGGTTAAAACTGAATTTGTCCAGCCAGCAAGACATTTATTGAAGACCCTTGTACGACTTTGGCCGTCTTCGCCAGCGAACCCGACTTCAACGTCTGGACAGTTTAGTCCATCTTTACTCAATCTTGTTCTTCGGGATCTGCTGTTCAAGGGAACACCGGATGCTGGCCAAGCAAGTTGGAGATACGCGACAGGAAAAGCTGGGGCCATCCAGATCCAAAGATCCGAGAATACCGGCGCAATCCAGCCTCATCTGGACCAAGACATGAATCTGATTGATACCGCTGCCGATAAGTTTGTAGAACTCATGATCGACCTTTCAGAAACCCCTGATCTCGATAACGAGATTTCACAGTTGTTCATGGGGCTTTGTACCAAGTGGCTGTCAGACAATAAGAAAATCGAAAATGATTCAATAATCACACGTCTTAGTACCAGCCAACCCGACGAAGATGTAACACAACATATTATAGAAGCCAAGGTCATGCAGAAAATGATGTCTGCTCTACCTGAAAAACTTGTTAGCGACTCTCGTCAAGTGATACACTTGGTAAACCAAGTTTTCCGGGACTTTCTCGCGAACAGAAACGGTAGTATTGACTCATCAGCCGCGGTGGCTGTCGCATTGAGTTTACTCAATATAGTAATAACATCGACAAGCTTTCAAGTGTCTGCTGAAAACGAGCCGATCGATGCTATTCAGTCTAGTCTTGAGCATATAAGCTATCTTAACAATTCTGAAATATCGCCAACAGCACAAAATCTGCTACTTCTCCTCAAATTCCGCAACACTATTTCTTCGCCTGCGGAAACGGGTACAAAATCTACGGACCAGCAAATTGAGGACAGAAAATCGTACACTCTAGCGCTATCTTACTTGACAGCAAATGACTCCCCGCCACCAGTTCGAGTTCAAGGCCTTGAACTGTTGTCCTCTCTCCTCCGTTCAAACTCCTCTATACTCGATATTCCAGCACTTCTAGTTCTCTTCTCCTCTTTGCTCCAGGATCCCGAAGAATATATCTACCTCCGTGCAATTCAATCCTTCATTCAGCTATCGCAAAAGCATCCTAAGGCTGTAATGAAAGATCTCATCGATCGATACGTTGATCCCAATGAAGAGTATCAACTCGATCAACGTCTGCGCCTCGGCGAAGCGCTTCTTCAAGTGATTCAGAACAATCCCACAGCATTCGCAGGCGATACTGCACGCACAGTATGCGAAGGTCTCTTATTTCTAGCTTCGCGTCGCGGCAATAGACCTAAGACCGAGCAAGAGCAGATAAAGCGTAATAAATTGAAGCGCAAACAGAACGAGGAGGCTGAGGAAGCTTGGGAGGGTCCTGTACCGCAACTTGACGAAGTCCTAGAGATGGAAAAAGACAACGAGGAATTTTTGTCACAGATTCTTGAAGGTTGGGAGAGCAAACGCGGGAGTGAGGATTTGAGAGTTCGGGCATCGGCCATTGCGATTGCGGGAAGTTCTTTGGAAGTCAACATTTCGGGCATGAACTCAAATACCATAGCTACAGCTATTGATTTGAGCATTCACATCCTCACTCTGGAACCCGAGCCAGAATCTGCCATTGTTCGACGGTCTGCGATTTTGCTTATTCTCTCTTTCGTCAAAGCCTTGGATACTGCGCGCGATGAGGGAAAGAAAGTGGGCTTTGGTTTCGCGGGCAAAAGTTTGGAAGATATTTCGCGGATCTTGGCATACGTCTCTCAGACAGATAATGACGGTTTGGTCAGAGAACACGCGGAAGATGTTTTGGAGGGGCTCAAAACGTGGCAGATGAATTCTTTACTTCCCCAGCGAGGAGAGCCGCAAACCGAACTCAAGGAGCTTGCGGGCTTGAGTATTACCCCTGGCGGCAATCTTATAGATCAAAGTGGGAGGGTGAGACCCAGGATTGAAGAAATCGAATAACTAAACTCCTCTAAGGAGGCTTTCAAAGATCGTTCTCCCCTTGCACGAATGATTCAGTCTCCCCGTCAGACACCCTTGCAAGCGTACTTCGATGTGCAACAAAAAGCCGTGAACATTACACAAAGTCGGTACCTACTCGAACCAAACCCTAATATGGCCCCTGTTAGTATTTTTCGATATGCAACAAACAGTGAGTAGATGCTGGGTAAGGTCCAAGGTACCCTTGCAAGTGCTTCTCGATATGCGACAAAACCACATGGAAGGGTCTCAATTGCAGACTAATAACCCTGCAAGCTTTGTTCGATGAGCAACACATTCGTGAATAGCTTATGGAAGGTAGCCCTTGGAAGCACCCCCAACACTGCCGGTCTGTATGAGGTCAGGTGTGCTTGAGGAACCCCGGCAAGCGCTGTTCGGTGAGCAACAAAAGTAATTGACTTCAACCACGTATAGACACAAGACCCTGAAGTACCACTGTAAGGGATGTTCGATAAGGAACAAAGTGTATGTCTGCATAGTTCCAGCACACACGGGAGAGGTCACAGAAATTTTAGTGACGAGAGGTACATGTGAAGTGAGCGACAGCGACATACTTCTTAGAAGCCCTTCGTCAGTTGACCCTGAGAGTTGGTTCCAGAGATGCTTGCTGTTCGTAGCCAACAATAATTTGAAGTTCAATAAACCTCCTCTGTCGTTCTCTCAGAGAAGTACCCACTGATCAAGTGTTTGTGAAGGACCTTAAGATACTTCTCAGCCAAGCATTCGAGGCATGTAATCCGAATGAACAAACCAACCTCGGAGAGGAAACGGTATCAAGAAGACAGGCTTCAACATTGCCGAATTGCCGGTCGACATGCAAAACAGAAAGAAACCTTTCCTAAATTGCTATAGCTTCTAAGGGAAGAGCAAGAATTGCCGGTCGATATGCAACAATACTGGGGAAAGGTGTCCTAGAATGCTATAGCTTCGCGCCAACCGACAAGAATTGCCGGTCGACGTGCAACAATACTGAGAAGTAGATGTATGCTCTACCATAATCTCCGGGCGATTTGCAACAGACAAGCTTTTCTTTGAAGGTAGCTTTATGATATAATAATCTTATGGGTTTGGCTACTAAAAATCCCTCATCTGTCTTTAGAGGAACTAGGAGTCTAGTGGATGATCCCCCGGATACCGATTTGCAACAAAAAATGTACTAAGATCTGTTAGAAGGTAAGTGCAAGACACTTTTTCCTCTCTGGGAGTTAGTACAGTATTCTGACTACCGCTACTAGACTATCGATGTGCAACAAAAAAAAGGGGATAGGGAAGTTTGTCTACAAGCGTAGTAGTAAAGAGACGGTCTTGTGTTACCCCAGTGTCGAAGTACAACAGGAGACAGTGAGGTGAAAACCAGGGCAAAGCCGTGAAGGGGCTTGATCCTTGAATGAGAAAGATTCCCACGTTTTCACCCTTCAGCCTTGAAGACCTGCGAAGAAAACATCTCGAGGTGACGGAGAAGGTTAAAAGCGTAGGGGATGATCTCCCGCATCTCGGTGTGCAACAAAAATGAGAGTAATGGGGAACGCAGTCTGAAAAGAGCTTTAGTAGCAATACCGTCTTGTTCTACCCCTGTATCGAAATGCAACAAAAGACTACGAAGTGACGAAGTGGAAAAGAATAGCGGATGATCACCCGCATATCGAAGTGCAACATAAGAGGGAATTGATGAGGACCTTATTCTAGAGATGTATTAGCAATAAGACGGCCTTTCCTTACCCCTGTACCGAAGTGCAACAAAAGACTACGAAGTGACGAAGTGGAAAAGAGCAGCGGATGATCATCCGCATATCGATTTGCAACAAAAGACAAGAGTGATAGAGAAGGCAATCTGAAAAGGTATTAGCAAAAGGACGGTCTTGAGTTGCCCCTGTCCCGAACTGCAACAAAAATACTACGAGGTGACGAAGATGGTTAAGAAGCGTAGCAAACCCTTTCTGTAGCTCCCACGCTACCCCCCCTGCAAGCGTACAGACATGCAACAACACGATGAAGTAGACATGGGTTTTATTCCCAACCAGTAAAGGTTGGAAGATAGCTCGAAGACAGATTCTAACGGTCTTCAGAGACCGGCAAACCTAACATCCCCTGCAAGCGCGTAGATATGCAACAAAGCAGCAAGATGAACGAGGAATTCGTCCCCAAAAGAGTACTAGGAAAACACAGTCCAGAGGCTACCTCCCCTGCAAGCGTATAGACGTGCAACAAATTCCCAAAAGAAAGAGGCGACTCGCAAACACTTCGCAGCAATGAGATAGACCGAAGGTAAGCAAACTCACACAAGATCCTTGCCAATGCAGAATACCTCGAGGAATGCTTTGGAAGTGTTCATTCGTTGTACTTTACAGCATGCCTTTCGTATAAAGTTCTCAGTTTCAACTATCCCGTACCTAACGCCCACCGAGTCCTTGCGACAGGAAATTGAAGCTGTACATGAGTATCGTGAGAAATATGCCACCCACAATTGTACCTTACCCTGACGATTTCTCTAGCCGTCTGCAAGATCCACAAACTCTCTCTGAGCCTAAGCTCTCCAGTGTGAGAAACGTGAATTATTGCCACCCTCTCGACGAGCAACAAAACCAGAACACTGAGTCACAGCAGCTTAGCTTGGGAGCCGGCCTCTCTAAGATCCAAGGTAGTAAATGATAAACTCTTTTCAAAAGCCTAGCAAGGGTTTTCTGGCCAAACCTTCTTGGGGAACACTAAATATCCTTGCCACGACGAGCAACAAAAGCAGAGGAGTTGACTCAATATGGGTTGGTCTACGAGATAATTTGCGCGGGGACCTATTAGATTAAAAAAAAAAACCTTTGCGTAGACTGAACATATTTATCCGGCCAAACCTTTTAGGGATTCTAAACATCTTTGCCACCTTCCCGACGAGCAACAAAAGCAGAGGAGTTGACTCAAAATGGGTTGGCTTGACCGATGGAGTTTCAATTTTATCTGAAGAGTTTTTCCTGCTGTATTCGCTAGTCTCGACCCTCTAATCACTTAATCACGAATTATGACGAACCATCCCATCACCAATCTTTCCCCCATCCCCACTCACGTACTCGCAAGATTCCAGCCTAGCAGCTTCATATACAAACCAGAATCTCAATACAAACTCAAAAGTTTCAATCAAAAAGGTCCACAAGCGCTTGGTTGAGCAATTCCATTTTCCCCTCCTTGAGTTGAAGTCATCACGACTTCAAGATTTCGAACGATCCAGACCGGTGTCATACCTATGTGGGGAACTGTCGCACTAACGAAGTCGCTTAGCCCTATGGCTGGGAATTAGCTCCAGATGTTATTTCCGATTGCCTGGTAGCATCTTTTTTGTCGGAAGAAACCGAGATGGGTGTTGAATATTGGGTAAGGAAATGTTGGCGTTTCGCAACGTGACTCGTGAGGATTGGTTATGCTCTGAGCCAATATCCAGCAGATTATGCAGAGAGAAGAGATATCAGGGAAACAAAACCTGCTACAGCCATTCCTGATTTTCTCTCACTCTCTTTTCGTGATGCACTTGCAGTCTACCTTTGGCAAAGATAATTTCAAAATCAAAAGGTCAACGAGAGAATTGGAAGGTTGTGAAGCCGCAATGTGGTCAAATCGGGATTTATTAAACTGCTTCCAACGGAATGAATAATTTTCGTACAATCATACCCTCGTATCACCTCATGCTAATCCATGTAAACACCTATTCAATGCCCTAACTCCAATGCCTAGTAGCCCAGAATTAAAATCAAACCAACAATCCAAATACCGCCGATCCCAGCGTAACCAAGCCCACAGAACTCCAAATGCTCAGGCTCGCAGCAGCACTCTTCTTACTCAATCCAAACGGCAATCCCTGGGTGCTGAACGTAACATCTTGTTTGATGGTGTTATTAACACACTGTCCGTTCATGATATCCAAGCCCTTGAGATCATCTGGCACGTTGAAGAACATGTATGTACTGTTGTCTAGGCCCTCGAATCCAGAGGTATCGTAAGGGAATTTATCGCTTGAATCGGTGGCAGACGTGTTGCGGAGGAAGATACAGGCGACTTGATTTTTGAAGGTGCTAGCCATCAGGGGATAGTCTTTCATGACGTCGGAGTTGGAGGTGTCGGCTACGAGAATGAATTTTCGCGTTGGGAAGGTCTCGAAGACTTTCGTGAGGAGGTATTTACGGATGCTGAGGGTGGCAGAGATATCCGAGAAGTTCAAAGGACGGGTATCTATTGGATGTATTAGCTGGGACTTTCTAGTAATGTGACTAGGTAAACGTACCAAAAGATCCTCCCGGGTAAGTTTTGTAGATGAAATCCATGTAGTTGCGGGTGACTTGCTCGGGTGTGGTTGTCAGATAGTGGAAGTGGAAATCCGGGATGCTCTGACTCCAATTGGCGTAGATCTCGGGCATATTCATCCACGGTGTAAATGCTCGTGCGAAGGAATTGAGTAAACCTTCCTTTGGATCATAGATCTTTGTTACTCGGAGAATGTCATCAATGTCGGAAATAATAGTATATCCCGTTGAAGGTACCAGGTATGATGTCGCATTTCCAGTCAGCGTGCCATTGGCATATACATTCAATCGTTGAGGTCGAAGGGTTTCGTTTCCAGGTTTCAAATATCCTCCTGGTCCAGATACGTTCGCCAGAAGCAGGAACTGATCGTAATCTCCCTGAGCAGTGGTTTCGCCGACTAAAGTGATGTCTTGACTTCCACCTCCTGGAGTCTCAGCATTGCTCCCGGTGTTCGTTCCATCCACACCTTGCGAAGACGCTGGCTCGATGTTGAAAGACACATTGCGATCACCCTGCTGTACAACGAAGATTTCGGCAGTGAGATTTCGAGCTTGGTCTTGTTCGGATGGTTGGAGGGAGTCGATATCTGTTCCTATTAAGAAGATATTTGCTAGGTCGTTCAACTTTTCCGTGGAAATATTGGGTTGTTTGAAAACATTTCCTCGAAAGCGGAGATTCCATCCTTGAGTTGTCCAGTTGGCGTAGGAGCTTGTGATTGTCAGAAAAGAATTTGAAAGATGGAACAGCTGAGAGTGAAATCTTACGGGATATTCAAGACTTGGGTCGGAAGTGCATCCAGGTCGTTGTCGCTAAGTGACAGACTGCTTTGTACTGCAGTTCCAGTTGGCAAGTCCTGGAAGAACTGAGGGACACCGCTGGCAACATAGGAAGGAAATGATCCAACCAAGCTCCCAATATAGTCTCCCAATCCCGTAATGGAGTCGATAATGTCCCGTTCCTGAACTTTCGTCGGGGTTCGGTCAGTGAGAGACGCTCGAGGCGTCACCATAGGATGTGCAATGGCTACTGGAGTCGGAGCTGGAGTCGGCGCTGGCAATGCAAGCACGACTGGCAGAATTGCCAAAATTGGGGCATATTGGAGCATGATTGAGGAATAATCTCGATTGAACGAGAATACTATCCACTCGATAAAGAATCGAAACTAAAGATACTAAAATTCTCAACCCACGAAGACGAAGAAAGCGACCGAACGCGAGAAGAGCTCAAAGTCACGATGGGAAAAGCACAAAAGAGGAAAGAGAACCGGAGATTGACTTATATTTGGATCCATCCTGACTTTCTCGATCCGTCTCTCAAACGCGCCTCGTTTGTTGTTCCAAGGCATATGAAGCTCCCCGGTCGACCGTGATGTCATCTGACTTGTAACAGGGATGTCTTGGCGTATCAAAAGCTTCCATCACGAAGCTTATCTCCACTTCGCTTTTAATCCCGGCCCTTTTGGCTGTCGCTTGGGAGATGAAACAGAAAAAAGGAGAGTCAACAACAGGATTCGGCAATCGGTTGATCAGGAAATATATGCAGGTACGAGGCGGGGATGGACACTGATCACACCGAGACACACTGCACATCTTGAAGATAACTGGATATATGATATTCGAATGGACTCCTGAGTGATTCTAAGTATCACAAACACAATGCCTCGAGCCTGTGGGAAAGGCCCTGGCCATGGGATAATCATACCAAAAACCAAACGCCATGAAATCGACCACATCCGAATTATTCGAACTTGACAGCCAATCTCCCTCTAGCCTTTCCAGCATGCATAGTCTCAACCATCTCGTTGATCTGATCCAGCTTGTGGAAAGTAACATGTGGTCGAATATTGTGCTTTGCTGAAAATTCGATGCAAGGGCCCATCTTCTGGGGAACTGAGTTACTCGCGCCCTTAATCCTATACTTTCCTAGCGCAACATCAAGAGCGTTGAGTGTGACACCCTTTTGTGGTATACCTACTACCATCATGATCCCGCCGATTCTCAGAAGACCTGGTGTAGAGTCGTACGCCATTGTGGAATTGGTGTAATTGACAGCGGCGTGACATCCGCCACCGGTGAGTTCTTTGACTTTGGAGAGGTAGTCTCTATCGTTCTTGGGGTTGAATGTGTGATCTGCTCCTGAGGCTTTCGCTTCTTCAAGCTGACTGTCCACGAGGTCAATGGCAACGACTTTGTAGCCAAGAGCTTTTGCGTATTGTATGCCTGAATGGTGTTAGAGGATAATCAGACCACGACATAGCAGCTCTCTTACCAAGATGGCCCAGTCCACCACATCCCACGATAGCCATCCACTCCCCAGGATTTATCTCAGCGCCAGTCACACCTTGCCAGCTGGTCACACCCGCACAAAACAAAGGAGCAGCTTCGTAAAGATCCAAGTTCTCTGGTAAGACTATTGCGTTTCTCCAATGACTTGTTGCATACTCTGCAAAAAACCCATCATGTCCAAATCCGCCCATGGTGGTTTTCCCGTCTTTACACCATGCGTTGTGAATCTGACAGCCGTCACATTCGTAGCAACAGTTCTCTGGACATAAAAATCCTATCTTTGCTCCGACTTTCAAAGTCGGGTTTGTACATGATTCAGGGACGCTGACGATTGTACCAGTTGCTTCATGTCCTATCGTCACGGGCCTACCGTCGCCTAGAACAATTCCAGCCTCATTAGGTTCTAAGAGCATCAGGTCGCTGTGACATAGTGAAGCAGAGGCGACTTTGATGAGAAGTTGATCTTTGCCGGGTTTCGGTAAAGGTACTTCATTGACTGATAAGGAGTTACTTTTTGGGGAGTATTGAGCGGCCTTAATGGTATCTGGGAGATGTCCATTCGTAGAGGAAGGCATTTTGTTAAGCTGTGGAAAAGATGCGCTCGCTTGTATCGTATGTAGGATCCTAGATGAGCAGTAGAATTTACAATGTATAACGCAAATGAGAAGTGTAATTTGGTACGAATTGAAGAATTCCCTACCGTTAATAATAGAAACTCATCGGTGAACATCACCCGGGCATAGCCGTAACGCGAGGTAGAGGGAGTAGTCCAGAGTAGCCCAAGTCTTGCCAGGCGGCCAACTTCCAGAGCCTTGAGCCTGGTTGGATGGAACTCAGATCGTCTCATGTTCAAGTAACTGGTATTCTGTACAGTACCAGTAACGGAGGCTTGGAGCGTCCCAATGTCACCAATCCAACGATATGCAATGCACAACATCGCGCGGGGTATGCGGAGGTGGGGTCTCCCCATATTTGAAAAGGGTGTTTGTGTTTGAAATCTGGGGAGGCGGATGGAAATGTTTATCCATGAAAAATGGAGCTCGAATCAGATCATGACTAAGCTTTTATATTTCTGACTCGTGCGCAAGTATCAGAACTTCTTCAAAACATCCGTCGAACCCGGGACATTTCTCACAATTCTTCATAGAAGAAATACTAAAATCGCATATCAGCCTCTTCTCGTACGTATGTACAATCAAGCTTATCGCGATCTCGATTAGATCTTGCTTAAGGCCTTAACGGTAAGTATACATAGTGACCAGGATAGAATCATGTCAGATTGTGATCCTTCCAAACACACGTGCGAGATCCTTCTTACCAAAATTTCGACGTGACAAAGCTCGAGATACTACTGCTTCGTTACTCAACTTTCATCGTCGATTGTCGAATTCCAGCGCAATTACTGCGGAACTTCTTATTTCAATAGTCTCCTTCAGCAACACTGGCTCGAAACATCTTCTCTACGTTACCGAACTCTGAAATACTCACATCTGCGCTGACAGAGACGTCCGACGCAAGATGTCTGAATTTCCTTCTTATCTCAAACCTGGTCTTGCGCCAATGAAAGAGCCAGCGACACCACTTCCCGTTATATTATGTCTCCATGGAGGAGGTGCCAACACCACAGGTAGGCTTATTTTCCTAGACTCTACGCATCAAAATTAACACTCTTCCAGTCTACAACATTCAAGCAATGCGAATCCAGAGACTTCTTTGCGATACGTTTAAACTTATTTTCGTCGAAGGACCTTTGACCACCTCGGCCGGCGCGGGAATATTACCAGTGTTCGACGGCTGTGGGCCGTTCCACCGATGGTTCAGACCTGGAAAGGACGATAATGTTCTGCCACCGCCGACTAAAGCACGGGTTGAGAGCGCACTGGAATTTCTCGAATCAGAACGAAAAGCAGGCAATCTCGGAAAAGTCGTGGGATTTATGGGGTTCAGTCAAGGTGCAAAGCTAGGGGCTGGCTTGATATGGGAACAGATGATGAAAGGTGCGGAAAGTGGATGGGATTTCAAATTTGGAGTTATGTGCAACGCCATCGCCCCGCCTATGTGTGAAATCAAGGAAGAGGATAAGGTTCGCAGAATCACCATACCTACATTGCACGTAGTGGGAGAAGAGGACCCGTGGAGGGACTCCAGCCGCAAGTTGTTCAACGAATATTTCGACACCGAAATTTCAAAAAAGCTAGAATTTCCAATTGGACATCGGTTACCGACTTCTGAGGACGAGACTAAGAAGATTACCGATGAAATATTCAGAATGTGGGCCAGCTGTAAAGAGGATGAAGTGGAAGAGGTGAAAGGGAAAGACGCGGTAGATGTTGCTGCTGTTCAAATAGCAGAGCTTTCCGTTTAATCTCCTACTTTTTCATTCTTAGACGGCGTTTGGATTATTATAGACACAGAGATTTAGCAGTATAGCCCTCGAGCTCTCCATCTCCAAATACTATCATCTTGACTTTACCCCTCTTCGATCCTCGGCGACCCCTCGGTGAGCGTACTGCGTATCTCTTACACCGCCCAGAACCAAATTGGCAGAATATGTCTTGGCAATGGAAGTCATTATTTGAGAGCTATGGTTGTACATTGCCAATTATCTACCCGTCGTACAGGTTTCCAATTTTTATTCTGCAGCTCAGGAGAATAGTCAAATCGAAACTAGCTGATCATCTGACGAAACAATTTGAGCCAAAAATGCCCAAAGAAAGATCCGTCAACCCAGCACAAGCTCAGCGCAAGAAAGAGAAAGCCAAAGAAATCAAGAAAGGTATCTCTCCACTTCATTTCAATAGACTAAACTCCAATTACTGACAACCTTTCTCCTCAGGCAAAGCAGCCGTCCAAGCATCCCGCACCGAACGTCTCGCAAAACGCAACCCCGACCGCCTCCAAAAACAACTTGACGAACTCCGAGCCCTCGAATCCTCCGGCGGAAAGCTTACCTCGCATGAGAAGACACTTCTCGAAGGTCTTGAGAAAGAGCTCAAAGCAGTAAAGAAAGCGCGAGAGGCCTTAGGTGATAAAGCGCCGAAATTTGGCAGAGGCGAGTTTAGTGGTGACAGGGGAGGACGGGATGGCGCGGTGTTAGGAAAGCGGAGGAGAGATGAGAGCTCAGACGACAGCGAGGTAGACGAGGAAACGAAACGTATACCTATGCCACGCGACACACCGCCGCCTTTTCCGAAAGAGGTGTTAGATAAATGGTATCAGAAACGTCGGGAGCGGTGGCAGGCGCAAAATCCTGATAAAGTCTCTGGAGATAGGAATTCGGGGACGAGTGCGAATTCGATGCCGCTTGGGGACAATGCTAGGAGATTTCCAGATAGAAGTGTGGAGGAGAAACCGAGGGTTGTGGAGGAGACGAAGACGGTTTATGAGGCTAAGCCTGCGTTGAGGGATTTGAGGAAGGAGGCGGTAGCGTTTATACCGGCGACGGTAAGGGCGAAGATGGATAAGAGTAAAGGAGTTGGAGGGTTGGTTGAGCCTGAGGAGGCGGATAGATTAGAGAGGGAAGGGTATTTGCCTAGGGGTGATAGTGGAAAGAGTCAAGCGGGTTCGAAAGGGGTGCAGATGGAGGAGGTGGAGGATGAGGATGCTTAGAGGATACATGATGTTGATAGCGTTGTTATATTAGAAGATTTGATACCCCAACCTTTCTGTCATCTTGATATTTGCTTGTTTCTTTCTTAAAAGGGCGTTGTCACTTTTGTGGTAACAGTACTGTTATAAAGTAGTGTTGTTTCGCGTGAGATAACATAATGTTTCCACTTTTTATGTACCCAAATAGGTAAAGCGGCTATAGATTCTGGTCAGAAAAGAGTGTAAAAAATAAGACCTTAAGCATCACTTAGAAGCTTCTGATTCTCAACTCGACCTCTTACTTACAATTTCACAAATAATGGACCTAAGTCAAACCTAATCGCTCTACGCCTAGATTAGCAAACAAACAATCGAAAGCAAGACGATTAAGTGATCTCTTGTACTTAGATAATTGGAAGACAGTCTATAAGATGTTAAGCTACCTCAAAGTTATTTAGTAAAATAAAAGGGGTTAAGCGAGCCGAGAAGTAGCGAAACCGGATCCGTCGAGGACTTCAAAATTGCAAGTCGTTTAGTAACCAAACAAGACACGCTATAGTTCCCAATTTGCTAGGTTTATCTGAGAGCATTCTTACCTCAGTAGAAGATACAATTAAGAGGAAAAACTTAATAAGGATATATAGAAACGCTCAAGCGGTTAGAAGGCAATGTGAGGGAAACGGAGGTAGACAATATCACAAAACGCTTCGTATTATTAGGAAAACTGATGGGGTCTTTGTGTACCACTATTTAAATGATAAGATTGAATTTAAGGCAGTAGCAGGCTAGTGACTATAGGACTAACTGATAAATTTTAGGTGAAAGTGAGATGGAATTTGAATCTGAGAGTTTGTTGTAAGTGCCCATTTCTCGTTGTCAATCCCTCATTGCAGGGTAAGTAGCGGATGATACGGATTTTTATGTTCCTATTTCCACTACTGCTCCTCCAAACCTCCCCTCCCTAATCATCCAAGTTGTCTCTATCTCTCAGAACACCCTTTCCCCACCAGTCCCAAGCCTTAATCAAAATCTTACATACGATTCTCTTTCCAACTACCAAACAACCCTTTCCCATCTGTCATCGGTATTGTGCTGCACAGTAAAGAAAATGGGTCTGAGACGGGAGTCGAGGATTGATGTGTAACAATTACAGAATAACGACGTTTTGCTCAAAAATAAATAACAGCAGCTATGGGGAGAGTATAAACATGGTTGACTTGAGATGACGATGCGAAGAACAGAGTCTTGCTACTGACTCCAACCCTTAGGTGTGTTGAAAATAAAAACCCAATATAACGTTATTGTCAAAAATCCCTATCCACACCATCACAGGAAGAAAGAGGACTAAGAAAAGACATCCAAGATCCCATTTTTGAAAGCATCGCTATCTCTAACCTCGACCTCTTCCGCTCTTCACTCCCCGTAAACCAAATAAAATAACCTTACTCCCAAAAACGCCCAGCGAGAGCGTCAAATCCCTAAACCCTATACTACAACTAACCCGCCACTCACAGTCCAAGGAAGAGTACCTCAGCAGTGTGCGTGAGATCCATTGCTGTCGTACGTCTTTCGCAAACACATCGCATGAAACATCGAGTCTATGCAACGAGATCTATGCTGCGAGAACAGAACAATCGAAAGAAGCATAACATCGTGCTAGATTCCAAGTATGTAAAGTCCTTATTTCTTCATCTCAACATAATTACTTGGGAATATTCCCGTCCTTGTCCCGATGATGCCCGTCCTATTATCAAGTTAGCATCCATCTATCGATAATTACTAAGTAGAAATACATACCACCAATCATTGGCACTATCAGTCTTCTTAGTAACTCTGATAATATCACCCTTCTTGAAGCCCAGGTCCCCAGGCTGATCCGCATCAAAAGTAAACAGCGCAACCGCTTCATCCTGTTTCAAATCACCAGTCTTGCTTCTGAACAGTGGTTTTGGCGCTGCTGGTCTCCCTGGACCAATTTTCTTGGTTCCTCCAGGACTGACGGGTGAGTCTGTAAAGTTATAGTCGTCGTCAAACCCTCTTTGTGAACGGCCTGCGTTGAAGGTACTCGATCGCGACGGTCCATTCGAAGGTCTGTCATAGATATCGTCTGCCCAGGTATTCGCACGTTTCGGCTTGTCGCTGTAAACGTAATCGTCTGGTGCCCCTCTACCCTGTCCCATACTGCCTGTGCGATCTCGAGTAACTCCTTGTCCCATCGCGCTCCCTCTTCGACCTTCCCAGACCACATCGTCATGAGTCTCATCATAAATCGGAGATTCGTTGTAGAGCCCATCAGAATTACCCGCAACTCCAGCGAATATCCGCGAGTTTAATACAGCCATAAGAGGATCCGCCGCTGGAGGAGGTCGGACCGCGCCCCCCAAAAGTTGTGCCGCTGTAAATCGCTGTCCATACAATTTCTCGTTCGCATCTCTTCTCTCAATAATAGCACTCCCTTCCAAACTTACACCAGCAAACAACCCCTTCGTTTTCGAATAACTGAAGATACCAGCGACACCCTTCAGACTCGCTGCTCCTGCCGCCTCTCCATTGCGCCCTACTGGACCTGCTGCTATCGACACATTCGCACCAAGTGTAAGCGATCCTTGTTGCGAGAATGTCCGTACCGCCGCCGCATCGTTAAGAATAAACACAAAATCCGTAAGTTCGAACCCGATTTGTCCACCAAATCCAGCACCACCAGTTCCTATCGCAGAAGGGGCACTCCATGTCCCATCCGAAAGTCTCGCTACAACGACTCCATTTCCGTATCGCGCGGATCCGAGGAATCCAGCTTTGATAACTGTGAGAATAGCGAGGCCCTACAATCTCGGCGTCAGTAACCGAAGCTTGGCTCAAGGTCGCAAAGATGGGAATAGGCAACGAGAGAAACGAAAGAACATACCTTTGCATTTGCTAAAATGTTTGGAGGAATGACTTTATCTGGAGAAAAGGCCTGGCGAGGATCAACAAAAGAAGTGAGAATCTTTCCACATTTCTTGCACTCGGCTGCAGCGGGGTAATTCTGTTAGTTTTCGTGCTCTCGACATCTTCCCCAGACATTTCGGAAGTGACTTACACGCCATTGAAGACGGAAGAGGATTATGTAGACCCATTTTAATGATGTTGTGTTGATACGCTCGAGTTCGTGTAATTCGAGGTATTCTCGGGAGTGTGCTTAAGCTCTTGACTTGGTTGCGCGTCCTGCCTATTTCCTTCCGGGATTCCTCGCCTTCGAGTTGCCGTGCTGTCCTTCGAATAGTGATAATGCGATAGTTCGGTCGTTAATCGTAGAAGAAGACAGCTAGTAATGTACTCTTAGCATGCGACAGCGCCGGCAGCAATGTTGACAAGAGATGTTATGGAGGCACAGAAATACGAACCTTTGGATGATGCGCCGGCTGACGGATGACGATGTTCGTTTCCTCGGCCTTATCAAGCCCCCTTGTGGCGTCTGTGAATCGCGGATCCGGGGCCTTTCCAGGTTGTCAAACTCCGTATGGTTCTCTCTCCCAATGAACAACACCGGCATCTTTGCGCCGACCACTCCAAATTACAATCTGAATAGCTGCATACCTGTATTCCGCTGAAAGCCAGCGCCCAGCCCGAAATCGAAGTGCAAAAGCGACAGGATCAGTGCGCCCTCGTAGACCAAAGCGTCTTCGAAACACCACCTTCTCGACCTCCACTCATCCCCCCTTCTCCACGTTCGACGAGCTCTCCTACTCAGCCTCCCAAACCACGTATCTCGTTCGCACACGACTACGTACCCCATCGAGAAGCTCACGCTCTACGAGCCCCAAGTCAAAATGTCAGACGCCTATGAGCGCGAACGCCAGAACAACTCCCGCCTTTCTGATTTATCTGCGAAGGTCACAGCGTTGAGGGGGGTAACGATAGATATCTATGACAATGCTCGCCAGCAAGATGTAATCGATAATACAGTGCGTATCCTACTTCGAGTCCTAGAAGATGTGTGGAGGACAGCTGTACATGAAACTGGGTAAATGATCAACTACTAATCGCTTTTACTAGTCCGACACATTCTCCTCTATGGGCACAAGTCTCAAAGGTTCTGCCGGAAGATTGGGAAGAATGGCAGCGAGCGGGAATAAAGTCGCTGTGTTCAAGTTGTCTGGCATAATAATCGCAGTTATTTTAGCACTTTGGTTCTTATGGGGATTGTTTGTATAAGGACGAGGACACTCTTCGTAACCCGAGACTTAGTCCAGACACTTCGCTACGGAGTGTAAAGAATACCTTAGTTCAAGGAGGAAACTGTACTGTATATGGGTTTACAACATTTGGGCATAGCATCGGCGTCAAGGGAATCAGCTAGGAAATAAGGGGAAAGCAGCATGTTTGAAAGTCACAACTATATTGCAAAGAAATGGGTGCATACAGATTTGAATGTGCTAAGTATGTTGGTTCAGTATTCTATTATCGTTTCAAAGGTACTATCAATGCTATGGACTCATCCAAGCATCAACTTCTATAATTTTCAACCGAGCTACAGTTTTTATCCCCAAACATTTGAAAACAGATCCTCACTCGCACCAAACCCAGCTGCTGGCTTACTTTGCGTGTTGCTAGCTGCTGGGGCTGGTGCTGGTGCGCTGCTCCATCCTCCAAAATCTTCATCAGCACTTACTTTAGGTGGTGCTGCGGAAGTGGTTGGGTTGAAGGTACCTCCCCCACCAGGTACAATACTTTGGTTCGCTAGGGAAGTGCCACTGGAACCCCACCCAAGGCTTCCAGATGAAGCTTGTGGTGCTGCTACAGATGTTGTTGTGGTAGGGCTCTTAGTTGAACTCCATGCATCATTCGATCCCCAGGCATCATCATTTCCCCAGCCTCCACCCATTGCTGGCATTGGAGCTGGCACTGCTGGTTTTGGAGGCGCTGCGGGTTGCGAGAGGTTGAAAACAGATTGCTGTGCGGGAGGGGAGACCACCGATGGCTTAGGAGGGGCTGGCGGAGAGGCGGGGGTAGAGAAATCGAAAAGATCACCCAAGCCGGAGCTTGATGATACGGCAGGAGCAGCGGGAGAAGGTGCAGAGTCGAATGCTCCGAATCCACTCGAAGAGCTAAAGCCTCTGGATGGTTGAGGTGGCTGTTGTGGTGGTTGTGGCGTTGGTTTGGTATCAAAAAAGCCGCCTCCACTCAAGTTTCCACGCGGCGATGTTTGCGATGGCCCTCTTTGATGACTTGAAAGGTTGCCTAGGTTTGAGAACGCTGATGGTTTCTGTTGTTGTGGTTGGGCTTGCTGAAAGCCGGGTGAGGTTGGGTTGGAGAAGCTTAAGCTGCTAAAAGCATCATTCATCCCGCCAAAGGAAGACTTCTGGGCCGGTGGGGATTGTTGCGACTGCTGCATGCCTCCCATACCTGATTGCATTCCACCAAATGATCCAGATGAGTTATGCGATTGTTGTTGAGGTGGTGGCTGAGGTCGAGGAGCGGATGCATAAAGTGATAAAATAGATTGCTTAAGGTCTGGTCGAGATTGGGTGCCTGGTGTTGATGCTGCGCTTGCTGGACGGTTTGGAGGAGGAGCTTCTGTTCCAAAGAAATCTAATCCGAGTAACGACTCTGCTGGTTTGGATTGCTTTGGCGGAGCTGGTTCTGCCTTTGGTGGCGGTCCTGGTCTTGACACGGCTGCTGCTGCGCTACTCGCTCTTGGTGGAGCATTATCATCCGCAAACAGATCCGGTTGAGGTGCTCTTCTAATCTGCGAAGGTCCCCCCGCTGCTGATCTCTGCGAAGTCGAGCGCTCGATCGCTTGTTTCTCTTTCACCAAACTTAGAGGCACATCATCATCTCCCTCCGCGTTCAAAGTTGAAGGGTCTGGAATTGGTCCATCTGCGACCCATCTCTTTGACTCGTACTTTGTCCGAATGAAATTCTCGATCTTGGACTCGGATGGCACATGTCCAGGAGCCAGTTTTGCTTCCCAATATATGTTCGCTCTTGCGTTCCCCCATTTCAATACACTCTGCAATTGCTCATCGGTCCAGGCATCCAAGTCTACAGATTTCACTCTGCTGATATGTGTTCCCATCCCACGATGAATCCCAGAACACCGAATGCAAATAAATATGCCCAAATTCCAACTCGCCCATCTTGGATCTGCCCGGTGACATTTCGTTAGTCTTCCTATATAAAACAAACCAAATGAGGAGCACAACTAACGCTTATTCCTCTTGCAATCAGCGCAAGTCTTATTCCCTTCCAACTTCACAAGACTCTTAAGGGTCTGAGTATTTTGAGCAGCGCGCTCTGCGGCAGGATTCGGCGCTCTGCGCGACATTGTGATCTTCGAAATATGTAATCAGCGGTTCAATGTAATGAGGAATCTTTCAGTTGCGATCGTATATCCCGAAATGAACAATCTGTCGCTTGTTGTGTATGGTATTCACGAATATGGCGTCCTGATTCCACATGAAGTGTCCGTTTCAGGGTGTGGGTGTAGCGACTCAGCGGGGTGGCTTAGACGATCCGGTGCGGGACAAAGCGGACGTGCAGGGGTTAAGTAACTGACGTCGATGATTTGTCGTGGGGTGGAATTGAGATGTACTTTGAGGAATATATTTCAAATACTCTACATCTTTGACTGTGCCACTTAAATATTCCAAACCAATTCCATCCTCGAGTTTCCACAGCCTCCCAAAGTCCTTGCTACCAAAACTATATCAAGTTGACTTCCCTATGCGCATCCCAACATTCCCCTCCATCGTCCGCACCTTCTACGCAATAAGCAACTACACCAACAGAGCTAGCACCCAAATCCCCTTCAAATCCCTTCAACCATTTCCCAGAGGCGTTCTCCTCAAGTCTATGCCGACCATCCCCTTCCTCGGAAGTTTCTTCAGCACAAACAGTTCTCAAAAGATGTCTTATCCAGTCCAAAAGACCGATGATGAGTGGCAAGCCGTCCTCAGCAAAGGTACTTACCAACTTCCATCTACACAATACACGCAAGCTAACAATTTCATAGAGCAATTCCGCGTCCTCAGAAAACAAGGCACAGAAGCTCCCTACGTAGGAAAATACGACAAACACATGCCCGAGACCGGTGTCTACACTTGCGCTGGCTGCGACGCCCCTCTCTACAAAGCCAATCACAAATTCAAATCTGGTTGTGGATGGCCCGCATATTTCGATAACATCCCCGGTGCCGTAACACGTCACACGGATAGCACCTTAGGCATGTCAAGAACGGAAATCGTGTGTTCGAATTGTGGCGGTCACTTGGGACATGTGTTCAAGGGCGAGGGGTATGCGACGCCGACTGACGAGAGACATTGTGTGAACAGCATCAGCATGAAGTTTTCGCCAGAGGATAAGGTGGTGGAGAAGGAGAGTAAGGCATGAATTGTGGCTCTGGAAAATATTGATTGAAAGTATGTGTGATTTAGAGGTAGCGTGTAACAATAGAAGAGAGATCTGCCAAAGTTGTTTCCTACCCTGAACTTTTATAAAACTCATATGCTCGTCCACATCTAGAAAAAGATATAATACTCGGGCTACAACAATGATCTTCATTCTGATCTGGTTAATAAATCAAAACAGATTCACGAAGGAACACTGATAAACCTTTCGATCCTCTAATTCAAAAAATCAATACGATCCAAAACTCTACTGACCGAAAAGTCCACAAGATAGAGTGCATTAAGTCCCCTCTGTATAATGAGTTCAGCAACAAGTCATTGTACAAAGATGAAGAACAGTAGTACCTAAATCTTTCATTTTCGAATTTGAATCTTAGTTACATGAGTTCTAATTTTGGATACAGTATAAAGTAGAACTAGCTAAAAATAAAGCTGTAATGGAAGCCAGGTAGCTGAGCAATGATTTGATAAGCGCTATTAGATGATTCGTAACTTCGTAATTCGTCAGTTTGTTGGTATTCCGGCTTAGCATAAGTAATAATATTTCCTCACATTCCGAGCCCAATCCGTCGCCAGGCCCGTTCAGTATCCTCGCAGAGCTTGATAAACCCTTCATTGTCCAGATTGTCGCAAATGTAATCACTCAGCAAAACATCACGCTCTCCTTGACTGGCGTCCTCATATCCCGGTGATTGCCAGAGCTCTTTTGGTGCCGGACGACCTTTGCACTTTGCCACGAATGTGTCTATCGCATTGAGGTAATTTTCAGGGGGTGATTCTGGTGATGGAGGAGTAGGAGCTTCCGAAGTGGTAAGACCGGGATCGCTTTCGCAAGAGGTGGTTCTTTGAAGAGCAGTATGATCACATCCCGACAGTGTTTGAGTTTGAGTTGCGCAATCTACCATCTTCGAGCGTTTACTAACAGAGGGGGGCCGTGTAGATGCTGTGACTCGTTTTTTCGCTGGAGCAGTCTTGGGCTGTAATTTGGGGGTCTCTGAATCTGGAAGCGCAGCTACTGTTGTGTCTTTGTTGGCGACTGGAGAAGATTCCTTTTCTGCGACTAATGCCTTCATCGTAGGAGGTGGTTTCCGACTGGCAACTCTCTTTTTCACCGGCTTGTGTGTTGGGGTCGAAGCACGTGGTTGAGGCTTTGGCGCAAGTATGGTTTCTTTTACAGGCGACACCTTCGGTGGAAGAATCGGTGTTGTGGAAAAGGGCAGTTTACGCTTTGGCGGAATTGTGAACTCGAGTGAAGCTGAACGGTCTTGCTTCTGACTGAATGGATCTTCTGTAATCCCACCCATACCTCCAAAATCGTCCTTGTTGAAAAATGGAGACGCTGACATCGTTCTCGACATTGTGTCAGGTCCACCGGGAACAGACAGAGGACGAATCTGGGGAAGAAGGTCAGTCAATGACATTTGTTGCCACGCCAAATCAACAGGCTTCAGTGGCCACCGCGCGAAAGCTTACCTCTCTATACATTTGAGGAAAATAAAGAGACTGCGTTGGGCCAAGAGCGGATGTTGAAGCTGGTCTCATCACAACAGATGCCTGTTGACGCATTTCGCTGAATGGAGTTGACGAAGGAGCTGTGGACTGGTTGGGGAATAGGGGAGCGTTTGTGAACCCTGGGACAGCTGGAGACTGTAGCGGAAGCCCGAACGATGAACCAAGGCTCGGCATAGCTGAAGACGGTCTGCTGATCGAATCTCTGAGAGTGCCTGAGCTAAAAGTAGAAGTCGAGGATACCGTGGATGGAGCCGGAGTAACGACTACACGAGGAGGCACGTTGTCAGAGATAGGCAAGCCAAGATCTTTGAGAACGTTCAACGCAACGTGATAGTCAGACTCATTCTTGAACTTGATCTGAACTCGACGAACCTACACAATGTGACGGTCAACTAAAATGTTTCGTTGGAGATTCCAGTGGATATCGGTCGGTAGACGTACACTTGTGTGGTTCTTGGGATATCTCATAGCCAAGAATGGACATTTAACGACAACTTGGACTGGAGGTTCAGCTCCAGAGGACTGATCAAAGTCTCTCAGGTGACTGACAAGGTCTCCCAAGTCTTGAGTTTCCTATGCGAATATAAGTACAAGTTGCGAAGATATTTGGGACGGGAAACTCTACCAGTAACTCGGCACCGGCGTTGATCTTCATCAAGAAGCGATCAGCGAGATTGCCATGGTGATCAATAAGACGCGCACCGCAAAATGTAAGGGCCAAGTCATCCCTCTGCCCAATGTGTGTCCAAGTAAAAGTGCGTGCTCCAGGCGCGCAGGTCGCGTGGGAAAACTTCGTCAGGGAAATGGTTGTCGAGGACGGATGACGGCCGTGAGTTTGAGTCGGATTTTGTGACTGGGTTTCCGAAAGGGCTTGAGAGAATAGTTGAGACATGACTGGTACAAAACTAATGGCTGAATAGAACAACAGAAAGTAATTGGGTGAGTGGAAGGGTAAGAACAGCGTTAATCCGTACAATAGTTAATTGGAGGGATCAAAATATTGGGTATTGAATACCGTCCTTAAGCATCAAAACAGTAAGTGCTACAATACGCGTTCCTGCACCGCATTGGCGGTACTAAGATAGGAAGTGGTACGATAGATGAGATGACATGAGTGATGATGAAGAAAGAAGAAAACTGGACGCGAGAGAAGATGGAGGAAAATCATCTGAGGACTCACGTGCGGATGGGGAAACGAACTAGAGCGGGTGTTTCTGAACAGTTGAGGAAGGAGCGACTTGGGTGATGTAAACAAATAGCCCCATGTCTATACTCATGACGGCAAGAGAAGGTTCGAGACGCACGCGTCGACTTCCCAAAAACATTAAGGTATTTGGAGCCAAAAGAGTAGTTATTGCCCTTTTCGACGCTCTGCCGGAGTGTTTGAGCTGACGCTAGAAACCTTCCCTACTCTTTCCCCTTACTGTGGTTTTGCACGGAAGAAGCAAGCAACCAGAATGTTGTGAAAGCCCAAATAATAATCGCCCATCCCATCCACGGCGAGGATTAGTGGAAATGTGAGGGTAGGGATGGAAAAGCATGATATACATGTCTTCTGGAAGTTCGTTATCTCGTGTACAATGTCTCGTACTTTTCGGCGCTCTTGTCAACATGGAGCATGACAGCACTTACTAAAGCAAATGGTGGTAAATGGTGATCTTGTGAGATATGAATGCTACTATAGGTATTCTCGAGCTCGTAATTAAATCGATGACTATGTACAGTCTATACCTGTATAATTATCTTGCCCTCAGCCATGGGAAGTTAGTAGTATCCCATGCTCCGTGGTAGGTAATTCCATCAACGGAAGTGTAAACCATCTGTAGAACGAACTTGTTAGGTAAGGCAGTATAACCCACCCGTCTCTAATCCTGGAATATCTTTAAGATCGGTCGAATTGGTTTCACATAAACAAGTTTCATTCCAATCGATTGAGGCGATAACTGAGCTCCCGACAGTCTTCACCTTACCCAACTATTCCCATTTTTTGAGATCTGGTGGTTTGGTTCCCTCGATCACGAATCTCGGAAGAGGCGGACTACTAAGCTGGAATTTCTGTTGGATATAGATGGCGAGTGCGTCCACAGTATACGAGTCCGCATTTACATAAGCCTTTTCCGTGCCTATTACTTTTGCTAGTTGGTAGCATTGGTCTGCATAAAATACGGTGTCCTTAATCGACGGATAGCCCACTAGGTTATCGTAGTGAAAGGTTTCGTGATACATAGTTACCGCCGAATTCAATTCGAAATTGTCTAGAATGACCTGGTCTGCTATGTTGTTTTTGGTTCTCGTAATCTGGTTTTCTAGTGTCTCTTGCTCAAAAAACAGCGGACACCATACAGTATGATAGATTTCGCGTATCCCAGAACTCTTGTCGATCCAGGACTCCGCTATAGTGGAGTAGTCCTTTTTATTAGCCTGGCAGTGGGCGCCAGGGTCGTGGCACCACCAATAGATCCACTGGGTTCCCGCTATTATACCGTCGTACAGCCGTTTAAGCTGCTCAAAGTTCTTCGCAATAGATCGTGTCCGATGGTTGATATAGTATGCCAACAGGGGCTTGCCAGTTCTGTTCCAGTCCTGGCCTAACCATGTTTTATGAACTAGGTCGTAGTCGTAGCCACTAACATTTCCCGTTTGCGCCTTTGCAAGTAGCTTTGACTCTTCCCACGCTCTTTGAAGTATCAACACTTGGGTGTTATCGCAATGACCATCAATTTTCAAATTCGGGAAAGCTCTATGGTATCTATCAAACCAAACCCATGTTTGTCGCTCCTCAATCGCATAGGCGTATGGAATAGAATGTACAACGGCAAAACTAAGCCAAATCCATGTTAATAAGGCCAGTCGAGGCATTCCGTTTGACATATAGTTCGAAACCTAGTAATTGATAGGCGTTGGGAAAGTACGGAGACGAATAGAGTGATGATCTACAGAAGAGCGTAATCATCGTGGGTTAGTTCTATCTATGTATGTAGAGATAAATATATCATAACTTGTTGTTCCTTAAAGTATAACCTATTTAAGTTATAATAACAACACCGTAAGTATACCAATACCGAAAGCAGATAACCAGGAATCTCGTACACGTGAAATTTGAACTTAGGCGAAAAATCCGTTCTCATTCGGAGGGATGGCTTGAAGTTTCCGAAGTTACTGAAGACATGACATGAGGCTGGTGACGGTTGACAAACTCGAACTTCCCTAGGGATGTAGTTAAAACCCTCGGCGATCACCGTCCAGTTGGTTCCAAGGCACTCGATGTAAATTGTTAGACATTGTCTCGTTTCAAAGGCTGGTGAGCAAGGGATCGATGTCCCTATTAGACATAAGTCTTGTACCTACCAAAAGATTCTTCGATGGGAGGAGAGATGTCGGGAGAACGTATGTCCGGCGCCGTGCGATTTTGGCCTAACACGCATGGCAGGAAACCTTCCAAGCCCGTCGCGATCGCATCTGTACGAGCGCGTCTCACAAAATAGCTAACTTCTCTAATCTCTGAATACACGGCGCATGCGAGTTCTGACAGCAACAGGATCGGTGCAAAGATGGCGCCTTCTCCTCATCCCGATTCGTTGTCCTCTTCAATTGAATATACCCCCGAATATAATGCCTTTATTGAGAAACTTGCCGAATATCATGAGAAACGAGGGACGGAGTTCATTCGCGAGCCTAGAGTAGGAAGTCGTTCGATTGATCTCTTCAAGCTCTATACCATGGTGATGGAAAGGGGAGGTTACGATAAGGTCAGCGACGAGAAACTCGCTTGGCGCAAATTGGGACAGGATTTTAATCTGGGAACACTGAACCTTCCCGCCCTGGCCTTCAGTTTGAAGACCGTATACTACAAGAACCTCGCTGCGTATGAAATATCTACCGTCCACGGAAAGGAACCGCCGCCAAAGGAAATTCTCGAATATCAGACTGCGAAGGGGGGAGCGCTTCTCACTCGTACAATGGAGAATTACAAGCCGCGCAAAGATATGAATGACCATTCAGAAGCGTCTGGTGATGATGGGACGCCTGCGCGTGGGGAGCGCAATGGCAGCGAGGAAACTCCAGGATCTGGAGGTAGAGTGACAAGAGGATTGCGACAAGCGCCTCCGCAAAGGTCAGTATTCACCCGGCAATGGTTGTTGGTGATTCGGTGCTAACATAGCAAAGGATCTTGTTCCAACCAGACACTCAGTCCTCCCGACAAAGTAGACATATAACTTCCAACAACTCCCACACATCAACACCACAACATTCGAGCCAGCCAAATCAACAGCCTCGCGGCGCATCCACCTCTTACAACCCCTCCTCAAATATCGACAACATGTCGCTCGCCGTCGCAAACTACGAACCTCGCCCTCAAATGCCTCTGACCCTCAGACCAGTTATCACGCCTAGTAATAACCCACAAGAATATGCTCGCCGATTAAAAGCAAAGATCGCCAGTCTTAACGCGAATGGAAGACCTGTTCCTCCAGCCAACCGAGGCATTATGCTACCAGGATGTAGATGAGCCTCCCATATATACTTATTTTTGTGGTTACTAACAGGTTACAGCTGGTTTCGATGGTCCAAACATATATGTCCGATGTCTTTGCGCGTTAAAATCTGGCATCGCATCGGAGCAAGATTATGCTCTACACCATCTCGTCAAGATATCCATGGAAAGAGGTGATAAATACCGTTTCGAGTCTTTCGCAGGTTTGGCGGAAGCACTGATTGAAAAAATGCTGGAAGTTAGCTCGCTGTTCTATCAAGTCGATTGGCAAATCTCATACACTGAAGATGGGACTATGTTCAGCAGCAATGTTCTTGACGGGGCGGAAGGTACACCAAATATTCTAGAACGCATTGCTCGCCTCACGAAGTTGGATGTGGACGACAACATCCAACCTGCTGAGTTCAGTGATGCCTTGCTGCAGGTCATTGAGGCTGCTCTGACGATGCGAAACATGGTCATGCTGGAAGAAAATGCACAATACGTATCAGAGATGGCCCCACTGCGAGACTTCCTCAGCATTGCCCTCAATCTTCCAAATCTAGAAAGTGTCATTGAGTTAAAGCACTACGCTCTGGATATTGCGGAACAACTCACGCGATACCTTCATTTTGAGGAGAACGACCCACTCTATATCTCTCTTCTGGCACAACTACAATCCCAGGATCGCGGCGCAATCTTGACATCGCTACGTGCTATTGGTAGAATTTCCATGGACCTCGAAGAAAACAATCTTCTAAGAGGTGTTCCTAAAGCTGCGGTACAAAACATTATGGATTGGACAATTCTAAATGATGAGGAAATGGTTCATGCTTGTCTGGATTTCTTGTATCAATACACCGCTGTTGTCGACAATGTTGATTTCCTTACCACTAATGTACAGGTGGAACCACTCGTGAACCAGCTCACTCGTCTCCTAACACACGGAGCTAAGGACGTTGTCAAGGAGATTGGGCGTGTACCAGATGGACGAGAACCTGCTCCCGACGATCTTGCGCGACTTCCCAGAGAACTTCTCACGCAGCTCCTCAGATTAGAAGAGCCAGACCGAAGCTCTCAATGGCTGCGCTGCCTGTTTGAGGAGGATCCACAACAGGCAATTACCCAAATTAAGTTGTGGGCAGCCTATCAAGAATGTTTCATTCCTACTGTGCAGGAAACTGGACGTTCTATCCTCCCAGCTGCCGATTTCATCAAAAATGTCAGTTCGACATTTGTTGACAAAGCTACGGCCCAAGTACAGACCCGACCTGGTGAAGAGCCAAAGTTCGTAATCAAAGGCATTAGAATGAGAAGTGTTCCAGTTGATTTTCAGGGAGAGCCTTACCACAAATGTTTATGGAACGTTCATTCACATACTGGTGCTGTCGTACCTTGCGGCGAATTTTTCATGAGCCCCAATGAGATGTTTCGCCACATCATGCAGACTCATCTTCGTGCCTCTCCCTTGGCTGACGGGAAGTTCGCAAATCAAGAGAATAGTTACGCTTGCTACTGGGGTGATTGCAATCGATTTCACCAATCACCAGCGACGAAACTAGTCCAGCTAGCTTCACATATTAAGCTTCATCTTCCTACAGCGAAGCCAACAAACCAGCAAGGATCTCAGTCAAGGAGAATGAAGCTTTCTTATGTGATACCTGGCGTCAGACAGCCTTTCCATTGGCAGCAAACCGCCGCTGATGAGCAACACCAAGCTGCTGGTATTCCTTTGAGCGCTGTCTTGGTCCTTCGGAATCTGGCCCGCAATCTCTCCAAAACAGATGCAGAGCAGAATGTCGTTAAACTGGGCGGTGTTTCTTTCGTGGATAAGTTATTCAAACCAGTGGAACCTCGATTGTATGAAGTCATGGCTCACAACAAAGCTTTGGTATGTCCCCTGTACTGTCTCCTTTGGATGTCTGAACTAACAATTTAACAGACAATGTACATGACTGATCTTCTCAGCTCCGTGAACGCGTCTTAAATTGGAGTATCGATGACACGAAGAGACGAACGAACGTAATACTGAAGAGCTGGCGTCGGCGTTCGAATTTGCTGGGCATTGGAATTTGACATTTTAGAGGCGCAGATAGGCATACCCAAGGCCATGTGTTATGTATAATAGATATCTATTAAAGTTAGGAGAGAAAATCCAAGGCTTTTACGAGTTCCTCGTCCGGATTACCTTCTCATAATTGGTAACTGATGACCCGTTACCTGGAACCTCACGTTGGCGAATCGTGCCAAGATGAACACTATGCATATGACAAAACGAGGCAAACCTTACACCTCTATGCATGGCTTGCGTAAGGCGTATGTACATTTAAGTTTCTGCAAGACCCTGCGTCTCTTAACCAACAGCATTTCCCTCGCCACAAAGCTTAAGCCCAATAAACACTCTCTTCGAAGCGACAAATACATGAAAACACCACTAACATCATCTGCCAAAGCAAATAAATTTTGTCTCATCTATTATGCTACCACTTTCAGTAGCCTACACAAATACGTTCCTAGCTTAAATCTATGGCGCTTACCCCACTCTTGAATGGCTAATCGTTTCTCTTTCTTCGTATGTTCGTTCTGGTCATGCTTACATACCGTCTACGGAGGTAGGCTTTGAACATCCATCCGAAGTCTGCTTACTCGATCCACTCGGGGGATAGGCCAAGACTCAAACCATATCACCTCCAACCTATGCCCCATTCCTCCCCATTCCTCCTCCCATCTTCCCCCATCCCCAAACCCCAAAACATGGCCAACCCAACACTCACCATCTCCCCCGCCACTCCCCCCGACCTCCCAGGTATAATAGAGGTATGGTACGCCTCTTTCAACCTCCTGCACATCTTCCCGGACACACCCATTGTTAAATCTTGGATCGCGGCCAGTATGCTACGGAATATAGAGGGGGAGGATGGAGGTGGGACGAGCTTTTGGGTGTGTAAGGATGGGGAGGGGAGGGTTGTGGGGTTTGCGCGGTGGTTTTTAGAGGAGGGGGAAGTGAGGGAAAATGAGGAGGGAAGGAAAAGGAATGGCGTTACGACGTGGGAAGAGCGGTGGATTGGTGATGGAGGGAGTTTGTGTGAGGGTGTTACTCGTGAGGGGTTTGGAAATGAGTTTATGGAGCCGATGATGAGACAGCATGAGGTTGTTATGGCTGGTCGGAAGCATTACTGTAATCTTACCATTTCCTCGTCCCCCCTTTCCCCCTTACTAACCTCATCCACATAGTTCTGGAAATCCTAGCAACCCATCCCGATTTCCGTCAAATGGGCGTTGGTTCTAGGTTACTGGAATGGGGGGTCAAGAAGGCGGATGAAGAGGGACTGGACATCTATTTGGATGGGAGTAAGATGGGGGCGGCGTTGTATGAGAAGTTTGGGTGGGTTGCTAAGAGGGAATTCATGGATCCGGATGCTGTGAGTACGCCTATGTTGAGGCCGGGAAAGGTGTGAGTTATGAGTATTGAAAGATATGGGACTGTGAAGATTTTATTGTTGAGCTGATAAGGCTGGGTTCAGCGAAGATGTAATTTTAAAAAGTGGTTTTCGGAGTAGAGTGCAAGGAAGTGGTTCAATTCATAATCGGGATGGAATTTGGCATCACATCTGTAATGGAACCTTCACTGAACACTACATAAGAACTCAACCTATTATGAGAGTATCCATGATTTTGCACATCCCGCTTCACTATGAAGTGAGTCAATAGATGCTAATTCAGCTCAAAGAAACTCGTCTTTGAACCTTTTCATGTCTCATTTTCATATACTTCAAACTGTAGGTGACTCATATCACTATACACATCAATTCTCATCCATGATTATCGCTAAGGTTACTCGGTTAATTCTTCATACTCGATAGCCTAACACGATTCTATATCTTTCCAAACCGCCCTGCGTCTGCAAAAGAAACACAATGAATACCCACTTTGAAGTGAGACAATGACTGCAGAAAGAATAAAACTCTGCCCAGACGAATGTTTTGAAACGGTGCTAGCTTTAAAATGTTGCAAGTATTTCAGAATTATAACTGCTCTAAGGACAATAGTCCATTCTGGGAGCTTCATAAAAAACCAATTCCATGCATTTAGACACCTTTTGGAATTGCTTGCAGCACTTATTGGCGCTGTAATTATACTGCTCAGTTTAGCAGAAGATGAATCCGAGTTTAAATCCGAGTCTAAAGGCACCTGCGAAGAGATGATGAAATCCTACCATAAGCGTTACACTCATCAAATATCAAATGCAGCAATGGAAGAAGAAAGCTTACTGGTATACAATAATTCTTCTGTAGTAATATTGTAAAATTAATACCGCTTGATACAATGGCACCTTTGGTTTTGTTGCCAAACGAGTTCCATTTTGGGAAAAAGTCATTTAATCATGAGCATATTATGCTCTTTGCATAAAAGTTTTTGAGACGAAGCTGGGACATATTGAAGCACACCTAAATATTTCACAACTGTGATACCCGAAGATATAGATTTTGATTTTGTTGTTCTTCGGCTGCTTGTCTTGACTCCAGCTGAATTCCATAGCAGCTGTGATTAGAAGGCGGCCTTACCTTGACCCTTTGTGGCATACAGTTACTGTTAAATCGAAAGAGAATCACAATTCTCTGTAGCATGAAATTTCAAATTCTTGAGAAAACGAATGTTGCGTTCCAAAATGGGAATTTCCCTTCCAGCGTGAAGGCAGCTTTGACGAGAAATTAGAAACGGCATCACGAGTCAAGACTAAAAATTTCTTCTTGACCCAAAACATGCCTTACCCGAACCCAAGAACTGCCCGCGTGGCTTCGCTTGGTCATGTAACACTTGTCGCTAAGCTTCAAGACTCCTGAAAAAGGCTTGAAAGCGGCCCAAAGAGGAAAGAAAAGAACAGCGGAGTTAAAAGAAGCGTGGCCGAAGAAGATTTAATTCTTCTAGAACAAGGATCGTGTCCGCTAACCGAGCGAGACCCTTTACTGCAGCTGCCAGGTGCATGAGAATGGGCCTCTAGCCGATGAACATCTTGACTCGGCAGCGTTTAACATGCATCGAAGAGGCGTCAAAGTGATCCGGCTTGCAAAAATTATACACCATGGTCGGAGTACAATGTTAGTTTTTGACGACCCCCCACAGCAAAAGAAAGTGCAATACCGACATCCACAGATATCAGATGATAGCTTCTGCAGCATCCATCTCTGCGCTTGCTCGATGCATGCATTATCCGCTGTGCGTTTCGCCCGTGTTTCTCACCGCTGATATAATTATTGTGCCTGTCCTAGCTTCGTGAGAGCCATCAAATCGGATTCTGTGCGCACCGTGAACCGGCTGCTTTGATTATTGATCAAGACATCTAGATACTAGAGCTTTGAAAACACAACTCACCGTTTTATCCATTGGATGATGGAGAGCGAGGCCTTCGGAGATAGTGAATAGAATTCGTGGTTGAGAGTTTTCCAGGCCGTCTGGATGCTTTCATCGGACACCGGTGGGAGCGAGATATCTGCCCCATCTTTTCGCAAGGAACGTTGCCAAAGAAAAGTTTGTAGGATCGTCTCAAGCACAGTGACGATCATCCAAAAGATGGCCCATATGTTTGATACACTGCAAGTCTGGCAACGCAGCAGCAATCTGAATTGTGGGCAACACATGGCGCTCCGAGCATCGCTCGTTGGCTGTTTGATATTGCAAACATCCCCAAATAATCCCACCGGCGTCCCAAGATTTCCATGGCAGCACACCCACGTAATCTCCCCGACACCAGGGTATCTCGTCTCGTCACCGGCTACAACACCCAAAATCGACCTCCCATTTCAATTCACAGCTCCTTTTAGTAACAGAAACCATTGACCTTGTCTGCGCTGAGCTGGGACATTGGATTTTCAATAGTGGTCCGTTTGATATCCTGTGCGGCGAGGCGCTTGTGACCAGCAGAAAACATGGATGCGAACAATGTACCCCGAATTGTCTCAGCTCTCGAGCTTCCTGCACGGCATTCGAGAATGGCAATACCACGTAAACTGTGCAATTATTGCTGCCTCGACTGGTTCATTTTCCGTAATTACTCCTTGAGCAGATGCATCTTCACAAAACCACTCCACAACCAGCTGCAGATTCCCTTTCAGGGCGCCGTTCGTGCATAGTAGCTCCCTCTCTAGAAGGTACTTGTTGGGAGTGGTATGGATTTGACGGAGTACACCGACTGTCGTTGTACATGGCAAGCACACCGCCTCGTGGTTGCGACGTTGTTTGTACCTTTCCACCCCCACGGACTGGACCATCAAGTCTCTTTCTCTGGGCCCGGAGCGTGAGGGCGACCTCAACAACCGCCAGAAACAACCTTATGGAGTACAACCCAGGGGTCCTTGCTGCATATTGGCCGGTATTTATGGCAATCCAGCATATTTCCCGGATCCGTCATCCTGGTCCCGATGGTTCGAACTGTGGGCTCGTCTGCTTTGGCGTGGAGTCGGAGTGCCCTTTGGCTTCCAGAGTGGATCGTGACTATGGCAATCAGCACAGATAGCATGAGCTACCCTGTTGTCTGAACTTGGGCCACCCAGCGGCGTTATCTGAAAGGAGAGAAATCATTGAAAAGGTCGGCGGTCCTGCTGCTGTTGGCCATTTCTCTCTCCTCCTTCCTGCTCATTTTCACCCATTGCCTGCTGACTAGAACTTCAAAGACTTGTTTGATTGTCCCGTTGCTTGTTGGCATATAGACTTCTTTGGTGTTCTAGAACGAAAGACTTTTTTTTTTTGCGAATTTCGAGGGATTACCAAGCGCTGGACTCCTTCACTTCGACATTGATATCTGTTTCTGTCTTGCACTTTCAGGACCCACGACTGTACGGATCGCCAGACCTGCATCATCTTCTGTTTCTTTCCTCGATATTTAGGATTTAATTCGGAGATTTGAGTTGCGTCATATTTGAGCTGAAATCTTCACTGGTTCGTTCGCCGTGTTTGCCCCCAATTCAAAGATTCTGCTCCTGACAAATCAGTAAAGAAAAGTTTGCTTCTCGGTTATACATCATATATACAATACCCGAAGAACAATCGACAAACACCGGAATTTTGCATCATTTTTGAATAATTCACCTTTGAAAGCCAATTCCGTCCGTTCTGGCGCCGAATATTCCTAGGAGAGCCGAACCCTTTTTTTGTTGAGAGTCATATCCACAAAAGGGCAGTGACGACGTTCTCGCTTCTTTCCGTTACTTAGTTACTGAAATTTTCCACTCCGTCTGGATCTCCATCTTCACAACACAACCCACACTACACACGACTTATTGCACTTTTGCAAGTTCGCCCAAGAAACCTTTTTATAAGTCTTTGGCTACCTGCACACACACTCTCTTGTACCAATCACACTCTTTGGCCTTTTTATTTTACATACTCTTAACTCGACATCATGTTTGGAAGAGTCGCTATTCGTGCTACTAGAGCCACTCGCGCTGCTGGTCCTTCCAAGGTTGCTCGCGCCGCATTCACCGCGGGAGCAAAACTTCGCAACATCGAGATCATCTCCGAGAAGGAGGTTTCCGCTGTTTCTTTCGATGGCGGTGAGGCTAAGTCCTCTACTTTGAAGGTTGGGGACAAAGGTGAAGAAGATCCCGCTCGAGTTGTCCCCTTGACACAGGAGATGTACAAGAAGATGACTCCAACTATGCAAAAGGGTTCTATTATGGGCAAGGTTGTTATTGTTACTGGGTGAGTTTTCAACCTTCGCTTGAGATAACTCTTGAAACAAAGCTGACGAGTTTTCAAATAGTGGTGCTCGAGGATTAGGAAATTATATGGCTCGTGCTTGTATTGAGGCAGGCGCAAAGGCAATGATCATTTTCGATGCCAACCCAGACCTTGGTGTTGAATCTGCCGCAGAGCTTCACCATGCGACAAACTCCAAAATTCCCGTTGAATTTTTCGCTATCGATGTCCGCGATGCTTCTGCTATCAAGAACGCCGTCGCGGCAGTTGTGCAGAAATATGGCGCTCCAGATGTTCTCATCAACTCTGCTGGTATTGCCGAGTAAGTTTATATTCCTTTAAAGCAGGCCTTTAATTCATCTTTCAAATTGGTCATAATATGCATACTAATACTGTCACAGTTCCAACATCCCAGCTGAGAAATACGATCATGATATGTGGCGACGATTGATTGACATCAACTTGACTGGTTCATTCTTGGTGTCTCAGGCGGTCGGCAAAGCTATGATGGAGTCCAAGAAGGCGGGATCTATCGTCCTTGTTGCATCTATGTCCGGTTCTATTGTCAACTATCCACAAGAGCAATCTTGCTACAACGCATCCAAGGCTGGTGTTATTCAATTCGGCAAGTCTCTAGCTGCAGAGTGGGCCAAGTATAACATCCGTGTTAACTGCATTTCTCCTGGTTACATGGACACTGCTTTGAACAACGTCCCAGCTCTTGACAAGCAAAAGGCTATCTGGAAAAGTCTCACTCCTCAGCAAAGGCTCGGAGCAGTTAACGATCTCAACGGACTAGCTGTCTTCCTCGCATCTGACTCCTCCGCTTTCATGACTGGCTCTAACGTCATCATCGATGGTGGTTACTCTCTTTACTAATCGATATTGAGGAGCCCGCAGACTTCCAGGCCGCAAAAAGCAAGCAAGAGAAGAGGTTCTTGTCCCCATAATGCACATGGTCATATATCGGGGAACATCTCTTTGGCGGATTAACTACGAGGTTTTCTGGCATGTTTCCTTCGTTTGTATTTGAAGAATGGTTGTTTATAAGTTCTCTCTGGTGTATCTAGTTGGTTGGGTTGAGTCATTTTGCGACGGCGTTTCGAAGACAGGTTTTTATAAGGGAATGTTTGCAGTACGGACGGTTTTGTTGCATGCATCTACGGATGTGGCCCGTCCAATCTAGATGTTAAAGTCACGTTTGATGTGATATTCTCGGACAATATTTAATACATTCAATAACGAGATACCGTTTTGAAATAGCTCTACACTTCCCGCTTTAACTTGTGAACACATATGACGCTTGATTTGAATGATTGCGGCTTGTCCAGATCACGCTAGACTACCACTACTGAACATTGCAATTTAGGCTCACAGTCATTGAGAAACTGTCCTCCTAAATTGAATTTCTTTACCCGACTCCTAATAATTTCTTTTGACCTATTAGTCATTCACCAGTTTTGAGTAAATTGAGTACTAACTGGTGCGTCCTTCCACCAAATGGAATCTCAACATAGTTCCCGAATCCCATCACAGCAAAGCCCCTGTAAGGTTTTGCTGTTTTCAAGTCGAGCCGAATCATCAGAGCTAGATCAAAGTGCTCGTGAATGATAAATTCTTCAAATCTGAGGGGAGAGCTCATAATGGTATGTTACTTGTCAAGCTCGAATAGGTGGGAGTGTTGAATTAGCACATGTTTCTGAAAGTTGTAGCTGACATCTGACGTCATAAATGAGGCTTCGCTTTAATAGTCGGCGAAATCGCATTTATCCTAAGTTTGTCGTTTACTGGAGGAATTTGAGTGAATGTTGATGTCCGACGTGGGACTATGGAGGATTTGTTGCTTGACTTGGTAGGGAATAGAGGACTTCCTCTAAGTGGACGAAGATGACCCGAGCAAGAAAAACGCTTTAGGCGTGTGAGTGCACTGCCGCTACCTGGATGACCTGAGTGGGAAGTATTAGCCTCGAGTTCTGTTGCCAATCGAAGTCGGTTTGCTTCATTGCTTTATGATTTTATTGTATGGATGATAGTATGCTGGAATCAGACAGTTTGAATCTATTTGCAGCTAGCAATCTAACTATTCATACGTCCCAATGAATCTTTTCTACCCAATGCTTCTGGTATACAACAAATCCCATCCAAACTATAATTCGCTCACAACTAGTCTATGAAGAAGTATCGCTCACAACCTGCGATCAATTAGCCAATATCCGATTCACAAAACACCACAACCACTTACCGAGCTCTAACACCATCCGTACCCTGCTCATCCTTCTCCCAATACTGATTCCCTATTGTGACTTGTGGTTTAGGAAGAAACTCCAAATACGGTCCAGAAGTGAAAAGTTCCGTATTAATTTCTATCACAGCTCGTTAATCTTCTCCCCCTTCACCCCTTTACCCTCATAAACACAATCAAACAGAGAACATACCAGTAAAAAGCTCCGAACTTGGCTGTGGAAAGTACAAAAATCTGAGCGTGTAGTTCAGGTTAGCGAGACTTTGATCTCGCGTCATCAACCCAGAGAGACGAATCATCAAGTGTGTCCTGGCGAGACGCTGGTCTTGGTATTCTTGTAATACGGGTTTTAGGTCTGCTGTTTTGGGCTTTGGGTGTTTGGCGAGGAGGGCATGGAGGAGGTTTGTTAGGGTCGCGGAGGATTCGATTGCTTCTGCTTATGATTAGTATCTGAGATAGTGTTGGGGAGGAGGGGAGGTACGGTTTCCACCTTGGCCCATCTGAAATATGTCAGCGTGACAACGGTTAGAGAGGGAAGGAGTAATACATTAGGAGTCATCTTATGAATAGCGTCTCCCACGCACACAATCCTCCCATACGACCAATGCTCATGATTCGCCTCCTCAAGCGCCACATGACCCAAACTCGTCGTCGTCTTCATCAAATCTCCTAACGTCACCTTTTCGGTGAAATGAAAGTCTTTGTGCTTTTCTACTTGAGCCTCCATTTCCTCTCTGGTGAATCTGGGAATGGAGGAACCCTTGTAGTTTCGATCGAGTTTAGAGAAGAAGAACCATTGTGTGATGCCATGGTTGGATACGAATGCTAGAGAAGAATGATCAATGTCGGATGCTACATGAGAGTCGCCTGGATTTAGTGTCTCGTGGGCAGGGGAAATTCCGTATATGGCGTTGTAACCTGCTGAAATGCCTGTGAAGAGTCAGCATGAAAAGTGAAGTTATGTATCTTCTTGCACTATGAAAACACGTCTTCTAAGATGATTCCCTGTATACATCACTTGGGTGGAATCGATGGCCCTGGTCTACTGGCTTGTTGGTGGAAACGGGCTAAAACTCACGATTCAAATCCCTATCCATGATTCCGGGTTCCTTTTCGTTACCAATCCTCTGCATCTCGGCGCGAGTTTTCGAATGTACCCCATCAGCACCGATGACCAAGTCGCCTTGGAATGAGCTCCCATCCTCACAGTGTACTGTGACACTCTCATCCCCATGCTCAAATTTAACAACTTTCTTCCTCAATAAAATCTTACTTTTATCCTTCAACTGCTCATACATACTCCCCAGGAACATCTGTCTTTCCGAAATACCACATGGATATCCCAACCTGTAGGCGTTATTAATACCACTTCTATGGCACTGAAAGTGAGTGAAATATAGAAAATATAACACACCTCTTTGAAACACGTAAAGGCCAATCCGCAACACCCATCTCTTCACCACTCCGTTTCCGTCTATAATACAGCGCCATCGGCGTCATAAACTCCTTCATGGTCTCCAACAAGTCCATCTGATCCAGAATTCTACAGCCATTGGGCATAATCACGATACCAGCTCCTAGTTGCGGTGCCAGTGAGTCTCGCGCTTCTAGGAGGACATAATCTATGTTTGCACGTGCAAACGTGTGGGCCAGCGTTAATCCAGCGACGCTGCCACCGATTATGATGGCTGTGAATGGTTTCGAAGGTGCCATTTTGAAGTTAGAGAAGAGTTGTAGAGGAGATGGTCAGACGTGAGAGTCCGAAGGAAGAGCCGGGTCAGCTACACAGCGTGTTGAGGCTGATGCGTGGGTCAGGTAATCGACCGAGGTCGTCTTACGAGCATCCTTGTCGATTGCTTACAAGGGGTATGGAAATCCCACTCCTACATTGGAATTTATCCTTTGTTACCGACAAATGGGTACTGTTATTGTGCAAGTAATGGTTAAGTGGATTTAATTGGACGGGTTGTGAAAACAGAATATCAGGGGCTCGCTTCTTGTTGGTTGTGGATTGGCGTGGCATATCATTTGACGATCATCCCATGAGAATCAATTTTTTCAGCTGAACGTGCTTGCAAGTTATATATATGAAGTTCGACATGGTAGTATTCATACTAGCATGCTCCGCGTTCATAATTATATCAATTTTATGAACAATTCTTATCCTAGTATGACCTATGCGGCACCATGTGCTATTATCAGCACTTGAAAATAAACTTTTATAAGTAAGCCTCGTAGGAGATGATCGAACTACAGTGCTTGTTATTTGACCTGTTAGACTGTTAGCAAAAGAAAAACCTGCCAGTAGTCATCCCGTGTCCTCTTCATAATTTCATGCGAGTCTCGAACAGCTTCTAGACAATAATATTTCTTTCCATCCACACGATGATACGATGCAAGAAAGGAAGACTGAGCATGTCTACGTGTTTCCGTCTCTAAGTAACCTATACCGGGACTACGTGGTGTCAAATAAGGCGCTGATGCTAGTGATGTGCCGAATACCCGATTTGAATAATGCCAACACACTTAAGACATCTTGAATAAAACCTAAAAGAAAGTATTCTGGGAATCAGGCGAGATTTGTACGCGACGAGCACGGCAACTCAGACAGACACTCCCAGCACCGACCCATACAGGCCGAAGTGGCACTGCAAAGAGCGAAGGAAATACCCTTGAGCCAACGAGACAAGAGAGGCTTCGAACTAGAAACAACAGACACGCGTCTGCCTATAACAATGACCTTATGAGCACACCTGGCGGCCCATCGCCAGTACAGGCTGTAGGGTGTAGCAGAATCTGGTCATGCCTTCAGTCTGCAACAAGCACTCAGGACAATTGGTGGCATATCATGCACCGCGATCGTGGCATTATTAAACAGTCTGACCATGTATGACACACGGCCTCTGGCCAATTCATGAAGGTTATTAAGGTAGTGAAGGACGTGATGTCCAAAGCCATGCCATGGTTCCAGAATGGTTATGCTTCTCTTACCCGTTGTCGTTCCTACGACACTCTCATGACGGTCCAACGGGAAGAGGGCATGTCCTAGGTCGGTTCCCAGCAAGTCGCCTGAGTTCTATTTGATGATGCTGACCATCATGGAAGATATCGCCCTCCGAAATTTGAATTCAATAGTGCCAATTGTTATGTCTCTGCAACAACAACAACTGGTTCAAGAAATATAAATCTGACAATACTCTCAGACTGAGGATACGACAATCAGTCTGATTATTCAGGCTTTTCACCTAACAATGGAAGCGGTCGGGCTCTTGGACCGAGAACGCTTCTGAGGATAGAGGTCTGGAAGGTGACCGAGTAAACACACTGCTTTCCTAAAAGACTTCAATCTTTGATCTTAGGGGGTAAAAGAATCGAAATTAGGATCGTTTAAAATTCAGTAGGGAAGAGGAAGAAACAGTACCCTTAGGTATCGCTGTCGCAGCAAACGACGAAGGTATCAGGTATCTTGCATTTCCACAAGCAACAAAGTGCAAGAGCTAAGTGGCAGAATTGTACGTCACAATACCTACATCCTCTTCGAACTTTGATCAAAACCTGACAATCTGCAATAATATTTCGACATGCAATTCTGGATATACTATTGTGCAAAAGACATGAATGAGATCCGGAAATTTTGTCACTGGAAGAAACATTCTTCCGTTTAAGCCGCTTTCCTTTTCAGCAAGACCTCCTTCAATGTTGAACAACTTTGGTCGCCTTGTCGTATGTTTCGCTTGAGATTGATGGAAGGAGTGACAAAAGTGAAGAGTGGCTGCACTAAAACGGGAAACAGTAGCTAATTTGAGATCATGTGATTTCCCCAACTTCCCAGACGCCCCATTATTCTCCAACTCTCGCGAACGGCTTCACGTCGCGTAAATCCTGAAGCTCATATAGCTCTCTTCCTTCGCAGACTTAATTCGGGTTCGCCAGTACGTAAGAAGGTTCAATTGCTTGCGTATTCCCAGATTCAGATTGTACTTCATCCTCAGCTACTTCGATGTATGCTGTAAAGTGCTTGCGCATCGGCTCAATTCAATCGGCGCATCAGTAGCAATCAACTTTCGAACCTGACGATAGTCCATCACTTCACCACAACATGCCTCCTCGTAAGTAGAGATAAACTCGGCAACAGTCATATACGCAACAGTTTCTGCGGATTATACCGTTCTCGGAAGGTGCTGGTGTATGTTGGATAGAATGGCAGCTGATTGTGCGCGCAGAAATTTCCGATGATGAAGGCTCCGAGGATAGCGAAGGTCTCGGAGTTCCAATTAGACAGGGAGTTCCAATTAGACAGGAGAAGGTAGAAACCCTCAAACCGAATGGAAAAGGAAAGGGCAAGGCAAAAGCTGCCAAAGAGGAGGAAGAGAAATTGGAAGTCGAATCTGTCGCAAATGAAGATGAGGAAGACGATGATGAAGACATGGACGAGGATGAGTGCGTATATCCATAGGATTTTGAAAATTCTAAAACTAATAGATAGCAGATATATCGTTGAAAAGATCTTAAATCATCTTGTTGATGATGAGGACGGAACTATCAAGTACGAGGTCAAATGGGCAGGATTCGAGAAGAAATCGGATAGAACATGGGAGCCAGAAGAGAACTTGATAACCGCACCTGAGGTTCTCACCGCGTACCTCTCAAAGGTTGGAGGCAAAGAGGCTATCATAGCAGATTGGGAGGAAAAGAAAACATCTGAACCAAAAGGACGTAAACGAGGTCGATCTAGCGTTGGTGCAAATGGCGGCGGCACAGCAGCAAAGAGAGGGCGCAAAAGTCACCCAGCGTCTTCTACACCCCCTGCCAGTGTCAAACAAGAGTTTAAGCCTCCTACCGGAAGCTGGGAAGAAGATGTGATTGCGATTGATGCTTGCGAAGGAGCCAAAGGGGATGTTCTTGTCTACTTAACATGGAAGGGTCAACACAAAACGCAACACCCTCTTTCGCAGGTATATAAACGTTGTCCACAGAGGGTATGTCAATGAACCACATTGCTAATACTAGTCGATCTGCTAACAACTGAAGATGCTCAAATTCTACGAAAGCCACCTTGTATTTAAGAAGACCGAGCCGTCTGAACAAGAAGAATAAAGTAGGAAATAGACAGGTTCTTCCGTGCCTCTGACAACACCAACATTTCCACACACATCACGTCTTTCGTCACGCCCGCTTCCAATTCAATTCTCTCCAAATCTATAGGTACAGTTAGAACTATCATCGCGGCATCTCACATTAGGAGGCAGGAGAAGTGGGTCACAGTACTACCTAGTTACAGGTTACAGGGTGGGCGAGCTTAGTTTGAGGTTCCCTTTCTCTGTCACATTAAAACTGCCTGTACTGATAGTCAATGGAGTTATGGGGAGCGGAGTTGGGCTTACAAATATATGGAAAATTTACTAAATTGATTTCTACCCCAAAAGCTCTCGATTGGATGATGATGTATATTTTCTCAAGTCTTATGTAAAAGCATCGATTGTAGTATTCTAAGTCTAATCGTACATTTTTCTTACTGCTCTGACCAGCCCAGCACTTCTGGAGAAGTACTATATGATTTCCAAAAATCCGGTATACAAATACAAGTAGAACACATCTATAATATTGCCTTCCCCTCACAAACCACAACCCTTCCTAACCACCAGAACTCAAACCTCCATCCTGTCCCCCACACTATCACTTCAACAACCCATCCCCATCAATCGCCCTCCTAACCCGTCCCAAAACCTCCCTCCCCTCATCATAGGTAATCAACCCCATCCCCTCATCCCATCCACACCACTTCCACTTCTCCACCTCCCCCTTCTGCGCTTCCATATCCTTCTCCACCTCCGGCCCAACGACCGCAACCCAATACCTAACCTCCTTCCCTTCTTCCCCAACATACCTACCCGGCGTCCTATACACCTCAACCGTACTATGACTATTCATCTCGCCCGGACTCGGGTGTCCGATCGGAAACGTAACTATATCACTGACAGAAATTGTAATCTTTGTCTCCTCCCACAGCTCACGGATAGCGGTGTCCAACGTATCGAGATCCACTTCGGGTTTCGGGTGACCTTTAGGAATGGTCCAGTAAGTAGGTGCGTGTTTGCGATTTTGGTGGATAAGCAGTAGCTTTGTGTTTTTTGAGGAAAGCTTGGGTTTGGGTGTCAGCGGGAGGGAAGGATCGTAGCGGAGTGCTAGGATGCCATAGCAGCGGTCTGGGGATTTTGAAGTTGCTGGTTCAGACATCTCGCTTGAGTTGACGTATCGAGGTAGACAGGAGTTTAGGTTTGCGGGGCTGTATATTCTTGATCTTTGATATCTTCTGAACCTAAGTTCGAACGTTATGGTCTTCGAGAGATGAAGGAAGGAAGGAGACGATATCCTAGAGGATGCCCTTTTATATTTCTTTGGTATCACGTGTGGTGTTTTATAACAGTCATAGGTATGTTAGGTATTGAGGCAGGTGACTGCTCAACCTTTGATCCAACAGCTCGAAACTCGCAACCAACGATTCGAGACTCATGACTTATGAGGCGAGTCGACTTATAGGTCTGTTAATTTCTCACCTTTGGGTCATGATACAACACAGCCAAATCACAAAGGCTTCCAAGACTCATCATATCCTTAGGTATAAACAATGAATATGAATATGAAGGACCCGACTAATACACAAAGAGTCCCTTTTAAAATATACTATAGTTTCATCTCCCCTCTTCGTTTTGATACAAACCCCACCTTCCAAGAAAAATGCATAAAATTTTCCCTTTCCCAGCATGCTAAATCGGCTTGAATCTTGCCCCCATCAACTAAAACCAAGAATGGACCAATGCATCTATCAATAAATTCCCCAAAGAGTTGTCTCAATCACACAGCTTCTCATCTCCCTATCATGATCGGCTGTTTCGTTGTCCCTCCATGACTGCTTGGATAATCATATCTCTAGCTTGCTCAACACCCTCAGCGCTTCCGACAATTTCGATAGCCTCATTGCTGGTGCGCTCGCGTGGAACGGTGATCTTGCAACCGGTTGCCTTGCGAATGGCGTTGACTCCAGCTCCCTGTCGGCCAATAACAAACCTGTAGGTGTCTGGGTTTGGCAGGCTGAGGTAGCCAATAGTTGTGTTTTGTAAGGCCTGTTCAATAGCTGCTTCAATCATAGCTCTAGCCTTTGCGACACTGTCTGTCTGCCCACGCAAGACCCATGGGATGTCGCCCTCAAGGCCGGATTCAGCTAAATCTACAGTCTTGAACTCGTGTGCTTCACCAGAATCGTCGGCTTCGTCGGTGATCAAAGGTGCTGAACCACTCGTATTGGCTGGTGGAGCTGCCGGTTTCGGGGGCACATCGTTTCGATTAACGTCAACGGTAACCTTGTGGTTGTTTCGCAGTTGGCGGAAGAATTGACCGTTGTCGGAAATGCTGTGATGAACACTGCGAGGCACTTGCATTGTTTCACCTTCCTGCTCCTTCACAAGACTGGCAATATGTGATTTGGCTTTCTCAACATCCGCTGGCAACCCAGTGATTTTGACATTGGTCTCATCGCTGTTCTGGCGAGGAACGTCGATTGAAACCTTGAAAGTCGACTCGAGTTCTCTCTTAACATCACCCCCACGTCCGATGAGTGACGAATGCTTTTGGCTAGGAACGTCAACGAAATCCGTGACCCGGCTTTCTAATTCAGTGACCAATTGCTCAATGTTAGCAATGATTTTGTCGACCACATCGGTTGTGCCTGTGACCTTTATGAGATTGCCATCAGCATCAGCCTTGGGAAATTGTACAGTCTGGCCAGATGTGTTTGATCTTGATCCACCGGCATTTGCGACGATGCCATCAATGGTCGCACCTGCAAAATTGTTAGTCAACCGCTGAGAATCTCGAATAGGACTCTTCTTACCCTTTGCGCCAATCAATGCTCTGTGGTGCTTCTTATCAACTTCGACTGTCTTGGAAACAGTGTTGTCGAAGACGGCCTTCTTCTCCTCAATTATCTTTTTAGCTTGATCAACTTGAGATTTGGTGCCCTTAATCGAAATCTCGACTCTGGTAGATTGATCTTTATGATCCCGCGCATTTGGGACATCAATCTTCGCTCCTGTCTCAGAGCGGACTTTGTCCATTTCAGCACCCCGTTGACCAATCAAAGAGCCAATTTGACCAGCTTGGACTGAAACAGTTGCAGAGTAGGAATTATCTTTTGTGTACTGAAGTAGATCCAAGATTTCGGCCCTCACCTCATCAGCACCCTTTTTTGGACCTCGAATGATGACCTCGTCCGGTTCTTGCTGCTGGCGAGCTCCACGGCGGCCGCTATCACTCGCGCCATCAGCAACTGACTGATCATCCCGAGCTGGGCGGGCAGAGTGTGGAAATCGAATTTGAACATTCTTGTATTTCTTCTCGAGTTTCTTGATTTGAGATCCACCGGCACCAATGAGCTCGCTGTGGAACTTGGGCTCGATTTTGAGAGTGTAGGTAGTTTCATCCGCCCATTGCTTACCGAGGGACGTGATATGAGCCCTAGCAGCTTCGGCTTTGGCCTTTGGACCCTTTAATTCTACAACCCCCTCGTCGTTAAGCTGGATGTCGACGTCGAATTTTTCGCGGAGCTCTGTGATGTTGCTTCCACCTTTGCCAATCAACTGTTTTGCGTGCTTTTGGGGAAATTCGAAAGAGAGGGTAAAACCACGTCCCTTTTCATCTTCTTTCGCCTGCTTTAGCCATTCCTCGACTTTAGCGACCAAGCTCTCAACAGCTGGCTTAGGACCGCTAAAGCCTATGAGAGATGGACCACGTGGGTGCACCCTGACTGGAAATTGCCCAGTTGGACGTTTTGAATTTTCGTCTTTGATGTACTTTCTCAGGCGCTGATGGAATCTGTCATTGTTAGCGGGGACAAAATGCAAGGGATGTACGGCTTACATGGTTGGGACCTCCAGTTTGACCTCGATAATTTCACCCTGAGCAGCTATACTATCCGAAATGTACTTTCTAGCAGCTGCCACGCGTTGCCGGAAAAGCTCGATGTCCGAGGGGCTTGGTTGGCCGCGTGGAACACCGTATTGAGGCTGTAGACCCTCCTCTCCCTCGTAAACGAGCACAAGAGGTGAAGATTTGTCCTGAGGAATCACAAGATGCACCCCATAGTCATTCTTAACCGTCGACATGTACTCGGTATTAAGGTGCTTATGGAAAAAGTCATCAACGTCCAAAGCAGCTACACGATCCGGAGGATGGGCTTCCAATATCTGTCTAATGTCCGTCTGCGCTTTGATGGCATTTTTACCTTCCCGAGAATACATATCCCAAGGACCAGATTCTCCATTCGCTCCGAGAGGAGCATTGACTTGAGTTTGGTGAACTTTATCTATCGTATCGAACACCAGACGGTCAATGAAATAATGGGTCAAATTTCGGGCATGTTCTTGTGGAGAAGGAACATTTCTGAGAAGCCTAGCCACGTCTAATCTCGTGACTTGCATGCCCATTCCAAGCTCTTGAGCTTTGTCCGTTGCCGCTGCAATTTGGTCTGCAGGGCCAATAATTGTGATCATATCATCCTCGGCGCTGTCTGGGAGAATGATCGCACAGTTTGTCTCAGCGTAGAAATCTTGTGGCGATACGCCTCGTGGGCCAATGATGAATTGATGGCGGCCATTATCCATAGGGAACTGGTCGATAGTTAATTGCCGTTGAAGATCTTGAGCTAGGCGTTCGATTTCTGAACGAGCGGCCATGACAGCAGCACGATCACCAGCCAGAGTAATAGGATTGTCTCCATGTGCAGGCAAGAAAGCTGGCGCTTGACCTCGGGATGGAATACGCGGCGGTGCCTGCTCTGTCCATCTGTGGTACTGAGGAACTTGAACTTGGACCCCATGCGCCCTTTCCAAGCGGTTGACACCGGAGTTATTGGCCCCTAATATGAAAGGATACAATTCTGCAGGAACGTTGCGCAACTTGGTGTTGACTGTCGCGCCTCGCGCACTCGCAATCTTCTCGATTTCCGCTCTCGCAAGCTGAACTGCGATTGGGTTTCCATCAATAACAATGTTAATGGTATCATCCTCCTCATCGGTAAGTTCAGGCGTGTCTTCGACTTTCGGTAACTGGATTTTAGCCCCGGACTCTTGTTGGATGGATTTTATTGTCGATCCTCCTTTGCCAATGATGTGAGCTCTAACGGAACGTGGCACTGGAACATTGATCGATTTCTGGTGACGAGTTAGTTGGATACCTTTCGATTTTCAGAAATAACTTACTTGGGTATTGATGTGGGATCCTAACTCCCTAAATACATCCTTTTTCTTGGCTTCTGGGACTTGATTACCTGCTAAATTAATTTTGATAACACCGCCTTCCCCAGTCGTCTGGCTCAAGTTTACCCTGTGCTTTTTACTCAGCTCCCTTAAAATCTCTGGGAGTGGCTTTTTGGTCGCGGCACGGGATAGATCCTTTGGTCCAAAGGTATACACAGTGCCATTGACCTGACCAGCTAGAGATTGCGCTCCACCGGGCCGTGGAGTGCCAATAGGTGGCGTATTCACACCCGAGTTGGGTGTCGAGCTACCATTTGTTGGTACTCCGTTTCCATTCGAAGTTCCTTTTTTTGCCCATATGGGAGCAGCAGTTGTCTTTGGTGCGCTTCCTAGACCTGGGAAGAGTGCTTCGGACTGGGTGTCTAAGGGCTTGTTCTCCTTCTCTGGGGCACCGGTTGCCTTTTGCTTTCCAGCTGCCTTTGCCGACATGGGCGCTGCCCAGCTTGGTGCAGGTGAGTTGTCTTTGGTAGACTCGAGGATGCTGGACGATACAGGAGTTGGATGAGGGGTCAAATCCTCTTCATCCGGCACATCCTCAATAGTCGGCTGGTGTGCCTCATCATGCTTTGCATGCTGTTGCATCAACCGCTGCGCAGCAGATACGCTGCCATTGGTCGTGTTAGCTTCCACAGAAGCCATGACGATTTTTCGAGAATACTGGTTGATCAGGATCGGGGGATGGAGATATGGAGCGCGGATAGTAAGTGTAACCAGGGCAATTGAATCTTGATCTATATCAATATTTCAGTAAACATGATGGAGTGCCGCTCTGCAACGGGCGCAACGAGTTACAGGTGATCTGACTGTCGCAAACCACTGGATTGGGAGCTGAGGGGGACTAAATAGACGTACGGTTATGAGGCCACCGAATCAATTTCAAGAATGTCACAGCTTCGAAAGGGCTGCGTGAATACGCAATGCGGAAATGATGGGAAACTGCAAAGAAGCGTTGTATTGTTAATTGACAAAAGAGTTCATGCAAGAAGCCGCTCGAGGGTGAGGTGTCAAGAACAGAATGAGGGAAGATTGTACTAGAGCATGGATGGTCGGGGTCGAGCTCTAGGAAATTCTGAAGTGGAGTACTTCGCTTGACTAGCGACTTCTTTAGCAGGGATTCTTCTGGCGTTGATGATGGAAGGCCCAAGACTAGAATTCTCGATATATGTGTATAGGCCTGGAGGCGGAGGAACTAGAAGGATTTAGATTGGAGTTTAATTAGTGAACCTTTCAATTCTCTAAGTTTGGTAGTATCTGCTTTTTGAGATGGTTTCGCAGTATTCACGATGACTTAACGTAGTCCAAAATCCTCGATGTGGGGTGACCACGAAGTTTGCGCACGTGATAGAACCTTTAGGAGCTTCCGAGAAGCTTCTAGGCTCAGCCTACCAAATTTTCCTGATCCGGGGGACATGGGGAACATATGAAGTAAGGAGAGTTCGTAAAGTGTGTACGGTTACTTAAAGCATCGGGAAAATTAGCTACAGTAATGTTCTAGGAAGACTAACATTACAATATGACATTCTATAAGGAGTGTCGGAGAAAGCTGAATGACATTGTAAAGACATCATGCACCGGAGACGCGAATTTAAGAAAGGAAGGAGACTAGAACACAGAGTTTGTAATAACGGTCTCTTGATTTTGAGTATACTTTAAAGATACCTTGACCACCGCTAAGGGAATACACAGCCCTGACACGGAAGGGATGGAAGCCGTTGCGGAATCATTCTCTTGCCTGATCTCACTCTTTGTATCTCTGGCATTAGCATAGCAGCATCAATTGTAGCAGACTGAGGAGTTGGTAATAAAAAAGTACACAACAACCGAGTTCATTTTGCTTACAGTCCGCCTGCTCCCGAGGTCTTCGCCCGAAACAATAATCGAGTAGCTGGGGCGATAAATGCTCGAGATATTGACTTACTGATTGAACAAATGATATCATACGAAACAGGCGTACAAAGGATTGACTCGAGGAGACTCAGTCTTCAACTGCTATATGAGCGTTACGGTTCGACCACGTTGCATCCTTGAGCAAAACCTATGCTTAGCCTGGGCATAATTCCTTGATAAGATGCCTTTGACAATGAGTTCCTACGTGGATGTCGAACCTCAATTCAAGTTCCACAATTGGAACCCCCTAGATGCATATCTTCCACGAAGAGTCAGGAGCAGATGACAGCTTGCGCGAATCCGCTGACTAGAAGATTCCCAGCATTTTCCCCTAGGCGACCCGAGGGCAAGTCACCCTAAAAATCCATGAGTCCTCGAGCGTATCAAATGCGTCAATTCTCCTGCAGTCCAACAAAGATTGCTGTACGTAGCTTGAAGTTCTCCTTACAAAAGATTCCTGGGCTGAGCTTCCTTCTTGGCAAAAACTGAGTGGCCTTGAAGCTCGATTGATTCGCTCGATTCGGAAAATCTCGAGAGTTCGTCACACCCAAGTGACGACGTGTTCCTGCGTTACTACAAACGTTCGATGTCGAGGTACATAACTTATAATACAAGAATCTTAGTCTTGCAGGTGGGAGTTTTTGCGGTCTTTGTAACCCGACACGAAAGCGTTTGCAGCATGTTCATCTCCTTTTGGCCATCCTGCATCTCGGCGACAATCACCGGCTGGGTCCTTCGACTCCCTCCGCATTTCATTGTCTCCACCGGAACTGTTGTAGTGCTCATCAGCAAGGAGAGCATGCCGTAATTTTTATCTGGGAGCTCGTCTCCAGCTCGAATTCTTATTGAAGTGGTCCTCTTCTTCTTCCGGTAGCCAAAATTAGGAATTCTAACCGCGGCTCCGATTGGTAGAAGGAAATTCCAATGGCGCAAATACGCTGCTCGGCTGAGTGTACATACAGAAAGTACCTCGAGGCATCCTCCAATCTTCAGGACAACCTAAAGAAATGTGTCGCTTGTACCAGCACTCTGTACTCTTCCTTGATGCAGCCTTCAGCGAGGGCCCACGCTCCGTCTGCAGCCTGAGCCATGCACGTTTTGCGGAAGCAGGAAGCATGAGGCTTTTTGGGCCGTGAATGGGATGGTGTGATGGACAACTGAGTTGTAGAACGGCACACAGGAGGGGACGGCTTGGATCCTTGGGACGTCGGAGACAGCTTTGAGACGATGGCAGCCGTCGCCGTTGTCAACTTTAAGTGCACATCAACGGCGGTGCTCTGCGACTCGACTGCCTCTGGGGCTGTGGTGCCTCTGTGAAATGTCTTGTCTCAACTCGTAGCGATCAGGTCCAGGTGCACGCACTAGGCTTGGTCTGCCACCGCATGTCAGGAACTGCGGATGGGAAGTAATCGAGGCCGAAGCAGTAAAAGTATCGTCGAATGTAGTGGGACGAACAAATGTTTTGATTCTTGTTGTTGTTGTTGCGGGGGGTTGGAGGGGTGCCGGTGTTGATGGACCCAAACCTGTGATAGAGGGGTGAGCAAGGATGTAGAGCCAATGAGAGAGTCACTGTCCCACTTTAGCTGGAGCAGGAAAATGCTGCTTGCCCACAGTCCAGGTGGTCCGGACTGTTGTCAGTAGTCTCTCCAGCGAACCGCAAACCTCACTCTGCACCGCAAACCACCACGACCAAGCATTGACGGAGCGCCAGTCGACTTGCCTCCTAGGCCCTCCAGCCGCCCCAAAGGAATTCTTGGTCTATTCACCTAGTACTGCAGCTCCTCTATTGCCAATTTCCTAGTCACTCCCACTACTCGGCCATCATACGCTTACGCCTACGCCTACGCCTACACCTCCTACTCTGCGGTACTCGACACTTTGCCATACCTACCTACTCAATACCTCATCTGATTATCCTATTTTGCTACACCTTTACTACCACCCCCCCTTCTCTTGTACCTCAATTCTCTTCGCCAACTCCTCCACCCCTCCCCTTGCGACTCTCCACCCTCCACGAGTTATCTGCATCGACCTTCCACAAACATCCCACCTTCTGCACTCGTGGCTAGCTAGTTAATGGATAGGTCGTGAACACAGAACCGGTCTTGCTACCGCCCGCCAATCAGCCCGCCTATGTACCGGCGCATTCGAAACGAGAGCACCATCCACCGCATACTTCAACGGCAGCGGCTTGTAACAGTACGAATTGTCTGGCGCTGAACCGAATTCCCTTCTGTCATATTTGACCTCATCATGGAAGAGATAAAGGCCACCACTCGACGCTTGACCAAACGACCTCCTCCAGGAAATGAGTCCTCGTCCCTCCGCACCCAGAAAAGCTCTGGCAGTCTCCAGCGAGCGCCTTCTGCCCCCAACCCACACGGTCCATATTCAGGAAGCTCTAACGGCTCCCGTCATCATCGAACTCCCACCTCGCCCAACCCCACAGCATATGCGTCGTCAAATTCATCGCTGGATCATCAGATCTCGGGTCCCTCGCCAATCTTGGGGGCATCTGAGTTCGGTGCGCCGGTCGGCAAAACTGGAGTGAATCAATCGTCGCGTCCATTGAGCGAGAAGACTTCGCAAGAATTGCTGGGAGCCCCATTTGATGGGTCGGGAATTCTAAATCATCTGGATTCATCGAGCGTGAAAGGTTATCAGAGTTCTCTTCGTCGACCACCTCCCCCGCCCTTATCTCACACGAGCCCGGATCCGCGAGGTCTCGGTCCACCACTACAACAGTCAGCAAGTTTCACTACGACGGACAGGATTATGATGAACGAGAAGGGCGCTCCACGCGTGGGTGAGAACCAGCTCATCAGCCCCAAACGGTACTCGGACGAAAGTAGGGAGCCAAAGTTAGGGATGATGAGAAAGAAGTCTGGTTTCTCGGGCTTCATGAGCCAGATTGGAATTGGATCGCCACGCGGGCCAAAGATATCAGCACCAGAAAACCCAGTTCACGTAACGCATGTTGGATATGACCAAGATACCGGACAATTTACAGTACGTTTAGATTTGTGCATCGACATGTTGCATTCCTACTACGTATATTAACGGTCGCTAATTATACTCCTAGGGGCTGCCAAAAGAATGGCAGCGCATGTTGAATGACAGTGGGATTACGAAAAAGGAACAAGATGAACATCCGCAAGCAATTGTCGATATCGTAGGCTTCTACAAGGAAAATGCCGAGAAGGGACAAGACGACGTGTGGGATAAATTCGAGCACGCCAACGTACCAGAAATGCGGGCGCCGATTTCGACTCCTACCCCTCTTCCATTATCTCCAGGACTTCTCAGTTCGTCGAGCTATGGCCCAATGGCAAGTCCACCTGCGAGTCCCCGATTCCCATCAAACCATGAAACCAGTTTCGAGAATCCAAGATCTCCACCGCCAGTGCCACGTCCTGGAGCTCCTGGGTCTTCTCAAGGTCTGGCACTTCAGCAGAAAAATCCAAACGCAAACGGTCTTGTTCCAAGTCGTCCCGCTCCGCGACCACCTGTTTCTTTTCAAGGGCCGACTCGAGCTGCACCTCCTCCGCCTATGGGAGATAACAAAGATTCTGGTATTTCTTTTCCTCAGAGACAGAGTGAAGACCTACCAGCTTTAGCATATGTTCCACCGCCAGAACCGTCGCCGATGCTTCCAGAGGAACACCGGTCGAGATCAGAGTCACGTTCCAACGGCAACGCTCCGTATCAAGCACCGCCGACTCAAGTTATATCTCCACAGGCGGCGTACCAGCAACAGGTCCATGAACAACAACAGCAAGCTTTGTATCAGACACAGGAAGCTCAATTGGCGCGGCAACTCAGCAAACGAGGACCTGGTCAGACACCTCCTACACCACAAGCTCAATTTCAGCGCCCTCCAGAGCTCAATGGCATTCCGCATCCGAGTCAGCAGGCAAGAGCACAGCCTGGCCCGCGGCCAAGACAAAGGCCACGCCAAAGCACTGGATTTGACATTGTAGCGAGATTAAAGCAGATTTGCACCGAGGGTGACCCTAGGGATATATACAAAGAACTCACTAAAATCGGCCAAGGCGCTTCGGGTGGTGTTTTTACTGGTTACGAGAGAGGGACCAATCGTTTGGTTGCCATTAAGCAGATGAATCTCGAACAACAGCCGAAGAAAGACCTAATTATCAACGAGATCTTAGTTATGAAAGACAGCTCACATCCCAACATTGTCAATTTTATTGACAGCTTCCTAGTCACTGGCGAATTGTGGGTTATTATGGAATTTATGGAGGGAGGAAGTTTGACGGATGTTGTCACGTTCAATATCATGACTGAGGGGCAAATTGCTTCTATCTGCCGGGAGACATTAAAAGGACTGCAGCACTTACACTCCAAAGGTGTGATCCACCGAGATATTAAGTCTGATAACATACTGTTATCTCTGGACGGTAACATCAAGCTTAGTACGTTCTGCTACCCCTCCCATCTATGTTGCTCCACTGACTCTTAAAAGCTGATTTCGGTTTCTGCGCCCAAATCAATGAAGCCCACAACAAGAGAACCACCATGGTCGGCACACCATACTGGATGGCACCTGAAGTTGTGACCAGAAAAGAATATGGCCGCAAGGTGGATATCTGGTCACTGGGTATCATGGCAATCGAAATGATTGAGGGTGAACCACCGTATTTGAACGAATCGCCATTACGAGCTCTTTACCTTATTGCAACCAATGGAACTCCAACCATCAAAGACCCAGGAGCGCTCAGTCCGGTATTCACAGACTTCTTGCAATTCGCTCTCAAGGTTGATCCGGAGAAGCGAGCTAGTGCGCACGATCTTCTGAGGGTGAGTTTACCAAGCTATTTAAACCAGACGTGTGTGCTAATACTTATCCAGCATGATTTTATGCGAAAATGCTCCGACCTGATTGAGCTTGCCCCCCTTGTTCGTTCTGCGAGGAGCGCCAGAGCTCAAGAAAAGGCACAAAAGGCAGCATCATGAGACCCTCATTTTCAATCAAGTCCTTGTATAGGCAGATTTCTGGCGTGATACATATTTTTCAACGCGGTAGATACACACGAAAGCAACGTATTCGTCTCAATACAACAACAAGCTAGCATAAGGCGTTTGGGACAGGGGCGTATCAGGGAATCTTCTGGATTCAAAATGAGCATTTACAAACAAACTACCAACACCAACTATCCTCCTGAATGAGACGAAAGAGAACCGCCAACTGGATTCGGTGGCTCCTTTATGTCGAAAACACATGTTTTTATTTTGTTTAGTCAAAGTCTTGGGGTTTGTCTTTTTTATGTCGAAAATACCTCAAGCTCTTTCAGGAGGACTCAACAACAAAAGATCTAGAGACATTGAAAGTAGTCAACATCATTAGGTATTTATGCCGAGATCAGTACCTTCATGGTGATTGACCAATGAATGGTGGTAAGGTGTGGACAGACGGGTGGTGGGACGGATGGATGGAAGGTCATATGGATGCGAATGAATATACCTGAGGGTATGGGATACAACCCCCGAAGTTTGGATGGACACATGTCTAGGACGACTTTACTGCCATTAAAACGAATAGACGGCCGGCACATGGAACGGCTGTGATCTCTTCTTACGAGTACGGGAGCTTCTTTTAACAACAGCGGTGTGCTCGTTTTTTCTAACATTAAAATGTTTAGCGGCATTTTGCAGCGATTTTTTCTTTCTTGTCCAGATTTTTTGCTTGATACCTTGGTTTCTTTCTTCCTCGTTTTGGGGAGGGAAGATTTGTATAAAGGATGGGTGGGGGAGAGCGATTGGAGAGTGAGCGAGGTGGTAAGCTGGTAGATTGAGGGGAGAAATAAAAAGATATTTCAAACATTTGCTTTGGTTAGTTATATGGCTAAATGTGAGGTCTTGATACCCGTGATCATAGCAGCGCATCCATGTCTCGGTCTTCAAATAAGAGAAGACGGTCTCTTGATTGACCACACCTTGCCGACCGGAATTGACCATGGCTTTGTGGTTAAGACAATAATAGACAGGCATAAGAGCATGTGTGACTTCTTCACTTCGTACAGCATTTCTTCGTAACCAAAAGCCTCACCAATTGGGAGGAGGAATTGAATCGTGGATGTGAAGGAGGAGTCGGCCTCGTCTTCGGACTGACATCGAGATCGGCCCGAAATGCGGATTGAGAAAAAGACGCTAAGTATTGTCGCCTTAGGCTTCAATGAATTTCGAAGCAAAGAAAATAGCTTGCCTGCAGACGCGACTATAGCATGTTACCGCGTTAATGAGACAGCACTTTATTGAGCAGACCTGGTAACCTCAGAAATAGACTTTTGTTACTATAGAGTGCGCAAAGTTCAGTTTATAGGCACCAAGTGCCCGGAAATCTACGAAAATGGCGATGAGTAAGTTATTCTCTACTACTACAAATGTCCAGCTAACCTAACCTGTTCTAGATATTGATATGTCGCAAGGTATGTGATAGCTTTGGAAGTTATAATTGCTGTATACTGACAGTCATTCCTCCCAGCTTCCGTGGTGAAAGATGAGCAAGGCAGACCATTCATTGTGGTTCGAGAGTAAGTACTGGCTCCTGTATAGCAAGTTGACGCTTCTAATAAATTTTTAGTCAAGGCAAGAAGAAGCGACAACACGGAAACGAAGCTGTCAAATCACATATCCTCGCTGCGAGAACGGTAGCAAACATCGTCAAAACTTCCCTTGGCCCACGAGGGCTCGACAAAATCCTCATATCCTCAGACGGAGATATCACAGTTACCAATGATGGAGCGACTATCCTTGGGCAGATGGAAATCTCGAACCATGTGGCAAAATTACTAGTAGAGCTTTCGAAATCTCAAGACGACGAAATCGGTGATGGTACAACTGGTGTGGTCGTTCTCGCAGGTGCATTATTAGAGCAGGCAGCAGAACTTATCGACAAGGGAATCCACCCAATTCGGATAGCAGATGGTTATGATCAGGCTTGCGATATTGCGGTTGCCGAGTTGGAAAAGATTGCGGATACGATCGAGTTTACAAAGACACATAAGGAAAATCTGGTTAAGGTCTCAAGAACGAGTTTGGGTAGCAAGATTGTCTCCAAGGCTCACGATCAATTTGCCAACATTGCCGTTGATGCTATTCTCTCGGTAGCAGATCTTGAACGCAAGGATGTTGATTTCGACTTGATCAAGGTTGACGGAAAAGTTGGTGGTTCGCTCGAGGATTCGTTACTTATCCAGGGTGTTATTGTGGACAAGGACTTTTCCCACCCGCAGATGCCAGATGAGGTTCGAGACGCCAAGATTGCCATCTTAACATGTGCCTTCGAGCCCCCAAAGCCAAAGACCAAGCATAAGCTTGATATTACCAGCGTGGAGGAGTTTAAGAAGCTCCAGAGTTACGAAAAGGAAAAGTTTGAGGAAATGATCAAGCAGATTAAAGACACCGGCGCCAATCTAGTCATTTGCCAGTGGGGATTTGATGATGAGGCCAATCACTTGTTACTTCAGAATAAGCTACCAGCCGTGAGATGGGTTGGTGGTCCAGAGATTGAGTTGATTGCTATTGCAACCAACGGAAGGATAGTACCAAGATTTGAGGATTTGTCAGCGGCGAAACTTGGAAAGGCAGGAGTTGTGCGAGAGATGAGCTTTGGAACCACCAGAGAAAAGATGTTGGTCATTGAGGAGTGCGCGAACACTAGGGCTGTCACCATCTTCGTCAGGGGAAGCAACAAAATGGTATGTGGGTCCGGTCGATGTCACGTTTTATGCTAATAAGCCACAGATCATCGATGAGGCTAAACGCTCTATACACGATGCACTTTGTGTTGTACGAAATCTTGTCCGAGACAACCGTGTAGTGTATGGTGGAGGAGCTGCCGAAATTGCCTGCTCCCTCGCTGTCGAAGATGCAGCAGTAAAGTCACCAGGACTCGAACAGTACGCCATGCGAGCGTTCGCTGATGCGCTCGATGCTGTCCCAATGGCTCTCGCCGAGAACTCTGGTCTATCGCCTATCGAGACACTTGCCAGTATCAAAAGTCGACAGGTTACTGAGAAGAACACCAGATTAGGAGTAGACTGTATGCAAACCGGAAGCAACGACATGAGAGATGCCTTCGTCATTGACCCACTTATTGGAAAGCGGCAGCAGCTGATGCTGGCGACGCAGCTGTGCCGCATGGTTCTGAAGGTCAATAATGTTATCATTGCTGGAAGCGATGAGAATGAATTCTAAACAAAAGTAAATGTATAATACCAGGTCTTGTTGTCATAGAATAGGCGCATCTTGCAGATAGAGTCCTTGTCCTAAAATTTACAGCGTATTCTGGTGAACACTGGGGTTTTGTTCCTTGTTTGTGGATGTCTGACACTTGATATTGTCATGAAATGAGTAAGCTCGAAGTAGGCGAAGATGGTGAATCTTGTAAGTCCGTCCCACAATTTCAATCACTCAATAGTACCAATCAGTTCCCATTACACTCTCTGCTGGGTTGGCGAGGCTGACTGAGGGAAATATGAGCAGATACGTGGTCCCTTGTTGGAAATGTTGAAAATAGTGACAATGCCATGGAGACCTTTGGCAGAAATCCGACATTATGTCTTGCATTGAGATGGACATGTTCTACCGATGGACATATTCTATTTTAGGCCGCCTTTCTAAATGTCTCCAATTCGTGACTATTGTTCATCATCTTCGTGCGGTTGTGGTGTTTCTTTGGTACGACTAGACGTGTCCGGTGCCAATCGCGGACTAGCTCCCGTGACGGTCGTCCGACAACATCTCAGTTCACTCGCGAATAGTCACCAACGGTGTCCGCGAAAGCAGAAGCGAGCTTAAATTGAAGATCCAAAAATTCTTCAAATGCATTGTCTTCCCTTACTATTATGACGTGTCCTTGTGGAGTCACATCTTCCATCTTCCTTTGCACCTTCCCTCCTCAGCTATATAACTTTGACCCCGAGCTCTTCCTACAACGACCAGGCTGAAAAACTTCTCTTGAAAAGCAATTTACTATCGATATACATTCAAAGTACAAACGTCACCTTGTTGAACACGTTCTTTAACCGAGCTCGTCACCCTTCGTCAACATGTCTGAGGGGACCTCCAAACCCTCTGGTAGGGTCGTCAACACTACCCAGTGAGTCTCACCTTTGCATATGCAAACTTCAAATTTTCTGATGCTGATATTTCGCAGCCAAATGGGATCTCAACGGGGAACCGAAGAGCATCCCAATTCTAACCAAAAAGACAACGGCAAAAACTGTTTGTTTAAATCGACCAACGCCGGCAGGAACCAGCGCCGCCCAAATAACCGCAACAACCAAGCAAAATGGGCACATAATGAGTCAAAGCAAGACCATCATGGATCTGGAAAACCGCCAGCAACACGAAAACAACAGCCAAGAGCCGCAGCGCAAAAACCAGCTGACAACAAAAAGGCGGCGTCACAACAAAAACCTTCCACTAACGCATCTTTTTCTAACGGTTCTCGTGCCCCCATCAGCCAGCCTTCTAAGCCTGGACCCCAACGTCAAATTGCGCATGATCTTGCGGCCACACAAAAGGTTTCCACATTGGCAACTGCGCAACCTGCAAAACTCAATTCAAACAACCCGAGAAATGGTAAGAATGGCGGCAACAAGACTTCTGAGCCTCTCGCGAAGAAAGATGGAAATGTCAACACCACCAAAAAAATTCCTTCCAAACCCAAGGGCTCCTGTTATGATTTTCTTCAGACTGGGGCTTGTAAGTTTGGGATCAAATGCAGGTATTCACATAATCCGGACGTTGCAACTACAACCAGACAAACTCCCAATACGTCACGGGTATCACAGGCGTTACAGGAACGACTTGCAGGCGTGAATGCGAGACTATCCTCGAAGCCAGCAGTACAATCAGACTCAGAATTGCCAGCTCAGGAGGCCACCGTCGACAAAATATCCGACCTCCTTTCCAAAACACAGGTTTCGGTCGAGTCAGACCTTTCACCAGTATCAAACAGCCTGGCCAAGTCACATACTCCAAACGAACTGGAAACCCCATCGGCATCCGTCAGGCTGAATCCCAATACAGGAACACCACGACAACCCAAAAAGAAACAGCAAGCTTGGAGACCCTTGGATATTAACGCTGTCTCAAAACCTTCTACCACGTCTTTCACTGGTACATACTCCCAAGCTGCGAAATCCTCCCCTCCACCGGGGTTTGCTTCTCATATTGTAAGAAATCCACCATCTCCAGTGATTCCATCTACACCATGGGAGAGTCCATCGGATCTCGCAATTTTGGAATATAGCAGTTCTTCGGGGAGAACATCTCCAAGCGGATCTATTGACCCCTCCGTGGAGGTTACCAATCTTGGATATGAATCATGGGACAATCAGAGACTTGTTATCTGGATGGACCGAAATCTCAGCGATGAGGTAAAGATCAAGCTCAAGAGGGATTACAGACCGTATCTCGAACAAGGTGTCCTCCCTGTTGCCCTTATAAACAGTATGGCTGGAAGAAGAAGAAAGGGCAAGGGACAATTTCCAAATTTCATGAATCTTCCAGCCGAGATTCGCGAAATGATCTGGAATATGGCATTGCGAGACAGCCAACAAGAAGTCCACGTCAAGGTTGATGCAGTAGACGAATTTGATGGAAGCCTCACAGTAAACATAAGACCAGAAACTGATTTACCACCAATCATGCGAGCCAGTAAGGAATCCTACTACCTGGGAGTCAAATGCTACGATCTATCTTTCTCAACCAAAAAATTCGGCGAAGCACTTTGCTGGTTCAATTTTGCAACCGATAGCCTTGTCGTACGAGGTGGTCCCTACGATATCTTCAGCAAGTACCTTCACACTCGCGATACCCGACGCTTGCAACACCTCACCCTCCCTATGAAATGCTGGATTGGTAAGACAGACGCAGAGAAAAAGGCAATCAGGGTGATGCTCAGCCGATTCAAGCATCTCAAACTACTCTCGTGGATGGCGGGAGATAGTAAGGACGATGAGATGTACACGAAGGATCCTCATGTCATTAGGCGCTTGACGTATATGGTCCACGATGTGTTTAGGGACAGATGGGGGAAGACATGTGAGGTTCCTCGAGTCGAGCAGAGGGTTATTCCCGCGCTACTGGCTAGAATGTGGGGGATTGATAATTTGCAGATTTGAGGCGAGCTGGTTGTGTTTTTAAGTCACGGCCCTCATCGCTCTCGATTATCAGAATGCTTGGTCTATCGCTACGCAGGTTTCTCATCAGGATTTCATTCTTACTCGGCATCAGACCTTGTTTAAATTCATCAGAAATCTTTCGGACTCTTTCAAATTTGGACCTTTTCAGGCGTTGGAATCATCGGGAGTTTTGCATTGGTTTAGTTTGCTTCAAATTGGCTTTCAAGGCGTACTGGATACCTAGTCCATGATGGATGAATAAGATTAAATGAATCCGGAAGATGGATTCCACTGATCAGGATATCCCTCGTTTCAAATTGGCGTTCATGGCTTTCACATCATCAGGGAGTTTTGCGTTGTTTCCAATTGGCGTTCCGGGATGGATGAGATTGAATGCTGGAAATGAGAAATCAGGCGTTGATCTGAGGCATTGTACATTAGTTTGCGATAGCATTTCATAACTTGTTTCCTATTCTCTGACGTACCGGACCTTGACAATGTGCTTTAAGAAAGTTGTTAAGTTTGTGAGACACTTTCATACATGCATTAAAAAGGGCAGGCATACGTTATGAGTAGATTCGTCGAACTTGGCCTATGTTATGATATTTGGTAAATGCCTAGAACGAGTGTCATCAAGACGATCTGGAGATCTCAGCCATCTTTCAGGTGAAATCTTTAGGGACTTGGATCTCTAATGACTAAATCTCAAAAGTGGTGGTATAAATCGTAGACGCTGGTACTTATCTATTCAGTAGAAAATATCAAATTCGGACGACCAGAATTTGAGTCAGGCTTAACGGGTTATGGGTGTTAGACAAGAGACGATGTCACGCGGCATGTAAAGAATCATGATACTAGAAACCAAAACATGATATTGTTTGCTCAATTCAAAGAGGGTATTTAGCGCACACCACACATTACATGAACACGCGACAAAATCCTCTGCATCTTTCTCTCTCTCCTCTTTCCTCTCTCCCCCACTCACACCATTCTCCCCCATCACATCACCCCGCCTCCATCGCCACGAACTATCCAAACCACCCCGCCTCCATCGCCACGAACTATCCAAACCACCCCGCCTTTCCTTCATCACACAACCCATCTCCATACGCCCATGCCAAATCCCAAACACAAACAAAAACGAACGAACAGTCCTCTAGGACCCTATCAAAACTCCTGCAATGTTGGATTTTCTTCGCCTGTACCCACGCTATGCGGGGTCATGACATATGTATATATATGTGCCCCTTCTCCCTTTCGAATGAAAATAAAAATATGTTTTGTGACCCGATTTCCTATGTAAACACCGACGAACGCCAAAATTACCCTGTATGGGTCAAGACTTTGAGTATGGACAATAGGACCGAAATGTTTTGCGTGGGCCTATGCGATGTACAGCGACTTTGTCGAGCTCGGAATTGGTGCTCGGTAGCTGATCTCCCCACAGAGGGCTCCCCGAAAGCATATAAACAACCGCGAACTTCTGCGGTGCCGGTCGGGGGTGATTTGAACTCGTGACCGTGGTGTGGAGATCATGGATATTCCCAGCTAATTTCGTACTCTGGTATACTTGGACCTTGCCATTTCTCGCCATATGGGTTCAGGCGATCGTGCGAGAAAAATCCGTCTTGAGCGCGTTGGATCACGTTCAGCCAAGATGAAGGCTCTGGGTTCTTGCGCCACTTGTAAACGGTTAGTTGCATTCTGTAGGATGTGTTATATTTATCTTACCTGGTTATGAATGTGATATGTCCACGCTCCACGGAAGAAGTTCTCCATTGTTCGGTTGGTAGGTGGATATTGGTCGTCCTCGATTTTGTACTCGGTCTTGCTCAGAGCGTTTTTATCGTATGTTGTAACCGCGGTCGTAGTCATTTGACTTGCGCGGACTTCCTCAGACTTTTCCTTGGTATCTGCTACATCTCTCTTCATTTCCCAGAAATGGGCTCGACTTGAGGAAGACGCAAGTTTCAAAGGTGCTCCTTGATATGCTTCCCACTCGTCCTTCAATGGAAAAGCGTTCTTGCCCTTGAATATCTGCCCGTAATCGTGGAAGCATGGAATAGAGCACTCTCCAAGTCTGTCGGAATTGAATTCTGTCCAGATTGGATCGAACGCTGCAGTCTCCAGCATGTGAAATTCTTTGTTTCTGTGGTCCTTCACGGCCATCACGCCAATTACCCTTGGATGGAAGTTCAACCCCATACGTACACCTCCGCGAAGTAGGTAAGACGAGAGTGTTGAATTGGCTGTTAACGACATGATGGCCGTATTGTAATCTCCCGGTGAGGGGTGACCGCCCCATCGCTCAGCGAAAGAATGTTGATCGCCGATAAGCAGAGGTCGCATGTCTCGGAGCATGATAACGTCCATATCGAAATATGCGCCTCCATAAATGTGTAGGATAACGAATCGTACAGCGTCTGATACTGCGACAGGTAAAAAGGTCATTTTCTTCTCGGTAACGATCAACCACTCTTGTCCATTTCCGTCTCGGATCAAACCATCGGCAACTACCGTCTCATTCTTGGAATTTGGTTTCCCAGGGTTCTTATAGTATCCAACCCCATCGGTGTTGTCACCTTTGGGAAGGGGTACTCGTGAAGGAAAGTGCCATGTTTTGAGAACAATATCTCCTCGCTCGACGAATGGAAGAAACTTTTTAAATAAGGGGTCTTGGTTCATCATCTTCTCCAACGCATCCTTGTCGCGATCCCCGTCTAACCATATCCATAGTCGGGAACACGGGATATTCTGGGTGTGGAAATAGCTCTTGATGAATAGTTCTACTCTCCAAGTCGCAGGCCCTGTCCAGTAGGTGTGGTAAGGCACAATTGGACCGTTGCATCTGCCCAGCGAGTCTTTGGATGCTGCCTTGTAGGAGGGATATTTGTCAAGGGTATTGTCGGCACCGTCCGCATTAAGGTATTCTGCTAGTTTCGGTGGCTGTTCGCTCGCTCGTTCCCCGCGGGAAGGTGTGTAATAGTATTCCTTTTCGCCATTGTTCAAGTAGTTGAGACAATCCTGAACATAGGGCATCTTCTCAATCTTTTCGTAGGACCCTCTGCATTCTTCCACCAGCTTCGTGAGGTTTGCGATCGTGTCGATGCCAGGTCGCTTGCCTAAGAAATCATCCTTGGGAACCACCAAGCTCTCAGGCCTGTTGAACCAATTCGCACTAGGCTTGATCTTCTCGACCTTCAATTTCGGGGAAGGTACTCGTCCGCCGGTGCCAATACCATCAGAGGAGGAGAAGCCTGGGCGAACGCTCGCTGCCGGGTTTTTGTAGAGGTCGGTGGGTGACTTTGGAATCGAGCCCCTCTGAAATAATAGAACCGCCAAATAGATGAAGCCGTAGAGAATCGAAGCCACCATAACACTCTGCATCACCCCCCATGCGTTCCTCGCACAACTTTTCTTTGCCATCGTGTCTCTTCAACGCAGTTCTCCCGGGTCGCGTCGACTCCTTTCTTCCCCTATTCGCCCAGAGAGTGGAGGCAGCAATGGTGCGGCGGTGATGGTGAGGGGAATTGTTATGCGTGTCTTTGCGCCATAAATTGATGTTGTCCAGTTCTCTTGCAACTCGAAAGGAGGGATTCGCAAAATGTTGTGTCAAGGATTGTGGAGCCTTACCTGTGTATTCGCGTTAGCTGACGATCAGGAATAGCAACGTGAATTCACAGCCTCAGCGCTGGTGCAGGCTGACTTACGGCAGAAAAAGAGATCAGGGGCCAGTTAAGGCGAATGTCTCTATTGATTAAACGGAAGCAGCATGAAGAAAAGAAATGTTCGCACCGAGGGGTTGTCGTGTCGGAAAGGAGAGAGAAAGAATTAAACAAAATGGGGGAGAAGCGGAGGTATTATTGAATGGGGAGTTGGGGAGTAGGGAATAGGGACCTGGAGGGTCCACTGCAGTCTGCAGGATGAAATTGGTCTGGGCGGGTCGCCCGTGGCGCGGATGCGACTGGGGTTGTGGAAACGTGCTAGGGTTGGCAGGGTTGGGTAGGCCCAGGTAGGGTCCCGTAGAGATTTGTGCGAGAAGCCCTTTGTGCTTTTCCGTGCTTTGGAGGGGGGGGTGGGGGAGACGGCTCAGTTGTTGGGTTCCAAGGTGGTCAAGAATGGGGAAATGTAGGTGCGGCTTGGAAGAAAGCAGTCGCAATCGTGATGGGAATCATGATCGATGAATTGTGAGTCTACAGGTTCAACTATAAATAAAAAATCGGGTTGTTGGTTGGAGTTGTCTTGTTGCAAAGTGGCCGCTGCTTGACGACCGGCACAGCATAGACGAATGCCACAGATACGCAGGAACAGATTCGGGACTAGTGATAGGAAAGTATACGAATACCGGCTCCGTCTCACACCGTTAATAGAAGAGCATCAACGGGTTTGAGGATCATCTCCTATCATAAAGGCATACGTTAGCCTTCTAGGTAGCTACAAGTACTCGACTTCTATCCTCGCTTAAGACCATCATGTATTCCTGAATTTCCTTTCCTCCGCACAGTATCATTGGTTCTTTGCGCTTTTTATTCATCAGTCTAGGCCAAGATAGCCAATCCTCAAGACACACTTGCTGCATCTTGACCTGTCACAAGGCGTCGGAGTCGGCCTTGGTGTGGCATCTCAAGCCTCCATCTCGATTCTCCAAGCATGCCATCACGTTGGGGATGCGCACGACCTCGTTCACCCCGCGTCGACGGGACAGCACAATAGAACAAGAGTGTTAGCCTTCGATTGTTGCTTAAACAGAGGTGGTGTATAAGCGGGGTTCGTTTGGGTTCGTTTGGGTTCGTTTGCACCATTGCTGCGTTGCATCTCGAAGACACTCACGCAGTTTTCCGTATGTCAAGCCTATCTCAAAAGGGAAGACATTCTCGATCTCCTAATACTGGTTAAACAAGGCTGCTTAGCCTACCCTTATCCCCTTTTCGGACGATTATCACTTCACCACCCTCGATCAATTTTGCGGTTGGCCAAGCCCTCGATTGGATATCCCATTTTTAATCGTTTGCACAGCCTCCTCTACTCAGAATATCGCTCAACCTAGCAGGCTAGCACGAACTACGCATACTCGTACCGAGTTTTAGGGTGGCTTACTCCTTTCTCAAACCTAGCTAGTCTAAATCTTATTTGGCTGACAGGCACGATCTCTTTCTGGAAGTACACTTTCGTACGGGACTTGCCACGGGCCGACTTTCCTACATGCCGATCACAATGGCAAGATGAAACCCCCGATCGAATTTCTTTTCCATATGCGGCGAACTCATACGAACTTTCGTACAATTCTTCACTTGCAGGGACTCCCTTTCGCACGTTTCTGCATGGCCTATGCGTTACCCCATTATATTTCCTCCTGAAACACTTATTCTCACCTACAAATCGAGTTTAAAGGCTTGTTTGCTGACCTTCGGGTTTCTACGAGGTCTCAAATAGAAGTATCTTAGTAGAAGTCTACACCCAATGCATTGTCGTTACGACTTTGGATTGAGCATTTGAAGCATATGTACGGAACAAACCAATTAGGCCCATTTTCGAAAGTCCCCTTTTTAAGCGAGTACGTACAATACGTGCGCTCGAGCCAAGCTCTACCTAGTTTTCAAACCGAACAGAGCAATCAGAAGGCGAAAGTTAAGAAGCTATCTATTCCGTTTGTCAACCTGCACTACGAGCATTACTTGCATTATTTACTGACCAGTACGCAGCCTAAAATGTATTATCGTCTTACTCCAAGTCTTACTTGCATCCAATTGACCTGCTTCAGATCTTCGGCAATTCAATTACGACGCGCGGACAGGACTTTGCCGTGACGCGTATTGAGGAAGTTTTCCACCGTTGCGCCCATAGAGACAACTCGTCGGTACGGCAAATGGAGTCGTAACCAAATGAAGAGTCTACATGGTTGGGTCGAGATAAGGCATGCAGGATGTCTTTTAGGAAACAAGAAGCTTGCTTTCCGACCTGAATGGTGGAGTTCTTCAAGTGCAAGACTCTTTTCTACGAAACGTGAGAAGACAGCAGAAAATGGGATTAAAAAGGATTCTGAAGTCCAGACTTTCAAAATAAAGACTGGATCTGCTGGGTCTATTACCATTGAGTAGGTACTATTTCTCTTCTGTTCAATTTTCCGTCTTCGATTACAGTAGTTGGATGTAGAAATAGTACATTCACGTGACTCCCCTCTTATGTTCTGTTTCTATTTCTATTCCAAGAATCAAGCAAAGTTATAGCACTAAAGACCTCTAGTCTGTACAACTCGCATCTTCTCACAAACATAAGATCACCTCTGTATATCTATATACCTCCAGTCGGCCATCACCTTCGAGATGCTCACGCCAGCCTCCCATCCTTCCTACCATCTACGCCGAAAGCCATAGCCAGAATTAATTATCGCTGGAACCATCTCCCCCCACCACCAAAGAAAACCTCAAAGGATTCATCTTCGTCTCCATCACCGCCGCCAGCTATCTTAACGAGCGATCCGTCATATGCCAATCATCCGTTTCCAACACCTCTTCATGACACCCTATACGGATTCGAATTTCTGACTAACACCGTTCTGAAATCGTACACTCCCAAAACTCCTCCTTCTATACCCGCTGAGAGAAAATCATCTTTCTCTCCAGAATCGGCTTACTATACTCCACCGTCATCAAAGAAACCACTACCACGCAGACCGCTTATAATATGTAGTTCTTACCTGGGAGGTTCGCTTGCTACCTCACTGGCCTTGACCGAATCGAAGGTTTCCAAGACACTACCTTACTACATAGCCGGTCTCATCATAGAAAATGGAGTCTACGACTGGACGCCAATAGCAACCTCACGTCCACCAAAACCACATCCATCACAACATCCATCAACCAAAGCCCCATTCAAACCCTGGACAGCCAGTCATCTCCACAAACTAAAAACCCACCTCTTCAACTCTCCCGAAAGCCCATTCGACGCCTTCGTCTCACCCGTCCTCTTCTTCCGCACCCCCGGCCACCACGCCCCCAAAACCTGGCCCTCAAACCCCTCAAGCCCAGAACCGAAAAACACAACTCTCCTCCCCAACGACGAATACCTACACTACTCCACACAAACCGACTCCGCGGACCACCTCGACGACGACGAATCTTACGACATCATCCCCGAAAACCTCGACCCGCTATCCAAACCAGGCATTACAACCACAACCCTCTCCCTCGGGCCCGCACCACGCAAATCCCCTCTCAGATTCCCCGCCAAGCACTCAGACATTAAACTCCCGCGCAGCCTATTCCTGTACTCCCCTGCCGCGAGTAATACACCGGTAGTGAAGAACGGGAAACGGAAGAAGGCGAATGGAGAGGAGCGGGAGCTAGAGTTGGATGATTATGTGACGCCGCAAGAGCAGGCGGAGGAGATGGCGGGGTTGATGAGGAGATCGGTACAGCTGCATGAGTTGGGGGAGAGGAAGATGTGGGATGAGGAGTTGGATGTGGAGGTTGAGTCGGCGGACAGGGTGAGGGTGGTGGAGATTGGGGAGGGTGTTAGGGGAGAGGTTGAGGAGTGGATTGAGGAGGAGGGATTGGGTGGGTGAGTGGTGGTGTTGTAGGAGTATGTAGGATTATATGTATATCTGAATGAAAATGTTCTTTGGAGAAGTAGAAGTCGCAGACATAATGTTACCACAGTACGATGATGGCGGTTCGCTGTAAACCGTTGGCTGTCAGTCCATTAATCAAAAGACTTTTACCAAAGGAATTCGAACAAGCTTGTTTTGTACGACATTCGTTTTGTGCTTTTTTTCTTACGGCTCATGTAGCTCTATTAGAAACGTCCAGTTTAAATAGATTTGAAAAGGCACACCTCTTTTTAAAGTTAGAGCCCACTAATACAGGACTTCGCATTAAGTACAGTCTATATTACTACTAACAAAACCCAACTTTCATAGAGCAATTTGATGATATCGGTAGAGTACATCAATAAGTAAACACGACAAGAGAGATAATTTCTGACATCTCGTCTAAGTTTCCTCCCTAGTTCGGCATACTTTCCATGTACAACTCAACCACGACCTCCATTCCGAAATCGTCATTGGCTTTTATATTTTTTTCCCTGAACACCAGACCGGGACAAATGGTAATACAATTCAGTGCCACGTATACAAAATGTAAGCAAAATTGGGGACTACAGTCACAGGCCACTAAATGGTTGGAACCTGAAGGTCTATAAGTTTATATAAAAACAGACCTACCCCCTCAAAGCATTTCCTATTCCACACGCTAACAACCCACCACACCCCCACTATCGCAACTTCTCCCCCTTCAAACTCTTCTCCTTCCCTCCAAAAAACCCCCCCCAAACCACCCACCATGCCCAAAACAACCCTCCACCTAGTCCGCCACGCCCAGGGCTACCACAACCTCTCAACCGCAAACCACACGCTCCCCGACCCCTCCCTCACCCCCCTCGGCGAGTCCCAATGCGCAGACCTAGCAGCCTCTTTCCCGTACCACTCGCAGATCACGCACCTCGTCGCCTCGCCCCTCCGGCGCACGCTGTACACCGCGCTGCTCTCCTTCCCTGACGCCGTCGCGGCTGGGAAAAAAGTGCTCGCGCTCCCCGAACTCCAGGAGACGTCTGGGTTGCCGTGTGATACCGGGTCTGAGCCTGCGAAGCTTGAAGAGGAGTTTGGAGGGGAGGGGAAGGTGGATTTAAGGTTGGTGGAGGAGGGATGGAATTCTAAGAGTGGGAGGTGGGAGGCGACGGCGTCTGCGATTGAGAAGAGGGCCAGGGAGGCTAGATTATTTCTGCGGGACTTGGGGAAGGGGGAGGATAACCATATTGTGGTGGTGACGCACGGTGGGTATCTGCATTATTTCACGGAGGATTGGGATGGGAGTGAGCGGTTTACGGGCACGGGGTGGTCGAATACCGAGTTCAGGTCTTATGAGTTTCGAGAGGGGGACGAAGGTGCGGGGTTGAAAGAGACGAAGGAGAGTCGGGAGAGGAGGAAGGGAAGTGAGAAGGAGTTGAGTAGGGATGAGCAGAGGGAACTGAGGGATACGGCGGAGAGAGGGTGGAAGGCTAGTGGGTTTCAGGGAGGGGAGAAGTTGTAGGGTTTGTTATGTTGCGTTGTTGGTAAGGTGATGTTGAAAGGGAAAGTTGAAAGTTGAAAGTTGGTCGATAGAATGGGATATACAGCGGGCATAGAACAAGCAAAGCTTAGAGAAGATGATAGATATAGAACGGCTGCTTCTAGAAATAGAGAATAGAAGGAATAAATTGACTGTAATATTCCGTATCATCGAGCTATCATTACCAAGGAAAGCGCTACATTTAGTACAATACTAGCTGTGAGTTGACAGATCTTATTTCCGGCCTGCTTAGACAGAGGTCGTCTGCGATGTAAATAGAAGCTTTATGTATTGCAATTATTTGAAGTGGATGAGTAAGTGTGGAATGGGGTTCGGATGTATCTTGTTTAATGCTCACCTAGTCATTAATCCTAACGACCGATTTCAACCAGACACATATATATATACATTTATACATAATACCACAACAGTAGGATTTTTCAAAGTCTTCTTTCGAGAAATTTGTTAGCCATAAATTTGATTTAGCTTGATTGTTATCCGAAGTTAGTAGCAATAGATGGTTACTTATAAAAAAGGATAAGACTTTATCCTTGTAGATATTTGAAGATTTACGAACCTCATGGACTGAGTAATTACTTATTAACTAACACACCTACTTAAGCACCAACCTTCGCCCTCGACTTCATCAACGGCTGCACCTTCTCCCCAAACTTATCCAACCCCTCAAGAAAATCATCAAAAGTCAACATAATCCCCTTCGTCCCCGGTAACTCAGCGATATCATCCAACATTTTCGCAACCTGTTCAAAACTGCCAATCAGCGTGCCCATATTGAAATTGACCGCCCCCTCTGGCAGATTAATAGTCTTCGCCGTCGCGTTATCATCCATCTTCGTGTCTTTTCCACCTTGATCTGCCATCCAGGCAAGAGCTTCCGTGTCGGCGCCTTCTCTATAGAACTCCCACTTCTTCCTCGCTGCCTCTTCTGTTTCTTCTGCGATCATCATGAATAAAACGTAAGCACCGACGTCTCTGCCTGTCTTCTCGGCTGCCTCGACTAATCTGGCATTGGCTGGTGCAACTGCAGTAGGTGTATTGATACCAGAGCCCATAGCAAAGTTGAAGTCGGCGTACTGCGAAGCGAATTCCAACCCCTTTCCACTTTGTCCTGCTGCTACGATCTTGATGTCATGAGATGGCTTTGGTGACATCTTACAATCATTCATGGTGAAGTGCTTTCCTTTGAAGTTCGACACTCCATTTGCCCAGAGGTCTTTCATGACTTGTACATATTCCGTGGCGTATTCGTAACGATATCCAAAATAGGTATTTCCGGGCCAGATGCTCATTTGACTGTATTCAGCTTCTTGCCACCCAGTGACAATGTTGACCCCGAATCGTCCAGGGGCTATTGAATCAATCGTCGTTGCCATTCTAGCAACAAGAGCAGGAGGTAAAGTGAGAATCGCTGAGGATGCGAAGAGCTTGATTTTGGTTGTTACTGCTGCCAAAGCAGCCATAAGTGTGAAGGATTCGAGATTGTGGTCCCAAAACTCGGTTTTACCACCGAATCCTCTTAACTTGATCATGGAGAGGGCGAAATCTAAATCATATTTCTCTGCCTTCTGGACAATTTGCTTATTCAATTCGAAGCTCGGCTTGTATTGAGGCGCGTTGGTTGAGATGAGCCAACCATTGTTGCCGATGGGGATGAAGACACCAATCTGCATATTGAATGATCGATTTGATGAGAAAGATGAATTAAAAGTTGGAGGAGTATATAGAGGGTGTATTGTCTTTGAGATTAACAAGAAATGAAGATGGTAAATTCAGACTGCGAGAGGAAACAATAAGAAGAAATCCAAGAAAGTGGGAGACGCGACTTGCATAAGGCCATCCGTAATGCGGATCTCCGCAAAGCAATGGTGAGATAGGAAACAGCACTGAGAGCTGTAACAGCACTCATATTTTGTGGTATCGGATCATGACTACTGTCAAATCAAGAGGTGATGGCTAAGCAGCCAGAAAGGTGGGATGTGAGATCCATCGGCCAAAGATCCGAAGATAACGACCTGCTACCACACGAAAGACAGATACCGTAACAAAAGTATGAACCATCAAGACGATAAGCCCTTCTTCCCGCGTGACTACGTCAGTTGGGAAGATATCCCATTCTCCAAGTGATGCAGTGCCTAGCACAGTACGAGTGCTTCCTTTTCCAGCATTTAGGTCATATGTTATTAACTCCTGTCTCGACATCTCTCCTCTCGTAGTGAGATTAGACTTGAAGAGTCTTGATAGTGAATCAAAAGCTGTGGCAAAGAAGAGTTGACAATTCCTTTATGCTTGAGTCCCACCATCCTGGATGTTGACAAAACCTATATCAAGAGAAGAAAAATCAACTTTAACATCTTCAGGCAAATGAAAATTGATACATGGTAGAACAAAAAGCACAACAAGTGAGATAATAGTGAGTTGAACCAACGGCAACTCTCATGATTCTTCCCCTCCTACCAACGAGTTGAACAATTTGTTATCCCGAACACATCTTTGTATGCTTGCATGACACCATGCATAGTCTAGTGGTATTGAAAGTAGGACTGCGAGCAGACAATGTTTCGAAGATAGTGCTGGTTGTACCTATTATTGAAGAAATTGAGCTTCGAAATCAGTAGTGAGCGGAGTTTGATAATTCTTGTAGATCAACAAGTCCTCGACGACTGATGTCGAACTTGAATGTGAAGGACGTCACGTGGTATCGTGGAATTTATCGACAGCCTCGTTTTGAAGGCTGACAGAAAATCAATCAACCTTCCATCTAGTAAATACCTCTCGCTCTAGAGACTCAAACTCTAGCCAATTCCCCGTCTCCAGCTCTCAGTTCACAATGGCGACAAAATCCGCGATTCGACCTTTCCTAAAGGCCTCAAGATTCCAATGCCTCAACTCCCGAACCTCACGATATTTCTCGCAGACCTCAATCGCGCGATCCGAACCTCCACAACCCACGAACCATGAAAGAACGACGCATTTTGGATTTGAAACTGTTGCGGAAGCGGAAAAGGAGGCTAGAGGTGTGTTCTCGTGGTTCAACTGGGAGTGAAGATTATATACTGATTATTGGGAATAGTGGCGGGAGTCTTCAGTAATGTTGCGCAGAGTTATGATACCATGAACGATTTCATGAGTTTAGGTATACATAGATTATGGAAGTACGTTCTACTCCCATCAATCCATTTATTTCATTCCTGAAACCTCATCTAACAAATCCCCAGAGACCACTTCGTCCGCTCCATCAACCCGGGCACCACCACCCCCTCAACCACAACCACCCCATCCCCAGGCTGGAAAATGCTAGACATAGCAGGTGGAACAGGAGATATCGCATTTCGACTCCTCGATCACGCAACAAACATCAACAACTCGCCTTCCTCCACCATAACAATCTCAGACATCAACCCCGAAATGCTCGAAGAAGGCCGCAAACGCTCCCTCAAAACCTCCTACGCAAACTCCCCCCGTCTCTCCTTCCTCCTCGCCAACGCCGAGATCCTTCATACCGTCCCCTCAAATTCCGTAGACCTCTACACCGTCGCATTCGGGATCCGGAATTTTACCGACAAGCCCAAGGCGCTGAGGGAAGCATATCGAGTGTTGAAGCCGGGAGGTGTGTTTGCGTGTTTGGAGTTTAGCGGGGTGACGAATCCGTTGTTTGATGCGATATATAAGAGGTGGAGTTTTGGTGCTATTCCGTTGATTGGACAATTGGTTGCGGGGGATCGCGCGAGTTATCAGTATTTGGTGGAGAGTATTGAGCAGTTTCCTAAGCAAGAGGAGTTTAGGGATATGATTCAGGAGGCCGGGTTTGTGGTGCCTGGGAAGGGATGGGAAGATCTAACGGGAGGTATTGCTGCTATACATAAGGGTGTTAAGCCAGTTCCGAAACAGTGATGGAAGCTGGGTTTGATATGAGATGTAGTTTGATACTGGACATCACTGTATATTGGGAAGGAAATCTGCTGAAGTTGGAAAAGGAGGACGTCTTCGCCAAAAGCGCCTAATGTATATTATGTATCAATTGTACAAAAGTAAGATCACACTCATAGAAATAGAGCAATGTACAACGGACTAGGTATTTCCTATTTGCTCCACATGATCACCGGCCAACGTTCCTGTCTTCTGGCATAATTAGAATACACGCAACGCTATCTGAGGTAATCAAATGATGCAATAATAAGGACAAAGGTACAGAGAGAAAAAAAGCCATCATCCGCCCCTCCCCACACCACTCTGTGAAGAGACAAGCATAAGCTAATTGGTAAAACTCCATCTTCCATCCCGAATCGCGAGTACCTATAACGGCTGGCCTGAAAAATGTGACGGCTCTCGAGATCTTCAAGTCATAAATAATGACCTAGGTAATTTAAATATGATGTACTGTACGAGAAGAAGGTACTTTTGGCGGGAAAATCGTGAAGCAAAGGATATCGGACCTGGGTAAGAAAGATTAAGAGTCGCCTGCCGCTGGGGTTGCGTTTGATGGTGCTGGTGAAGATTCGCCCTTGAACCCTCGTCCTCTGCCTCGACCACGCTCTCCTCCTCGTCCGCCTCTTGGGCCACCGCGACCACCTCGAGCACCTCGTCCTCCTTCACTATCACTTGCACCTCCTCCACTTCTATAACCACCCTGAGGAGGATTGCTGCTGTTTCCACCTCGGCTGCTGCCCCAGTTTCCGGCTCCCCCACGGCTAGTTCCAAAGGACTTGTTGTTGTCTCTTGGCTGGAATGGCTTGACCAATGGTCGGCTTCGGTCCTCACCGGATCTCGATTTGACATCGTCTGGGAGGTTGGACAATATTGCGTCTCTCTCCTCAACAGTCTTGAGTACAACCACCTTGTTCGATTGTCCCCATTTGTCGATGCGGATAATCTTCTTCTTGTCCTCCTCTGAGAACATCTCAGTAACAGCGTCATCGGATGTAACATTCATCACGAAAAGACCGATAATCGGTTCTGCTGCATTCTTTGCGCCAGGCGATGCTGCATCTGGAGCATTGTGTGTTCCATTGGTCTTCTCATTCTCCTTGTTCGCATTTGGTCCGGGTAAGTTTACTACGTTTGATGGCTGGGGAGTGGCTGGTTTAGGAGCTGGCGAGTCTGTGACGCGCTCTGGACCTGGAGGGCCTCGTGGCTGCTGTTGTTGGGACTGTTGGGAGCGTGGACCACCTTGGTTGAATGGTTGCGATGTGGGTTGCGTAGCAGGGGATCGTTGACCCGGACCAGTTGGAGCAGAAGCGACGAGAGCATGGCTTGAACCAGGAGTCCCAGTTCCTGTGGAAGGAGCCTGTGCTGGTTGTTGCTGGTTAACAGGAGGAGCCTGGCCTGGATGTTGCTTTGCGCCTCGATGGGCGAAGTTGAAACCTTGAGCTCTCATTTCGGTACCAATTCTGCCATCTTGAACCTCCAAAACCAACCATCCGAAAGCTGCATCTGCCAAGTTGAAGTTCCACATGTTCTTGAATGCGCTCTCGTCGACTTGACCAGCTCCAGCAGCATTGGCTCCACTAACCGGTCCGCCAAATGGATTTCCACCATGTGCGGTGCTAGGCATCTTGTCTACTATGCCTAAAGCATTTTGCAGGAGGTTTTGTTGTGCCTCGTTTTGCGAAATTGCTGGCTGGACCTCACCCTTGACCGTTTCCCATACATCGTTGAAAGAAGCCTTGGATGCAGCTAGCTTTCCGCGATAGTGGTCGAGTGTTGGGTTGACACTGAACTCGTTGTATGAACTGCCGTACCTGAAATGCAGGCCTGCTGATATGGAAAAATCGGCTTTTAGGGTGACAGACAATTGGTTCAAGATTCCTTCGCGGGCGGGCGAGGCGTGTGTAATGAAAATTCGGGTTTCGGTAGGATCGTAGACTCGGTTCGCAGTATCTACCAGCTCACCCATTTGCAACAGAGTGGTCCACATGGTTCCCTGACCTCCCGCAATCGTCGTCCTACCCTCGCCGTTGTCGAAAAGTTTGTGCATCACAACCGCACCTCCCAAACCAAGCAGGCGTAGCTTTACGCCCCCAATTTCCAATAACATCGAACGCGCTTCATCAATGATATGGAGTTTATCGACCTTGTACTCCCCAGATCGAAACTTCTCTAACACTCTCACATCTTCGCAAGCTCCCCAGACCGTGTATACTGGTACATCCAATTTAAGGCTACCATTTAGAAACTGCGGAAGTTCGGAGAGGGGTAGATCACTGGGCTGGAATCGAGCTTTGACTGGGCCACCTGGGGCACTGATGGCCTTTTTCACTGGCTCCGTAATGAGTGGCGAGTACTGAGCAACGTGCTTGAGCGTCCTACAAACCCCAAATTAGCTTTCCACGAGGAAGCTGCCTACACGAGATGCGCTTACTTTTCCGCGATTCTATCCAGAGAAGTATCATCGTAAAACCCAAAGTCTCCCGTATGGATAATATGATCCGCGCGGGCTTGTTTCGCCAATTCATTCAAGGACCTAAGATTTCCTGATAAAAGTCAGCTTGACTGCAATTTTTGGTCTAGCTTGAAATCAACCGACCTCGTACATCTGCTACGCAGAGAACTCTCACGCCTCCTTGTTGAATGATTCGCCCATTATTTGGAAGAAGTGGTGCAGCTCCTGGCGGCAGACCTGTATGTCCTCCAGCAGCTCCGTTAGGAAGGTAGGCAGGATGCTGATATGACTGAGGGCGTTGCTATTGAAACAAATTGTCAGCATATCAATTCCATCTAAGGTGAGACGATGGGAAAGTGCGGCCGAGTAAACTTCGAAGCATAACGTCCTCGAGAACAATTTTTCGAGATAGTCGCCTCTCGAGGAGCTGCTTTGTTGACTTTCAAGGGACAACTTACAGAAGCCATAGTATTTTCGAGATCAAAGACTTGGGGTACGCAGTTTGGAGGTATTAGAAAGATCGTGTACGCTCGAATACAGCAGGAGATATGATTGCGCAAAGATCGTTATGGTGGAGGAGGTAGAGCGGAATGGCGAAATCAAAATGTTCTTTTCTTCTCGAAAGCTGAGAGCCTTGACACCGCGTTTGCTAGATCTAGAGCTCGAGACTAGTGCGGCCATTGGTTGACTAGCGACACCCGTGCGTCTCTTTTGGGTTGCGCCCGGATTAACCTTGAGCCGAGATACCCTCAAGCTTCTTCACCTCGAACCAACTTGCTCAATTCTTCACATGTACATCACTATTAAGGATTTTATCTAATGAGTATATTCACTCCATACTGCAACCAGATGCCCCTCAATCGCATCGAGAGCTTTGAGTTTAAACGAAGCATTGCCATTCAATCTACTTTCTCCTCTTCGCCGGATGGATTGGTAATCCTCGGATTACAGTACTGTTGATATTCTATTTTTCATTTAACCCTCGCTGTTCTGCTATTTACCTCCTAAAGTCTTGACTTTCGGTCAGCATTGTAAACAATTCTTCAAAGTGTTGTTGGGAAGTGGGGACACAGTGTATTCCAACCTACCTTTATGAGGTAGCCGTCACTTTCTTCTCTAATAATACCCTCTTCATATCTTAATTACTCGTGCTTTCGTCAACTGAGTTCCTAAGGCTCTTACACCTCTCTCTCTCTTCAAGCGTCTTTTGGATATCTTATTGGGGACGCCACAAAAATGAATCCTTTAACAGTTGGCCGTCATATGTCTAGATTGGAGAGGCTCTATCTATTCCTGTCGTAGACCGGCCTGGATGTATCAACCCCATCTTACAACCTTTGAACACAGCAATTTGAAGGGCTACAGGAGTTTGGGCACCAAATAGTGGCGGGAACTTAAGAGTCTAACATTACTTTCCCAAACCATTGTCTCAAATATTCTCATTCATCCACATGAATGCTTTCCCTTTCAGCATCCCAAGACTAATTAGGCATACGCAGAGCAGCTACCATTTCATTACAGCGTGAAGTCTGTTCGCGGCCGTGATTTCCGGTTATCACGTGTATGTGTTCATTCAATGTCTGGATAATACTTCCCGCTTCTATCCCCGCCGGTTAAATTCATTTGTCGGGACAAACGCGCCTTTCAAGCATTCTGAGCTTACAAGTCTGTCGTGAACCACCAACTAGCTTAATCCTTGAAGTACTTAAGAAGAAAGTTTATCCTTTATTTCCAGAAGCTTGGAAGTTAAAAATAACTCGCCACCGCTTAGCCTGATAACACCAGATTCACAGTTCCCTATTCTACATTTCTCGCTTACTTTACTTTGTAGTATAACATGGGGGTCTTACATCCAGATGCTTTCAAACTTACTGATGCTGATAAACAACATTTTCTTGAACATGGATACATCAAAGTATCCGGGTGTTTCCCCCCCGAAGCAGCTGAAGAATTTACGGCGAATCTCTGGACTCGACTTGGTATGTCGCCAACTGACAAGAGTACCTGTAAGTCTCAGTCCACTCAACAAGCCATCTCGACAGACCTTCTGTTTCAGTTTTCAATTTGAAAGAAATTCTCCTTAATCTTCAAACTTCTAGCAAAATGTTCTTAACTTATCGGGGAAAAGATTTCCAGCTCACAAGATCTAGGGACTAAAGAACGCACCAACATGCCATATCATACCCACACACTAGCAGCCGATTTTGCTCCCAAGGCGTGGAGCGCAATTTGCCAATTACTTGCTCCTGAAGACGGCGGCGAACAAGAAGGTGATGAGCGTATCAGCGGCGGAGATGATGATAAATGGCGAAGCTGGAGCGACGGCTTCATAGTCAACCTTGGAACACCAGAGTCAGAAAAGAAAGACATAGACAATATGGACGAAGACGCACGACTAAGAAACGCAGGAGTCTGGCACGTCGACGGAGATTTTTTCGTCCATTATTGTAAGCCCGTTGACCCAAAATCCCTACTCCTTTTTAAGCGAGAACAATCGCTAACAACGTGTATAGTGGACAGTCCAGAACAAGCCCTCCTAGTCATTCCACTCTTCACAGACATACAATCCAAAGGCGGCGCCACAGTAATAGCTCCCAAAAGCATAAAACACATAGCCAAACACCTCGTACCACCCCCTTCCCTTCATAGCAAACCTCACTAATACACCACAGTACGAAAACCCCGCCGGCCTAACCCCCTGGTTCAAACCCACTGACGACGCAACCGAAACCCGCGAATTCTTCGAAGCCCTCTCGGCCGACAAAGACAAACTGCCTACCTCCTCGCTCGTCGAAGCGACGGGTAAAATCGGCGACGTATATCTCATGCACCCACTCACCCTGCATTCCGCGTCTGAGAACCTGCTGCGTATCCCACGGGTTATTACGAATCCGCCGGTGGTGCTGAGGGAGCCGTTTAATTTTGATAGGGAGGACGGACGGTATAGTCTTGTGGAGAGGAAGACGTTGAGGGAGTTGGGGATGGAGGGGGGGTTGAAAGGGTGGGCGATTGAAGGGGGGAGGAGGGGGTGGGTTAGTGAGAGGATGAAGAGGATGGAGGGGGGAACGGAGGGAGGAGAGGGGAGAGGTTGGGGAGGGAAGGGGGAGTTGGAGTGGGTTGTGATTGTTTTGGTGAGGAAAGAGAAGCTGGTATTCACAGCTGTTGAAGAAGATACAGCCAACTGAATAATTTGTACTGTATTATGATTCAGCTCCTCTCATTCCTCACTCCTTATACCCTCCTTCTAGACTCTCTTTTACTTCCTACCCCTATCCTTCCTCACTCATCCATCACTCATCACCTCCCACTATCACCACAATCAAACCACCCACCACACCCCCAACAGTTCAAAACATCAACCCACTAAATGCAACAACTCCCTCCCATCTTCACAACCCACGCCCACGTCCTCCACACCCTCCTACTCTTCTCCCTTCTCCTGCACCTCTTCCTCACAACCTCCATAAACCAAGCGCTCTACCACCTAACCACCCTCATCTACATCCATTTCCTCGTCTCCCTCACCACTTCCATCCCGTTAAACAGCCCGATTTTATGGTCTCTCCTCGCTTTCTGGATCCTAAACTTCTTCAGTCCTAGTGTGGAGGATGTGGAGAGGATTGCGGGGGGACTAGGAGGGCTCCGACGGAGGAGAGGTGTTGTTGGGGTGGGTAGCTGGCGACGGAGGATGTTGTTGAGGGTTAACGAGAGTTGAGTTTAACAGGACGAAGATAGGATTTAAGATAATAGAGCGAAGATCACAAGATTGGAATCACAAAACCTAGTTACCAAAACCACAAAACCATGACCTGCTCAAAATCCAAACTATCAATCCCCAAATACCAAAAAAATGACATTCCAAGCCCCCAATACCCCAATTCCGTAGCTTTGTTTCCTCAAAACCATACAAAACAAGACGCAAGAAGGAACATGTCCATTTCACAAGCTACAGGTTTCCAGAGTGTAAGAATTGTATCTCACACAATAGACTCGAATTCCCAAATTCGCAGATTATACTCACCCAGTACTTTTCTCGAAATTCCGTGGCAGCAGAACGGCACGCGTTTGACACTATAAAACGTCTTCTGTCATTATTCATTCATTCACGCACCATCTCTAATCCAAACACCCTAACATTCCTTTCCCATCACATATCTAAACTCCTCTCATCTCCATACCCCATGTGAATTTCGGCACCAGCTAGCTCGTCATACGAAAAGCAATATTTTCATCATCTGAAAAATCCAGTAAAAAGTGCAACAACAATAAAAAACCCTCCAATACCTAAAAATCAACATCAAATTCTCCAATGTCTTTTCTCCTTTAATATGTTTTGATCGCTGCATTCCGCTTTTTTGACCAGCGCGTAAGGCTTCACAGCCTACAAAACGAAACTTTGGAACGAGAATTAGAAGTGCGGTATACGAATAAGAAAGTGATCAAGAGCCCATGTTCTCTTCACAATCACCAAATTTGAACCAAAAAAACGATGATATTCCGGAATTTTCAAAGTCCAGTTTGTTCGTATCTTCTTACATTCTAGAAATCAAAACAAATGATTTTCGTTTCGAGGATGAAGGACAGGGAAGGATCAGAAAGTAGGATAGGACGTCATCGGTTTAGTTTCACAGGGTGAGCTCTAGGGTGTTATGAAGGACTAGATTTCAGAACTTTAGGCCTTAGGTAGCTACAGTTAGATCGACGTTAGAGTTAGTAAAATCCAGACACGGCTGTCGAAAGGTTCATCTCATCACGATACAACCATCAAATATTAAAAAACACTATATTATCGCCTACGCTAAGGGTATTCAACACCACCACATCTCATCGTTGATCCCACGCTCGTACAATCTAACGTACAAATCTCATCCCCTCATTCCCACTCCCCCAAACGCTACTCTCCACTCACTCATCCTCCACACACCAACAAAAGAAAAATCCGCGCAAGACGGGGCCGATTAGGCGTAAAATTCAAGGTATCGAAACAAAAGAAACCCTCAATGCATCATCCACCTCTTCAGTGAAAAGAGAGTTAAGCGTGCTCAGTACCATTAGCGCCTAGTCCCTTGACTTTCTTGCCAGTACGTTCCTGTTCGCTCATCTGGCCAGCAAGTTTACCGAATTGCCATTCTGGGAGTACGATACCTATCTCACATTAGCAACTCATCTTCGATCGACCGTTTTGTGTGGCTTACCAGTTTGCTCATTAATAGTACTCATCAACGGCGGAAGCATCTGATACATATTCCGAATCGACTCGACACCACCCATGCCAGTTCCACTACCACTTGCCTCTCCACCCTCACTACCAGCTTGCGCGCCGGTATTCCAAATCGTCATCTTTGGGTTCAGACCACGGACCGCCTCGGCATTGTGTTTAGCCATTTGTTGATAAATACCCTTCTCAATCATCATGTACTGGATAAGACCGCTTGGACCACCGAAAGCAGCAGAGAGGTCACTGTACGCGGCAGCCATGGCCGAGAGACCAGCGGCTTCCTTTTGCTGTCTGACGAGTTGTGCTTCTGCTTCCTTGGCAGCAGCCATGAAATTGGCTTCAGCTTGAATACGAAGGGTATAGGCGCGAGCATCAGCTGCTTTTTGCTCGGAGAAGAGCGCGGCGTTGGCTTTGGCCTGCTCCTCGTAGAGTTTGGCATCAGCGGCTTGCTGTTTGGCTTCTCGAAGGATGGTAGCTTTGACGACATCACTGGCTCGGAGTCTCTCCAATTCGGTAAAGGCGCGCTTGACTTCGACCTCCTTTCGAAGTTCTTCGTCACGGGACTCGGTTGCTCGCGTAGCTTCAATTTGAGCGATGCTCACATCCCGATTGAAAACGGTTTTACGGGTTGCAAGAGTCGCTTCTGCTTGGGCTCTCTCGGAGTCTCGTTCTGTCTTTTGGACCGCGGTCTCAGCTAATGCACGGGTCAGTATTGCTCGTCTAATGTATGTCACAACATGAGATTTCATCACCAACCATTGATCTTTGCAATCTCTCGATTTTGCTCTCCCTGTCTTTGAGCTTCCCCAACATTACCACGTCGCTGTGCTTCTGCCACGTCAATTCGCGCTTGATTGATAGCTCCCTCATGAGCTTTTCGTGATAGAGATTCGAAGTAACTGGATTGTGGGGCGTCTCGAAGTTCCTTGACGTTGGCGTTGTAGATTTTGAGACCAAATTGACCGAGTTCGCCTTGGATGTTGCGGAAAATACGCTTCTTGAACTCCTCTCTCTCAGTAAAGATCTCTTCCATAGTCATCGAAGATACCAAGACACGAGTCTCTCCCTCGATAATACCCTTGACAATGTTTTCGATGTGCTGGCTCTTGGTAACGCCTTTCTTCTGTTCACCCTCAGAGAGGAGCATGGCGTATTTCATAAGAGCATCACCACGGTCCTCTGGAGCTGGGGCGTGAGTAAGATCAGCATCAGGAGAATCTCGAGTAGTTTGACCATCAATGACACCTTTTTGATTGACGTAGGGACCGACAGTAAAGACCACAGGAAGCAAGAACTGAAGTTTCTCCCGCGTCATAGCCTGGAGATTCATGGAGTAATCTATTTTTATTAGCCTGATATCTGTATTTGCAGTAGAGAAGACTTACCATGTGGCTGAATGCTGAAACGTTGGCACTGAATAGATGTTAGTTTGGTCGCTCGCTTAAAAAAGGGGAGTCAACTTACTCTTTGGAGTGGCCAAACCCAAGCACTCTTGGTAATCTTAACAGTACGAATACCAGCACCGGTGACGGCGAGGTACTCATCTGGAGATGCTACAGTATAGACCATCTTGAGCGATGTCGTAGATTAATAACGTAAAAAGAATGTATAGTAAAGAATGATCGGTAGATTTCTTGCGTGAGAATCAAGTCAACAAACTGTATCGATAGATGATGATTGACAAGATTGGAGAGTGGGAGAATGTGGTGTATTTGTAGATTCTGGTATGAAGTTGTGGTGGGGAGGTCGGGATGATGGTATGGATCCCGGTTGAGACGGAGGAAGTAGCGTCCAACGATAGTCTCTTTAACTTCTGAATAGAGTCAGCGAAATATTTCTCAAGTATCAGGTGATGATTTCTCCTTGAAAGCCAAGAGATATGACTGCACATACCTTGAATTTGAAATTAGTGGTTGCTGGTGTAGAGGTTGTAAGTGTTTGGGAGATAATGGAGGACAGTTGATATTCGGAACCGATTTATAGTCGAGGTATTGCAAGCTTGTGACTATTCTTGAGGATTCACTTGCTAGGTGATGAGGAATTGATACGTGTGATTAAATCGTAAGAGGAGATGGAGGTGAACCGTTTACAATTTGTATGAGAGGAAACCGTTTGTAGTTACACAGCCTTTATATGTTGAAACGGCAAGGCTGCCAGCTGTATCCGCTCACAGCAAAACACACCCCCATTTGCGCCTCGGTTTGATGCCGCAGCCGAGCCACTTGGGGGAGGATCTGTATCATTTGGCTGGGAATAAGAGCTGGTACACTGTAGTCGGGCGTACAGCCCGCAGACTGAGAGCCAAACGAGCCCCGGCTGACCAGTTACAGCCAACTACAAACGGAATTTGAGGCACATTCGCCATCTCACCTCGTGAATAACTACCTTGATGTGACTGGACGGTACCAGACTTTTGCAGCACCGCCCAGGTGTCCCCGCAAAGGGTTCCGTTTTTCATATCAAATGAATCAATGAAAGTCTGAGCGACTCCGACACATTGCAGACTGGCATGCACGCAGAGCTCCTTGAGTGTGGATCAAAGGTATCAATATTGACCCGACTGCTCCAGGGAGGTACCGATTTCCTCAGCAGGATTGAGTGAACTGATGGTAATAATTTCATGGGTCCAGAGAATCAGCGTTGGCATTGGACCATATTCCCTCATTGATCTTCAGCTCATTGCGCGACAATTGCCTGCGGAAAGTCGGCAAGCTTCACGCTCAACGCGAATAGCTAAAAGCTGTTAGAAAAGCTCGAACGAGGCTGACTAGACCATGGTGAAGATGAGACGGCTGCGATTATCCGTATGCGGGTCTGATATATCGTCCATGTGATGGACTTCGAAGTGGTCGAAACTCTTGGAGGGAGGGAGGTGAGAAGTGCAATTCGCGGATCGTCAGAGATGCTGGACACTGCCCGGCCATCAGCCTTCTAGCGCCGTTCTAGAAGGTCTACCGGGCCAAGCACCCCGTCCGGGGAAGCATCATCGCCCACGTGCAGCCCAATCGTTCCCCTTCGAGACACATCAGAATACGAGGCTCACAAGGCAGACAACTCGCTCGCATCCAGCGGCATTATTCGCCAGCCATCGACTATCATGCCACCTCCTTTACCAGTGCAAGCCGTGGATTGTTGCTGTTTTCTGACATGTTATCAAAGCGAGGACTTTCGGTTCATTCCAGGCACCCCTTTGCGAAGACTACACAGCCGTACCTGGACCTAAAAACACCTTGGTATTGTTATCACTCCGTCTGACTGAATATTAGAAGTGTAGGCTAATTGACGCAGAAGCCATTAGTCCTAGGCGCTTCTATTCAGCCGCAGAGCCTCATGATAGATTGCAGTTCTGGGCACTTCGTTATTGCACTACTCACTCTACCGTGACACCAGTATCCGCAATCACAACCGCCGCTTCACTTGGCCATATCTTATCATCACCACGTGGAAACTAATATCTGGTACCACCAAGCGCCGGTTGTACCATTGGGTGGTACGATCTCTCGATCCATTCGCAAGAGCCCCTCTAAGGACCTTCCAGACCCAACTTCATTCATTCCAGGACGTCATTCAAGACTCCAACCGTCAGGTGACCCCTCTCATTCAGAACCTATCTCGATTGGTATCTTTAGAGCTATACACTACCTGATCCGGCTCTTTCACTCAACCCATTCATGTCTAGACATCATCACGACTTCACCAGACAACAGGCAGACACTTCACATCTCACCCATAAACACTAGCCTCCTCACCATGGACACCAAACAACCCCTCCGCCCTCCCTCCCCCTCCGACCCAGAACCCGACACCGCACCCCCCTCCTACACGGACACAATAACCTCCCCCTCCTACACCACAACACCGACCTACTACTCCTCCCAAATCCGCTCCCAACTCACCACCCTCTCCTCCACCATAACCTCCATAACATCCCAACAAACCCTCCTCGCCTCCGCGCGCGAAGAAAACATCCTCTCGCTCCTAACGACGCAAATCCAGCTCTTCCTCTCCGCCTTCGCCAACTCCGGGCCCAAAAAGGGGACGCTGATTCTTGTGCCCGCAGGCGGACTGACGGACGAGAACGCCGTGCCGACGGATTATGATTTTAAGAATCGCGATGAGTATGATCGGGTGGTGAGGGTGCGGGGGAAGGATGAGGGGGAGGACGTGTGGTTTTGGAGGGATGAGGAGATGGCGGGGAGGTTGGCGAGGTATCTTAATCCGCCAGAGTCACAAAAGCCAAAACCAAAACCGTCACGGCCGGTTCCATCACCATCAGCACCAGAGCCTTCCGCCTCCCGCTCATTCTGGTCTCGTAAGAAATCAAACCCGCCGCCTGCCCCATTACCATCTTCTTCTTCTTCCTCTTCTTATCCACCAGAAAAGGAGTCGAGTAAGGAACCGAGTTCCGGGACAGGAGATAATGTGACTATGAATGTAACGGCAGAAGAAGTGGTGTTTCGTACGGAAAATGATTTTGGGATTTTTGGGACGGAAAGGGGGTGGGGGATTGTGTTGAAGTTGGAGGTGGTGATTGATGGTGGTAGTAGCGGTGGAGGGAGACAGATGAGATGAGGGGTGGGGTTAGAGTAGATGAAATGTAGAAAAGTAATGAATAATTTTATAAAAATAATGTGTGTGAGGCTTTGAGGACGATGGATCTCATTTGATGAGTTGATTTGGGAAAGTATGATAACAAGTAGGTCATTTGACGAAATCCAGCACTGAATGTCATCGCATTAAATGTTCACATTTATATCGCTTTTCATTTCATATACACCAAGTATGTCTCATATATACCTAAGTCAAAGAAGACCTCGCTTCACTATCATGAGTCCCGTCGCTAGGTCTGTCCCACGTTCGAATATGCCCTAAACCACATTAGCATACCACGGTCAACAACACACCCGCAGCTCAAGAATACATACCAGATTTACAACTCGTCATGATCGAATCCTGTGAGAATTCAAGCCAGCATAATGGGTCTGGATCTATTACCTTGGACTGTGACTCGTTAGCATTATTCGTCTTTGACTGAGTGAGAAATGTGTGGGACATACCATCACAGGAGGTAACATAGCAGTATTGGATCTCGGTTCCACTGGATGTTCAATTGTATGTTCGTCATCTCCCACAGCAGAAAGGGAGGAATTAGACCGTAAGCGGCTAGCGACTGTATTCTGGGTTTCCGCTCTCTGAAGCGGGTTTGCGAAACGTGAGGATATACTACCTCTTTGTCGTACAGACAACTGGGTTGGTATTAGTACATGCAGTCATTGATGAGTAGGGAAGAAAACGTACAGCTTTCGGACGATGCAACATTCCAACACTGAAATCCCAAAGAAGAAGGCGGCAATCTTCACCCACACTACCGAAGCGGTAGTTTCGATCATCACATCTCCAAGGATCGAAGCAGACAGCTGTCACCCAGGATTGATGACCTTGACATCTGGCGACAATAGTCGCTTCAGCTACGGACCAGATGGAGACGAGATCGTCTTGGCCACCTGTGAGTACGTATTTACCGTCGGGTGACCAGCATACACACAGGAATCCACCGTAATAGCTTGAGTACATGTCTAGAAGCCTAGAATATTGTTAGAATCCTTACAGCTTTTACTTGTATGATACATACTGCTCTTTCAGATAATCGATTATTCTCAAAGTTCCATCCTCAGAAACTACAGCAATGTGTCTATTATCCGGCGAAAATGAAAAAGCATTTATGCGTTGGTTCGACAATTTCCAGAAAGAAACAGGATTAAACTTTTGGTTTTTGGAATGTACGGATTTGTCGACATGGAGTTTTGCTGAGGGATCAATTTCGCCATTTGTTACTTCTGAAGTACCATTGGTAGCTTCTTCGGGTAAAAATGCAGCATCGTCTTTTTCCTTGTCGTACACAACTAGAGAGCCATCCATATGCGCCGCAAGAAACAAGTTTTCGGATCCAGGTATCCACCGTATCTCAGAAACAGGGGTTGTGTTGATTATCCCCTATTAATGTTTAGTCACATATTCGCGTCAAATAGGGTTTTGGGACTGACATTCTTATTCAACCTAGTGTACTTTTGAGTGATGGGCTCGTACCAGATTATCTCCCCTGTCGAGAAGCCCATTATTAGGTCTATATGACTTGAGCTTTTCGTAAGTTGGTTAACATCATGACAGAGGCAATGGCCTTTTGTGAACAAGATCTTTGTCAAATGCTCGGCCTGAATAGACATTAGACACAGTTCAGAATACCAAGAGTAATAGTACCCAAAACTCACCTTTTGCGACGACGATAAGTCTAACCATTGAAACGCCCTATTGATGTTTGCAAAAGCAAAATATCCGTCTGCTGGTCGGTCTTGTAACCTCTTGGTCAAATTCTCATGTACAATACACCGGGAAATGAATGAAGAATTGCTCTTGGCAATATTATTCTTTGGTTTTCTTCTCTTTCCAGCATCTTTACCAGTCGCTACCAGCATAGAATTTCCTTCTCCAAATGCGGGGGCAGATCCAATTGAAAGCGCGGCTCTCGCGCTTCCCGTCACCGATGTGTCTCCTCCATCACTACTTGGTGCCACCTCACCAGATGCTCGACCCTCACTAGGATGTTCTTGTATGCTCGAACTGACGCCGGTTGCGCTTCGGTTTGTGTCAACTTTGTACAGTGTCTGCGGTATCAGGGCACGCGAGCTAAAAGAAAGTAAGGATATTTTGGTCCCTGCTGTCGCAGGCTGAGGAGTTGTCGCGAGAGGATTCGGATTAATTATTGGGGCTTCTGACGGATGTGGAGGAGGTGTCGCAAGGTGTAGATCTTCTTTGAGAATATATGTTCCTACAATTGTCGTCAAGGTGCGCTCGTCAATCCGCTCGGCGCATCCACATACCTTCACCCACAACCAGTTGATATTCCGGCCCAGTTGGGTGTGACAAGATGTTATTCGTCTCGATCATGGGAGCAGCCTGGCCATTTGCGACAGCATTATTGTAGGCCTGCTGAGAGGGATATCGTGGGGGAGGTGGTAGAACACTATATCATCCTTCTTATCAGTGATCTGCAAGGACGGCATGGAGTTGCAGACAAGAGCTGGGCACTTACAACATGGCGCTTTTGTGGTACTGCTAAGTACCGATCAGAGTAGAAAAAGATGCTAGAGCAAAGATGTTGAAATGGGAAATGTCGAAGCAATTGCAATGCGGAAAGACGGTTGACCGCGGTGACGAAGGCCCGGATTGGAGACGCTGCAAGGTACAAAGTGTGGGGTAGCGATGCTTGTCTTTGAATGCTGGGTATGAACGATGCCGAGAATACACAATACTGGCTATGAGATGTCGAGATTTCAAGTTATGCTAGAAAATAAAAAAAATACATGTCCCTCGCAAATTGCTTCTAGAGGGGAAGTGATCAAAACAAATGTGAATAAGAGGAAGTCTAAGGGATTCAAGCTGAGAATCTAACATGGCCTGGCCAGAGCGCAGCGCACCCTAGCGACTATTGTCGAGCCATCCAGCGGCCGAATGTGGAGAAGTCTAGGCGACTGACAGCGCGGATTCATGCCCGGAAAGCCGAGGGGTTTAGATTCAGAATCAGAGTTCGAGAAGGAACGTCGTCAAAGGTCTGCGTCAAAGAAGCTTCTTGTACAAGTAATTGTACCACTACTTCCCGTCCCACCAAGAACATCGCCAAGTTTACATAAAGCCAATATCTCCAAGAGTTGGCTGTAACACCACCACCATCGGACAAGCCCAGCTTGACGCGCTCGGCGGCTCAAGTCACTGTTCCTGAATCTACTGCCCGCAGCTCGAAGCCTGCGATGGCTAACTGACCCAGGATAGTAGCCTCCTGTCGCAAGGCTGAAACGAGGTCAGCATGGCTACGGGTATGTAGCTCTTGTAAAATGCTTCAACAGCATTGCTAATGTGTGCCAGTTCGTATCTGCGTCTGCGGTGATGAAGGCGCTGGAAAATCGAGCCTTATCACCTCCTTGGTTAAAGACGTCTTCGTCACGAACAAAATCCAATCCGTTTTACCTCAAATACATATCCCGCCAACCATCGGTACGCCCGAAAATGTCACTACTACCATTGTCGATACCTCTGCCCTACCGCAGGAAAGAAACACATTAAGGAAAGAACTGCGGAAATCGAATGTAATACTGCTGGTCTATTCGGACCACTACAGCTATGAGCGAGTTGCGCTTTTCTGGATGCCTTATTTCCGTTCGCTCGGAGTCAATGTACCCGTTGTATTATGTGCCAACAAGTCGGATTTGACAACAACAGGCAGTACGGCCCAGGTTGTGGAGGATGAGATGATGCCGGTTATGGCGGAATTCAAGGAGATTGACTCGTGTATACGCACCAGCGCAAGGGAACAACATAATGTTAATGAGGTCTTCTATCTTTGTCAAAAGGCCGTTACACATCCAATTGCACCACTATTCGATTCGAAGGAAGGGAACCTAAAGCCAGCCGCTGTGGCTGCGTTGAAGAGGATATTCTATCTATCGGACAAGGATCAGGATGGGTATCTCAACGATCGAGAAATGCACAATTTTCAGATAAAATGCTTTGAAAAACAGCTTCCGGACGAGGATCTTGAAAACATCAAGATCTCCATTAGCAAGGCTTATCCGAGATCGCAAATAGAAAAGGGAATTGACCAAAGAGCTTTCATTCATCTTAACAAAATGTTTGCCGAGAAGGGCAGACATGAGACAATTTGGATCATCTTACGGAAATATCACTATACCGACAGCTTGAGCTTGAAGGACAGTTTTCTCCATCCCAAATTCGACATTCCTGAGTATTCGTCTGCAGAGCTGAGTCCTGCTGGATATCGCTTTTTCGTGGATTTATTCTTGCTATTCGACAAAGATAACGATGGGGGTTTGAATGATGCAGAACTCGATGCTTTATTTGCACCCACGCCGGGACTGCCATCTTCTTGGTTAGAAACTTCGTTTCCGGAATCGACAGTACGCAATGAAGGAGGACATATCACTCTTCAGGGTTGGCTCGCGCAGTGGTCAATGACTACTTTTGTCTCTCCCAAAACGACACTTGCTTATCTCGCATATTTGGGTTTTGAACCTCCGAATGCTCGCGACTCAACAACTTCTGCTTTGAAAACTACGAAAGCACGCAAGCGAAGAAAGCGACTAGGAAGAGTGGAGAGAAATGTTGTGCTATGTTACGTCCTTGGAGCTCCATCATCAGGAAAGTCATCACTATTAGATGCATTCTTGAATCGACCGTTCGATTCTCTATACCATCCTACAATCAAACCACGAACAGCAGTCAACAGCGTAGAGCTTCAAGGAGGAAAGCAATGCTACTTGATCATGGAGGAGCTCGGCGAGCTAGAACCAGCCATACTTGAGAACCGTGCAAAGCTCGACGCCTGTGACCTGATATGTTACACTTACGATTCTTCAGACCCGGACTCATTCTCCCACATTGTCGCTTTACGAGAAAAATACCCACATCTAGATGAACTACCAGCAATCTACACAGCTCTAAAAGCGGACCTGGACAAGACGACCCAAAGATCAGAAACCCAACCTGATCAATACACGATGAGTCTCAACATGAATGCGCCATTACACGTCAGTGTAACATGGCATAGCATCAGCGAGTTATTCGTCACGCTCGCTGAAGCAGCAACGACCCAACTCTAGCATTCCCGAAGAGCGAAGAGGAAGCCCCAGATCGGACGGGTGTTTATGTGGCTCTTGGAGCTACGGCTTGTGCCTTGGTGGCTGCCTTGATGATTTATAGGAGGACTACTAATGCTAATTGATATTATGAGGTGGGATTTGGATGTGTTGATATTTGGAAGTGCCATATAACTTTTTAATTATGATACCCGTTTGTTCTTTGGAACTCCGCCTTCAGTGCAAACTCACTTTATTCCTTACCCTTATTCTCGCTCTTCTCATCCATCCCGCTCTCTCTTCCCTCGGTGTCCGCATATTTAGAAGATACCGCATCTTAATCTACATCCTCACACCCTACCTCATCGTCATCCTCATCTTCACCCGGCTTTACATTTGACCATATCTCCCCACCGTCGTCCCCTCTACTAGAGTACCATCCTCTATCCATACACGTCTTCTTCACCCAAAGCTTCATAATGTATTCCTGAAACGCATGAACGTATTCATCATAATGCTCGTCCCCAGAACCATGTTTTCCAAACGCCTGAGAATACGCTAACAATCTGTCCAGCTCGTCTTCTCCTTCCGCAATCTGGAACCTCCAGCATACATCAGCACCGTCATCGTCTTCAGCGAGTAAGACATCAACATCGTAGGTCTTCGTGCTTGTTTTGTGGGCTGTTGGGTGCCAGTGTTCTGCTAGCACTGCGAAGGGTTGATTTGGCTTGCTCCGTTGCGTAGTTGCGACGCGGACGTATTCTGCGATCTGAATTCTTGTGGGACTCAGTGGTGGAAAACGAAGGCTGCGTGCTAACGGTCTTGCGGTTGTGAGGGAAAAGGGCGATAGGAGTCTGGATGACATGGCTCTATTCATGATTGTAATAGAGAAGAACAAAATGTGATTCAGATAGAAGAGTTCCTAGTATCTAGGGGACTGAATATTCGAGCTGTACATTGCCAGATCTATGAGAAAGAAGAAAAGAAGACCCCTTCGTCTATAGTATCTTATCCGTTTGTAATGGAGAGATGCGTATTCCTCCATATTGATTTTCCCGCCATTTACCATGGTCACTTCCTCTCCGTTTGCTTTTTATGCGGCCTTCGGATGGCTGATATATATCATAAATGATAATCCGGGCTTCTCATGATTCTGCAGAAATACACACTTCAATCTTATAGATGATAAGTTCCATCTTTTTCAGATTGTATCTTCGAAAGTTAAGTAATACAACCACCGACTCTTCATTCCACTTTTATTCATTGACAACCTCCATATCCTCTTTTCATATCCCTATCTTCTGCACGACTAAAGATTTCGAACCCTGCTGTGACTCAAGGCAGCTGCTACAACCAAAGTCTCACAAAACTCTCTGGAGACTTTAGGAATACCAAATATGCGTACAACGAAAGCCCTCCCGATACACAGCATAAAAAGGATATCTTGCACAACCCTCTCACCATACACAGGATCAGCACGTTAGATCTTCATCGGAATACCATCTTAGAACCGAATACCGGGTTGAAGGAGACCTCAAGAAAGAAAGTCTCATATACAATACAAGCAAGTTAGCAAAGTACCAAGACATATCTTTCGAATCCTCACAATCCAAAAACCCACTCCAACACCACCCAACTCCCTACCAAACCACCACCACACCGCAACACCATCCTGTACCTACCCGCTCCAAAACCTTCCCCTCCCAAAAAGCCCGTAACAGAAATGACGAAAGTGGCTCAAATCAGCGACATGCAACAAAAACCCACCGCTGGACATGGAAGGCGTTCAAACGGTAACCGAGTACCGAGATGTGCATTACACTACTCGATGGTTGTGGCGGAGGGAGGGAAAAAGGGCGAGTCGTGTATAGAGTTCAGGGACGATCATCGGAGGGATTTAAAAATGTGGAGCTGTACATAGAAGATCGTCAAGGGGACTTCACAAGAACAACGAGTACAGAGAACGAAGAACTCTCATTTAATGTAACGACCAAAATAACCTCACTCACCGACCCCATCCCCCATAACACCCCGTCCAAAAAACTCACTAACAGTCGCGAATCTATCGCCTCCCCTGCTGACCGCATCAAGAAACAAGTCGTGTTTCCCCCCAACCTCCTCCTGACTCCTCACAAACGCGCGAATACCCTCATTATCCTTCCTACATACCGTGCAGTCGCCCTCGACGCCGCCCTCGCCGTTATCCTGCACATTGATACAGGTAGCATGGAAGCTGTGTTTGCACATGAAATGCACAGCCGGGAGACTAAGCTGTGAGCCGCAGAAGGAGCAGCGTGTGGCGTTGAAAGTCTGGGGTTTCGTCGTCAGGTCTTGGATTTCAGCACGTTTTTCGAGCGTCTCCGTACGGTAAGAGGTGATAAGACGACGGTTGCTGTTGATTTCTTTGCGTTCGCGGTCGATGGTTGCTTGGAGGTAGGTTTTGATCATGCCCATGGTGGCGACGGCGTTGGTGGAGAGGGTTTGGATGACTTGGAGAGGCGCCATGAGACCGTCGTCGTCGATTTTTTTGAGGACGATGTCGAGTTCGTCGCCCGCTTCCTCGAGGATGCGGGGGTCGGAGGTGAAGTATGCTAGTGCTGCTGGGTATAATTGGGGTTCATCAGGACCGTATTTTCGGAGGGCTTTGATTGCACCTCTTGTATCTTTGGCGGATGTATAGGAACGAAAGATATCAAATCTAAGCCCAGCTTGTTCGCGGACGAGAACAGTTCCATCTTTGAAATTTGAAAGATGGGACAGTAGGAGGACATTCGAGGTATCGATTGGAATATTTTTACCCTCAATGAGCTTCTTCGCCTTTGCTTCCCATTCATCTCTATGCTCACCTCGTTTTTCGTTCGATTTGTGAAGGAACATCTCAAATAATGTGGTATAGAGATCGATCTTATCTCGCTCTTTGAGATCCTTCTCCTCTAAACATGCTTCCAGGAATACGATGAACTCGTCAGGATGATCAACGAAAGAGGAAAAGGCAATCCTTGGTTGTGGTGCTGTGTATTCTGGAGCAGGTGGCTGTGGGTTTTCGACAATTTCATTGTCACCGACTGTCGGCTCAATATTCCCTTGCGTTGGCGGGGATGCAACTGCAGCTGTGCTCATATATGGCAAAGGCAACAGGTCTCGCAAATTTTGGACCGCGGTGACAGCTCCAGCAGCGTAGCCACCGGTAGGTCGTATCTCCTCCTCTTGGATGACGATATCGTCTGCGTCTGTCTTTGGACGAAAGTGGCCCGTAAAGTATTGTACAAAAAGCTTGGTGGCTTCAGAGGGACAGTGTTCTAAGAGAACTCGGGCATACTTCATCAGATTTTCGTACATCTATGATTTTGGTTAGTAGATGCGCGAGCGGATATACATTATACTCACAGCATCGGGTGCCAATCTCCATATGTATTGAAGAGCTTCCGCATACTTTTTGGAGTCCTCAATCAAAATGTCTACTACCAATCCATGCTCACCATGCTTTGTCGCAAGGTAGGCTGCCTGTTGGTAATAGCCTCCTTGACGGCACATAGAAATCGCAGTATCAAGGTCAAATTTGAGGTCACCAGGAGACTTGATGAATTTCTCCAGCTTGTCAATATCTTTGAGTTTGGCGTAGCAATTCAGAAGGAGAGTTGTGTGATCGGCGGTGGCCTTGTGATGCTCATGCAATTCCTCAAGGTATTCGATCAAATTGTGTATCCTTTGGGTGTCAAGGAACTGGCAATGTTAGTCTTAGCGGTCGTGATAGCAGAGCTAACTTGCCTTGCGGATGACCTGAGAAGGTTCAGTGTTGTCAATTGCTTTTAGGTACTGTTGCATGGCGCCATCATAATTTCCTTTTTGATAAAGGTTGTCTCCATATTTACGGTATATTACATTCAGCTGAGCAGCATCCATGTTACACTTCTGTGCCAAACTGATCGCATAGGTAAAGAGGTTCCTTTGGTAAAGAATCTCCAATCGCTGTTGTAATGACTTTTCATGGTACCGGAAGATCTATCGAGGCAATTAACATACACGTTCCTCTGCATTAAAGGAAGATCCCAATGCCGTACCTTTCCATCCTGATTCAACGTAAAGAGATCGCCCCATATCATGAAAAGAGTCTTGACTTGTGAAATTAAAGATTCTGAATGTGCAATAAACTTCAAGTCTGTATCCAGCAAGGTGAACGTGGAGGTGTCGAATATTTCTTCGGCCTGCATACCCCCAAACCGGCGAAGAGCACTAGGCTTGTTTGACGCTGTCGCTGCTGCTGGCGGCGAGACTAAAGCCACATAGTCCTCGTATATAGCGACAAGACTTTTGGGACCGTCGTAGCCATAACATGGCCCGCGACCATCGACACCATAGTAGTAGATGGCATCTTCTCGGACTACAACAATATCGCCATTACGTTTATCAACGGTCATACACCCAACAGCACAACCGGACTCCTCCACATTTCTCGCCGGCTGGCCAGCTCCCTTGCCTGCCGTGACGAGTTTCAGTATTCGGGATATAGTCGTAACGTAGAGGGTAGTCAAATTGTTGGACTCTTCCCGAAGCTCGACTCCGGTTACGGGCTCTTCTGATTCATACACCGTCCTTTGTTTCGCCCCTCTATCATGTATTAAGTCCCCACGTACCACTGTAACTGAACCATTGGCGAATCCCACGGCTACCTGTGAGAGATTATCCAGGGCAGCAAAGGCAGATATCTGTTGGGGGTATTTAGTTGGTGATGGGTATGGTTCGAAGTTAATGACGTACCGGAAACGGCCTCCTTCCATTTTGTATGCTCACAGTTGATTGACATGTTGGTAGACCGGTCTTCTTGACTGGCTTGTCCAAGGCCCATACTTTCAAGACAGGTTCATTGGGCAAGTCTTCCTATAGAGTTTCAGTCTTCCGTCCCAGTATCACCGCAGACGTAAAATACCGATATCGTGACCAATAGAGAGGTCCCCTCCACCTGCTTCATATGTGTAATCGCGCCCGCATCGTAAGCTTGAAAGCTCCTCAACACTTTGAAAGTTGGCGACAGGATCCGGACGGTGCCATCGTAGCTTCCGAGAAAGAGGCTCTCCGAACCGGAGCATACACAGCTAATCTCATTGCTGTCGAAGAAAGATTTGCCGTCCTCGTCTGGCGGAGTGACTTGGCTGACTTCGAAGAAATCGAACGTTTTCCACTACAGATAGCTATCAGTAATAGATCAACAACATGGGTACTTGGGAGCTGCAACTGACCGAACTGAGAGCCATCTCCTTGGAAGGTTGCAATCATGGCATTGCCGTGATTGCTCACAAGATCAAATTGACTAAGACGTATTAGCTTGACGTTGCAGACGCAGATTCGAGCTGTTGACCGAGTTGGTTCTGACGCAGCAACAGCACTCCGAGGTCGTCAATCTTTCAGTCGCGCGGTCGTCATTCTGGCCTCGCGTCGTGGGGGACGTCGGCAGAATACAGGGGTTGACATCGCTAAATGGCTGGCAAGTTGCGGCCTGGATTGCCTGGAAATGCGGCAATCGCCCGTGCTCGTGCCCCAAGTCCAACTCAAGTCCAACGACCGCGGAGTCCCAAGGCTCACGAGGCTTTCCTTCGTTACAAAACAACAACAAAACAGCAATTTACAATTTTATGGTGAAGCGCGACGAATCTGGACGATAGATATCTCTATTCAGATCTAGAGAACACGACGACAATATCAATCCCATCATCGCGAGCCTTTCGATGGCGACAACCATGTGCTCTACTCGGCCACGGCGGATAATCAGAAACAAACATGCTTCGCCTGCAGGAAATTCTTCAGCGGCCCTTCCCATACCCTGTCTCTGCCGTTACCACCCAACGACATCCACGTACATATATCACTCCTGCGCATCAAGCTCCGTGATGAATCTTCTATGGATAAGCTGCAGCCAACGTACCATACATTTACCCCACCGGATCCTTACTCTGCTTGAGCAGCTTGTACTCGTTTGGCAGCTCCATCCAGCGGAAGATTACCCTCCTCGAGAAGAACACCCGTTCTTGCTACCATTCGTCTGGCAGCTCACAGGGCGATGGGAGTCTCATTGGCAGCGATACCAACGTCGTGTTCGCCCCACCAGTCGACGTTGGAAGTCGAAAGAGGGGCAAAGGAGGGGTGCTCTCAGGCACAGTTCCCAATTACGTCTGTCCCGTTGAGACGACACTCTGCCGTTCTGTGGCATATTCATCCCATCCAATAACTAGCTGACTGCTCCAAGAGAAGGGTGTGGTGCCGGTCTGGAGGGAAGCGATGAACCAGACTGCTGGTGTCCCAACCATCAGCTTTGGGAACGTGGCTCATGTCGCAACACCTCACGATGTACGACCTCCATCTCCAGTATCGGCTCCTTCTGGAATCAGCTCTCTGGTATCAAAAACATTGCCAGCACGTCAAAAGTGCCCCGCCTTCACAAACATACCCTCGGTAGGTCTTAGTGCCCTCGACGATCAGCTTAAAGGTCTTATTGGTTTGTCGGAGAGTCCAACAACGAGGTGGAGACACTTGTGATGCAAGTAACTTGGTGGATACTGCGTTGATTTTGGATCCTGACAAAACTTTTGCAAGGTCTCTCAACCCCTCCTTTCTTAGCTTTCTAACGTCTTATCTTCACTTGCTTGCCGGGAAAAATACACCTTGATGTACCCGGAGGTATATCCCTCAGCTACTATTACTCCTCCACGGGGACAGCCGCCGTTAGGTGTGGGTATTACCTGCATGGCAGCCACATGTTGGAGCCTTTTCTGGACGTCTTCCTAAGTGTGGCACTTGCACAACCCGCGTGGAGCTTACCTTGGGGCTGGTCTTGTTCGTCCTTGTCTTCCGAATTAATTCGTCTTTGACTGTAACTGGCCAATTCAGATGTGTTCACTCCAAGTTGGTAGTCCAGCCTTGGAGCTGATCTGCTTTACCCTTTCGACTTTCGGTATCAAGAGTCAGGTGCGTACAAGGAGCAAGGTATCTTATCTGTGTTACCAATAGAACATTAGTGTCTCCCAAAGGTTTATAGTGCCCGCTACTCAGCAAGAGGGCTCCATCTGTGCGACGTGTCACATTCGTTACGGTATGTATACATGCATACCGTATTGCAACTACATAAGTGGCCAATATCTTGTGCTCTACCCACGAAGGTTTCTGCAGAGATACTTCGAAATGGAACTGGAAGCCGTTAGTGCCCGGACAGTCGGGAATAGGGTACCATGGCGCAACGCCAATGTCAATTCTTCTGTGTCGCTTGCGGTATAGATCTTCGACGTCTCTACTGATGATAGCTGATACGACCTGGCATCAGGTTTGATAGCAAACGGCTGTTGTGAATGGTAACTGCGAAAGGCAGTTTACATGCTCAATGTTCACTGATTGGTGGGGAATGAAACTCTCAATGGGAACATTTTCATGTTCATCACCTTCATCGAGCAGATTACGAGTATTATTCACATCCACTTCCTCCACATCCCCACCGCATCTTTAGCCGAGTTCGCCATCTGACGCTAGAGGAAGGGAACTACTTTAAGTATAAAGGCTCCCTTCCTTTAGCTCAAGTTCTTTCTTCCTAAACCATAAACACACCACCATCACTTCCACTTTATACCCATTACTTCATACCAAGAACTTATCCACTTCCGAAACTTACCCTAATAAATCGCTTCATCATGGCTCCAATGGCTGTGGATGTCTACCCGGTTAGCCGCATGCAAGAAATGAAGGCGAAGGCTCAAGAGGTTGTTGCTCAATCGATTGCAACTGCTCCAGCCAAGTTGATCAAGACTCCTATGCAACTCGCTGGTGCTCTTGACAAATTTGAGTCTTTCGATGTCACTCCAGTCATTGGAAAGGAGTTCCCAACTGCCAACCTTGCTGAGTGGCTCAAGGCTCCTAATGCTGATGAGCTCATTCGCGATCTAGCCATCACTGGTAAGTTACCTGTTTGATCACCACAATAGACTTGAAGTCCTTCAAAAGCTGGCTTCATGCGTCAATTTTGGATCTTCTCAGTCTCAAAGCTGATATCTCATAGTCTCCCAACGTGGTGTCGTTTTCTTCCGTGGTCAAAAGGATCTCGACAATGACCTCCAAAAGGAACTATGCCAAAAGCTTGGTCTTTTGACTGGCAAGCCTGCTGAGTCCACCATGCACATCCACCCAATCTCCAACAAGTCATTCCAATGCAACAAGGATGATGAGATCTCCGTTATCAGCAACGATCTTGCAACCAAGATTTTCTGTGACCGCAAGGCAGAGCAACACAAGAAGAAGCAATCTCTCAAGAAGGGATGGCACTCTGACATCACCTTTGAGCCTGTCCCATCTGACTATGCTATCTTGAAGCTCACCGATCTCCCAACACTCGGTGGTGGTAAGCACCCAACCATCTATCAGCCATTCACAGTTAACTAATACATTATCAGACACTCTCTGGGCATCCGGATACGAAGTTTATGACCGTTTCTCCCCAGCTTACCAAAAGTTCCTTGATGGTCTCACCGCCACCTACGCCCAACCTCTGTTCACTGAGGCTGCCAAAAACCAAAAGTTCAAGCTCTACACTGATCCTCGCGGCAACCCTCTCAACATTGGTGATGAGCTCTCCACCGAGCACCCAGTCATCCGCACCAACCCAGTCACTGGCTGGAAGACCGTCTTTGCCGTCGGCCACCACGTTCAACACATCAATGGTCTCACCGAGCGCGAGTCTGACCACCTTCTTAACGAGTTCCTCCGCATGGTCACTGAGAACCACGACCTCCAATGCCGCTTCAAGTGGAACAACCAGAATGATCTCGGTATGTTCTTTCCCCCTACATATCCTCTCTTGCTTTCCCTTGACATCAAACTAACCCGCACCAGCAATCTGGGACAACCGCTCCACCTTCCACGCCGCCACCTACGACTACGACAACAACGGTCTCCGCACCGGTCAACGCTGCGTCGGTATCGGAGAGCGCCCATACTTCGACCCAGCTTCCAAGTCCAAGCGCGAGGCTGAGGGCGAGGAATACATGGAGCCTGGAATCGGCTTCACTGTATTCTAAGCTGTTTACTTTCCCACTTTTACATAGGCGTTTGATATGCACTAATGCGTTATGAGATTTCTTATTTGGCGTTGACTTTCAGGGAGCGATTTTGTTTCTGAGACTTTGATGATCGGATGATGGATGATGGATTTGACTTATTTGATTGGGCAGTAATTGGGTTGGATGGTTTGGGAGTGGGTGATTGGGCCCTTTGTGTCCAGCCCTGAGACGATTTTAACATGGCTTACCTAGCTGCGGGATGAAGCTCGTTTGCACGGCTTCATACATTTATGGGCTCAAGCTGGCTTACATGGTGTTTTATTTACATATGGCGAATAGCATATGATTGGGACCATTCTATGAACTTGCATATGATTGAAACGATTTTATGACTGATTCGTTCTCTCTCCCTGGATTTTGAGAAATCAGAAGTCTCTTCATTCAGGTGAAACGGGTGAAGGGTTTTGACTTCTTCCTTTGGCTGATGGGTAGAACGCAGATGTCTCTTCAGTTAAGCGAATTCTAAAGGAGTATACTTCCTTTTTCTCATCGTTCATTCCTCATTCACACTTCCCGTACTCTTATGCCATCCCCCCAATATTAGCCTTCTCATCGTACATCTACAAAGCAGGAATACCCGAATAGCGTATCGTATTATAGTATCAAATGTCATATTGTTTCCAAGATATTCGCCAACTACTAGCCACAGAGATAGATGAAGTGGGTTGTGAATGAAAATGTGTTCCATATGTTCTTTCTATGGGGTCACAGGACAGTAGTCAGTTGATGGGCTTTTGAGAGGCTCATCGGTTGGCTTGTGTACGTTTGGGATGGGAAGAGGTGTGGTTTTACTTTTATGATCAATGGGCAATTGAGGATAGTTGTGTTTCGGGGGTAGGCTGGGGGTTGGGAGTTTGGATTTGAAGTTTCTTTTGTGAATGAATGGACATGTACCTAGGTGTGTAGTGTGAGGATAGAGGTGATGTGGATTGGTCTTGTGACACGTAGTGAGAACGAAATATTGAAGGATTTCGGAAGAGAAATTGAAATCTCAGTGAATGAAATCTAATCTAGTAAAGCAAAATAGACTATTCTATCGAAGGTATCACAAAACATCATCCTCACCACCCGCCCTAACTATCAAAAACCCCTGGAAACAAGAACTCAACATTCTTCACTCCCTCCGCCCCCCTCCCCTCAGCTTTAGTCATGAACTTAATCATCCCCGTCGTCCCCCCCATCAAATGCCTCGCCTCCACCACCTCCCCACTCTCCTCCTTCGTCAACGCATCCAACACTGCACCCACAAACCTCTTCGCATTCTCCCCATTCGCCTTCATATGTCCCATCACCATCGCAACATCCACATCCTCCGTGCTATGCCAACAATCGTAGTCGGTCGCCATACAGATCATCTGGTACGCGAGTTCCGCCTCTTTCGCGAGCTTCGCTTCCGGGAGCGCGCTCATGTTGATGACGGACCCGCCGAGGGAGCGGTAGTAGTTTGATTCGAAGCGTGAGCTGAATTGCGGGCCTTCCATGCAGATCAGGTTGCCTTTGTCGTGAAGGACGATGTTGTCGCCGGCGAGGGAGTGGCCGCATTTCTTGACGATTTCACCGAGTTTGGCGTCGAAGGGGTCGGCGAAACCGACGTGGCCGACGACGCCTTTTTCGAAGAAGGTGAAGGGGCGGATGCCTGTGTAGTCTTCTGTTAGGATTTGTATTTCCTGAGGATTAATATTGGGTTTGTAGCATACCTTTTGTTCGATCAAAGACCTGATCTGGAACCACGAAATCTCTTGGCTTGATCTCTTCTTGTAAACTCCCTACCGCGCTGAAAGCAATTACACATCTGACGCCTAGACTCCTTAGTGCTGCGATGTTGGCTTGGTTGGGGACTTCATGCGGCGCGAATTGGTGGTGGAGACCGTGGCGGGACAGAAAGGCGACTGGGACGTTGTTATGGGAGAGGACTGAGATGGGTGAAGAAGGATATCCCCATGGTGTAAGCGGATTGACTGTTGCGATCGGTGTGAATCCTGGGAGGGACTGTAATCCTGTTCCGCCTATTACGGCGATCTTGATGGGATCTAGAGGGTGTTAGACGGCCTGTGCTGTATGTAGCGTGAGCGAACTTGCCTGAATATGTGGTTGGAAGATCTGCCATTGTGAAAGGAGCTGGAAAATTAAAGTGAGAGGATGTTGGAGAAGATATGTACAGAGGTGAAAATTATTTTCGAAGCAGACGTTGCGTTGTACCAAGTGCTTACTTTTTGCTTCTCGTACCCCTCCAACCCCGCATTTTGCTTAGCGAGCCGTTGACGTGCTCCCCTGGAGTCCCAACTCACCCCCATACAGCGGTGTTGATTTGAAGCATTTGTATCCCATCATATACTCATCAAAATTGCAAAGGTCGAAAGAGAGACGCAAAATGAGGAACTAAGTTCATGTACCAACCGAAATGGGAGTATATCTAAATAATTATATCGAGGAATGATATTATCCTACTATTTACTATCAGCTATGTGAAGTATGTAACCTCTCGCGCTCTCAAGTATGCTGAAAACCAATACACGCCGTACCCAAGGTGTGCCGTTTCCATCCTATATGCCATGCGGAAAATGTCATATTTCCTTATCTTATTTCTTCATCGCTTCATTACATTAATGCATGTAACACTTTCACACCCTTTTCAGCGGCGGCAATATGCCAGGGTCTAGCATCTCCTGTGCTTGTTGTTCCTCTTGCCCTACTCAAGGTCCCCAACCCCGCGTAGTTAGTCAGTACCTCCCTAAGCAGCGCCTCGTAGAAGTGTCTTGGGTTCCCCTCCCTCCCGCCGTGAATTACATTAACTTCGATCAGCACAGGTGTTGGTGTAGAATGTTTGATAACGTATCCAGAAACCAATGCAGGATTTGGGTGGAAGAGGGATCGAGAATTAGAGAGACGATGAGAAAGGATCAGACCATGGGTCTGGTCAGACAATAGTAAAAGGCGGGTTGTGGGATCTGGATCAACTGTTGATGATTGATCAGAGGGAGTAGTAGTTGGTGGATTGGGAGTTGACATATCCGGAGATAGGATTGAATTTTGTGGAGTCGAGACTGGAGTGGTGGTTTGCGTTGAGTCTCTCGCTGCAGGTAGTGAAAGAGCTGGAGGTAGGAGGCGTAAAGACGGCTCTGTATGAACAGTCAAGAGTGTTAATTTCGTCTGAGCATCAGATTCTTTTGATGCAAGATCGATCCATGTCTCAACCTCCGATGTTTCCATAATGCCTACTTTGGCTATGAAAATACGCCAATGGATTCTTTTGCTTGAGACAAAGTCGAGAGTTGTGTCCCATATTTCTGCGGCAACATTTGAAAATGACATGGAAATGGGTTCGTTTTTACGTCCCAAGCAATACGACGCATTCATCTGTTGGGTGCCTCTATTGTCGGTCCATACGGCTGTAATCCAACGACTATCAGCACTTTGCGCATATGCAATGTGGAGACACGTATGCTCTTGCAGAACTGCAGCTGAGGGGGTCGGATTAAGTTTGAAATCAATACCACGGGGTAGTGGCCGCTCTAACATTATTGCAGGGGTCGCCGCAGACGACGCAAAATCCATACATCGCCCATAGACTTCTAAGCAAAGTCGGCCATATTCTATGGGCGTTGGGATCGGAATTGATGTCGAAGAAGCAACAAAATCGATGGGAACAAGTTGAAGAACTAGTTCATTGCTTGGTTGGACCTTTCTGTCTACCAGCGCTTTCCTGTAGAGGTGGAATAAATGTTGAAAGGCGGAGCATATGTGAACAAGGAGAGTAGGATTGTCGGTAGGATACATGAAGTATATTACAAAATTCTTTTCCTCGGGAAAAATCGATGTTATAGAATTGGCCAATCGCGCGACAGTTTCCCGAAGCGTTGCCAAATTGCGAAAAGAATTTTGAGGGTCAGTTTCTAGGGGATAAGGCAGGTGGCCAGAGAAAAGATCTCTTGCCACTATGATCTCATGCGTACCGAGTCTGAAAGATTCGTAAGTATTCCGGATTTGTTCATTGAAATAAGTGACCCCTGATTGAGCCCCATCGAGATCCGGATACACACAAACTGAAAGAACATCTTTCGTACCTCCAGATGGAGCAAGACCAAGATTTTCCCAAAATGATATCGCAGAAGGAAGCACTGATAGTTTAGAATCCGACCTTCGAAGCTCCAGCTGGGGAAGAGGTATCGAAAACGGATTGATGGGACGTGGCGGTAAGCGTAGTCCCGAATTTAGAACCGGGACTCCTTGGATCTCAGAAAATGTCTTTACAGTACATGATACTAAATCCTTGAAGAACAATCTTGCTACCTTTGCAACACTTCGGACAAGACCACCCTTAGCCGTGGTCTTGTTCAAAGCTCTTGTCTGTTCAGACAGCCAGGGGACCTGGAGCGTGCCTGCCACCACCTGGTCGACAAGGATTTGAGCCGTCGCAATACACTCGAGGTCGTTGAGGGAGCTAGACAGCATCTCTGGTTCAGGTGTTGTAAAATAAGATGTCAGCGACCAATCCGTTGCATTTAGATCAGGAAATGGCAACTGGGTCCCAACTGCGGACTGGGGAGTACTGCTGGACTGCTCGAAGTCGATAGACATCGGATCAAAACTTGGCATGCCAGCTGCTGGCCTATCCTCGGTGAGCCAAGTCTTCTCGAACCCCGTGGTAGGGACAGCTGAAGTATCATCGGTGCTACGGCTCGTATCGTCCTGTTCTGAGGTTGTACTCATTCCGTCCGAATCTACCATGAAATCCATCGCCTCGTCAAATTCTTGATTTTCGCTCATCTTGTCCTCAAGCAACAATTGTGGAATTTTACCAACTTCAAACTCGTTCTGGTGTGACTTCTTCCGACTGCTGAGATAATTCGTTTGAGGAAGCCCAGACCCAAGCACTGGGAGCCATCCCTTCTGGTCCGAGACACTGTAGAGCCCTTGAGCTCCGTATTTATCGTCCACTAAAGATAACGAGTTTTCAAAATCAATCTTATCAAAAAGACTTTCCCGTCTAGGTCGTTTTTGAACCTTCTGTGAGGTTGCATCTTTAACGAGACGCTGAAAAATAGATTCCTGGTCGAATTGTACTGGCGATATGGTCCTGGTGATACCGCCACTTTTCTCACCTGCAAAATTAGTGTCAACCACCTCGTGAGTGTTGACTTTGCGTGGTGGTTTCATGGCCCCAACAATAGCCCGTTTGTCCAAATCTGGTGGCTGCTTCGTCTTCAGAGGTGGAGGACGCATGCCTTCTACACCCGCAAGACTTGCAACAAAAGCTGGTTTCCTGACAGGATCTTCTGTTATTGTAGACATATTTGCGGCCACGGGTATCTCTGTCTTTACTTCGGGTTCCACTTCATCAGGTTCGTCAAAGAAGCTGAAATCGGCATCAGTAACATCGTTGCCAAACATGTCACCACCGAGATCTCCAAATAAGTCGCCGTCTGTGTCGTTATTTCGATCTTTTTTATTCGGCGTATCCCACATATCGACATCAACATCGGGTACTCCAGAGGTGGTTGCAATTGCACTCCCGTCCTGGGCAGCAAATGGGTTTGCATTTGGGTTGTTAGGCGTAGAACCCGCCCCATCAAAGACTGGTGTGACCCCAACAGGGTGATGGATTGCATCTGGTGGTGTTGGATACATGGCACCAGCGTTGCTGCCTCTGCGCAGGACCACTGGAGAATAAGAATTTGACTGTAAAGCACGGGCATCAACTTCTGCTTGCTCCCTTGATAATGCTTCCGCATTTTGTCTATCTCTTACTCGTTTCTCCAGGGTGTTTGATCTCTCAATTTTGCTCATGAACCACTCCTCAGCAAATGACAGTGGGTCGGTGACTTGCTTTGCAGCTTGCTGATTCGTCAGCGGCCGTGAAATAGCAGTATTGGAAGACGTAAAGCACAGCAAAGCCGGCCAGGGGACGACAGACGAGCCATTGCATGTGGCAAGAGACTCGTTACCAAGTAGCGAGCTGTTACCGGCGAGCATCTGAACAAACAGCCAACCACCACTGTCAATGTACGATGTGTCTATGCCTTTAGACGACAACCACTGTATACACTTAGACTGCCAGCTTTTCACTGTGAGCTCATTTAACTCACTCAACTTGGAGTCCGCAGGGGTTGTGACTGACGGCTTTCCGGTTTGTGTTCTAGGCAATCCTTTCTGGTTCGAAAAAGCATGAAATTTGGCAGTATTTCCTCCAGGAGCGAGCCACAACATCGTCCCAGGAGCCAATCGTTCAAATTGCCCATTTGATAATGAGCTGGCACAAATGCTTTGCAAGCCTAATGCTTCATCTGAATATATCTTGATAATAACTGTGCCTAATGGTGTAAGACTTATGTCTAATGTAGCCAATGTAATTGCGCCAGTATGTTTTGAGTAACTTTCAGTCAAATCCGCGGGACTTGATGCAATGGACTGGTTCAAGATTAAGGTACGCGGATTAAGAGGAATAAAACCCTCGTCACGACAGAGAATAGAAACAAGAGATCCAAGTACAGCAGATATGAATCTTTCATGTAGATCTGCAGGAGCTGGCCATGTCAGGTCTTGGCGATCGAGTGGTTTTTGTCCTTGGGACGGAAATGCTTCTTGAGAAGCATTGTGCGCCGCATTCGCTTGCACTGCTCTGGAGTTGACCGAAAATCCAGCTCGTCCAGAATTCTCAAGAGACGAAGACGGGGATGAATTGCTGCTCGCCGAGTTCAGAACAGAATGAGGACTTTGCTTAGCCTTTGCAAGACTAGCTGGCTCAAAGACACCTTGCTCCACAACAACAAGTTGGATCCCAAGCACATCGATCACGCCATTTTCCGTTTTGTGCGGCTTGGATAAATTGCTGGAAGACTTCCCTCCTTGAAAGAGCCATATACCATCTCGTACCGTGTCTAGGTGTGCCAATCTTCCATCCTGTCGCAGAAGTCTCTCAATATTTCGTAGGGAAACCCTTATGTTCTCAGAGGAGGGAGTTTTAGGCTCAAGAAATTCATAGTCTATCGAAGTAAAGTTATTCTGCAGATAATTATTAGCTTTGTAGGACCGACATGGTTTCTGCCAACTTACAAACGATAATACATTTGTCCGATAGTCGCCAGGATCCATATCGTACAAATGAATGAATCATAAAACGAGCCAGCAAGAGCGCATCCGGCGCCTATCAGTACATGAATCTCGGAACGAGTTATTGACCTTCCAATTGAAGTATGAGATTGATCGCATGGATTGGCGAAGAGGGGTGTTATATATTAAGCAGAAGTCTTGTTCTTGGACAGGCGTAGCGGTCGTGAGGTTCGCAGGGCTCCATCTCCGCTGGAGGGTCGAAAATGGATAGCCTCTCTTCCACGGATGGAGGCCTCGGTCTCAGTACGTTTCCTACTCCAAATGCCGATATGTTTGCGCTTCTTATTCAAACATGTCGAACATGGCACAGAAACAGTTGACAACTCTGGACCACAACCATGCCATGACCACAGGCATGTCATCGGAACATCGGCGTACCCTCTTCCGGGGTGGCCCCGCACCTCACGCTAGCTATCCGTACGAATTATCCCTGTCACAAAAATAAATTTCTCGAGATGGCACGGATGACAAGCTTCAAACCCCTCCAGTTATTCAGACCGTCGATGAGGGCTCTTCAACAACTGCGCAAGGCTTCACAATGAAGCTCACCAACCCAAACGACGTGCCCGTCTACACGATCTCCGGTGCTTCAACAGCCCGACCCTTGCCTGACTGGCTTGCAAGGCAACGCAAGCGCAGTTTGAAAAATGATCCCGAATATGCGAATCGAGTCGAGCTGCTTCAGGATTTCGAGTTTGAAGAGGCAAGTGCCTGTATAAGGGTCAGTGAGGACGGTGAATGGGTTATGAGTACTGGTACATACAAACCACAAATACACACCCATTATCTACCTCATCTTTCTCTCTCGTTCGCGCGACATACCACGACGCTCAACCACTCGTTCATCCTCCTCTCCTCCGACTACTCCAAATCTCTGCACTTGCAGACTGATCGCAAGCTCGAATTCCACACTCCGGGTGGCTGCCATTATGAAACTAGACTCCCACGGTATGGCCGAGACCTGATATACGACAAACAGTCTGCCGAGGCTTTGGTTCCTGCTGTAGGGGTTAATGCGGATGGGAGTGGAGAGGTATACAGATTGAATCTCGAAGTGGGACGATACATGAAGCCCTACCAAATTGATGTTGGCGGCGATGACATGACCACTTCGGGAGGGGGCGCGTTACAAGGGGGAATCAATACTGGTAGCGTTAATTGTGCAGCCATCGCAGAAGACAGCCACAACCTGTTGGCCTTTGGCACATCGATTGGAACCGTAGAGTTCTGGGATCCACGGTCAAAGGCGCGGGTTGGCATTCTTGCTGGTCAAGAAGGTGAGATCACAGCCTTAGACTTCGACAGGTCTGGGTTGTCTTTGGCAACTGGGTCTTCCGAGGGATTAGTCCAGCTTTTCGATCTTCGACGACCGGTTCCCATCCTTCACAAAGACCAAGGCTACGGTTATCCTATCAAGACACTAATGCATATGACTACCTCCTCACAAGAAAAGAAGATCCTCTCCGCGGACAAACGAATTATCAAGTTATGGGACGAAGCCGATGGAAAAGCTTGGACTTCGGTGGAACCTGCAGTCGATATAAATTCAGTTGCTTGGTGTAAACAAAGTGGTATGATTCTGACAGCGAACGAGGGTAAGCAACAGCATGCTTTCTTCATACCCCAGCTCGGCCCTGCACCTAGATGGTGCTCATTTCTGGATAACATGGTCGAGGAGATGGCCGAAGAGGCACCAGCGGAAACCTATGATAACTATAAGTTCTTAACGCTGCCGGAACTGAAATCTCTCAATCTTGGCCATCTTGTCGGCACGACGAATCTATTGCGGCCATACATGCACGGGTATTTCGTTGCATCCAAACTTTACGAGGAAGCTCGACTTATTGCAAATCCATACATCTTTGACGACGAGAGGACGAAGAGAGTCAAAGAAAAGGTTGAAAAAGAGCGAGCTAGTAGAATCAGGGGTGGCAAGAAGGTCAAAGTCAACCAAAACTTGGTTGATAAGATGCTCAAGAGACAAGAAAGGCGCCAGACAGTTGATCAGGACAAGGGTGTCTTGGGTGATGACCGATTTGGGAAAATGTTCGAGGATGAAGAGTTCGCTGTTGATGAGCGCAGTAGGGAGTTCCAGGCCCTTAATCCGAGCACAAAGGTTGGGGAAGCTGGCATGGCCAGACCTTCGAACATTTCTGGGGAGTCTAGCGATGAGGTCGACGACGATGATGATGAGATTGCAAAGGTACGAAAGGAGAAACCGAAGCCAGAGATGCGTATTTCATCGTCCTCGTACAAGAAATCTGGGCATCAGAGTCGCGACAAATCGCTGGGCTCTCGCTCACAGGGGAATGGCCGTGCCACCAAGAGTCGTGGGGAAGTCGTCGGAGAAAGATCTGTTAGTTTTGTGCCCAGTGCGGGTAAGAAAGAAAAAGAACAACCAAAGCCAGAAAGGAAAGGCAGGAGGGATGATGGCAGACGGAGCGCAAGTGGCAATGTTTTCAGAAGGCTTTGAAAGAATTTATGCCTTAGAGATATGTCCAAGCTACATCCGACCCTATATATACTCGAAGTTCAAAAATTGGAAAACCCACAACTCGACGCCAACGCTAAGGAGATCAAATAAAACGACCCTGGATATTCATCGCCACATCATGTTAGAACTTCATGGCCGCGTTGCCTTCTTCCCCCATTTAGCCTTCGCTTTAGGTGGTTCCGACATTTCGAAGGACGATAATTTTGAGTTTCCCTTTTCGACATCGTTGCCTCCAAGTCTAGGTGTGTTTGGGACTTCTTCTATTCTAGACAGACCGCGATTCGATTTCTTTCTGGGGTTTTGGACGTCCTTGGGGAAGGCTGAGCGTCTTGGTGTTAAGGCTGTTGCGATTTTTCTTGCAGATTTTCGCATTTTTGCGCGAACCTCCCACGACCTCTTCTTCGCAAAATACCATAGTACAGACGAAGCGACTAGCATATGAGATTAGCCATGTTACGGGCTTTGGTATTGCGTTATACTTACTACCTCCCAAGCACACAACGCTGGCAACTACAGCAATGGCTATGATGGCGCCTGTAGACAACGTGAAGGAACTACCATTGTGCCCCGAGGCGCCCGCATTGCTATCTCCAGCACCTGCAGTTGAACCTGCATCGCCAGCTGCTGGATCTACATATTATCAGCAACCTGCTTCAAAGACTATACGGACAAAAGAACTCACCACCGCCCTGTTGTAGAGGTATACTTGTCGCTAAAGCATTGTAATACGAAGATACCGAACTGGCAGACATTTCAGGTGTTTGAGAAACAACGGACGAGGGAGCGGAAGTTATCGTGGAAGTGATAAGAGTATTCTGTGCAGTCGAAATTTTTGTGTGAAGGAAGAGGAAATTCAGTAAAAGGCTGAAAGGAAGATAGGACCGCATCTTGAAGTAGAAAGGCAATAGAAGACTGATAAATTCGGACCAATGAAATGCGCCAGCGGCAACGCAGTGACTGACTTTGATGAGGAGAAGTGTGATCTGATTGAGCGGTTGGGTGTGATTGCCGTTGCGTTTGCTCGTTTGCATTTCTCAATCGGGGCGCCCATGGTACATTTATTGAAACCTGAGCGCCTACGACTATAGCCATCCCTATAATTGGGCTCCATGCAGGTGCGGGCTCGCGCCGTGAAAGTGCTTGAAACTGACGTACGGCTTCTACGTGATCCGACCGTACGACTTGGTAGGTACCTTGGTTTGTTGATTGGGTGGTGGTTCTCTGAGCTGCTGAGTGTGGGCGGCTATTTTGTGATATCTCACCCCTGTTCTGGGTTATTTATGGGCGCTGCTCCTGCGTTCATGTAGATTAAGCGACCAATGATGTCCATTATCCGGTCGCTAAGAGCAACCACTGCGGGGAATTGCTCAGGGGTTTCTCAACGTCGAGTCCTGGGCACATCTCTTCCTCTGGCAATTGGGTTGCTACAAGTGTGACCGGCAACAATACACGGAGGCAGGTCTGCTATGAGGTCTGCTATTTGCGGGCGTCGAAGCATCTTGCGAGAAGAAAAAGGTCCAGGTTGAAGCACGACTTGCATACTGTTGTACCTTCGGAGTCGAAAGTGCCGGAATGAAGGCTGGACGATGGCCATTTGCGCTTGCTGGAACGTGGGGAGGTGTTTCTGGTTTGGATATCGATAAGATGGACAGCAGTAGTTGGCTGTATGCCGGTACTTTGAGTGGAAGATCTTCAAGATAGTCGGCAATGCAAAACCCGATTGTTGTAAGGTCAAGATGGCTACTTGTTGTTCGGCTCCAACCGTTTGACGAAGCGATGGACGAGAATAGCTTCTTCGTAGGCATCTAAGTGTTGCCAATTGATGCCATGTTCCACGGCGGATTAGGTATGATTTCAGTTTTCACTGTGTTTCTCGCTTGCACCTGTGCGGACAGCAAAGGCTTCAACGGCTGGAGGACAATGTGCCACTAGCCCAAATACATGAATCTTCGATGACTCTAATTTTTCAGTCCACTCTCATGAGAAGGATCAGTCAGACACGTCAGCCTATATCCGCGATAAGCGCACCAGCATCAGAATCTGATGTAATGCGGTTGTATGGCACAGCAATTGGTCATACTCTTCCGTGCCTATTGACAAACATTAACCAACATTCGGCTCTATGGTTCAAAAGGTTGTACTTGTCAATTATTCTGATCCTCATGGATTCTACTCAAGATCATTCGTTAATTCCTATGTTCATTTCCCATACCAAGCTTATTGGCTAAGAGCCAAACCGGCAAGTCTTGCCCATTCTGCACGTTGAGAAAACTCAACGTGCAGCTGAAGGGATACGAGACTACTGCAAAGAAAACGCAAAGGCCTTCGATATATGCATGCGTTGCAGCTTAAATTACCCGCACTTCCGCCTCGGTGTCACTTGAGAGTTGGGTTTTGCCGCGATTATACACTTCAGGTAGGGTCGGCTTCTTAGATTTCCGGATCGCTTTTAGACATCAGTCCTTTTCTGTATATTTGGTTCTCAATTTGAAGACCAAGCATTGATCTTTGAAATCTGGGAATAGAATGTCGATTGCTACCTGGCAATACACTTGTCTTTGGTTAGTGTTGTTGCTAGGCGTTGCTATTTTCATTGTCAACCACGTCAGCGGTGAGGCGTCGATACAGAGCCGATAACAGCGCGTTGGCTTGTTGGTTCTTCTATGTGATCAGATCCTTCGATCGCTGATTTGTGAGCTTGAAAAACATATTTCTATAGTGCAGACTTCCAAATCCAGATATCGTTCTGATTCCAAAACTTTACAATACCCAATGCTATTAATAGCAGGAGAGGTGTAAGAGATCTTCGAATCTAGCCGATTTGGCGACATCAGGATGTGTTGGTTCTCAGCTCTCCTTCCTTCTATTCAAACTGAAGCGTTACGATATTGGTTGGCAAAGATCTCGGCAGCCGAATGAGACAATGGCATAGCCGCGACCGATATTTCCTGCATTGTTGACAATGCCCATGTTAACTTAGCACATTTGAGGAGAACATTTCTCTTGATTTTTCTCAGAATGGCTGTCGTTCGGTAAGAGTAATAGCGAAATGTAGTGTCTAGAGGTAGGTACCTACCTACCGGGTAGGTAGGTATGTAAGGTAGGTAGGTACGGTAGGTACGGTAGGTAGGTAGGTACAGGAGCAGAGCACTACTTCAAGACACGTGATACTCTCACAGAAGGACTGCCTCATTGGGAAGGAACAACTCGAGTTCCTCCCCTAACAATCAGAAAAGGGTGCCAGAAGCCGGACCGGTTTAGCGAGGACAAACCCACAATCATGGATTCTACTCTGAATTCATCATTCTCGACCTTACAGCCAATTGAGTCCTAGCAGGTGTCCGCCTAGAGTCGTAGGTATTTACATCCCCAACTTTATCTACCAAGTGCTGACAATGATAACAAGATAAGCGAAAATGCCTGGACTGATGGAGGATGACTTTGATAGTCAGCTTCCAAATATGAATGACTACCATCGACTGGACCATTCGAGCTCTATCCCTGGTAGCGATGACACAATCTCAAACGAAATCGAACGGGCCACAGTACCTACCAGTATTGTCGCAGATGCCGATCAACAAGACAGTCTCAGATCGTGTGTTGAGGAAACGCAATTTGTCAACCTCGAGGTTGACACGCAAGCTCCCGAAAAGACAAGCTTCGTTATCGTTCCACCGACAGACCAAGCGAATCTACCCTCTCAAGTATCGGCGGATGCTCAAACGTTCATATCAGTGCCCGAGACCTTTGCAGAAGATGACATGGTCTCTGGGTTCACATTTGGCAAAGCACCGAAGGCAAAAATTGGTCAATTCAGCGACAGACCGCAGCGCAGCACGACCGTTTCGACCAAAGTCGAGGACAGCAGTACTAGACGAAATTCGAATGTAGAGAAGCCTTCTCTAGCACTTAGAAATACTGCAAATGAGCCGAACGATGCTGGAGAGTTACACCAGAACCAGCAACTATCTGACGCTCCCAAAATTGAAATTCGACCGAACCTAGTTAATGAACGTACAAGTCCGATGCCTCAAGCTTCAATAACAGATGCTCCAGACAGCATTAGATCAGATGCCAGCTTACCAACCAGAGGCCGACCGACAATCGCACAACCACAACAGCAACAACAAAAACAAAGAATTCCGGAACCCTCGACCACTTCGCATCAACAGATACCCATCAATAGCATAATCGATACTCCTTCTACAGTTATCGGAACGCATGCTCAACTAACTGAACAACTACGGTTATCTGAAATTGCTAGAAATTCCATAGCATCACACGCTTCCAGACTCAGAAGTGGGCCGCGGTTAAATCGACGTGGCTTTCCAGAGAAGGTATCTACAACCTCGATGCGAACTCCAAAATCAGCCCATCGACCATTTCCAGATGTGCAATCAGAACCCCGCAGATTAGGAGGCTCGCCTGTTCCGCCACCTATAGACTTACGTGGATCGAATGCTCGCCGCAGCGATGGGTCAATTTCAGTCCAACATCGAGCTAAAAGTATTGAGCCCCATATGGCTTCAGAATATGCTTCGAATATCGACGTTGATCCCCATTTCCGGGACAATCTTCCAGCAAAAGGGGTTGTCCCACGTACCCCTCATGAGGTAACTGCGCACCCAGATGCTCACCATCACGCAATAATCGATGACGGCCAGGATCGCACACCACAATTACGAGATAATCCTCAGGCTTGTTCTCGGTCTCCCTCCGCAGCTATCACAGATACTTCACAGTTACCGCCTACACCTCGTCCGCAATCTCGATCAAACACATCTGCCTTTCGAGCCAGAGTTGATAATGCAGCAGAGCAGCGTACTACCGAAACACCCTTTGCTTTGAACGGCCATCATGAGTCGCCAAGCGACGAAGGGACGATTCGACATTCATTCGGGCATAAAGCTATATCCCGACCTCTCCGACAAGAACAAGCTGCTACATCGGCTAGACCGAACGAGGCTGAAGGCAGATCCAAAACAGAGATGACTGTTTTACCCCAAGTTTTAAGATCGAACCTTGCGAACAAGATTGACAAGCATACACATACAAAATCTCGACCAACCATAAATACTTCCCCACAGCGTACATATTCTCCGAAACGTCCAGTTTCTCCGAATTACAAAGCATGCCAAAAGTACATGAAAGCGTGTCACGCATTGTTTGAGACTCGGGACCATGAAATTGAGAAAATGAAGATTCAAGAGGCTGAAATCTGGAGGCTCAAGAACTTAAATGAGGAAAACACGGAGAATATCAGGAAGCTCGAGAAAGAAAAAACAGGTCTAGTGCAGAAGGTGGAGAAATACATAAAGCATAGTGAAACATACAAACAGCATATCAACAAAGTTGTTGACTCTCAAAACTCCTTGAGAGTCGAGGCAGGCAAGATCCGAGAAACCTCCACCAAGGTTATTGAGGCATATCATGACAGCACCCTCGATGCGGAAGACATGAAGAACTCTGTGAAAAAAATGCAAAAGACACTTGCGGAGATCAAAGCGGTTCGTTCCGAAATAGACAAAGCCCAATCTGATGAGCGGTCTTCGTTGGCGCTCGCTCGAGAGGCTACCAAAGTTGCTGAAGAAAAAGTACGAGAAGTTGAAGAGCGACTAGAAGAGCTCGACAGGAAGAACAATGAGAGCATCGAACTGTTGGCGAAATGTATGAAAATCGCCAAGTCGCTCTCTGTCCATGCTAACCGTGTTCAAAGCTTCTGATGAGAACCAGGAGCTCAATCAACAGATAAAATTTTGTAGGTATTCTTGGAGAAACTAGTTTCCTCTTCAGTGCTTACTATGTTGCAGTACGCCTTGAACAGAAAGCGCTTGAAAAACAAATAGAGGATCATTTAAGCGAACTTCAGGGCGCCCGGACTGAATCAGAGAGACTTGATAGGCAGCTGTCTGACCACCTTAAAGTCCACGAGAAACTTGTTGGCGCCATTGGAGAAATCCCCGTTGATGTGTGCAAGGAGTTGCAAAAAGAAGATGGCATCTTTTCGAGTATTTTGTCTGCTGACCAAACAATGAGCGCCAGGTAAGTGGGCTACTGAATCAAAAACTCTTCGGTGCGAGCACTAAGGCCTTGAAAGGTTGGAAGACCTAGCAGCATTAGCCGAGGAGATCAAAAATGATGAGGCCAAGGTGTCTCCTGCTCTGATAAAAATGATTGAAGAGTTATCAAATAGGTACGTTTGCATAATAAACCTCTGGGATCTGGACGTGCGTGCTCATGGTATTCCTAGGGTTCCACAGATATCGGATGATCGCACCAAATTTGAGGATGAACGACAACAGTTCTCGGCACTTTTCGAAAGTTTGAGAGAATCTCTAAATCAGTTTGGTGTTGATTCACAAACTCGAATCGACCTCGATAAACGAATCGCTGAGCTGCAACAAGAGAACTTGGCCATTACCGCAAGCAAGAATGCTGCCGAGCTCGAGTCTCGAAGCATATCCAGTCAGCTACAGCTAGAAAGATTAAATGCCAGCAGCTATAAAAATCATCTAGAAACCAAGACACAAGAGCTAAAAGATCTTCAAGCCGTGCCGAAGGAAGATCCACGACTACTTGCAAAGATCACAGCTTTGGAGGGAACGAGCAAATTGCTGAATGGAAAACTGGAATCCGTAACGCAAGAGTTGATAACCCTTCAGGAGAAGAACGCGAACCTCCAGGAAATGGTCAAAACCTCACAGGATAAGGCAGTCCGTCTTGAAAGAGAAAAGCAAGAGCTCCGAATTGCCTTTACGACAGAGAAGCAACAGGAGGCTGAAATAGCTGAAAAGAACAAGGCAGAGAAGGAGAAATGGAACCAGACAACAATGGACAATTTGAGGAGGCAGATTCAAGATAAAAACGCTGAGCTGACGGCTGCAACTGAAAGTCTTCATAAGATCAAGGCTGAGCTCGATCTGGCCAGGCAAAACCCACAGCCTGAGGTAATGGATCAAATTCTCAAATTATCCACTTTGGCGACTGAGCTCCATGCAAAATCCTCTTCACATTCAACGGCAGAACTAAGCAATATCCAAGCACTTGGTGTGGAAATTCAGAGAGGAACCACAGAGACCGAGCAGACACAGCGCAGGATAGCAAGTATCAAAGAAACCCAAGCTTCTCTCACTCACTCTCTGCAAAAATACGAGATGAGAGACGCAACATTGTCGAAAGAAGTACTTATCCTTGAGAGAGAGATCCATCAACTTAAGGCCGGACGAACAACCGAGAAGCATCAGGGAACCTCTCAGCCTACGACCGAGTCAGCAAAGGCAATGATTATAGCATCTAGACCATCCTGTATGGGTACTCACCCGAGAATCGTGTCATCCAGGAAAGCTGTTTCTGATCGGCCGAAGGATCTCCCCAAATCCTTTGCCGATATCGAAGCAAGAGATGTCTCACGAAATATGATGCTACCAACACCGAGTGCGATGGGAACAAATCTGCAATTGGCGAAAGATCGTGGTTCAAGTCGCATAAATTTGAAAGTCATTCCGGATTCTCAGTCACAGGCTGAGACTGAGTGGAGTGCTTCCCAAGATGAGCATCAAGTAAACGGCCCGCAGACCACGCCGATTCGGTCCACAGGGTTAGGTTATGCAACTTCTGGTCCGTTAGCCTCACAGGAAACTCCCGGACCACGCTCTTTTGCTTCCTTGGGCTCATATACTGGTAGTTCCAGCGCAAGCGACATGACACGCCTCAGTGATCTAGGTTTCGACGAAATGGCTCTTGACTCTATGGACAGCAAACATGTCATTACAACAGCCCAAGCCCTAAGTCGTAACAAGCACTCAAATAATGCCGGTCATTCCATGCAGCTACATGTCAAAGAGCAAAATACGTCCAGTAAACGTAACACCAGCGCTGTATCGAATGAAAGTTCAAATGCCGAATGTTTAGGGAATACCACGCCTGCCTCGCCTGCCACGCCTGCCTCGCCTGAGCAAGTCCAAATGAAAAGGGGACCTGCTCGGAAGCAACCGCAACATCGACAATCTTCTAAACCTCTCAAAAGTGCGCTGAAGAATAGAACCGTGGTCTTTCAATCGAGTGCAAGTATTTCAACAGAGACTAGCCAAGCGACATCTATGAACACAGCGGATGGCAAAGTGTTCAAGCTCACCGAGATCAAGTCTCAGAATATAATCAACCGGCCCCCAGTACGGAAGAACCCTTCAGTGTACAATCGTGTAGCTAGTGGGTCTTCAGCAGGGGCGAAAAGTAACTCTACTATCACCAATGAGGGCAGAACAAAAAATGCGACAATACAGCAATCCCAAATCTCTCTGATCCCAAACGCTGCGCGGAGAAACAGCTCGTTCGCTGGATTCAATGAAAGCAGAAAGCGACCAGCAGAGATGCAGGCTACTTCATCGATCAACAAAGCACCGCGTCTTTCTCAACCACCACAAATCGAGACTGAAATGAAAAATCGCCTATCAATTCCAACTGCTGGATCCGGCTTTGGCAAGAGGCGATAGTGACGCGAATCACTTTCGATGGAGAACTTGAGGAGATTTTACAGAGTAGCAAAATTGCTATGATATCAATTGTAACGAACATGTTGCGAAATTTGCTAGCCAGAGTTGATGGGCATACATTGGCCTTAAATGCCAATAAGACATGTTATATTGCATTCACACCTTCATGTACAATATCTTTTCAACCCCAAGCTTTCCCAGCCTTTAGACATAGATCTGGCTTTTCGTTCATGATGTACCGAGTTCTTCACCTAAACGCCGTCCCATGCTATGCGGTGGCCAAATTGGCATGACCGTGGTTCCATCCATTGATATCTGTACAGTCCTGGAATCGTTCGAGTATGCCTACACCACGACCCTACTTCCCACCCCGCTTCTGTTCGAGAAAAAGCACCTGCCTTCGTACTGCACACATATCCCAATTAGCACTCATATCCAAATGACCGACCAAGCACCTTTGTAAATGTCCTAAGCCTCTCTTGCCCGGCCATATCCCTTTGCCCTCTCTATCGACGTAATTTACTGTCTTCGTCCTCAATTCCACTGCAATAAAAGAAGTAACGTACCAACTGGATCGTACTTCATCATGCTCAATGGTCGATGAGTACGCGGTCGAACCAAGGTCTTGTAGTAACCCGTCAGGGCCATCGAGACTAGGCGGACCGAGATGGTCCTGGATTTGGCTGCAGGTTTTCTTAGTACGATGAGTACTTTGAAAGGAGACCGAGGATGATACATACGTTTCTTTGCCATTGCGTGCGGGCTTGGAGGTTGGATTGGCTTGTAGAAGAGGTGAGGTTCGTGATGCGATGCGCGGATGGGAGACTTTGTGGATGCCTTGTTTCTGAGGGTTGACGACAGGGTCTGGCGACGACTGTTCCCAAGCCCAAAGTCTTGCCTCTACATACATTCTATTCATTCTTATTTGTATCGCATTCGACTCCAGATATTCAAACTTGTGTGTCCGAGGACGCTTTATTATATTCACTTGCAAATGATAATGATGCAAACTTGTCGAACAGTGCAAAAGCGGAATGAACAAAACTTGAACACGTTGAGGTAAAATACAATCAGTAGAAGAGCTGATCCGGAACTAAGAGTACAGCAAAATAATCTCTCGAATCTCAAATCAATGCGTTTCGTGTTTACAAAAACCCGTCGTTCGCCATTTGCTCCCGCGTCCACTCCTCTAGTCTTTTGACTTCGTTCTCATCTTTACTAGCAGCGTTGGCTTCTTTTAAGCCCGCATACTCATCAAAATACCTCCCACTCATCTCTGGCAGAAAATAATCACTGGCTCCAACAAAAATACTACTCACACAGCCTTCCTGCACCGGTCGGATGACCTTGACCCATTTGAGTACATAGTAGAGCCAACTCAAATACCAGGGCGCATTATCTCGATTCTTCTCATTCAACTCGGTATCGATAAATCCAGGATGAAGAGAAGCCGTCCAGATCTCTCCCTTTCCTGCCTTTGCGCTTGGGCTTTCTGGTCCGTACGCATTGTTGAGAGATACCGAATGAAGGACATTTCCCAGCTTGGAAACGCCGTATCGACCAAATGGTCCGAATTTCTCGAGTGCGTCGTTACCATAGATGATTTTGTCGACGCTAAAGGATGACTTTTGATGTCCTTCACTGGATACGCAAACCACCCGTGAGGCGCCTTTTCCTTGTGAAAGTGATGTCGAAAGAAGAGTTGGTGTCAAATGATGGGCTAGAAGCCAATGAGCCAAGTAGTTTACTTGCCATTGGATTTCGTACCCGTCAGGTGTTGTCGAGAACGGAACGGCCATGACACCCGCGTTGAGTATCAAGCCATTGAGGGTTGCCTCCTGGGCTGTGAAAGTTTTCGCTGCCGCTACAATGGTTGCCAAGCGGCTGTTGTCCATGACAAGAGGAATCAATACTGCTTCCGGGTGTGTATCCTTTATTTTTTGGATTGCTCTCATCGCTTTCTCTTCCGACCGAGCACCGAGATAGACCTTGCCTCCTTTGGCGGCGAGGTTCAGACATGTTATGAAGCCAATTCCTGCATTTCCTCCTGTTACGATGAAAACTTTTCCTTCTTGCGATGGTAGCGAAGCTACTGTGAACATTTTGTCTCTTGAGTTGGGGGGAACTTCGAGTAGCGCTGGCGGCGAGTATTATGGGCTCCAAGTGTGCTTAAAAAGACTCCCGTCTGAAGTGGTTGGATTTCTTTCAGTTGGTGGTTTATGGACCAGTTTTGTTCGAGAGAAGGTAAATTCGAAGAGAGCATCAATACTTTCGATACTACTAAAATGTGTCCAAGGTGGTAGACTGCATTCTTATGTACAACAGGGTCCTGAATGGATCATGGTCTTCCTCTCCTCCACCCAAAGCTAGACGAGTCTCGACTGACATTATATTCCTAATTCGTTCAGCGTACAGGAAGGACTAGAATTTGCAAAGCCCCGTAATTAGTTTCATTTCTGAGCAACAACTTTCAATAGTGTTGGTTGTATCTTACATTTTTTAGATCAACTTCTAACTTCAACTGCAGGGGGGGTTGGTACAGTGCGCTAGTACGGAATAGGAAATAAATGTCAGCTCTTCGGATTGGTCAGCCAAGGTACACTACTGACTACCTCCTTTCAGTTCCCTACATCCTATATTTCAACATTTCTTACATTCTTGGGCCCCGTTTCCAAAGAGAGCCATAGGATCATATCACTGATTAGGAAATTTAAATAATCCCCGTCTAGTTGACTGTTGATCGATGAGGATGCCCACTATGCAGGCACGCCCGGAGATCTGGAGAAAGGACGACGATTGGAGTACAATTAAGGAACATGATGAAAGAAAAAAGCGCCAAAATCGACTCAATCAGCGAGCTTATAGAAAGAGAAACGAGAAAACAGAAGCTGATGATGGAAAACCCCGCCCATTTAAAGTTGAGCGTTTTCGAATCTCGGAACTGTCAACACCCTCGCGTGAGGATAAATCTCAGGAACAATTACTTCGAGCGGACAAGACTTTGAAAGAAAGAGATAACAATTCCCGTATCAAGACAGCAGTAGTGGCGAAGTTGGCTCCGGGGGCATCAACAACGCCATTGGTCGAGCTTGAAGTTGATTCTCAAGAACTATTTGAATCATTTCTGTCGGATCCTCCAGATATAACACCACTTTCCGCAGCAATCATTGCTTCGATCCGCTCCACAACTCCGCCTTGCATAGTTCAACCAATCGAGTTCCCTTTATCATCCGATCACTTGATACATCTCATCCACTACAACGTTTACCGGGCACTTATAACCAATAAGCAGCTCTTAAAATCCCGAACGTACTTAACAAAACTAGACAACCAACTAGTTTACCCGTCTCATCTCGACTTATGCGAAGGTCTCTCGTTTCTTCTACCAAAGGAACAAGCTTCCCTTCCTTCGAACCTGGAACCGACGGCAGTGCAGATGAATGTACCGCATTCATCATGGCTGAACATGTTTCCATATCCGAAAATTCGAGATAATCTTATTGCACGACAGTATCATTTCAATCAACTTGATCTGTGCAATGATCTTTGGGGAGAATGGTTCATAGCTGATCTTGGGAACTTGGTTACGCCAAGACAGCCGACTCCTGAGGACGACGACGATGTCACAGCTGGGAGAACCGGAATGATTGTCTGGGGTGATAGTTGGGATCCAGCAGGCTGGGAGGTTACCGAGGCGTTTGTGAGGAAATGGGCTTGGGTTGTGGAGGGTTGCGAGGAGATATTCGCTTCGACGAATGTTTGGAGGGCAAAGAGGGAGTTGGCACCACTTGATTTTTCGGCTCTTCGAGTGTCTTCGCCTGTGTCGGTCGAGAACTCTGAGTATGAAACACAGGTATCGACGGGTTCGTGGGAGGAGATTTTGGATTCTCAGCAGGGTGAAGTCTGGTCGTGTCCGAGATTGTCGGGGATGCCTACTCCCACGGATTAAAGGGAACCAGATGGCCGAGCAGCAGTGTTATTAGGACACTGAGCGACTACTTGGTGCTCGGGTAGTGGACAGTCCCACGTCTTTGGGGACAAAGAACAATCCGGCATCCAATTCTATGTCCCTCGCTATAGCTCGATGCTTCGATGGCGTTTTGGCACTATGTCAGGAACGAACTGTGGGTTGAAGTCTTCGGAAGCCAACGTATAGGTGTTTTGTTTCTAAATATTTGTACAAATGTTTACCACAACATCAAGATATATACGCACAGAAAAGCCATATCAACAGGCACAATACGGCAAAACTTGTTTGCAGCCAAGAAGCTGATGTTCGCTTTGAGATATATCGTCCTGTCTCCGGCACAACAGATTACTTGACCTGCCGGCAATTCTGCTCTCGGATAACAAGCAACCTTAACGAGTCCAACAAGCACCGAGCCTGTAACTACGATGCGACAACTCTTCATGCTTTTGAAGGCTACTACTCGGGACTTGCTATCGGAAACAACAATCAGAGCTAAGCTCACAGCGTTCAGAATGAATTAATTGAGTGTGATGACGACATATGTCGGGATCAGATTCGCATTTCAAGGAGTTCATGGTTGAGACTCAACACCATGGGCGTTCGACATCAAGAGTATCGCTTCCGCCAGAAGGTTGGATTGCTCAGTGCACCAGTGGATACTGTCCCTTTATCAGAGATCATCCGGGGTGTAAATTGCGGGCAATTTGTCTGTACTTTTGATTGGGTGGTAGCATACAAGCTCCTGGCACTACTTCTGTTTGTCTTTTGAGCTGTTTTTGGTTGTGTCCTTAGTTGTGTATGGTGGTTTGGGATGGAATCATGATGGGGAATTTATAATTTCATGTGTGACGGTTTGACGTCAGAGGGTTGTATTTCTTCAGCATAGAAGATGATCTTCAAGAAACATGTAATGACAAAATACCATTTTCAAACCCCTCCGTTATACCACTGCACCACAACCTATTTTAAAAGATGAATTTTCATTCTCACGCTAAAAGTCATTTACTTCACCTATCTATTACATTCAAGGTACGAACGTAAATAAACGAAGAGTTTCGGTATATGTAAGATCTAAGTATGTATATTTTTAATAATTTAAGGATGTGTGGAGAACAGGGTAGACTTAAGAATTTAACTAAAGATGAGAATTCAAATGAGTATACGAAATTAAATAAAGATGAGAATTCAAAGAAAAACAAGAATTGAAATAAATATAGTAAGATAAAAGAATTTAAATGAATACAATAATTCAAATAAACTCAATAATTCAAATAAATATCGTAATCTTAAGAAGTATGAGAACTAAGTTAGATATAAAAATGTAAGCAAATACAATAATTCAAATAAACACAAAAATTCAAGTAAACACAAAACTTCAAGTCAACATAAGAAATCAAGTCTAATATAAATAAACCTTAACAGAAAACGAAATCTTGTAACCAATACAACCACCGAAGTTTATACAGTAGCTCAAATCAACAACACAATTAAGTGGATATGAGAAAAAAAAGGAGAAGAAATGAAAAAAACACAAGCGAGTGTCACAGTATGATTACCTATCTTTAGTCATTTAATTCATTTCTTGTGAATGTGAATTGATGGAAAGGAAACTGTAGAAATATGAGAAAGTGTTGACGGTTGAGGACTGGCAATGGGAAGGATTGACGAGTGGTTAGGTGGTATTAAGTGTTTCAATTATTTCTCTAAATCGTAGATAAATCTCTTTCATAAATCTACTCTTTGCGTAGTGATTATCATTAATACGGCTAGATAACTCCAGTATCAAGATCACAAAATTGTTGAAACTTGAAACCCCACAGGACTTGAATCCATATTAATTACGGGTATATCTAAAATCCGCACCACAATCCCCGCACATCCGATCTACAACATCTCATCTACTCCTTCACAGTCTCCTTCTCCTCCACCTTCCTCTCCCCTAGACTCTCAACCTCCCCCTTTCCAAGGCCTAACTGTCTAGTGTCCCATCCGTTCTTCTCTAGATACTCTCTGAACCTGATATCCTCGAGCGTAATCGTATCCTGACCAATCTGCGGGATGAACCAGAACGCAATGATTGCACTAAAGATACACAGCGCACTGGAGACATAAAATGGATATTGCGCGGTGGCGTTCGTATCACTACCGCCCGCTTTCTCTATATACGGGAAAATATAGGTGCCGACGAACGCGCCGATTTTGCCTACCGCAGCAGCGATGGCGTAGTACTGGCCTCGTACGCCTGTCGCACATGTTTTGGAAGCAAGGAGACCGATGTTGTCGCCAGGACCGAGTTCGCCGAGGGAGAGGAAGATACCGTAGACGACTGCAAAGCCGCCGACATTACCGGGTTTGGCAAGGGTTGGGTAGAGACCGGCCATGAGGAAACCGACAAGACCTTGAAGGGTGACGCCGATGACGAGGGCGTAGCGTGGGCCGACGAAGTCGGAGAAGAGGGAGCCGAGCATGGCGCCGGGGATGTAGAAGAGGTTGATGACGGTGTTCCAGCCGAAGGATTGAGCGAGGGAGGCGGTTGAGGGGAGAATGTTGCTGAGGATTGTGGAGGAGAAGATACCGAAGGAGTAGGTTGAAAACTAGATTTTGTTAGATGATGTGATAGGGGTTTTGATTTTAGGGAGACCTACATCATAGATGAACCAGATTAGACTGACTACGAAGAGCCGTGGACCGTAGTATTTGAGAACAAGACCATATGGAATTTTGGCATTTTTCATGCTCTCCCTAAAAGCCTGTTAGTGCTGAATATTTTGGTTGGTGTAAATTTCTTACTTCTTAAATTCCTCAGGTTCCTTCAACTTAAGTCTCAACCACAAAAGAACCAATGGCGGAACAACGCCCAAACCAAGAGAAATTCTCCAGACCGCACGGAGATGATTATCACTACAGATAACAACCAACAAATACGGCACAAAAGCACCAATAACAAACCCCCAATCAATCATGACATTCGTAAAAAGAATAAACCATCTATTCCTCGACCCCGCCCTCAGTTCTCCCGTAGCTTCAGAACAAGCCACAGAACCAGCAGGATACTCTCCTCCGATTCCGATGCCGACCAGAAATCGGTACGCGGTGAGAGCAGCGAACATGCCTTGAAGTGAGCCACCACCGTACGCACCAGATCCAAGAGCTGCGAAGATGATGAGGATGACGGTGGAGAGAAGCAGCGAGTTCGATCGAGACCATTTATCGCTCGTATATCCGAAGATTAACATGCCGAAAACAGTCCCGGCGAATGTGATGGCAGAGATGTTCTTTTGCGCGCCAGATTCGGTGTATGCCTTTCCATAGAGCTTCTTTAAGATGGTGGAGACTGAACCGATGACCTGAGTATGTCAGAATGTATATTTTTGATTTAATCTTTTGAAGTCTTACGTTATTGATGTATCCATCTGAGAATAAGCCAGAACCGCACGCCATCGCAGGCCAGATCCTCTCCCATCTCGTCTTGGGGATTTCGGCCAGAGGATCGACATTCTGGGTGTAGGGTTCTGCTTCCGTCTCGGCGACGGGTTTCTTGCTTCCAAACATGGTGTGGAGATGGCGACGAGAAGTGCGCGACGTGTGGGAGGTGTCTGGGAGCTGACCAGAGGGTGAGGAGGAGGAAGAAAATAAAAATGTCGGCTTGCGCCGTTAGTTATGTACTTGACCGAAGGAGGGGAGGATTGGCCGAACGCCCCGCTGGGGTAGCTACCCTTGTCTAAGCTAGGTAGTCTAATGCTTGTACTTTCTGTGATATTGTGTTTGTGGGTGTCGAGACTCCAGTACCACCAGTAGTCCGGCAGCTTTACTGAATAGAGTAATAGTGCGATACGCTTTCTCGATGGCTTGAGCAAAGCATCGTGCATCGAACGTGGCATACAAGCCTTTGAAGCTTAACAGTTTGGACTAGTATCTACCTTCTTGTTCATATCCGATATTTCATTCACCTAAGCTGACGATGAATGAAAACCATTTTTACGGCCGTGGCCACTCCAAGTCTGCGGCAAGATATCCGTTGCGATCGATGTATCCGAAGCTGTGGACCATTGAGCTCTGGTCTACTGGTTCGTCATCGTGGAAAACAGGGTCTTTGAGCTAGAGCTGACAGCCAGAGATACGGAGACGGAGTGCTGGATCCTACACTGGACCAGGCCAGATTAGATACTAGGTCGCCTGGGTTGTCGTTACGTGTATGATCGCATCGAGAGAGCACGAGGAGATGAGAGTTATTTAGCTGCAGCAACATCCATCCGAATCATCTGTAGCATGCAACATGGTTACCTAGGTAGGTACTTGGGACTCACTTCGGGGTCTTGAAGGATCAAACAAAAGTTGGTACGACATGTCTACGCAGCATGCACAGGCCTCGTACCGATCAGAGACCGCTACGGCATCCCGCCCTCGTGGTCTCGTGCACTACTCCCCAACACCACTACGCCCCACCTCCACCTTTTCTTTCCCTCATTTTCTCAATATCATTCAGTAAAAAGAATCTCAGATGTCCGTTCCATACATAACTGCCAGCGCACCTCAATCATATCCGTGATAGCTCATTATCTCTAATCATCCTTCCCAGCCACATCCATCATCTCACGTCGCGATAAATGTCTAACGGCACATCAACCTCGGCGTCCAACCAAGCCCTGCCAAAAATGCTTGTTCAAAAGCTTGAACCAATGAAAAGGAAAAATAGCGGCATCCTACAAAGTACGTGCATGCCCAGCCGTGATAACCACTCGCCTACATATCCCGGCGTCGCATTCGGTGATCCCGAATCCTCGAAGGTAGAAGTGGACTTGAGACGCTCACCTCTTTGCGATACGGCGGGTTCGATTTGAGATGCACGATCAAATTCGTAGAATGGTGTAAATTTTGACCTGTTGTAGATACCTGTGATAACTTCATTGTACTGTAATGTGGCAAACCCGAAGTATATCCTGCTCTAGTACGAGAAATATCCGCGAGGCAAGAAGGCGATAGACTTTAGACAAAGAGGTGATTTGACACTCGAAGTCGAAGCCCATAACTCCTAGAACGCGATACTGTACCGAGAACATAGTAATCCTTCCAATCAGTGAAGTACCGCACGGATTCAACCCTGGTACACCATCTCCCATTGAGCGGCCCTGTATGCATTTCTGGAGTAACTTCAAGAGACGTATAGCGCCAATCTGGCATATCCAACTATATGCAGTCCTTAGTGAGTGGACGATCGCTGAACACCAGGAATATGCCCACGTGGGCATCACTCGCTCCATTGAGCCTAGGCCACACATTTGATCTCCAGAGGACCGCACATCAATGTTTCGCCAGCTCCTTCGCATACCTGCTGCGAAAGCATGCCTATAGACGGTCCGGATGAGTCTGAGTTGACATTGACCAAGACAAAGCTCGCTTAGTCCGTAGCAAATGAATCCCGAAATTCAACTCATAGCCATTTGTTTCGATGCCGGTTAGTATTTCGAACTTGGATGTCTGCTTCAAGCTCTCCAACATCTTCATCGAGTCCATCGAGTCTGATGAGTTTTACCACACGCAGATAGTGAGGTGCGGATTCAAGTGTAAGGCCCGAAAGAATTGCCACCATGGTCGTGATTGATCTCATGTATCGTAGAGCAGCCTTATGTACTTGCTCTTACACCATCTTTCAAATGTGTACCGCAATTAAAGAATCCCGCTGCCGTGTCGTCCACTTCAATTGAAGACCCTTTTCTTTGCTAAAGATGGCGTTTCCCGGAATGTCTGGATTGCCGGTTCCATCATCGGTAACCAAGATTTTGGCAAATTCTGCAACACAACCGCAAAATCCCTTTCCGCCGAGCCTTGAAGCCACCAAACCTGATTCAATTGCAGGATCATCATCAAGTGATAGCCAACTATTGCCAATGCTCTTGGGTCTTTCATTAACACCAATTCAACAAATCGTTTTGACACCAGTCCTGTAAATTTCAAAACATGCCTCGCAAAAGCTGCTCTGCTCAATTTGTTCAGATAATGAACAGAGGTTGTGTAGGCGTGTCGAGTCTCTTCGTCTAAGCTTGGCTCAGAAGAATCCCCAAGGCCATCGAGTAAGAAGTTGAACTTGTCGGGATCTTCCGGCTCCACCTGATTGATCTGCTCCGCAGTATTTTCGTATTTGATCAACGTCTGGATTTCGGGCGATCTAATGTGCTCCCAACAGAGATCTATCACACTTCTTATGCCATGCCAAGGTTGAAACCAATGCACTAGGGAGTTTTCATCGTAGCCAGCAGGTACAATTGATTCACTAGTGGCATGAAAGGCGATAAACGTGGAGGTTGCAAATACAACCTCAGCATTCTCACTTGTAATTCCTTTTGATACTTGGTTACTGTGCTCCGTGATTGCGCGAAGCATATGTGTGTGTGCGGCCTTGGTAAGAGATTTATCAGGGTCCGTAAGATGACGAAGGTGAAACGCCGAAAAAGCGAGTAAAGCTTCCATTAGATGCGGCGTTTCGACAGCCAGACTGATGATCCAGTTCGACCAGACGATCTTGGCGCCATTAACAGCGTACTTGTTTGCAGAATCCATCATGACGGCCTCCTCGCGGCGTGTCATGTCCATATAGTGATGGAAAAGCTTCATATCCAAAAGTCGATCCGATGGGATACTCATGCTGGGAGGAGGAGATGGAAAGTCCCGCTGGTGTCTTAGGTATGGCACTGTAAGAGCCAATTCCATTGGAGATGCACCCGGAGAAGTCGATTGAGACAGGGATTCATCGGTGCTTGGACTTGACACAGAACCCGTCCGGAGCGTCGGCGGTGTCATTTGCAATATTGACTTCATGGAAGCAACATTGCTGAGCAGTCCATAGTCACATAAAGCGCCTGATTTCATACAGCTGCCACATTTGGGATGAATTTCATCGCACTATTGATGTAAGGTTGTGATATCATTAACGGAACTGGGATTCTGTACAAACCTTCATCCTCCTCCCTTTACATCTCTTACAGCCCCGGCGACTTTTTGTATGAGCCCTTCTTGTTGACATGGCTTCGAATATTCGCGTCCACGAATACGAATATTACACTTTGGGATCTGTAGTAAAAGCGGGCGTATCCGGATTTTTTGATTAATCCCCGTCAGAATATCGAATCAAGCGTCTCCTCTGAAAGCAAAACCATTAATTCTGGAAGGGTTCTGTTGAGACATGCCGCTATTGTTCTCATCCACAAGAGCACAAGCAGTAGGTCTCAGAGGGTATTAGACGCGAGAGATGTAGGTGATGTCCAAACACAGACTGGGAAAGATTCAACCTAGAGAGATGAAAGCGTGTTGTTGAGTGAGAATAATCTTCGGGTCCGTAAGTCACTTGGCGACTCAGCCTCTGTGGCTACGTGGTGAGATAATTGAGTACGTCGTACCTAGGTAGCTTTATCTTACCGAGCTTTGATATTTGGAACGAAGAGCTTTCAAACAGGGCGTGATTTAGGGACATGGACTCTAGCAGCAATTGAATTGAAGACCAGATGGAGTTGAGGATTTCTCAAATTTGTTGATGTAAAAAGAGTCAAGATATTCACGGACCCGGAACCGAACATACATCCGACTCGGCGGTATGAATCTGTGCCGCACTACGGTTGCCATGTAATACGAGTACGAGGACAATTGCTTGCAAGCAGATAACGAAGGTTCTTATCAGCACGCATTTTCGCGTCTCGCGTCGGCTAAGTTGGTTCATCGTCGCGTCAGCATTGATTCAACTTCTAATCAATTCAAACCAGACAAGAATTCCGAAGAATATGGCTAGCCGAAGACACCTCGTCCAGCGATCGCGAAATACTCAGGAAGAAACAGATTCTCCTACAAGGACGCCACAGCGTAGTTCTCTGAGTGGTGCGCAGCGGCTGAATACAGAACTTCCACCATATGAACCGCTCGAATGTGCTCTTACGCCGTCGGCGCGAGAGCAGTTGGAGAGACTGAAGCATAGTCATGATCATGGCAAATACAAAAAACACATCAAGTCCTCAATTTTAGCTGTCACTGAAGCCGCAACCTCGAGCAATGACCGACTTTACGAGCGAAAAGCTATTGCCCTGAAAAAAGCAGAGAAGCGGGAAAAGGAGGGCAGAGAGGATGAAGAGCCGACGCAGGAGGAAAAGGAGGATGCGGACTATCTGAGAATATTGAACAGAAAAGTAAAAACAATGACTCAGGAAACAGAACAGGCATTGAGGGAGCTTATTGATTATGATGATGAGCTGGCTATGTTCACAAACCGGCTTGAAGTGGTCATTCAAGCTCTTGGAAACGCCCCTGCTCCCCAACACACCGGACGACGACCAAGAGTTAATGCTGATGGAGAGGGTGACTCCGATGATCCAGAAGATCAAGAGCCGGAAGAAGCTGTGCCTGTGATTGCCCCATCAGATATTTACAAGAGGGCTCTTACAGAGTACGAGAGGGAATACCGCTCAAAGTCAATGAGGGCCAGGTATGTTAAAGTTTCGTTGCATCTTAGTTGTTATGCTTATCACTGTTCAGATATGATATCAATGACTATAAGAACTTCAAAAGAGTCGTTCATGATGCGCAACACCCCGAGGAAAATGCACCACCTGTACCTCATGCGAATACTTGGTTTCCAGAAGAAAATGCTAGACCCAACGGCAACGGTGGTGGGGATGAATCTAGTGACGACGAGATTGAGATTGCATCTGCAACGGCAAATCTAAAGGATCTCTTCACAATGCAATATTTCAAAGAGCCATGGACCAGCAAAACCTGCGGCCATACCTTTGAGAGATCGGCGTTTCTTGACTATCTTCAGACGAGTGGGACTGATTGGCAAGAACCTCCTCCATCTAGACGTCGGGTTAGAAAGGTCAAGTGTCCACAAACAGGTTGTGATCAGGTAAGATTCAGATCCTCTTGGTTCAACACCTACTAAGGGTCTCTAGATGCTTGTACCAGAAGACTTTTCGCTTGACAAGGTTATTATGCGACAAGTGAAACGTGCCCAAGAAATTGAAGCCAGGGGTGAGGATCCAGATGAAGATGACGATGAAGACGCAGCTCCTCGTGGGACACAATCTACGCGTCCGCAGGAGCTTGAAAGCGATGATGATGATGAGGAAGAGGATGTTCCTGCGCGAGTTTCACGCGTCAAACAAGAACGGGCGACAAGCCGCGCTCCAATGGGTGGCCGTGGGAGACCTGCTGACGATTCAGATATTGAGATGGACGACTGAATTCAATTGATTTAATCACCATTTCCTCTGATTTAATGTGCTTATCTTGTGCCTAAATTTGTGTCACTACCGCGTCGTGACTACAAACGGGTTCGATGGGTTCTTCTTGTAAGTAACAGCCTACAGACTGTCAGTCATCTTGACTCTCCTTCGAATCATGGCCTTATCCACTTGTCGAAGACAACTAATGACCATACTTCTTCTGCCTGTCCCGTTTCGTCTCTTTTGTCGTGGGACGTCGTACAGCAGTCGAAGTTCGTCCTTCGTCGTATTACAATATTTGAGGGAGGTACGACTCTGAGGTATTTACCACATCGCATAGACTACACCAACATCCCCGAAACCTTCATCCTTCACTAGAGCAAGCAAGCCTCCTAAGATTTTCAGCTCCACTGTCTCTCCTTCGAAAATGGGTTCAGTCCAAACCCTTGACCTCGAACAACTTCGAGCTAGGCTCTCCGAGACAGCAGAGATCGTGACGAAGGACGACTCTCCGCCGGAGTTGTATCAAAAGAGTATTGCAAGATGGTCTGAGTCCAGCGTAAGAAAGGGTGTGCGTATGACATTACCAGGTTATGCAGGCCCAATAGCTGATGGTAGGATAGAGTATTATAATCTTCCCGGCGACAGTCGAGGATGTCTGTGTGGCCGTGGAATACAGCGCTGCCAGTGGTCTTGAGGTTGCTGTTGTACGTGATCACCTTTTCGTTCTTATTTATTATGATTCCACGCTGTTTGCTAACACTTCTAGGTCGGCGGACGTCACTCAACCAGTGGTTCTTCATCTAGTGAAGGCGGAATCCATATTGATTTGGCCAAAATGAGAGCAGTTACTGTTGATCCTACAAATAAAACAGTCACGGCCCAAGGAGGTTGTCGATGGGAAGACGTAGACACTGCACTTGCAAACCACCAACTAGCTACCGTTGGCGGTACTGTCAACGACACTGGTATTGGCGGTCTTACTCTTGGTGGCGGTTACGGACATCTTATGGGACAATACGGTTTGGTAATTGACAATCTGCTAGAGGCAGAAGTTGTGCTCGCCGACGGGAGCGTACAAAAGTGCTCTGAGTCTGAAAACGAGGATCTCTTCTGGGCGATCCGAGGAGCTGGTGCTAGTTTTGGAGTAGCGACTTCTTTGACCTACCAGGCATATGATCAGAAAAATGATACTTGGGCAGGCCTTCTCTTCTTCCCCAGGGAGCGGGTCAGAGACGTGTTTACCGCTGCCAATCACCTGCTTGATATCGGGGATGGGCGATGCACCCTGCTTCCTGCATATGGAACTCCTCCGCCATCATTCGAAGTCATTATTTTAGTCGCTGTTTTCTTCAATGGGCCTCAAGAAGAGGCTGAGACCTTTCTGGAGCCGCTTCTTTCGCTTAATCCTTTCCTCAATACAACTGCATCGGTTCCTTATGATAATTGTAACAGCTTGCTGAACCATGTGCTTGGGCCCGGATTCAGACGGAGTTTCAAGGGTTCATCGATACTTGTGCCGGTCGCTGTCGACTTTGCAGAAGAGATCTTGAGAGACTTCGAGGAGTTTGTGGCTAGAGTCCCGGATGCGAAAGCGAGTGTTGTTATTTTCGAGTATTTTCCATATAAGAAAATGATGGAGGTAGGGCCAGCCCCCATACTTGTTTTCACACTGCCCTTGTCATTGTTGCTGATGAGATCGCTTAGGTTTCTCAAACATCAACCGCATTCGCGAACCGTGGTGCAATCGTGGGCATTATTCTTGCACCGGGCTGGACTGACCCTAAAAACGATTCAGTCTGTAGAGAATGGACGAGGACTATGTATGCGAAGACTCGGGCCGATAGACTGAGAAAGATGTCTGAGGGCAATGTGGATAGTCTTACGAAGACTACTGTTGGAGAATACATGAATCATGACGGTATTAGCATCATCACTTCTGTCCTTTCTTTGCTAATGATCGATTAGGCCTGGGTGCTGGCCCAAAAGTTTTATACGGCGTCAATTACGATAGATTGGTTGAGTTGAAGAAGAAGTATGATCCTAAGCGTCTTTTTGGTAACGGGCCAAATTCGATCATATGAACGATGTAAGCGGCAGGTGTTTTTGAAATCTGTTCCGAGGAAAACGCTTTTCAATTCCATTCTTCGGTCACTAAATGCACGCTCATTATCAATCCACCACCATTAATATATACAAAGCTGCAAATCTACAAAACCTTAACCACAGTAGTTCCAGGTTTCCCCTTAACACCACCCTTCAAAGCCAAAGCCCAGCCTTCCTGAACACCCTTCTCACTCAACCCTTCCACAACATTACTAACACTAGCCTTAATGACCCCCTTCTCATACAACCCCGCCACCTCCCCAAGTAAATCCCCATCCCCGTCCACAATAAAAAAGAACCCATCCCCCCTCTTCTCCACCTCATCCCACCCCTTAACCCCCGAAATCGCCGGCGGCGGACTCCCAATCGTCACGATCTTCCCTCCGTTCCTAACAAGCGGAATAGCAACCTCCAAAGTCTTCTTCCCAACACAATCAAAAATCACATCTACCTCCCCCAAATTTTTCACCAAATCCACCCAATTCGGCTCCTCTCGATAATTAAACACCGCATCCGCACCTAAACTCTTCAACTCCGCCGTCCCTTCTCCACCCATCGCAATGACTTTCCCGCTCGCACCAACCCAATGCCGGATACACTGCACGCCCATCCTGCCCACCGCCCCGGTAGCACCAAGAACAAGCACTTTACTCCCCTCCCTCACCACGCCCCCATTCCGTACCCGTAACCCCTCAAACACCGTCAACCCAGCTCGCCCGAGGCTCGCCGCCTCCACAAACCCCATTCCCTCCGGGATCTTCGCGAGATACTTCTCCTCCGCGACGGTATACTCCGCCAACCCCCCTTGCCCATAAAAACCAAGGAGGCCGAATACTCTATCCCCGATTTGGAAGCCAGAGTCTTCAGGGGCGGAGACTACGACGCCGGCGATGTCGTGGCATGGGATACGCGGTTCTGTGGCGGAGGGAGGGTATTCCCAGGATAGTTCGTAGGGGGTGATGGCTGTGGCGTGGATGCGGATGAGGAGTTGGGTTGGGGAGGGGACGGGGAGGGGGTGCGTGGGGTTGTAGGTTAAGTCGGTGGTTGAGGCTACTGTGGAGGAAGACCAGGAGGGGACTTTGAGGAGGTTTATTGCGTGCATTGTTGACATGGTGTGAGGTTGGTGGTGTGTTTACGGGTTGTTATTTGGATGTTTGGATGCTTGTTAGATGGTTGGATGCTTAGATGGGTAATGCTGTGATGTTGTAGGTTGATGAGTTATTGAATTGAGATAGGTGTCTTGACTTATATACATCCTCTCACCAACCTCACATCTTTCGAGTCCTTCAACTCATATGCACATCTCGATATCCTACTTACTCATCCTTCTATATCCTGCTCAACTCATCAACTCACATGAATCCTTCCCATGCTGTAGAACCGTCATTTCAGGTTTGTATTGCTGCCACAGAGGGCATTCTCCGCGGAGCCTCAGTGCTTAATTGCACTGTCAGCAGGTAAGCACTTTGTCTTGGTGTTGAGTGGAACCTGAGCCAAAGTCGTCGGACGAGTATGTGGTAATTGGTCGGGAATGCATAGGCTATGTGAAATACGCGAAGCGGATACTGGGACTTGGCGGGAGGAAGAAATCTGGATATTCTATACCATGGGATGAGTAAGAACAGCAGCATATGTGTGCATTTCATTTATTCCGTAGAAATTGGTTGCAGATTCTTGAGAAAGCATTTCATTAATCGACAGTTGATTCATTTCTAAAGAAGTTCTATTCTTTTAGGTGTGGATTATATATGTGCTTCGATCGTCCTGACCTGCAAGTTTGAGCTCCTTTTCATTCTTTTCGATGCGAACTTTTACATTCGTGGTATATAAAGATTCCCAGAAATGACGCTAGACTGTGAATTAAGTACTCCAAGTATAGGTAAGAAAATGGAGTATACTAAACAAACTTTCACCTACATAGTTGGCGAGATTGGTATTGAGTGTTACACTCATAAAACACTTGCTTACTCAGGGGCGTCGGGTGTAAGAGAGCATTTCTAATGAAAATTTAAGATATCATACCTCGTCTCTCTTACCGTTGAAACTACCCTCTTTCTTCATGACCGCGTAGTGCCTCGCCTCCCACATTAGATCAGCCCTTCCTGTTCAAACACTTCATGGGTATTCCTTCACCATTCTTCTTCCGCGAACCTACTACTACTCCCCCCTCCCCTGCCATGCCGCCCACCACTCTTATGTTCCCCTCTCTTCTTCAACACATCTCTATGCTCGACCCTCACATCCCACTCAGGCCACTTCATTCTCGCCAGCTCCTCAACCATAGCAACACTTCTATGTCGTCCCATCTGGCAGAATATGCCAACCCTTAGTTCCTGGACGGAAGCTTGCTTAGTTTCGGATGGCGCGGACCCACTGGAGCTTATTTCATCTTCACTTCCCTCGGATTGCTCTTCTTCGAGATCTTGCACCTGCGTCGCATCTGTGCCTTCGTCCTTTGTGTCTTCGATTTCGGCTTCCGAGCTGGCACTCTTCTCCTCGTCCTGTACCTGCTCGGATTCTTTCATCGCCTCTAATATGTGCAGTCTAATCGCATCGCGTCTCGCAATGAACCCCTCATCACGACTCAACCACTCCCTTAACCGTTTCGACGTCCCAGTATGCGCATCCCTAATATACTTGGGTGGATTCGACAGCGCTCTCAAATCGAAGCTCAAGTTCGCAGGCGGATTTAGCGGCGGGGAATGCGAATGAGAAATCAACACCAGAGTTGAACACCTTGAACTTGGCAATTCGTTCTGTACGAATTCATCCTCTTCGCCAAGAAGCTGCCCAGGCAAAGAAGATTGATTTCCAACATCCATTGCTCGGCCCACGGTCCAGACGCTTCGCAACATCGGCAGCACCGCCCAAAAGAGAAGAAAATAAAGGGTTCTTGTCCAACCGAGGGCTCGGCAGCGCTAGCCAAGTCACGCTTCATTGGTTACACATGCGCAATCAGCGTATCCGTATTCTCCAACCAATAGAAATGTTTACCCCAAGAAATTTCGTATTCATGATTTATATTTCCAGCAATCACGTCCCAGCGAGTACGCGACCCAGCGTCCCAAAGGAGAGGATTCCGAGGGGGGTAGAATTGCGAGATCTTGGGTCGTAGATAATGGGGATGTGTTTCTTTCTGTTGTGACATCTTCTTCTCTGTGTTGTGTTTTTGGATATTCTTGTGTTTTGAGCTATGTTGTCTATCTTGTTGAACGCCGGGTACTCGTTACTGGAAGAGCGCGCGAAGGCAAAGTGTACAAAGGAGACTTGTCCGTTGTCTCTCTCGGTTAGTTGATTTCTTTGGGTGACATGTATACAGCCGGAGTTGAATTTCAGAGCTCTTGAATCAGTCTCTGTTCATATCTCGGAGTGGAACCGTTGTCTTCGTATACCAGGCCGCAAGCTAATCATTTCCCCCCAGGTATACGGATACCTCCCAAACAAAGGCGCAACCTACTTCTTTCTCGTCGCATTCGCTCTATCATGTATCGCGCATATTTACCAAGGTGTCCGATCGCGGTCATGGACTTTTATGATTGCCTTTGGGGTTGGTGCATTCGGTGAAGCTGCTGGTAAGTCCATATACTGGTTATTCTCTGCTCCAGCAGATTACTGACTGTAACAGGTTATGTTGGACGGCTTCTACTTCGAAACGACCCATTCAGTCGAACCAAGTAAGGACTTTTCTATAATACTCGACAAGCTTTCGACTAACTCTATTGAAAGTCTTACGATTGTGCTTGTTCCTGGAACTGTAGCGCCTGCGTTTCTGGCCGGGGGGATATACTTGACTTTGAAACATATGTGAGTATACCCTATTCCACACCCACAAGAAATACCACCACTAACCCCCCCAGTATCATAATCTACGGCCGCAAATTCTCCCGCCTCGCACCCAGACTCTACACCTGGATCTTTATCTTCGCAGACATAGCCTCCATCGTAATCCAATCGTTCGTCTCCCCTCCACATTCCCCCACCTCCCCCCTAACATCTCTAGTCTCGGCGCCGTAATCGCCTCCCGCTCCACCAAAGTGTCTCCGGTGGGCAACAACATCATGATGGTCGGTCTCTGCTCGCAAGTCTTCACGCTCCTAATCTTCGGTCTCCTCTCGCTCGACGTATTCCTCAAAATCCGCTCTTTCCAGGGGCAATGGAACGAATCCACGCTCGCGCTCCGCAACTCGTCGAAATTCAAGGGCCTGCTCGCCGCAATTGTAACCGCGTACGTGACGATTACGATTCGTTGTATCTACCGAATCGCGGAAATGGCCGGCGGGTGGCGGAATCCGATTATGCAGGATGAGATTGCGTTTATTGTGCTCGATAGCGTGATGTGTATTGTGGCGTGTTTGGTGGTTAATGTGTGGCATCCTGGGTTTTTGTTTCAGCAGAGTTATGCTACTACGAAGGCGGAGAGGGCGGGGGCTGTGGATGGGGAGATGGTTGAGAGGGCGTAGATTTGAGTTTGATGTTCGTGGACAGATGGGGTAGTATTTACAGGAAGGTAGAGATTAGACGAGTGCACATATATCATTTTCGTATTACTATATACTTAGAACTTCCCTCATGTCAAATTTCATGACCTCCTAGGCTCACTATCCAAACTCTACGTCAGTTCAAGAAGAATCACTTGAGGTTTTCCTAGGGAGCTCCGAGCTTGTAATCTCATATCACTCGCAAAGAAGTCAGTAAGTGGAAAGTGGACGCCCTAATAATCTTCTAAAAATAAGAGAGGAAGAACGACTGACCTTGAATTCACAGAATCGACGACCATATCTCATTCATAGACGCGAAGTTTCTCGAGGACTACATAGCCAAAGAGTTACACCGTGACGAGACGATTAGGCGAAGCGAATTTCTCATGAGCTCAAGACACTAGGTAGAATTATATGTACAAGAAGACTATTTCATATATCTATCACTCTACACCTCCAAACATCCCACAAACGCCATCCATATACCGGGTATCCCAACATATCTAACCCCCCAAACCCAAACCCAAACTCGCAAATCCATAACCAAAATCCAACCTCTACCCCCTCGGCGGACTCGAATCCTTCATGTACTCAGCATACAACTCCCCATCCCTCACACTCGGGGCCCTACTCCGACTACTCACCCGCGGCGGCAACCTCCCAGCCTGGTCCACACTCCCGCCCCTCCTCGACCCCGTCGGCGTCCCACTCTCACTCCTCGCCAACCTCATCCTCTCCACCGCAAACTCATCCACCATGCCCCCAACATGCACATCCCTCCGTCCAAACCTGACTTTCTCCTCAATCGGCACGAGGATGATCATCCAGACGCCCACGCGATCATCACTGCCTAGCAGCGGCGTACAGCGGATCCATCTCGGTCGCACCTCCTGACCGGCACGCCGCTCCCCAGATTGCGCGTTTTTCGGGAGCCAGAGCACTTTGGCGGTTACGGCGGCGCCGTCGCGGAAGGCGTCTTGGAGGGCGGAGATGGTGGCGGCGGGGCCGCCGAGTTTGGAGAAGAGATGGGTGCGTAGGAGGCCGGGGATGCGGAGGGATGGGGAGACGAAGGTTATTTGGAGGGAGGGGGCGGGGCGGACGAGGAGGTACTAAGAGATGTTAGATGATGAAAAGTGGTTGGGTCAAGGGATTAGACTTACGTGCTGATAGGCGCCTGGGAGGGAGTGGTGCTGCGAAGTACTCAAGTTAACTTGTGACAGATTCAAGCCCTCGCCTAACATCTCGTCTGCTCCTATAATCCTCTTCGCGCGGTTTCTATATTTGACGCTTGTTGGGACGCCTGAGCGGATGGAACTCGTGTCGGTAGAGTCGTCACTACGGCCCATCTTGGATACTACTTCCATCTCGTCGTGGCTGAACATCTGGGTTAGTTCCTGTAATCTGTCGAGTGTGTCTTTGACGCGCTTAGATTGAGTGGTGTCGTATGAACGTCGATCTGTTTCTTGTTCTGGCTTCTGGAGAAGAGAGCGGAAGGACTCGATGCCCATGCCTTCTGAAATAAGCCCTGTAACGTCTATCTGCGCGCCGATGAAGTAGCGGATGGTGCCGCGGTCATCGTAGAGGGGAGCGCACATTAGGAGATTGATGAATGGTGTTCCATCTCTGCGGCTGTTTTTATCAGTACTTGTGGTATACGATAGAAGGAAGGTCCTTACTAGTTGAGTAAGAGTTCGTTACATTCTCTTCCAAGCGAGACGGCTCGTGTTATCCTCATGGTGGTATTCTTGTCAGTTGCTGGACCTTGGAGAAATCGACAGTTTCGATTAATTGCGTAGGTGGTGCCATATTGGGTGGTTTTGTGAAATTCTATGATAATTTTAGTACACCAGAATCTAATTGATAACAGATAAAGTCTCTGTGGTAAATTGGGGTGTGGCTATGTTAAGTCTTCGAGGAACTGGTGTGTATAAACGACTATAGGAACACTCGGCTTTAAGAACTCCAGCGAACTCAAAGAGAGGCACATTTGGGCCGCCAGCTCAACATTGGATATTCGAGCAGATCGGAACTCTTGGGAGAAAGGGGAACAATGATAACTGGAAAGCCCAAAATAATGGGGAACATTTTAACAAAAGCAAAATAACTGACCTTCTGAAGCATAAATGATTGGATTATCATGTAACGAAGGATCCGTAAGACAAAACACCTCCGCCAAACTTCCCACAAGATCCCTCACTACGGGTATGACCTGTCCAGAAATATCCTTGATTATACAATCCGCAACAACATCCACCACCGTATGCGTAACAAAAGCAGGCAACGCTTCAGAGCATAACAAGAGTAATTCTCTCGCAGCGTAGTCTTCGAATCGTACATCTACCGCACCCGCTTGTATGCGACTGAACTTCGCAGTGTCGGTATGTGAAGGCCATCTGATCCTCCTTGCTACCGCGTTGGCGAACTCGATTGCTTTTACAGCTTTCCTCATCTCCAGGTATCGAATGAGGGTCGGGACCATGTGTGAGTAGTATTGGTTCAAGAAAGCCGAGAACCTAGAAAAGAGAGCTTGATCATCTAGAATAAAGTTCAGGTGTTCAGTAGACATCAGCCGCGCCATCACATCCTCAATCTTAACATGCTTCGAATCCGGCGCTGGCGGGTGTAAGTCGAAGAAGGTTGACTCGTCAGCGTCAGGCTGTCGAACAGCGGCTGTCCTTCCGGAATCAGAACTATTCTCGTCGTCCATGGTGCGCAAAAGGAAATCCTCGTGGATCTTGAAATCGAAATTCGAGATTGGAGGGCTGGGAAGACGTGAAAATGGTGGAGGGGAATGGATAGTAGGACTACTATCACCACGGGAAGACTCCATTGGAAATTAGAAAATTGGTAAAGATGGAAAACATGGCTACACCCGAACGTATATACTCTTGCGTCAGAATTCATTTAATCCTCCGAACGAATACATGATGGGATTTTTTCTGCTCTCGGACCTGATGGCAGATGAGGCGCGAGTGTGCAAAGTAAGATATGCCAACAGATTGAAGTTGGCAATGCGGGCCATAGACCCCTCCACTGATCAGGTTCAAGCATCTAACATCCTCCGAAAGCCCCTCATCGAAAGGTACTTGGGCATGCTGGTGAAACGATAATATGACCTCTCCGCACCCGTCACTGGAATGTCGGTCCAACGGCTGTGGGTTCCCCGAATATATCATTTTCTAGCTACAGCCCAAAAACCAGGGCGTCTCGAATATTGCTGCATGTGGAAGAAGCCTTACCGGAAGAGTGATATGCTCCGAATCTGCAAGGCGAATAAAATTCAACGGTCGATGGTTGATGAAGTGGGATCTGCTTAGATCTCATCTATCGCACAGAAGCTGCGTATCATTGACGAATTGAAAAACAGGCCAGAAAGCTTCGTAAAGCGAGTCGAACCATATGGTTTGTGCCAACTCTACTAGCCAGGATGGATCTGGTTTCATCGGTCAAAGCACTGACGATTATCTTGATAGGAAATTCACTTACCGAGATCCAGATGAGTTTTGCTCCAAACAATCATACTCTCCAACGGGCTTCCGTTCCAGTTCTTTTCAATATTTGGAGATGGGTTTCATCAGCCGTACAATCGAATCTCATAAAAATCTCCTACAATCCACCAAGGCTTCCACGATCATTCCGGAAAACAATCGAGCAGGGATATAGAACGCCCACTTTGCAAAACCCGGTTTGACAAACCTGGAGAGCCCTGCTCATGATGTGAGAAACATCATGTTGTCATCAAGAAGCGCAGTGCTCGAAGGCCGTGCTCATCTGAAGCATATCCTCCGGTTGGCTCGAGTCTCGTCTGTATATAAGCTGACGCCGCCGAGCAGGATTCTTCCGATGGCAGAGAAATGATGATGTCGGAGCATCTTTTGATCGTTGAACAAGCGCAATGAATCGAGGCCGCGGTCCAGACAATGCAGGCGTTCGTGGAAGAGACATCGACCATTCCCAGTGCTTCCGTCCCTGCAGCCTCTCGGGTCCTCGCCATGTTGTCCTCGATGTTGAAACATGAAGGGATCTTCAAGAGAACTCCTTGTGGAGGTTAGTCTCCGTCGCTTAAAATCTGTCGGGTCTGGGTGGATTTCGTTCACGTGGCAGGAGTTGGGTCTCCACTTAGTGATGGGAATTCCAGAAGAAGATAAATTATTTCTTGATGAGCACTTAAATATACTTTTCAACTTCATAATTCACGCTTGGCATCTGAAGTCGAGATTGTGCTATATTCCGGGTTGATAATGGGAAATTGCAGGCTTGTTGCTTCAAATAAAGTATGCGAAAGTGACTAAATCCTATTGCTTGGTCGATTATGAAGACGACTACAAGTATCCATAAATTGCTGGACCAAAATCTTCATAAGATTACCTTTCTATGAAGCGGCTGCTATACTTGAAGATATTATACCTCATCGTCATTGAGAGATCTTGGAGACGATTTCGGAGATTTGCATCCCCTGTAGAACGCGATCTACAATGTACGTCTGCTAATAACTCAGGGAATTTGATAAGACCGAGGGTGGGGCATCAACTCAACCAGAAAGATAGCAACAGAGAGTAAACATAAACATCAACATCACAATTTCATATAAACAACTGTGAGCAGGTGAGATAACACTCAAGTAGCCAACCACATCCAAACCCGAGAGTTTTCTTGACCACATGTCCATCCCAACGGCATATAGAAGACCCTATCAACAAGCTCTATGATATCTTTCTACCAAACGCCCCTTTATGACTCCGAATATTCGAAACTGATCGTTAAAAATATGGCTGTCTATCTGAACTCATCCATGAACTCGGAATGGAACTTTGTGATTCTGCCGACCCACTCGGTACCAGGCGCAAGGAAAGTGGTTCTGAAATGAAGGGTGTTCTCCTTCTGACCAAATCCCGAACCGGCGACAACGCAGACTCCGGTGGCATCGAGCAAGCGGAAAGCGTAGAACTCGTCAGGTTTGCGACCTTCCTTCTTTGCGGCTTCCACGGCTTTATCCGAGAGGGTTATGGTTGGGAAAAGGTACATGGAGCCCTAAAAAATTAGCATGTTGAAATCCGATGAAGGTAAGACACGTACTTGAGGCTTGCCACATTCGACGCCCTCCATCTTCTGGAAGGCATCGTACAGAGCGGTGGCTCTTGTTTGGAGGCCAGCAAAGATACCATCGTACTCTTTCTTGTACAATTCATAACTTGGCTCACCCTCATTTGGTGGGTTGACCATCATTTCCACCAAACATTGCCCGATGACTGGGGCACACAAGCTGATAGAAACGAACTTGTAAATTTGCTCCTGAACCTCAGGGTCGAATCCACAAAGTTCAAAGTAACCACCTCTGTGTCCACACTCTCCTACCATACCCTTGGAAATACTATGTAATGAAGCAAGCTCGACGTTCTTGTACTTCTCTGAGTCTGCTTTTTGCATGTTTCTCAGAACACCTTTGAAGCTGTGAAACTTTCCAACAAAGACGTTGGTCTGGTAAACCTCATCTGCCATAATCACAAGCTTCTTCTCCGCGGCAAAATCGATAATAGTCTTCACATCATCCTCCGATAAGCTCGCACCGGTTGGGTTTCCAGGGTTGATTATGACGATAGCTCTGACATCAATTCCCTCTGCCACCGCCTTTTCATATGCACCCTTAACGGCTTCGAGGTCCGTTCCCCAATCCTTGGACTCGTCGAGATAGTATGGAACGCATTTCGAATCAAGAACCGACAGCGATGCAGTATATAGAGGGTATTGTGGGATAGGAACCAAGACACCGGTCTTAGGGGTTGCGCAAATTACGTGAAGAAGGGTGTTGACACCAGAGGAGGCACCGGCGGAAAGGTAGATGTCCTTAGGGTCTGCGGAGTGGCCGTCTCGTCCTAATCAAAGGTGTGTTAGCAAAATCCAAAATCCTCCAGGAGCCGCGACTTACGCTCAATAAACTTTGCAACGCTGTCCTTGATCCCGGGCGCACCAGCACTCGCACTGTAGGCGCCTACAGAGCCAACAGTCTTCAGTAGCCACTTCGCCCTCGCAATGACATCGCTCTTGTATCCAAGCTGATTGAGCAGCACATCTTCCTTTTCCAACAGCGGCGGGTACTCCACCAAACTCAACACTTGTCTGAAGAAGGTAATTGGCTTCTGGTCCAATTGTTGAGGGTTGCCAATGTTGGCAGATATGACTTTGTCAAATGGAAGCTTGTCGGTAGGGCCATTTGCGAGCGCGGCTCTGTACTCCTCGGATCGAACAGCAAGTTCTCCTCTCACAGCATATTTTGCTTCCTTGACGTGGGGGTTGATGTTGTTGATGTTAAGACTTCGAAGGGTAGTAGTGGTCGACATGGTGCGAAGTGGCGTGTAGTTTGAACTGCGAACAGAGAGAAGAGAATGGGTTTCTGCAAAAGAATAAGAATAAGAATATATGTTTTAAGAACCTTCAGCATCCACGCAGAATGAGGGATATAAAATATTTTTCAGAAATAAGAAACAAAAGTTGCCAAACGAAAACCGCCCAACGCATGACCCCACCATACCCTACATGCAGGCCCGTATCTGGCCGACACCGGGTGGATTCTGTGAGTCCAACCCCATGCTGGCAATCATGAGAGGAGCAATTGGAGAAGAAGAAAAAATCCCACATACCTGAAGTTCTTGCTGTCCACGGGCAAGAAAAGAAATTATGTGAAGAGCGGGAGCTGGTCGATATATGGCGCGCTGAGATGTGAACTCCACGACCCCTCGACCCTCTCACCGATAAAGACCATGATAATGATAATGACGCATGGAGAGAAGCCATGGGCTTGACCTCGGCGCGGAAGACGCCAAATCAATTAGGTACAGAGCTTGCCGCGCTGGCACTGACTAACTCCTCGCAACGATTTTGGTTGATCCGGTATGGAGTGTAAACAGGACTTCGTGGAGCGTGATTGGAAGTGGGATTTAAATCGTGTTGAGGTTGTCACGTCTCACCGCCAGCTTGATGTTTGACAAGTAAATAGAAGGAAAGGAGGTTCTGAGTTGGCCGGATACAAGAAAACACAATATCCGGCCCAAAATGGGAAATCGCAATGGTGGTAACCTTACAAACGAGACGTTGGGTGAAATAATGATTGCCTTGGTTGGGATGGGGAGAGAGTTTCAATGAGGATGATCGGGATATCAAGTCGCACAAGCCCCTTGCACTTCTACAGTAGGAGTAGCGGCGATAAGCATTTCCCCGACATGGATCATCAATTTGAAGAACACATTCACTGGCTTTTGAACCTTCTATCATCCTCTAATAGTCTACCTTTCAGTTATTCTGAGGATCTGAGGATCCTTTGTCAAGGCTTCAATATCTTCCAACTCCTTTTTAGACTTGTGCTGGTTCTTTGCGTATTGTCATACTCCCCGAATATACCACAAGCCAATGTTATCAGAATGTTCTTAAGGTTCTTGGTATTGATACACCCATCCTACTGGTGCTAGCTAACGATTCAACAGACGCTTTGTAACCCTTAAAATACTGTGCAATCTATATTTGAGCGCCTCCTTCCGCGTCTTTGCCGCAACAGCGTTGTCTACAACCATATCCACGTCTGGGTCCTCTCGAATGCCACCAGGATCCAGTCGTCTTATGAATTTGATATCCAAATGCTTCATCTCCTTGTAGTATGGGAACTTGGCGCGCCAGTACCGCCTAGTGAGTTCAACGCGAGAGTGCACCGGAAAACATCCCGTTCGCTCATCCCAAACCACACACCACCTGTTGATGTCCGCTGACTTGATTACCGGCCAACTATGCTTTCGATCGACGGTTAACTCTTCGTCTAGGCTGTCCATACAGTGACAATCTGCATTCTCAAGGGATACAGGCAAGCCGGTCAACGTATCACCTCCGTCGTCGCCATCGTCAGACACCCGGGCAATATAGAAAGTCTTCAACGAAGGAAAGCAGGAGAGGAAGCGAGGTAAAGGCTCGAATCGGCAAGCATCGCGGCAGGCATCTGTGGAACAAGCGCATTGATTCCTTGTGACTCCGTAGCTACTAAATTCTCCGCCAGGATCTGAGCGATGACCGCGAGCAAACGATCGTATCGATATACCGACGTGCTCCATCCCCATGAAGGCATCTGGTACGCGATTTTGGAGTTGTGAGATCTTAAACACAGCTTCCTGGTCTTCCCACGTTGCGTCTTGGAAGACGATAATATCCCGAGCGCCATTGTAATGAAGAATGTACTCAGGATAGTTCGAGCCGTCAGCAGGTTCGTCCAAATCGGCGTTGGCTTCTGGATTAGTCCAGCAAACCGGCAGCCGCCTGAATGGAATTGCATGAGGGAGAAATTTCAGTGCGATCTGGCGCGACTCTTGACATGTTGTGAGGGTGGCGCGACTGGCTGATGTAGAGTTGACAAGATTCTGCCATTCAGAGCTCCCATAATAGTGATGTACTGGCGCCGAAAGAACAACTCTATCGCTGAGCTGTGGAGCATAGTGGTATGTGCTGTAGAATTCTCCCTCTGTATATCTAACCCGTGAGTGAAGGTTGTATCGGATACGGAATCTGTAGACCAGTGGTGTTGACTCCTGGAGATACTCGACCCAAACTTTTCTCCTTAATTCATAGGGAAGCGCAAGGAAACAGGTAAAGCTTCGATCTTGACGGGCGGTGGTCATCTTGCGCGCTTGTCTATATTCGGCCATGTATGAGAGGCGTATGGTGCCCAAAGTACTTGATAGTGAAAAGAGGAGGTAACTGTGCGAGTTTGTGATGGTGCTTACGGATGCGCTGACGACTATATAGGTGAGAGGAGTCTTGCCTAAATTATGTACAGCTGATGGAAGTTTAATGGTAGGTTTGGGGGCTGCAGGTATGTGCTGTTGGTGTTGGTCTCGGTGTAGGTGTTGGTGTTGGGGGCGGTGTTGATGACCGACTTTACAACTTTCCCTAATCCCAACTCTCCGTTCCTACCTCCCTTCCCACAGCCCTATCTTCAGCTCCTGCTTCCTAGCTCGTACCATCCTCTTTTTAAGCACTTTCTAACTCTCTTCGCCAATCTAACTCCCGGGATCGTATAGCCCGTTAAGCTTCAACCTCTAAACGCTGGACACAACCAACACCTGCTCGCAACTGCTACATCCGCGCCTTCCAAATGACCTTTTGACACCTTACCAACACGATCCCTTTTCTACAGTCATTTCCAAATGACACTTTGACGACCGCACTGACGACCGCACACTACAATCCTTTTTCCACAATTGCTTCCAAATGAGGCTTTGACGATTGCACAACACGATCCCATATCTACAATCACTTCCTAGATAGCCTGGCCTTTTGACGATTTGCCCACAAGATTCCGTTTCTATAATCACTTCTCGGGTGACCTTTTGACGGTTTGCCAACAAGATCCCCTTTTCATAGTCACTCGCTAGATGACTTTTTGACGATTTGCCAATATGATCACTCCTCTACAGTCCCTTCCCAGATGATGTTTTGACGATGTACCAACAGGATTCTTTTTTCTACAGTCCTTTCGAAGGTGATGGTAAAACAATTGCTATTTTAAGCAATTCCTGCTAATCGTCTCAATACAGTACTTAAGAACCGCAAAGAACATGATAAGTTTTTCCAAGATATCAGCAACTCCCTTCATTTCATTCATTACCTTTCTCAGTATATTTTTCATCTCACTTTAATTACACTCAGACTTTGAATTTACACACACCACTTCAGCCACACAAGCTCGGAAGCTTCAGTGAGATGAAGCTTACATCATTCTTGGCGGCAGTAGAAGCAATTCTCATCGCCAGTGCTTCTTTGGCATTCGCTGGAGTGCTTCCTGCGAACCCGTCTTCAACTGATATTGACGACTTCAACGGAGATGTATCAAACTGCCTCGACGGATTGTGCCACGGCTCTTTGGCTCTCGAGATTCGCGGCAACAAGCTCACCAAACCTAAAAAGACTACTACTGCCAGAAAACCAGTGAAAACTAATCCCCCGGAACCGAACAAGATCGTCAAACCTAGGCCAACTACCAGCAGCAAAAAGCCAACGAAAACTGACCCCCCGAACCCGAACAAACTTTCTAAACCAATCTCGATCGAGGCCCTCCCTGTCCCACCTGGAATTGATGGGCCTTTGGAGAAGAAATACTGGAAGGCCGTGGCAAAGCGTATGGACAGCAAAGCCTTCAAAGGTCTAAAGGCAACAGACGAGATGGCTCTGTACACCGGCGGCGCCGCATGGGAAAGCATGACAAAATTTGAAAAAGCATTCGAAAAGGCGTATCCTGGTAGAACGATGCGACATTATATCAATACTATCAAGTCCGACGCGGTACTCCAGCAAATGACATTAGACTATAAAGCCAATGAGAACGGGAGGTCTTTCGGGCCCGACGCGGATTTCAAAACTTTGCCAAATGCTATTGTATCATATACTCTAGTAATGTTGACGAGATTCCGAGCGAAACCAGTACATCTCTTTTTTTCAACTACGGAAGCCGCACAGGACGCCGCCAGAGGGGAAATACCCAAAGGGCACTTGAAATACTTTGAGATCTTCCCCATCACGAGTAAAGGTAGTAAGGTCACAGAGATTTTCGCTTGGGACCTCCAAACTTACCAGGCCCATCTCAAGAAAGGAAAGGCCTACAAGCCACCACGGATCTGGAAGAAGGGAGATAAACCATTGGGAACTCCCATCGATTTCACCGTAGACTCTGAGAAAAGAGAGGGTGGGAAACCGGCTGCAGTCGCTGCTAGGTGGACACTTTAGATTACGGGTTTGGCTTTTGTTTTAAAGTTGTTATCTGCGATGGCGTTTCTGTTTCTCTTTTTGCCGTTTGGGATTTCTCTGTCAGCTCTGCTTTGCTTTCTTATTTGTATTGTTATTTTTTGGTTTACTGGTTTGCCTTTGGTTATAGCTCCATAACTGCAGTGCAGTTTTATCACTTGCTAGCTTATTACTCTTTTACTTCGAATTTACATGTATTGTTACTGTTGCAATTTTTCAATTTCTCTTTGATTATGTCTTCTATATGGCATTCTTCAATTTCTCACTTCAATATGTTTGCTACTATCTTTACTACGCCATTAACGTTCAAAGTTAACCTAAGTTGAGTTGAGGCCCCTACACAGACCCGACTCCATTTAAATTGTATTCAGTTCTGTTAAAAGATTAGAGTGGAGCAGATTAATGACCTCTACTCGCTTCTGCTCTGGCCCACTCTACTCAACTCACGATAACTTACTACGCGTTTCTACTCTAAGTATTTCTGAGTAAGCCATGGTTGGCATGACTGAGTTGGTTATTCTTTTAATACACTGCTTATGTTTGAGTTACTCATAAATAGCTTGAGCAGCTCAAGTGTCTTGGAAATGTACAGCTAACGCTGATACTTTTAGTCTAGACTTCCACGACATATATCATGTTACTCACTATGATCATCTTTTAATCATGATGGAGGCTGAGCTCGCAAGTAGGCAATATAACACTGTTGTGTAGTAGTTATTACGAGTATATAACCGATTGCTGACAATCAACTAATCATTATAGTAACCAGTAACTTTCGAGTGGCTTAGATAAGTAGCTCACAACGTTACTATATAATGAGGAACATAAAAAGCAACTTAGAATTTAGCGAAGAACTCTATCTTAATTCTAGTAATGTTTTAATTTTCTTTCATTGTTCTATCGTTAGACTTAATTTCTACAACTCTTTGTAAACTAGTCTTCTACTTCACCATTATCCAAGACCGAAAACTTTTCACTCGTCCTCATCCTATTTTCTCTCTCCATCCTTTTCACAAACTACATAATTCTCTCGCCATACAATTGCTTCCCTTTTCCATTCATTGCCTCTATCCCCTCACATTTCCAACACAACCCCAGAATCCGTAAGAAGGCTCATCTGATTGAAGAAGCCACGTACATTCGCTGTGAAATCGACATAACTCGGAACCGATTTGGACTCTATGAGTACAGGCAAGAAAGGTTCGGCAGGTATCTGTACACACCTTTCTAAAACAATGAGCGTGTACTAACTTGTGGGGAGGCCTACGGCGAGAATTGGTGTGATACAGTTAGTAAGAGGCTATCTAGACGTGATGATATCATGAGACTAGTGTCTCGAAGAAATATCGAGGTGGTAATTGTGGAAATGATATCGAAATAGAGCTTCGAAGATCTAGGAGCACATGCATGACTACCGGTAGGACACTTTAAATCCTTCGATACTATCGTAAGCGAAAGGACTTTGTGAAACAGCAGTCTTATTTCGGATAAGAGGAGGGTACAATCATATTAAGTGTTAAATGAACGTATTCATACGTTTTAGATTTCTGTTGAAGACGCAACACCTGTAGATAAATATCTACGATTAAGCGAGAATATTTTTCAACACGTAAGTTTGGAGCGAATTTTAGATTCAATCGTAAATCATGGCTCATTGGGTACAACTCATTTGCGTCTTTAGCAGGTTGAGAAACTTCATTCGTGTTGAATTAAGAGTTATGATATATTTCGGGTCTGCCCGATGTCTTCCTCCATAATATATCTAGGACAACGCCTCAGACTTTATAGAAGCAAAATGCAACATAGAAATTCGCAGCCTCCATTTCCTCATCACTAACGAGCAGCGGCCCGCGGCCACGCTCTCTGACGCCCATGCGTTCGCTCAATGGGCCAAGTGTCTCATCGTCCTTCTCCGCCTCCCAGATCTCCCCGAAAGTCTTGTGATATTGCAATTCCAGGTTATAGTCCTCTGCAAGCGCGCGCAGAGACGCCCATGGGACAACATACTCTGGGACCTCCTCGACAGCTTCGTGAAGGAAGTAGTTGTATTTGTGGCCGAATGGGGGTCGAAAGACGCCGTCGGCGGGGGTAGGGCCTGGGAACCGAACGCGATAAATGTCATTTTTCCATTCCGCAGTTTCCTCGGCTTCTCCCTCTTCTGGTTCATCTTCCTTTTCAGTACTTTCCAAAACGGCGACTTCCTTGCCATCAGTCGCTTCCTTCTCGACGGCCGTAGGATCTTTGTTCTCCGCTTTTGCCGCGATACGAGCATTGAATTTGCGGACTTTCTCCCCAATGACATCGGAATTCGGTATACATCCTATGAGACGTCCACCCTTTTTAAGAGCACCTGCTACGTTTTCCATCATTTTTCTCGCCTTTTGTTCGCTCTCAAAGGAATAATGCATGCAAAACATCATGCTGACAACATCAAAGCCTCCCCCGCCTCTTGGTCCTGATTGAGGATTGAAACCAACCTTCCTGACAATATCCATATCTATGATTGACTCCCCAAAGCAATCTTTGGCCCATAATTCCGCATGGAACAGGTTTGGGCTCGGTCTGCTGTCTCGACCACCCCTGCCCCGACCTCGGCCACCCCTACCACCTCCACCCCGTCTCATCTGATCATATCTTTCACGAGCTTGTTCAATAGACACGTCTGCTGGATCCAAGCCAACGTAGAGTTCTACTTTCTGCGGCGCCTGCTGCCATTTCCCAAGATCTCCTCCTTTTCCACAGCCTATGTCTAGGACAAGTAGACCTTCCGGGGCTGTCCCTTCAGCAAATACCATTCCACCTCGTTGTTGTGCTCCCGGTGTAAAATCTTCATTGGGAGAAAACTTTTGAATAATCGTGCTCTTGATCCAATTGTTGAAACTTCGAAGCCCCTTGATGCGACTGTCCGTCTTGCGCCATTCTCGACCTCGTTCCGGAACAGCGTTGTAATGTTGCTTCACTGCATCATGGATTCCTCGCTGCGCAAGAGCCGCTTCTAACTCCTTCTCCCGTTCTGCTTTCTTTTGATTTGCATATGCGATTTCAGCATCGGTGATTCGCGCTCTCTGGCCAGGGCGCTTGCGTTTTCGAACTTCACTCTGTGGTGAAGGTGATCTTCGACGTTTGTGCGGATCCGATACGAGGACATCTTTAGATTCTGATCGATCCTGACGTTTGGGCGCTGAATTTGAAGGTGATCTTGAGCGTCTTCGTTTCTTTGCAGGCTCAAGCTTGGTGGCATTGAAAGGCTGAGGCTGATCCTCGACTGGAGACACGTCCGAGCCAGCCATTGCGAGGGCAGGCAATCTTCAAAGAAGAAATCCAATGTAGACTTGATTATAGAGGTCCTTCTGTCGCATTCGTAACGCTTAATGTTGCGCGATCTCTCCCTTGGGTTGGGACTGGAATATGTTGTGTTTCGTGCATGAGGTAACGTTCAGAAACGCTTGTGGAGCACCCCTGGCAATGGATGCTTCGCGTCACGCTAGTGCCTGGAGGTCGCGGGAAGCTTGAGCTTCAAAGGCCGATTCATATCAACATCCAAAATATCAAACACAAAGTCCACACTGAAAGTCCATCTGTATTTGTCCAATCTCCCAAGCCTTTGCAGTTATCAGTTCCCTAATTCAACTTCATCATGGGTTCCGATCCCCAATATGCCAAATACCCCCTCCTACCACTCGCCCAACACATCTTCACTCTCACCAACCCGTCATCTGCCAAACCAGCCCAACAGATATCTCTCAAGAGTCTTCAAGATGCGATCAACGAGCATAAGATGGCACCGCTATACCGGTATCTGGCACATCCTTCTGAGGGTATTCTGAATGCTTCAGGCCAGAGCTCTTCACATGCGGCGAAATCAGCTGGACGGAAACCAAGCGCGGCCGGAATGGTGGCAAGCAAAAACTCAATACCAAAAGTCGATCTGCCCTGGGATGAAGCGTTATACGAGAAGTTGAAAAAAGAGAACGATGAAGAGTTAGAAAGCTTCAAGAAGGAAGAGGAAGAAGCCGAAGAGAAGGCGGGAGACACCGAAGTGCAAGCCGCAAGAGGGAAGCGTGCAGAATTCTGGGCTCGAGTTGGCGACAAGGTATATGCTATAAGTTTTACGATGAACCAAGCTCATTAGGATATCTAGGACCAAGCTATTGCGGCTTACGAAGAGGTGTTTGAGAAGACTGGCGTATTAGGTACCAAGATTGATTTAGTACTTGCGATAATCCGAATTGGTCTGTTCTACGGCGACAAATTATTAGTCAAGAAGCATGTGGACCGCGCGAAGGCTCTGGTTGAAAGCGGCGGAGACTGGGATCGACGAAATCGACTAAAGGCATACCAAGGGTTGTATCTGCTTACAACTCGATCATATAATCTTGCAGCTCCTCTGCTGTTGGACAGTCTTTCTACATTTACCAGCTACGAACTCTGCAGTTATTCTTCCTTAGTAGTATACGCAGTTTTGGCTGGCTCTGTATCGCTAAAGCGAGTCGATTTCAAATCCAAGGTTGTTGATGCGCCGGAGATCAAAGCAATCCTGGGTGATGGAGAGGACAAACTTCTGGCTCTTTCCGGTGCGATATCAGCGGGTCCAGGAGCTGATGAGGAGATGAAGGATGTCTCATCAGCAACCCCAGGCACTGCCAAAACAGTTGTCAATCTCACCACTTTAGGAAGCGAGCAACCTGACGCCGAGATCGCTATAGACTTTTCACCACTTGCAGAACTCGTAAGCAGCTTGTATACCGGTAGCTATCGATCATTCTTCGGCGCTTTAGCTGCAGTAGAAGTCACTTTCCTCAGCCAAGATAGATACTTATACGAACACCGAGGATGGTTCGTTCGAGAGATGCGTCTTCGTGCGTACCAGCAATTGCTACAGAGCTACCGTGTTGTCGGCTTGGAGAGCATGGCGAATGACTTTGGTGTTTCTGTAGATTTCTTGGATCGGTAAGTCGTTCTATTACATTCTTGAATTTTGCTAATTCGTGATCAGTGACCTTGCGAAGTTCATTGCAGCGGAGCGGATTCCATGTACAATTGATCGCGTGACCGGCAAAGGTATTATTGAAACCAATAGACCTGACTCCAAGAACAAGCAGTACAACGATGTTGTAAAGCAAGGAGATCAGCTTATCACCAAGTTGCAGAAGTATGGTCAGGCCGTTCGGCTGAGAGGTAGCGAGCGTGCGTGAAGAATTATCTGAATGCAGGAACTCTGTTATTGTACAATTACTAGCTATAGCAACCAAGACTTGCTTCAGTTGAACAAAACCACACCAAGAGTTTTGCAGATATCCGGGAACTTCTCATCCAAGTCCCACTATGCATTTGTCCTTGTATCCGCGGTCTTTCATTTCTGTTGTGTTTTGCATTTTTCCTATTGATCAGTCGACACTTGAGTGTTGACCGTGGGCTATGCTAGCTCCAAAGCAGCTTTGAGATGCAAGTTGGGTAATCACAGCCTTTCCTGGTTAAGTTCAATATATTTCACGTACATTTATTATCATATGCGTATGCTCGCATTCGGTATAAATTCGGTTCTGCGGGAGGTGCCGAATTAGGGGGTCTGTTTTACTGTCGTGCACTACTGATTGTTGCACAACTTCACGCAGAGCCTCTTTGCAAACCTCCAACAATCAATGTTTACCTATAATATAACTTCATGTGTTTGTTTCCACCCATCTATCAATGGCCATCGTCGATCAGAATGCCACAGAAACTATTCATTCAAATACGACCTTGACCAAATACCCTCACATTTCGCGATCCAGTCACGTTCGTGACACTCTCCGACGGCTTGCAGCAACACGGGTCGGAATTATAACGCAGTCACGATTCTCGTCCAGCCTTGTCGAAATCGTTTCCTCACGTCGATCAAGGGCTGAATGTGTGCTGTGATTCGGTAACTCGAAGTCCCCATGTCGCTTTCCGTCCAGTCTTGCCGTTCTTCTGGAGAGAGAGCCTTGATGAGTGCCTAAGCACGGGGCAGAGACGATGCATCACAGAAGCTCTGATGTGTTTTTCTTCAGCCGCACCTCCACCAAACGACTTCTCTCTGTCCATCCATTCGACGCCTCTTGAGTTGCCAAGCACTTCACAGCGAAAAGGGACATGTTATGCTTGACAATAAATCTCGGCACAGAGATGATGCTTATTTTATCCCAAGCCAAGGACTGGATGTGGAACAGATCAATGAAAGCATGGGGAACCGGCATGGATGTGTGGCTGTAGAGCTGGTACAAAGATGGAGGGAAGAGCTATATGTGATGGGCTTCGGGCTTTTCCTCCTCTTGCCGTCTTCTTGCTCTTGAGTTCAGCGTCTTTGTTGCGATTAAATTTGCAAGATGTCGATTTCAAGCTTGCTCGTTGTGCTCTCAACATGTGTTTCTATGGTGTATACGATAGCAGTTCCTGAACCCCAGATCACGGCTCGCGCGGTCTTGCCTCGACAAACAGATCAGCGATTCATTGGTTTTTACAGTACATCTGGGGAGATCACTTGTGAGTTGTTCACCCAATTGACTTGAATGCAAAGTTTCTGACCAAAATAAATAGGGGATACGGCTCGTTGTCAAGCCTCTTCCTCCTGGACTGTCTCGGGATCATATGGTAGATGTTGTAGCGAAGGAGTGTCTTGCACGTTCGCAACCCGATGCTCAAGTGACTATGCTATCGTAGGCGGAAGTTCAGTATCATGGTATGTATTTTCCATACTGTCGTTGGACTTGAAACTAACATCAAAAGTCCGTACACATGTAATACGGACTACGTTTATGGGAGTACTGGAGGCAGCCTGTCAACCAAATGGATAGGTTGTGCGATCGGCTATACGTCGACGTATTTCTACGAAACAGCACCCGCCACAGCCATATTCAACACCATCTTCGGTAAGATCAGCTGTATAGCTTCTCGTTCCCGTTGACTGATAAGTTTCAGGGACGTCAACAACAGACTCTACAACAGACACCCCTACGGGGACAGTTCGGCCGACAGTAACAGTCGCCCCCATCGTCCCAACCTCAACCCCAACAACTTCGGTATTCCGCACGAAGAAGAAGTCGATGATTTGGATCGTAGGAGTAGTGATTGGAGTTGTGGCTATCTTCGCCATTGCTGGAATCATAGCTTTCATTCTGATTTCCCGCAAGAAGAAGAAGGCGCGCGCAGCAGCACTTGCAGCTGGGACAGGAAACACATATGGTGGCGCGCCACCACCTAATTTCCAACCACCAATGCAACAGCAATACAACCAAGGACCACCGATGGGAGCTATGGGACAACCACAATATGGACCTCCACCGCCAGAAGGAGGCTACTACGTCAACGATCCCAAAAATGCCCAAACCTATTCCCAAACCCCTACATCACCACCACCTCCAGTTTGGACACCAAGCCAACAACACTCCCCAACTCAACCACCGCCTGTTTCCCCTCAGACCCGACATGCCTCTCTCGCTGCCAGCGACGTTCTCTCAGTAGACCAGCAGCGTACAGCAGGCAACAAAAGTCCCGGTGGAACCGTAAGCGAGATCGGTACAAATTCCATCAACAACCTAGGCTCAAACCCAAGTCTGCCACCACAAAGTCCAACAGGAACACATCTTACGAACATCAGCGAGATGAATACACCACCTACGTATCCGGCTCAGGTTGCGAAAGTACCGATGCAGGCGCATAATAATCAAGGCCCGGTTTCGGAGTTGCAATAGGGAATGCGTATATCGGGGACGGCAATTTCTCAAGATTTTTAATTCTTTATGAAATGTAATGATGGCGTAATGTTTTTTGAACTCGAGGTTAGACTGTTGGGCAACGAAACTGTTGCTAGATGTTGGGAGGAGAGAACTTATTGGATACCAACCGAGTCGGTTTGTTCAAAGAATGAGATTTTGGGGATGGTTTATATAGCTTTTGCGTATATTCTTTACAATGCAAATATTTAAATTTCAAGAATTCAACAAATCTTATCTGTGTATTCGTGAGTTGGAAGGGTATCATCCTTCATTCGACTTACCACTTCGTTATTTCCAAGAATGAGTGAGATTCTGGGGCTAGCTCCTATAGCTCTTGCGTAAGTCAAAAACAATGCAAATACTCAAATCGCAAATTCCAAACCATCTCGAAACATCTTACATCTCTTATTCAATCAACAACCTCAAATATACCAACCACCATATAACCTGTTCTCACCTCACCCCCCATATCTCATATCCCATCTCACCCCACTACCAGCTCCTCGTATCACCTCAACTCGCGCTTCTCGTACGACACACCCACGAAAAGACAATCACATCTCATAAACGCCCACCCAATCCACCTACGTTTTCGCCGCAGAAGCGTGGGCGGTGGCTGGCTAGTCCAACAGCTCACAAATATATTCATCGCTTTCCTATGCTGTGTTCTGCTAACAATCTAGCTTACATAGCATTTTCTTCCCTTTATATGCATGATGTTTTACGAATACCTCTTTACCTAGGTAATATCTAGTGGGTACTTTTTATAGGGATACATCAATTGGGCGGCTCTGTTCTGTTTTTACAATTTCGAATATGTCTATCTCATTGAGTCTGAATTCATCTCCCGTTCAGGTTGTATGTACTTCATTTCTATTGTTTAATGTGAGTTGTGTCAGTCCGGATTCGGTATGAGTCATTAGCGTATAATTTTTCGAGTTACGTTGCTCCTGCTTAACGAATGTATACCTGGTCCTCAAAAAAATGGTGTATTAGCTTCTATTCTTGGAAACCAATAAGAAATTCGTTTTCGTGAGGTGTATGTTGAATATAAGAATGCCACCTAATCAACCTCGGTATTCGAAATGTTGCTGAGCCATTTAGTTTTCCCTCATGTCTCAAAATACCTCGACGAACCGCAATGCTAAACAAAAACCTCATTCAACGAGTGCCACCCAGATCATATAATCTCAATGTTGCCATCCGACGCCCAAAACCCCAACAGCCGAACCGTATTCGTAGTCGATAATCATGATTTCCGTGAACTTCATTTCGTATGCTGAATGAAAAGACGACTTGTACATATCCCGCGTGGAAGGGTATCATAACATAAACCAAACGTTTATCCCAGAGAAGGTGTTATATCCTTCTCATTGACCTGGAAGCCAACTATGTAATCCCTCTCTACACCATCGTCATCTTCATACCGGATGGGGATGACAGTCAAGATGTTCATGAAGGGGGTTCCGTCCTTGTGGTAGTTCACTATTTTCACTTGCGCTTCCTCCTTCCTCTGAATTCGGTGTCTAAGCTCAGATAATAGCGGCTCGTTGTATTTTCTACACTTTTCGACGACATCCCAAGGCGGCGACCGCGGATTTGGAGGGTTTTGGAGAAATCGGCAGTTTTTGCCTATGATCTCACTTCCGTAGTACCCTGTCAAAATTTCGAAGCTCTCGGTGGCATATATAATGGGCGCGTCCGGAACTTCATTATTGCAGACGACTAGCGCAGCGCGATCGTCAACGACTCCAAGATCATATGTAGGGTTCGGTCGCATGCGTATTTTCAACTGTAAGAGAGCTTCATCAACTCAAGCTCGGGAATGGTCATTGTCACTTGGTGGCTTGTGTCTCAAAAGAAGAGTGAGAAGCCTCTGGTGTCAATCCTAGGGGCTAGCTTTGATCAGCACTTACCAGCATACCGAGCACATCCATTCTACTGGGGCTGTAAATATCCTTTGGAATGACTGGGTCCAAAATCGATTGGTGACGGTAGTCACTTGGTGGAAGAAAGGTATCTGGGTGCCGAATCTTGTGTTGAATCTGGAATAGAGGAGAAATGAGCAAAAGAGAAGTAGATAGAAGAGGTGATTTATAGATGGTACAAACATCTTCAAGGCGCTTCCTCTGCGCTGTAAGCTCTTCTCCTGAAAGCTGCGGCATTCTCGTCAACCAGCCGTGGCTTCGTTTCCCTGTCTCAATCAATGCATATCGGACCTCCCCAGAAGAGTGGCGTCTTTGCTCAAGCTTGTCTGCAGCCTTCTTGTGTGATGAGAGAAAGAGTTGAATGGCTCAAGGGGAGAAGACACATTTAAAGACGAAAGGAGCGACCACCGACCACCGACTTCTACAGGCACTAGAGGATCTAGATTGCGCTGCAACGCCGCATGCTGGATCAGAAACTGGATGTATTTTCCAGTGTTTAGGAAAGCATCGATACCACCGTGCAATGTACTTCAATTAAGCCCAACTTAGGCGGGCTGGCGCTTGTTGGCTGCAGCGAATCGAAGACGTCAACCGAAGACTTAGTTGGCTCGATCGTGAGCACCGAGGGGAGAGACGCCCATCGTGGCATCGTCGCCAGGGCAAGGGCACAACCCCACCATTAGAGGAGCAACTGCGGTAGCTTGTCAGAACGGAGTTCAAAACGACATGGATAATGGACCCTGAATTGCGGAAAAGCATGCGGAAGAAGCGAGAGGGATATCATCGCATGCGTATTGCCTGCAGGTCGAGTTGTACATGTTACAACTGAAAAAAGATCGTAGCGAAAAAGAATGGGAAAGTCAAGATCGAGAAAGATCCCGCTATCAACACGCTAGGTCCACGTGACCGCTAGGCCTGTCAAAGCCTCCCGCATTATCGATCTGTGGGGGTTGCTTCATAAGGTTCAGATCTGGTACTCCGTACAACTTGTCTTCTTTCGTAAGTGCAGAGCTGAAAACACCACGGTTTCTCACGAGTTCTGCTAGCCAGTTGAGACGATCTGGACGCACACACACGACATCACGATCCGCGAAAGGGTTTTACACAATCGAGATCTTGTTCATTGTATTTGTCGACCAAGATAACTATTCCTCGTGGTCATTTGCCAACTTGGATATTTCCCGTGAAGAGGACGCAAAATGCTAGCTTCAGCTGCAAGTTACAGCGCATTGCATGCGGGGAAAGTCTTGGACAAGAACCCTTGAAGAGACTAATCTCAATGGCGGAATTATTAAGCGCATTGCTGCTGACCTGAAGAGTTGACGTCGATATGTGTGGAAAGATAATTATAGCTGATGTCCAGGTCACGATCGGGGCAATACTAGAAAACGGCACAACTAGTGGAAAGGCATTCAAGCTTGATCTCAAGACCATGATCGAGAAAGCATTCAACAACGAAATTGCATCGCAGTTCTCTAGTGCAGTGACCCGCCGAAAAAACTGTTACAAAGCGCGATTCGATCAAAAGCATCTTACCTATCTGGTCAACAAGAGAAAAGCCAAGAACCACCACGTCTACCTTGATGTGGCTTCAACGGCCTGCACGTCTTGATGTGGTGCTTTGAATAGCATACAGCCGCGAAAAGTCTCATCCGGTTTGAAAGCTGCAAACAACGGGCAAAGGATCAAGAGAGATTTAGGAAGTCCTGCCTTAATAACGTCCTTCTCTGATCTCGCATTTCACTGTAAGTCCTAGGTCTCCAACTAAAATGCGTTTGCACTATCTTACTCTCAAAGTCCAGAACAAGTATCCACAGATTGTGAAATGCCGTCTCTAGATTAGTTTAGCGCATCGCAAAAATCTTTTACTTGTGCCTGCTCAATCACGACCATCACAAACTCAACGAACACATCCGACAATCCGAATACACTTTCAGGGTCCAAATTCAAAACCGCAACAATAGACGATCGTGCGATTGTTACAACACGTTATGAGGTATACACCATCGTTGAACAACCGGACGCTCCGTCCCGCTTTCCAGCTATTTCATTCCGACGTATGACTTCAGCGGGTAGCAGAAAACCCGCGAGGACACGAGACATCATCAACCTATGATGTTCATAGGTAGAGCTTGTTGAAATTTTCTTCCTGGGATGTCATTTCCAAGCCTCCCTTTCACCAACTACTTAGCATTAAGCACCTACAGTCCACTTCCTAATCTACCCTCTCATCACTCATCAGCTCTTTTACAGATCTACAATTCGATCTACACATCGTAAGAATACAGATCTGCCGCTAGCTGGTCAGATCTTGCAATCTCATTTTTCAAGTCGCGTATCTAGACCATCGGGACGGTTCCTGTACAGCAATCCTTCGTGGAACAACCCACCCATCACCGCATAAATGCGTCTTCTTATACAGTATTGTCGCAACGAAGTTTCTCAGCTGTAAAAAGCAAATCTTGTTTTTGAACTTGGTGTAACCATTTCCCCTCCACTAGCGACTCGGGCGCAAGAAAACGTGCGCACGGAAGTCGACGCATAACTGTTGACTATTGGTTGTACAGGCCTGGAACAGGCTTACAACTACTAGACCAAGACGAAGACAGTATAACCCTCCTCGCCATGATATCTTGCGCGATCCATGTGGAGTTGAAGCGATCAGAAGCACAGAGCCCGATTAGCAAGTGAAGGGAGAAAAGGATCCAATACACCAACTTCATTTACCCACCAGAAAGTAAGTTGTCCATTTCATAACTCAGGTCAGAATACATCTTATCAGTCTCTCATCTCCACTACAAACACTCAATCAAAGACACATACATATCTCACTTGAGCACCGATCTCCAATTCCCAACCCAATTCTCTAGTCCCCATCTCCCTTAAAAGGGTACCCTGCCTCCTATTTACCACTTCCAGCACCCCCCACATCTTCCCTCCTCATGCACAAAGCCAGCTGAGAAAGTTCAAAAGAACAATTTCACTTCTAAATGGCGTGCCCAAAATGTCTGAGTTGGTACCAGAAGAGTGGTTGTGGCGTTCCCAACTTCCATAAAAGGGGTCGCTTAAGCGCCAAGACATATCTTGAACAAAATGTACGTTTGGATTGGGGCCCACGTGGGCACTGGGCGGTTGAATGAAGCATTGAATAGGCTGTTGATGATCCCGGGAATGAGGGTGAGGCGCGTTGGGTAATGAGATGTTGGTATGTCCTTATTTGATCTAGGTATTTTATATACAATGAGAAATCGAAATACCATTTGCGCCTTGTAACCATACAGACCCTGGAATCTAACAAGACACGTCCTCCTATTCCAAATAACGCCAAACACGAATCCCCCAGAACCCATTTTGCTGAGGCCAAACTAACAGCTCTTCCCCGACCCATCACTCTCAGCCCCTCCAGAACCACTCTCCTCATCCGCGGACTTCTCCCCCTCCCCCTCTCTCTCCTCCAGCAAAAACCGTTGCTGCCGCTTCATCATCCTATAAAAGTTCCACGTGCCCCACAACTGACACGACGCAAACAGCACATGCAGAATAGGCGTGACGACTTTAAACGCGAGCGTCCAGCGGTCCCAGAGACTGCCAAACAGGTACATAGTCAGGATGGTCTCGGCGATGGTGCCGATGAACGTGGTGATTGCCGAGATGCAGAAGAGTTTGGCGAGGAACTTATGGTGGGTTGGGTAGACTCTGTAGAGGATGATGGAGAGGTGGGGGAGGGATTCGGAGATGATGTCGAATGCGCCTGGGTGGTGTTAGTTTTGAAATGGATGGGGGGAGGGGAGAGGAGGGGTTACCCCAGACGGTGCAGAGGATGAATTCGATTGTTGCGTCTTTTTCGCGGACGAGGTTGAGGGAGATGGCTATGGCGGATTGGCCGATCATGATGGTGCCGATGTGATGGCCAGCGCTCACTGGGGAGATCTTTGAGCGGTAGAAGAGCTCGAAGACGTACATGGCTATTAGAGCTTGTGCGGCGATGATCAGGATGTCGCCCATTGTGACGATCTTTGAGCCAGCGAAAGGGGAGTGAAGATGTGCGGATCCAAATGCGACATCCACGAACGGGTATGCTGCTATGACCAAAATCATCAATTTTGTTCCCCCGGCAATGTGATGATTGACGAATCCCCTCCTCACTGTCTCGTTCATCCGTGTGTATATATCTCCATAGCACTTCTTGAGAAGGTATCCTTCTAACAGGTAAAATCGGACTGCAAAGTATACGACGAAGATGATGCTGAGGATCAGGGCACTGAAAGGTGCTAGTTTGGAAATTGTCTGAAGAGGAACTTTCGTTATATGTGGCTGCCTATGTCCTGAAACCACAATTGCGGTCTCATTGTCTAGAGCGTTGCGAATGGCGAGTCCCAGCTTCATACTTTTGTTGGAGGTGGAGACTCAGTATGTGAAATGGTGTTGAAAAGTACATGGAAAGATTTCAACGCAAAGTGTATTGAAACAAAAGTGGAGGAAATTAAGTATAGAATTTCAGGTTATAAAGTATTGATCTTGAAGTATTTGCAAGTGAAGAAGCAATTTTCATAATAGAGTTCAGCGCATGCCCCCACGGATGTATGGAGTCAATGTCAATGGTGTGCTCAGAATGTTTCTGATGAAGGCTCGGGCTTGCCGTTAATATATGGATCAAGAAGACCACAACGACTTCGCTGCATGATCCCCTCGTCCATACACGGTACTCCAGTTGCTACTTGGTCTGGAGGAGGAAATCCACGTTCCACGTTCTCTGCACTCAGAATTCCTAGCCGAAAGCAGTAATTCTGTTTCGGTCCAGCTAGCCTAAGCTTCAAATCATATTAACACTATCGTAAGCGAAGCGTCCGATGTACCTGCATAGACAGTATACCAACAAGCAGAAAACATGACTTGAAGGGTTGAAGCACAAACCACCGAATAGCAACGGCAACACCGTAAAACAACCTAACTCAACACAGGCAGAAGCTCGAAAATGTGTTTCTAGGAGCATTAGCCCACGAGGAGGCTTGAAATCGTGAGCTTAATGCTAGAAATACGAAAAGCTGACGTATACCACTATTAAATGACGCGAGTTATGGCAGCGGGATGCTCGAAGCGACAGTCAGCCAACTGATCTGTCCAATGTCTTCGCGACAGCCGTAAGACCGCGCAAGCCTACAAAACTTCAATACAGCGACACTGTACCGGTCGCAATGCAAAATGTTCCTCTGCTTCATCTCTGTGAGTGGTTTCGTCTCTGTGAGTGGTTTTGCCGCGAGGCCGCGATGGAGGCGTTCTGGATCTGGTAATCGACATTTACCATGTTTGTCGGGTGGAAGAGAGCTATGGTTAGTGAGGCAGGAGCAATTTCGGAGTCCAATACGAATGCTACTGTGAAGCGGAAACGATCGTGTTGAGATCAATAGTTTGCGCTGTTTCTTTTTCCCGTCGAGTTGTTGTTGAAGCATTTCCGTAGGGAAGCATGCGCCCGTGCCTGACCCTGAAAAAGCTATTTCCCCAACGCTACGGTTAGTGTCCGATCTAGGCAAAAGCTTAGCCTACGGTGGCCCGTTCACGCAACTTCTTGCCCCTTATTTTCTTCCTGGCGAAGAGTGCACTTGCGAATTTGTTATTGTATTTCAAACTTCAAACTTTTCACCATAGTATACAGTGTGCTTCGCGTAGCCACGAGATGCAAAACTCTTACACAGGCACTCAGCTCTAGTTCGCATACTGTTCTTGCGCACCATACCATCATCGATAAGGAAGTCACTGGGAAGGATTTGGCAAGTGTTTTGGGCCATGTGTTGCGCTCGCCCAAAGCATTACAGGTCCTCAACTGCATCAACCATCTTTGGCTCCTTCCACATTCTATCATACAAATTCAACATCAGAACCCCCACTACATTTTGACATGTGGTTTTCTTCGCTGTCAACTGTTGGACCTCCATTCTCATCAATATGAACACGACGAGCAGGACGACGCAGTCCTGTCGACGCACTTCTATCTACAATTTGCATACTTCTCGCTCTTCTAGCTGCGGTATATCGTCCCCCGAGAGTTCTCTTGACACTCTACATCGTATTCCTGAGGTCGTAGACAAATTCATCGATCAGACTTTCTGCATGACGTTTGGAAAGGCCAACTCTCCATGTCGTTGCTTCCACTCCGTTTCTCTATGGGACTCATTGACTGAACAAGATCGCTCAAAATTTAGATGAACGTGTTATCATCTTCGGGGCTTTGGTTGCTTGCGAGAGCAAGGTCAAGAAGAGCTTTATGGCGTCAGAAGTCATGCCTAGCAGCATATCAGAAATATCAAAAAAGGGGCGGGATGCTTACAACTCTTTCAGCCAGGACTTCCAAATCCGCGTACAGCTCAAGATGTTTCTTCATTGTAATTGCAAGAGATAGTCCCGGGCTTCACTGAAAACACAATGGGCAAGGGCTATCTGGGAAGCTGACACCTTGGTATGGACCCGAAGGCGGATTTGCTGGAGAATGTAGATCACCACGCCGCACAACAGCTCAATGATCGAAAGCGTCGGCGACCCCATTGAAGGAAGGGCTATCACAATCATCACAATGTCTTTTACTATGGTGTCAATAAGCATTGATGCGAATAACAGCACAGAAAAAATATGTAAGACAAACAAGACTCTAGTTCGGTCCATTTGAGGCAACAAGCATATCTTTTGCAAATTGTCCAACTTTTGGAATTGGGATACATTGGCTTTGTGATTCTACAATTCTACTAACTCAACAAGGGAGGTTGCAACAAAGAAGTCTAATTGTCAAGCAACAGACATTTGATAGTCCTATCAACCGCACGAGATTTGTGTTTATTTCCTTTACAGATAAGTCACAAACCCGTATTTCCAGAGAGGGAGACAAGCTAATTCTCAGTCAATGTAGGACTGATCTCCGTACACTTCTGGTAGACAAAGCGATGTGGGCCAAAATGTTACATCTGGGATTAAAGCATACGAATGTTGTGTCATATCTTGATCCGGGCTCTTGTTTTCGCAACTGTTGATTTAATACCGAGTGTCTCAAGAATTTAGGCTTGGGGGCGACGGTCATCTTGCAAACGCTGCCATTCGACTGCACGATATCCTTGTAATACGGTTGAGTTTACATGGATGCCCTATTAGGAACTGTCATTGGGCTCGGTTGTTCGTCCATGCGTTCCGGTATAATCATTATTGGCTGATATGTATTGTGAGGCGAAGCTTACTTCACTGCCAGTCGCTTATTTCCTCATCAGATCGGAGCGTGCGTTGCAGGATTTTATGCTTACGACGACCACGGAATGTTCATACTTCAACGTATGCTTCCTCGTTCTTTATGGTTCACTTCCACTCGATCACTGGATTCATCGTAAAACAGGGATTGGGTTTCCCCACGCTTTGGGTACTTTCAGCATCGCTAAGACCGAACACCAGGCTTTTCGAACGCCTTTCAAACATAATTGAGTATTGTGACGCGGCATGGGGACAAAAGCGAGGCTGAGGATGAGATGGAAAGAAGTAAGTGAAAGTAAAGGGATTTAATCAACATATAACACGGTTTCTTCCTCCATTATAAGTTCTCCATTTTCTCTTCGTATATTCCACACAGCTCTCACTACCACCATTCTTCTGTCTACTCCATTCTTCACGCAAGTTCTATTTACATTGCGTTTCACTATTGTCTATACATCAAAACACAATGTCATCGACAATACAAGCGATAAGTAGCTCTCCAACATCAACTACTTCGGCAACACCAAGCTGTATCACCTTCACACCTGGAAAAGATGGTTATGTCCCCTCGTACGCGTGCAATGCGCAATGGAGCTATTCGCCATCTTTTGGAGCAGCATTGTTCTTCGCCATTGCATTTGGAATCAGTCTAGCTCTTCACATCTTCCAAGCATTTTACTTCAAAAAATGGAAACTCACATGGGTTCTCATCATGGGGGTAACATGGGAATTCATCGCCTTTGCTGGTCGCTCATTCGGTTCCAAGCACCAGCAATCATTCGCCGCCGCTTATGTGTCCCAAATCTTCTTGCTATTGGCACCGATGTGGGTCAATGCATTTATATACATGGTCTTGGGAAGGATGATCTACTTCTTTGTACCAGCCCAGAAAATATGGGGTTTCAAAGGCATCAAGATTGCAAAGATCTTCGTTTGGCTCGATGTTGTCTCCTTTCTTACCCAACTAGGTGGAGGCTTGTTGATCCAGCCGAACCAAGATCAGAAAACACTCATGATGGGAATTCACATCTACATGGGAGGAATCGGATTTCAAGAAGCCTGCATTCTTCTTTTCGCCGCCATTGCCGCTAAATTTCTTATCACGATGAAAAAGCAGGAAAGAGCAAATTCGGCTGGCAATTTCGTTCTCGACGGCCGTCCAACAAACTGGGGTCCTCTTTTGTACACTCTATTCGCCTCTTTAGTTCTCATCACCATCCGCATAATCTTCAGAATGGTAGAATTTGCTGCGGGAGACGACCCAGACAAGAATCCGATTCCTTATACTGAAGCATACCTTCTCGCTCTCGATGCTCTGCCGATGTTACTATGCGTCTTTCTTTTGAATCTCATTCATCCTGGACGTGTCTTGCAGGGCGAGAATAGCGAGTTCCCCAAAGGACCGACTAGGAAGCAGAAGAAGGAAATCAAACGGGCGAAGAAGGCCGAGAAAGCAGCGAAAAAGCAGACCAAGAAGGATGGACGATCCTTTGTTGAGATGAATAATATGGTGTAGTTTGATTGGAGTGTAGAGTTCGAAAGAGCCTGTGTGCGAGTTGTCAGTTTGGCGTTTTTCTTTCTTTTTCGTGTCTTTTGTAGCGTTTTGGCGATCCTAGTTATAATATAATTTCAGTGTTGTTTAACTCGTACTATTCCCTTCTTCGTTTTATCTGTTGTCCAATTGGCCACTTATTACAATCTATATTTGAGTATATTTCGGAGATATGATAGCAATCATCTGGATGTAACGGCGAAAGTAAATTAAGTATGCCCACGAATAGGTCACGTGCGGACACAACCGTGACCAAACCTCGAACTTGTACTTTCATCCCATCGTCAAATTATCTGCGTAAACGAACTTTACTGCCAGTCGGTCCTCTTATTTTCGTGATCCTTTTTCCGTGGTTTGTGTAAACTGAGAACTGTCAATCACGTGGCACTCAGACCACCACTCAAATGGCACCCGACGTACGCACCCTCCCGAAACCTCCTTTCAAATCCAACAGCCAAGGCAACTCTAGACTCAAAAAACACCGGAACAACTTCATTGTGCTCTCTTGTCCCATCGAGAACGGTGTCGTGACTCGAAAAAGCAAGCAATTGTTGGCGACGTTCTGCAAGGGGTTTGCAAACTCCTTGCCTCGCATATGGGATTTGTGACAGCTTTTTTGGTGCTGAGTTTTTGTCAAAGTTGACAGAATTAGTGGCAGTCGAGAGTCTATGGCTATTCGATACTCAGCAAAAAGCAAAAATGGATCTCTTCCATCAGAATGTGGCTTTCGACTTGAGCAAACCAACGACTCCTCTCCACGCCTCGCATAATTGATGCATTGTCAAAAGCCTCATGTGGTAGCTCTCGCATATGTGGTGTACGAGACAAACCTCTTCTAGCGATTGTCACCTCTCACAAAGTCTCAATTAACAGACCTGGTCGGAACGCTTTCCCGGCGATCGCTCAAGTAGGAAGTTATTCTCTCGACCTGCTTCTGGCATTGCTGGTCTTTGCGCTTAATTGTACCTCTTTCATCTGCCAGGTCGTAGACCTCGTCAAACTTTGGCCTCAAGCGAGCTGCACCTGAGTGTGAGCATCCGATGTGTGACTTGAACGTCATCTTGTGGCTTCACCATCTCCCGAACGCGTCTCATTCCTCAGCCAGGGAGTGTCTTTTCGGAACCCACAAGAGGTACGGTTTTGTCGTTCAAACAGGTGTAGGTGGCGTTATTTCTTTTCCAGTCTGCCGCTCAAGCTCGACAATGGACTTGTCACTTCCTTGAAGCGCATATGAAGCGCGGTGGTGGAATAGACAGCTCAGAAATCGTTGCACAATCCCCTTATCATACTATTCCGTGATGGAGAAGTTGTCTCTGCACTCCCTTTCGTTAAAAAGTTTGCTGAAGACTTCTATCATCCCTTCTACCCCAACATTCCTGTCCCACGACCGTCATCATCGCGTGATTTTAACAACGACGTTTGCCAAACTTCAGTCTTGGAAGAAAGCAACTCGCAATGGTGGTCTACCTAGGCCAAGAAACGCAGGCTGGATCCATTGTATCCATTTGTCTATCACTGGTTTCTATGGGATGTCTTTCCGTGTGTCTTTGTAAGTTTGATAATCCCAGGAGCTAATTGGAGGCTAATTGCGCGTCAGCACGTCGAGTAGAGAATATTCGAAACTGGCGACGACTACCACCTGTTTGTTGGCGTTAGTTTTCTCCCAACTCTGACTGATCATCATGCTAAATACCTACTCAGTGGTTATTATTATCTATGTCGACTCGTCAATATTCGTCGCTGGTACAGCAATATTAGCAAACGGCTTTGGCGTGGACTCGTCAAGATCTATGTGTGAAAAAGCTATCTTGCTATGTTTGGGATGCTACTTGACGACCAAGGTTACTATGCCCTTCAAAAATTATCCACTCAGGCTAACTGGCATTAGGTGGTGAGTTTTGCGGGGCAAGAGACAGATGAATTGCCGTGCTAACGTTTGAAGTTAATATATTACTTTTTGGTCGAGAGAGTGGTATGTATCATATATGACCCAATTGACACGAACTAAGCGACTTGCAGTATATCGTTCGCCGGAGCTCCAAACCAAGAAGACGTGATCTACTCTATCTAATAAACTCTTTAGGAATGCTGGGTACACAGACCAGCCCTTTCCAACAACATTCGCTAACTCACAATAGTGCCTTACTGCGTCGTGATCGTTCTTAACTTCTATTTGTAAGATCCTTGTTGCTTAGTGACATACGCTCGCTAACTGTACCAAAGCCGATTCGCAGTGTACGAGAACGGAACATGTCGAATTGGCATGACGAGAGGTGCTGCAATACCACTTTTGACCTTCGATTTTGTGGTCAATGTAGGAAAATCTCAACCTTCATCCCGCGACTGAACACTGATGGATGTAGATTTATATGACTTGCCTATTTCTCCTCCCGCTTCGAGGTAAGCCTCTACTACAATTCTCCGATATAATTTGCAAGGCTAATCACACCAGGTCTCCTCTCTTATAAAATAGATACCGGCTCCCCAGCTCGTACGGTTGCTCAGAGAACATTCATCGGAAGTCTCGGCACCTTGATATCAAGCATCGTGTACGTAACAACCAGAAGGGTATTTTTTGTTGAGACTAACACGACCGTAGCAACCTAACTGTCATGGTCGTCCTTAACGGCGAACCAGGCTGGATCTGCCTCATGTGCTGCAACATCGACAGTAAGTTCCCCAATCGACAAATAACTACTCTGTCCCCTATCCCGCATCTACTAATCCTACAGTCCTCTTCTCCGTCCTCGTGCTCCACTGGATAACCTCCAAAGACAACGCCTCCACAATGTCGACCTCACACCCCTCCTTCAGCGCCCCTGCCACCCGCGGCCAGCCCCCCTCCTCCTGTCCCCCGCGCTCGCGCACCCCTCACCCAGACATCAACTCCTACGACATGGGCCTCGAGTACATGGCTAAAGGTGGCGTCACCACCTTGGTCACCGCCAGCCACGATCTTGACGATGATGATATTGAGAAGATATCCGGGATGCCGATGGCGAATAATGTGATTAAAGTGCAGTGCGAACATACGCGCGAGGTGGTGGATTTGAATGATAGTAGGGGACTGGAGAGTAGCGGGAGTGGGAGTATGGATGATTGGTGTAATAAATGTGAGGATGACCGTGTGTAGGATGAGGTGGGAAGGGTAGAGGGAGGGGTGTGTATTAGGACCGGCTGTATATTTATGTTTTTGATGGTGAGTTGGGGGGTTTAAGTGCGTTTGTTTTGCGTGTGAATCAAAGAAGAGATGGTTTTCAAGGATTATTATATAGTATATGCAATTGGATTCATTGTGTCTGTCCCGTCTCAAGCATCAACCTTCATTCACCATGCCCCCCAATTCACCAATTCACCACCTCCACCAAACCACCCCTCAGCCCTCCCAGACCCACCCAAATCCCCAACCCTCATTATAAATATCTAAATCTAACCTATTCTCCTCCAATAAGAACACGCCTATCCAACCAGCTCCCCCCGAGCGATGCGTTATGGTTAGAGCGCCATGAGTATCTGTCTACGAGCAGAACTTATGGGACCATAATCAACCTGCTACGCGTCAGAGAGCAAGTACGAAAAGGGGAGTCGTAAGTATTGAGTGGGATATTCTTTTGTTTCTTTTTTTGGGGGGGGGGGAGGGCGAGGAAAAGTGAGCTTGTTGACTTTATCCGAGGAGTGTTGAATTGGTTCTTTTGTAGATTTTTGATATTCACTTTATGAACTGATAACTACTAGCACTCCTGCACTACCACCAACTACCAAAACGCACTCACCTTCCAGCGCGGACATACGTCCCTTCCGCCACTCCCAGTTCCATCCTTCAGGTCAAACTCAGATATTCAGTATAACAAGTTAACAAAGCAGCAGCAGTGTTCCGCAAAAGGTAAGGTATACCAAGGAACCTACCTACCTTGGTCAATTGTTTTTGGTACCTACCCAGGGCTAAAAAAAATGGTAAGGTACGATACCTGAGTATTCTGGCCGCGTATCGGATTACCATGATTATGTAATATGGTAGATCCAAGGTTGTGTTATAGCTCCAACAGTCGGTTCCCTTTGTGGCATTGACTAAATAAAACTGGTAACCAGTCTTCACAATCGCTTAGGTGAGCGAAGTAATAGTCCGGTCGATTCTCATATATGATGCACATTAATAGGATATTTCAAGACATTCAGCTAGTTATTCCATCCTCTACGAGCCATTCTCTGGCAAAGGCTAGGATTACAAATGGTCATCTAAGCAAGCACATCTAAACACTTGAATATCAATCAATCCAGAAATCTCTCTCACTCAATTAATTTCTCTATTTTTATCGAAAAATAAAATCCTCCCATTCTATCTTCCACCTCATCTCAATCCAAAGAGAGGTACGTGTACAATATAATTATCTACCCCTCCCCGCCAAAAATATACAAAAAAAAAGGTATCGTACCATGTCTAGGTAACTGTAACTCATAGCTGAGGGAATCTATGCAACCGCTCAAAAAACAAATATGACGCCTGTGGTACCCAAAACAAAAGACAGATGTAAATCTACTCTTTCTTCTCCTTCTCCTCCTTTTTGACCTTTGGTACCCGAGCAAGCCAGTACAGGAAAACGGCCGCCGCGACGTTAAACAGGATGTACACCCAGAAAATGCCGTAGTTCCTCCATCGCTCGCTGTATTTGATATTGACGGCCGCCAAGAACTGGTTGCTGTCTGCGAGGGAGCAGAAGCGGCAGGCAGAGGTAGCTTGTTTAGTGGCGTCGGTAAGGTAGCCGCCCGCGGCGCTGATGTAGGGCGCGAGATAGGCTTCGCAGGTGGTGGAGGCGGGTGGGTCGAAGGTAAGGTACTCGATGTCGGAGCAGACGACGGCGGTGTTGGCTATACCTGTGGACATGACGCCGGAGACTAGGTATGTAAAGGGGGAGACGCGGTACATGAAGATCCAGAAGCGGGGGAATTGGTCGGGGGAGGCAAGGACACTGTTTATTTATTAGAGTATTTCAGTGGGGAGGGGAGAACGGGACGTACCCATTGAAAATCAAGCAGAGTGAGAAGAGGAGTTGAGCGAGATTGGCTCCTGCTTCTGCGGATTCGATACCGGCGATGATCATATTTGTGAAGGTAGAGGTGAAGAGCAGGAAGGAGAGGATAAATAGGAACATGAGGCCACCACGTTCAGTAACGGCGTCCGTAGCTTCCGCATTTCGGAAAAGGCCAATTGGATAGTACCAGGTAACGAAAATCAAGACGCCCATGAGAGAGTTCCATGGCAGCTCGACGAGGATGTTCGACACGATGAAGACTTGCCAGGAATAAGTCTTTGAGGGACGTTCGCGAACCTCGTAAAGCGAACGTTGAACGACGAAAAGAGGCATGATTTGTTGGACGAGATTACCAAATATAGTGAGAAGCATGAAGATAGCGAACAGTTGATTCTGCATTCCTTGAAGGGAGGTTGGTGCATCCCAGAAAGAAAATCCAATGAAAAGACCAGTCAGGACACAAAGGACGGTCTTGGAGTATAGATACGTAGGTGTTCGCCAGTATTGCTGGAAGACACGTTTGAGGACAGTCCACATTTGTACAGTGAATGAAGCAGCGTATGGATCAAGGGCGGTCGGGTCTTCGACGATTTCCTTTTGAGAGAGGGTTGCTTTGAGTTCGGCAAGGTGGGCCTTAACCTCAGCTCTCTCGGGGGACGCATTCCAGACAGCTGGCCAGTCGATGGTGGTTTCGGAACCAGGGGCAGCACCAATAACTTCAAGCATGACTTCAGCCGGATTTTCATCTATCCCAAATTTCTGGGAACCATTCCGCTCGAAATAAGCAGTCAAATCTTTTGAGTCTTTACCGATTGGGCCGAAATAAACAGTCTTTCCTCCTTTGGCGAGGAATAGAAGGCGGTCGAACTCTTGGAACAAGATAGCTGATGGTTGATGAATAGTGCAGAGAATAGCTTGTCCGTTGTCCGCAAGCTTACGAAGGAGGGCGCAAATAGACCAGGCAGTTTGGGAATCTAGACCAGAAGTAGGTTCGTCGAGGAAGAGGAGAAGGGCAGGCTTAGCGGCAAGCTCAACACCGATCGTCAATCGTTTACGTTGTTCAACATTGAGACCTGGTGGAATTGTAAGCATAGCTTTGACAGATTGTATAAGGATAAATAAATACCTTCACCTGGAACACCAACGACAGCGTCGGCATAAGCCTCCATTTCCAACACCTTAATCACTTCGTCCACATATGCAATCTTTTCCGCATGGGGTGTAGACTTTGGCTGACGCAGAACGGCACTGAAATTGAGAGCCTCTCGAACGGTAGTCGTAGCCAAGTGGAGATCCTGTTGCTGGACGTACCCGGTTTTTCTCTGGAATCCAGTATTTCGTTGACGTCCATCAATTAGCATTTCACCAGTAACAACTCCCATAGTGGTACGACTAGCGAGAACATCCAGAAGCGTAGTTTTACCTTGATAAACGATTAGCATTTACTTCAGAGCAACAAGAGCTAACCACAATCTTACCAGCTCCGGAAACACCCATCAATGCGGTTAAGGTTCCGGGTTTGACCCATCCATCGACAGCATCGAGAAGTCTGCGAGGCTCCTTCTTAATCTTAATGTCGTAGTTTACATTATCCCAGTGGAAAATGGCCGTTTGTTTTTGAATGCTTGCGGGGGCGTCAGGTGTTGTCTTCGTGCGAGTGAGAACCGTCTCGGTATTGATTCGATCATCCTCTACCTGGGCTGTTTCTTCATCGGCTTTATTGGAACCCATATCGGGGATTCGACCACGTCTGAAAAGAAGAACTTCACCCTTGGACTTCTTAGCCGAGATGTATTCGGTTGCAGTGAGATAAACGGCACAACCGCCGACCACAAGGGCGAGTAGGATACCAAAGTTTCGCCAGAGGTGAGAGTATTCGTACTGGTAATTGACCCTTAACCATGTATCTCCGTCGACAAAATCGGCTCCAGCGGCAGCTCCGGTTGTCGCACAAACACGTTCGCTTGGTGAGGAGTTGAGATACGCATCTCCCATTGGAACAAACTGGACACAATCCAATCGTCGACCAGAAAATTCGTTAACCATAAGAGCTTCGAAAGCGTAAGCGACGGGGTCAAGGTAATTAATCCATCTGAACCAGGGGTGCATATTTCGTGTGGGAATTGCGAATCCAGTATAGATGATCAATGCCAGGATAAAGATAGCTGCAGGAGCCATGGCTTGGGCTAGAGTCCTAGAGAGAGAGGCGATGGAACGGAAGAACATGGACATGACCAATGTACAGGTAAATGTGAACAGCAGGAAAACGAAGAAGGCTTCAGGAGTACGTCTAAGATTGGTCATGAAATACACGATGAAATCGAAGATAAGAGTGACTCCAATCTTGTTCGGCAGATCTGCGATCATGGAGGCTGGTAAAAGTTAGACTGATAAAATGCATTAATAATGAAGGGGGTGACTTACCGATAGCTTCAGAAATTGGATGATAGAAGGCATATTTCGCTTGTTTCTCTACAATGGGTCGTTGGGCATACAAAGTGATGATCTCCAAAAAGCTTTGGAAGGCCGCCATGAGAATTGCAAAGAAGATAAGAGCACCACGACTGAAAAGAGTACCAGTTGTGTTGTCTAAGTTGTAGAAAACACTACTGATAATCAAGGCAAGGACAGCTTGGCCGAAGAGACCTGTGAAGAAGAGTGTTGCATCACCGCGAAGTCGTTGAAAACTCCTTTTGCAGCAAAGTGCGATCTGTTGTTGAAGCGAGAGTGTATACGGTGACTTGACACGCTGGGCTTTGGCTTGGGCAGCTCGTCGAGCGTCTTTGAATTCCTCCAAATGACCACCGCCAACTGGGAACTCCTCCTCAAATGCTTTGATTTCTTGCATCAACCGAGCTCTGTCGGCACTTTCGTACCACTTCGCAGCGAATTCGTCAGGGGTGAATGGTGTGAGGCCCTCAAACCCCTTCCTTACGACACGCTCAGCAGGACTGGTAAGCGAGGTCAGGAAGTCCGCCGTGGTCTGTCTTAGGGGGCATTCGAATCCCATATTGACGAAGAACTCCTTTGCGGCATGAATGTTTCCAAAATATATCTGTCGTCCTTCGTATAACACCGCTACTTTGTCGAAAACATCATAAATTGCTTGTGATGCTTGGTAAATAGCCACCACAGCAGCACATCCTGCCATCTCGGTCGACAATCTCAACGTCCGAACGAACTCCAAAGCAGTTGCACTGTCAAGACCACGGGTACTGTTATCCCAGCATTGTAGCGGACTACCACCAAGGGCGGCCTCTGCAATACTGACACGTTTTCGCTCACCACCTGATACACCACGAATGAAGTCGTTACCGACCTGAGTATTGATGGTATGGGAAAGACCGAACACGGCCATAATCACATCCCGCATGTGTGTCGCGTAAGCTTCTCTGGTAACGCCGGGGATTCTGTTTCGAGGTGTTCTTGCTAGAGCAGCGAATTCAAGTGTTTGGCCGACCGTCAATTGGGGGAAATGCACATCGACCTCGGCTTGGTATATACATTCGCCTCGGAAATCATTATGCATCATCTCCATAGGAATGCCCTGATAATTGATATTACTCTCGGGGTCGAGATGAAAGCCATTGGTTTCTCCACTGATTGTCTTGAGCAGCGTCGAGCATCCACTAGATAGATGTTAGCTTCTGCTTTTGTCAATTGCACAGCAAATCCCGCTCTTCACAAATGATACGGCACGTGTCCAACGTCGACGGTAGCTAGCTGCAAGTGCGAATCCATCTGTATGCCATGTAATACAGCAAGGGCAATAGGATGTACCACGAAACTGTCGTCGCACTCGAAGCGCCTCTCGGGTTGTTCCGAATCACTGGTAAGCATAACATTATAGGAAATTCACCCTTCTTACCTTCCAGGTCTTCCCAACACCACCAGCATTTCTCCACTCTTCACTAAGCCATCGAAGTTCCTCAAAATCTGAATCTTGGTTTGTTCTTGTCGGCCAATCATTCGCTTGAAGAGGCCTGGGAGTTCCAAAGGGTAATTTCCAAAAGTCTTCTGGTAATCGGTCGCGTTGCCAAAACCGTATGCGCTCAAATTCCTATAGCTGATGCCCGCAACTCGAGCAGGGTATCTTTCAGGATCGCGACTCTGAATACCCAACAGGTTTTTCGTCCACACCTTGTATGAGAATTTGCCCGAGAGAGGGTCGAGGGCAGGATTTTCGGGCCCATCGAAGGGATTGATGTGCTCTCCGTTCGCGTTCTTGATGGAAGCTTGTGTGATCGCGCGGGCGAGTTCGTGGACCTTTTCCCCTCCATCTTCTGACGATTCCGTGTATGACTCTCCTGGGGTTCCTTCCCTCATCATGTTCTTCTCCTCGTCGCCACTGGTATATTTACTCCGCTTGCCTTCCAAAGAAGCTTCCACGTCCTGAGCGACGGCTTGCGCAGAGGCTGGCCATCCCGGCCCAGTTGCCATAGCCATGTTGAAGAGCGCAAAAGGAGTGACGCGAAGTGAAAGGAGAAACAAGGACAAACAGTATCACCAAAAGTCAGCAAACGCGACCAGAGACATCTCCCACCATATGTACTCTTGACCCTTCAGACGGGGCAACGGTCGTATTCGGAGTTCTACCGCCAAACATGGCTCATTATTCGTCTCTTCCCGCCTAGGCCAGGACTCCACCTCCACGGACCATCCGCCACACCGGCGGGTCATCCATGTCAGACGAATTCTCCAATGAGCTGCATCTCTATCCGTGAGCAAAAGCGGTGGAGGGGCAGAAAAGGGGCCATGAATCATCGTATTCGCATCGCCAATATTGCTTGCACCTCTTGCACCCAATCGAAATGACAGATCCGGATGCGTTTGCTTGGTATTTCGACTTTGCGTTCACCAAACCACGGATTTGCGAGATGTCCGCTCCGGTAAGGCTCAAGATATTCGGTCCCGAGCGCGAGGCGGCGAGCTGTCATCTACAATTAGCCTCGTACGGGCAACGTCAGCAATAGTTGTCACTTCGACTCATAAACATTATTGAGGTGGAATCTTTTACTGGTAATAAGACGAGATGTGTCAGTCCGTACGACTAAACCCTTCACTTATTGTATTTACTAATTAAGATCGATTCTAGCTGCTATTACCCCTATCCTCTAACAAGCTCACATACATTGCCAAACAAGGTAATTGCTACAGTATAGCGCCAACAAAATGCTGATATAAAACCTTATCTCTCGCGTGCCTCGCTCCTCGCTAATAAAGTTCCCCTAAGATTAGCTATTACCCGCTGGCGTAATTCTAATTCGTCCTTAAACGTATTCGTGTTCCAAGACCCCTTTACCCCACTAATAAGATTCGTTTCCTGCGACAGAACTCCACCTCGATGGAGAAAAAAATGCCCGCTCACGGCGGACTTAGCTGTCTGGGACACAAAATTAAATTTAGCGGTCCTAAATTAACGACGACTCTCAAAATTGGCAATCGCTAATATCAATGGGCAAAGCAGTCACCGGCGAAGAGCAAAGATTCGTTGCTTACTCTGACGGTTCTTGGGTTTCTGCAGAACTCATGTTGTGATGAAGAATGCTAACGTCAGCGCGAGAAGCCAAGACGACTTGCGTACGCATGCGCTCTCATCATCTCACGTCCTGTTCCAAAGAGTGCCAATCGCACATTAACATCTAGAACATTTTCCGCCCTGTTCCCAGATGCTGCAGCCTCCCGTCGTGTCACAACCCAAACAAAATATCCTTCGTAGGACCAACGGCTGTCGATCAAATTACACAAATTCAAACGGTTACCGATTCACGTGCTTAAGGGCCGAGTTCTTGTATCATTGTATTCAAGACAATTTGGCAGTTGAGTCTGGTCGTTGACGCTGTGCCTTGATTTTCACAGAACGCCGCATGCGCGCGTTGTAGATACGAATACTCGCTGTCAAACGAAGACGAAAACGATGAATTGCCTTTCCATCATCACGAATGTCCGGGGTTGGCTCGTCAGAATTGGCGTTCCTCAATTCGTACTGCGGGGAGTTTTCGCGACCGAGGAATTACAGTGTCAGCTACTTGGGTTGTGATAAAACATCAGCCATGGGGTTTATAAACAAATCAGCCGGTGAAAGTAAGTGGATGATATCAGCCACTTATTGGGGACATGTACGCACACGCCAATAGTAGCTGGTGACCAGCGATGTCTTCCTATGGAAGGCTCGGCCAGTCATGATCATCAGGATGATATCAGCCATTATTATTTGGTCGAGAAATCCGAAATCCCGAATACGCAGATATAGTGACGACCAGTCATATCACTGTATGTACGTTATATGAAAAACTGTTTGGTTTGGTACTTGTGACAGCCCCAAACCTGGTATGATACAGCTTCTCGGCCATATATAGAGGTCAGCTTTCTGGCTAAGTATCCTTCTCATCGAAGGGTGGAACGGTTGACAAGCTACGGTGAAAGTTCATGTGAGTGAGGTACATGAAGAAGCTCTTGACCTTGACGATTTGGATGTTCCAAATCACGATATAACACACACATCACCAGTCTTTCCATCTCAGACATTATGAGATTCGACATCCCAAACTGTAAAATTAGTCACAATTGCAACTAACCTATGCACATCTCTTCACAAATACCACCTTCCTACCTCTCACCTCCTCCACCTTCACACTCACCAACCCCTTCCCCTATAAAAGTCTCCACGAAAAATCTCAAACAACACTCTCGCAAACAACTCTCCGAAATCCCGGCGCTCGAGAACTCGGCCGTTATTCCACCGTCTCGGAGACATTTCGCGCTGCTCGATCTGTCCGACCACGTATCAACACGTGGAAATGAAGAAGTTGAATTGGAAAGGAGCTTGTAGGCCGGAGAGTTATTGTGGAGTCGGGTAGATGTTGTGTTTTGGCTTGAGGTGAGAGTTTCCGTTAGGTGGTGTTGGACTTGAAGGGGAGGAAGTGGGAGTGGGACTACATATTTATTAGTAGTATATAACGACGTAAAATGGCATAATATGTCTGTTGTATCAAGGCAAGTAAGGCTTTCCGAGACTTGTTGGTAAGAAGAGAGCCCACATCTACTCAAGAGACTAATTACAACTTCACAAAAAAGGGGTAAGATCTTACATGCCATCGCGAGAGTCAAAGGCAAAAATCGTTTTGAAACCAAAGAATGACTAGAGATTTACTTGGATTTCGATTCTTTCCTAAGATAACGATGGAGCTATGAATAATATTTATATGTATTGGAACAGATTGATCTGTACTAAGGTTGAGAGATAGCATTTCACACTTAGATGACACAAGAAGCGGATGAACTCGGAGACTTGTACGGAAACATTTAGAACAGAGAGATATTGATGATCGGAGAGATACGTGAAATTTCAGTCCCTAGATTCCTGTACAAAGACTTCTGCTGTTTCAATTTCTCATCTGTAAAGACTTATTCCTCGCCAACCCTCAAATACAATCCACACATCTACTCCAAATCACTTCATCTTCTTAAATCTCCCCTGAATACTCAAATGGCCGACATAACCCTCCCTTTTGTACCGATTTGTTAGTTTACCAGGACAAATGCTTTAATGTTTTCGCCTATACCTAGTCGAAACGGACTTCCAGGGACAAATTCAATTCCACTTCCCCTCAATGTACCTCTAGATCCTCCAACCTTCTACCAACATTTCAACTACCTCAACACCTAGCCTGTTAATTAATACCCGCCTTGCAACCCCAAGTACCGGATATAGAATTACATCCGACCCTCCGCTCCCACAACTCTATCCAAAAGCTCAGAAATAAGCATTATACTTGGGATATGAATTCGGTATCCGATCGTTTTCCGTTGTGGTGTGGTTGGTGTGATGTGTATTTATGAGATGGGGGATTTGGTGAGAGATGTTGTGAAGTAGAAGAAGTTACTCGTCTGGGCCTTCTTTCGTCACTCAATCTGACGATTAGAAAGAAACTCACAAAAAGGAGAACACGATTGGACAGAATCAAGACGGAAATGACCTGAATCGTGAGATACTCGAGTCACTCAATCCAATTAAGACTTCGAATTCTATTCCTACATTCCACCAGCATCTTCTCTTAAAATTACAAAGACCCCCTACCCAACCTATTAACTCTCTACTTTTTCACCCTCCCAGACCTTCTCCTTCCAGTCGTCGCAGTATCATCCGCAGGCTCATCTTTCACCGCTGGGGTACTTTTCGTTTTCTTCCCCTTCACACCACTCGGCTCCTCAGTTTTCACTTCCTCCTCATCCACAACCGCCGCCTTCCGCTTCTTCGAAACATTTGGTTTGGGCTTTTCTTCCTCGACTGCACTGGCCTCATCTTCAGACTCTTCCTTCACAGCCGCTTTCTTGCCTTTGGTGGGTTTCTTCGCAGCCGCGCTCTTTGCCTTCGTCTTCGAGACACTAGGTTTAGGCATCTCCTTCTCCAGCGCACTCTCATAGTCCTCATTCTCCTCCTTCGCAGCAGCCTTCTTGCTCTTGGTCGCTCTTTTCGCTTTTGTTTTCTTCGCGCCTTCCTCGCCATCACTACCCGCATCCTCCTTCTTCAGATCCCCCGCCACTGGACCAGTCTTCTTCTGCACACTCGGCACAATAGCACTAGTCCTCCCACCAACAGTAATATGCGTGATCTTAGCACCATTGGGCAAAGTGTTAGTCGAGTCTTTCTTACCCTTTCCCCAGCGATGTTTGAAAAGCCAGTCGTCAGGGAATTTGCTTGAGTCAGCTAATGCATCGATGGCTGTGGAGCAGACATAGTAGATCGAACTGTGGAGCTTTTGGATTTGCTCGGTGCTGAAGGTGTCGCTGTATTGTTCGGGGTGGAATTTGGCGTGGTATAAAACTTCATCCCTTGAAAGTATTAGTGTGATAGAAAGCACTTTGAAGGTTGACTTACCCAACCCAATTTCCAATCCCGCTGATATTAGCTTGATCTAACAGCAGAGCTTTGATCGGTACATGTTTCTTCCTCATCTTCGCCTCAAGATATTCCGCAGTAAAAATATCCTTATCAAGTACAGGATCAGGTCCATTTTCCTTTAACGGCGAAGTCTTCCTAATGTCTTCCGCAACACAATCAACCAACCGAATTCTCGCAAACCGTCTCTTATCCGTAAACGCAGCAGCTTCGCTCGGCGAGCCATCAGTTTCAAGAGTCAATTTACTCCATTTAGGCGGCCACTCTGGGTCTTCCTCGACATCTGAGCCATTCTGTCTATAGTGACCAGACTTATCTCCACGGACGTGAAACCAGCCTGCCATTCCAAAGTGAAATACCGGGTGAGGCGGAGATGACAATATGAGCCAAAAGTATTTGCCTTGCCGACCTGCATCTAGGACTTTCTTGCCGCTCAAAGCTTTTTGCACTGCAGCCCCTGAGGTACCCACCTTACCGAAGATGTTCGCATCGTCAACGGCGGTGACTTTGGCAAGTGTTTTGCCTACAATAGTCCTCTTCAGATTGTGCACTGCGCGCGCGACTGGATCATGATGTCAGTGAAGCCGATCGGGTATATAAATTGGAAGAGTGAGAGCCTACTTTCTGCTATTTCAGGCATAGCAAAGATATTTGATAGAGCAATATGATTTTATAGTTCACAATGTCTCATGAAATGGTTGCAATATGGTGTTGCGCTGCGTTTGCGCTCAAGAGCTGACACGAGATAGCCGCGAAGAAACGTGACCATCTTGGTGCGACAAACTACCTCGGCCCCACGCTATCAATGGATGGAACTACCGGCAGATCACAAGCAATTCAACCACAACCTTTGTCCTTTAACATTAGCCTCCTCCCTTATACCATCCATATCGAACCTCCATCAATCACTCAAACCCACGCCGTCCTGCCATCGGACCGTCCCCTAAAATGGTTTCCGATTCTCTCATCTACCACCCCAGCGTGGCCCATTACCTGAAATTCGTCGCAACAACCGTCGGTCGCGATAAACTCCTCCGAACACTCCAATACTTCTCGAGATTCTACGCTTGGTATCTCTTCCGCACGAATGCTACACCAGGAGAGATCGCACCTTTCGATGCGATCAAGAAACAGTTCGGGCTGGCGCGCAAATTGATGAGGGTGGGGAAGAATGTAGAGCATTTGAAAGCCGCGGCTGTAGCTGCTGATTCAAAGGGACTGGACCCTATTATCAAGTACTGTGCGGTCGGAAGACAATTGGGATATGCGGGATACTTGTCCCTTGATACGATCACGGTGTTGGATGCTGCGGGGATAAGGAAGAGCGAGGCGACGAAGAGGATTCAGAAGGAGGCTTATAGGTGCTGGATGTTTGGCTTGTTGTTCAGCACTATGAGTGGCGTCTATTCTCTATACAATCTGAGATTGCAGCAACAGAGGGTTGACAAGAAGGATGGAGAGGGTGTTGTGGCTAGTAAGAGAATTGAGAAGTATGTCGTGTGTCCCAATTTGAAGATTGTTTGCTAATATCATACAGGGAGCGAGCCGCTATCAATCTACAACTTCTCTCAGATCTCTGCGATCTTACAGTTCCTACCTCCGCTATTGGTCTGACGAGCTTTGATGATGGATTCGTTGGTTTGGCAGGAACAGTGAGCAGTTTGATCGGTGTTTATAGCCAGTGGAAGAAAACGGCTTAAGGAGAAGGAACCCTAAGATAGGTGGAAAAATGTATGTATTTTGGAATTTGGAATATCCGGTTGCTGGAGTTACCTCTCATAGTACTCGAATTGCATTTTTTTTATCCCATATGTTATTGATCTGACATCTCTATTACACACATCGTCACCCATCGTATCGTGAGTGGGACTAGGTGTACAAATGATGGAATGTGTGTTCCTCAAGCTAGCGTCAAGTTTCGTCATGTGTATCGTCTTACGGCATCCCGAGAATTGATAGGCCTATATTTGGTATTTCCAGTGGATTTAGCGCGAGGATCACACCTATTCCCCTTCTCAATGCGCCTTTTCCAAGGACATCTGAGTCGTGGATTGTAGATCACGCGATGAGGGGAGGGAAGCGATAGTACCGCATAGCACCACACCAAGAAAGATATACTTTCTAAAAACCAATACTTCAAACTAGACAAACCTTCCTGGATACTCAATCTCTCCTCTCTTAATCTCTCCTCTCTTAATCTCTCCTCTCTTAATCTCTCCTCTCTTCATCCACACATCCACACATCCGGACTCACCACTCATCCCCCCACGCCCACCCGGATGCCCTCCGCAACTTCCCACGCCCACGATAACCCACCGGAACAAACCCACCAAACTTCCTCCAACATCTTTAATACCACCAGAGCCGCGGTACACGAATTCCCCGTGGGCTTTGACAGCTGTGCTGACGGAATATTTTTCTTGACTCACAACTGGTATCTAATGTGGATATGCCTTGGGTGGAGATGGAGAAATGAAAGACCGTGAGGAATGTATGGTTTTTGTTTTATCTCCGCATGCGGAAGACCTGGATACAACGGCATGAAGTGAAAGCTGCAAGATCACCAGAGTGATTAAACATGATAATACCTCACAAGTAAAGTTTCTGGCAGTGAGGTAAAAGGTACAAAGATACAAGGCTTATCGCATTATCGTAATCGCCGGTGCGTACAGCACACGACGCTACCCCGCATCTCCAGTGTGCTAGAGAGTCCGGTCTGTTTGACGTGTACTGGACTGATATGGAATCGTGATCTATAAAATTGACTCGGAAATAAGTTGGAAAGTATGTGTAACTTCAGATCTTCTTATCCTGCAATTTCAAAGAGAAATATGTGGAAGTGAGATATGGCAATAGCTCCGTACGCAAACGGTATGTAACCCAATGAGTGAGAGAGACGAAAGAACGGCAAAAGAGGCACAGAGAAGAAGGTAACACAGAGATGTTCATATACATAAGTAGGAGTCGAATCTCGGGAACCTGCAATTCAAAAAGCAAAAGAAAACTCGGGATTCGGGGAAAGGAGGAGGTGCCTTGCTCTGCTCTGGTGATGTTCACCTGAAAGCAGAGAGATCCTAGTTTCCGGATTCAATCCTCCCAAATATGCTCCCAGAATAAACAACCACATCAACCAATAAGCACCCTCGAATTAATGAAATAGCTACACAAAACCAACGATGGTTGGTCAGTGAACCACCTAAAAGCCAAAATCCTTGGACATGAATTCCGGACTGACTTTCCTCGTGCCTGACACTGACCCCGCTTCTGGCGAAGCAAGCAAGCAGCAAGACGAGATGTGACAACCTACGGGGAGAAGGGGCCTCGACACCACAAAGCATAACTTAAAAATAAAACACGTCCCATTCACACTCCTCTTTCAACCATAAACTGTCCTGATAATTTTTCTTCATTGCGGCCCAACTATCCATCTCGACCGTCTTTCACATGCGACGTATCTCAATACATGAAATAACGCTACGCAATCAATTCCCCGACGTCTCATTCGCCCAAACCCGCGAAACGACCCCTCCCCGGGAACCAGAACTCCACTTCAGAGCCCTACGGAAACGAGAAGGAGTCGACGACAACCACGTTCTTGATCGCTCCCACGGCGAAATTCGGTAGGAAGGACCGGCGAGTGCCAGGCGCGAAATTAATTACCCTACAAAAGTGAGTCGAGCCGAGAGATGGCTTCAAATTTTCCTATTTCGCATATCTTCTTCTCCGCGACCGCACCGAGTTGCCATGGCTATTGCGTTTCCTCAAGTCCCGGGTTTGCCCAGACGTTTCGAAGCTACTCCACCATGTGCAAGAGAAAAGACCCATTTCATCTATCGCTTTTGTACCCCCAAGCTTAGATAGGAAGGAATGTAGCCAATCAGTCGAGATGCTGGGGTTTCAATACTCCACAAGACGATACTGCATTGGCTCTGCAGAGCTTCTTTCAACAAAGTTGATTCCTTGATATAATCAACATGTCTCCCTCAAAGTACCTGAATTTTTGCTTTCCCAGCATAAAAAACTGTTGGCTAACAACTTTCCTTCTTTCCGCGGGCTTTAGCCGTCAAGCTGGTTGACTTTACTATAATCTTCCACTCTCCTACTCCCCTCCCCTCTGCGATGTCGACCTCGAATTCCATCAAGCAAGCCGCTGAAGCAGCACGCGGAAAAACCACCGAAGCTATGGAAGCTACCAAAGCATTCGCAGATTCTGCCAAGGCAGATCCAATAGCTGTCAAGAATGACTTCCTACACACACCTTTCATGCGAGCAGCTCTACCATTTATCAATGGCGGTGCAGCAGGTATGGTGGCCACCACGGTGATCCAGCCAATCGACATGATCAAAGTACGACTGCAACTAGCTGGTGAGGGTGTCAAAACTGGCCCAAAGCCATCGCCATTGTCTGTGACAAGAGAAATTATAGCGGCGGGCAAGGTGATGGATCTATACACTGGTCTCTCCGCAGGACTTCTACGGCAGGCCGTATATACGACAGCACGTCTCGGCTTCTTCGACACGTTCATGAAGAAATTGACAGTTCGGGCGAAAGAGAAGGGAACTCAAATCGGTTTTGCTGAACGTGCTGCAGCGGGTCTATCGGCTGGTGGACTTGCTGCCATGATTGGAAACCCTGCAGATCTAGCATTGATCAGAATGCAGTCGGATGGACTAAAACCGCTCGCTGAAAGAAAGAATTATACTTCCGTTATTCACGCTTTGCAGAGCATCGCAAAGTCTGAAGGGGTTGGTGCACTTTGGGCTGGTGCTGCTCCAACGGTAGTTCGAGCAATGGCTCTGAACTTTGGCCAGTTAGCATTCTTCTCAGAAGCTAAACAAAGATTGAAGGACACGAATATGAGCTCGAGGGCTCAGACTTTGAGTGCCAGTGCGATTGCGGGATTCTTTGCGAGTTTCTTCAGCTTGCCATTTGACTTTGTTAAGACAAGACTGCAGAAGCAATCACGCCGAGCCGATCGAACCTTGCCGTATAAAGGAATGGGCGACTGTTTCAGAAAAGTTGCGGCAGATGAGGGAATTCTGAGATTCTATAGAGGATTCAGCACGTACTACGTGAGAATCGCGCCTCATGCGTAAGTCAAACCATCTCCGTACAAGCAATATAGACTAATGGATCAAACAGGATGGTGACACTGATTGTTGCCGACTACCTCGGATTCATCACAAAGTAACTTCCTTTGGGTGATCGAGATGGTGAGGTTAGTTGTGATTTTGGCGTCATGAGTATACATAACGGCTGGAGTCGGAGTTGGGATGGGGATTTGGATACGACCAAGATACCTGAGCCAAAAATGCCAGGTTGGTTAGGTTAATTGAGATGCTTTTAGCATAGGGCAATGTATATTTCAGAAGCCACCATGACGTGCCAGAATCCGTGCTGATCAGTCGTGGGTTCGGCTTGACAATCTTGCGCCAATTTCCATAACCATGAACGCAATGCTGTATGATTTCCATGCTCTTCGCAAACGACGGGGCGATTTGAAATGGCAGGCATTTAAATCATGAGATGTTAGTCTTTCCGTATGCTCCCCCACCTGCTTTCCTCAGTTCCAAGGCCCGTTTGTATGGAGGGGCAGTTGGCGGTTGTATAGGGTCAAGCGCAATCCGGTCTTTCGGTAAGTGATATGAAGCATCAGCATCGTAGGCAGACAAATCACCACAAGCCAAGAATGGAGCAATCCACCGTCCATTTCTTCTTGCTTCAGAATCGTCATTCGGAAGCCTGAGTTCAACAATCCCATCTATGTCTTCGTCTGTCGAGACAGCTAGCGAAGGTTTGATCGACCATGTCCCTGTTTCTGGATCTTGTAGCAGTAAGGAAGCAATGACCGGTTCCTGCTCCGCTTTTGACCTTAGGATGTTCTCTAGCTTGTCGCCGACACCAAGAGGTTCTTCTAGACTTGGTCTGTAGCCTTCTGGTGGCTGAAAATTCAAGCACACAATGAAAGCTTCAACGCTACTTGCTCGACTGGACCTGGGCTTTGATACCACTACTTTTTCAAAGAAGATGCTTAATTGGGAGTACAGAAGGTCGACATTTCTACCTCTGAAAATCTTGGCTACAAATTTTCCTCCGGGACGCAGCACACATAGAGCTAAATTCAAAGCTGCGAAAAGGAGCTGAGACTGCACGTAAATATCAAGGTCATGCAGACCAGTAACATCGGGAGCACCGTCGGATAGAACAAGATCAACAGGATGAGATGCGTGTTGTGATTTCGAGGTAGGATCATATGTCGGATCCAGTGCTTTTAGCAGAAGCGGCACTGTTGCAGGGTGAGTAATGTCTGCCTTCAATGTTATGATGCCTTGAAGCGGGCTCATAGGCTGGAGATCGATAGCAACAATCTTTACATCTTTTCTGGGCTTCAATTCGGGTGGCTCCTCATCTTCCAGTTCGATATTTCGTTGTGGTTCTGTTGGCGCAAATACACCGCGCATCATTTGTGACAGCTTGGCATCTTGATCTTCCCATGCTTGACGACCGAAATTTTCGCCTTTGATTAAGACACGGGATAGAACTTGGCTCCAGCTTCCAGGAGCAGCGCAAAGGTCAACTACTCGAGTGACGTCTTTGAAGAGATCGTACTCTATGCCATTGGGTCAGCGATGGTCAATTGTAGGCCATATGTAGTGGGTGGAAACTACCTTCATCTAATTGCAGGAGCTTGAACGCACTGCGCGCTCGCCATCCTTGCTCCTTTGCAAGTCTATAGTAGGCATCACGTTTGTCCTTCGAAGACTTACCCATGATGGCTACATCAAAGATCCTTAAACAAATGTGGTTGACGGGAGCTGTTGTGACAAAAAGTCGAAATGCCTTTAGCTGCAGGTCGGGGGTTAGCGCGGGGTCGCATCGCGCTAGTAACTTCTGCTACGAAAAAAAGTTCCAGACATCAACAAGGCAATTTATAAATACGTTGACAGAACACCAGTGCTGGAATCTGCGAAATCTGTTATGGCTTCAGAAGTAGCAAAACGTTCTGCGCCAAACACTGGAGGGGGCTCCAAGAAACGTCAAAAAATCAAATCAACAAAAGATGTTCCAACAGTGCAGAAAAGGCCGGTAGCCATAGATGCGCTGCCTTGGAATGAGGTCAAGCTGCCAGATATGTTCGATGATGCCGAAGGATTCTTTGGATTGGAAGAAGTTGAAGGTGTTGAAGTTTTAAAAGAGGGAAACAACATAAGATTCGTGAGAGCAATGACAAGAAATATTAGATACAAGCTAAATGTTATAGGTCTCCGCGAAAGCAGCAGATGTTGAGTACGAGGACGAATTCGAGGGGTTCTCCGATAACCCAGAAGAAGGTGTGGTAACCACAGCAAAAGATAAGGCAAAAGACGACTCGGTTCTCGAAGAAGGTTCACATCCATCAGATGAAAAGCGCGCAACAGAGAAAAAGGATACGAAGAAGAAGAAGGACAAGAAAGCGAAGACGAAGAAGGCTCTGGAGAAAGTCGAAAATCAAGATGGAAACGAAGGATCAAAATCTGATCACAACGAGATGAATGTTTTCAAAGCATTGGCGCAGGACAATGATGATAATGACGGGACAGATGTTACTGCTTGGTCTGGGTTGGACTTATCGGGCAACATGCTGTCTGCTCTTTCAATATTGGGTTTTGCTAAACCCACCCCAATTCAGTTAGCAGCCATACCAGAAATTCTAGATGGCCATGATGTGGTGGGGAAAGCCTCTACAGGATCTGGAAAGACCCTGGCTTTTGCAATTCCCATAATTGAGAGCTGGTTAGAAACATATGGAGAAATGGAGGACGAAGACGAAAAGAATGTCCGTCTGCCGACAGCGCTGATTCTGTCGCCTACCAGAGAACTCGCGCATCAGTTGACAGAACATATAACCGCTTTATGCAAAGGGCTTGATAAGTCACCATGGGTAGCCGCTGTGACTGGAGGGTTATCTGTACAGAAACAACAACGCCAGCTGGCAAAGGCTGACATCATAATCGGAACTCCTGGGCGTCTTTGGGAAGTGATGAGCTCAAGTATTGAACTGTCAGCTTCATTCAAAAAGATTAAGTTCCTAGTAGTCGACGAAGCGGATCGGCTGCTTACTGAGGGTCATTTCAAGGAAGCGGACGAGATTTTGACCGCTCTAGATAGACAACAGGATGCCCAGGAAGGCGACGAGGACGAAATTCCAAGTCGACAGACACTCATCTTTTCTGCAACATTTCATAAAGGGCTACAGCAGAAACTGGCTGGAAAGGGGAAGCAAGGGTTGATGGATGATAAGGAATCCGTGGAATATCTTCTTAAGAAACTAAACTTTCGAGAAGAGAGGCCAAAATTTGTGGACGTCAATCCAGTTTCTCAAATGGCCGAAGGGTTAACAGAGGGACTGGTAGAGTGCGCAGGCACCGAGAAGGTATGTTTCTACCGAACTTTTTGAAGCAAAATTTAATTGTCGCAGGATTTATACCTATATTCCCTACTTTTATATCATCCAAATCAACGCACCCTGATCTTCACTAATTCAATCCACTCGGTTCGCCGTTTGACCCCTCTGCTCCAGAATCTCAATATCCCTGTATACGCTTTACACTCTCAAATGATACAAAAAGCTCGATTACGATCCATTGAGCGATTCTCGTCTCCTAAGTCTCCTGGATCAATTCTTGTTGCTACTGATGTTGCCGCGAGAGGTTTGGATATCGGAGGGGTACAATTGGTCATCCACTATCATCTTCCGCGAACGGCCGATATGTATGTCCACCGATCGGGTCGTACAGCTCGAGCCGAAGCCTCGGGATCCAGTATACTGCTATGCGCGCCTGAAGAAGTCGTAGGAATGCGAAGACTTGTGGCAAAGGTCCATGCCCAGAACGCGATTTCTGGTGGCGGTAACAAATCCAAATACTACATGAGGTCTCTGGACGTAGATCGAAAGGTGGTTGCAAGACTCAAGCCACGGGTTACCTTGGCCAAGAAAATTGCAGATAGTAGTCTGGCTAAAGAGAAGAAAGGCCATGACGATGACTGGGTGAAGAAAGCTGCAGAGGAGTTAGGTGTGGATTACGATAGCGAAGAATTTGAAGCTGCTGGCGGACAGAGAAAAGGCAGAGGGACGGGTCGAAAGTTGAAAGAGAAAGAAGCAAGAGCTCTTACTAAGAATGAGCTTGGAGCTTTACGGGCGGAACTGAAGAGTTTGTTGTCTCAGCGTGTAAACGTTGGTGTTAGCGAGAGGTATTTGACATCAGGGTCTGTAGATATCAATGAGCTTTTGAAGGGGGCGAAAGGAGAATTCCTGGGGAAGATTGACGGGATTGGTATGGAGACTTAGACGAATTGACAATTTAATGAATATTCAATCTAAGCATACAATATCGGTCGTCGTCCGGCTTCTGGCTTGAAATACTTTTGGCTTTCACTTCTGTAGGTCGCGAATGAGGTGACGCTACATTTGGTGCTGTTACTTCTGAGTGCTGACGCATGTTGAATTGGCGGATTTCTAGGTTCGCGAGGGGTGTCGTTTGTTGCCAACATGGTACCTGAGGTCGTAGATCAACTGCTCTTGAGCACGCGGGAGTCTCCCGCCGCGAGTGGGTGCTTTCCATACTCAAAAGTAACAATACTGTTGGCCACTCGAAACAGTCCCAGCCTCCCTTCAACTTCAACAAATTTGTCAGGTTGCCCAAATAATCTTGCAAGTAGTTCCATGTTTCGAGTCGATGGTTCCATGTAACTACCATTTGTAGGATTTTCTCCCGGACCTATGAGAATCTCGTCTGAAAAGTTAGGCTGCGCACGTTTAGGGCAAAGCTTCTCATCAATTTTCGCGGGTGATGGCCATTGTTCCAACCGCCAGAAATATTTGTATGGGCATACGAGCATAGAACTCGTGAAACACAATTGATGACATTCTGGATATATGGTGGTTCTATAGCGACGCATTCTGGGAGAAAGTTTTTGAAGGGTCAGAGGTGTGGCAAAGGAGCTATTATGGTTATATTTGGTAAGTTATCCGCTGATTTGTAGAACAAGGCAGGGCTATTCTGAGATATTGAGCAATTTATAGAGAGATTTGATATCTAATGCAGCGATCAGAAAGTTCTATCCATTATGAGCCCAACACTTTCCAATCATAAAATGAGAAGTGATCCAAACGTTTCGGGATAAATGACCAGAGGCATGAGTTAGTTATTAGTTGCCAATGTAGGACCGATGGAACTAAAATCACTGAGTGGAAAGTCATCGCAGAGTCATGTGAGAAAAGCTTGAATGACTGTATAGCTCGTTTTCATTGTCTAAAATGTTAAAAGCTTGAGAGCGGGGAGTTTGAGTTTGCTATCTTAAAATAATTAAGTGTGCTCCAATTGATCCCATAGAGTCTTCGAAATTTAGAAAGAGATCTGAGGTAGACTTCTTGTACTAACATGTGTCTAGAGATGTCGGGTGGTGGAAGCGAAGAAGTTGTGTGGGGCCGACTCGTGCTCACGCGTTTCGACGCGTCTCAACGTGATGACGTTTGTAGATCTCGGATTCAAGACAACCTGGAATTCTGCACTCCGACAATCATGGCACCAAAAAGAAGAGTCAGCGCACCTGCGGGTCGTGTTTACAAGTCTAGTACCCCTCTGCTTCAGACCAAACTGCCAGTTCCCAAGAAAAGGATCACATATGGGAAACAAGCGGGACCTCGGGTCCCAAAAGTCGATAATACCCTGACCCAGATGGATTTTGTGTTTATGGACCGTCTGGACAATGACGAAAACGAGGATGAGCGGGACGAGGAAACTGGATTTGACGCGACAGAAGAACAGGATATGGTTGAGAAGGCATCGAGGAAGCGGAGTCGGAAGAGAAGGAAGACTACTGGTGATGGGCCTTCCGCGACTCCTCAGTATCATACGCAGACTATCACTCAGCTTGACTGGAGCTTTAGCTCAGCATATGATGAAGAGGAGGACGTTACAGCCGAGGAACCTTCGAAGGGCGAAAATGCGAAGGGACTGCCTACAGAACAACAGGAGGAGGAGCCAGAGCGTGATATCTTTAATAGACCAACTTCATCTCAATCTAAACCTTTGAGGAAATCGAAGCGTGTTACAGAATCAAAGAACAAATCGCCCACGAAACCACAGTTGGAACCCAAAGCAAACCCTTCATATTCTATGCCTCCGCCTCAGACTCCCCGGCGCCGATTGCCACGCGAAATTCCTTCCTCTCAGTCTCCGGCCACACCTATTTCGGGAACTCGGACACCTCTGAGAGAGCATCCTATAAACAGTACACCCATACCTTTCTCTACTGGTAGGACCTTGCATTCGAGTCCTCTGAAGCGTCCACCGCTTGTGGTACAAGACACGTTCGAGACTACCACAGATACCAGTACGCAGATACGTTCAACTCCTTCCAAGCGCTCTAGTCCCGCGAAAAGTGTTAGATTTTATATACCTGAAGAACAATCAAATGGATCTGGGGTAGAGGAAAATCTAAATACGGCAGATGCAGGCGATGATCATCATCCACTGTCTCCATCTTACGAGAAAGGATCTGATATATTCCAGCAGTCGAATACACCGGGGCCCCAGCCATTTGCAGAAATACAAGATTCCGACGCAGAAGAATATGAAGAGCAGGACGACGAGTCTCAAGTAGAAGACTTGGCCGCATCGTCTCCGACACACGACTTGGAACCAGTTAATGACCAGGTTCACATTGAACAAACAGCTGTTGTTTCAGCGGAGGAGGCATTGGTGGATGGAGAGTCATCGGCGGACCGCGACAGTGGTTCAACATTAGTTACAGATTCTGTGATACCAAATACGGGCACTGACGATGGTGGTGCGGAAACGTGCTACGGCGAAATTGGCCTAGAAACACAATTTGGATTTGACCAACTTCATACCTCCAGCGTCGACAAAAACATTCCAAGTGGTCACGACGTACTTACCGAGGAAGCCGATCAACCTTCAAGTCAATCTTCAATGATCCGGACTCAAATGGAAAGTCAACGTCTCTCCACTCAACAAGTGTATGCAATGAAACCTAGAACAATAGACTCGGATATCTTTATCTCTGTAGCACACACACAAGTTTTAGAATTCTTGGATAGAAGCAGAGACCATCTTACCAGGGCTTGGGAAATTCCACCAAGGACGTCGAGAATATGGATGTACGAACCTAAGCCAGCGTCGATCCTCCGATATATGGCAGAGATCGGTCCCATTAAACGGCCAGGCCATCTTACCAATGAGGATGGGAAAGGAAATGCAGACTTCAACAAAAAGAAGGCCAGCAGCAAGTGGACGGCTTGTGAGATCATCGAAATCTATGAGCTTGCCGATCCACTCTCTTTATCCAGGCTCCAAGCCAGCGAATGGCTGATGCAAGGCCCCAGGAAGTTCGATAGGGTTCCGCCAGCTGTGCTTGACCAGTTGATGGCCAACTTAATGGCGCCTATTTTTGCCACGGCAGAGGATGAAATTCTTCCTTCCTCTAGAACTGACACCCAAGAGGTAGAAGCCCAACTTATGAGTACAACCCAGCAATACCACGGATCGAGCGCCCAGAACTCATCGACATCTGTTCCGCTTTCATCTATGCCGTCCAGTCCACCTCTCAAGTACCAGGTCAAAACGGTAGTTGGCCACGTTGACAGGTCCTCTCGTGATATTTCTACGGCCTCGGAGCACAGCACTGAAAGTCATCGTTCTAACATTTCTGCTCTTGAAATTGTGACCGAAAGCTTGGAAGATGAAGAAAGGATACCATCTAGCCAGCATTCAACCCCTAGAAAAGGCACACAGATTCGTCCTTCTCAGGCAACAACTGTCGATCTTACCCAGACACAAGATCTAACTCCTCGCCAGCAATCACCCAACGAAGTTGTCTTTGAATCGCCAGTGCGGGTTGCTCGCTCGAGCTCGCCACTCAGACTTCCAACACCTAGGAAATCTCATAATCGTGAGCAAGAAGCACCAGAGTCGCTCGTGCCTTTCTCTATGGCATCATCACAGCTTTTGAATAGGATGGAAGCGTTGCCGGATAGCTTATTGGCGGATAGTGTGTTCGTCGAGCCACCGTTTGTTGTAGATTCTGATGACGACTTGGATGATTAAGCCTGTCACTTAATTGGGTATTGAGAGTTTATATGTCTTGGATAAGGCAGGCATAGATGGGTGTGGAATACTTGTTGACTACCATTTCACGAGACCAATGAACCAGGAGCAGTGTTTCTGGAAAATATTTGATTTCGGGGTATCAACTACAACACCTTAGATAACGCCAATTACGAATTATGACCGTATGACCACTTGCAATCATCAAACCCCAACTCAAAATGCTGTGACAATCGCTGTTACCTTTCCAAGTCCTCCTTGAACTTAGACCTCCTCCTCTTAATCCCACCACTGCCCTCACCCGAACCACTACCATGACTACTTTTCCTAGCCTCCTCCTTACTGATCCACTCCAGTTCTCCTTCCAACCTCTTCGTCAACCTCTCAAGCACCCATTCCGCTTCCTCTTTATTCCCCATAAGAGGGCTCCGCTTTCCAACCCAACTCCATTTACTCTTCTTCTCCCCAGCTTCCTGACCACCCCCAGCACCTCCCATTCCCTCGCCCTCAACGCCTCCAGCATTCTCCAGTCTCTCTTCTGTGAGTTTTCCGCCCGCCGCTCGTCTGTGGTGATCAGCATCATCCTCATTCTCTCCTGCGAGTTTAAGATACCATGCCCACTCCTCAAAGGTGTATTTACGCGGTGGCGTAGATCTGATATGGCGCATGACACTCGATATCTCCCTGATAAGCAGGAGATGATAGTGATGTTTACTTCTAGGTAACGGGTCGTTTTTACGGCCACGTTCGTGGGCGTTCTTTTCTTCGATAAGAGCGAGATCTGAGTTTATGCGTTGCGCTGCGGATTCGGGGTCATCTTTTATGTGACCTCCTCCAGTACCTTCGTGCTGGGAAGAAGAGGCTGAAGACCGGCGTTTGGATTCTCCCAGTATTCCAGGGGGCATTTCTTGGATTTTGGAATGGAACCATTTCCCTCTTGTAAGTTTGTGGGCTGTTTCCATCAGATTTAGTCTTACGCCCTTTTCGCCAGGCAGCACGGTGAAATTTCCGATCCAGAGCGTAAGATCACGGATTCCCTTGATGATTGTATCGCCCATGTTGCTGATGAGGATAGTGAGACTAGGAATCGCAAGAAGTGACCAGAATACGAAGAATGCTTTGCCGCTGTTGGAGGTAGGGTAGTAGTCACCATAGCCGATTGTAAGGAGCGACGTGTAGGCAAAGTACATGGAGACGAAGTAACTCCAACCTTGACTCTTTTCACTCTGTTGGAATATAGCTGCACCGACGAACCAGAGTGCCATCCATATCGTACCAGATATAACAAGTGAAGTCCAGCGTCGCTTTTTCTGGGCACTAGCTTGAATTTTTCGCATCAACTTGAATTCTTGATGCCGTCTTTGGCGCTCGGTAAGAAGCTCAGGGTGGTTGTCCACAGTTCTGGTCGAATTTCGCGAGAGAGATGGTCGTTTCTCGTCCTTGATAGGGTTGAGGATCTCGTCCTTTTCTTTCTTCTGTAATTTCTTGAGAAGTCTGCGACGCTCTTTCTCAACCATTCGCGCTCCCATTTTGACTTTTCCCCGATCGAGAACCAAAGAGCGGATAGAACCAATTACAAGACCCAAAATTATGATACCTCCAATAGCGTACGGAAAAAGGAGACTTCGGCCCGTATGTGTGGTAGGTGTGATATCACCAATACCAACTGTAAGTAATGTAAAATCTGCGAAGTAAACCGCGTCTTGGAATTTCCATCCTTCAACACGAGCAAACACGGCAGCTCCTGATAGGAGATATACCAGAAAGCTGATGGTCTGTAACATAAGTGTACGTTGAGACATCGTAAGTTGAAAGTCCTTGTCATAGTGTCCCTTGTAAGCTCCATAAACCGTGACAAGCATGAGGCTCGCTACGATGAAATACAATCCTGCTGCAAATATGGCATAGTAGAATGCTTGGGAGAAGGCATGATTTTCCTTGGGCTCGATAGCTAGAGGGCCTCTCACGCAAGATGTAAGAGCTACCAGTGCAAAGGATGAGATGTACCTTAAATATGTCAGTCAGCGTCCCTATTATGATGTATGGCAATTCACCATCCGACGATCGTCACAGGCTGGGCAACAGAAAAACGGACCCTTTTCGCCATATTTAGAAGCAGAAAGAGATTAGATATGAGCGCAATGACAAGCTGCACCGCGTTTATTGCAATCAGCCTAATTATAATCAGCAAAGCGATCTTTTGCTGTATATAATGTGAACTTAACATTTGGGGTCAGGTAAATCAACCCCATCCGCTTCCGCTTTTCCTGGAGGTATTTCTTCTCTCCAGTGTACCGCAAGGGCACAGATTGAAAAAGCAGATGCCATGGGACCAAAAGTTCCAGCAGCAAGTGGAAATGCAGTGCTTGCAAACCACCATAATCTATACCGAAATCAGCATCGAACAAGAGTAATTCGACCGTCAAGACGGCTTCCCGAAGTCGAGAAGCTTGAGGTTAACCTGAGTGTACAAAGAGCAACTTACGCTGGCTCAAGAAAGGCTTGCTCATCTTCCTCTGCAGCATCCTTCTCGTCGCGCTTTTCATTTTCTACTCCTTCTGCATGATCCGCGATAGGTTCGTCAAGTCCGGGGTCGTTCATGTTGTGCAACTGGCGCCAAGTACACGTCGATCAATTTAAGGGTCCTTTTGTGCTAGTGTCCATCTTAATGTAGAACCACAATAACGATCTTTGTTGCTGATGTTATAAAGAAATCTGAGATTATGTGCCTTGTTACAGATTGACTTGAAATGACGTCGCTTAATCGCATTCCTTGGTTCTCCCTGCGGTCACCGGGTGGCTTCACCCCTTGCAGATATATCAAACCCGACATTGCGTTAGAGACGAGCAAAAGTAAAAATATCTGATGAAGACGGTCGCAAGTGGTGGTTGTGTAAAATGACACTGGTACGAAGAGAAGACGTCGCGACTTACTAAGGATTGGCTTCTAAAGCACTAGGCATAGCCAACATACAAACTCAGCTGCCTTCACTACAGAGGAGTTCAAGGATAGAATCGGCGTAGAAAAATCAACGTGGATAGACTGTTTAAGGCCTTTCTGCCACCGTAATGAGTCTGCGACAGGAGAAGTAGAGTGTTTACCGGAACTTGGCCCTCATCGCCTCGCTGGATTTGTTGTAAGGATTTGACTTTCGATGCTACACTCTCAAGGATACAGAACAACTTGAAAGCCACCTGGACAGAGGGCAGAGTTTGCCCAACAGCTTGTTTTTGATATCAAGAGCTTTTGTTGCAAGGTGATTAAAAATCGACGGACGGTCACGTGGTCTCCTGCCAATTTCGCGTTCGTGACGTCGGTTCTCAATCTTTATCTGCAGACCAACATCGTTATCAACTTCTTTTGCGTGCAGCGTTTTTTGTTTAGGTAGCATGCACTTCGCTTTTTCTTCGTTTCAATTTTGTCACATATACGCAAGTTGACATAGAAGTCCTCGCGCACCCGCTCAAAAACTGCCCTCCTTGCCCATCCCGAGAATCGATCAGCACGAGCTTAAACTCCGTATCTTTATAGTCCTACTATGAGCCTCCGTTATGCCACCCAAGAGCAGCCGAAGAGTGAAATCTCAGCCCGGAAATTACAACAATGACGAAGGGAGCGCAAGCGCAGCAGCATCTGGCAGCAATGATGCTTCGGGTGGACGGAGATCTACCCCTCGAGGGAAGGGGAAGGCGAAATCTACGGAACCTGGAAGCAGAAGTGCGGTGCCGGATGTATATAAGGAAATGCTAGCAGAGGCCCTTCCTACGCAGGCAAGCATATCGGAGAGGCCTTTGAAAAGAAGAAGGACTGGGAAGCGGAGTTCCTTGGAGGTGGCCGTCAGTCAAAAGGGTGAAACAAACCAGGACGTTGACCTTGACCAAGATAAAGATTTAGAATTCGAAGACGTTGGTCTACATCATTCCGAAGCGTACCTTTCCAGCCCGGAGAAGAAGCAACAGACAGCATACAGAGACTCGGACGACGAATCCGACGACGAAGGGTCGGAATGGGATGGAGTTGATTTTGGCAAACTTCCGACAGAAGAAGGAACCAGCGGCGACCTAGAACTTACTCTCAACATAAATACATCTCCCACACAGGCTACTACTTTCCGTAGAAGAGTTGTTTCAAAGGAGGAAAAGAACACGCGACTGGAACTTCATAGAATGCATGTCTTATGTCTTCTTTCACATGTGGCCAGTAGGAATACATGGTGCAATGACCCTGAAATCCACAAGACTCTCAAGTCTCTACTAGAAAAAAAGGTCTTGGCTGATCTACATCCAAAGGCAGACCTCTCTCAATTCGCAAAGACAGAATTTCTCAAAAGAGGCCTGGAAAAAGTCAATCGAACGTGGAAAGCAAACTTTAGTATCACGGCAAGAGGCCAGCGAAGAGCGCTTTGGGCTGATGATGAGCTAGATCTCACAAATGTATGTTTTCCCCCATGGACTTCAGTGATTCGTTTCACATCACCACGAACATGTTCTTACCCAGTTAACAGTACAAGCTTCCAGACGATGTTGAGATCGTCCTGAGAAAACATGATTTTAAGAATGCTGCCAAAAATCTTAAGGGATCGAGAGATATGGGCGCACAGCTATACTGCGCTTTGCTTCGGAGTGCTGGCTTGGATGTTCGGCTTGTATGTTCTCTTCAGCCATTATCTTTCAATGCGGGAGGCCCCTCAATGCCTAAGAGCTTTGTTTCGCCGTCCAAACCAGCCTTTGCAGACAGCGATCACATGGTGAGCAACCCAGCGACCATTGACTCAGCTGGTCATTTCCAACCACCGAGGGAGATTGGAACCAGTGTTGCCGGAATGTTTTCGAACCCTCGGCGGAGATTGGGGCATCCAAATGCTGCAGACTATGAGCTACCGCAGTTCAGCGCACCAGCGCAATCCCCGGTGAGGCTGAAGAAGAAGCCAATAATTGAATCCCCATACCCAGTGTTCTGGGTTGAGGTTCTTGATGAGGCACATCAGATGTGGCTTCCCGTTGATCCCTTGGTCACAGAGACTATCGCTAAAGCTCGCGCATTTGAGCCTCCAATGTCGGACCGAGAAAATAGCATGTCATATGTCATTGCATTTGAAGATGGTGGTAACGCACGAGATGTGACCAAGAGATACACCAAAACTTTCAACGCGAAAACGAGAAGAAACAGAATTGAATTTACTCATAAGGGTGAAAAGTGGTGGCGACGAACAATGAAACACTACCAGCGAGGATGGAAAAGCGATTTAGACCAAATAGAAGATATTGAGCTTTCCAAATTGGAAGCACGGGAGCCAATGCCAAAAAACATAAGCGACTTCAAAGACCATCCAGTGTATGCTCTAGAGAGACACTTGAAACGAAATGAGGTATTAGTCGCTACTCAGGCAATTGGAAAAGTGGCTGCGGGTCGTGACTCGAAAGTGCCTGGTGGCAAAAAGATGGAAAGTGTCTACAGAAGGCGCGACGTCAAGATAGCAAGGAGTGGCGATGCTTGGTATCGACTTGGGAGGGACATCAAAATGGGAGAGCAGCCAGTCAAGACAGTTGCTGCAAAGCGTCGGCCAGATGAAATGCATATTACTGACGAACACGATGAGCGCCCAGGTACCAATCTCTACACAGAAGACCAAACTGAGATATACGAGGCTCCACCGGTAGTCAACGGTCGTGTGCCTAAGAACTCGTTCGGAAATATCGACATTTATGTACCAAGTATGGTTCCCAAAGGTGGCGTTCATCTACATCGTAAGTTTATCTGGTCATGCTTATGAAAACCTGCTGATTTTGAAGACGATCAATCTGCTCGTGCCGCTCGACTTTTGGGCATAGACTATGCCGAAGCACTCACTGGTTTCGACTTTAGGGGCCGTCATGGTACAGCTGTTTTGAAAGGCGTTGTCGTTGCGGCCGAATATCAAGAAGCTGTAGAAGCGATTATAGCCGGCTTCAGATACGAACGTGAACGCGAACGGGAGTACGAACGTGAGATGAAGGTTCTCAACATGTGGCGTCGATTTGTCGTTGGGATCCGGATCAAGAATCGTGTTGATGCCTACGCTTCTGACGGTGAAGCCAACGATGAAAATCTGTCAGGACCGTCCTCGCACGGTGGCTATGACAATGGCAATGCTGTCGCGGATGATAAGGAATATATCGACGATAGCGAAGAAGGCGGAGGCTTCTTTCCTGAATGAACCAATCGACGATGGCACTCCTGAATCTTCGACCTTGGCAGACAACATCACACATACAGAACCCCAGAAAGAAATATAACCGCGGATGAGCGGGCCTCCCGCCGCCCCCACGAATGCCATCACGTGAAAATCCCTTCCTTGAAGCTCATTAGCCTCAACTACTGCGAGTCTTCTAGCTGTACCTTATCATCACCACTGGATCCACACGAAAAAAAATATCAATAATGGTTTAAGCAATGACTATAATTTGCACTTGTTCTTACCATCAAACGAAGGTCCGAACTTGAAAGATCAAACTCTAAATTCGCTGAACAAAATTCTCTCGGGGCTTCGAACTTACTCGTCAGAAGTTTGCTAGCTATGTGGCATGTCATAAAGACAGAATGTTGTTCTTGCAATTTCCAAAGTTCAATCAAATCCTCTCCACCTGATCCCAAGGTAATACTCACATATTATGTCGAATCTCTGAAGGGGCTCCTGACTCGAAAGTTGTTTATTTACTTTATATGGATCTGCCTAATACCCCACATGTTGTTGTTATTTCCCCAGGAAAGCAGCGGGTGCCACGAGCCAGATTCCATGGGGCCTTCGATATTGCGGGGCCTGAAAATCCCCCGAGTGGACTTATCGTCACTCGGCAGGCAGTCACACATATTGCCATTCTCTTTGGCAATTATTTGGTGACGGAGAATTCCAAGCTAGCGTCAGAACTTTCGGTTCATAACCTTGGTAACCCAAAACATCGAGCGGCCCGTCTATACCCAGTCAGTAGACTTACAAGATTGTCCATGCATGCAAATTCGACTCGGATGATCCGACCGAGATGCAGTCTGTGTCAGGCATCAAGACCTGGAAATCCGGTGCGTTCTCCTTGCTGGACTAGTCTGGTAAGAATCATGTACCAGATGACTGGAGAATACTGCACCCGATTTCGTTGGATGAGCATGTGTTGTTGCATCAAAGCATGAAACCTTTGTTGTCAATGACTAAGAAGCTCAAACAGTGTGGTCGCGGCTCCAAGGCACGACGGTACTTCCTTGTGTCTCCGTCGTATCCGCCCGGAAGGTACCGAACATTAAACGCTGAATAAACCACGATAACCCCCTTCCTGGAGTCCACTTGCGCAAAACCAGTAGTGTGTTGTATATGGGCTTTCTCTAGTCTCGGTGGTATTATGGCTTCATGTCGAGGTCACTTGGATTTTACAGGAACAGGATATTGACTCGCCTTGATCCAGATCAAAAGATTAAAATCTCGGATCATTTGTTTCCTGGACGAATGTAGTAATTTGTTAGTTGAACCACCACATCCATGACCACCATGACTTTACAATCTTTGCGTGTTCAGAGCCACTTCTCAGGTCAAAACCGACGACTGAAAGTGGAGTATTTCTATATTCATGCTCGTTATTCCATGAAACTGTAAAGGAACTTTGCTGATGAACCTCAATTTCTTTCCTGCTTCCATCGGAGATGACATCAATCGGTTCTCAGCTTTTTGGCCATATCAGCTGCACTTAGCCTGGATAGCATTCTTAGTGGGGTGATCCTAAGACCTGTTTAGTTTACGGAACCGGCTGATGGGCACGCTCAAGCATTGCTCATGCAAGTCAATAAGACGAAATCAAGGAGGAGCAGCCACTGCATCGGGACGTGAAGACATGTGCTATACGAACCGAGTCTGGAACTGTTTTACAGAGTGGTACTCCTACCATATGTACGCTGACAGTCTTCTCAAAGGGGAGCATCTGTGTCTCACGATTTCAACAGTCGGGCGCACCACGAGTCCTGCAAGATTCTGCGTTTGCCTTGACCTCTTTGGTCCTTTTTATTGGCAACTTCCTGTCATTCAACCTTGACGGTCATGTCTGATACGCGAGAGATCATAGCATCAATGGCTGCAGAGGAGAGCAGTATCCTTCCGTTCACGAAAGGTCTCACTGGAGTAGACTTGTGGTTCAACAGCCTCACTAGGTTTGTCGACAGGATGAGACTTTGATTTCCAGCAGCTGATCAGTCTATTAGTAATGTGCTGTACGGCTCTCTTGGTCTCATTGCATTATCGGTGGTTATGTTTCGAGCTACGCAGTTATTATGTGCCTACATCCGACTCATATCAACCGTCTCCCTTCCAGGTGATGGCCAAAAGTATTGGACGCACCCGGGGACTGTTTGGCCAAAACTGAAACGACAACTCCTCGTCGCCCCCCTCATCCGAAAGAGACACAACAAAGAGCTGCAGATCTCTGCTGCGATCAACGTGGGGACACTACCCTCGCGGCTTCACACGCTTTTCCTCTCTTTTTACGTGCTGACAAATGTGCTCTACTGTTGTATACTTGATTATGGCCACAAGGAGAGAGCAGCCTTATTGGCAGAAGCTCGAGGGCGAACTGGACATCTGGCTGTGATGAATATTGTGTCATTATTTATGTACTCTGCCAGGAACAACCCGTTGATTGCGTTACTCGGTGTTCCATTCGATTCTTTCAACCTGTTCCATCGATGGGTTGGCCGCCTGGTTGTCGTCGAGTCACTTGCGCATACCTTTTTCTGGGGTGTCAACAACTACGCAGTCTTTGGCTTAGAAGGACTAACCACTCGACTTCGATCGGATCCTTTCTTGGTCTATGGATTGGTGGCAATGGTAGCAATGGTTGTAATCATCATTCAATCGGCCTCTGTTATTCGACACGCGTTTTACGAGACATTTCTGCACCTACACCAGTTTCTTGTGGTAGTAATCCTTGCGGGGATACTATTACATTGTGAACAGGAGAAGCTGCCTCAGAGACCAACGATATATCTATTGATATCATTTTGGGTAGCCGAACGACTAACTCGCCTGTTACGGATATTTTATCGCCGTAGTGCAACAGCGAAGATCGAAGCTCTCGATGGTGGCGCTTGCCGAGTTACGTTCGACGTTCGAGGAAGTTGGTCGAAAACACCGGGCTGTCATGTTTATGTTTACTTTCCTGCTCTTTCGCTCTGGATGTCCCATCCATTCAGCATCGCATGGGTCGAAAGCATACATCAGAAGTCATGTGACAATTCTGAAACACCTTTATCAAACGATAGCGAAGATGATTTCAGACCGATTCCGAGGAGTTCACGAACTGCCGTTTCGTGCGTTATTGCTTGTCGAACCGGTATGACAGCCGCGCTCTACCGAAAGGCACGGCAATCACCAACAGGCACTATTAGCCTGAAGGCATTTATTGAAGGTCCGTATGGTGGACTTGAGAACATGAGGTCGTATGGAACAGTTTTGTTGTTCGCGGGGGGTGTAGGCATCACTCATCAACTCACTCATTTACGAGACTTACTTGGCGCTGTTGGGGATAGTACTTGTGCAACGAGAAAGGTAGTTCTTGTTTGGGTAGTACAATCTGCTGAGCAATTAGATTGGACGAGGCCATGGATGGAAGAGCTTCTTCGTATGCCGCGACGAGGATGCGAGTTCAATGTGTTACGTTACGTGACACGGAAAGCGCCAGAAACTCTGCACTCATATGAAGATATCGCCCTGAAGGACGAGACGGGGACAATAACGGTGGAGGAAGCAGAGTATCAGCCATCGTATTGCTTTGGTCGGCCCGATGTTGCCCGCGTTCTCAACAAGCAATTCAGAGAACGGGTCGGCGCTATGTGCGTTGGAGTCTGTGGTCCTGGAGGTCTTGCTGATGATGTTCGTGCTGCTTCGCGAAACCTTATGGAAGCTGGCAACCTGGATTTCTGGGAGGAAGCTTTCACTTGGTAAAGCTTGTTTTCAGGTCTTTATGAGCTTGGCATGATCCTCAAAAGAAGAGGTTGATTAGAGCGCTGGTGGCGTATGTATCAGGAAAGGATTTTTGGTTGAGACGTATTGGTCATATGGCCATGTAATTGGGTCTGTAATATGGTGCAGAGGGCGTTCTACCGGGCGTATCATTGATCCGAGCTTGAGAGTCGGAGTAAAGCAAGCGAGGTGCATGCTTCGCAAGGCGGAGTTTTAGATCATCAATAGATCTTGTCGATTGAATTATTCTACATGATACACAACATTCTCAGGAAATCTGTTTGTCAGTCATCAAGGATTGTAACTGGCAAATCATTGTGGCTAATGCAGAAGGCACGCTCCTTTCGTCCTTCCAGTCTGTCGTATGCCCACACAACAAGTTACCCAGTATCCTAGCTTATAGGAGAGTAGGTTTTTCACATGCACTCGTACTACAATCGCGCCACAATAGACAGAAGCAGTTTCACTTAATCAGAACAAACCTCCATCGTAAAGCACAGGTTGGAATGAGAATTGCGATTAGCCTCCAAGGAGGAATTTGATTTAGGCGAATATTTACAAAGAAAATGAGCGCTGCCCATAAGGCGACAAACATCTGAAGGAGCAAACGCACACCACGTGTGATCTCATCTAATATAATTACAAACATCGTTGGTATCTCCCAAGGTTTGTGGCACTGATATCCATTCCACCGCAGCGAAACACCAGCTCATACATAGCAATGCCGACATTGCATTAATATACCATCAGCACCATCGTCGGAGATTTTGACGCCAAGGTCTCTGCTGTGGTACGTCGAAGAAGGAAGTCGGTTTGCGATATACGACACCGAGGACGACATACTGGCAGTTCCACATTGGGACGATTCTCTGTGACACCCTCTCCTTCGGCGCTGTCCCACATCGTACGACCATCTTTCCACGTTGTCTCTCCACAATCCATGCATGCAACTCTTGCCACTAACGGCATCTCGTAGATTGGTTGAAACCCAGCGTCACACCTGACTGCTCGTGTTCAAAATCTACGTGCAATGACAAAGATACGGGAGGCGGTTTCAGAAAATCCTCGCAGGCGTCGTGGGGGCGAAGAACAGAGGCGAGTCAGCTTTCGCTTCTTGTGAGTTTCGTAAGATGACCTTTGTCAACCGCACTACATCTTTATTTCTTTCGAAACCGCCCTGACCGAGTAGGTGGTTCCAGACCCCCAAATTTCCTATGAAGTTTTGATAAATCATTGTGTCACGCTGGTAAAGACAGCGACAGCTTGATTGTTCGCGTCCGCGTTGCGGTTGAGGTTTCCGGTACTATTCTTCAGCCAACAATTCCCATCATGGCTTGTAATGCTGTCTCTGAGAGTAGCAGTGAAAGCCACAGCTTTACAACCATTGGCGTTGTTGGCGTTGTAGTAAGCACAGGATCGAAAACAATCCATTAGGGAGTATGTTGTTGTGGCTAAAATATCTGAGGTTTTTCCATCGACAGGTCCGAAATCTTGGCCGCAGGTAAGGGCGAAGAGGTATTGTTTTGAGTCGACGGTGACGAACTGGGTGGTACCGCTTAAGGTCTTGCAGTCGAGGGCGACGCGGATGGGAGTGGGCGCGACAAATGCATCCGTAGCTGTAGCTAAGTCGACCGAGGTAGGACTAGGTGCTGGACACGAAGTCGGAGATATTGTCTGAGTTATTGTAACTGGTAACGCCGAGCTGAAAATGTCAACTTAGTGAACATGAATTTAATAGATTTTTAGAGCCACTTACGCTACCGCATTCTTTCTTGCGTTGTTGACAGCCAGAGTTCCACCAACGCCTCCACCTACACCAGCTGCAACAATAACGAATATTAGAGCCAAAAACAAGCAAAAAGTTGCACCTCGCATTCCTAATATCGTTCGTTCGGGTTTTTCGTCCTTATAATCCCCATTCCCTGTAGGAGAAGCCGATGCTGTATAAGCACCTTTCTGGTGAGGTGATTGTGGCATTGGCGAATAGTTCCCATACACTGGTGGTTTGTTGACAACCTCAAGTCCAGCTGACTTATTACTGACGACTTCAAGTCCAGGCTGGACAGCCTCAGGGGATGGTAACGACATTACGAGTTTGTGTGAGATTATATGGAGAGAAGACTGCAGATTGAGTAAGTGGGAGAAGAGGACTTATTATCAAGAGAATGCGAACTGCGGCGCGGACTCACTGGCACTCATGCGCCCTCAGCCCATGTTGCTCATCTGGACTATCATCGACTTGTTCCATGTCTCACTGGGCTAACTGGGGGCATGATGGCGCGCTGAGCACAAATTATGGGGTCCAGGGGCAAGAATATACCGTCTGCGCCGCAGGCATGAAGCATCTAGTCTATAGTAGACTTTCACGTAGAACTCACATGGCGACATGAATTTGCCGCTCTTTTTCAACACCGAGGTGGTACAGAAATCCGTACCTATTCCGTGATTTATTCCAGGTGAGATTTCAACAATTCAACGGTTTTCATTTGCTGAAGATGAACGCTGGCCAAAGGACGATGTCTGACGATGCGAGAAGCGAGATATCCTGTACTGAACCTTGGGGTTGACAGCAGGCTAACGTGAGGCGCAGTGCTTGTGTCTGCAACAACTTCGTAAAATGCAAAGATGTGCACGCACGTCTTGGCGGATATGACTGCTCCCCATAGGCCAGCGCGTCAAATGATTGTACACTGAAGGTCTGAGCTTCTGGAGTAACCTGAACCAACAAGAGTAACAAGAAGTAGATCATTTTATATTCATTGGCCCAGCTCACTTAGGACAGGATACTTCTCGTTCAATCGGGCTGCAATCCACGAGAGAGTACCATCGTTCAAGCGTGTGCTCTACTCAAAACAAGTACTCCACGAGGTATAACCCGCTAAGTTCAAGCTTCAATTTCTGGGACAAGTTTCTGGGACCTGATGTCTGGCATGTTGGATTGATGCCTGTCTAGCCGCTGGAAGAATCCTTACCAACTTCGGCTCCTTGCCGAACCCGTTGCACGACAATACACGATGCCGAAGGCATCATTGGATCGTGAACGACACCAAATTTCAGCCTTAGATCTTATGCATTCGGGTAACTAACATGGCTGCAAATAAGCAGATGCATGCTAATAAAGGAGCCGCCAGAATGCTTCAGAAGATGTCTGCTTACTGCTATAATTATCAACAAAATACATTCCAACAAGATTTACAGCCAATGGCTGTCAAAAGACAGGCGCTTGTGATTAAAGGACTGGCTTTGTCGCACAAAATTTAACGGCTCCTCGGTTTGATCTGAATGTGTGGCGACTCAGCCGCCACTTTCATGAAGGACCCGACACCGACCGTGACATGAATCAACTCTTGTGCGTTTATCAGACGCCAAAGGGAAATGATACAAGTACGGCAATACGCAAAAGGAACCGGAGTCTGAGAATCAAGCATCCGGGTATAGTTTTCCTCCTATTCAAAATCGTGTAAGAACTCAAACTGCGAAATCTAAGTGGTCTAACGAGCATTCGGTTAATGCGCTGAGGTCTTCCTTTCCTTAGACATATGATCAACCTCATATGTTTGCTCAACCCGCTCGATCGGTTGGTTATTCTGATGACCATTTTTCGAAAGTTGTCTTCCCCCAACTGCAGGGAAACAGTAGCCAGGATGGCATATAGTCATTGCAAGAACAGCGATGACAATCATTCTACGTGATGGTTAGAAATTGATTTCATGCAAACGTGCTGATAGACGACTCACATTCCCTCCATGATGGTAAAACCTATCTCGTCCCTCATAATTGGATTTGCCCATCCGCCAGCCATCTCAGCAATTCTGTATATACACCGCGTGAACACAGTAAGGATAGCTATAATCATAGCGCAGAGGAATAATCGGGTCAACAACAGTCTGCTGAGTAATTGCGCTTCTTCTGAGACTTGGTCCCATGATCGTATTGTTCGTGTCGCGTAGTCGATAACTAGCACGATGAATACCAGCATGGTAATCACCTGGAAGATGATGCCAGCCAACATAACATCGGTTCCTGCGTCGAGCTGCTTTTGGTCGTCATTGGCGCTCCCCGCTAGTCCACCACCAGTGCCTCTGGTTTGAAAGTCAGTACCCTTTGTTTACCCCAATTTATGTCAAAAATCCAAATGAAGCAGGCTTACTGTAAAGTTAGAGCGATGACATCGCACACCATGAAGATGATCAAGTACCAATTGGGTGGAATTCTCGATTTCGCAACCCCAAAAGTCCTAACAACACTTTTAAAGACGACATAAATCGCAGCCGCAGTAAAGCTTGGAGCGAATATGAGGCAGGAGATTTGTATGTTGAACCCGAGTCCAGAGTATGGATTGTCGTTGAGCATAATTCGTCCACCATATCCTATAACCTCCGCTATGCAGCCTGCGACAACCAATGAGCCGAAGAAGTATGTCTTATAATATATCCCTAGCCCCGTTTGTATCAATGCGAGAAGAGCAAATATTGCTACGAAAAATGCATTGAGCCCCAGGGAGGGGTAGTATCCGTAGATAGTCTGCTCGACCGGGCAAGCAAGTGATACAGAAAGACATTCTTGATAAACCATGGTTCTGTCTACGCCTATACGGCGAGGCGTTAGATTTTGGGGGAATAATTTGATCGATTGCGGAGTTCTTTGACGCCCTGCGGAAAGAAGGTGCCGAAGCTATGAGTTAAGAGAAAGGTCGGCGAAACAGATATATAGACATTGCTTTTAGAAGCCTACATTGCGGTGAGTTTGCTTCGCATGCTGTCTATTGGGATAGTGTGATATGTGCGTTCGCGGCTCAGCCTCAAATGGCTTGGAGGCATTAGATTTAAGCGAATGCGAAAATGCAGAAGACGGGATGAACCAACCACATTTGCCCAAACGCAATCCATTCCAGCCACAAAGATATCATGCGTCATCAGATTATGGCAGACTGATGAGGCATCTGAGATACTGGCAGGAGCCTTAAACATGTGCGATTCTCTTGCAATTTGTGGTTATCACTTACGCAACACCATATATTTGCTATGCGCGTCTATTGGCAGTTGCATACTACGGTCAGTTCTCCGTAGATGACACTCGAATGCTACGTGGCTCGGCTTTCAAGCTCGAACTTTCCACTGAAAATGAAGAGCCAACGGCCGTAACACTCTCGGCCTTTTCTTCCACTGGTAGACGAAAAACAACTGGAATCTACCACAACTGAGGATGAAAGTTGCCCACCATCAGTTGGGAAACACAATCATCTTGTCGTGTCCAACAATCAACAGTAAGGGTAGCAATAATTGCATACTGGATGGAGAGAGGTATTGCAGCCGATATGGGCCGACCAAAACACAAATGAGGAAGAAAATCCTCTGAGTTGCTGACCACTAGGCGACAAACCTTACAAACACACTAAAATTCCTAAGCAGCAGATGTGCTGGCAAAAGCTTCATGTACGTATCACGACGCTGGTATCGCATTATCCTGGAGCAGTTCCGTCAATGGCCAGAGCGGCTATAAATACAAACTGGCATCAGTGCAAGAATTAAGTTATCATGCCACAATTTAACGGGCCCTGGCGATAATCCGTTTGGCAAAGCAATGTTCTCCGGGAACAAAAATGATAGATTCAAGCTAGGGAATCAAATTTCTCGACTGGCTACTGCTTGGTTCCAATGATCCAAGTCATATAACCCGTGGGAAAAGTGTGCTGGTCAGCACCACTCTTGATGGTCCAGCCATCGCATGAAGCACCACAACTTTTCATGAGCGCTTGGACTTCCTCGGCGCTTCTTGTCCTCAGAGAAGAGATGTATCCATCAACCACCAGAACAAAAGGTATTATAGGAATGACGTAGGTGAAGAAGAGGTGGCCCGGAGATCGCCAGAAGTAGAACGGGGTGATGAAAAACATGAGTAGACCCATGAAGAAAACTGTAATCAGGGAGGACATCGTTCGTTCTTGAAGTTCGAATATGCTAGATAATTGTCAGAAGTGTTCGGTGGTATCTGCACTGTTACTAACCCGAATCCATCTGCGGTTTCGATAGTGTTCTTCAGGATCGCAGAACCTAGCTGGTTGTCGAAGTGGTGGAAGGCAAGATTATATAACCTGAAAATCTTTTGTTCTCCGTTTCCATTGAGACTAGCTGGGGCATCAGCAGCATCAACGGATTCCGCCATATAGCTCAAGTTCTCGCTGCGCTTTGTTGCTTCCGTCCAGTCAGGTATATGTGGGTGTAAATCGGTCAAGACGAACTTGACATTTCCCTTGCTCGTTAGCAGGCTCTTCGTATTAGGCGTCCGAGACTTCAAGCCACTTGCAGAAGCTGTATTTGTGGTAGATTCTTCCGGTCCCGTAGAGGAAAGCTGCGAGTTCAAATCCTTCTCGATGAATGGTGTTGGTCCACCTGCGCCGGCGCAGAAATCAACATATGTATATTTCGTTACATCGTCGGAAAGTGCGCGGTATAAAGTGCTTGCAACGAGTTGCGCCGGTGATACTTTCTGTAGAAGTGGTGCTCGGAACGTCCAACATAATGTAAGGCAGGATTGAACTTTCTCTCGTAAATACTGCGGAAACCTATTCGCGAATCAGTCAATTGTTTCATTTCGACCCTCGTCACAACGTTGGGGTATCTCAGAAGGATTGACCGACCACGCCTGATCATTGATTTCGTAAAAGTGTATGCGGGGGCATAGCAAGACCATGGTGTGCTGTCGATGAGCTTTGCGTCTTGGGGGATTATGCAACAGAAGCTCTGGTGCGGTTGCGGAGAAAGTCAATCGTGTCGTTGACGTGTTGAAGTTTCAATGAAAGGAAGCTATTGATAGAACGCATAATACTCCGTCCACACCCTTCAATTTGGGGGTCATTTACATCATGATTAATTCACATCAACCCTCACATTTGTACAACCATGCATTCAGGGACGTTTGTTGTTGCGATTGTTGTCGCGGTGGTATTAGGGTCGTATATATTTCGAGTTCCGGCAATAAAGAGGCATGGTGAGATCTTAAAGTAAGTGTCAACCCAATCCTAGCCCCAACAAGATCAGGGAATGGCGCACGTCTTGTTCTCGCTCCCAGCGCTTTGTGAAGAGTGTCAATTTTAATAGGTATGATTTGTGGTTTGGCATGTGTGGCTAACAGCTAATTAGACGATCACCTAATACACTTCCGTTGGTCGGCAATGGCCTGTTGTTTTTACAAGCGCGCCACAAACTATTCTCATGGTTTGTGAAATGCGAGAAAATATTCGGCTTCGAAACTTTTCAGATATCAATTCCTACACTGCCTGGTGGTGTGGTAGTAAATGATCCGCAGAACCTTGAATACATTCTCAAACAGGAGGGAGTGTTTGCCAAAGGAGATTTTTTCAAAAGACGATCCTTCGATCTTTTCGGTAAGCCACGTCCTGCTCGAATTCAAATGATTTGTAGCTGAGTGCATCAGGAAATGGTATTATCAATGCCGATGGAGATTTGTGGAGAGTGCAGCGTAAAGCTGGATTGAATTTCCTAAATACTTCCAACTTGAAAGTGCTTACCGAAATCGCTCTTCCTAAGTATTTGAAGGAGAACATATCAAATCTTTCAAAATTTGGAAGCCAAGATGTGGTGGATTTACAGGCTGTATTTAATGAACTGACCACTCAGCTTATGGGGAAGATGGCCTATGATGTATGTGCATTCCTCCAATACACACGTGCGTTCTACTGTTGAACCAACTGACCCTGCCTTTCTATTAGATGGAGATGCATGATTCTGACCCTTTCTCCGAAGCGTTTGAGGTGGCATCAGCCGCCACAGGAGATAGGTTCCAGAACCCACTGTATCCGATCACAGAGGTATTCTTTGGCAGTCGTTTTCGAAAAGCAGTGAAGGTCGTTAAGACTTTCGGTGACGAAATAGTTGCGAAAGCTTCCGCTGACAGGAAGAGGTGTGAAGGCAGTGATCTGGAATCGAAAAGTGATCCGACGAAAGAACTTCAAGCCGTGTCTGGAAGTCTGATTGGATCGCTGTTAGATGCCATGCCAGACCATGATACGGTTGCGGACGCTGCGTTGAATTACTTGACAGCAGGTAAAAAAACTCTTTCCAGTATAGACAATTCGTTAATACCCTCTAGGTCGAGATACAACTGCTCAAACTCTGACGTGGGCCTTTTACCTAATGATGAGGCATCCAGGGGTGCTTGAGAAAGCACAGAAAGAGGCCGAAGGAGTTTTGACCGAGCACTCAGGCTCCTTGCCGAAGACCACAGATATTGACTCATCTGTATTTAATACTTTGACCCTTCCATACTCAATGGCTGTATTTTATGAAACTCTTCGGTTCTACCCGCCAATACCCTTTGAGCTCAGACAATGTCAACAAGCAACCACTTTGCCCGACGGGACATTCCTACCCGAAAGCTCAGTTGTTGTATGGTGTCTTTGGGCTATGAATAGGTCTCAATTAATATGGGGGGAGGACGCAGACGTATTCAAGCCAGAAAGATGGTTAGAGGATGGCCAATTCAAAGCGAGAACGGCATTTGAGTTTCCAGTCTTCAATGGTGGCACACGAATGTGTCTGGGGAAGAAAATGGCAGAAATAGTCGCGGTCCAGACAATCGCTACATTCGTTCTCTCTTTCGATTATAAGCCAGTAGACGGCAAGGAGAGGGTTACCGCAAATAGCTTGACTCTGCCGATGGAGGGTGGTTTACCTGTTTATCTGACAGCCAAAAATTAGTCCAAAGGAGGCGTTAGGTATAGCGCTCATCTCACGGCTAGGATTATGCTGCATTTGAAGTTCGTCAAATTCAGCTTGTAATGTATATAGACTTGGGTTTAGAATAGACTAATGCTTAGACTACAATTGCGCTACATTCATCTATCAGCTCGGTCCTCAGTAACCGATTCAATGTGTTCTCTTCTTTCGGACCAGTATCTCTAAGCATACAAGATATCAACCTTCCCAGTTCACAACGATTATTCCGGAAGGCGAATCCGGCGCCTGCTGCTTCGCACTTTCCAGTTTAAACCTTGGATCTGCCTTTTCAACGAGCTCTTTCCAATCTTCACCGTCTCTCTCTCGGGAATTAAACAGAGTGAGCATGAGAAGGTCCATTTCCCTTACAACAGATCAGCATAGCTCGCTACATCTGAATAGTGGATGACTTACCGGACACCTCTCTCCTTAGCCAAAGAAATACTCCCAGGTTCAGGCATCAGATGATCTTGAATCACAATTTTCGCGCCTTTTTTCAGACCCGGAATCAGATTCTTCAAGATCCGCGTGCAATACTTATCTGACCAATTATGGAATATATAGCGAATCAGCACAACATCTATATTTTTCACAGATTGCTCTTCAAAAAAGCTATGGCCCATAAGTGTCACCCTGTCTCTGAGTGACTCTGGAATTTGGTATGTAGCATCGACGTCAGTAATTACCTCTGGGAGATCTTGAACGACAAATTTGACTTTGGGAACAGCTGCGGCGACGAATGCGCTGACATGACCTTGAGAGCCTCCAAGATCGACGACGGTTGAGCCTTCTGGAAGAGATGACCATGCAAAGTTGTCGACTAGAGCTTGAAGTCCTGCTGTGCCGGCGCTGGACATGACTGCACTGAAGCGCTTTGCACGCTCGGGGTAATCTCCAAGATATTCGTAGAATGGTTTATCGGTGTTGTTCGCCAGTGCAAAACCCTACCTCCTGGTCAGCCATGGTCCACGTCATATGGAATATAATATACTTGCCGAAGCATTAGGTTCCTGACTTCTTCTAAATTTCAACAACGAATCAACAGTCTATTTCACATTAGCATTACCACTTTCTATACGAGACATCGTAAGTCATACCCTACTCTGCGCAGGCCACACCTCATCAACCCTCAATCCAACAATAAACTTCATCATATCACTCTCTGCCAGCCGTCTCGACGCAGCGGAGTGAGCCACAATTCCCTTTCTAGGCTCCTTAAAGATGCGGTAATGCACGATGGCATATCTTACGATCCTTCGAAGATCATGTTCATTAAGCTCACAACGCTCAGCCAGATCCACAAACGAAATCTCCCCATTAATAGGAACATTTGAAGCAATTTTGAACTTTGAGATCGCCGAGATGGTTGTTGTTTCTACCTAAATCGATACGTTAGAACAGAAGAAAGCTTGCGGGAAATGGGCTACTTTCTGGAGGTGAAAGTAATTCATCTACGCCGCCTATAAGCTGTTGAAGTTCTCGAGTTGCTTCCAGAAGTTCTAAACGGGCTGTTTGGTATTCTGCGGGAGAGTCTTTGGGAAGAGGTGTTGTTGGTGCGTTTTCTTCGAAGGATAAGACATGATTTAGAGAATTAAGATAGGTATCAAGCTTTTGGGTATTAGTAGAGATAATGTTTGATAATTCCACAATTCTAGAAGTTGAGCTCATATTGAACGATGGCTTATTGGACTAGACTAAGTGTTGAGTTTATATTATCGGTTATGGTTGGAGAAGCGATGGGAATCGCAAAACCGCTCCAGATTAATATCTCATGGAATACTCCTGTGCCGCATCGTTTTACTTGAAGGTCCGAATGCCAGTGATAGAAGCACATTTTCAAGCATTCATCCCGAGGTGCCTCCACCCACCAATTGAATTGTCGTCAGCTCAGTGCATTCTCCCACTTTTGGAAGGTGACAGGAAGGTGACAGGAAGGTGACTCATATCTGCTCTCTTACTACTTTTAGCCAGTACAACAACATATGTCCTGCTTTAACTGGTTGGAAAGCTGCAAATAAACTCTACTTGCTTCTCCCCAAAATTTTGGTAAAGTTAAAGGAAAGTTTGCGTTGCAGTACATCGAGACTGTCTATTAATGATTGTTACGGTTCTGACCATTGAACTGTGATTCTGAGTCTAACACACAACTCAGCTTCGAGCGCAAGAAGTATTGTAAATCTTATGAACTATCCAGAGCAGCGTATTGTATAAGATGACTTGCATGAATGCAAGACTATCCCAGGAATTCCGAGGAGTGCAAATTCTTAGCATTGATGAAAACTTTCCAGCTTAAGTAAGTATCTGAATCGTTTGGGTTGGAACTTTGAATATCCATGCGAAGGCAACAAGCTATCCAGCAAGACTAGTCAATGCTGATTAGTGTCTGCTGCCTTCTTCCTACCTAAATCAGATTGCTTTTCTGAAGTAAAACAGAACTCCTTCAAATAATCGTGAAAGTCCACGTCGGCCAGAATCCCCGAACAACTTCCCTATTTGCCGCGCTTCGTAATCTTTCAACTAGCTTAAGTTCCTCTGTTATTGAAGTTTCTGAAAGATTATCACATTCAGAATAAGTATTATTGCCACTTTCAAAACCATCGCCAGCATGATTGGATGAATTGGCATAAGAATGATTGCCATCATTGAATTCATTGTCAGCGTCATGGCAAGCGTCATGCCCTTTGTCATTGTCAGAACCACTGTCGAACTGCTCATTAAATCCCACATCAAATTCACCAAGAAAATCATCACAGGGCTTCGCTAAGGGCATAGTACAGACCAGCGCAACTCGACGGTAGACCACCTGCGTTGCACGATTGGTGTTGAGCCGTTGCAAAAGGAGTAGCACTTGTATCGGTATCGTCTCATGTACTTCCATCAACTTAACAAAAGCGAATTGATGGACAGCGCGAGTTCTAGGAATGACGACAGAGCGGCCAGTATGTGCCAATCTTATCGCTGGCTCGGTCAAGGTTATATGCGCAAGCTTCTCAATGCCCCATGGAGGATGGCAGTCGTCCTCTAGCACTAATTCAAAAAGATGTGAAGGTGCCTCAAGAATCAACTTTCCTCCTTCAATATCTCCAAACACGTCTCGAGTTACGTAGTCGATTTCGACGTCTATGACTTTTGCAAAATGAGTAGATCTGTGAGTGAGATGCCTCAAAGGCAACAATAACTCCATAGAAAAACTACTCAGCCAACTCCACGAAGGCCAACTTTTTCTAGCAGTAGCTTCCATTAACTCTTCATCCGAGAGATGTTGCGCATCGGTGACCCAAACCAGCCCACGTAACATGTCTCTCTTCCACAAACCAGCACAAAAGTCATCCTTCAGTGCACCTTGAAATTGTCTGACGAACCCCGCGATTGCTGGCAAGCAATCTTTGACGAATGTGAAATCTCTCCGAGAGTAAATTTGTGATAATAGATACCACATGTCATAAATCTCCTCGGTAGGAGGTAGTCAGGGATTTTGTGCGATAGTGACTGTCTGACTCTCTGTTTCTGTTATCAAATTTTTGAGACTTTTGAAGAGTTCCTGGAAATATTCAAAAGTTTGACGATCTGGGCTAGCTTCCTTAGCTGCCAGTTGAGAGCACTGCCATTGCATTTGTCTTGATGAGTATAATAAGATCCGTGTTGATAACAGGTGTTCCTGAAAAGTCCAACCGCGCTTTGCCCGAAGAGATCGCGATATACGGGATTCATCATTGCGAGGATGGCGCACGACTATTGGAGATTTTGCAGTTTCCCCAAAATCTGGATGGCGCCAAGGTAGGGTGCAGTTCCAACCGGTCTCTCTTTTATTTAGAAACCCTGAAGACACACAACTTGTACTTGTTGCTGCGATTGTCAGGATAGCATTCTTGTATATATCGCCCATCAAAGAAGCTTGTATCTCCCAATCCCTTTCGCTGTCTTGAAGAATACACAAAGCGTCTATCCATAAGTATTTAAGCCCTAAAGCTCTTGTAACAAGAACAGCGTCACGAAGGGTCGAAGGGAAGCTCGATGAGGGAAGGCCTGTTTGGAAGTCTGACATTGACCTCTCCGTCAGCTTGAAATCAGAATCGCCGCCCCAGACATAACTCAAAGCAACCCAATTTCCGATTTCATTCTCAGAACTCAGATACAATCGGGGGTCTGTAGATGATTCTCCGACGTCTAGCACCCGTTTTGGAAGGATTCTCTGTAGGCTTTGCTTAGCCCTACACTCGAAATGTTCGTGAAGGCATTTTTCAAGCCACCGGGTACCAACAGACAGACACACGTCAGAGCCCAGGTATTGTGGTGTCTCATCCTGAACCAACTGGTTCAGAAGACTTTTGTCTTCTAGCGGCATTTCTTCACCTTATGCAAATTAGCAGTACCCATCGATCTTTCCTGCTCCCTCTCACCTTTTAAAGTGCATATCTCAAGTCTTCTTGGAACATATCTAAGATGTCCAGGGTCAACCACGACATACAGAACGAGTTTCGAACTGAACTTCGAGTCAACGACAAGAAAAACAGGTCCATTTTCCCATCTTCTAGGCCATTGAGGTGAACTGCACAGGAATGGAAGGGTTTCGACCTCAAAATCATCACATCCCCAAACTAAGCGACAAAATTCGCAACCGTCAATGGCTGCATCTCGGAGTTCTTCAAAGCTAGCATGATGTGGCTGCGTGTTTGGGCTTGTAAATATATGTTCATCACCGCTAGTCGTGTATTCATTGCTCGTGTTACGCACCCATTCGTGATATGCCAACACGAGGCTCCGGATATCAATACGCTGGCAGACTTCGCAGAGAGGCATGGTTAAGATACCAAATGACAAGGAATTTGATAAAGCAATTAAATATGTCTCTCGCTCTGTCGACTCAGTTGGGAGAGAGTAGAGAAGGAAGATGAAAGATAATACTGCGGGGTAATGAGATGTCGCTATAATCACCCGAAGAGTCAGGCTGCTTTGGGCATCAATGTTGGGGTCCAAACAAATCCCTTCATAATATACGTATATAGCCCCCTAAAGTTCAAATGCATAATGAGTACTTTTTTAGGGGAAAGATAAGTAATGAAAAGTCGCGCTTGCCAGATACCTAGGTAGTGTTCACTGCATAAACAACCAAAGGATTTAGTTCACTCGAAAGACTAGCCGAGGCTATAGAATACATAGTCACACAGAACATTACCTCATTCTCATCTCAGTCATCCTTAGCTACAATCCCAGAGCGAGCTCTCAGGCAAAGTGCTCGGTAATGCTGGCTGCTGACAGAGGCAAGGGCAGAGTAACTGAGTTGATACTTAACGTGTAATAAAAAATCACAAATAGAATTAAAAAGTCCAACCAAAACTTAGTGTATTATCGATTGTCAATACATTTTAAATCATATTCTGTTTGGTACTGTTCATTACATCTCCTCAAGCAGCCTTGGTGCCTTTTCAAACTATTACAAAAGCGGATTGAAGGGTTGCAGTGTAATATGTTTGGATATCATAAGTACAAAGAGTAAAACCAAACAACCTACAACGCCAATCGTCCAGCGATGATCATCAGATGATCATCCGAGTAAAACAAAAGTCAGAGGTAACTAAATTGACCTCGCTCAAAGCTAGTAAGCGAACCTTCTGAGAAAGCTGTGCATGGGAGTCCAAACTAATACGTTCTGTGTAGAGTCAGTCATTTACCCTGAAAATAACCACGAAAAAAGCTGGAGGAAGTTACGTACCCGGTCCTTGGAGCTATAGAATATTTAGCATGTACGTTGACAGCGTGGAGCGCGGGTGCATGTTCCTTGTTCCACGCCCAGTCAATGGCATCAGAGTGCGTTCCATCGGTATGCGATGACCTATTGGAATAAGGAACTTTTCAAAATGATCCATTCGCCCCGTAGCAGAACTTACGAAGAATTAGTTAAACTTTATGAAATGTTGGGTATCTTCTTCTCACCGATAAGCCGCTTCTTCTCTCTTTTGAGCAATGCCGTAAAGTCGTGCGTGGTTGGCAGGATCATATAACCTGGTTCCATCTCGATCGTGGTCACCAGGTAATTCTCGTGGGAGCGTTTACATTGCTGTTACTCCTCTTTCAGCTTCAGAGATCTTGAGTGTTTGGATGGTCGCTTGGTATTGAGGATGATACTGTTTGTAGGCATCCTGGTCGGCCTTGAACTTGTTACGGCTGTTCTGAATATCTGGTGCCCAATCTCGATTATCCCCACCACCGATCATTTTTCGCTGGCTCCCTACCCTAACCCTTTTTTTTGGCAAGACCGAATAGCCGTCAGGTGGGTATCGCAAAGAAGCCTCGGCTCTGTATGTTTGTTCGTCTAACTGTGTATAAGGTTTTCGGTCGGTGATAGATCGCTCACGCAGGACCTCAGGATGCTGTGGCGGAGAAGGACATCTTGGTGTAGTGGCCCACGAAGAACTTCGGTTGCTTCCAAACATGACGGAAAGAATGATTCCTGGGGTAAAAGCAAATGTAAGATTGTAAGATTACAAGAGATGAATGAAAGATACAGAAGTGTACGAGGAGACTGCTGTTTGAGTGAGAGAAGGTTTGAAAGGATTGTTGATGACTGGGAAGATTTTGAATAGCTAATATTGCTGAAGTGTGGAAATAGTAGGACTTTTATGTTCTGAAATACTGAACAGAGATTGCAACGCGAAGCTCATACTAGGGGGGGAGGACGGCGACTAGTTGACATTCAAGCGCCTGGTTTAGAGGCTTGAGAGCTGCTCTTCCAAGTAGCAGTCAACAATGAAACTCGACCAGGTCAATTTGCTGGCCGATAAGTTATTTTAAATATAAAGAAAGTGCTAAGGGCTTCCGAAACGTCCAAATGGTCCGGCGAAATAGTTCTCTCAAGTCGATATGCTCTGAACCCACTCTGGCGCGTCGTCACTAACGCGGACCTCGATCGAACTAGATTTAAAGGTTGAGGGTATATTTAGACTTACAAGGCTACTACAACGCGACCCAAAGGGTACGAAACGGGCCACTAGCTAAGCTTCCAGGTTAATCTCACAGTTGGTGTCCCGACTCCCGCAAGGTGGTTAATTGCTCGGAGAGCTGAGAGGGCAGTAGCCGCAGACAGTTGTATAGTAGATGTTTTCATGGCAGAGTTACGGCCAAATATGAACCGTTCGACAGGTATGGTTGGCCTGGTAGGTCGTCAGGTACTTGTGACCAACAGTCGCTGGCGCCTCACAGGGCGGTTGAGGTGCTGTAGTAGAGATCTTGGCGTTGCTGACTAAACCGACAGGCGCTGAATGGGCCACCAACCTCCCCTCGACAAGCTCCCTCTCCAGCGCTTAACATCTAATTTGATCTTTCGAAGGTTGTCGATTTTTAGAACACAAGTGATATCGACAGCACAGTGGATCTCATTCAAATGTTTATGCCACTTTCCCACCATTCTGCCTCTTTTTCTGTCCGTACGCTACCCAGAATTTAAAGGCAAAGTTGAAGTTCGACCTGTTCACGATGGCCTTACTCGCTACCTCAGTCCCTATGGACAACCGCAATAGATTTGACTCGCTACCAACCGAGATACAAGCTTGCATCTTGAAGAGTCTTCCAGACATAAAGACATTGCTGACTTTACTACGTGCTTCGCCTAGGTTTCTTCAGGTTTACCGGCAAGTACGTCAGGACGCCATATCCAGCATTGTTTGCAACCAGATCACCCCAGCTGCATTACCTCTTGCAATATCGGTGCTCAACCTCAAGCACATGAGATCATATCGGCACCCTCGTTCGGATGTGTTTACGTTTTTAGAGACCTTCAAGCAATCCCCACCAAACTTGCCGGAGAAACGATTGTCCCTAGAAAATGCAAAAGAATTGTTAAGAGTGCAATATTTAGTGGAATATTTTGTAGAAGAGTTTCTCACTGATCGACTTAAGAATTTATCCGAGCATCTCCCTCAAATAACCCCGGCTATGGTCGAGGGTAAGGAGGTGATTGACTTCACCGGCCTTGAACGCCAAAGACTATTTAGAGCCTTTTACCACATGGAACTATACGGCATTCTTTTTGAAGACTCCGAAACAATGACGGACAACATAACCGCGGAACAACAATCCTCTCTTTTCCTTACAAAACTCTCGGACTGGGAACAAGAAGAGTTTCTTTGCGTACGGCAATTCCTTTTCGATGGGTTCTCGAGTCATCTCGACCGCGTTGAAGAAGATTTTACAATAGCGTACAAAGAAGATGGGCCACCTGAGGATGTCGTCAACTGTGCCTACGACCACCGCTTCGATATCAATTATGGTGAGTTCTACTACTTTTTCTCCATGGACGGCCACTCCGCTGGTGTTCAATATGCTTGGATGGAGGAATGTTTACTTAGAGGTCTGCTTAACTGGGGAGACGTCTGGAAAGCAAAAGACGCCGACACAAGAGAAGATTCACTAGGTGATCTTAATCTTTTCCGTCAAGGAAATAATATGAAGGAAGCTGTCAATTTACTGCCTCTCCTTCAATACCAACCGGAAACCGAAATCCCCACGGGTCAGGACTCTATCGAAACTTCCAATGCTGCGTGGCCATGGGCATTGCAACAGTTGCCACGCTCTCCACTAGTTGTATCAGAATCTTGGTCTCGCATTAGCCAGTTTGAAGGACTTAGGAGCTGGGGTTATGCGATATGGAGCAACGAGACACTCGAATTATTTGGTTTGCTTGAGAAAAGAGATCCCGTGGGATGGGTTTATAACAAAACGATTCCCAAGTCACTAAAGTACCATACACCGTCAAGGTATGATAGAAAGCGGAGGGGCGGTCCTTCTGTGGAATCCCGTACTCACAGTTCCATTTACGACGTGTGGAGAAAGAAAGCTTTGGATGCTGTTCCAGTAGAGAAGCTGGTTCAAGAGACCACTGCAATTCGCTGAGTATATGGCGACTGCTGGAAGCAGATCGAACAATAGGTGTGGGAATAGACATGGCGAAAAGATAGGGAAGCCTGCGAGTGTTCAATCACAAGCACCGCCCGAGGATGGAAGTTATCAGAGGAGAGCACCAAGTGAAATAACAAGACCAAATGGTAAGTAGTTACATCAAGAGACTGTTGGATTACCTGAAGGTGAACTTCTCAACCCCCAATCGTCACCACCACTCACTCAAGAAATTAGAACCCCGAGAAGGATTCACCACGAGTACGACCCACGAAGACGATCAAAGCCTCCCATACAACCAAAAAATAACAAAAATAATAAAATAATAAACATTCAACAATTAAAACGGCAAATATAACATCACCTCCCCACCCCGAGTTCCCATCCCATGGTTCCAGCACAGGAAACCATCCAAATCTAGTAACTTACTCAAATACGCACATCTCGTATCTCATACGACCCACGTTATCAAATCCTACCTCCTGCGCCTTCCACGTTTTCTTATTCTGCAGCGGCAGTTCTAGAAGCTCGATACCATCATACCGTTGCAGTCTCCGAGATAAGAAGGGGGAGATAGCTGCATTAAGACAATTTCACGACCAAGCTGGGGAACGGAAATCCGTTTCAGGGAGGCGCTTAGAGACAAACATATAGATGGCGGGTGTGGAAGGTGGTGGGGGAGATGTATCTCCCACGTGGACGTGGGGTGTGGGGGTCGGATTTGGGATTCCACGGGTTTGGGATGTGGGATGGTATCGCAGGATGCGAAAACGTGGGAGATGGAATGGCGAGAGATGGATGGATGGTTGGGTTAGTGTTCATATCAAGATAACTAAGATCCGTGTATCGATGGAGATTTCTTTTCCGCCAACGCGCAATTCAACATGACGAAGCTGCGCGGCGGAATTAAAGAACGAACGGGTGAGGCGTAGAAGGCGGCGTGGAAGTCTACGAGATGAAGATTGGATTTCTTATCTCCTTCACCACACCCCTCAGGGCAATGGGGAGGTCCCCGAGGATACGGTACCCAGCGTGCGTTCCAAAACCACACACAACCTTCCTAAACCAGTACTTCTCGAGCAGCGCATGTCGTGTCAATCTGGTCGTTCCGGGTGCGTGGGCGTCGGGCATATTAAGGGTTCGAGTTTGAATAAGGGGTGTTGTAGGGATGAGAATAAACAGAGAATTAATTGGGAAGTTGATTAAATGATTAAATTAGTCGTGCTGGTATGGTATGGGATTATTATTTTCTGTAAAGCTGGCAAGTCAAAGCTGGTAAATCCAAAGGATTCGTCCAAGGTAACATTGCATTCCTTCCACATCCATATCTTCGCGAGATACATACTTCGTATGTAGTAGGCAGCGGCTTGGAAGAACTCCCTAGTCCATTATACTGAGTACCTAATTCAAATCATAACCAAAGAATCACCACCTCTCGCACAATCACGTCCAACAAAACCTATCTACCAAGTATGCCAAAATCGGACGCGCGATCGCGCAATGGCTCAACTGACCTGGCAAATCTTTCTTAGCAGATATCTTGATCGTGTGGGACAAAAGCAAACAAACGGAAAAGTGTCAGGTGGAATACAGATCTGGGATTTTTGGGTGCTGATCACGGGATTACGACGTCTGGACTTGCGAGAGGGGAGGCGGGACGGTGGGCCGTGGTGAGGCACACGGGGTCAGAAGTCGTTTTTTTGGAGACGTGATTTTGGGCTTGGTGAGGAGGAGAATTGAGGGGAGTTTTTTCTTTTTTTACGGCCGATATCGCGAGGGCGCTGGTAGCTGGATCATCTGCGCTTCAATCATTGCTGTTTGGTATCAGCGTGCGATGAACGGTTTTGTTGTACCAGATATCTGAACGTGATCACGACCCCTCATCTCACCAACTTGTATTTTGCCTGAATTCCTCCGTCCTCGTCCTCGTCCTCGTACCCTCGGTGTATCTTTGCTGGGCTCCGGAGAATCTGTCTCCATCTCACGTGCAATCCCAAACTCCTCACGCGGCGCTTGCCCCCCTCAATTAACCGGGCGCCACATGCCCAAACCAGCTCGCGAGCGTCAGCTCTTGTGTAGCCATGTCCCGGGAGCATGATTGGTGCGCGCGCGCGTTTAGGCAAAGGACCGAACGTGGATGCATGGAAGGGTTTCTGGGACGCTAGAAGGGGGATGCAGGTACCGAAGAGAGAGAGGAGGGGGATGATCAGCTGTGAGGATTTGGTGTTGTACAGAGTTTGCTGAGGGTGTGAAGGAGATGCTGATGGTTCGTTGATACACACGAAGCGCTTCGTGGCTTTGGACATGGAAGACATGTGTTTTCTTCCATCGCACGTTTTCAGGTCGGTACTCGTACTTCTTCATGCGCATAGTCAGGGGCATCGTCCATGAACCCTTTTTATCTATCTCGCACTCAAACAAAGCGTTTGTTCGCGACAGACCAACATCCGGCACTTGCAAGTCGGGTCGCGAGAAGTACATCCGCGGTCAGACTCCAACAACAGCTCTTCCACGAGGTGTTGGGTGTTGGTGTCTCAATTCGCACGCACGGATCAGCGATTTCCGTCAGACCCCGAAATGGACATTCTTCAGCGCGAAGCGAAGATTATCACCCTGGTCAATATGATGAGAGGAGTTTGGTATCATGAACCATGAGGTTGGGTAACGGACTTCTGTTTCTGGAGTTGGACCGGCGATATATACTTTGATAGCAAGGGGGTTGCAACTGGGGGTAATTTCGGGGAGACCAAAGTACCTCCGTACCTATTCCAAAGCGGGAAGAAGCAGCGTTGAAGAAAAGTTTCCAATTCCTTCTCGAACGCCGCATCGACCACTCTGATGTGCGTGCGAAATGGAACGTCGTTTCAGGGTTTGGAACACGGAATAATTATTTTATTCTTTTTTATTTTATTTATTTTGGAGAGAGACATGGGATGGGATAGGGACCCGACGATTGCTGGTGCAACGGTCTGTGAGCGGTTTACTCTCCGACCGGAATCGAATCCCGAGCAGCACTTATGGGGACGCGATATGCTCGCATTTGGCCATGAGATGCTTGCGTTGGGGTTCAAAGCCCTGAATCAGAATCGCTTTGGGTGCGTAGACCTCGCGGGTCGCGTGGGTGTTTGCTGGAGAGTGTGTCTGAGAGGTGGAAAGATGGTGCCATGTGGTGCGATAGACGGTGCGTTTCAATAGGGAGGTTTTGCAACTTGTAGGATTATGATTATATAATTACGAGTCATATAATTGTTAATATTTTCAAAATAGGAGGTTTTGTAGCTTTTGGGACTCGGTTCGTGATTTAGTATGTAAGAGAGTGTTTCGACCCGAATAACTTTCTAATTAGGATAGATTTTCTTAATCCTATCTAAGTCCTATAGGACTATATAGTCCTAAACGCGATTTTGGGATATAAAGTTCTATCGGAGCTCCGAAAGAGAGAAAGTATAAATTATATAAAACTATAACGCTAAACTATAATAGAAAGTTAAACGGTAATCCTAAATTCACAAAAACTCTCTAAAATGCTGAACTTGACGATCTTGTGGTCTGGATTCTAGAACTTTGTTTGGTGGTGCGAACGTTCGAAGGATGCAAAAGCCACTGCGATGCGACTGCAGCGATTTGAGATGAACATGCGGAGTGCATTCGAGTACCGCGTTTGAGATCCAACATCTGTCTTCTTCGAGTACACACTCAACAAGGCATCAACATGCACTCCTCCTCTCCCTCATCACCAACCAACTTCTTCACCTCCTGCTTGGCTTTCCATCCTCCATTCAGATCGTCACCGCCGGATAATCACCCCCATCCCACAATTCTGCAGCCAAAACTCCCGCTACCGCCCCGGACCCAGGGTATGGGATTCCGTCTCCACGGGGAGCGGGGAAGCGTGATGCCGGTTGGACGCCTCATCCACCTCCTTCTCCAACTTGGTAACGATGGTGGACGAGAGAACAGGGCTGCAGATAAGATACCGGATGCCGTAATGGTTTGCGCCTGCGCGGTGTCTGGTGTGGTAGAAAAATGGCTGTTTTTAGAAGAAGAGGGGATCTGGATAAATATGAAGTATATTTACCGCGCGATACCGATTGGTGAGTATACGTTCGTGATGAGATGATTTTATGTATGTAGGATCGTTACCGGATCTTGGGATTCTGTGGACGGTGGTTAGGTATTAGGCTGGTGATGCCTATTTGAAATATATATTGTTTATTTCTAATGATAGATATATAGATACATAGGTACATAGGTACTTGGGTATACATAGGTACGTACAACATTTCCATTTCCACCTCCTCTCTCCTCGTACCCTACCCTTTCTTCCCTCTCTTCCCACCCCTCCCAAACACCATCACAGCCCTTAGAGGCAACAATACCACACGCAACACAGGTGTCACAAACGCCTTTCGCTCGTCCCCCATATCGGGGTTCACGCAGATGAGGATCCCGATGGCGACGAGCAGGAAGAAACTCAGGAGGAGGATGTGGGTGAGGAGGATGATGAGGAGCGTGGTGCTGAGCGTGCTGAGGGAGGATTGGAGGGTGCTGAAGAGGGGGATGGGGATGTGGGGGAGGGCGAAGGATATCATTTTCGTAGGTGTATGGTAAGTTGGTGTAAGTGAGTTGGTAAGTAGTTGGGGTGTTTGGTGGGTTGTGAGGTTGTGAGGAATGTGAGAATCAGCGACGATGATTTTCGTGATTTATGTGATACAGACAAAGAACTTTTTATTAGACGCAAACGGCCAAACCCGCCTAACAGTAAAATCGACTTCTAACTACTATCTACAAATCAATTAGAAAAAAACATCTACATCACCCTTCTGTCTATCTAACTAAGGTCGTCCAAATAACACATCTCCCTCATAACTCACAACCTCCTGCCCCCCAACCAAAACCAGCACAGTTACAATACATTGCCTTGCCAGTACTAACCACAAGGCATCCTCTCCCCTCTAACCCCAATCCCCGGATTCTCCTCTCCATCCCATCACAGCGCGTCGCAAGGCTTTCACGACATCCTGCGCCTGCGCCTGCGCCTGCGTACAAGTACATATGTGGATGTGGGGTAAAATACCACCCCACCAGCGGGGTCCAGGCAGCATCGCCGTCACAAGACGTGAAGAAGGAATGTATGCTTACTTACCACTGATAACCTTTTCTAAAATAAGATAGAGCTGAGATAATAATGATGCGCTTTTGTTAGGAGTTGTTTTTGTTTAAGGCTGGGGTAGGGTTTGGGAGATGGTAGGGGAGGGCTTTGTTTGGTAAGGCGGATAGACGCCCAAGATATGGAGGAGGAGAAGCGTCAGATGATGCTAAAGAATAAATGCGTTGTCATACCTGCTGTTACGATCACCTCTCATCATCCTCACTATCTTGCTCACATACCCTACCTACCTACCCTTTCTACTCCCCTCATACCCTGCCCCTCACACCATCCGTCTCATTCTCCGTCCCTACCTCCAGGCACGCCTTCCATCCCATCATTCTAGAATACGATGATGGTGTCCTTAACCCAGGGCAAAATGAAGGGGTTTGTTGACAGAACTAGGTCTTTCGACTGACAACACACCCCGAATGTCTTGCATGCTGGCGTTGGTGTGTCTGGTGATGGGTGTGGGGCTGAGCTTGGTACAGTAGAGATGCTGGGTTTGGGTGTGTAGAGATGCTATTTGGAGGGGGTCAGGGTTTGGATAAGGGTAAGAGCTGGTGTAAGAGGGGATGTAAGGCGCGAAGATCCGCGGATAGAGGGAGATGTTACGCGCTGAAGGTACAGTCAGATTGTGTTGTATGGTGTTGTTTTTGGGGGGGGGATGGTGATGGTGTTGAAGAATTGGTAGAGGGGGTTTGGTGGGCGTGTATTTTGGGGGCTAGGATTATATCGTGAGAATAGAGAAGCGCATTTCGGCGGTGTAGGTTCTAGGTAATTGAGATATTGATACACAACTTTAATCAACTATAGTATAATTAAAACCCAAGAATTATTCCAAACGACGTATATGTTTCATGAGTTGTCCTCCCATCTATTCATTACACCCTCTCACCCTTCCCCTCTAACACTCTATCCAAACCCCTCCAAACCCCTCCAAACCCCTCCAACACTCCCTAACCCAAACACTCCAGCGCACCACACCATCAACACCCTCATCAACGCATGACACCCCCCACAAAGACCACGCCCCAAAACATGTCTTCCGTACCTGAAAACAAAGCAAGACATACGGTCCGTAGCAAGCTATTGTATACGCACCAATTAAAAAATTGCAATACACTAATTCTTTTCGACTAGGAGAGATGAGTATTTCGGTAAGCATGATAGAATTTGTTTTTTAGTCGCGAAATAAAAAGAGGTTTAAACGTGCTCGTGCACTTTCAATACTCTATTATAAATTTGAGAGCCTATCAACCTACTCACGCGCCCAAAAATCAACCTCACCATTCCTCTCCCATAGTAAATTTTTTCCTCTTCATCTTCCCCTTATTTTTCCTTTTCATCTTCTTTATTATCCCATCATCCACCTCCTCACCTTCAATTCTTCCGTCATATACGGCACGGCCCTTTCCCCAATTATGCCGTTTCCATCTGTCGCTCTCACATGACCGCACCCAAACGTGGGGTGTTGTGGGGGAACGAAAACTGGATTCTAGACCCGTGCTTTGCCACGTGCGAGTTTGGTGGTTTGGCGCGCGAATGAGATCGTACTCTCAGGTTTTATCACTTTTATATAAATGTATATTATTTACGTAGGTGTATTTTCCGTCTAACAGCAAATACTACGTATATCCCGAAAATCTCACCTACCACCGCCGGGGAACCCACCCGGTCCGCGGTTTTCATCATCTATCATATTCCGAGAAGAACGAGAAAACCGAATGGTAAGCTGGTGGTGTAACCATCCATCCAACAAACGGAGTACTTGTAGCTAAATACGACGCTGTAGGATGTTGCGCTCGAAGGAAGTGGCGGGGGTTTGAGATTGGGGGTGGGATGTTTGGGGGTGGGTGTTTGATGTTTAGGGGTTGCTTTTGAAGGATTTGGTGAGTGGGAGAGGGTTTAGTTTACCGGTGAGGAAGGATAGTTGGTGTTTGTTACCGTTTTAATTACACGATACTTACACGGTACACCATCTATTTCTCCGTTACCTTCATTACAACTTTCAAGCCTCTTCATCTTTCCCCTCCCCTCTCTAAAATCCACTATACTCATCACCCGCACTTCCCCGTCCCCTCCCCTGCACGCCACTAAGTGGGGGTTTACGTTCCCCAAACCCTTCCCTTGGGATTTCGTGGGGGAAAGCAGTAGTGGAGCACGTTTTGTTTTGGTTTGGATGCCTTCCTCTTTTGGGTTGGGTTATCGCTGGACTGGGTTGTTGCTCGGGGTGGGTTTGTGATGGAATGGATTTGGGTTTGGAAGGGGATGGTGAGGGTTCAGGATGATTTGGGTTTGGGGGAACGAGAACGAGGAGGATGGATATGGTAGGGATGGATGGTGAGGGAAATGTATATTGTGAGGGAAGGTGATGTGATGGGAATAGATAGAAATTAACGAGAAGTAAATGGATTATTTGATATTGACGTATTTCTCAGCTTTGCAAGCTTTTTACTTGCTTAGAGTTATCTTCCAGAAGGCATCGTGCTATTCCCTTCCAGTAGAGGAAATGTGTGTGAGTTCTCTAGTATGGAAATAGTTTATATCGTGTCCTCGGTGTTTTCACATGATATGTACCTAGGTAGTTAGGATTCTGGATAGCTATACGATTCAAGTGAAACTCTTGGATGGTAAAAGGTACTGTAATCTTTCTGTACACAGGTGTGATTTATGTGTTCCACCATACCTCAATAATCTATCCTTTCGCCTACTTCACCATATACTCATCGCCTCATATTTCCCTTCCGAAGTCTCAACCCTCATCTTCCTCCTTTTACATCTGTTCTATACAATTCATTTTCCCACATGGCAAACAAGCCACCTCTCCTACAATTAATTTATCCAGTTCATCCCCCTCGCCTTCCCGACCGGCCCTTCTCCATCCCCCCGGGATCCAGACTTACCCCATATATTAAAATGAGAGGCAGACCGGTTCCTCGGGTCCCTCGCGTTTTATATTACCCAGACCCGGCGCACCGGTGGGTGTAGACGTTTAAAAGTTGGGAGTACGAGTTGGGGAAGTGAGAAATGTGAGTTGTGAAGTTGGAAGTGCCGGACGTTGAAGTTGGAAGTTGGAAGGAGGAGAGGAGGTTTGGTAGAGGGTTTGGGAGGGGATTTCGGTGTGAGATAGAGAGAAGAAATACGTGCACTTGTACAACAGTATCAACTCGGCTCTTGAGTCAAGATACCTTCATACATATCACAAAATGCTTACTCAGATCTCCCCAAAATTCTTCATTTTCACATTCATCCACCCAACCTCCAAAACCCAACACATGCAAATGCAACTGCAAAAGCCTCATCTCATTCCCGAAAAAACAAGCGCGCATCCCCACTTCGACTCCGCACACAGAACGACCGAGGAATCAGTACCCGACACTAGGTAAAAGCCCGGTTGATAAAAAAAAATCGAATTAATTCGGCCGAGAACGTAATAATGCCAGCAAAAAATCCGTAATTGGCCCGAATGAGAAATGGACGAAAAGGTCCAGAGATGAGGCTGTGAATCCGAAAATTGGGGAATTGAAAAGTACCTGCGCAGGTTGAATTGGGAGTACCGTCGTGAATGCAGATGCAGCCAGTGGTAAAAGGGATGAAGCCTGAGTGGTAGTCATGAGTAGGCTGCCATCTGTACAAAGGGATTCATCACATCAGCTGCACCCGCGCGCATCAGATTCCAGCGTATGAGATGAGGCTTTTGTCGCCTGAGGTCGCTGGACGTTCATGACTACGTGTGTGTTGGAAGGCGCAGTATGTGTATTTGGGCGATTCGAATTGGAATACTTGCATTCAAGGTAAGATTTTGGGCAAGATCATCCGAGTTCTGGTGATGACTGGAATCTTACTCTTGAATGTAATGCGTGACTTGGTGGCGATCGTCGTGGTACCTCGCTCGGGATGAATACCGCGACGATTTGAAGTCACAAGCACGGGCGAGGCTGTATTCGGGAGGAGATTTTCCAGACCACATGATCGCTTTTCCCCAGGTCGAGATTCTTGCCCAGCACGATGCTCACGCCTCATTTCTCCGCAAATCAATACGTGCTTAGCAGACGAGTGGCCATGGTCGGGCTATAGACGAGGTGCTATTGTTACAGAAGAAGGCAGCTGGTCTGGAGAGACGAATGAAAAGTCTCGATGGTTGTTGGTTCTGGTACGAATGGTACGAAGTACAACAGAGCGAGGGAGCTACTTGGTAAGGTTGTCCTTTGTAAGGTTACGGGATGTTGTCTAGGTCCGCAGACCGTCGACCGCAGTACTGGTCGCCGCAGGGCTAGAACTCAGCAAGTACAGCACATGAGAGGCAAATCCGGGGATGTAGGCGACACGGCGTATGATGTATGGACGGTATTTCCTAGTATTTCGTATGAAGCAATAATTGATGTAACCCACGTCAGCTGCGCTGATCGAGGATATTCGTAGTCATCGACGGCGCTGTTGCAATCGCAATTATTACGCATTATTCTGAGCTCGCGCTTCTCCGATGCGAAATAGAGTCTGATTCAAATGTATGCTCAAGAGCATTTCCAGGAGATGTGTCGGGATTGTGATCAAAGCAACTGGAAACCGTGCTGGGACTGCTGGCAGGTCAAACAGCAAATCGCGTGGGTGGACGAGTCGCTGGTCATGGCCAGCGCCAACTCCTGAATCGTACCCATTCACCGCAGTCCACTTCACTTGACTCGACCAGTCAACTTACCAAATCACGACCGGTAAAGACATGAAAGGCCCCGTTTGCAGTGGTGACCCAGCGTAATCCCATACCCCCTGATCCAGAGCCGTGAGAGGGTACGCGGTCGGCAAGTGAGAAGTCGAGGAGGACTCGAGAATCACGGTCAAAGGCCTGGACTGCGTGCAAACAGCAGATCTGCCCATCACATCTGGAATCAGCGGAATCAGATGTTGCTTCCCCGTCTCCCACTTCCTTCGCGAATCACTGCAAACGGTGGGTTAGTCAAGAAGGCGGGATGATCGTGATATCTTTTGCTTTGAGCGTGAGTAATGACCATAACCTAGTGTGATATCGTCAGAAACTCGAAAACTCTGTTCTGGTCACGGCGGGGAAGTCGTCTGTTGGTCCCGGTTGTATTACCACGGCAGTATCTAGGTATCAAGTATCACCGCCGTCCGAGTGAGCCTCGGTGACCTGGACCTTGCGACCTGCCAGCTCGGAGCAGAGGAGAGGAGAGCGTGGGCGAGGTCTGTGCCGCAACGAGACTGGCTCGCCTGCTGAAAACACCGTCTTGCCTCTTCGGGTAGCATTCTCATGCCCCAAAATTGTACTGCCTGATTAGGCTTAGATCACAGCGGCGCTAAAGACCCAGCGACGGAAGGCGCGAACAAGGTGTCTCGCCCCCCCTGCACTATCGCGCACACCCTGTTGTGTCCCAAAGCCATAATAGCCCACGATCCCAATCCACTTCATCACCGCTGCATCTCCAAATCCTCTTCACACAAAGGAAGCAACCTCTCCTCTCCACCACCAAGACGACTTTTCGAACAGAAGCACGCTTCTTAATCCCATCGAACAGCATATCATCAGCTATCTCAACTCGTAGTAGTGCAACCTCGTAAATTCCGCATCCATCTCGTCATCGACCATTGCGCAGCATCCTCCTCACTTCCACCACTTTCGACCGACGATTGTTCCACGCATCGCGATTACGATAACACACAATCGATTAGGAATCAGACAGAGGATACGAAACGATTTCGTCGCATTCGATCGACGCAATACCGCTCTCCTCTCCATCTCGCGATCAACCCGCGAGCAGAAATCCCCAGTCGTGTCTCCGTAATTCGAGCAGCTCGTGCAATCGAGCTAAATTCGCCATCATGCCTGCACGATTAAGTGCGCCCATCCTGACCGTCGACGTCGGTTTAATACACAAAGTCGACACACGTAATGTTGAGAACCTCTTCAGCATGTGGGCAGGTGAGCTTCATCGCAACTTTCACTCCGCTGATGTACTAATATGACCTAGTTTTCTCAAAGTGCTCTGCATCATTAGAAGAAGGACGCAGACTGGACAACTTGTCTTGGAGATTGTGGAATAGAGAATTCTTCTGTTGCGATTCTGCGTCAGAAGCCAACGCTACCACCCCCGCTATTTCCACCTCGGCGCGCAGCTCGGAAGGACAGTACACCACCGAGATCCCAAGTCTATCAACGAGTCTGGACTCTTTGGCCGACGAAGAGGCGATCGAGTTCGACACCGACAGCAGCTCCGACAGTACCTGCGGAGCCGTCAACATTCCATTCCAGACACAGAGAACCGATTCAATCAGCAGCCGAGTGAGCAGAGGCCGCGAGAGACACATCACACCCGACGATCTGGAAAAGATGGTCATCACCATCAAAGAGAAGAAGACCCTGTATGAGCCTTTAGCGCTCAGCACTCACTCATATCTTGCACCTCAACCAAAGCAAACTTCAACGCCACAGCCCACTGCCACTATCCCCGCCGAAGAGCTTTCATCGGCCGCAGAATCCGCTTCCTCGGCCAGTGGTTCGGATAGATCTTCACAAGCCAGCTCCGGAGCTGTCACAGACTGCTCCGAACAAAGCGCAACCAGCGTTGTCAGAGGATTTTCGCCATCACACGTTAGCTCTTCACAAAGATCTATCCCGCTTCTCTCTGCACCATATATGGCGGAAGTCCACCCTTCCTCAAGAGGACCAGCTCAAAAGAAGCAGGCAATGTTTGCGCTCGGTGGCTCTTCAGGCGACGATTCTTTCAGTGAGCAACCAAGCTCAATCAACAACAGCTTACAGCCAAACCGTCCAAAGAAGAAGGCAATGTTCTCCTTTGGCGGATCATCCAACGAGGATGAAAGCTCACTCCCACACAACATGACCAGCACCACCAGCGCCGTTCGACCTGCCGCCAGCAAGAAGACTACCTCATTCCAAGAGGAGGTTGCAAACCGCACCATCCACGAGGATAGCGTTCTGGACGACGATGTCTTCGAGACTGACGACGAGGATGATGTTGACGAGAGCGCCATTGATGATGATGACGACTCATCAGACTGGGAAGATTCAGTTGAGGATTCCGGTAACCCAAGCATCGACGAAAAGACATTTTTCCAACGCGTCGACTCGAGACCCAACTTGACCACTCGTCGTTCGTTGATCACAACCATGCTTCATCAAAACGATAGAGCTACCGCCCTCGCACAAGCCGCCACCACATCTCAATCTACTCCAGCTCTCCAGCGATCACGTACCACCTCTCCAAATGGCCCATCCCTCGCAGCTTCACCCGATTCTGACGACGCGGCTCCTTTGATGATGAGAAGCAAGGGTCTTCGACCTGGACTCAACCCGATCGCCGAGATCCCAAGGTCTTCAGCACAACCAATCATCCCTACCATTACCACCACTCAACCTCAACAACTCGCCTTGTCACCAAGATCCACCCGCAAGAAGATGATCAATGATGAACTCACTGTCAGCCTTCGTCAACACCTCGTCTGGGAACATCGTCAAAAGTCATCAACTGCTAATGCAGTCAATGCTGTCCTTCAACGCCGTCACACCACCCAAGACATGGCCAACCTCAAGCAGTACCCTGACAAGGTCTGCATGGACCACAAAGACAACGACAACATCAACGCCAGCTGGAACCAATACTTTGGTCAAGGCTTGAACGAGTATCACTCTCAAGGATGGTAGATTCACAACAACTCCTCATATCAGTCGCATAATTGTAATTCATGGTGGATCCGACGGGTGCGCATTGAGTCCTAACTCCTCAACACATACAATCATATACGTTTTGGCATACAGTACATCAACTTACAATCGTCCGTACATTTTATAGCCTTACAGCGGCTTCACAGCCAACAGCATTCATCGTCTCGAGTTCTTGGCATAGAACCAGGCGTGTGGTCACCATGGGACGGGGACAGCAGCGACAAAATTAATGTCACTTGCTTGCACAATCATAGCATTTGCTTTCAGCGTCTATTTTCTCGTGCATTACATCATAGCATGCGCGGAACAGCCTCAACATTGGCGGCGTTTATATCCCATTTCTTTCACCTCGACGTGTTTAATCTTTCCTCATTACGAGATTACACAAAGAGGCTTCTCGGGAAGGGGAAAAGAAATTTTCAACCGAGTGTTACCTCGATTTTTTCTTTTTGCTCTTACGATACCCGTGATCGGTTTGTACCTTTGTGTACCTGATCAGTCACGAACCTAATTGGCGTTTTTCGGATGATACCATTGAAATCTGGGTTTTCTTGTTTTTTTTTTAGTCTGCGTTGTGAAGGGAAGGGATCAATCCACCCGTTTGGTCTATCAAGATGGGGGAAGTTTAGTGTGTAAACACGATACCTATTAGGGTTTGAATCTGGGGCAGAGGAAGAAGAATTGTGTCTTCTTGTACATGTTTGTGCAGAATGACGAGGTGTATTATGATAGGGAAAACGTGGGTTTTGGATGAGTTACTTTTGATAACTCGAGAAGGGGATGGATGGCTCAAAGGCTTTGTCAATTATATCATCCTTTTGAGCGGAAAAGAAAGGGGGGGGTGTTATAGGAAACCGAAAAGCGCATGCTTCGTTGCTATGCTTGGTCATACTTATTAGAGTAGATTTGGCTGAGCTGGTGGGGAGCTTGGGGGTTAAAAACAATTGAATTTTTGTGTGTTGATAATATTGTCTCTTCTTTCTATTATGACTATGTAATTGTGACATGTCTTGATATCAGTATCTAGATAAAGTGACTTTCACCAGAACTGGATGGATTTGGAAGCGTTTGTCAGTCGGTGACGACGGTGATACACATTACGCTCATTACTACCCAGTGCTTAGATGGTGTGTATATGTTTTCTATTCGGGGAGGGGTGGGAGTGAGGTTGATGCGTGGGGGTTTTATGTCAGATGGATTTTACGGTAAGATGTGTACCTGGGAATACTCCAGTACGCGGAGAAGAGGGAGAGGCTTATGGGAAGGGTAAGGATATGGGTCGGGGAATTGAAACGACTGAGATCCGGACGGGAGGGGGCGTGAAGGGGAGGGGATGGGTGATGTGCGTTCGATAGTCAGATGGGATGGGATAGATGCGGGTTCGTGTCGATGATGTGCGAAAGTGAGGTGGCTTGTATTTAGTGGTGTGACCGTGTGAGTTTCGGAGTCCCGAGGGGAGGGTGTAGAGCGGTGCCTCATGTATACCTACCAGTTGAGGGACTAGATTCTTGGAATAATGAGAAAGATGATTTAGTTGCGCGGGAGTTGGGGAGAGCTGGTTTAGATGTGGGTGAGATGGGTTTGGGGGGAAGCTGGAGATGGGAGAGTGTTTGTGTAACCCTTCAGATCTACGCTGAGGTGTTCGGTGTGTGGGGGAATTGGATAAGCCACTCCGACGTCAAGTTGGAACTTTCCAGTGTACTCACAATTCTACCTACAACTATTTCTTAAACTCTGTTTCGTACAATATCACTATACACCTTTACCCTCCGCAACCTCACATTTATATCCAAACCCGATCCCGAGATCTCGGAATCTTCTACATATGTATACGTGCGTGAAGGGGTCATGTCATGTACATACGGGAACTCACATGTACTTTACCGCGTTGCGATTCGGGAAGGATATGTACGAAGAGAGGTATGTGTGAAGGCAACGTGTGAGTGCGTTCGTGTATCTGTGATGGGAGGGTTTTGTGTATCGTGGTGGAGGGGTTACGGGAGCGTGATGGAGGAGATGGACCCTGGGAGGGCGGGTTGGTGTTACCACACCTTTTTGAGATTGGGGGGTGTGAGCAGATATATAGGAGCTGATATTTTGGTATGTGATGTTGTTCGGGATGTGAGATTGAAACTTGGGGGTTGGGGTATGGGGAAGGGAGATATGGGGGAGAGTGAGATTGTTTGGGGTGAGCTGTTAGTGATGATGTGGAAGTTAAGGTGTGATGAGAAAGTACAAGATATTGGCGTGCTGACGATATCCACCATTTGTTTGTTGGTCATGTTCTTATTATACCTTTTATCATCTCCTCCATCCCTTCTCCCTTCCCCTATACCTTCTCGCCTCTCATTTGGAAGCCTAGAAGCGACGCTGACGAAAATCCTATATTCAAACCCCCCGGTTCTGGTTGTTGTAGAGCAACGATGGTAGCTTTTCGGATTGGTCAAACCGTCTTACTTCCTAACGAATCGCAAGTTTCGAAGGGAAGGTTCGCTGACGAAAACGTGGTTGGAACGCTGAGGTGATATGGGGGATGGGGGGATGATGTTGGGGATGAAGCTGGGGATGTATGAGACATGGGGTTCGGCACACCGAGTATAGGTGTTTCAGGGTGATGTACCGGCATAGAGAATTGAATTCTTTATTTATTTCATTCGTCGATTAAATCTTTATCTGTATGATTTGTTGCTTATGTTGTTTAAAAAGGGGATGTATTTTTGGAGAATTCAATAGATGTAGGCGTGGAAAGGGATATATCGAAGTATATCTTAAAATACATTACATAGAATCGATATTGAAGATACAACAGCACTTGTAACCCCTAAAAACGACCAAAGTCTATCAATACCTCCACCACCATACTTACCCAAATCACCACACCCACCTCGCAACTTACCTCCTGAAGCGTAACCACGCCTCTGGTATCAAACACCTCAATATAAGCCAACGCCTACGGTCCGTCCCATCCCGGCAGCCACACCAATCGGGGCAATCTCAAATAACAACCGCACATCTTCAGCAACGTGTGGGTGTGCTTAGTATACCAACCAATCACAACCCACTGCGCCGCCAGAGCTGAGGTGAGATGCTGTTTGGCTGCACGACATTGAGGGTGTTCGCTCGCGTGGGATAGACCGCCTGAGTTGAGGGATCAGATGGTATGGTATGTCTCGTGGGATGGATTGTGTTTCGTTTGTCTGATGGAGGAGTCTGTGGCTATGAATCATTTGAGCGAGAAGAATTGCATAACTTGTGTTGTGCTTTGCATAAAGACGGTGAGCGCAGGTCTTTGGGGGAGGGTGATTGGTGCGCGAGGCGTGTGCGCGCGTAGGATCTTTGGTTGTTGCAACCCCACTGTCTGGAAGGAATAATAATAATAAATCATTATTTAATTGATTGATTTTTTATTTTATTGGGGACTCGGTGTTTGAGGCGAATTCTTCCAAATGCATTTTCTTATCCACATACATAATCCACATCGATCTCGCCAGTCTTCGATGGAGACGGTCCTGATATCCATAAGGCCGAACTGCTTACGGTGGAGAAGAGATGGAAAAGTGGATGAAAAACACAATAAAAAATTGGTGAAAATATGGTTCCTTCACATGCTTCAAATCGACTCAATGACACATCTCACCAACCTCCCCCATCTGAACACGCAAAGCACATTCGTATTATCATTCCCATCCGGCCCTTTTCAACTCTCGGGGTTCACCAAAACCTCCCAATATACTCCAGTCTTCTGATCACCCGGACTGGTTCTAGAAGAACTATATTCGTAGTCCAGCTGAAGGGTAATTCATAGGGCTGGGTCGCGTGGGCTGCATATCTCGAAATGAATTGCTTAATCTGGCATCCCACCTTCTTCTGGCGGTGCGGTGTGTCGGGCTGTACGGGTGTGTTTAGTTTAGCCTGATCTCGAATGTGTACCTGAAGATCAGGCAGGACCCTGAATATTCTGTTGAGCAGGCGGTCAATCTTTTCAAGTCTCGTGATTCATACTTATGTTGAGCACACATGATCTTCGTATGAAGAGGCTCTTTCGACCGGGTGAAGTCGTGTTTCGAGAGCTGTACGCTTTGGTAAAAGATACGCGGGTACTGACACGTTTCGGCCGGCCTTTCTCATGTACAGTACATGCTGAATTGCATTGATGCTATTCGCGAATCAAGTGACCGACAGGCAGACTTCAAGAGTTTCAACCTAGAAAATTCTAGTCCCGTGGCCGTGCAAAGCACAGCACAATCCCCATCGCAAAAATCCCACTGCAAAAAGCATTCCCGATCTCAAATCCCGTCCCCATTAAACCTCCCCTCTTGCATCCCAGCACACGAGAACTTCTCGGAATACATGAGGATTATTACAACTACAGCGTGTACGGTTTACGAGTCATCGACACCACTGGTATTCAAGAGCGCCTCTAGAAATAACCGACATCAACGGCGCGTGACGGCCGGACAGAAAACCGGTTACTGATCCATTTAGTGACTTACGTCGGTGGCATCCTTCCAAACAGCCGAAGAACAACCTTTTCGGCTTCAAAGAGCTTCGGTTTGCCTATGTGGGACTCCCGGGGGCGTTTGTCTATGACGACTGAGTCGTTGAAGAATATTCGGTACGCTACGGCGTCTGTCGCTTACACGATTTTTATATTATTTTGCTTATTTTTTTCAATCGTCGGAGGTAGTAGAGAGGTTTTGCAACTTATGGGATTATAATTGTATGACTACGAGTCATATAATTGTTATTATTTTCAAAATGTGAGGTTTTATAGCTTTTAAGACTCGGTTTATAATTTAGCGCGTAAGTGACTGTTTCGACCCGAATAACTTTCTAATTAGGACGATTAGATTTAATCCTAAATAAATCCTATAGGACTATATAGTCCTAAACGCGATTTTGGGATTATAAAGTTCTATCGGAGCTCCGAAAGAGAGAAAGTATAAATTACATGAAACTATAGCGCTAAACTATAATAG